AATGACGTTGCCCTTTGCGACCAATCAAACCCACTCTGCAGAATAGAAAGAAGGTAAACGCCGACGAAATGGAATACCCTTTCCAGAAGAGTAATTACCCCCTTTGAGAAGTGCCAAGCCGCTAGTCGGCCAAGCAAATCTCCCTGGCATTCGGTGTTACAGTACGAGTACGAGTGGTTCTCTGTGGGTCTCCTCGTTCCTCTTGAGTACGTTGACGATTACGTTGTTGTTTGAGCCCCTGATTTACACTCCGGTCAAGAATAGGAAAATGGAAATGGGGACTCGATGACCCTGACGAGATTTAAGGGATTCCAGGGAGTGAGTTGTGGGTTGGGGTTAAGCTTTGCGGTTTCCATGATTTTGGTGGGGGCTAGCAGATGGGTGAGATCCATGATTCATGATTCATATATGATCGTACATGTCATATTTTCTTTGAAATTGTATACGTACTGTAGACCATTGCGGCGAATGCAAAGTACTGGTTTAGTTACATTCTAAAAGTCTACTGCAAAAAATCCAAGGTCGCCCCTTGCGTGAATGCACAATAACGTAGATGTCATTTTTGTAATCCGTTCCTCAGCCGAGGATTCTCCAGTATGGCTCAACCGATGCAAAATAACAAGCACCCAGGGTGCTAGGAATGAAAACAACAAGGGTTCCCAAATATGAGTATGTACCTAAAGAAATTACCAACTGATTGCAACCACATGCAACCGTGACAGAAAAGGGGAATATTATAGCCGATAAACAAATGGAACCGTGGCCCTGAAACAGAATAAAATATAGACCACGAGGCGTACCCCGCTTCAATATGCGCCTGCGCATACTGTAGGGAGCACAAAAGAATGTTGCCCTCTCATGGAAGGGCACTCGTTATGGTTATTTACCGAACGAAGCGCTTCCAGGCCATAGTAGCGGCCAGACCAGTGGCGATGAGGGTACCACCAACAGTGACAGCCTGAAGAGCGGCGTTCATCATTTGGTGACGGTTGCGGGTGCTGCAACGCTTGTAGAAGTCGGCCATGTCGTTTCCGCGGGGGAAGGGAGTGTCAGGAACCTCCTCTCCGAGGAACTCGGCGAGAGGACCCCAGCCGTCGTTGATGTTGTACTCAAGGAGACGATCGGCAGGAACCATAGCGCGAACCTCAGCAACGTGGTCGTTGTAGACCTGCTTGCCCTGACCGGGGAAGTCACCACGGAAGAAGGTCTCGAAGAACTTGTTCAGCATGGGGTAGTACATGCCGGCGGCCCAGCTGAAGTTCGAAACGAACTTGTGCTCGGGGTCGCTGACACGCCAGAAGACGGTCTTCATAACGGAACTGTTTCCCGGGATTCCTATTAGCTAAACTGTTTATAATGCGGATTGGATGGATTAAACATACGCGTGCCACGGGTCAACATCACGGGTGGTCAGGATAACCTTAGCATTGGGGTAGGCCTCAATGAGCTCCTTGGCGAAAGCACAGGCGGGCCAGTCACAAACGGCCTGGCAGTCACCCAAAAGCTGATCCCACTCCTTGCGACCGAACTCGCCAATACCGTGGTACTTGGCGTTCAGGGCATCGTGCCACATCAGGCAATCAGGCGGGTTCTCAACTGAAGCGCACATCATGTGGTAGCACTTTCCGTAACCCAGACGCTCCAGGGCCTTGCGCATAGCTAGTTGAACACCAGGTCAGTTTGGTGCCATTGAGCAACACCGTTGAAATCTAAACTCACAGGCAGTACCAGTACGGCCAACACCGAGGGCCAGAACCTTCATAGGCACAGTGCGGTGGCACTTGCGGCGATCAATGTTGGTGTCATCGGTGAAGATATCAGTCAAGGGCTGAGGAGCCAGGTTGTCCGAGAGCATCAAAGACATGGTGATGGAGTATGAAGTTGAATATACAACCTGTAAAAAGCTCTGGAAAGAATGAAGATGTGAAAAGGAAAGGGGGAGATCGAAGTGGATAAATAAGAAATAAATAAAGAGGGGACCGACAATTGGAAAAAGTCTAGAATGGGGGATGGAGTAAGGTTGATATGGTGATAAGGGGAAAGGAAAAAATAAGAGACCAAGAAGGAATAAAATACGATGATCGCAAGATCGATAAGTTGCTGAGAGTGGGCATCTGTCAAGTAATGCAACGCCAATCAAATGCAGCGAACCACTCTTTCACAGTTCCAAGGGCCATCGACCCCCGCGAGTGGCGATGTTTCCACTCTCCCTGCTGTCAATCCCTTCCTGAATCTGGGTGGGCTGTGGCCATCGCACCCTGGTTTCTGATCGATTTGGTTATTTTTGGCCTTGCATTTCTGAATCAGTCCGCGTAGACAGTCGACGTTGGTATTTTTTCGCCGTCCATGAAAAACGTGTATATGAGGCGCGGACACGACGTCACAGGCTGACGCAGGGATGTTAGGGATTGTCAGGGGGTGGGGACTGTAATGGGCTTGTCACACGGCGAAATCTCCGTACACGCCCGCCAAGACCGCCATCCACGTACACTCGGTAAGTAACAGTACGTTGCATAGCGATCAACCACAATTTTCCCGGGTGTTGGAGACGATCCGTGCGGCTGTCAATGCTGATTGGTTGGGAAGCGGGGGAGGCAACGCGTCCCTGGAGAGTGGGGAATGCGCCTGAAACGGGAACTGCGTTAGAGTATGGAAATTTGCATTCCAGTCTGTCTTCTCCGCTTTGTTCTAGAAATGTTGTAATTCCATGGGATCCATATACTGTATCCAAGGCCAGGATCAGAACCAGCACCAGGGCCAACGTCGTAGGTTATTTGAGATAAGACAATAAAGTTCAAGTTTCAGGTTTTCCGTGGCTGCTGAAATCTGAACTCTGTACTGAGCCGATCCTGCTCTGGGTCCAGGGGCACGAGACAATTGGATCCAATGTCGGGTTCCGTACAATAACTCAGTGGCGCACCACTAGCTCCGCGGATTGATTGCGGTTCGACTCCTCGTGGTCGAGACCAACGGGCACAAAACGTTCCCACTTCGCCAAGAAAAAAGAGGGAATTAATCACATTCCCGTCGGTGATCAACATTGGCCTCAACAGGGTTTCGACGGTGATTAGGTGCGGGGCTTCATTTGAACAGTCGGGGCGGTGCAAGGGGAAGGGGACCCAGTTCCCGACCTGCAAAGGTTACTTCCGTTCCAAGCTGCTCCAAACTGCTCGTACGGAGCAGTTTGACCCGCGTGATCGTCCCGGTTTTGGAGCAGCGATCGGTTCAGGGTCGTCGATAAGCGGAAGGTGATGATCAGGAGCATTTGCGGTGTGTAAAATTCTGGTGGGAGCTGTAGCGTTTGAGATCTGTCAAGAAGGGTACCTAATAAGTAAACGACTTGGTGAGTAATGCTTGGTTGGTCCTGGCCATCACAAATTTCCTATCCTCCGATCCCATCATATTGAGACCAAAGAATTCTGTAGTTCTGTGAGTTTGTATTTTGTAGTTCTGTAGTTCACTTCAATGTGGAAAGTAAACATTTGAATGCTTGAGGGGTAGAAAAAGGAGACTCAGGGTCTCCAGGGTCAGTCAGGGTCCTGCAGGGAGGAAGGCTGATTATATGGGGGATGCCAAGACCAGGCCACCATGTTCGCCATCGATGAGCACGATCACCTCACGCGGGTCCAAGTCGGTTAGGGAAGCCGAAGAGGTTGATTTTAGCATTTCCAACCTAATCAAAGCTTAGTTGGGTGCTCTGAGTCAATGGGAACCCTCATTCCCCGCCTGATATGCACCGGCAAAGATTTCGGCAGTTGGTTGGAAGCAGGCGGCAACATTCAGGTGATGCCATTTTCAGGGTCCAATTCAGGGTCCAGGTCTCAGAGTTGGTCCAGGTGAGGAAGTGAATACGATGTCCAGGTCTTGGCATTGGCTTTCGTATTGGTCGCTGATTTCGACATTTCCCCTGAAGTGTAGGGATCTGGTGGAAATTGCTGAATACTTTAAGCTGAGCAATAGACTTGTCTTAAGACATACAAATCAGCTTGATAATCCTGGAACGATAGATGTACGTCTAGGATTATCTAAACAGGCATCAATGCAGGACAGCAATTGATCAGTAAGCGCATCAGACTGGGTTGCTTTCTGCTGTATCTTATCACCCGGTCCGGAAACACATACTATAAGGTATATAGATGTACCGTCCGCACGTTGATCGTCTTGCGGCTCGGGTACTGTTGATCTTTTGGTCTTATGGGATTGTAGATCTCAGCCATAGTTTGAATCCTTGAGTTCTTTAGATCTGCATTCAAACCAATATCGAGAATGTATACAACTCAGGGAAATCAATCGTACTGGAGGTTTCAATATAAGAGATGCAGAGGGTACAGAACAGCCTAAAAATCTATGGCCCCTTACATTCGAATCGGAACCTCCAATTATGCTCTGGATCTCGGGGGAAGAGAAAAATACCTGTAGTCACAGATATCAATGAACCCTGGCACCTCTACATCACCGGGTGTCTCTTTCATCCAATCCACATCAAATATTATTCATTATCCGAGGTATGTACACCCTTCCGGTAGCTCGTAATCTGGAAACTCTGGCTCCTGTTCTTCATGAAGATATTTTTGGTGGTCATGCACTGATAGATCACGAAGCCCCGGGTTTTGATTCCATCCTCGTCAAGAAGCCTCTTGAGCTGGACAGCTCTTCAGCCTGGTAGACATTAAGGCTTAGTTCATTGGATGGTATGAATCCAAAGAACTCTTCGTCTTGCAACTATGAGCGCAAAGAACGTCCAGGTGAAAAAAATTGTCACTACGGTGGTATGTAGGAGAGAGAGACAAATTACACGAGCAAGGAGCTAGGCCCATGTTAGTCTATTAACTAGCACTAGAGACACCTCGGATATCAGGCTGGGAATTAGCTTCGATTTTAAGCATAAAATATGTATTCACAAACTCCACCAGAGGAATAAAACTCCAAACTCCGCGTCCCATATGTATGCGCTGATGCATCCCAATACCATATAATCAACCACCGCTCAAGGCCTCGCCTTATTCCAATTTATCCAAGTGCTCAAGTCGTGTGAGCACAACCTGTTTACTCGTCTCTTCAATCTCGCCGGCGAGAAAGACTTCGTCGAGGATAGCGTAGACCTATACCCGCAATTAGTATACCCATCCATGAATTTATCAACCTTCGTTACCACATCCGCCACGCACCTTGTAAAAATTGAACACTAGATCCAATTCACACACATTCCCGAAGAATTGGTCCAACACCTCGACGAAAAAGTGGATAGCCTCTAGGTATGCCAGTTCGTTGTCGTTGGCGTCCACACAGACGCAGAAGAAGAGACCCGCGTATCGTCGGTAGACGACCTTTGTACTGCGACGGAATTCCACAAAGTTTGACTGGTATTTCTGATCTCGAGGTGCGACAAGACGGTGGACCTGTGCGGGTGTTAGTTGGTCATGGATCGAGCGCGGGAGTGGCAGGTGTTATGGTTGCGACGGACCTCGCCCTTGAGTTTCACTTTTTCTTCATCCTGCAATTCTTCATTAGCTTCGGCGGTATCCATCGGAAGGATTGCGATACTCACACTGTACGGAGCATACCACTTCGCCAGGCGCGTTTTGCCCCTATATCAGTTGTCAGTTTGAACCATCACATTTCTTCTCAGGGCATACAGACTGGCGATTCTGAACGAGGATAAACGAAAGCACCATTGTGAGTACCCGATCACCTGGTGAGCATCGAGTTTTGTTGACTTAGAGGGTGCACGACTTGAAGAGGATCTCCGCGATTTCCGTTATCGTGGAGCTCCCCTCCGATATACTGCCATATCCCACCGCTTATATTGCTATCAGAGTACAGATCGGAATTGAAAGACCAAGTTATACAAATGAGAATGTCGTGATTCAAGTAGCTAATTCATACAATCAACAGTTTTAAATCGGTCGCCAGCAATCACAAAGGCATATAGGTCGAGAAGGAAATATTTGCACGATCTGAGGCTATCAACAAGCGTAAGGCGTAAAACTCGTCAAACTCCGCATAGCTCAAGGCACAATGTACCGCATGAACGAAAACAGTATTCAGAAGATCATTAATCGTAGGCAGAATGCCCAGGTGGTCGGTTTTGCTGCAAGCAAAGAATCCAGAGTTGATCCTTATGATGAGCTCATCCGATTCCAGAGTCTTGTCAGTCGAGACTGCAAGGTCGACCGTCAGCAAACTCAACATTCCAAGTAACAGAATTTAGAAAAGAGCTCTCCGAGCACACATACCGTATAACTGACTGGGGTACTCGGCTCAGTCACAGCCTCCGATGGTGCCACCGACTTTTCATCGACATAGCTATCATCGTCATAATACTCTTCCTCACTATCTTCCTCGTCCTCAGACGGCGGATAATATCGATCGGGATCGCCATTGTAAACCATAAACCATCCGATTTTCTCCTCCGGCGCCAATCGATTGCGCAGTTCCTCCAGCGCCTCCGACTCATCCTGCGATAAGCCCGATCCCTGCTCCACGCAGTCCGCAATATTCAACCCGGGGCCCGCACTATCAGGGACTTCGGAACCGCCATCAGGAATGGTCAGGACCTTCGTTGCGACATAGGCATAGTCCTGGCTAACGGTATTGCTTGTTTCGTCGTATGGATCGTATTGTTCGATGAAGCGCAGTTCGGGCAGGCGCGCGACCAGATCGGGTTGCGTCTTTTGGAATGACTCGGAGAGTAGTTCTGTCGTGAGTGGTTGCTGGATATACTCAGCGGCGGCTTCTTCTAGGTTGTGAAGCACGATATAGACCCGGATCCCTGTGAAGCCGGCGCGGGGCCAGCGGAACCCATGGATCATGTAGACGGGCATGGCTGGAGCTGACGGGAAAGGATCGGAGAGATTGTCGGAGTTCGCAGAATAGCGGTGGAGGTGGAATGAGGATGCCTAACCAGAGGCCGATAGAATTGTTCAGGTCAGGATCGAAAGGTTGGGTATTTCATGGCAGGTGTGCGACGGGTGAAAGCTCGTGTTGGTATCTGTGATGCATCGAATCGAGATCGAGGGTGGACCTTTACCCAAGTGGGAATGGTCCCGCCTTTTTTAGTTCAACGGCCCGCGCGAGTCTTGACATCTCGCCCTGACTTGCAGCCGTTGGGTTCACATGTTACATTTGGGCCTAATTTTCTATGGTTGGAATCAAATTGGGAGGGGGAAATATGCAGGCCTGCTGCTAGTCGGTGGGTCCTACAGCTAAAAGTATATGGACTGTTGATAGCCCCGATTTACACAAATTAGGTTTCTTCAGAGCTCTGCAGACAGGTGGGAATGGATCCATTTCGCAAGATCATGTACATCAGCTATGTGCTATAATACAAGTCGACTAGCCGTCAAATCACCATCTACAAGGGACTTGTCTGGGGTCCAAACAAACAGAGTCCGATTGGAAATTGTCCCAGTTCAATACATAAGGTTGTACAAAACACAGATTAGAGATATTGGGTGATTGGGAGCATGCAATGCTGAAATCCAATTGAAACTAATTGTCTCGGTAGCTCAGGGTTTTCTCTTGAGGTCCGCAAACCGTCGTGTGAGCTCGTCCAGCTCGGGAATCCCGCTGTTATTGCTTTTGCTCTGTGCTGATTCCTGCTTGGCGGCTTTTCCACCCTCTTTCTCTGCTCCAGGAACCTTGACTCGTGGGTTTGGATTGTCCGTCCTGGGAGCAGGAGGGGCCACGCTGACAGGGCTGCGGCCCGTCGCCATGCCTCGTGGAGGCGTGGCTTTGTTCAATTCACTGGTCTCGGAGGCTCGTCTAGCTTCAGAAAAGCTGGGGTGCGATTGATCGCCCTGTTGCTTTATTGGAGTCTGTGGCAGGTCGCCATTGTCATCATCATCATCATTATCATCATCTTGGTCATCCACATATTCTGGCGGGGCGTCACCGAGCTCCTCCTCATCTGGCCATGAGATTCCGTATGCTTTCGCAATCTCTCGCAGGTAGCTCTCCACAAGCTCCGGTCCAGGGGGCGCACTCGCAACCCTTTCAAAAGTCTATCGGGCACTTTAGCTGAATCAATTTTGTTGTCTTGTGCCAGTGCCATGAATTCTTTGCCATATCGTTCCCCAAGCATAGTCCGAAGCATGGTCAACTCGCGCAACTCATGGGGAAAGCGATGCCACGCATAGAAAATAACCACAGCCGCCTCGTCCAGTGCAGTGTCCATATAAGCATTGTCTTCGTCGGTCAAGGCATCATCGGAATTATTTGCGCCAGACGTGATCGCAGGGGTAACAGCCTCCTTCTTTTGCGATCCTGAAAACCAGCCAAATCCAAACCGAGATCCGGAGCTTTCGGTATTCGCTCCTCCAGCTGAAGTTCCCGTTTGCGCTTGGTTCTTTTTCCTGTAGAGCTCCTTGGCGCGCAACCTGGCGCGAGTGCCCTGCTCTCCGAACGCGAGCTGGTCCAGCACATTGGCGCGCGCCAGTAGCAACTCGCAGTAGAGTTCTACCATCTCCATCACTTCCACAGCAATGTCGGTCGAGATTACATTTTCGACTCGGATACGCGCTGATGGTTCACGTCCTTCACTGAGAAGCTGGGAGAGTTCGCGACGCTGGACAACGGAAGAGGCGGTGTCTTTCTTCTGGAGAAGACGAAGGCGGGGGATGAGCAGGCGCAGGGTAGATACCAGCCTAGTCTTTGATCCCGTCTTGTTAGCTTTGTTTGACTCCATTTAATTCGTATCCGATCGCAGGGATCTTCGGGCTGCAGCCGTGGAGGTGGGAGATGATAACAGTGCGGGGTAGCTCTAGGCAGCCAGGCTTGACTTGAAGATGGTGCAGTATTGAAAAGGCATGGATAGACATTTCAAGGATTGAAGCACCCGAGAGACTCACCGTTTGTGCTGAAGGAGGCATTTTGACGATGTTGAGGAGTTAATGGAGGGGGATGTCGTGAGGTGCTTGGAGTTGGGGCGAGCCGCTCCACTTCCGCATTTACTCCGACTCATCTCCACATCTCCTCAGTTTACTGCCAAAACCAGGTATCGACAATAACTCTCTTGTCGATAGTTATTTTAAATGCAGTCAGCACCTTGATTCTTAATATCTCTGGTTTGCTTGGTTGACATATCATATGCATTATGTGTAACGTGATTGATAACATCTTCTCCCAAGGTTCCCAAGCCTCGTCCCAATACATCAACATCAGAAGTGGATGGTTCAAAAAAGAGCTAGAAAAGGCAGCTTACGGGAAGATCGGGGTTATAAATCACTTCGATACTCCAGTCAATCCATCAATTACTGGGTTTGTCCCGCATGGCGACGCAACTTCAAGTCCCACATCAGGAAGGCGTGATTCAAGCATTGTGTTGTAGGAAGGCACGGTTATTTCAAATCAAACAGGTGCGACGCAGCCAACTATAAGCGCACCTCTTTATTAGGTCTTAGTCTTCCTCTTCTATTCCTCCCGAGGTCAGTCTTGCTCATCCCTGCAAGCCGTATTGTCATGAGCCCCTACTTCTTTTACGACAGATCTATGTTCGGGATGAGGTTGTCATGTCCTCAGTAATGTACCTGTCTATTCTCACATAGAAAGGCAGACGTTTGATGTGCACCAGTACTCCTGAATAACTATCTGGACTCCTACACTGATGCAGATTTCATACCAGCTGCTTCAATATCACGATCGAGGTCGCTGAACTCAATACCAAAAGTTTCACGTGTACCATCCAAGGTTTGCCGCTCAGAAATCTGACAAATGGGTATGGGTACAAACACATAGTGAACCAAGGCCTCGTCAGACTAAATCGGCGATTTGACTTTTCTGCTAGTCCACGGAGTTCTGGGACCAGGCAAAGTGCCGACGACATTGGGTCGTCTAACAATCATTTTGGCACAGACACCATCTATCTCTCAGCACCGAATGACAACCCATGATCCATCGATTTAGTTTCGGTCTCCAAAATCAAGGTCGAAGGGTACATACATGCAATCGCTTGAATCCTGGACCGGCTAGCTTGTTGTGAAAGATGTGCCTTTGATTGGATCAAAAAGGGCCGCGAGAATCATAATCGAATAGATCCGTTTCATAGATACAAAGCTACTATCAAGATATCTAGAGGATATGCGGTTACTTAGACAGCCTAGCTTGACCAAGGACTGCGAAGAGCTTGACAGGAGAGCTTGCACGAAAGAGTTGGACTAGTCTCTGTAGACATCTGGAAGCTCAGTTGATACTATTGGCATGTTTCTAAATGGATAGATGAATCCAATGTAAGATATGACAGCAAGCTAAGGACGTGGGATCGGTTGGATACGGAGTCAACATGATTGATTCAAAACAAGATGGATATAGATCGATTTAGGAACTTGGTGGGAGTGGGTCTACAGTATACACAGAATCAAGATGATTGGCTCGGAAAAGGTGGATCTAGATCGGTTTAGGAACTTGACGGGAGTGGGTCCGCGATGGCGAACAGCTTAACGACTACATATAAATCCAACGAAAACCCTTCACTCTATTGAAATATTGTCTAAGGAGACTTGCACATAATGGCCCAGCAGAACATCCATCCCGCTACACAAGCGCTTCATGCTGATGATCGCTTGAACTTGGTCACCGACGTTGCCCCGCCCATTCATCTATCTACAACTTTCAGATACCCAGATGATCCCAACGAGCTGACCATCTCCGAAGATCCTGTGGTACGTGGTCCTCATCCCAAATAATCTGATTTATCATACTGATATCATGAACAGGCGGAGTTCGACGGAAAGAACTACGTCTACGCCCGTGAATTCGCACGAAATCAGACTCGCTTCGAGGCGGTCCTTTCTTCACTTACGAAGGGTAATGCTGTCACATATGCAACAGGCTTAGCGTCATTGCACGCTGCATTGACACTACTCAACCCGCGCCGAATTTCAGTCGGTGAGGGTTACCACGGCAGTCATGAGGTTATTTCAGTCGTTTCTCGATTATCCGGTCTCCAGAAGCTTGGTCTTGATTGCCCAGCCGAGGATCTGAATGAGGGAGATGTGATTCTACTCGAAACACCCATTAACCCCCTTGGAACGGCCTTCAGCATCGAGGAATATGCCAAAAAGGCACACTCGCGTGGTGCGTACTTGATTGTTGATAGTACATTCGCCCCGCCAGGTCTCCAGGATCCCTTCCTGTGGGGTGCGGATGTAGTCATGCACTCTGGATCAAAATACTTTGGTGGTCATAGCGACCTTCTCTGTGGTGTGCTGGTCACCAAACGTGCGGATTGGACAAAACAGCTCTTCGAGGACCGACTCGCTTTGGGAAATGTCCTCGGAAACATGGAGAGCTGGCTTGGACTTCGGAGTCTGCGGACTCTCGAGGTTCGGGTTCAGCGCGCAAGCCAGAACTCCGCAAAGCTTATTTCGTGGCTTGATGCTGCTTTGAACGTTCCATCTCCCGCGCCGGGATCGGAAGAGGCGATCGTGCAGGCGGTGTTGCAGAAGATGTATCACGCCAGTCTTCAAAAGGAGCCTTGGCTGGAGAAACAAATGCCCAATGGCTTTGGGCCTGTTTTCGCGATTGTTTTGCATGAGGAAGAACAAGCCAAAAACCTGCCGAGCAAGCTGCACTACTTCCAGCATGCAACAAGTCTCGGTGGTGTGGAATCTTTGATTGAGTGGCGGGCGCTGTCTGATCCTCGAGTGGATCGGAAGCTGCTGCGAATCAGTGTAGGTCTGGAAAGCTGGGAAGATCTGAAAGATGATTTATTCCAGGCGTTCAAGTCATTGTGTAAATAGACTATGGCTAATTGAAACGTTATCATTGGGTATAGAGCCTAGAAATCAAATCCAAAGCCAGTCTCGCTCTACGTCGCCGATATTAAAGATCCACTGGGATCGAACCGTTGAAGAATCTTGCTGCCAATATTCTTGTAGGGTTTTGGCTGCATTGACAGCGTTCAAACACCTGGTGAGAGACCAGAACTTCTCAATGCAGGCCAAAAGAAAGTCCCTTTGAGCTTGCCACTGGCATTCCAACCCAGCCACAAAGACCGGCCAGAGAATGCACTTGAACAAGGCCGGATCATCCTTCAAAGAATTGACAACACCCAACAACTCTGAGACCAGCTCGTCTTGTGAAGTCTCTTCCCCGGTTAAGGCATCAAGAACCCTTCCACCGTATAAGAGAGAACCGATCCTATATGCCTGTGACAACATACAGAGATTTGCGATATCTTGGGGCGAGGACTCCCGAGACCGTTGTAGACTCGAGGCCCAAGTATAACAATCGAAGGTTTGAATGAGCTTCAGTAATGAAGCTGTATCCCTCTGGTTCGAGGTGATCGTGGCAGGATCGAGTGGCGTAGACCCTGACATGCTATCTCGTTGCGCAGAAAAATATTGGATGGCTGTCAATAGGTAATCCGGGCACCCGAGAAAAGACTTTTCAATGGTTTCTTCCTCTTGTTCTTGTGGATCTTGCAGGCTGAGCGAGCTGAACTGTGACAATAACTTAGGGCGTGTAAAAGTGTTCCCGAGTGTTTCAATTCTATCGATGATTAGCTTTGTCAAATACTAGCCCAAATTACTTACAGATGGATTTGCTTGGCAATAAATCCCCGGATTTCTTGTACAGTCTCTCCCGGTCCTTGGTTGACACCAGCTTGGCTTTCAGATGGTAGATATGAAGCAATTAGTTTTTTGACCCCCTCGAGATGAATATTCCAACCATCGCTGCCGGACTCTATCAAATCGAGGAAAATCAAAAGGAAGATGCTGGCCATTGTGGTGTCTTGCATGTAATTTTGGTTATCGCTCAAGGAATGCGATAAGGCCTCTATGGCCTGATGCTTGAAAAATAATGCATCCCGATTCGCATTGACGAGTCTCGGTTCTGTTGGTGTTTCGGCTTGATCAAAGGATTGACCTGTGTTGAAATGATGCCGTGCTGCAAGTGCGAGAAGAGCCTTCAGAAGGACCGGGTCTTTCAGACCGAGCGCAATCAGGCTTCTTAATGGGTTCTTGTCACTATCATATACAATGAATAGTTTGCAAATGCGCTCATTATCTGTGATAGACGTTAACACCTCGTGGAGCTTATCAGGAAGCAAGGACCCTCACAGTAATCGATGTAGTATCGGGATATTGGATCTAAATGTAGAACCGATGGGTCCTGGAGATTGAATGAAATATCTGGTATGGATTTGAAAGAGATATCTGTGCCAAGATCAGCAATGAATATTGCTCATAACGAAAACGATTCCAATTCCATCAGCGTCTCGTCAGGATCATACTTACTATTGAAATCCAAACTCCCAGGGCTCGGTACACATTTAGGCATTGACCGCCTTGAATTGATCAAAGCAGATTTCTTATTTTTATCAGATTCTTTGCTCGGAAATGACCGGCCCTGCATCTTCCCGCGAATAGCAACACCCTTGACCCACCGGATCGGTCTTTTGTCAAAACACTCCAAGCCAGCTTTTTGGCATTTTGCACAAGGCACACCAGACCGGTCGCATTGAATGCGCCGAGTGCGACAAGTGTAGCATGGTTCAATTTTCTGGTCCATAGTGGGTTGGGAGTGGCAAGTCTCTTCTTATCAACGCTCAGTGCAAGTCTTAGTTGCTGACTAAGCTGGACCCGCGCTCCCCGCGTTTGTCGTTCATATAGATGCACATGGTGGCCTGCGTTACTGAAAATGTGAAATTCTGCTGGAAAGAATTGTATGTTTACACTTGAAAGAGCAACAGCATATTCTGTGAGAGTTAAGAGAAAGGAAAGAGGGAGAGGACATGGACTAAAGGAAGTAAGCAGGCCTCGTGTGGGGAAGGTAGATAGTAAGTTTTATTAAGGGAACTGGAATGATATGGTAAAATAAAAGACGGAAGAAAGAGACTAAGAATGGCTGGTGAAAAAGAAAGTAGAAAGGGGTACGAGAATAGCGTCATGAGAAGGGGGTCATATGGTAAACGTATAGGGGGAAAGATGTATGTGAATAGCATCATGTAAAAGAAAGAGCACCTCAATAAAACGTTACCAGACCGAGCATATAAGGACATATTAGGGGTCAGATATTAAAATTGAACCATCCTGGCCTAGCACGAGCACCCGGGCACCCGGGCACCGCATAAAGTCTTCAATTGGGTTTGATTGCCAACGAAGGGCCACCTTTGATGAGAGTGCATCATTTCGGTCTGTAGCGTGTCTAATCTAAGCTTCTTCGTCCAATTCAAAGGGCCTGGAACTGATCTCGTCAAGCGGCGACGGAGTACAGGGGGTTTCTTGCAGCCAAGTCAACATGTGAATCAAGTTCTATGGGATAAAGTTTTTCTCTTTCTTTCTTTGTCATACTGATTTTTGTCGGACTCATCTCATTGATTTCGTCAAACTAGGTTTTTCTTCTAAATTCGTTGATGCCAAGTGGTGAAGTTGAAGCAATTCACATCCACTGATCTACTTAATATATACATGTAGAGTTTGGACATAAGCTTGAACAGGCCATTGAAATAATACTTTTATTTCCTCTTTCTTTTGACAATGAGTATAGATATATATTAAGTTCCTCGAACATCTTTATTAGCTCGATAACAGACATCTACACCGTCGGCAAATTCGGAGATAGCAACGAGTCAAGTCTTGGGACTGGTTCTTACCCCACGCCCTTCGAATTACATCTCGCCCCACATTATCTATCGACCAGGAACCACCTTTTTCTCTTTCTCAACATCACAATGGATTTGGCTCAGATCTTCGAAAACAGTCCAGGCGAGGTGATTAAGTGCATCGACACACACACCACTGGCGAACCAACACGAATCATCTATTCGGGCTTCCCCCGGCTTCAAGGAACACTTCTGGAACAGCGCGACCAAGCCAAAACACACTATGACAACATTCGCAAACGCATCATGCTTGAGCCTCGCGGCCACTATGATATGTACGGCGCGATCATCATTCCCGATACAGAGCTCGTCCAAAGTGGGGAGGCACACATCGGCACACTCTTCACACACAATGGCGGATTCTCCACCATGTGCGGACATGCCACGATCGCACTGGGTCGTTTCTTAGTGGATACCCATGACTTAACTGTGTTCCCGAAGCGGAATACGCTGAAGGTCAACACCGCGACCAACGAGGTTGCGGTTAACATCCATGCGCCGTGTGGCTTAGTCCGTGTTACCGTACCCACTACGGCCGATGGACAGAAATCGGATCCATCGCGCCCGGTCAGTTTCCTTTCTACGCCAGCGTATGCTGCTGCGATTGATCTTACGATTCCCATTCCTAAGGATGTTGCGTGGCCGGAGCTGGGCAGCCGGGAATCTATCAAGCTTGATATCTCATACGGCGGTACTTTCTACGCGCTGGTTGATGCCCGGGAACTGGGTTTCACGGAGGGGCTGAGTAAGATTGATCTTGCATCTGTTGCGAGTGCTGTGAAGAAGCTTAAGGCTCATCTCATAACTCACCCCGACGTCGTTACTGCGCTGCGTCATCCCGAGGACGAGAGATTATCTTTCCTTTACTCCATCATGCTCGTGGATCGTGACATCGGTTCTAGACCGGATGGTGTCGATGGAGCGGAGACTGGGCTTTGTTTCTTCGCCGAGAACCAGATTGATCGATCGCCCACGGGTTCTTGTGTGACCGCTCGTATGGCACTGGCAAATGCGAAAAATGCGAGAACACGTGGACAGAAGTGGGCCTACAACTCTCTGGTATCGAATCGCTTTGATACAGGTGCTTTCATTGCGTCTATCGTGGATGACGACATCTTGCTGGAGGGTGATCACGGCGTCTCCAGACAGTGTGTCGTAGTTCAGGTCGAGGGCAAGGCCTATTATACCGGGGCAATGACATTCATCATTGAAGAGGGGGATGTGACCACTGAGAGCGGGTTCACGATGGACGATTGCGCCCAGAATGGCCCATTAACAAATTGATATATTCACATCCATATACTGCAATTTTCAATGTCACAGGGACTCATGATCGAAATTGAAGCGGTGATACAGGCCGATTTATAGAACCGCACGGTTCAGGAGACGCTAAATCTAAATAGAGCACGGGGCTACATGCGGTCCGGGCGACCCAAGGTGCATTAATTTCCAATTGGGGGCACAATGTATTGTCGAATACTTAATGTATAAAGGTAACTGCCTACTCCGAGGTAGGCGCATTTACTTCCCTATGACTGAATCTGTTGAAATTCTCCCTTGGTGGGACTACATTGAAACGACCTCAAGCTTAGGTCATCGTTGTCTCTAGTCTAATTTATGCGCCTTACCTGATACCGTTAGTGTGGTGTTCAATTACGAGTCCCTCAAAAGCCAGCGATCCTACTCCGTTTACAAGCCGACATCGGGGAGGTTTACCCCGCCAATCAAAAGAGCAGGATACATGGTAATCAGGGGGGAACAATCAGCATACAACACAGAATGAGCTATAATAGGGTATACGAATTGGACTCCACCAAGTAGACAGGCAACGCAGGCGTTTGGAGAGTAAATGCGACTGTGGGCCGTGATTGGGTCGTTAGAGATGTGATCCACAGGGGTTCGACGACGCTGGTTGGCCGGCTCGGTTTCTGACGTCATGGGCACTGCATCCAAGCGGCGCGATACCCTTTTGGGATAGTTTAGATGTCTAGTTCTACAGTATTTTGGATGGAAGAAAAAAATGTTTCAGCTCTTGCGCTATCTTTGGAACTGGGATGGTAGAATGTAGGAAATTGGCCGGAGGGAATGGCTATATCTAGGGCGTACGCTCGCCCTGGTTGTGTGAAAGATATCTTCATTCATTATTCCCACACTCGTTCTATCGTTCTATATCGACTACTCTAAGTCTTCTCGAACATCTACAGTATGTTTAGTTCAATTCCCAGCTCAATCGGTATTGGTATTTTGACTAATCTCTTTTCTTCGCTTAGGTCATTCTCTACCTCTCACTCTTCCATCCCACTCTTTTACGTCTCTCATACACGACATAATGGCTCCCGTCATGCATACACAAGCCCTCCACACCCTCTCAACCTTCGCCAAGCGAGACACTTCCAATCACTACTCTCTCTATGTCCTCGCTATCATGGCTGGCTGTATTGTATTCTGTCTTATCGGATTTTCTCTCTACGGCATGTACAGCGGGTTGAAGCTTGAGCAACCCGCATATGAAATTGGCTACGATCAGAGGAAATACATGCGAGAAGTTCACCAGCGGAACGTGAACGGCATGGCTGTTGCGGCAAAACGCCCTGACTTGATTGTTCCCGTCGAGGAATTGAACCTTTGATTTGAAAGTATAAATGCATGGATACTGGAGTATATGGGGGACATTGGGCATTTGGCGTTTACGGGTGGACTTTTGTTGAAATTTGAAATGGATGCATATCATGTTGAGTTGGAAGTCTAGAAATATCAATATCTCCGAGATTAAGGATATTATTGGGAACATGAACCCGAAGAATTAGAGGACCTTATCTACGTCCTCTTCCGGGATCTCAATCACAGTACAGTACATGCAAAGATAAAAAGTAATGTAGATGTAAATTGAAACCGATTTTCCTATGTCCAACCAAAAACCGTACACACCAAGAGGAAGGGATATTCAAGAAGCATAAAAACAAGTGAGCCAAGGTATATAAATCGTAAAAAGCTGAAAGAAATGGCAACGTCGGAGGTCGGCATAAAAGCATCCAAGGATGGGAAGAATGTAGAAGGGGGGTATGTAGAAAAGAAATATAAGTTAAAAATGGTGCAAAAAGGATGCAAAGAATCGAAGAGGTGCGTGTCTGGCGTGGAAGATCCGCGGATGAGGTGATTGCAGTTTTCGTAGAAAGGATATCTGACTATCCAAGACAGATTTAGAAGTTGATGGCCAGAGCGGCAACGGCACCAAAGACCAGGCTGATCATGGAGACGGCAGCGCTGGAGGCACCATTGGAACCGGCTGAGGTGGAGGCAGCAGCGGCGGCGCCTGTAGTGCTAGATCCGGCGGAGGAGATCTCCGCGGCACCGGTGGGATTGAACACTTGCGGGCGGTAGGTGTAGCTCATGCTGGGGCTAGACTTAGGCAGTCTAGTGCTAGAGCTATGGTGAGTGGGGCGGGTGAGAGTAGATGTGGGGATGGAAGTGTGAATAGAAGTGGAAGTCGAGGTCGAGGTCGAGGTCGAGGTCGAGGTGGTCGAGGTAGACGAGGGAGTAGAAGTCGAAATCGAAGTGCTACTCGAGGTAGGAGTCTCGGTGGTACTGGTAGTAGTCGGGGTAGGAGTGGGAGTGGAAGTGGAGCTAGAGATGCTGGAGCTAGTGCTTGAAGGAGCAACAGTGCTAGTGGGAACGGACACAGTCTCGCTGGAGCTGGAACCACTGCCTTCAATATCAAAGACAACAATTCTGGCCTTGGAGCCATTGGAAGCAGTGACAACACAGCCAGTAGCACCACCAGCACCAGTGAAGACATCGGGAGCGCTCATCTCGTTCACACCCATGGTGGAGGGGTCGATACGGCAAGGCAATCCGTTGCAGTCGTCGCCATCGCACTCAATCTCAATACCGAACTCAGGCTTGACGTCACGGAACGGAGTGGTGGGCTCCAAGTAGATGGGGTTCCAGCCGATCTTCACGTAAGTGTTGCCCTCACCATCGGTGTTGGCACCAGCGGTGTATGGAGACCAGTTACCAACGGGGTTGGCGTTGGTACCCCAAACGCAGCCCTCCTCAACGGAGACACCGGGGGCATTGATGTAGTACTGGGCAGCGGTGGAGCACCAGTAAGACATGCCAGGAACAGCCAGAGTTTCCAGCTCCTCAACCAGAGTCGGGATCAGCATGGCCTCGTTTCCAGGAAGCACAGTCTGGCAGAAGGACACGGCCTGGCCGGCCTTGTTGTGGGCAGAGACAACACCAGTTCCATCCTCACAGTAGGGCTTGCTGGGGAAGGGCTTTTGGATGTCACCGTTTTCGTCACAGTACAAACCACCGTTCTATCAGCTGTCAGCGCGATCCCCCTTGCATATGACACATTCACTAGCGCAAACTTACCATGGACATGGGGTAGGAGTAGGAGGTAGCCTCGGGGTCCCACTGCATGGACACTTGACCAGCCGGGCAGGCGTAGGGGCAGTAGTTGCCAGGCTTACAGGGCTGATTGGGGCTCATGGCCCATCCAGCGTTCTCCTCACTGGGAGTGACGGCGACCAGACCGGCATCGGTAGGGAACTGACACTGTCCACTCTTCTTCTGGAGAGTGGTGCTCTCCGGGACGGTGCGGGCTTCGTGGTGGCGGGCATGGAAATGACCGTGGTGAGCGGCCTCCACGCTCGCAATGAGAGCGACGAGCGCAGCGGCTCGGGCGGGAGAAATGTCGAACTTCATATTTGCCGGAAAAGAAAGGTAAAGAGCGAATGTATAGAATGGAATCAAAAACGAATGACTGGGCAACGAAGGCCGGAATTGGTGGGACACAAATCTCGCAGAGTAGGTCTACAGAACAGAAAAGAAGGGGAAAGCGAGACACAAAAGGGCACGACGCCCGGTTCGTACTGAACCAGATCAGGGTAAGATGGGATCCACACAGGGACCCTGAATGGCCCCTGAGCTAAACCTTGGACGATCTAACCCCAATCAGGCGGCATCAGCGACCGGTTCTTTGGGGTCCAAGGCTAACACTGCCCCTGATGCAACCTGCACTAGTCATTTTAGCGTGCGCTAGCGTCAGGGGCAGCATGATATTGAGCCAATGATGTTGGCGCTTCCCCGATGGTTCCTGCTTGGCAAGTGGAGAAAGACCAATAAGCCGCAATCAATGCGTTTGGTGTGGAGTAAAGAGCCCGTTCGTTTTGCAAAAAGCTCGTGAATGGCTTGTGAAGGCGCTTAGGAAAAACAAAGTCTGACTAAATTGCCCTTGAGATCAAATCAGTCAGCAACTTTATCCTTTATCACCATATTGACATCTACATCTGCAAAAACGAAACCAAAACATCATGAATCTTGCTGCCGAAAACTCCGCACATGCATTCGGCAATAGCACCGTCGGGACAAGGTCAATCACAATTAAACCTGCCATTACTACCCTTGGTCTTGTGATCTAGGCCCGCTGATCATGATAGACGATCTCTATAGACGGAAGTGCTCGGGCCAATGAGTCCCCATTTTCGGCCGAAGCGGTGTGGTTCTCATGGCCCTACAGACAGTAGAAGCACGTATTATTCGCGGAAAGGTACATCATCCGGAGCATAGTCTACTCAATCAATGCCAGCCAAGACGTTGACTATGGAGACAGCCGTCTTGTCCAAAGCTTGGTCTTATATTTCAAATCTACTGATGAGACCACCCTTGGAACAATAATGCAAATCATAAGCTATTCAACTTGCCCCTGAAAGCACAGCTCACGAGTCAGTGATTCTTCAGGAGATTCCACTCAGCGAGAAGGTGGAGTTCAAGATCTAGCATCTTTCCCTTTTTGGAGAAGATAGACGGCTCGGTGGGACTTGCTGCCACCTGAGCAGCCTTATCGGCCAAAAGCAGTGAGAAATCGCATGAAAGTGACATTGCCTTGCTCGGAATAAGTGTGCATGTGTTTCAGCGTTTCAATGGAAATATATCTAATATTTGAGCCCTAAAGAGCAAATCAGCAAGGTGCTTCATTGCGTAAAAGTATAGCAACCGACGTGTCAGAACTGTACACGTTCAAAGTCCGATGTGTCGTTTTAGATCCGATTGCATGATCTTCTAATACTCACAGCGATAGTGAGGCTTTCGAGTCCAGAGTTTGAAAGCTTGTATTCACCCAAGCTGTAGCTTAGGAAAGGCTGAGCGTGCGAAACATATAGTATAGTTTTAGCATTCTATTTCTCTTTTGTCGTCATACTTCAAGTATCCAGCGGCTAACTTTGATGAGAGAGAGGCCATTTTAGTCTTTAGCTGCCCTTGCTTCTGTAGCTTGTAAAGTCCTATCATTGCAATGGTTGCGAGGTATAGAAGTCAAAAAGCCGTTCCAGTATGATGATCATCGGTGGAGAAGTCTCTTTGACGTGCTGCAAGGGTTATCTGTATACTTGCGCGGTATGCAGCTGACCCACTACTATTACTCCCATGTGGGGATCATCGAGCTAACGATAGTTGATAGGTCTCATGATCACACGAAACCACACCGCTATACGCAGTTCCTTCAACTGCTTCATAATCGAGTTCACGACTTGATCGATACGAAACATAACAAAAGATGAAGTAACAATTTGCTCTACAATATAGCTGCACCGCCATGGGGAAATGACGAGATATGGCATAGGCTGTTAGTATCTAACTTCGTGAATATGCTTTTAGTCAGTGACCGATGCAAGATAAATCACTATTGTTTCCAGTTAGGATTGCATTGTACAATATACCCCGCTTTCCCTTACATACTATCGATGAATGCTGCGGAGGTCTCTACTGAACAAGTGGTGCATTATGATGCTGTTTCAGGTTCATGGGCCTTTTAGCTGTTGAAACGAGTTTAAGGCAGGTTAGTTTCGAACATGGAATGTTGTGAAATAGGTGATTCCCAGGCTTGTCCTCGCCAAAGCCGTAACAGCTGTGAATATCTTCATTTTCAACTCCGCAAAGCACCCACACATTGACACTGTTTCCCCCTCTTCAGGCCACCAAATTGGCGTCGAGGGCTCACCATCAGCACCGGGTCTCTACTCACTTCCCCAACGAGGAATGGCAAGCTCTTCCGTGTGCAGACCTCCCGGAAATGCAACAGCGGACAACCGACCCCGGTGAGCGGCTCAGGTTGCGACCTACCTTGGGAATCCCCAAAGCACAAGTATTGCGCATTAGCGCTAGACAGCCAGGCCATCATCGTTACCATCTTTCCCTTGGACTGCTTGATAACCCATGAAGCTATTCCCAGATTCCCCATTCCCACTCAACCGAGAAGAGCATCATGATGCTGTACCTTCTATATGACTTTGCCACCATTGACCTCATTCCCATATTGTATCCCCAATCCGACCTTAAAGTACCATCACATCCCAAAACATTTACTCGGTGTAGACTCCACATCATCATTTCCCTTCGATGTACCATGGCCTACAACCCCTCCCCCATTCCTTTTCTTCTGTTGAATTTCGATCAACTCGTCAAAACATCCACCAGTCCGTGGACGTCACAGTGAGATCAACAGGAAAAACTCTTACTGTTGAGACCCCTGAACTGGAGACGAATCACGAGGAAATAATTGAAATGTACAGTAACCATGATTTGTATATTTGTTATCATTAAATTCCTGTATAAATCACACATCACCAGGCTGAGCCTGCAGCATGGTCCATCCCTGGAAAGCCGCAGCATCATCTCTCCATCCCCACGCAATACAATAATGTCTCGCAAGAAGCTGCCACTCCTCCATTTCATCCAGCATTTCAAGACGAGAGACCCTTTCTTTCTCTTGCTCACCCACCCACCGCTCCCAAAGAAATTCGATATCAGCAACAGCTTGACCGCTAACGAATCCCTGCTCGTGTAGCCGAGTCCGCTGGGCCTTCAGCGTGGCATATTTGTGCAAAGTTTGAAGCTGGATTCCCCGTGTCGCCAAGTTCGATACCATTGTCCGACCAAAAGCATCATCTGGACGAATGGGCTCATATAAAATCAACCCGAGGGGAGTGGTTGGTGGGAACAGTCGCTCTGTGAAGAATGAGACTACCTCTACGGCCTCGGTGGGCAAGAGGTATATAAGACAGCATTCAGAGATCAACAGCGTCGGTAGTGTTGTGTCGACACCAGGAAGGATCTCTGGTGAAGTGCTGCTTGAGAGGGAGCGTAGATCGAGAGGGTGGATATGGTAGGAGGATGAGTGGAGGAAATCGCCCGCCTCTGACACAGTCACATCCTGACTTGAAGAGTCAATTCCCAATGCTTTCTGTAGCCGGGGTGTAGATCGGATTGCGTGGATCTTCGCCGTGGTGTTAACAGCGAAATCGAGTTCGTGATAGACAAGATCGGACGGCTGGCGGGAGGCAAGGAGACGAAAAACTCGCGTGTCTGACCCCGCCCCAAGGGAAATAATCTGTTTCTTGTGTGCGGCATCAGGAGAATATGGACCTAGGAATTGGGCGACTAGTTGATCGATGGCAGTGGTGCGAACGTAGGTTCCTAGTGAATAGTCGCGTCAGTCCCTGGTGATGCCGATATAGCTTGGGAAAGCCCACTCACCTCGATTGATGATCGGTAATCTCCTTGTAGCATTGCCTGGAGCTGTCAAGGCTGTCGCATATGGATCGTCGAGGTATCCCAGCTCGACGGCGCTGAGACGAGAGACACTGGCGTCATTGTCAGTGCCCTGCACGACGCGGTCTTTGCCAGTTGTGCGCGTGTCTTTATCGTCGACTCCACGAAGACCTCCACGACCTCGGCCTCGGCCTCGTCGGAGTGTGTTTAAGTTGGGGATTCGCGGTGCTGCCATGTGGGCGTACCGAAGGGACGTGGAGGAAGCTCGAGAAGCTTGGACGGTGGGGTTCGCGTGGGGCCCACGCGAATAGCGTTGCCCGAACCGGTGGAGATAAAATCTTGGAACATTGAATGTAGGAATTAAGAAGCATCAAACCATTCAGAAAAAGAAAAAGAAAAACAAAGATCACAGTCAGGTCTTGAACCCGCAATCTTGCAGTTTTCAAGGTACCTGAGCAAGTTTCGAAATAACATCATTCGCAGCCGCATTATATCCCAACTCCTCCACACCTAGTACTCTACAACCACATCACAGCTTCATAAAATTAGCAAAGCTTTATAAAAGGTATTGTATTAAAGAAGACTATAAAAAGAAGACCACTTCTGGCCTTTTGCCCCAGCCCTATGGGCCAGATTCCCACCCACCCCCCAGTAACATGAGCCGTTCGACTAGGACCGGAAATCATCACTAGCCAACGCATATGTCCAAAGCGAACCAGGTCATGTACCGCTAGCAGGGACTCAAACCACTCGGCTAGCAGGGCTCATGTTTACATCATTTCTTCCTTCCATCAGGGTATAAGGGAACACACGCTAACTTTTCGGACTGCTCCTCTCTACTCTACATACTCTCGACTTTTGGCTCGTTTATTTTTATGAAGCTTCCAAGGTTTATTGTTATTTTGAACATTTCGAATTTGAACATTTGATATTCGGATGTAGTATACTTTCTGAAGGTCAAAAATAACAATCCTTAGAAGTGTCTATTTTCTAGTTCACTATGAGTATACGATGCTAAATATATAAACCAGTTATCTAGCATGGTATATCATCATTCTTCATCCCACGTCTATAATCTATGTTTCGCACTAAACATACACAAAGTTGTTCCGGCACAACGGGCAAGTACTCTGGTTACTGCTCTTGAACCATCGGAACAGACAAACAGAGTGGAAAGTGTTTTTGCAGGTGGCGCACCGCTTGTTAGGCGTTTGCATGTCAGTGGAGATCACCGAGTAACAAATGGCACACTCGCTGTGTCCCTTCAGAGCCCCTTGGACGTTGCGCCGGAATGCCAACAATCCATCGACAAGGTTGCCATTGGCGAACATGATCACACCCTGGATCGTAAGCAGCCAGCTCTTCCACTTCTTCTCGTCCACCAGTACACGGCTGCGGCCGACCACAGTAGCAGGATGAAGGGGGTATGCAGGGGGGAGGGAAATCGAAATGGACACAGGAGGGGATTCCTCATCCACTAAAATGCTGGCAATGATCTCCGCCGTGCGTGGAGACATTTTGACAGAGAGGGCCCGTTCCTCGTTTGGATCCTGAGTGGCCACCCAGTCCGTGACAGCTTTTAGAGCATCATCGATCACCAATGGTGAGATCTTGTAAATCATTAGCTTCCCTTGTGCGCTAGCAATGTATCTCTGTCCGACTCACGTATTTCTCTGACCACGATTCCACCGGTCCCTTGATCCGTTTTTGAGTATCAATCCACCAATTCTTGGTCATATTCGCCAAATGTTTCAAGCACAGATAGTACAGATGCACTAAAAGCCACTGGATTTCTTTTTCGGCGCTGTCCGAGTTATCGGGCTCGAAGGACCGGACTTCGACCTTGGATGCATCAACGATCTTGTTCTGTGATTTTTGGAGGAATTTGAACATGAACTCCAGCAGGGGAATCAGGATATTGTTTTCCTTGATATTTTCTGCGTAGTATTCTTGCACGGGAATTGACTGTTCGTAATGTTAGATAGATATTGAGAAGCTCCGTAGGGGTACATACCGCGTTGGTAAAGTGATCGAAGACCACCTTCCAGCTTAGAAGGTATGATCTTATGCTGGTCCACATCTTGTCATCACCGTATGACTTGGAAACCATATCCATAGTTGGTGTCTCAAGCAGAAGGGAGATCAACTCGTCAGGCAGGCTGACTGCAGTTTTTGATAGGGCTACGTCAAAGGACACCTGTTCTTGAGCTTGGGGAATATAACGATGAAGAATTGTGTATGCAGTTCGTTGAATGGCGCGACTGTGAGCAGTCAGAAGATGGAAGACTTCACTAACGTCTTCGAGCTTATCAACGGCAACCCCATTGATCAAGCGGCGCAACAGTTCAACTGCGACGTCTCGGGGTTGGTGGAATGTGGTTGATGCGTCTACTACATGTAAGCGGCCGAATTTATCATATACACGGGCATGGTATAACGTACCGAACTGTCCGATAGTCGAGACCAATTCATTGGAGAGGCCAGTCTTCCGCTCTAACCAGGCATCTTGAAGGTCATCATTGCTCTCACCCTCGGCCATGGCCTTCAAACGCGCAAAGAGTCGGAAAGAGGACACTAGCAAGGGGATACCGTCTTCCCCTCCGTTGCTGTTTTTGAAAACGAGGCTCAAATTCTCCATGATGTCCTCCCAGTGTGAACCGTAGATATCAGTAAGACCAGGGAGGATGAATGCCAAAGTCTGCAAGATCTCAGCTCTCAACCCAATTGATGTCATCTCCGATTGAAGACATTCAATGAGATTCTTGGTAAGGAAAACCAATCGCTGAGTGGGAATAGTTGAGACAACATCCTCTTCTCCCGACAGCAAAATATTAAGGAATGCCAGCTTTCGCAACCCTACATTAAATTAGCGACAGGCAGACAACCGTCCATGCAGGAAACTTACCCTGTAGGGATAAATCATCGGGCTTGAGACCCGTAGAGTCGGCGACGAGTTCATTGCAAATTCGGTTTCCAATTGGGTTTAATAGAATGGAGCTTCGCAAAGCAGCAAACCACGATGCCGAGCGTATTTCATTGGCAGTACGTGCTTCTCTGCAAATCTTGGCAACATCATCCGACGATTTGTATGTTTCAAAACCATCCACCGAAGTCATCAATTTGACGAAGGCCTGTCCCACGCGATAGTCCATGGGAGAATTTCCATTGAGCCCCACCAGCTTGTTTTCCCAGAAAGAGATCAGAACCGAGGAAATGGTAGTATCTGGCGAAGACTTCAGGGATGCCTTTGCATGAGCCCAATCCCTGACTACCTTTCGTCCCTGGAACACGAGCTCCAAATATTCTTCACGTTGATCCGCCAGCTCGAGACCTGAAATGCCATTGCAGTTTTCAATGCTCAGATCATCGTCGATTAGTTGGATGGCCAATGGAAGGAAGTAAAAGAGTGTCTCTAGATCCGTGTTTTCCAGCTTCGTAGCAATATCGAAGGCCGATAATGCCTTGATGGTGAAAATTGTCATACGGAATGCAGCAGTGCAGCGATCTGAATCTCGGGAAATTCCAAGCCGCAGCGTCTTTAATGACTCTGAAATATCACGCTGGACTAGGTTGACAGCACCCAGCAGCGGACTAGTAACGGCTGTTGATGACCGAGGTGGGAGCTGAAGGAAAGGAGTCATCGCATCCTCCCAAGCACTGTGAGAAGGTAAAATATCTTTCGCAGTGTAAGCGTCGTCTGTATCGATTGCGTGCATCAGCTCCTCTGCAATAGCAAAGAGAGATTCAATAGACAAAGACTCCTCGCTTGCATGGCTAAGCCCTTGACGTAGAATCTCTATTTTCGAAGCAGTGCTCAAATCGCCAACAATGGTCTCTTTGAAAGTGTTGATCAAAGATTCTGTCAGATTATGAACTTCCTCTGAGGGTGACTCTGTGAGATATAACAGTTTTCCTGTTAGCTTCGAGCCATGAGGTCCATTCTGGAAGTCTTTGATAGCAGAAGGCGCGGTCTTCCCGAGATGAGAAAGACCATGCAACACGTCCAAAGCTTTATCCTCCTCAGATAATGCATCGATAATCGACAAGAATATCTGGTCCATTAGGCCACTACGAGAGGTCTGGTTTTGAAGCACAGAACTGATGATAGGCCAGTGAGAAGAGCTTCCTCTGCAAGCCTGATCCAGAGCTCGCATGACAAGCGAGGAGAGCTTAATTTTATCACCCACTTCATTAAAGTCAAGGCTGGAGAGAAGAGTCTGCAAGATATGTGCATTGGAATGCTCGGGGTCCAACTCCATGGTTCGTTCAACCACTTTTTCGAAGCTGGAAGCAAATCCATCCCACTCACGGCATGCCAAAATGATTGAAATGAGCTTGTCACCAGAGGGTGAGAACAAAAGCTCGGGTGCATCTGTCTGAACAAAGTTGATGAGGTCTTGGGATCCCTTCGCAACGTCAGACATACTTCGTACACACTCTTCTACAACCCCAGCTGCTCCGTAAGGTTTGCCATTGCGGGAACGAAGAACTTCCAGGCAGTTTTCAAGAAGGAACAAGTTCGACTTCTCGAAGATCCTTCGAGCGCTTTGTTCGCTTTCCGAATCCGAAGCTCTTGAAAGAACTGCGGGCTCCAGTGCAAAGAAACGTCGTGCTTCAGCGCACACAGCATCTTGAGAGGCGCGGAAGTCATTCGACTTTTCCGGAGATGACAGCTTCACTGCTTCCAATAATTCATTCGATAGCTTCATCCACAGCGGCTCGAGTTGGTGGCTTTGACCGTGGCCAATGAGCACAAGGAGGTAATCGGTACAAATTTCTTGAGCGGTCGGTGAAGGAAGTGACCACTGAGACATTTCGGAACTCGGGTGCACATACTGTACAACCAAGGGTGAGAGTCTCGTTTCAACGAACTCGGGCCGCTGATCCTGGCATATGAGAAGCCCAAGCCAAGCTCCAACACGAATATAGGACTTCCACCCGGTAGTGAGATTTTGGCGGGGCTCTTCTCTTGAAATCAATCCGCCTTGGAAGGCTTCCGTTAAAGCTGATGCGCTGGAAATATTGATTGTATCGTCTGTAGATGTTTTATCGGTTCCCGCAAGTACCTCTCGTGGAATGATGCGGAGTAATTTATCCAGGTTTGTCCAGAAAACTGCGAGGCCACCCTGTGAGCCTTGTTGAATGTACTGGCGCAGCTTTTTTGATGCAGAGGTCTTTCCGGTATAGTCATCTGTCCATACCTGCGGTCGTGATGAGGTCAAGAGAAAGAGAGATTCAGAAAGCTCGGAAGCAGAGCCGATTTGGGGGATTGACAATGATTTCCCTACAATTGCTGAACTGAGGAGTTTCCAGTCAATCCAGGCAGGCTCTCGAGAGATGGCAGATCGTAGAACAATGTATATAGACCGGCGGACAAATGGATCCTCATGACTGCAAAACCCCCATAGAGACTTGCTGCCTAGAAGGTTCTCAATCTCGCCCAGGTTTCTTTGCAGGTCATCATCTGGCGAGTTTCCTATAATCGGCTAGGTCAGAATCGTTCCATAACAAATGTTTCATAGAAGCCCGATGTACCTAAAATGCGGTTGAAAAGCATCAATGCGGCTCCCACAACGCGAGCATACTTTGCCTCGGCGTCATCCCGCTTGACTGTTCGCTCATCACTCAAGGTCAAGGGTGTCTGGTGGAGAAGGACATCGTCGATATACTCCAACGTGGAACTTTGGTAGATCTTCCAGACATTGTTCCTCTTCTCCTCCGTTGAAAATACGCTGGTGAAAGACTCCAATGCGGAGCGTTGAACTGGCCGGTCATTGTCATAGATACCAGCAAGCCATGCGCCTATAACCCTTGATAGATGAGGTGCAATTCTCTTGCCAACCAATGCAGATATTGAGCCTTGCAAAGTATGAGCCAGCTGCCTGACCCGCCTCGAGAGATCAATTGAAGCTCGGGGATATATTTTGACCTGAAGAGATGTGTTAGTCATAGTATTTGCAATGAGGCCAATTGTATAAAATACCCATGCTTGTAGGAACCCATCATCCAATGTTCCTCTTTTACCTTCTATAGCTGAGATGTATTCTTTCAGCTCCTCCAAGGCCTTTGTTCGTGTGATATCATCTTTCTTCTGTAAATTCTTAAAGGCAATCACCAGTTGCTGCTCTGAGATGAGAGAAAGATCCGGTGGCTCAGAAATGTAAGTAAGTGAAGACGGTTCACGCCCATCATTACCAAAAGTACCTGAGAACCCCCCAAACGAACCAAAGGCCCCAGCAGCCGCACGACTGCTGGAAGCCTGCGATTTGAACTTTTTACTCATGTGGGGTATGAGGTCAGCGGGAATAGTGGGGGAGTGATTCGGTGGTGAATGAAATGGGCCGGCACGTCTCCGGAGAGATAATATGAGGCCTGGTCCAAGTCTGGTTTATCTGGAACAGCTTTCCTTCAGAAACTTTTCGTTCTTTAGTCACAATGGACGTTTGGTAGGAAAGCGCAACGATTAATTTGATAATCAAATCCACCGCGGCCACCCGATAGGGAAGTCACGTGGGCTTGTGTCATTGCTGTCCCAAAGGGGAAAAGATCCAGGCTGACTTGAGCTTCTTTCTCTTTCTTCTTGTACTGCCTGTGCGCGTCAGGGAGATCAGCCACCATGAAGTTTTTCATAGAGTCAGAGACCCTACGAATTCTGTGTTCTTATCCGTGTTCTTTTACTGACTCTGGCACCAAAATAGTGATCTTCCGGTGCTGTTCCCGTATCCGCGCATTTACCCGGAGCAATATGCCTACATGTGTGATCTCAAGAAGACCCTCGATGTCGGGGGTCACTGTGTGCTGGAGATGCCCTCAGGCACAGGCAAAACGGTGTCCCTGCTTTCCTTGATTGTTGCCTACCAGCAACATTACCCCGAACACAGAAAGCTCATCTATTGCTCGCGAACCATGTCCGAGATCGAGAAGGCATTGGCGGAGCTCAAGGCATTGATGAAACATCGCACACAGGAGCTTGGATTTGAAGAGGAGTTTCGCGCGCTGGGACTCACCAGTCGAAAGAACCTCTGTCTTCATCCATCGGTTAAACGAGAGAAAAGTGGTACTGTGGTCGACGCGAGGTGTCGGAGCTTGACAGCAGGCTTTGTCAAAGAAAAGAAAGAACGTGGTGAAGAAGTGGATCTGTGCGTATACCACGAGGTTTGTTTCGCTGTCCATGGACACTTCTATGCCGTCGTCTGACTTGGTTTAGAATCTCGATCTTCTCGAGCCGCATAATCTTGTTCCCCCGGGAGTCTTCACCCTTGACGGTCTCCTTCGATATGGAGAGGAGCATAAGCAGTGCCCCTATTTTTCTGCTCGCCGAATGGTATGATACGTCAAGTCCTACGCAACGCCATGCTGTATTTCTAACGCCACGACAGATGCCTTGGTGCAACGTCATTATCTACTCCTACCACTACCTCCTCGATCCGAAAATCGCTGAACGAGTGTCTCGAGAGCTATCAAAAGACTGTATCGTAGTTTTTGACGAAGCCCACAACATTGATAACGTCTGTATCGAGTCCCTCAGTATCGATATCAGCGAAGATTCTCTCCGCAAAGCTACGAGAGGTGCAAGCAACCTGGAACGCAAGATCGAAGAAATGAAGAGCACGGATGCGGAAAAGCTCCAGAACGAATATTCGAAACTAGTGGAGGGTTTGCAGCAAGCGGAACAAGCTCGAGAGGAAGATCAGTTCATCTCGAATCCAGTTTTGCCGGATGACCTATTAAAAGAAGCAGTGCCTGGTAATATCCGCCGTGCTGAGCACTTTATCTCGTTCTTGAAGAGATTCATCGAATACCTCAAGACCCGAATGAAAGTTACCCATACTATCTCGGAAACGCCACCTTCCTTCCTAACACACTTGAAAGACCTCACATATATTGAACGCAAGCCTTTGAGATTTTGTGCAGAGCGATTGACATCGCTTGTGCGGACTTTGGAGCTTATGAACATTGAAGACTACCAGCCTCTTCAAGAAGTCGCAACTTTTGCAACTCTTGTCGCAACCTATGACAAAGGATTTGTTCTTATTCTTGAACCATTTGAATCCGAAGCAGCTACGGTACCAAATCCCATCCTCCACTTTACTTGCTTGGATGCCGCCATTGCTATAAAACCAGTTTTGGACCGATTCTATTCCGTGGTCATCACGTCCGGAACTTTGTCACCGCTGGAGATGTACCCGAAGATGCTAGGCTTCAATGCCGTCATGCAAGAGTCATACAGCATGACCCTAGCTCGCCGCTCTTTCTTGCCTATGATTGTCACCAGAGGATCTGATCAGGCACAAGTCTCGTCGTCCTTTGGTATTCGCAATGACCCAGGTGTAGTACGGAACTACGGCACTCTTCTCACGGAGTTTGCACGCATCACGCCGGACGGCATTGTGGTTTTCTTCCCCTCTTACCTTTACATGGAATCCATTATCAGCATGTGGCAAGGTATGGGTATCCTGGACCAAATCTGGAATTATAAATTGATTCTTGTTGAAACGCCCGACGCGCAAGAGTCCTCTCTTGCCCTTGAAACCTACCGCACAGCCTGCTGCAATGGACGCGGTGCCATCTTGCTCTGTGTCGCTCGAGGAAAGGTGTCCGAGGGAATTGATTTCGACCATCACTATGGTCGTGCTGTGTTGTGCATTGGTGTGCCCTTCCAGTACACAGAATCCCGCATCTTGAAGGCGCGTCTGGAGTTCCTGCGAGAGAATTATCGCATTAGAGAGAATGACTTTCTATCTTTCGATGCCATGCGACACGCCGCCCAGTGTTTAGGCCGTGTTCTTCGTGGTAAGGATGACTATGGAGTCATGGTCCTAGCAGACCGCCGTTTCGAGCGTAAACGCCCTCAACTTCCAAAGTGGATCAACCAGGCGATGCTGGACAGTGAAACAAACCTCAGTACGGACATGGCTGTCTCGAATGCGAAAAACTTCCTACGCACTATGGCACAGCCTTTCAAGGCCAGGGATCAGGAAGGTATTTCTACCTGGAGCTTGGCTGATATTGAGCGCCATGAAGCCAAGCGCAAAACTGAGGAAGAGCGTATCATGCAGCAGCAGTTTGCGAACGGCCATAACATGGATGGTGTTGTGAAATCCACTGCGATGGAGGTAGTCGTGGACGAGTTTGACGACGACATTGATGAAGATCTCATGATGCTCGATCCATAGTAAGCGGTTCTTTTCTTTTGTATCATTTTTTTCTCTTCTGGTACATAATCATGGTGTCCTGGGTTCGGCATGGACATTGAGGCGTTTGTGAATAGGACAAAAAGTCATAGCATGGATGGTGTTTGGTCTGGACAAAATTGATATCTCTGGCTGCTGGCTTGAACGTCTTGAGATCAGAAGGATAATCTAAAAAATCTATAATACCTTCCAATTCTCGCATTCTTTACACAGATAACCCAATAGAATAGAATAACTAGGTGAAAGGTTCAAAACTCTATTTAACTAGAAAATATGCTATATGAACAGGGACAGGCACTTTTGTGTTTCCGCTGAACAGAACTCCGGATCATCAACACGTCAAGATGGCACAAAATGACAAAAACAAAGGCGCAGGATACAAGATTTTGCGAGAAGAATATACAGATAATGAAACACGGTGAAGCACGCTCCAATGTCTTATCATCTATGCAACAGGAGCAAGGACGTCAAAGGCACCCGTTCCGACGGTGCCTGCGCGTCCAACAACAATCCGGGCACTAGGACCCTTCAGGTTCTCAACATCTCTCTCAAGAACAGCGTCCTTAAGAGCACCCACTGTTGTCTCGAAAGACATGCGAGCAAAGGCCGAAGTAGAATCCTTGACCAGGCCGTTACGGCTGAAGGCTTTGAAGCCACCAGACTGGGTCATCACATCACCAATCAAGTTCAAGTGACGATTGTCAACAGAGATACTGTGACCCTTGAAAACGGCGTCCATTTCACGAACAATGGTGGCACGGGCCGCCTCAACACCGTAGTAATGGAGCATGTCATGAATGGAGTTACAGTAGATGGAGTGCGGCTTGATGATATCCTGGTAATCGCGCATGGCGAGCAGGTTGACGCCATCAGTGAGAACGGTTGCGGGCTCTCCCTTGATCTCGTCACCTTCAACATAGACGCAGTTTCCGAGGCTTGGAATGGACTGGATCACGGCGTGATGAGCAGCAGCCTCGACCAAGGGAAGAAGTAGAAGCTTGGGCGTCTCAATGTCGTACTGCAACTGGATGGTGCACGATGTGCCGTTCTTGGGGTCGAACTTGAACTTCGTGATCTCCTCAAACTTGCCCTTGACATCATCCTCGCGGGTGTTGCTATCTTCGTCATCCGACTCGTCATCGGAATCATCAGAGTCGCCCATTTTGACATCACGGCTTGGTTTAGAGGTCTCCTTCTCATCATCGTCCTCGTCCTCCGAGCTGTCCTGCCGCCTGATGATCTCTCGCTCGTCATCATCCGGTCCTTCATATGAAACCTGGTTGCTGCGGTTGTTGTTTCCGCGGGAGCGCTTGGCATCATCTTCGTCGTCCTCATTATCATCATCGGCAGGCTCGGCCTCACGGTCAGGACCACTTGGGGCCTCCTGAATCCTGCCGACCGAGACGCCGATTTCAGGCTGGGCAGTCGAGGACTTTGTTCCAGTCTTATCCTCGTTTCGCTTCTTCAGCTCAGCCTTGGTGAGCTTCACTAGGCGAGGAATGAACTTGCTCTGCAAAGCGTTCTGCACATCCTTGATCTCGATGGCATACTCCTTGGTGTACTCCTTAGCAGGGAAGAAGGTGATATCAATGTCGTAGATCTTGGCCCTCGAGTAGCCAACACCTGCCCCAATTCGCTCCTTCACTTGGACCTTGTCAACAACTTCAGCAATGCTGAGCTTGCTGATAGCCTTGGCGAACTTCTCTGCGTGTTCCTGAGGGATTTCGTCGTTGAGAAGAAGAGTCATTGTGGGTGTCATGATCGAAGCACTTGCGGTCATAACGATTTCACGAAGACGGGGAATACCCAGGGTGACGTTCTTTGCGGAGTGACCAGCCAAGTGGAAGGTGTTCAGAGTCATCTGTGTAGACGGCTCACCAACGGACTGACCGGCCATGATACCGACTGCCTCACCAGGATCAATAATAGACTTCATGTACTTCATGTTCATCAAAGCATCGAATGCCTTCTTGGGGAGCTTCTTCTGGAAATCGCCCACGAACTTGGCGACTCCCTCAAGATCCTTCTTCTTATCCTTGAACAGATTGTCCGGATTCGCGTCAGTGTACTGTAAATAGAACATGTTAGTATCAATAGTGCAATAGTGGAAAGAAGATTGCAATAGGGATCATCCATACCTTCTTGAGTGCCTGGGCAAATGCCTCGGATGTACTGCCCAGGTAACCTCCAGGGTGATACTGAGACAGGACAGGATCCATAGCGTCGACCTTTCCGGTCTTCCGAACCTTCTTCATTGCATCCTTGTGCCATGTAGAAACCTCATCCTTCGCCAAGTTGTTGTGATGGTGAGCTTGGACTTGCTCCATAATGGACTCGTGATTTTCAGCAAGGAATCCGAAATCATTGAGATGAACCTGTTTTGTGATGTCAAGACCGTCCTCACCATACAAGAACTGGACGATAGATCCATCTGATGCTTCACGGACGGAGGAGTCGTACTGCGCACTCAAGCCCTCCATACCCTTAATCAAACAACGTTGCAGGTAACCGGAACGGGATGTCTTGACAGCGGTATCGATCAGACCTTCACGACCAGCCATGGCGTGGAAGTAATACTCTTGGGGCTTGATACCAGTCAAGAAACGACCAGAGACATAACCACCGGCAATGGGGTGTGTTTCATAGGCTCGGAACGATGGCAATGTTTTACCACTGATCATGACCGGCACACGACGACCCTCCAAAACCTGCTGTCCAAGGTTGCAGGAAATCAGATTGGCATTGACACCGGAACCCTTGGCACCAGAAATTGTCATCGACTGCATCTGGTTCCAGGGGAAAGGCTTCGCAAGACCTGCAGGAAGACAAGCCTTGGTAATCTCCGAAGAGAGCTGGGCAGACCGGGAGTTCGAAACACTATCCAGTCCACTTTGCTTATCATCGTCACGAAGCACTTCTTCGAGTCGGCGTTCCAACTCGGCATCTTGGTCGGCCACAGAGGACTTGTCAAGCGTCACATACTTCAAAGCAACCTCACGACCCATTTGGGCCGCGGTACTCAACTTCTCCTTGCGCATGCGATCACCCTCCTTTGTCAGTCGAAGATCGTCAATACCGCAAGTAAACGCGCGCATGTTCAAGAATCTGGTGAGCAGGCGACCGAGGATACTCATCAATTTTCCAGCAACTGTGTGGCCATAAATTTCATGAATGGCATCAACAAGACCACCAGCAGTCGGTCCAAGCTGCTTCTTATCGAGGATACCGCACAAGAACTCTCCGTCCTTGAAGATAACATCACCCTCTTCGCTGCCCTCGCCCCAGCGGTTAGCAGGGGTTGAGGATTTGCTCTTGAGGGTGAGACCAGCACGCTGCGGAGGCTGAATGTTTTTGAGGATAGTGGTAATAACCTGCTTTCCAGTCCACAAGTACTTGGGCTTGACAAAAGCTGGTGGAACTAACTGGATGCGATCACTGACAATGTGCGAATTCTCGGGTCTCAAACAGTTGTACAATAGTTGGTGGTAGTCCTCCTCATCGAAGAAGCTATCACGGCAAGTGAACCAAGTTCCCATGGAAATATGATCTTGGATCAGACCTCTCAAGGGTTTACCAGATGTGGCGACCAGGTACTGGTGGTCTGCATCAGCCAGCATCCGCGCCTCTGCTTGAGCGAGCTCGTTTTGAGGGAAATGCATGTTCATTTCGTCACCATCGAAATCAGCGTTGTAAGTGTTACAGTTGGCATAGTGCATACGAATGGTCCGCTCATTAGGAAGCACACGAGCCTTGTGACCCATGATAGACGGCTTGTGGAGTGTCGGCTGTCGGTTCATGAGGACGTAATCACCAGTGGTAAGGTGGCGATAGACCTTCTTATTCCGCGAGCCCTTCTGGCGCCAGTTTGACGGGGCCAGCAGCTGATTGGCAAGCGCTGTACGCTCATCGAGACTCTTGAATTTCAAGTTGATGACTTGACCATTCTCATTCTCAATCGCAGCGGCACCGGGGTACTTGTCAGGGCCGTTGATCACAGCCTCCTTCAACTCCCAGAAGTTGTGATTTGTGACAGGTTCAGGGAAAGTAAGCTTCTTTGCGAACACAAGTGGGACACCAATTTCATTGGTCTCCAGGTTGGGGTCGGGCGAAATGACACTACGGGCAGCAAAGTTGACACGCTTACCCATCATGTTCTTTCGGAACAATCCTTCCTTCTTCTCCAGAAGCTGCTTGATACCGTTAGGCAACGCTGCGACTGCGGAGCCGGTAACAGCAGTTCGCTCCTTATCAATCAATCCGTTGACATGGTCCTGGAGTGCAACAATTGCCTGGAGGAGGTCGCCGTAGTTCCGCACTCGGATAACTTCCTCGTCCTTGTTCTGGATTTCCTTGCTGATCTGGTTGATCAGATCACACTGCTTGATAATCGAATTGAAAGCAGTGTTCTGCTGTGCTTCCATAATCTCACCGGGGCCTTGAGCAGCAGCAGGGCGGAATTTGTTGGGAGGAACAATAAGGCTTTTGATGAAGAACATATCAGCACTGACAACCTTTGCGCCTTTTGCAACAGGTTGACCATTGTAGACAAGCTGCAGGACATCACCGTCTTTGGCAAAAAGCAGCTTCATACAACTGTAGACCTCGGAGGAAGTCATAAACTCCTGTCCAAAAGAGGTCTGGTTTGTGACAGCAGCCCCACGCATGATTTCTTCCTCGGCGCCATGTACTTCTGACGCCACACTCTCGGAGCGGGTGCCATTAACTTTAGCAGCCTTTTTTTCGGAGTCGAGGAGGACCAGGGGGTTAGGGGCCTGGAATCCGCCGTGCAGCATGGCCAATTTCGACTTTTCGGGAAGCGCCTTCTTGAAGATTTTGTTGTAACGGTCCTTTCGGTACGAAGGAGAGATACTTGACCGCAATGTTAGCCAATGCGCAAAAATAAAGACCGGGGGTGGTTCTTGACATACCCGCTGCAATTGGAGCATTTCCGGTAGCTGTTGATGTCCTTAAGGAAGTTCTTGACCAGGTCCCGTCTCTGCTCTGCAGCAATGGGGTTCTTTGCGCCGGTCATCAGGCCAATGAGCCTTCCATCTTTCTTGGCCTCATTAATGGACCGATCGACGTAGGCTAGCCGCTTCTCCATCATGGATTCGTCATCTTCCTCGTCCTCTGAATCGTCACCCTTGCCAGGCTTGGATGTAGCTCCCTTGACAGTTCCCATCGATTCGACAACGGCGACTTCGTCAACGAGGCCGAACTGCAAGAGGCGCAGCTTGCAGGTGTACATGTTGACCTGAGCGCGAGACATTTGCAGGCGATGGCAGTACACGCATTGGGCCCGTAAAAGGCGATAGATATGATCGAAGAAGGTAACATTGTAGACGGGAATAGGAAGTTCAATGTGACCAGCATGACCAGTGCAGGACCAAGAATTTTGACGACATGTAGTACACCTGATAGAACCAGAATTCTCTCAATTAGATATGGAATTGTACAATGAGAAAGCAGAAGTCGAAAACTTACACATGGTCACCCCATGCACCCATAGCAGGGTCATAAAGACCACCGGGAACTGGGTTGTTAAAGGAATCCAAGGTCGGAGTATTGTGAATTCTTTTCACCGACAGCTTTTTAATCTCTTCATCGGAATAGACGGTAAAGGCAACCCCGGAAATGCTCGAGGCGACCGGGCGCGAAAAGGTCGTCATTGTGTCCTGTAGCTCAGTGGAGCAACAGAAAACGCAGACGGTGCGAAGTCGTCTCGAAAGAGAAGTTCTCCAAGTACATCTACTGCGCAAGATTGAATCTTTGAGGCAACTTTTTTTTCTGCCCCGGCACACCGCTCACTCCCGCTTCGGGCAACTGCGACCAGTGATTCGTGCTTGCCTGATTTGATCTTAGCTCGACGGTCACCTCGCGCCTTCCTTTCGCTTTTTCCTTTCCTTCCTTTGGTGCACCCGCTTTCAGGCTACGCGAGTTTGCCCGCTCGTATTTAGCTATGGCGGACGCATCGGGAAACACGCTCAAGCGTCCTCACCCTGAGGATAATGGAAACGACTCTCAGAAAAGACCCCGTTCGAACCATGGGTCCCCAGTACCGGGCTCAGCTGGCGCTGCTGCCGGTAAAGTCGATATCGAAAAGATGATGGCTGAAGCCCGGGCAAAGGCAGAAGCTGTACGCGCTCGGCTGCAAGCTGCGCGCGGCGGTGCGACACCCCCCGTGCCCCCGACCGAGTCGAGTCCCAGTCCCGCACCGCCAGCATCGACACCTGCCATGTCAAGATTGGAACAAATGAAGGCCAGAGTAGCAGCGGCTACGGCGAAGGCAAACGCACCTGCGCAGCGACCCGAGGCACCCGCGCCATCATACCAACAACCTCAAGCATTCGACGACGATAGTTTTTCAAAAGCTCGTGGCGGTCTCGATGTCGGCCTTCATCCAGCCCTACTTTCGGACGCTACCCCAGTCTATTCGGGTAGCAAAGGTCGACAGCAGAAGGGGGACAAAGCAGGAAACCGTGGCAAGCAACTCGATCTATCGGGGCCATCCATTGAGGAGATCAGAAACAATCCTTATTTCGATCCTAGCCTTGGGCCGAAGGCGACCATCGCCAAGCCTCGCCAATCGCGAGAGCTCAGTTTCAATCAGAAAGGCAAATATGTTCAACAGGCGATAAACCTACGTCGGGCGGAACAGTTGGAAGCTATGAAGAAGCGAATCGCGGAGCGAGCTCGTCTAGCTGGCATTGATGAGGATATGGATGTGGAAAAGTCATATTCTGTCCCTGCTCCTCCAGCAGTGGAATGGTGGGACGAGAGATTTATCGACGGCAGCGACTATAATGCCATTGAAGACCCATCAAAATTGAAAATGGACATCATTACCCACTATGTTCAACATCCCATCCAACTCGAACCACCACAAGAGAAGCACATGCCTACTCAGAAGCCCATGTTCCTCACACCGAAGGAACAAGCGAAGATTCGTCGGCAACGCCGCATGGCAGACTTGAAGGAGCAACAAGCCAAGATTCGATTGGGTCTTGAGCCCGCACCTCCGCCCAAGGTCAAGAAATCCAATCTGATGCGAGTTTTGGGAGAACAGGCAGTCAAGGATCCGACTGCCGTGGAGGCCCAGGTGAACAGAGAGATTGCGGAGCGTAAAGAGCAGCACCTTCTCATGAATGAAGAGCGCAAGTTGACTAAAGATCAACGACGCGAGAAGCTAGAATCCCAGCAAGAAAAGGATGCAGCTTTGGGTATCTTCATGTCTGTCTATCGGATCGATAGTCTTGCCAGTGGGCGAAACCGCTTCAAGATTGGCAAGAATGCGGAACAAAATAAATTGACGGGAATTTGCATCGTGCATCCAAGGTTGAACCTCGTCATTGTTGAAGGCGGCAAGCACTCCGTGAACAATTACCGAAAACTGATGCTGAACCGAGTTGACTGGACTGAGAATCCTGGCCCAACTACATCTGACCGCAACCGCGAAAGCGAGCCGTTGTGGTTGTCTACGGAGGATGATAAGGGTGAAGCACGAGACTTCAGCCAGAACACATGTAATTTGATCTGGGAAGGTCAATCCAAGTCTCGATTATTCAAGAGATGGGTGGGAGCCAGAGTTTGTGAGACAGAATCGGAGGTCAAGGCTGCTTTGTCCCGTACCAATACCGAGAACTTCTGGACGTTGGCAAAGAGTTTCAAGCCAGCGGAGTTCTAAAGCATAGCTAGGGGGCAATAACTTTTTATATTATTTTCAAACATGTGTGAATCATCAATTTTATTTTATGAATATATGTACTTTATCCTCGATACAATGAGCCATGCCTCAAATTTTCACAGGACTATCAAAAACTTTTAATGCACCCAATCAAAAATACGAAACCCGCTCCTAATGCAAAATATATCAAGATCATGTCACCGAGATCAAGGTGAACATAAGATGCTAGTAAATAACAGCAGATAGCAAGATCAAGAAGGGGGAGGCCCCTGGTGACCGTTGTTCAAGTTACGCAAAATATCCAACTGAGCCTTGACCTGGTCAAAGTTCATAGCTGGGTTTTGCTGTTGACCCTGTGCAGGAGCTTGCTGGGGCTGCTGGTATTGTTGCGGTTGCTGCTGCTGCTGCTGGTATTGTTGTTGCTGCTGCTGCTGCTGTTGCAAAGCAGCCAAGAAGAGAGGGTTGATGTGTGCCTGCGCAGGAATTCCAGGCTGGAAAGGATTCGGCTGAGGGAAAGCTTGTGCGAAGGGGAATTGGAAGGGGAATTGTGTAGGCGGTGCGCCTTGAGGGGCTTGTGCTTGCTGCTGGGCCGCGTACTGCTGTGCGTATTGCTGAGCAAATTGCTGATACCCAGCGAAAGGCTGGGGCATGCCATAAGCAGGCTGTTGCTGCTGGGGGTACTGTTGCTGTTGAGGGTACGCCGGTTGGCTGTAGGGGGCCTGTTGGTGCTGAGGAGCTTGTGCGGGCTGACCGTAAGAGGAGCCTCCGCTCTGTTGTTGAGGCCGACGGTCCTGGTCTTGCTCCCGAGATCCGCCTCTTCCAGCACCACCTCTACCACGACCTCCCCGGCCGCCGCGGTCAGTGCCTCTGCCACGGCCTCTGCCTCCACGGAAACCAGACCCACTGCCCTCAACTGGTGCTTCTTGGGTACCCATCATCTCGTGGAGGTTCTTCGGGCGAGCAAGAGGTGTGTATCCTTCTTCACCTCCCTCATCGTAGTTAAGTTCTGACTGGCCCAACTTCGAGGGTCCGGGGGGTCCTCTCTTAGGCTTTCCACCATCCCTGGCTTCCTTTCTCTCCTGGCGCTTTTGCTTCAGCTGCCGCTTGTAATCGGCCTCGGCCTCATCATCCGAGAACTCCATCTCATCCTCGGCGACCTCCTCGTCGTGGAAGTTCGACGCATCACTACCCTTCAAACCCTTAAGCGGTTGGGTAAAGACGAAGGTAGAGTGTCCCTCGACGTAGTAGATGGGCATATCCCTCACCAAGCCTTTTTCTTGGACTTCTGCGGCAGTTGAGAACATCACGGTGTACAGCGGGTGCTCAACTCGGCCCAGAGTTTCCGACACAACACCCATGATCTTGCGATCCTCTGAACACAGAAGGGAGCCCGATTCAAGGACTTGGTATTCTCCAGAGGTATTGGCCTCGACAAGAACGGCATTGTCAATAGCTGCTTGTACTTTGCCCAGGTAGACGATGTTCATCTCGGGGGTGATCGTGACATCCGGGACAGGCAAGACGTCCTCCGCAACCTCGTTGGTGGAACGAATATAGCCACCGGATTTGCCCTTTCCATCGCCTTCATCGTCAGAGCCACCTTCAGCCATCATCAGAATCCGGGCCTGTTCTTCGGGGGTGAGGATCGGGTAATCTTCGTCGTCGCTGTCATCGGAATCGGAAGAGCTGTCTGAAGACGACTCATAGGGGGAAGAGTCAACCTCCCATTCAGGGTGCTCTTCCTCTCCCTCTGCTGGCGCATCTTCCATCTGACCTTCTGAGGTTCCGTTTGCATTCTCTGTGCCGCTGAGCTCGGGGATCTGATCAACCTCCATCGCCTCGTCATGGGCTCCCTCCTGTTGCTGCGGCTGGGCAAGAGTCTCGCTAGCACCATTATCTATAGCATCGGTGGTTTCCTCCATTGTCACCAAGGGTTCGGCTGTCGCCTCCTTAAAGGCAGAGGCGTCTGACTCTTGCTCGGCGGTGATCGACATAGTGGGCTGTGCTGGTTGCTCAGTGGACTGATCATTGTGACCGTTAACATAACCGAGGCCTGGAATCATAGGAGTCGAGGGTGTAGAAGTCGAGGACTGGGATGGAGTCTCAAGAGCTGAATATGCTCTTAACGTTGCAGCATCCATGCCAGTGCTTGCGACAGGCGGCGGCGTGTCGGTCGTGTAGGGTTGATTCGGTGCGTGACTGTCACTGGCACCTGCAGCCTCAACGGGAATATTCTGGTGATCGCTCATAATGAATGGATAAGACCAAAAACAAGGTCTTAAAAATAGTTGCGACTGAGAGAACTATGAAAAAAAAGTTGCGGGAAACTTTTTTTGCGGATCTGCCAAAGCGGTCGCCGAACAAGCTCCGCTTATCGCTATCTTAGCGCAGAATCGCCGGAGTTAAACACATCTTCAACAACTACGCAATATGGCTGGGAAGCATTCAGGCTCTGGGCCTGCTCATAGTGCGCCTAAGAAAGCACGGTAGGTGGTTTAAGCTTGCATGAAATCTAATAGTAGCTGACCATCTCGAATATAGTCCCCCGCCCCCTCCGTTCTACCTGCCGCTAAATATCACCCTCTACGTATGCATCTTTGCCAACGGCCTTGCGGCATTTTTCTCCCCAATCCAAGACTGTGATGAGGTTTTCAACTTTTGGGAACCGGCCCATTACCTGCAACATGGATATGGACTTCAGACATGGGAATATTCCCCAGTTCACTCCATCCGAAGCTGGCTCTATGTGTCGCTTCACGCCGCGGTGGGCAAGCTGGGCTCGTTATTTGTCCATTCCAAGACCACTGAATTCTATATGATCCGTGCTTTCATGGCTCTCTTCTGTGCTGCTTGCCAGACTAGGCTATACTCGTCTATCTGCCGAACTCTCAATCCTCGCATCGGCCTCTTGTTCCTCACAATCGTCATCTTCAGCCCCGGAATGTTCCACGCGTCCACGGCTTTCCTGCCATCCACTTTCACCATGTACACATCTATGCTTGGCTTGGCTGCCTTCCTAGACTTAAAAGGCGGACCCAAAATCGCACAGGGTATTATGTGGTTTGCTCTTGGTGCAATTGTCGGCTGGCCATTCGCAGGTGCTCTTATTTTGCCTCTTCTGGCTGAGGAAGCCATTATTTCGGTACTATCTGGGTCTATAGGCTCATTTGTCTTGGCTGTTCTTGATGGTGCGGTTAGGTGCCTTAGCATCGCGGTAAGTCATAGATATATTGCCCATATAGAATTGAGGTCCGAGTTCTGACAATATCTCCAGGCTCTCGAGGTCGGAGTCGATTATGCCTTTTTCCGCAAGCTTGTCCTTGTTCCTTGGAACATCGTGGCGTATAACGTTTTTGGAGGCCAGGGCAAAGGACCTGAGATCTTTGGCGTCGAGCCTTGGACATTCTATATACGGAACTTGCTGCTGAACTTCAATGTTTGGTTTGTTCTTGCCATGGTCGCGGCTCCACTTATGGTCCTCCAGGTCATCTTCAGCTCTCAGCCCTCGTCTTTCCAGAAATTCAGGCGCTCGATGACATTGGCTGCACCATTTTACATGTGGTTTGGTATCTTCACGGCCCAGCCTCACAAGGAAGAGCGGTTCATGTACCCAGCATATCCTTTCCTTGCCCTTAACGCGGCTCTCTCCTTCCACCTTATCCTCACCTACCTTGGGTCCAGCGACCCCAAGGCAATCATTAGCCGTGTTCCAGTCAAGCTGAAGCTGGTTGGAGCCCTGTATGTCATTATTTTGGCCATTAACGTCGGAATGTTGCGCATTCTAGGAATGGTCACCGCGTACAATGCCCCTCTGAAGGTTCTGGAACCGTTGCAGCAGGTAAATGTAACGCAGACAGGAAGCTCAGTGTGCCTGGGTAAGGAGTGGTACCGCTTCCCGTCTTCATACTTTCTTCAAAACGACATGCGTGCCAAATTCATTCGGAGCGAGTTCAACGGTCTGCTCCCAGGCGAGTTCCCGGAATCACCTAGTCCCTTCGGCCGGTTAGAAGGTGCCTCACAGATCCCATCTGGCATGAATGATCTTAACCTGGAAGACCCGGAGAAATACGTGAGTTAAGAAAGCCCTTCAGATCGAACCTCGAAATCCTAACTGTATTTATAGATTGATGTCTCTGAATGTTCTTTCTTGGTCGACTCCTTCTTTCCGGGTCGCGAGCCAACTGAACTGGAACCTCACTATGTTCTCGATTCCAACTGGGAAACCCTCACTTGTTCGCGCTTCCTAGATACAGCTCGAACAGGGCTTCTTGGGCGGTTAATCTGGGTACCAGATCTCCCCTTTGTTCCACCCCAATTCCAGCGCAAATGGGGCCAGTATTGCCTTCTCCAGCGCAAGGCCGACACTGCTAGTGTTTAATTTTCATCTCGAAAGCATAGTAAATAATCCAACCAATCGAACATACTCCCCACTTTATCCCAGAGTCTTAGAATCATTGCCAAGGAATATCACTTCCCGCTGCGATAGTACGGGGTACAAGATTGTCACCAGACTCACTTTACCCAATGAGGAGAAGAATTCCCGCTAAGTTCACGTAGATGATAAGCGCCTCACCACAGATAAACTATGTCATTGCCTTCCGCGCCCATAGGCTCGTTATATGTAGCATCGGATCCAGCGGCCGGAAATGGACGGTTACTCTCCCCCTCATTTATCCCCGCGATCGCATGTTCGCCTTCCCCGGCAGATTTTATACAGATAACGAATTACTCGCATCCGATTAACGAGAAAGGCAGCTCACAGGAGAACAATGCCGTTATCGCTTTTATACCCCTGCTTGACAGGTTTCAGGCTGCTCAGGTGATACTATACACGTATTCTCTGTCAGAACACCCCAGTCCATAATGAATACATAACGCACCCTTAAACCGCATTTGTGTTTAAGGAATTGAAGCCAATTTATCTTGTCGCAACATGGTTCTAGCGATAGAATCTTTCCGGGGAATAGCTCAGTCTATCGTCCCAAGCAAAGATCTCATCGGTGCATTTCTAGCTCTCAATATCTGTGCCTGTATCATCATCTTAATCGCACAGAAATGGAACGCTTCTAGCAAACCATCAAGATCTGCTACTCCCGATCTAGAGAAGCCGGCTTCAAGATCAGGTAGAGAAAAAGTCACCAGAACGTTTGGAGGTACGTATTTGCCACTGAGAATGGTTCATTGATGCATATCTGACAATCTATCAGAATGGACACCCTCTAGTTTCAAACGACCAATGGCACAGCCATATTCGGACTGGGACGTTCACACGTCCAAGCCAATTCCCTATCGACCATTTCGATATGGCTCGTAAGCCTTTGATCTCAATCCTTTCTTGATTCCTCTAACGAAAACCAGAAAATACTTTGTCACGATGGGACTGCGAAGTATGAAATTTGATGAATGGATTGGTAAGAGTGATACCGATGTCAACCAACTATAACATGACAGCTAACATTGTCACCCTGAACCCAGAACTCGACAACCACTATCTCAAATACCACGCCGACAAAGCCAAGCGCCTCACAGAGCGCGGCGATAAATGCTACGGAACAGCACCCGAAGCCATGGACGGCGCGATCGAACTATTGGAAGAGCTGTAAGCCCCCTTATCCATCCCATATATCCTATAGCACTCAAACTAACTTCCCAAAGATGCGACTATCTCCCAGAAAGATATCCAACAATGTTCCAGAAGACCACAACAGGAATAACAAACAAGATAACCCAAGAAACCTTCAATATAACCCAACGTCCCCTCCCCGAAGACCCAATGGCAACAGCCGCCCGCCTTATCCAAGACGACCTAGCCATAATGATCGAAAAACCAGATGGAGAATACTACCTCCTAGCGGGCGCAATCCTCCTCGCCGGATTCTGGCGTCTACGCGACAAATTCGGAATGCCTTTATCAGAAATCCACACATCAGGCGACGTACCCCAATACAAAGAAAAACTCGAAAAAGGAATGAAGAATTTCTTCCGTCGTCTCAAACCCGAAGAGCCCGTGGTACGGAATAACTACTTCATTCAGGTAGATGACCAGTTAGCCTGGTCACCCAGTATCGGGTCTGAAGATGCGGAAGAAGTATCGTGGAATACGGCGGAGAAGAATCGAGCCATTGAGCATCATTTCTTTCGGTCGGAACGACAGTCGTTGAGGCGGTTGCCAAGGTCTGGGGCTGTGGTTTTTACTATTCGGACGTATTTTGAGCCTATTACGGAGATTGTTAAGCAGGATTATGTACCTGGGCGGTTGGCCTCTGCTGTTCGGAGTTGGGGGGATGATGTTTCGAGATATAAGGGGAAGGAGAAGTATCAGGATGTTTTGTTGGAGTACTTGGATCGGAAACATGATGAGCAGGTCGCTGCGGGATTAAAGGTTGATCAGGAGGGTGATGTGCGGAGTTATCCATATTGATGCAGAGTTAGAAGAGTTTTGATTGCCTTGAGTGTGATTAAATTCAACGTATATTTTGTTTGGTTCAATATAATACATCTATATAACCTTGAGAACTTGTCGATGGTTATACTTGGGCGATTGAGATCCTACATTCCCGCCGAGTAACCGGTTCTTCGGCCTTGGTTTCGTCTGGCTAGAGCCCATTCCTGTTCCTGGCGCCAAGTGCACTCGTCGCGGAAATCACAAATCCGACATTTCCAGGCATCCGAGATGTTCACTCCAATGGGATCGCGCTGTCCTCGCCACCACTCCATCTGGCTTGTGATATAAGATGACATATTATGAGGATCGAAAAGGAAGGACCGGCTTCCCAGATGTTTGCGCTCGAGATCATCCGTAGGAGCCGAGGATAAGAATCGTGCCGTGAGCACGGGGGATAGAAGGGTTGGATACTCCTCGAGGGTAGCCGGTTGGGTGTGAGCCGGGATAGATGGTGCAATAGACTCCATGTCCGAGATGGATGGGATAAAGGTGAAACGGAGCTGCTCTTTCATGTAGTTCCATAATTTGAAGAGATTGCCGTGGGTCAAAAGGATGCTCGTTGAGTCCTGACTAGCCGGTGCCGGGCTGGATGACTTCCTTGAGCCAGAGCTAAGGGGGATTCTTCGTACATCTTCCGGCGTGGGAGGATCGTCAAGGTCAAACTCTTGAGAAGAGGGTTTATCGAAGAATTGATCGTCCAAGCCTCCAACTTCAGAGACAAAGGCTTCCGTAAACGGACGTTCGGGGTCCAGGCTATACCGCGCCGCAAGGTACTCCATCGTCACATCATCACTTGTTAGCATGCGATTAAGCATGTGATAGTAAAGCTGCAGTTGGAGAGAAGTAGGTCGGAAGGATGTGCTCTTGACTGTGGGAATAGAGCGACTCGCTCTCGTCTTGACGTCCGTCATATATATCCGAGGAAGAGCATAAACAGCTGGCGAGACTGCTTGACTGGGAGGCGCTTGTTCGGTATCTATATGTTCTGCCTGGCCTAGATCCTCGAGTCTTCGTCCACCCTGGGAGGAAGACAATAAAAAATCTGACAAGGACATGTGATGCTCAGGTAAGGCAGCTTTTGACGCCTCCACATCTTCATAGAAGCTAGCAGCCGTAGCTTCAAGCTCAGAATCTGGGCATTCGTAGGACAGCTGATCAATAACACCGTTAACCAGCTCCCCATCGACAAGACCCCAGATCTCAAGCTCACGCGTGATACCATACTGGCGCAGCATGCGCAATCCCTGTATCACATTCCATATGCGAAGAGCCCATGCATCCTCTTTGGTAGTGATGTCCACAGGGACAGTAGTATAAACCTCATCTTCGAGCGTCTTATGAACCACACTCCCCTTCTTCATAGCGGCGGTCCTCTTCTTCCTCCCATGTTTCGTCAAGGTGTACCAGTACTGCAGCTCACACCATGCCGGCGAAACCAAATCGGTAACCGAGAAAGCCTTGTTAGGAGGTCTTCGAAACCGCTCTACGGGAGACCGAGGATCGAGTGTCGGCGCTAGCTGCTCATTCTGTATCCATTCTTGTTCGCGCGCAGACACACGTTCTCGCTCTCGTTGTCTGCCTTCGGTTGAATCAGAGTGCTCCACTAAACGCTTCGATATCAACGCGTTAGTCCAATCCAAGATTTTCATGCCAGTCAGCAGATACACATACCAAGCGTATTGGCCCCGTTGTCTGCGCCCGGACTTGATCTAGCCTCCATCCTATCCCCTGTACCTGTATCCTCCCAAGGCCGCTTACTCGGCGTCCAAAGTGACTGAGGCTTCTTCCTGCCCAGCACCTTAGCCCGGGCAACCGGGAACTTTGCAATGCCATCTTCAATATCCGTGACCAGCGTCGCAATTACCGGGGATTTCAGGTATCTCAGATCAGCTGGTTCGATATAATCGTTCGCAATTGTCGCAATCGTGGGGCCGGGTGTGTGCCTGGGCGTAGTGGATGGTGAAGTTGGTGTGGCGCCAGATTCGGCGGGCGCGTGCTCCGAAACAGCTCTGATGAGCAACTGATTTAGAAAGACCTCTTCGTCGGGCGTAAAGTCGGATCCGTAGTCACTGTCGGAGTCCTCAGGCCGCAGTTTTTGCGGTGGGCAGGACATGCCTGCTACTGTCAAGAGGCGTCATGTCCTAAGTGGCATGCGAGAGTTGGAGATGCGGAGTGCGTCATTGCGCGCCGGGGTTACAGTGGTGTTCCATGAGTTTGAAACCAGCCTTTCAGACCGCTTACTATATAGAATTACCGCCTACCAATATGTAGCACGCTGACTCGGCAAGTAAACATCGGTTAACACACAATTAATGTATATGGTTACTATGTGGCTTCAAAAAATGTTTGCAGTGCAAAAGTCTCAACCTGGGTGACGGATATAGAGGCTTGATGTTCCAAGTCACTTAAAAATTCTCAGAGTGTCATAATGGTGTAAACAAAGTACATCTGCGGAGGCCTGATGTGGCTGCTTATCCTCTCATAGCTGTGTACGCACAAACGCACATCTTTAAAACTACATGCGAAGAAAGGTGCCTGAGACTCATGTCTGCGTTATATATCAATATTGAAAAAAATTTGTCAACAGCAGTCTGACGTAAGGGTTTAAGTACAGCGATTTCCTTCGGGTGCCCAGGTTCGAATCCTGGTTGCGACGATTGTCGCAATGGCGCAGTGGTTACCGCGATCGCCTGCTATCCAAGCTCGACTGTTGTTTTTTTTTTTTTTCTTTTTGTCAAAGAAATGTTTTTCCCACATCAACTCAGTCTTTCGATAGATAGCACACAGTAGCTACGCAGTAAGAGAAACGAAGAAGGCCACTGTCATTACCAGAGAACCACATCCTCCGACTGCTATCAGCGTCGATTTCGGGCATACTGAGCCATGAGCTTAGGTCTTCACCACACACCCTTGCTATGCCTAAGAGGCATGATTCGGCTGTAGTATGTTGAAATCAAGCCGGGCGCACCCACTCTTCGAGTAGCGAGTGATGCTCAACTGTGCCCTTCTCCGACACCAGATATACGCTTACCCTTAAAGGAGAAATCATCCACCATGGTGACCGTTCTAGACCACTGGTACTGCAATAGTTTGGCTTTTGGTGCTCCTTTGGTGCTTTATTCGATCATCCTTTGTGTTTTCATCTCCGCTGAGAATAGCCTGCTTGAAGGATCAGAGTCTGCTTACTCACCTGATTCTTGCGAAGACAGATCACTGTCAGTAGATAGTCGAAGTATTGTCATGAGAAGGTCTATGAAAAAGGGGGAAACGCCTAAGAGGACGTTCTCTGAGAAACGTATATTCGAGGAAATCCATTATATGTAATATCGCTGGTTTGGCCGAGCCTTAGTATCTCTTGCATAGCGACACCATGTCAGGCGCGCAGTTGGCCATCTGATAGAGGTTATGTGATGATTTGGCTGTATACAAAAAAAGTTTCAGCATGCGTCCCTTATATATCATAATCTGGCAAACATTTCCATCAGCAGTCTGACGTAAGGGTTTAAGTACAGCGATTTCCTTCGGGTGCCCAGGTTCGAATCCTGGTTGCGACGGTTGTCGCAATGGCGCAGTGGTTACCGCGATCGCCTGCTATCCAAGCTCGACTGTTGTTTTTTTATATTTTTTTTTTATCATAATCTAATAATAGTTCGTTTCTTGGGTCTGTCTCTATATTGACATGCATCTTCACTCAAGTCGGTGGTGGCTGGGGAGGAATCTGAAAGCTAAATCTTATTAGCCGAAGAGACAATTAACCTTGCCTAAATTTTCAGTTGAGCAAACTACAGATGGAACCGCCCCATGCTATACAAATACAGTCATAGAACTTGAATATATATTCATCCTGGAGTGGAAAAGAAAAAAAACACGTGAAAGTCGAAGTTGTTGTTGAGTCAGTCGGCCAAGAAAGAATACGAGACGGTCCTTCGGGGGAATGGGTGGAGAGGGAAATCGCGGGGATGTTATGGCATTGGGCAACATGAGCTTTATGGGGGAATGAGTCCAGCCCTAAGTCAACTCCATAAGCCGCGTTCAGCAGGGGTGTAGACCTTCAAAAGCTCGCGATTTCAATAATGTGGTGAGCTTGGCAGGCTCGAGATTGAAAGGCAAGAGGAATGTATGGAAAGGGAAGTTGAGTAGTGTCAAAAGGTATGGTATGGGGGAAAAAGCACGTCAGCAAAACGAATTCCCGAATAGTTGCAGTTATCAGGCCCCAAGAGTAGCTCCACGGCCACGCACTGGTGCTCAGGTCAACTGATGTGAAACTAACAACCACTCGGTTTATATGAGGGCATTTCCTCACTTCTCTCTCTTTTAAATTATGAAGCTAGAAAGGGACGGGACTAAAGATTCAAGGGCTTGGGAATGTTGTAGGATTATAACCCACTTTCTGTGGATATCTTGCTTTTTGCTTCGCATCCAATCTAATCTCCACACGCATAAAGCCAATATATCGCGAGCCTTACCATCCCTCGGTATGCCACTTATCAAATATTTAAAAAGCCCAAAGCCTGGTTGACACTCTAGGAAACTTCTTATCAAGATCAGCCCAGCTCAGGCCTAAGTAGAGTAGCAATGATCAGGTTCAGTGACTGGTCATCGATCACAAGACATTTCTTAAATCGACTATAGCCTCAACTATAGCCTCGCCCTTTACTTGTACGGAGATACTCGGCAAAAGTCTGCGTAAGACTTGCATTATCTCAGTGCTTGATATCTGAGATTAATTCTTATGCGACTCCACTAATGCCTCTGCGTCTGGATTGCTGCGTCTCAATTAAGTTTTCGTTCCTTAGGTTCTTTATGCGGATACTCTGTAAGAAGTTCAGAGTCCATCGGGTAGCTCATTCCTTGGCTAGTTTGTCCCAGGCGATGGGTGATGGGTCGTATGATTTAGCTGCGTGAACTGCTAGATATACTATAATGCAATTCTAGAGGACTTTAGAATCGAGTGGGACAGGAGCCGCGTTATTCAAAGCGTCGTCTGTCTAAAGCATGGCATATAACAAATTATTTAAACAATTAGAAGAACTGCCAGTGGAATCTGGGTGCGACCACCGCCATAGCATTTAGCCACAAGAGTGTTGGTAGAAATAATTCACTCATGAGTTCTTTTTTCCGCTGCTGGCGCGGGGAAGAAGAGGGCGTAGGCTTTTGTGTTCTTTTCTCTTCCTTTTCATTACTCTCTTAGAAGTGAAAGAACTTGATATATTCGATAAGCAGGAGATAGTAGATAATGTAGAGTTTCATCGGTCCATTTGTAGCGCATGAGGGTGGGCGGAACTTGGTTTTTCTGTGGGTCTGTATACGGGTATCTATGAACAATCCATGGATCGATTATGCGAAAACGGGCTATCGGAGTCAGATCCATCAAATCTAATGCATAGAACCCCTCAATCACATTTTCCCATGGAAACTCTTCTACACATGAGATGGAACAGGTCATCTTTGCGACCAGTCTCATGCTGACTCATCCACGAACTAATCCTTAAAAGGCATGAGGCTCTCCCCACAAGATTGCCGGGTTGTTTCAACTTCTCCAACTACCAATTTCGGGCATGTCGTTCAGCGAAGTAGGCATCATGATGCAACAAGAGCCATCAAGGCGAGCCGACGAGGAGCGAGAACTAGGAATGGGCCATGTGAATAACCGCCTTTCTTTTATAGCGCCAAAGTTCTCGCCAACACAAATACCGCAATCCATGGGACCAGAGCAACACAACTTCCTCAACGATATAGCCTCTCACTTCGCCTCCTTTGAAACCGCCTGTCGATCAGGCGACCTCCACACTGTTCACGCAGTCATCTCCCCACAAACGCGCTCAAGCGCATTCCTCCACCACGGCCTAATACTCTCTCTCGAATCCGGCCATGTCGATATCGCCCGCTATCTCCTCTCAAGCGGCGCCCCTATCACCCCCAATACACCTGTACACATCCTCTCCGCACCACCAGAGCAACAAATTGCGCTCTTTGAACTCCTCGCACAGTCAGGTTGGGGCCCGAATATCCCCGGCGATTATGGAACTGTCCTTTTGCCAAAGGTAGTAACACATCTCCCAGTGTTGTGCTGGTTTCTTGCGCATGGCGCAGATCCAAATTTAGGCGCACATCATGATAGCAGTGATGTCAGCGGTCAACCGAATCCGCAATCTTGTGCCGCGCTGGAAGCGGCCTCGGCGCGGGGCTCTGTCGATGCGGTGCGGTTACTTTTAAATGCGGGGGCGTCGATTCATTATGGGACTCCGTTACATTTTGCGGCGGGGGCTTGTTCGCCTGGGATCATGCCCAGGAGTGTTATTAGCAAGGAATTTGATGCCAGTCGCATTCCGATCATGGAATTACTTGTTGAGCGGGGTGCGGATGTGAATCAGATGGGTGAGTCGAGGGTGGTTGTGCATCATCCTATTATGTATGCTGTTATGGCTGGTGCGGTAGAGCGGGTTAGGTGGCTTCTTGAGCAGGGGGCTGATCCTGAGGCGAGAGGGGCTTGGGGGAGTGCGGCGGAGTACGTTGAGATGGTTGGAACTGACGAGATGAAGAGTGTGTTAAGGCAAAGTATGATTGAGAGGTCGAAGGCGAATGGGGGGCTATTTGGGAATCTTGCGATGCGGTTCAAGGTTCGATGATGAGGTTACAGTATAAAGATAACATATACGATACTCGGGGGTTTTTTCTTTCCTTATTTAGAGGTACAGCCAATTTGCATTGCTAGCTATTCGATTTAATGAACATACTTTTCATTCCATCCTCTTCCAAGTCGAGTCTTGACTGATACATTCGATTATACAGTATGAGCAGGGTGATGAGGGCTTAGCCCTCGTGTGCTGACCTAGACAAGCATTATACCTGCAGATCTGCTGCATGGCCATTGTCTCGTGTTCATCATGTGATGTCTGTCCAACTTCCAAGATCGAGGACATCACTTGATACTGTTACCTCACCTTGAGCTAACACTGAATCATCCATGAAACTTGCAAGAAACCCAGTACTCCCTGTTTTCAAGTGACCCAGCAAAGCCACCACAAACCATGCAGTGTACGTACAGCTTCCAAGATTCTCTGTAAACCTAGGTACGTACTATACAAACCCAAATCACCAGGGACGATCACTCACAGTCATAACATGCCACTATCCAACTTCAACCCCACTCTAAAAATAGCACATTTTACACGAAACGCACGAAATACAATTCCCTCTCGTCCACCACCCAAAAAGCCACCTTGCAGCCACATACACAAACATCCCACTTGTAGTGAAGCCCCACTCACCGAAAACAGCTTAGCACAATACGTGTCAGTCAACTTAGTCATCAAGACTGTAACCCGCACCGCCACATACCGCCAAATACAATGCTGGCCCCATATTTCCGTTATCGATAACAAAGTTCCATACACGCGGAATACACGCACTCTGGTCCGGGTGGGTCCCAACATGTGGAAGTTACATAGCTACTACGGGCAATAATGTACATTCATTGCTGACCCGGCTTAGAAATGATATTCACATAATCGCATAATCTGAAAGCCACATACTCCACCGGTTCCACCTGTGGATACCAACTGGGGAAAGCTGACAACCAACTAACTGGTAACCCAGTTCTTTTCATCATTTCCCATTGCCCTGATAAACATGGAGAAAAGAGCCGGTGGATTCGTGTGACCCTATTTTGTGTTTTGATTACTCTTTCTCCACTTTCTATGTACAGATAGGTGTACTTTGGACTTTTTGCTCTTTTCGGTTGGGTTGAATTGCGATATGCGACATTGGGCCTATCGTTCTTCACTTCGCTTGGACGGGATGTTCGTTTGCAAATTCAATTGTGAATTGAGTGCCAATCGGATGGCATAGACGGGGCTTACAGTACAGTAGCTTGGATTTGTACGTCCTTACATATTAGCAGGCTCTTGGATAGATTAATTATTTAATTTCTGTTTGATTAACCTTAGGTTTCTGATATGAATCATTCATGCCTGAATTCGCGTCATGTTGATCAAGGGATCGCGTCAGTCTCGTATGTACTGGGAACATGCTCGATACTCGTGGGCTCATCCTAGGCCGTTATCTTGATTTTACAAAAATACCACCCAAATAGATATTTCTTGCATCTCCAGATTAGGATGTATCCACAGACAAAGGACAAAGACAGATAAAGTTGAAACCGAGTCATGCATAACAGACTTAGTCGTAATTCGCAATAAAGTAAAGGGGCCATCTCTCAAACTCCGGCTACGAAAAACGATCTTATTCCCATCTGCAGAGAGATAACCCCCACAAAAGAGCAATTACTGCAACTACGGTACTTAAGATAAGAGATAAAGATTGGTAAATGGGGGCCAGAAAAAACAAAAGATACTACTACTGGTTACAGTTGCGGGGGCCATTTACTAACGCCTACGGAGTACGGAGTTACTGGAAACCTCAATTTAGGGAGTTCCATTGCATTTTCTTTTTCCCTGTTTCTTCTACAGGGGTGGAAGCTTACCCTGCATTATTACAACGTACCTAAGGGGGGTATCCGATCGGCAGTGCTATTGGAGACAGGGCTTATTTTGCGTTTTTGTTCCGCAGGCCGCGGGCGGCTACTGTACCTAGCTGGGATGGTGATCTGTGCAGACTGCCGATGTTTCAAGTCCTTTTGTGGATTGAAGCAGCTAAGGTGGGGCTAGTGGGTTTTTGGCTTAAGTGTTCCAAAGTACCTTGCCTAGCTTAGGTTATAGATGGGATATGTTCTCAACTTAGTACACATTAGACAGGTTTAAAAGAAGGTAAGATAGTTGATCTGGATACATTGGAAAGAATGATTCGGTTTGTTTAAGTCAATGTTCATATCTATCAAAAACTATACAATCCCAATCGCTTTCCAATAATGTACACATTTTTTTTCATATGGTACAAACCAGTAAGAAAAATAAAAGAAGCCAAGCTTGTACGGACCTTTTTTAGTATACAACACCGCCCTTTTCAAATAACAAGAGCACCAGCCAATGCGAAGGATAAGTGCATGCAAGAGACATCATCGCGTGAGATCATAAACAATGAGGAATGATAATAATACAGAGTCGTAACAGACATGAAAAAGCTGCAAGCGAAGAAAACCCACAAAACAGGCCTATACACAGTGATACATGTTGGAATTTCTTTTTTTTTGGAGAATGTGCGAACATGGATCGGTGAGGTGCCAAGATACCCGCACACGTCAGGCGAGGCAGGGGGGTATGGGGAAGAAGCCATCCACAGGAGAGTGGGGTGCGTCATTCTGTGTTGTGGTGATTCGATCATCGACGTATAGTCGACGTCAGCCCGAACGGTGGAGGACACAGCTGGAGAATGACGTCAGTGGCCGTAGGGTTTCAGGCCACAAGGCCTCAATAACCCGCAGTCCGCAGTCCCGAACTGGAAGAAGGCACCGACGATCTGGGACAAGATGTGGGTCCAAGTTCTGGATCGGGACGCAGGTGACGTCATGCGTCAATGGTAGGAGAGACAGAGAAATAAGGATCCCAAGGGTTTTTTTTCGTCATCATGATGATAATCATATCCCCCTTCGGATGATTCAGTCTCTTCCGCGACGACGCTGCTTGCCAGGCCAATCAACTTCAGGGTGCACAACCCGCATGTGTCGGGTGAGAGCATCGTTGCGACTAAAAGTCTTCTCTTCGGTGCACAAGTGGCACCGCACCTTTAGCTTGCGCGCGTTGTGGATCGTATCCTCATGACGAGTCAGATCGTAAGGTCGGGAGAATACAGAGTTGCAAGGTTTTCCGGTAGATGGGTTGAGACGCTCGCACTTGTGGGGGCCAGCCTGAGAATTGCGTAGCGAGGTATCCCGAGTAATGAGATGACCTCCAGGAGATGTCTGCCGATGCGCCTCCCGCTTGTGTCGCTGGAGCTTAGCAGGCGACTCGAACCGAAGGGTACAGCCATGGTAGGTACAGGTGTAGGTGCCCGCGTCTGAGTTCGTGTTGGTGGGCCGGGAGATTGGCTTGGCGTGAGCTTGCGGGGTCATCTCCGCAGAAGAGTGTAGATCGCTGCCGTTAGAATCCACCTGAGGGAGGGTGGAAATGAGCTTCGGCTGCTGCATGTAGGTCTGCGGGTGGTGGCTTTGCGGGGTGAAAGCAAAGGGTGCTTGCGAGACCGGGGCGTATTGCGAAGGGAATGCATCCATAGTCAAAGCGGGCTGGAGCGATGATCCGGAACTCTCACGGCGCAATCCAAGAGCATCGCCAAGGTTGAAATCAGCCTGCTGGGGAGGGAATAAAGGAGCCATAGCGGCATCTTCGCCCTCGTTGAAATCCAGGACCGCATCTTTAGGGGACATAGTCTTGAGATCGCTCTGACTCATCGTAGAAGCCATGGACATGCCATTCTGAGACATAGGGACACTTGTAGCCATTTGGGATTGCAGACCAGATGCGTTCATATCGGATGTGAACGGAGAGTTTTGGCGGAAAGGTGATCGTTCGCGCTTGATCATGCCAGAAACTGGTGATTGAGAGCGAGCAGACATATGACCCTGGTTAGCAGCCTGTAGTCGGTCGGCGATGACATTGCGAGGAGTCATGACATTCTGGCCCATCGGCTTAGACATCTGAGGAGCGGCCATCATGGCTGGGTTATAAAGCTCGTCTTGGTAAATATCGGAAATAGTGCGATTGAGCTTGGTAACACCAATTGGCATGCCAGAGTTACCGTTGGCGTATTCTGGAAATACGTCGTCATGTAAGTACTGGTCCATCCACCGGTCAAATCCAGGAAATCGGGTCTCACCATTGGTCATCGACTTGGATGCGTCTTCAAGCTCGTCAAGCGTAGTCTGCGGGGTAACTGGCGAATTCTGGCTCACTGTGGAAACCGAAGGAGCCAGAGAATGCGAGTACTCGCCCTGCTGGTGCTGAGGAGGTGATTGTTGGTGCTTATATTGTTGATCGATAATCGCCCTTCTCATAGCAGACTCGGCCTCCACACTGCTACCATCATTGATCAATGGGTCGTAGTTTTGGAATGCTGGTGCTAAGAAGGAGTTCTGGAGGGGAGTCTGCACCGGTGTGGGGAGAGGCTTGTTAGAGCTGTCCGAACGACGATGTTGAGAGTTTGGCGCAGATCGTGATGAGGAGCTGGGAGAGGCCTTCTGGGGGTAAGAAGGAATGCGAGCGGGGCTCAACAGCTGCAAGTTGCCATCCCAAGCTTGGTTGCTGGGAGCGATAGGCGGTTGGGCCAACATAGGCGAATAGTATTGAGGGTATTGTGACAAATATTGCTGTGATGATGGCGAGGCGGAGCTCTGAATGTCCAAGGACGGGTTATAGGAAGAAGCCGGGGTCATCGAAGGAGCCCCGTAAGACTGGCAGTCGACCGCCTGGGGAGGGTGAGTAATGGAGAAGGTCGGGGAGGAGAAAGTAGGTGAGGAGGGAGCGGAAGACGGCGGAGAGGCGAATTGGTTCGGTTGGTACTGAAAAGGTGGTTGCAAGTAGGATTGTTGGTACTGCTGGGAGTTCTCAGCGAACTCAGGTGGGAACTGATCGTCTTGTATGATGATGTCCTCTTGGTTGTATGGATCGGTGATGAGACCCTTACGTGGATACATAAACATTATGTTATCACGTATAGGACGTCAGAGAGTGGAGATGGGGTGGGAGGTGTTCGCCACCGGGGATGGCGAGCTTTTATATGTTGGAATTCCGACGGCTTAAGGTCCGAGAGATCCTTGGGAAAGACCGATCGATTGGCTTTGGTTCTGGGACCAAAGTTCTTTGGGAAGAGAGAATAATGCGAAGAGTCTGGAAACGTCGAGAGCGGCTCGTGATCGTATGTAGATGGAACCGGTTGAACCTTAATATGGCGAAGCCTGGTATTGGGAAGGTCAGAAAGTCTGGAACTGGGATGACTCGGAAGGAAGATGAGTCAACTAACCTTTGATATTATAAGCGAGTAGTAATATCGAATATATAATCAATGGGTGTATGAGTAATGGGGAAAGATCGAAGATGGAGGAAGGGAAAGAGCTGGGTCTTAAGAAGGTAAAGGACCGCATCGTCCACATACAAGTACCATGACGTTAACCCAAATCGGGGCCGCTAGGGAGACCCAATGGGTTGGCTTAGTGGAGACCACCACACTTGCGTTATCGGTGACCCCGAAATATTTCGGTACCGTGACGGCTCGATCGGCGGTAATTTATCCAGTTCGGGCGATAGCGGTTCTATATCGTACGAAAGGATTACCCAGCATACTGAATACCCAGAATGTACTGCGGACTTGTCCTACCGGGGTGTGTCGGACCCACTGATCTGCCGGAGACTGTCTGTGCATGATAATGGGATTTATTTCAGACGATTTCCTATTTTGGAATTTCAAAATCATTTTTCCATATTTGTATTTCTAGATTTTTTCTGGCTTTTCTTTACCCTTTCGGTGTGCGATTTTCTTTCTTCCCCCCCCCCCTTACAGTTTCTCTGTGGTTTGGGTGGGTTCTCTGAAATCAGCCACAAAACTCCACCTACGTTAATCGACCTAGAAAATCTTACCTGAAGAAGTAATCAGGCATCACATCATTCTTTGATTGAATTGAAATCATAACCTACAGTACAAAGCCCAAAAAAAGAAATTAAATAATTATTACTAGAATAATTCTGCCTGCACGATCCCGGTATCTCCGAAAAGAGTCATAATTCAAACTACGAGATTCGAGAATTTCCCAGAATCTACCAATTCCTTAAGCCCATGCATGCAGCTTCGCTTAGAAATGGAAAAGGATTGCTGCAGACCGAGCCAATCGACAAACTAGTACCGAATAGGCGATGAGAAGCTCCAATTTTAGGACCCTATTCGACAGGGCTGAGCCACACCTCGAGAAATTTTTTTCCGCGTGACCTGATCGAGTTTAGTGCCGTACTACCCGTACATTGCTTTGATGAATAAAGCCGAGGTCGAGCATGTAAGCCACAAGGGCTGCGCCACACACGCGGTTCCCCCCTCAGTTGGGCGTCTTCATTTCTGGGGTAAATTGATTATAATATCTTGAGAAACATGTACATTGTTACGCTTACGTGGGCTAGACCTATCTAGGAAGGTCATTCGAACTTGATACCTTTGTCTTTCCCGTATAGGCTGGTGTATACTGTCAATAATAGTCGGTTTCGACCAAGCCCGAATAGCCCCATTCAGGAATTCAGATGCGAGGTACGGTGTCAGCTGGTGTTAAGAGGGTCAGCTGACCGAGACAGAGGAACTCGGTCGTAGGAGCCTCGTCCGGCGCCGTGAAAGGTGAGACTATCGCTTCGGCTACACTTCCAAAGAACCATGGTTAGGGGTCACATGGCCCGTGGCCTGATAGTGCGTCGAGTCGAGTCTCCAGTTTTTGAGTTCACATGACCATGAATGCCATCGGAAGTAATAATTTACAATTCAAAACCGGGCACAAAGCATGTATTATTCATTGATGACTCCATTATTTAATACACTGACTCAGAGAATAGCTCTTTTGAAGGGAAAATTCTCCCTCTGATCCCTGCTCGGGTGACTCCCGAACGATTGTAAATCATGCGGACCCATATGCCTAGAATACCGATTATAATAGCGTGGTACGGTAGTACCGAGAGGTAAAACCGGCTGTTTGACTTAGCGTGTGGCATGCAGCCATATCCAATTCCAAGCAATATCAGATCGGACGGGCGACCTCCGGGGAAGGCCCGAGTGTCGTTGGTGCCGCGTCCCGACCGGAGATATCTCCCCAAGCGCGAAATGTCTAACGGCCTAATTACGCCAGGTGACTCAGGATGAATTTTTCATGCAGCTAGTAATTATCCTGTGCCCGATTCGTTTCCGTTTCGCTTTCTGACTAGATTCTTCAGTGAAAATTTTTCGGTCGGCGTTAGTAGTTTAGTGCTGACTCGGCCGGGGCACCGAGACGCGGGTCCGGGGTGCCGTGTCTACCGAACAGTCTGGACCAGACGAGCGAGAGTCCAGAATTTCAGATATAGCGATCACGACTACATTCCTCGTTCTTGGCATTTTCGGCAGCCGGATGAATGTTTTATTCTTGGATCCGAGACAGAAAACGTGGCCCTTGTCTGGGGAAATGTGGCGAGATCTGGACCGCTGGCCCACCAGCGGCAGTTGCCCTATGGGTTTAAAGTATGTACTATACGAAACAAAATTCCATTGCCAACACGCAAGGCACCACGTATACCGAGTATGGGCACCCTGTCATCATCTCGTGTCTGTCAAGCTGGAATATGGGTCCCTGCAGGTGCAGAAATTTTCTTCCTGCCACGAACGACAAGGGAAAAAATTTTTAACTTGTCAGCACCTTAATCGAAACGGAGAACGGCACCGAGTCCAGCCCTGCGAGGGTTTGGCGATTGCAGCGCAAAATAGTAACAGGCTAATGCAGAAGAAATTTTTCAATGAACTTGATTGGTGGGTTTGGTGCTGCAGGACACAGCCACAACGAACGGTATGTGCGAAACACCGTGTAAAGGCGCTAGTGGTATTGTGTATCGGGTCTGCAGGGAAAATCTCGAAGCCACGAGCTTCTGGAATCCTTCTAGCGGCCTCCGGCAACTCGGCACCGGGATTCTCCGCGTTGCATTCACAACTCCGCGGATGAAATTTTTTTGAGGGTTGCATCTTGATTATTTGATCATCTTTGAGGATTCTTCCCAGCGTTGTAGTTTAGATGCTAGTGTCAGCATCTAACATTTCCCTTGTATCCTGTGCCTTGGCGGGTTAACAGACCCTGCACATTCCCGACTTATCCCGATATGGGCGTCTTGATCTATACTTCGAGTTTTGACTCAGATACATAAACAGTGTACACATCATCCCTGGTATTTTTAGATTACCAACCTCTCGGTGAACCAGAAGGTTCTGCGAGTAATCAACATGACATCTGTAAGACACGCAAGGGATCCCGAATGCTTCGAGCGGCTGCCTACGGGGTATTTTGTAGACTATGTCTCTGCATAGCCTAGATCGATGTCTCGTATGTTAGAAATTCGATCTGTTTGACAAACTAGGAAGGCCCCTGTCCTCGCCTAAGGGGCCTGGACCTCGACTTTCATTCCTGCTACATAGCTTGGAAACCAACTTGGCTTGATTCGATGGAGTCTAGAGCCGAGTCTGCGTGTCCTCAAAATTTTCATAACATACCAAAGCTGAGCCTAAACCCTGTTCAGTCCAATCAAGCCCATTATCTGGAAGTGCTGGGTTGCGCGAGACGATCGCTTGTCTCTGATAGGATAGTAGGCTTTGTTTCCCTCGTGGTGGCGCTGTGGGATCCCACAACCCACTTCGATCTGAGACACGTCGTGGTGAAATTCGTAACCGTGCCCTCCACTCATTCAATCTGACAGTTACAGTAACAGAGTTTCAGGGGTTCATACTGATTACCAGCGGAGTTCTATCGGGTTTGTACTGCCTGGTATCGCTGTCATGCCTGTCATTTTGTTCATGTCCGCCATAGACAGTGGATGAATCACATTTTCACATGTAAATCAGAATTTTCAAAACATGGAATGATACATATGCATATCATCTGTCACAACAGCTGATTTCCGGTATTGGACGTATCGCTCAAGATAAGCATCCATGGATCTTTCAAGATTAAATTATCGCGGGGAGGGTGGCACCGAGGATATCCACCTGGAAGCCACAGGGGATCTGCCGAAACACCAAGGCCACCAAGTGATCAACGATAGATCTGCAGATCGATAATAATTCTTCTGCCTTTTTCCACATCTCAGCCTTTCTTGTCGCGTGCTTGCTGCAGTGGCTTTAGAAGCTGAAAGAATGCAAACTTCAAGGCATCACAATAAACTGTGGCTGTACAGCGCATTCGATCACGTGGTTTGTAGAGTGCACTGGCCATCAAGCTTATGCTACCAAGTCCAACAGTCAACGTAGCTATCAACCTTGAATGAGCGTCAGGTCTGCCAAACTCGCACAACATGACTGTGTCTCAGGAAGTTGCGTCGTGGAATTCTCCCTCGCATATTCAAACCTCGCAACCACCGCAAATTGGTGATAAAGCACCAAATTCCCGGCATTTGATGTTTCCAGCTGATAATGGATATCCAACCATATTATCATTCCTTCGGCACTGCGGGTGTCCAGGTCGGTGATTTGCCGGCGTTGTTTTTTATAAAGAGGTCAAAACTGACCCAGTCCTCTATCTGAAGTCGCTGAAGTAGCGTTCCTTGAAACGCGTACTGCGGCCGCTCAGCACCCAGATATCAACTTTGTCGCTGTATCTCACAGTGATCAGCAGTCAACTGAGAAGTGGCTGAGTGCTGTTGGTGGTGCCGGCTCTGTCACTGTTATTGTTGATGCCGACCGTGAGATCTATGCAAAGTGGGGGTTGGGTGTTGTCTCCTGGAGTCATGTTCTCAGTCCATCGGGAATGCTAGCAGTCTTCAAGATGGGGAAGGACAAGGGTATCTGGAATCGACCAACGGAAAGTGGCAGCAGATGGCAGTCTAGTGGGTATTTTGCAGTTGACGAGAGGGGCTACGTGCGATGGGGAGGTCCTGCGGCCACGGTTGATCAGGTGGTTGATACTGCAGAGGCCATTGATGTTCTGCGAAGGTCGCGCCAGGATTAAATTAACTTCCTTGCTCGGCTCACTTTATACCCTGAGGTTGTGTTACCAGCGTACATATCACAATTGACTTCAGATCTTAGACCAATTTTCCCAATACCTGCTGATATCCGTGCAGTTGTCTCTGATTTATATTTCAATTCTCACTTGTGTTTACTCCCCTATCTGTCCTTTCATTTGCGGGCGCAGTTGAGGTTTGATATTCTCTGCCTCGCTTTGCCCTCGACTCTATTGAAGCTCTCGGGCATTATGCGATCTACCATACTTTCAGCTTTGTGTGCCCTAGCACTGGTAGCAGATACCTTCGCTGTGTTTATGTTCGAACCCGAAAACTCAACTAATATACAAGTACGTTCTTTGGTACATCCATGGATAAAGACTCAAAGAACAAGCCTCTGATACAAAGATCAGTCGTCCGACCGACTTCCCTCTGTCCAAAACTTCGTAGCCTCCCAGTTGACCAGCAACCACGGTTCCTGGTGGACAGGTTCTCTCATCACCGAAATGAACCATCATCAATTCTTCGCACCTCTCAGTATGTGAGCTCATACGGGACGCAGGACTTTTAACGTGCATCCGTGTTGGACCTGGACAGCCTGGAGCTTCATCTCATCGTGCAACTCGGCGACGGATCGTACCCTTCCTCTGACCCATCTCGCCTTCTCGTCGGCGTTGGCGGAGACAGCTTCGAGGGCATCCCCGATGACAATCTCGTCCCCATGCGCACTCACGGTACACATGAGGGCATGACCTTCGATCTCACCTACTACCGTACTACCCTGCCGCTGGTCAAGGGTGGTCCCGATATCACCTCTCACGATCATGGCAAAGCCTATAGTTGGGGTCTTCCCGCCTGCAGCACTTATGGCACAGTAACTGTCAAAGACCAGACGATTTAAATTGACACTCAACATTCCTTGACCTGATACGGTCGACGGTGGGGTGGTGATTGTCCTTACACCAGCTGGACCTGGCATCATCTGCACCTGCCCGGCGGGTTCAAGCTCAGTATCTAGGCAGGCGATGGCGAGGGTGATGTCACTGGGGAGCACTTGGCGACAATCCGTGATCGAAAGGGATCCCAGACTCTCGCCCCTGTGTCAGTGACTTCTCATATGGAGAATACTTGGTACAGCCCTGTTGACAAAGAGACCTGTTCTCTTTCTTGGGTAATTCACATTCTTGACTATATCTCGAGGCTCATCCTTGCTCCTATAACTGCAGATCAACTGATTGTGGGCTCTGCTGGTCCAGATACTGCTTACAGGGGCTTCGTCACCTTTATTGGCGTCTTCCTATCTGCCGAGCTTGCGGAATTGGTATGGTTGAGATATTGAGTTAATAGGATTACGATGCTTCACACTTGTATTCACTTGGAAAGTGCTTCGGAGGGAACTTTTAGTCTCGGTGTTATGAGTCAATTTGACCCGTCTATGTAATGCATTCAATTCCCACATAGTGAGGTCATGTACCATCGTACTTATAACTCATGGATTTGAACTACCGTCATTTGTACATGCTACTATACTGAGTCCCTACTGCTATCATGGGTACATACTGCCATTCTATACTGCTTGGAGGTAAGTGGATATGCCTTCATCAAATCTCAAGCTTCTCTGTCGAGAGTAGCCGAGACAACTACCTATATGTCACCGTCAGCGAGGACTATTCTCTACTATTGCTCTACCTTTCTGGGAACTTAAGCCATACTAAGGGGGTTGGTGAAAGACACGACTCTATTTTATATGGCCATTCCGGTAAAGCGAATCCGGCATCGGTCGCTTTGTGCGTGGCCAAAATAGCAACAGACATCAGTGCACAGCCTTGTGACTCCTCAGCTACCCCTTGTTCACAAAAATAATTATCATTCCACTCGAGCGTATCGTTTTGTGACTCTGCTTTGTATATTGCGGCGCTGGAGAGATGTTCTGGTTGGGCAGGCTCTGATGGTTCTGATTGGTCGGTCTGATCAAATTTCCTGATTTGGGGGTTCAACTTCCGGAAATGGGGGTTCGACTGTGGGTTCCCAACCCATTTGAACTTCGCCAACCGTGGTGATATCTTGATTTCCTACAGTCGCAAATTTGTATTTTTATTGGAGATGAGCTTGATTTTAAGAGTCCTTGAGTAGTGCCGACTGGCTTGATATTAGTTTTGTACATTTTGGATTCCAATTGTCATTTTTCGGTATCAGGTTGTTACTTCGATCGTTATCCGATATATATTTACTACCCATACCTACAACATCTACATCAACATGATTCACATCACGAAAATATATTTTCATATACAAAAACTATAATGCCAAAGTCACAAGACATGAGCAAAAGGCAACATATACATATGGAAAAACCAAAATTACTCGGTTTAAATGTACAGAAGCCTCTAAAAGGCAGACGTGGAGTATGGTCAACAGACGGCCTGGAGAACACATGGGCCAAAGACAACTCGATATGGAGAAAAAGTATGAGATAGAGATAAGACAATTAGATTAAGTATGCTCTAAGTATACCAGCTACATACGACATGAACCACACTAAAAAGATCAAGAGATTACGTTCCCAACGAGCCTTGAAAGGACCAGGTGGGGTGAAGATCAGAACGGATGAATACTGCAAGTGCAGCGAATCGAGAGCGCGACAAGCCCCACCGTAGACGCGTAGGTAAACAGTCCTGGAACGCGAGTCCCACCACCGACACGCAGAACCACGAGCGCGCTCTTGTCAATACAGATTAAATGATTTACGAAGAAATAATTGAGTTTCAAGTTAATTGTATTCGTATCGGATCAGCTCACTATGGAGTTTAGATCCCACCATTCGAGTGGTGCCAGCCATATGATGAGGCCGCTATGATACAGGAAAGCTCAGAAGCGAACACTAGCAGACCCATAGTGGACGCGAAAAGTGGTAGTCGTTGTAAAAAAAATCAAACCCAGAGACCCATGTCGATAAGAAAAATCAGAGAACACCCCAACGTCCCATCATACCATTTGTAACAACCCGGAAAAAGAGAAAAGACATGACACGCTTAGCCACCGAAACCGTAGAGGGTACCTAAGAAAGAGATGTTAGGAACGCGTTGCAAAACAGAAAGGACGCGTTGAAACTTACGGCCCTGGCGCTTGAGAGCGTAGACAACGTCGAGAGAAGTGACGGTCTTGCGCTTGGCGTGCTCAGTGTAGGTGACGGCGTCACGGATGACACCCTCGAGGAAGGTCTTGAGGACACCACGGGTCTCCTCGTAGATCATGGCGGAAATACGCTTGACACCACCACGGCGAGCGAGACGGCGGATAGCGGGCTTAGTGATACCCTGGATGTTGTCGCGCAAAATCTTGCGGTGACGCTTGGCGCCACCCTTGCCGAGACCCTTGCCACCCTTTCCACCTGTTGAACGCGTTAGCAAAACGCGTCTTGATGGATGATGCTGTTTCCCCGGAAGGGAAAGAAGGTTAAGGTTGTGAAGACTTACGGCCAGACATGATGAATGTATTAAAAAAGTGGGGTTTTTGTTGGAAGAAGAAAAACCGAAGTTGTTGGAGTTGTCGAGAATGGATAGAAGGAAGAAAGCGGATGGAGGGTTCTGGGGCAGGAGATATTTGTATCAGGAAGCTGTGAGGACGCGGGGACAGGGAAATCACGCGCTAGTGGGCGGATCAGCCAATCAGCGTTGAGGATCCGATCCGGCAGGCGTGATCTACCGGGCCCCTCTCACCCGAGTACAGTCTGGATGCCGCCGCTTAATTCTGATCCCTCGTTCGGTACACCTTCAAACATGTAGATCAAAAACCGAAAAAAATCAGTAAACATTTAGACAGGATGAGGAATGCTAGGAAACGTGTAGATCAGGGAATCAATCTCCTAGGTGGCCGGGATCAAAGAGAATGGACCGGAAGTATTCAAGATCCGTGATCCTGCACGCTGATTGGCTGATATCACGGAACGCTCGCTTAGACGGGATTAGGTGACGGGGACCAGCAATACAAACGGATCAAACCCAGAATTCCATCACTAGGTTTCCCGCCCATACTTGGTTGATCTGAATCACGCATTCTGATTGGCTTGTTTTCCCATCACCCAGATCACACCCTTTCCTTCTTCCTACAAATACTCTTCCCCCACCCACTTCCAACTTCTCTTTCTCCATCCACTCTCGACAACCACAACCAACTTCCATCAATAAATCCACTTTTTCCATCAAATCAACTTTGGAAAAATGGCTCGCACTAAGCAGACTGCCCGTAAGTTGAACTCTCACTATCGTTTCTCTCGCTGGCCTTGCCCCCCGCTTGCGATCGTTGCCCATGTCTTGAGGGCAACTTTCCATTTTGGGACAAGGCTAGACACGAGAACGCGTCTTGTTTCACAATAACATTTTACTGACATGTCTTTCCTTCACAGGTAAGTCCACTGGTGGCAAGGCTCCCCGTAAGCAGCTCGCCTCCAAGGCCGCTCGCAAGGCCGCCCCCTCCACCGGAGGTGTCAAGAAGCCCCACCGTTACAAGCCCGGTATGTTCATCCAACTTTAAATTACCATCAGCACTTTCAGTTACTAATTTTTTCATCATCAGGTACCGTCGCTCTGCGTGAGATCCGTCGCTACCAGAAGTCCACTGAGCTTCTGATCCGCAAGCTCCCCTTCCAGCGTCTGGTCCGTGAGATCGCCCAGGACTTCAAGTCCGACCTCCGCTTCCAGTCCTCCGCCATCGGTGCTCTCCAGGAGTCCGTCGAGGCCTACCTCGTCTCCCTCTTCGAGGACACCAACCTGTGTGCCATCCACGCCAAGCGTGTCACCATCCAGTCCAAGGACATCCAGCTGGCCCGTCGCCTGCGTGGCGAGCGCTCTTAAATGCGCTGAACATGGCTGATTTTTCTTGTTGACTCTTCCGGGAAGGCGATACGGGGTTTTTCTTTTTATGAATATGGCGATACACTATGGGTTTTGCTTTCGAATGAATGGGTTTCGGGACCGGGTTGGTTCCTGAATTTTGCTTTTTACTCTGCGATATTCCACTGCCTCACCCTCAATACGGGAAGGCTTAGTGGTGGTTTATGTACATCAAAGGAACAATTTCCTCTGCGGATGCCTTAGCGTGCACCGTTTTATGACAGACGCTCAAATGCGATCTAAGACTTAAACCATTCCTTCTTTCCAAGCTTCTAGTCTGTATAACCTGTAAAATGACGCGTTGGTCTTGTTGTGATCCACCGACGCGTCGATGCCCCCTCCCACCGTGCAGAGTACCCCTCGCCCTGTATCTGTATGAAACGCATCACGTCCTCGTTCACTGTCATAGCCATCGATCTGGTCAAGGATGAGTCACATCATCACGCGTAGCATCGCCATCCCAATGGTTTCTTTGACACAAAGTCCCAAGTCTACAACCATTGTCTTACGTACATATCGCTGCCCATGTAGAAAGGCCTACACGTAGTCGAGTCCCGATGACCAGGCTCCCTTTACCGTCAATGAAAAAGCATTCCATCTATCCAAGGCTCTACAACACAAGTAGCATTCGACAGCCGTGTTCTACTTAGTTTCTTTGACTAGACAAGGGGTCTTTAATTCTACCCCTGCTGCTACGGGTACCCCTCATGAATGCATCCGACCCGGGCAACAAGGCACGCGTCATCAACGGTCCGGACAAGGTATACCGTCCGGAATTTCTTTCCAATTGACAAAGCAGATCCGGAAATCAAGCAAAGACTCCTCTACCGACTGGCCGTTTCCCTTCACCCCTTTCCTGCCTCTGCAGGTCAGGCTGCGATGTCTGGGACGCACTGGCCAACACGTCATCATTAGATGTGGGTCTTGTATACTCTGATCCTATTTTGTTTCTTGATTTTTCTCTGAACAAAGAATTTATCTACAAAGTAGTTAAAGAGTGCTATTCTAGGAGCTTTGAGGATTCCACTGATGCTCGTATTTTGATAAGATCACGAGTTATGACTTCAGGATCATAGATATACGTCCTGATCTTGTTGCAGGACCCATCCTAGAGTGGGGCAGACGAAATGGATCCTAGAACGCTAACGTCGCGCTAGGCCAGGAGTTCAGGCCTTAGGCAGGAACTAGTTTACCCATGATCACAAGACCACATCATATAGGCAGCAGTGACTCACAACTTGTGATTCACTTGTTTTTGATGGTTCATTTGCCACTGATGATTCTCGGGGTGGCGTCGCCGTACCTTCGGGTTCATGATCTGCCCTGATTTGAGACGTGGATCGAGGTGTTGTATGCTTTTTATTTCTTTTTCACAGATCAGCTGACGGGAGTTGCATGATGGAGTCGACAATAGACTAGAAACTGGGGGAAAGAGTTGTATAGTTAGTTGGCTCACATGACTGTGGAAGGCAAGGCTTCAACCCTCCATTTGTACATTTTATTTTCCCGCAATTAATTCTATCCACATTTGTTTTGAAAGTGCGTTCTAAAGATTTTGCCGTTTTACTTTGCGACGAAATGACTGGCCCGTTCTACAGCAAGCCTGAGTCGTTTGAAAATGCTTCAGTATAAAAACCTACTTGTGTAAGTCATGAGTGGACGTATGATCATGAAAAAAGAACATTCGAGGTTTCCCCCAGTATAATTGAAGTATCGTTTGTATTAAGCTTTTTCATGGCTTTGCAGTGCTCGCTTGCTCATCGCTTGTGCCTCTGCAAAACGTAGAGAGCGCCAAGATTTTTGACTATTCCGAGTGTTGATCTATGCATTAGTTCTAATGCCTTCTCGTATCCTTAAAATGCTCGCTCGTACATCACCTGGGCCCCCGTAAGTTGGCCTTGACGCCTATAAAGGTTGCCTAGGTTGTTGACACTGATAAGCGCTAATATATGCTCCGATCCCCATGCCTTTTCTTGGCCTTCCATCGCTCGCGAGTACATTGCCTCCACCTTCATCCACAAAGACATTTGCTAAGCTATCAGCTACCTGCAGCGTTATCGGATGCTCCAGTCCTAATTTCCTCTCGTAGCCTCGAACGCTCGCATAAATAGCATATTGGCCTCCAAAAGCCGGCGTTGATTCCGATACAGGCTTCCCAGGGGAAGTAGAGCATCCACGGCTTTGTCCATGGGTTCTAGAATCTCCTTTTCTGTTAGTAAAATATTGGCATGTGTAATGAGCCGCCGTTGTGTGATCCGAAATTCGCGCTGATTTCAGTCAGGCACTTGCAGCGCCACGTATTTCATCGCAGTCCAGGCCATTTCTATATCAAATTCGGGATTTAGCCCATGAATGATCCACGAATGAACCCATTCATGCACACTATATGTTTGCGACTCTACCTGGCGTGATGCGGTAGGCGAATCGGCTGCAACAAGCCCATGGCTGCACAAGAGTCCGAAGACTTTATGGATTGCGAGTTTATTTTTCGTGAGATCTTGCAGCCAGTTTGGCATATTCACACTGCTTTTTTCTAATAGTTCATACCATAAGTCTTTGTTGTCGAAATAAACCCATTGCCGTAGAAGCATAGCCGCAATTGGGCTCTATCGCTTAATGTACCTATACGAAAGATTCCACGTTGAGAATAATGTTTGGTTGTATGCAGCTAACAGCGGTATTTGTTCGTGTAATTGCTGCCAGGGTTCATCGTAAAATTGAAGGTATTCTGTGCAGGATATTGATAACTCCTTCAAGTACGCCCCAGCGGTTGCTAAGGCTAGTGGAAGCCCGTCAAGCCGCCGTGCAATATCAAAAGTTGCTGGGTCTGCTCTGCGCTAGCGGCTGGTAAAGTTTAATAATGAGAAATAATCACCTTGCCTCAAGCCCTTACGACGAGGTCGGGACGCTAGGATCTCCAGAGAATCATTTATATTGGGCAGTTTGCCCAAGAAGATAGGTTGACCTAGATTTACCAAGACGATCGCGTAGTCACACCAACAGCCCCGTGGTCGGTCTTTGGCAGATATTGGCGAAGACCAAACGCCTTAAAAGGTCATCGGCCTCATTGCTATACAACTCTGTATTGGGGCTAGAGGCATGCTCTGCATCTTTAGCTTTGGAATTTTCCAATAGAGGACTGTCGTACTTGTCATAGACGATCAACAATCGGTCATTTGTTGTCTCCTCAAGCCAGCCTTTAACAGCTCTGACAGTCTCTTCTAAGTCCCGACTATCCAAAGCACTTGCAATGTATGCATTGGGCGGGTGATGGTGCAGAATCCACTCAGCTGAACGAGCAAAGCTTTGCCTTAATGCTGTTTCATCTCTGGAATCAAGCCAAATAATCGCCGAGTATTTACCTCGATTTTGCTTAACATATGCAAGCGCTAGTTGTGTCATACCAATGCCACCCAAGCCGTGCACGATGGCAGTACGAGGTCCGACTGTTTCCTCGAGTATAACATGCAATTGGCAGAGCTCATCTTGTCTCGCCACAGACGGGTATTTCGGAGAAGTCAGGAATATTGAAAGGAAGCCCAAAAATGTTAGACGTGAGTTGAAACTTGTTAATCCATAAATTAGCTATGAAAGTGAGATAGAACCGTCCAATTCCTCTGAAAAATTGAAGGAATACTTCAGCGCCTCTTCAATGGACATATGAAAAACAAACTGCCTTGAAAAGCGGCAGCCACCGTACCCGTGCCACTCGTCATTCTTATGCGAATCTCAATAATCGGAGATGCCTCGAATAACCATACATGGATAAATCCGCAAGGGCTCCTGCTGCCTCCGTCTCGAAGCAGGGCACACCGTACTGCTGGGCCAATTCATTCCTCTTCTGAGCATCTTTCATGACCAATCCTCCGGAGGCTATTGTACCTCTATGTACGACAATGAACGAATCATCCTCATCCACCGATCGCTTGTTACGCCGCTTTGGATCACATCCACCTTCGCATAGCGCCCTTGCCTGCTGATGCTCATAGTTTGATGGGTAGAGATGATCATTTGCGGCGCCAGGGAACTTGAAGCTATGAAGCATTCGATTGTTTATTTGGATCCTTTGTAGGTTCTCCCGAATCGGATCATGATCCATCCGTTGACGTCGCACGGCCATTTCTCGCGTAGCGTTAAGGAGGGCTATTGGCGGAGGAGCGAGAAAGCCTTTTCGTTGAAAGTGGCCCGATATTGCCTTTCCATGGTCGTACTGCACGGCTCCGGAGTGTATACCTGTCGGTTCACTAACTACCACATGTCCCAAATGAATCATTCCAGATTTTTTTTCTATTGGAACACCGCCCCCAATCCCTACCAACAGGCCATATTTGGGGTTTGGGAATGTCATCCTCATTTTTTGAGTAACGACAGTGGCTGCGGGGTTGTTTCCTGCTCTAGTTAGACCGGCGATGACGACGTTATGACCATTAATGCTGCCGATATTGTAGATGTTCGTGTCCCCACTTGATTGCGGCAAAGGTTGGTGCTCCTCATCTAGCATCTCCATAGCTGCGATTACTTCCACCTCCAACGGAAAGATCCACCCTACTCTGTAGGCATCATGGCTCAACTTTCTTGGCGGTACCTTCGAGTGGAGGGGTCCTCGTACCGATTTCAGATGCAACTGTGACGGGTAGAGATGAACTATATTTTCTCTGAGAGAAGCAATGCGGATTACAAAGATGCCTCACAAGCAGCTTTCTGCATCGGGGCCGTAGTGGAGCGGCGCTTAAGAACCAGCTCTGCGAGGCCGGACAGCTACGCCCCCTCGCGGGCCGTGATAGCATGAGTAGACTGCTACTTAGAGAGGCCATACTGCATTATTCTTTCACTGTTCCTAGCTACAGTCCGAATATGAGGGGCTTAGGGCCTGAGGCATTCTAGCAACTTGATACATCAAAGTAAGCAAGCCATCCATCACGTGACAGTCTATTTCTCGTATAACGGTGCACATGGTAGATTTGTGAGCTGGCTTGCAGATTTTATGCACCTTGATCAGCCACTTTCACTTGTAGTTGGTTTATAGCTTGTGTCGATGCCTGGTATACTAGGTGTTGAGTGGGGAGCCGGATAGCCCGGAGGGAGGGCATCGACCCGTTTGTGGAGAGAAGGGAAGTGGGCTCAATGCATCTTGGAATTGCATCTAAATAATATGATTGTACTATTCGGAGCGGGCTTTTTGTGTGTTTGAAGTGCTGCCAGGTGTATTCCAAGTAGCCAAAATCGTGCCGAGCGGGACCGTATTGGAAAAAAGTACTACATCTCTGGAGCCACGCTACCTTCGATTCCTATGACGCCACAATTTACGTATTAGGCATTAGGTAGTTCTCCACGGGCAGAGTGGAAGCTCCACCAAGCTTAAGTGTACGTATGGGAAACGTGACTTCAGTTGATGTGAACCTTATACTACAAGGCTAGCACAGGCTTTTGGATTTGTTGTATGCATATTGTGCACATGTGTCATAAATTATAACTTTCGGTACATAAACACAAGCTGTGATTATAAATCCAGAGATTAATTAATGTAACATGTGGAGGATCCACTCCCTGTGTACACTTCAACGCACCTCAGCGGAGCCCTTGTTTCTTTGCGCCTCAAGGTGATTTGTAAGAAGGTTCTCTAACCTTCTGGAGTCAATAGTAAACCCCGAGACGGCGGATCGGGATTAAGCCGACTATCTGATGACGATGGTGACGGATGTGGCCCTTGCATCGGGAGCTCTAAGCTCAGATCCGTTCAGGTGCGAGTGTCATCACACCGATGCTATACCCGAGCTCCAAGCGATTTTGTCGTCACTGTTTAGACAGCAAATCTAACATACATATGACGATGATTCGAAGATCTTTGACAAAAACCTATAGCGTCACCGCATCGTGTCGATTGATCACGCCTTCTACTGTAGCAGCAGACCCAGCACGTCGTCTTCGGATGAATCTTGACAATGTTTCAGCTCCCGACCAATCACGGGCGTGCCGACTACCCGGTGCATAAATCAACGTGGCTAGACTTCTTCGCACAAATCACGTGGCACGGACGTTTTCATCTCTTGGCATCAAGCATTGCAGGATTTTCATCCGAATGAATGTTGCCTGAAGACAATCCTCTTTGTTTATTTGACGAATGTTTTCATATAGAAATCAGATTTGAATCAGTCAAATTCCGGCGATTTCGATTTCCGGGTTGTTTAAAGTCATGTCAAAGCAGCCCATGGTTATATACATCAGAGGTTCCAGGGTCTTCGAATGGACATGGCAAGCTCTGTGGTGGCTAGTGGGTCCTAAAGTTTTATGTTTTTCCATTTTTCCCAATCCAAGGACGGGAGCAAGGGGTATCCGTGTCGTTGCCAAGCGCTTTCTTCTTCGTAAGCGATGCATATTAATGAAGTAGCATGTATAAATTCCTCAAGTGGGCATAGGTCCGGACTTTAACCTTGGATGGCAAGGAAAATAGAAAAAAAAATTTACGCCACGAGACCTGACTCGTAGTTCAGTTACCGTTATTAAATAGGGGCCGATGCCCCATATTTCTGATATCCTTTCTCTTTCGACTAAACTTATCTTAATCTTTCCATAATAAAAGGTGGCGACATACTTCACATACCTCGGCCCTTCTCCTCCCCGCAAACGGCCCATACTAGAAAAAACTGGGAATCACGAAACAAACACCCCAGATTTATCAGTGAATTAACTAAATCCACAACTGCCTCTCGACATCGGTCCCATCAATCACACGACTTGTCGAGCTATACTGTTTAATACTGCCCATCATGGCAGGTGACGAAAAGAACCACGATGTCGCCAATATGCCTGCAGCTCTTACCAAGATCCCATATTGGCGATTGGTCACAGATCAAGGTGTCGTCACCCAGGAAATTATCGACTACCCGTATCCTGGTTCAGGAACCGAAGACGATCCGTATGCCGTGACATGGATCGACAATGATCCCCGCAATCCTATGCTTTTCAGCGAGACGAAGAAATGGTCCTATACTATGGTGGTGGCATTTGCGACTCTAGCCGTCGCTTTGGTCTCTTCTGCGTACACTGGTGGTGTTTTGCAGATTGAAGAGCAATTCGGTATTGGAGACGAAGTTGCCACGCTTGGTGTCTCGCTTTTCGTCCTAGGTTTTGCCGTTGGACCCGTGGTTTGGGCTCCTATGAGTGAGCTGTTTGGTCGCCAGATTCTCTTCATTACCACATACGCCGCTCTCACAGCCTTTAATGCTGGTACTGCCGGTGCGCAAAATATTTACTCGCTTATTATCCTTCGTTTCTTCGCCGGTGCCTTTGGATCCTCGCCTCTTACAAATGCCGGTGGTGTCATTGCCGATATGTTCCCCGCTAGACAGAGAGGTGTCGCTATGAGTGTCTTTGCCGCCGCTCCTTTCCTTGGTCCTGTCCTGGGCCCTATTATTGGAGGTTTCTTGGGAATGAACGCTGGTTGGAGATGGGTTATGGGCTTTCTAGCGGCCTTCTCTGGATTAGTCTGGATCATCGGCTCTGTATTTCTGCCTGAGACTTATGCACCCGTGCTCCTTCGGCGCCGTGCGGAGAGACTCTCAAAGCTCTCGGGTAAGGTTTACCGGAGTAAGGTTGATATTGATCAGGGTCCGGTCACTTTTGGTGAGACTTTCAAAGTTGCTTTGTCCCGCCCATGGATTCTCTTGTTCCGGGAGCCCATCGTCTTCCTGCTGTCTCTATATATGGCTATCATCTATGGTACCTTGTATATGTTGTTTGCGGCATTCCCTATCGTCTACGAGGAGTACCGTGGCTGGAACCAGGGTGTGAGTGGATTGGCCTTCCTTGGTATCATGGTTGGTATGCTTCTCGCAGTGCTCTACAGTCTTTGGGACAACAAGCGATACATCAAGACCCAGGACCAGCACGACGGCTTCGCACCCCCTGAGGCCCGTCTGCCACCGGTCATGCTTGCTTCTATTGCGATCCCAATTGGCCTCTTCTGGTTCGCCTGGACCAATGCTCCCTCAATTCACTGGTCAGTCAGTATTATCGCTGGTGCACCCTTCGGCTTCGGAATGGTGCTAGTCTTCCTCGGTATTATGAACTACCTGATCGACGCATACACCATCTTCGCCGCCTCCGTCTTGGCCGCTAACTCCGTTCTGCGTTCGTGCTTCGGTGCTGCCTTCCCTCTTTTCACCACCTACATGTACAACAACCTAGGTATCCACTGGGCATCCTGCATCCCTGCGTTCCTCGCTCTCGCCTGTGTCCCATTCCCATTCTTGTTCTATAAGTATGGTGCTGCGATTCGCCAGCGTTGCAAATTTGCCGCTCAGTCTGATGCTTTCATGCGCAAGATCCAGGAACAGGCCAAGACTGTTCCCGAGGAAGATGAGAAGATCACATACGACCGCACCGAGGCTCCTGCCCCAGTCGACGACTCTGTATCCAGCGACTCCGATGACGAAGCTGTTGTGCAGCGCACCCGCAGCCGTGCTCACTCCACTACTTCTACATTGCACCGTGTGGCAACTTATGAGGGCAATCCATTTGATATGGACCGTGTCAACACCAGGGAGTCCTTCAAAAATTAATCATCCCCTATCACTTACACGTGCGCTTGCAGGGCCATGAAAGGTGCTCTTGCCACATAATCTTAGTCTTCACCCCTTTTATCTCGGAGTATTCGTGTTGTCATTGCATTTGATCGCGGAATCTTGTTGTCTTTTTGTCTACTTTATACCCTGATGTTAATCTCACTTGGGGATGAGCTCATGTATTTACGCATCTTAAAAAACGGCGTTGCTATTAGAGGCTGGAATATAATGACTTATTGAACTGGAAGAACAATGCATTGACACGGTATCGTAAGTGCGTAAACAACATACATAGATCGGACTTAAACTTTCGGGCTCAATCGGGGAATCACGGCAGAGGCCCAGTCCGAGTGCCGAGTCGTAGTCATTTTGACCTGATTTTAAATCTTCATTGCATTATCATTCCCTTTTTGCTTATTTTCTTTTCTTTTCGTTCTTTTTTTTTTTTGCCATTCCTTCGTCTCATAGAGGAGATTTATTCGTTGACAGTCTCTGTTCGAATCTAAATCGCCCGGTTAAGTCCTCCGGTCATCGGTCCTCGGTATTTGCAGTTCGTCCCTTATCGCCACAATCGGACATCCAGCCCGATAGGCTAGGCCCTTTTGCCTTGGGATTATCCTTCTTCTACTGTTGCTCTAGCAATAGATGAGCGTGCTCGGTGTATTGGAGATGATTCCCTTCCAGAAGGGACTCGCCGCGCACGCGTCGACTTTTGCGATCGCTCCGCGCCCACGGCCTATTACCCCGGTGCGATTGCCGCTGCGCCGGGTGCGCCAGCCACGACGACACAATTCTGCTCAGGCCTCGAAGCCTGAGATTCCCCAAAGGAAAGCTGTGGAGGACGCGACACCTCTGAATACACATGGAAACCCGGCTTCCAACCCATCGTCGTCGCCGTCATCCGCTCCCTCACCGTCTTCCCCCCAGCCGAATACCGCTGCTGCCGCCGCAGGTGTAGCGGCCGCGCCGAGTCCTACAGTGACTTTGACAAGATCCCGGCGCATGGGTGAAATAATAAAGGCTGGACCGGTTGGGAGGCTTGGAAGGCGGTACGCTCGTGCGCAGAAGGAACGGCCATATCGGACGCAGTTGTGGAGTTCAATTGTTATCTATCTGTGCGGTGACTTGAGCGCGCAGCTGTTTTTCCCTCCAGATCAACCTGCGCCGGCAAATGACAATCGGGATGAGTCCAAGACACCTGCGGAGTTGAAGGACGGGGATGACAATAAGCCGGGCTTTGGGAGTAGTTATGATCCGTGGAGAACAGTCCGGCACCTGATCGTGGGCGCAGGTTCCAGTATTCCGTCATATAACTGGTAAGTGCAAGCCTCGAGATATAGTATAGAGGTCTATAAGCTCGGCATGAGTAGCTTGATCCAGATAAACTAACTCTCGACCAGGTTCTGGTTCCTCCACAATAACTTCAACTTCTCGTCCAAGTTGCTCTCAATCTTGACTAAGGTTTCCGTGCAACAGATAGTCTTCACTCCCGTTTTCAATACCTACTTCTTCAGTGTGCACTCCCTCCTCGCAGGCGCCACCTTTGAAGAAACCTGGGAGCGCTTGAAGAAGGCCCTTCCTGTAAGTATTTCCAACAGCGTCAAACTTTGGCCGGCTGTTACGGCATTCAGCTTCATGTACGTGCCGCCAGAGTACCGCAATGTCTTCTCCGGAGTCATTGCCGTTGGGTGGCAAACGTACTTGAGTTGGCTGAACCAAAAGGCTGCGCGTGAAGTGCAGGAAGCTGAAGCTGCGATTGAAGCCGCCACATCATCTGCGAGGGCTGAGAATTTGATTCCTGCCGGGCAGGCCGCATAAAATAGCGTTGTTTGAATTTTGACTCTGCATGTATAGATTTGATGTCCCGACTGGCGTGGGGCTTGTCTTTTGAAAAGTTGCATTTCGCAGATACCAAGTTAGACCATAGATTCCGCAATAGATCAAGCCTTTCTTATTGTTTCCCTTCGATTTGAACCCGTTTTACTTAGATTTGATGTCAATTTTCTTTGGTCATAACTCAATTTTCTACCTTCGAGAGACCAAAAAAAAAAACAGGTTCCTCCCACTTTCTTGGTGCCTCCTTGAAGAGCATGGCTTGTCTGAGGGGATATATTGAAATATGTTGAGTTGGAAAATGAAGGCTTTTACTTTCTGCTTTTCTTGCGTTATCTCGATGTGATTCTATGGAGTCTATGAATTCTGCTACTGTATCGCTCTTTTCTGTGACTGAATTCTTATGCTCTCTTAACTTGCTGGTGTGTGCTTTTTTGACCTCTGTCTTAATGCGTTTCTCCTTTTAAACATACGCTCTCTTATGACGTGTGCTTTGTTGTGCTTTCTTTTCTCCACTAACCACTGTTCTACTTTTCTGTTTTTCCATCTTCTTGAGCAGCATTGTGATATTGTTCTTGAGCCCGAGGGTATCCTAGGCGCGGGTAGCATGGCTAGCACCTCGAAATATCACGCTTCTATACATCCCTTATATAGCTCCTACGGGTGACTGCTCTGGGTCTCTTGTATAGCTTGCGGTAGCCTTTCTTTTTTCTTTTTCTTTTTTGTGTTGCTGTATGAAATGTGCTGCTCACGCGCTCTCAGCTAGGCAGCGGCTAAGCCGCAGTCGAGTGTTCCAAAGGTTAGGAACGACGAAACAATGGACTACTACCTCAGTAAACCACTAGGAAGAAAACAAAGCTTAAAAAGGGAGAAAAAAGATATAAAAAAAACAACAGCCGAGCTTGGATAGCAGGCGATCGCGGTAACCACTGCGCCATTGCGACAATCGTCGCAACCAGGATTCGAACCTGGGCACCCGAAGGAAATCGCTATGCTTAAACCCTTACGTTAGACTGCTGTTAGGGATAATCAATCCTACACTAATATATATTGCTTCAAGGCCTAGTCCTGATCTGTCTTCTATGATCTACTTAGAGTCTTTATTGTAGTATCACTAGAGTAATTAAGTATAAACTTAGACTAAATGAAAATATTTTCTTTTCTAGCATGTAGGTATGTTACTTAAGATTAAAAATCATGGAGACTACTAATCCCACATAGATTGTTACAGCACGTCTATAGAAGGCCCGTAGAAGAGCCTGAGAATAGGCGAACGAGCGCCTAAGAACACTTCTACATGTTACAGTTCCTACCTACAGTGGGACGGGCTGGAGAAAGGTGACCTAAGTTTGCTTGTGTAGCTGATTAGATAAGCCGCACAATAGAAGTAGGATCATAGGAGGAAACCCCCGGAGTCCCCCAGTGATTATATATCATCAGTTTCATCAAAACAATTCGCGTACTCATACGCTGCTCATGTTATCACTCTTATCCAACCCAATGCCCAGGACACCCGTCCTAACTTAAATCGTAGCTAAAGCGAAGGTCCCCGACTAAACGGTAAACTAAGCTGGTAATGAGATCTAAGTGCGGGTGCACTTATGGTAACATCATATTACTTGCCCTACCACTTACTCTAACCGCTTCACTAAGCACTCACTGTTATGCTTATATATCCACTGACTTTAGAGCATTCTGATGCACCGTGCTTACTCCACTGGCTAGAATGGCCTCCATTCCCTTAGCAGCGCCTTAGCTAGGGCAATGAACAGCGAGGACGAAGTTAAAGATAAAAGGACAAAGTAAAATAAGCAAGGGCCCTATAGAGCAAAGAGACTTGAAGAAGATGGACATCCTTATGCATCATTAGCCATAATAAAGAGGGTTAAAATAGGGGCTGTTTTTAATTAAGCCTATTATAGAAACCATAGAAGTTAAAGTATGTAAAGTTAACAGGAATACAAAGAAAAATATAAGATGCAAGTTAGGAAAACAAGCGCTCCACTATATACCTTATTTGTGGCGAAAAACCTTAACAGCAGTCTAACGTAAGGGTTTAAGTACAGCGATTTCCTTCGGGTGCCCAGGTTCGAATCCTGGTTGCGACGATTGTCGCAATGGCGCAGTGGTTACCGCGATCGCCTGCTATCCAAGCTTGCCTGTTGTTTTTTTTTTATATTTATATTTTTTTGGCCGAGGAAAAGAATACCTACGAGGCATCATTGATGAGGTCGACCTGGGTGGCCATGGTGGACCGCGATAACACGCTCATGCACGCTCATGATTTCTGCGTATCTCTACCAGTCTTGCTCTTCTTTTATTTAGATAAATGAATCTTATGCAAGTGACTTGATTAAGTCAAGCCATTGGAAACGATAATCTACCTGCATATACCCGCTGGTCATTCATCGTTGTACTAATTCATGTACAAGCTCCCAAAAGAAGCCCTGATACACCGGAATCTCGCGCTATAGCTCTAACGCGTACCACGAGGGTAGATGGGGGGAAGAACTGTTCGCAACGCATTCGGTGACTTAGTACAGATGGAAGCTTTCGAACTGTGCAACGTGACGGGCTTCTAATAATTTAAACAGAGTGATGTATGCGGGACGGATTGGCATAGATCGGCAGGTCTTAGTGATTTAACCTCCGCAGCAGAACCCCGGTAACTATACAGGAACCAGTACAAAAACAAGATAGGCTAAATTTTTAATATGTAACGTAATATTTCATCAACAATAAGGAAAGCCGAAACAACTTTTTAGTTCGGTCTCTTTCGACTTGTTCCTGAGGAACAGCGCTGGAATTCCGAAATTTAAAGGATTGCTAAAATGCTTATTCAATCGATTTGACACCCATGACCGCATCCTAGAAGTCGTTAGTGTCCAGTTCAGGTGAGTCAAGGGGTGAGTGCTTACTCTAGCGACGTTGTACAGGGGTGTGATACCAGTCCAGTGCTCAAACTACCAAAATTATTAGCATTGAAATCATAATCAAGTGCAGTGAAACATACCTGATGCACGCCTTGACCAACAAGGACCTCCAGACCGGGAATGGTCTTCCAGCCCGCAGCGGCAGCCAGGTCCATCAACGCTGTCACGGAAGGCTTGTAGGCCATCTCGAGGAGTACGCGAGGAGACCCCTCGGATTTACCTTCAGTCTTGGCACGCTCGAACATGTGGGTGAGGGTCTCAGCCATGGCGGGATCAATGGGACGGTCAGCAGGGATAGTGCCGACAGCGACCCGGGGAACGGTATCCAGCTGAGCGTGGTTGTCCACAACGCGAATGTTGTAGCTGGTAGGGAAAGTCGAAACCATACCCTCAAGCTTGCTGGCAGTGCGTCCGACAACGTAGATCGGGGAGTAACCCATGTGGTGAAGGGCAAAGATGGCAGCGCGGGCAGTACCACCGCCGCCAATGACCATGGCGCTGTCACTGCCTGTTGAACCGTAGATACCCTCATTGCGCAGGGATTGAATCATGCCCTGCCAGTCGGTGTTGTAACCGACGAGCTTGCGCTGGCCGGCGTTGTCCACGGGAACAATGGTGTTGACGGCACCGATAATCTCGGCCTCCTGGGCGACCTCATCCAGAAGAGGCATGATGTCGAGCTTGAGAGGGATGGTCACGGAGGCGCCGCCAAAGTCGGGGGCGTGAATGAAGTCCTTGACATCTTCCACATTGGTGGTCTCGATACGTCCATACTCATGAGGCAGTCCCATCTCGGCGAAAAGGGTGTTGTGGAGAGCGGGCGATCGGGACTGGGTCACAGGAGAGCCAAAGATAGCGTACTTCTGGGTCTTGAGCTCACCCATAAGCGAGAGGCCTCTTCGGATCTCAGTTGCGGACAGCTGACCGGGTGCCGCCTTGAAGGGCAGGCTCGGGTGAGACACAGGGGTCATGAAGGCATTCAAAATACGGCTAAGCTGACCGTTGTCACCCATGTTGATAGCAATCAAGGGAATGTCGTGTGCCTGCGCTGCCCAGTTCTTGAACTTGCGCAGAGCAGTATTATCATCGAGGCTGTTGGCAACGCCGACGAGCTTGATCACATCACCGTACTCGAGAGCGCGATTATAGGATGGGATCCAAGACATGTTGCTCCATGACAGCTTTCCAAGTGGGTCGTGGTGAGATGCGATGATCTTAGAGTGACCCTTCATCTCGGTGACAGCGCGGAGCATCTCCTCAGGGAAGGCAATCTCAAGATCCACAAACTCAGCACCGGCGCGGAAGGCTAACCGGTACAGTTGCATAGCAGCATCATGAGCATCATCGGGGAAGCGACCGCCTTGGCTCTTGGTGCGGATAGTGAAGATAAGGGGAAGAGAAACGCGCTTCCGGAGGAAGGACATTTGCTCGTTGACATAGTCCACAGAAGGAATGTCACCATCCGCCTTGGGATCCTTCAGCAGGTCAACCCGCAGCTCCACAGCATCAGATCCAATGCAAGCTTGAGTCAGAATCTCACTGCACTCACGCAGATCGGGTAGTGTCAAGGAGACGAAGAAACTGTGCTCCTTCTTCTTGATGGCCTCAAGTGGATCGACTTGACCGGTAACCACCTTCATGAAGCGGTTGAAGTCTTCCGATGCCAGAGCAAGTTCGGATGAGTCAGAATGCTGGCTGTAGTACTGGATGTTGCTGCATTGCTGGAACCAAGGCTTGCGGCGCAGCCACACGCCCATCATGTCCTCCACGTAGGCGGGACGGGTCTTGTCGATGTTCAAGAAATCCATGACAAGCTGGATATCGCGCATGACCAAAAGAACATTGCCCTTGCTCTGGTGCCATTCAGTAAGAAGTTTTCGCGCCTCAGGCATCTCAACCACACCACCACCGCAAGCGAAAACATGTCCGTTTGGTCGATCTTGCATACAACGCTTAAGAGTAGCGAGCTCTGCATCACGGAATCCTTCCCAGCCGCGCTGCTTAATCATCTCAGGGATAGTCATACCCTCAGTCGCCTCAAGGTCGTTATCAAGATCGATGAAGGGCCGATCCAAACTCTTGGCAACCCAGCTGCCGGTGGTAGTCTTTCCAGCGCCACGCATGCCGATGATGAAGATAGATGCACTGGCTTTTTCTTCTTGAGTTGTAACAGCCGACTCTTCTTCTTTCAACTCCTTTCCGTCAAGGCTCACACCCCAGATCTGCTTCAAAGCGTCCCACCATGCCGGCCAAGTTTTACCGACACATTCCTTCTCGAGGATGAGAGTGGATTGAGGAGCAACAAGGGACAAAACGCTGAAACTGAAAGCGACACGGTGATCATCGTAGCAGTAGATGCCGCCGGAGGGCAAACGAAGAGTGGAGCGATCAATACCATCGATTTCAAGACCGTCATCATGTTCACGGCAGACAACACCAAACTTAGCCAATTCATCCTTCATGGCCTTAATACGGTTGCATTCCTTGACACGCTGGTTTGCAATTCCGTAGATGCGAGTTGTGTGATTGGAGCCCTCACCTCGGGCGACAGCTGCAAGAACAGAGGCAGTGAGGAAAGCATCAGTCATAGGCTCCATGTCCACGTTGGGCAGGGGACGGAGAATGCCACTGCTGGGTCCGGTGACAGTGGTGGAGCTGTCGCTTTGCTCAACAATGCAGCCCATAGGCCGGAGAACATCAACAGCGAAACGAGCATCACCCTGGAGCGACTTAGAGCCAATGTTGGGAACGGTACACTTTGTGCCGGTGATGGCCGCAATTGCGAGAGGGTAGGTGGCGGAGCTAGCATCGCTCTCAACGACGTACTCAGCAGGGTTCACGTAGTGGCCCTGGGGAATGTGGTAGGTGTGCTCCTCGGTGGTGGACTTGACCACATCGATACCGAAAGATCGCATCATGGCGGTGGTCATGTCAATGTATGGCTGAGAGATGGGCTTGCCTCCAACCAGTCTCAAGGTCACAGGCTCCTTGGCGTAGGGAGCACACATGAGCAGCGATGACACATACTGAGAAGAGACCTTAGCAGCCAAGTTGATGTTGCCTCCAGCAAAGCCACCAGAAGCGGCAATCTTGAGAGGCAGACTGCCCTTGCGTTCCATGTACTCAACGCCAGCGCCGTTGACAGTCAGAGCATCTACAAGATCGCCAATGGGTCTTTGCTTCATTCGGTTGTTACCGGTCAAAATGCTTGAGTCAACAGTGCTCGGTGTAGCGAGAGTGGCCACAGTGGTCAAGAATCGGGAAGCAGTTCCGGCATTACCCAGGTACAGAGATGATGGGCTGGCAACAATGTTTCCACCCTTTCCATTTACAACGAGGACCTCACCCTCTTCTTCCCAGGAGAAGGTTGCAGCTCCAAGACGCTCCAGAGCGTTCAGCATGACCTCAGTATCATCGGAGTGTAAGAGGTTCTTGACACGGCAAGTCCCTGAACCGAGGGCAGCAAGCACCAATGCACGGTTAGAGATAGACTTTGATCCTGGGGGTGTGCAAGTCACGTTGAGAGTCTTGGGCACACCAGGGTGAACCTCAACGCTAGGAGCTAGAATAATAGCAATATCTTGGTTCGAGACGACACTAGCCTTGGGCTCGTGAGTGCGTCCAATGGCAGACAGCAGGACAACCTTCTTCTTAGGTCCGTCGTTCTTCTTGTCAAGGGCCATGTTGAAGATCAGCTGGTCGACAGAGCAGTGCTTACCCGCAGTCAACTTGCGCACACGGGAGTCCTTCATCGAAGTGGGGAGACCATAGGCTGAAATACACTTAACGATACGGGCCACCGCAACACCCTTAAGAATTCCCAGGTGCCGGGCCAGCTCAGCCTCTTTGACCATACCAATGGCAACACACTCTCCGTGTAGGATCTGGGGGGTCAAAATGGCCTCAATGGCGTGACCAATGGAGTGACCCCAGTTCAAAAGGTTTCGGAGGCCACCCTCACGTTCATCTTCAGACACAACGAAGGCCTTGTGGCGAGCCGAGGCCAGAATTCTAGCCTTTAGAATGTCACGGATACCGTCGAAACGGCCGTGGCCAGGCTTAGCCTCGCTACGGACAGCATTCAAAATGAGATCCGCGTTGTCCTCCAGCGCAGTGAATTCTTCTTCACTCGAAATTGCGGCAGTCTTAATAACCTCTGCCATACCGTTGATGAACTCGCGCACAGGGAGAGTCTCCAAGAACTCAAGATCGATGTAGATCCTTGACGGCTGCCAGATGGCGCCTATCAAGTTCTTTCCCAGAGGTGTGTCAATGGCAGTCTTGCCTCCAATAGAGGAGTCTACCATGGCGAGCAGAGTAGTGGGGACCTGAACAATGCGAACACCGCGCATGTAGGTTGCGGCGATGAATCCAGTCAGGTCACCAATAACACCACCACCCAGCGCAATAACAACTGTATCACGGCCACATGGCGGGCTCTGGCTCAGCATCCAATCTTCAATGTCGGCCTTGGTCTGGCGGGATTTTGAGCTTTCACCGGGAGCAGCATTGTAGACCAAAAGACGGGGAGCGGGGGAGACGGAGGCGGCCGCGGCTTCGAAGGCTTTTTGGAAACTAGGAGTATAGATGGAACCGAGGTTGGTATCGGTGATGAGAACGTAGGTGGTCGAGGGCAAGCCGTTGACCAGGTCTGCTGCGACGTAGTTGCGCCACAGACCAAAATCAGCGACAATGCTCTCCCGACCTAAGATGCTGATCTTGGTGGGCTCAGTCATTGTGGAGGGCACAGAGGGTGTCGTGATGATGTCTGGAGGATTGAATTCGACTCTCAATTCATTCTATAATTGTTTTAGTATAACCCTCTTTTCGGTGACTGAATTGGCGGGATTTCCCCCACCGACGGAGCTAGCGACGCAAGGTGCGCACAATTTTGGAAGAAATCGAGGCTAACGCCTATGGGAAAGGAGCGGAGAAGACGATTGCTTACCTGGACTGCTGTACAAAGTGTCAGCTTATGAATTTTCAAGAATTGTGACCGGGATGTTAGAATTAACAGTCAATTGACACAATTAATTGCACTCCGACTTCGCGGCAGTTCGGTCCTTTACCGCCCGATGACTCAGTGCGGCCGGCTACTAGTGCGGTGATTATTTACTCCACGATAATTCATAGGTGATCGTCGAGAATGTGACTGGTCTCTTATCTGGGGAGAATAATTGATTTGCCCCCTCGCATACTTTATAAATACAATCCTTCATTACCAGGTTGCTCATTGCATTGGTGTGGTTGGCTGAGCCCTAATGAATGGCTCTCAGGGTTGCACATCTCACCTACTAGTCACATACAAAGTACTACAAAGAAGTAGATCTTCTTCACATCCAATTGTCTTGCGTGACGCAAAAACACAAATAAGGTAGATGTCATTTGCTTTGTACATTTTTGAAGTAACACCAAACGCCTTTTCTATCATAAGCCCCCATGATCAATTCCCCATATGCTCATGAATGGGCAGCATTCGAAGTGGAGAGTTCACTCCACTAGTAACGTCCGTAGCCTCCACCGCCTCCACGATTTCCACGGTTTCCACCTTGGTAATGGCCTCGTCCTCTACCTCCACGGTAGCCACCTCTGCCGTAGTTGTCTTGGGAGCCATAGTTCTGGTGTCCACCATACTGGCCCTGTTGACTATTATAGTCTCTAGGGGGATACTGATGGGACATCCCACCACGTGGGGGTGGGGGTGGGCCTCGGGAGTAGTCACCAGCACCCTGTTGAGGGGGCACCCATCCGGGAGGCATCATCGGCATTCCACCATGCTGGCCAGAATGACCACCTTGTGGGCCACCCTGGCCGCCCTGTGGCATATTCATGAAACGGGGATCAAGATGCGCCGCGAACGGGTTAGGACGGCCTCCTCCGTAGTCCATACGGCCACCACGTCCTCGACCGTTCAATGGGGCACCTCCGAACTGGCGGCCCGAATGCTGAGCACGGCCCTTGACAGCGCGAACATCGGCATCGTTCAGCATGGGTGTTGAGAACTTCACGCCTCGGAGCAGCATAGACTTGTGCAAGTGCTCTGACTTGGGGATCGAATAATTAACCCTTAAGTGAAGTCAGCATGTTTGCGATATACTTGGAATGGGGGCTGAAACTTACGTGAGGGTGCGGTCATCATCGAGGCTGGGCATACCGTAGTCTTCCAGATTGGAGACCAGGGACCCATGGGGGATGTATGTGTCGCTACGTTCAGCGATACCAGCTAGGCCATCGCTTACACGCATGTTTAATTTGTACTGGGCTGGGCCGGGCTTCTTAGAATAGAAGTTGGCGGCAAGGTCTTGGTAAAGAGGGTGCTGATCCGACAACAATAGAACTTCTCGGCCGTGGGTGTTGCGAAGTCGTTCTTCTTCAGTAAGAAGGGGGTATTTCTTCTCCATAGCGGCCAAGAGACGCTTCTCGTCAATGAAGGGAAGCAAGACCACGCCTTGCCACGCGAATTTCTTGCCGTTCAGATCCACGGGGAAATCCTCAGGGTAGAAGTCAATGATTTCACTCTCTGGATTGCTCATGAGGTCGTGGAACACCTCAGGCAGTGCGTGGTTAGAGGCTGCCGGCAAGACGCCCATCAGCTGCTCGAATGGCTTAAAGGCTTGGCCCTTGCTGAAGTCGAGGACAATATCAGCAATGTCCACGAAGTCAGCGGCAAATGGAGCGTAGTGGTATGGGTAATACCAGGTCCAAGAAGGACAACCCTGGAAATAATAGAGAAGCACCCAGGCGAGACCCTCAGCATAAGCACGGGCGACCTTGTGGCGGAACTCATGATCCTCAGGATCAACGCCAAATTTCTGCTCGTAGTAGCGATCGGCATATCCAGGTTCCCAGAGTCGAACAGTGTCCTGGGGTTCCTCGTTCTCCTTGGGTTTGGCAGGCGGAGCGGGAGGCGAGTCTCTTCCAGGAGTTCCTGCTTCTTCTTCTTGCTTCTCCGCGGCTTCATCATCGGCCTTTCTCTTCCCAAGAACAGCTTGCTCCTCGGTAGCGTCGCTTTCTGCCGGGGCTGGTTCCTCGGCGGCTGGTTCAGCCTGCGAGCCCCTCATGAGTTTGCTTTTGAGCACAGCGGCGGCACTCTTATTCTCCATGTTGGCACGATACACAGCGCCACGGTTCACGACCATGCTGTGAGTGAGTTCTCTGGTCTCTTTGTCCAAATGGCCACGACCCGGAGTAATAAGCTCCAATCCAGGAGGGGGAGCGTTGTCACCACCACCCTGATTGCGTGGCGGGCCATTGTAGTTCGGTGAACTCCGTCTTCGCTTGCTGGCATGTTCATTATTCCGAGCTCTCTCTTGTTCCTCACGTCTCCTCTGGTTCGCTGCCTTTCTCTCCTCACCCTGTCTGCGGCGTCGGAAAATTGCATCTTCCTGCTTGGCGACACCTTGCAAGATGAGCTGAGCTCTGGCGAAATTAACTTGTCCATCCTCTGTCAAATAACCGCCCATAGCGGGAATGTTGTCACGCCAGATGGCGATAAGGGTGTCAATACCGTTTTCACGGACATCCAACGCTGGAAGATGCGGTAAGAAATCGTTTCCGACGAAGAAACACATGAAGACCCAATCATCCAAAGCTCGTTCCAGATCGAAGGGGAAAGGTTGCTGAGGGACTTGCAGTTCAGCAGCCAAATACTCTCTCAGAACTGAGACGTGCAGCCAGATAAATGGCTTGAGTGGAACTGCGTTCTGCTTTTCATCAAATTCTCCGCTCTTCTCCTTCGCACGGCCAGTACATTCCTCAGCCTTGTGACCAGCCTGGCCGCACAATTTACAGCCCCTAGGCCTCGACTCTTGGAAGAAAACATCCTCACGTAGGACACGGAAATGGGGTTCGTGAGTGCCAAGACCAAGCATGATAAGGTCGGCATCCTAGCACATGGCGTTAGCGTTTAAGACCTGCAAGCAGTGTACGTAAGAAACTTACAAGACCGTAAATAACGTGGCGAGTATTGGGATCATGCTCTGGTGATGCTCTTTGAGATCGTACGAATTCCATAATCTTGTGTTCACCCTCTCCTGGCACCGTAGCATCCGAGATGATGATTTTCATCTGATAGCGAAAATTAGTACAGGTGAACGTCTCAAGATACCAACAGCATATTTCTTACCTTCTCCCAAGCAGGGTCAGTGTTGAGCTTGTAGGCAATCCAATAACGCAAAGAGGCAGCAAGAATATCCATGAAGGGAGTACCGGGTGTGATGACGTTGCTATCCCAGGTCTTATGAACGACCTGTTCCTGCATGACAGCATCCTCTCCTCTTGCGGCGCGCTGTTTGGCAAGCAGTTTTTGGAGCTCTTCCTTCTTCTCATCGTTTTCCTGGGCTTCTTGTGCAGATCGGAATCGACGCGAACGCTGCTGGTTCATCTTCGCTCTGGGTGCAACGCCATCTGTAAACTCTCATGTTAGTCTCAATTTCCCCCAAGAGAGGCAAAACAATCAAAACCATGTTTTTGGAGATGATTGGGTTTCTCATTAGGCGTTCACGTACCGATAGCAATCATGAGGAGCTTCCTGGGACGGACCATGTTGACGACGCGATCGGTGTACTTGAAGATCTCCAACATCATCTCCTGCTCGTTCGCTGGCGGGGGTCGGCCTTCAGGATGAGTACACGGATGAACGATACCGTTCATATCCAGGTACAAGTTGTCCATTTCTTCTCCATTGGGGTTCGGGCGCGTGGTGTCGACCGGGATTTCTTCACCATCCACTTGTTGCGGCAACTCTTCGATCACCGAGGAGATGATCTTCGGATACTTGTTGGATAGCCATCGGAACAGCGCGGGGACACCCATCTTGGAGATGCGACGACTGGTTCACCTCAGAAATCTCGTGAGTTCGGCGCGGCGCGGGAATGCGACTGCCGCTAGGGTTGGCGATGTCGCGGTACTCGGAGGTGTACGAAAATCGAGACTTGAGCCTCGAATTGTTGTCGCTTAGAACACCAAGATATGACAAAAGTGAAATAGATGCGACCGAGTTATAAATCACGGCGCAGATTAAAGGTGTTGAGAGAAATTGGAAGTCTCTGCGGCGAGTTTATTTCCGGCGCTGACCTTAGTCATGCACGGTAACCGTCCCAGGATTATAGCTTGGAGTAGGTACATACATCTATCCATTGTAGCTGCAACATATCAATTATGATCTTACACAGCTGTGCATAGAGCCCATTAGGCTTTGAGAGACAACACCAATTTCAATCTATTTGCATAATAGAGTTTGATTACGATACTATGCGACAGAGGATATTTCACTGCGTAGAAAGCTACTGAATGCAGAAGGCGGTACGAGCTTGAATGTGGGCGGTCGGCGAGGCCAGCTTTACTGCAATCGGACTCATCCTCGAAACCCCCGAACTCCGTTTGTTGACCTTCACCCTCCCTTCGATGCCTGCCTGTTCCTGCGCATATGGTCGGCGTTGACCATGCTATTGAACTGCAATTACGATGTTCCGAATCCTTGAGTCGCAAGCTCCGGCCAAACAAACGGCAACGGACACAATCGACGTTCTGAGCAACAGGCTACAGAGTGCAACTTTACTGGAAGATCGACGAGCTGCGATTCAGGGCCTTAGAAGCTTCGCAAAACTTTATCCTGCGTCGGTTGCTTCGGGGGGTCTGCGATCCCTGATTAGCAGCTTGCACAATGACAGCGAAGATCCTGATACCATCAAGGTGGTCCTTGAGACCCTGTTGATGCTATTTACCCCGGATGAGAATAGTGTCAGTGAATTATTCAACCACAGACAATTCATTACCTCCTGCTGACATTAACCAGCCTGAAGCGTCGGATGAGATAGCTTTATGGTTGGCAGACGAGTTTACTCAGGTACGACAATATGACCACAATCTGAGGGGTTGATCTAACACTGGAATTAACGTTGGAACAGCGGCAAGACAATATTACGATTCTACTAGATCTTCTCGAAAGCAAAGACTTTTATTCTCGCTTGTATTCCCTGCAATTGATGTCCCACATTTCTGGCGCGAGACCCGAACGAACACAAGAATGCATTTTCACAGCACCATTGGGTATTTCCCGGCTAGTGAGCGTGTTGACAGATGCTAGAGAGCCAGTTCGAAACGGTATGCTTGTACTTTTCCCTTACTTTGGACTTCTGAGTCTTACCTGGGAGATTGAAACTAAAGAATCTCGACCTCATAGAGGCCCTCCTCCTTCTCATTGTCTTGACCCCGGCTTCCGAAGAGCTGCAGAAACTTGTTGCATTCGAAAATACATTCGAGATTTTGTTCTCCTTGATCGAATCAGAAGGCTATCTCACCAATGGCACCGAGGTGGTGGAAGACTGTCTGTCCTTACTCGCCCACCTGCTGCGGTATAACATATCCAACCAATCATACTTCCGAGAGACTGGCTGTATACAGAAAGTTACGAAGCTTCTCGTCGAGTGCCAGCAGTATCAAGAGGATGGCGAGGCTCCTCCGCAGTGGGCTTTGGTGCAGCGCGACAAGAATGTTTGGGGTCTCTTGGCCATCGTTCAATTATTCTTGATTCGGGGAGGCAAGGGCACTCCCAGCAATCAGACTGCTTTTTGGCAACATGGTGTGACGGAGCAGGTACTCAGCATAGCTTTTGGCCAAAAGTTCAATGTGAATGTCACATCTAAAGCTCTAGCAACATGTGCTGACCTGATCCGTGGGAATCCACCCTTGCAAGAACGCTTTGGAGACATTGAAGTTTCTTGGGGCTCACAAGCCAAGGCTGTTAATGGTGGCGCGGAGCCAGAGCGGATCAATGTCATTGAGGCTTTCTTGAAGTTAAGTCTCGAGCCCGCTCCCAACCATATGTTGGATGCGCGTCTCGCGGCCTGTGAATGTATGAAAGCATTCTTCGCCCATCATTCTGGCATTCGCATGCATGTGCTTCGGCGTGCCATTGAAGGGCACACTAGTGGGCAAGACCGGATCCCCAATATTCTATCCGTTTTGTTGATTGCACCTGAATCCCGGGGCAATGCCGACCCGTATCAAGTCTGGATGGCGTCTGTTCTTATGTTCCACCTCATCCTTGATGATACAGAAGCGAAAGCAACGGCAATGGGAGTCACTGAAGGTGATGCCGAGAGTGGCGAAGAAGTCGTCACTAGTGTCCAGTTGGTGGTCGGTAACTTGATAACTGGGTTGCAACGTGGAGATGATGAAAGAATCACAGTTGGTTATTTAATGCTGCTCTGTGGTTGGCTCTACGAGGACCTGGATGTTGTAAATGATCTCCTCGGAGAGGGCAGCAGCATCCAAACACTGCTACAGGAAATCAAGCACCCAAGAACGCCTAGCAAGTTAATCCCCGGACTTTGTACAGCTTTAATGGGTATCATCTACGAGTTCTCTACCAAGGATTCGCCCATTCCCCGAGTCACCTTGCACAAGCTGCTTATCGAGCAACTTGGCAGGGAGCAGTATATTGACAAGATCACGAAGCTAAGGGAATGCCCAATGGTACGTGACTTTGAAGTTCTACCTCAAACAGCTGCTGGCCAACTTGAAGGTGGACTTCCTGAAGTCTTCTTCGATCAGTCTTTTGTGGAGTTCCTTAAGGATAACTTTAGTCGGCTGATTCGATCTATCGATCGCGAGCCTGGCTTCGAGATTTCAATTGTTGCCAATGGTGTTGAAAAGGGTGTCTCGCGGGAACTCGTGGACTCGCTGCGCGCGGAACTGGAAGACCGGAGTCGATCAATCCAAAAATTGGAAACGGATCTTGTCGACGTTCAGCGAAAACTTGACCAGGAATTGTCTGATCACCGAAAGACGAAGGAATCAAGCTCTTGGGAGATTTCCAAAGCTCAACAGACCCAGCAACATTTGCAATACACCCGTGACCAGGATCTGGCGAGGTTGGAAGAGCAGCACAAGCAGTCAAAGAACGCCTTGCTGAAGCAACATGGGGAGCAACTTCATGCCATTGACAACCAATTGAAGCAGGCCTCGACTGAGTACGAAAGAAAAAGTGCCAAGCTGCGAGAGCATCACGAGCAGGAGACTGCTGGATTCCAAAAGACCATTCGTGGACTGGAGTCCGAGCTGTCCAAGACTCGGGAACAGCACACTGCCGAAATCAATGGCTTGGAAAAGACCATTCAGGATATGCAGCAGGCCATCAAACAGTCCACTGAAAGCCACTCTGGCGAGATTTCTCGCTTGCAAAAGACAATTCAGGAACTGAACTCGACTATTGCTCAATCGAAAACAAACCATGCCAAAGAGATCGCTAGCCTTCAGAAGGAAATTGAGGACTCGGAGTCCACCGTTGGCCAGTCCAAGGAGAAGCACGCCCAGGAGATTGCCGGCCTCAAGAAGACCATCCAGGAGTTGGAAGCAACTGCCAGTCACTCCAAAGATGCTCATGCTGGCAAGGTCACAGATCTACAAAAGAAACTCGAAAGCCTTGAATCTCTTCTCTCTTCCAGTAAGAGCGACCATGAGACAGAGGTCACTGGCTTCAAGGATCAGATTACAACTCTGGAGTCGAATTTAGTCACCGCTGAAGGGAAACACGAAAGCGAGAACGCCGATCTTAAGAAGACCATCGATACACTCCGGTCGGATCTTGATCAAGCGAAGAAGAAGTCCACCAGGGATGCCGAGGCAGCCAGCGAGGGGGTGTCATCCCAACTGTCTGCGCTAGAGACACGCGCCGCTGAAGCTGAACGTAAAGCGAAGGAGGCTGAGTCGCAAGCTCAAAGTGCTGCCCAGGCCTTAAAAGAGGTTCAGGCTCAGCTTGAAAAGGCCCAGTCAGAGGCCAAAGAGAAAGACGAGGCTCGCCAGGCCAGCCAGTCAGAATTGGAGGACCTACTTATTGTCTTTGGCGACTTAGAGGCCAAGAGAAATGAGGACAAGGTATGTTGGCTTTACAATGCTGATTGCGCCCTGCAAACCTTACTAAATTCTCACTTTAGCAACGACTTAAAGATCTGGGCCAAGAAATCTCAGAGGATGAGGATGAAGATGACGAGAACGAAGACGAGTAGAGAAGGTGTGATTCTGTCTGTACATACTGCAGCCCTCATGATACAGCTTGTTATATCTAAGTGTGCGAATCAAAGGTTTATGATTCGTATGCAGCACATCATCTTTTTCATTTCTATCTCTAGTTTGCAGCTTTCATCAATCGACAATCTATATAATTCATCGAAGGCGGTAAGCGGGGTTTATTGGCAAAAAGTGCGGGCTTTTTTTAGTGGGGTGACTCACTCTTCTTTTTATCTGCCCCTCGTCCCCCTCCGTTGGTAATCCTCAATCCACCAACGCAATGTCGATCGATTTTCCCGCCGAGGAGGAGGTTATCCTCAAGCGGTGGAGGGAGATTGATGCCTTCAACCGCCAGGTTGAGCTCTCCCGAGGCCGTGAACCTTACACTTTTTACGACGGTCCGCCCTTCGCAACCGGCCTTCCGCACTATGGCCATCTTTTGGCATCCACCATCAAAGACATTATTCCCAGATATTGGTCGATGAAGGGCCACTATGTTGAACGTCGCTTTGGATGGGATACCCATGGTTTGCCTATTGAATACGAGATCGACAAAAAGCTTGGCATGTCTGGTCTCCAGGCGGTCGAGAAGTTCGGCATTGAGAAGTACAACGAGGAGTGCCGGGCCATTGTCATGCGTTATGCTGGAGAATGGCGTGAGACTATTGAGCGTCTGGGTCGCTGGATTGACTTTGACAATGACTATAAGGTACGCTCGCATCACGAGTCGTGAACATATAGGCTCATGGGTTATCTTCCAATTTACTGACTCCAAATTGCTAAATAGACTATGAACCCAAGCTTTATGGAGTCTGTCTGGTGGGTTCTGAAGGAACTCTTCGACAAGGGCATGGTCTACCGTGGCCACCGGGTTATGCCTTTCTCGACTGCTCTCAACACCCCGCTCAGCAATTTTGAGGCCCAACAGAACTACAAAGATGTGCAAGATCCCGCAGTCGTTGTGACTTTCCCTCTCTTGGATGACCCGGAAACCTGTCTGCTGGCTTGGACAACTACCCCGTGGACTCTCCCCTCCCACACTGGTCTGTGCGCCAACCCTACCTTCGAGTACGTCAAGATTCATGATGAAGCCACCAAGAAGAACTACATCCTCCTCGAGTCTCTGCTCCGCACTATCTACAAGGACCCAAAGAAGGCTAAGTTCAAGATCGTCGATCGCCTCAAGGGATCCGATATGCTGGGATGGAAATACGAGCCTCTCTTCGACTACTTTTACGAGGAGTTCAAGGACCACGGTTTCCGTGTCCTGAATGATGGATACGTCACTGCTGAGGATGGTGTTGGTATTGTCCACCAAGCCCCTGCATTCGGTGAGGACGATTACAAGGTTGCGGTTGATCACGGAGTGATCGATCCCTCTCGTCCTCCTCCTAACCCAGTCGACCCGAACGGTTGCTTCACTGAGGAGGTCCGGGACTTCGCCGGACAGCACGTCAAGGCTGCTGACAAGGCCATTATTAAGCACCTTAAGGGAACTGGCCGTATCCTCGTTGATAGCCAGATTACTCACAGTTATCCCTTCTGCTGGAGATCTGATACCCCTCTGATTTACCGGGCTGTGCCCGCTTGGTTCGTGAAGGTCACACCCATTATTCCTCAGATGCTTGACAACATTGAGAAGTCCCATTGGGTTCCTTCTGTGGTTAAGGAAAAGAGATTCAGTAGCTGGATTAAAAATGCTCGCGACTGGAACATTTCCCGGAATCGTTTCTGGGGAACTCCTCTCCCGCTGTGGGTTAGCGATGACTACAAGGAAATTGTCGCCGTGGGAAGTGTGGAGGAGCTCAAGAGGCTCAGCGGTTACGAGGGCGAACTTACTGACCTTCACCGTGATAAGGTAGATCATATCACCATCCCTAGCAAACAGGGCAAGGGCGTCCTTCGTCGTGTGGAAGAGGTCTTTGACTGCTGGTTTGAGTCGGGTAGCATGCCATATGCCTCTCAACACTATCCCTTTGAGAACAAAGACCAGTTCGAGAAGAGCTTCCCTGGTGACTTCATTGCCGAGGGACTAGACCAGACTCGAGGAGTAAGCAGCCATTCCACCATCCATCTATCTAGTCGCATATATACTCACATGGTTTTAGTGGTTCTACGTGATGTGTGTTATTGGTACACACCTAACAGGAAAGATCCCGTTCAAGAATTGTGTTGTGAACGGAATTGTCCTCGCTGAAGACGGCAAGAAGATGTCAAAGAGACTGAAGAACTACCCGGATCCTAATCTGGTCATTGATCGTTATGGCTCGGATGCCCTGCGTCTTTACCTCATCAACTCACCTGTCGTTCGTGCAGAGCCCCTTCGATTCAAGGAATCAGGTGTGAAGGAGATTGTTGCAAAGGTCCTCCTTCCTCTGTGGAACAGTTATAAGTTCTTTGAGGGCCAGGTGGCTCTTCTGAAGAAGGCTTCTGATATTGAATTCGTCTTTGACCCTAAAGCTGAGGCCACAAACACTAATGTCATGGACCGTTGGATTCTGGCAAGTTGCCAGAGTCTTCTCAAGTTCGTCAACGAGGAGATGGCCGGGTACCGTTTGTACACCGTTGTGCCTCGTTTGCTGGGATTGATTGAGAACACCACTAACTGGTACATTCGATTCAACCGCAAGCGCCTGAAGGGTGAGAATGGAGTCGATGATACTCTGCACGCCCTAAACACTCTCTTCGAGGTGCTTTACACCCTTGTCAGAGGCCTGGCCCCCTTCACTCCCTTTATTACCGACAGCATCTACCAGCGTCTTCTTCCCCACATTCCAGAGTCTCTTCGCGCCGAGGACAGCCGCAGCGTTCACTTCCTTCCCTTCCCTGAAGTTCGCCAGGAGCTGTTCGACGAGGTTGTGGAGCGCAGAGTCGCCCGCATGCAGAAGGTGATCGACCTTGGTCGTCTTTCCCGTGAGCGCCGTTCGATCGGTCTGAAGACCCCGCTGAAGTCACTTGTCGTGATTCACCAGGACCAAGAGTACCTTGATGATGTGAAGTCTCTGGAGAGTTACATCCTGGAGGAGCTTAACGTTCTTGACCTTGTCCTCTCTGCTGATGAGGACAAGTACAACGTTCAGTACAGTGTCAACGCTGACTGGCCCACTCTTGGCAAGAAGCTGAAGAAGGATGTGCAGAAGGTTAAGAAGGCTCTGCCCTCGCTCTCTAGCGAGGAAGTCAAGAAGTACGTCTCCGAGAAGAAAATCTTGGTCGACGGCATTGAATTGGTTGAGGGTGATCTTGTTGTGAAACGAGGCATCAAGGAGGACTCTGGCTCCTCCGGCATGGAGACCAACACCGATGCGGATGTCATGACTATCCTTGACGCCAACCTGTACCCAGAGCTTGCGCACCAGGGTATTGGTCGTGAGATCATTAACCGCCTTCAGCGTCTCCGTAAGAAGGCTGGCCTTGTCCCCACTGATGATGTGAAAATGGAGTACACCGTACTCTCAGACCCGGAGAACATCGGCCTCAGCGAGGCCTTCAAGTCTCAATCTCAGGCCATCGAGAAAGCCGTTCGTCGCCCTCTGGATGAGCGTGCGCTGGTTGATGGAAAGGCTCCGGTCTCTGAGGAGGGAACCATCGAGCAGGAGGAGCAGGAGGTTCAAAATGCGACATTCCTGCTACGTCTGGTCAAGCTGTAGAGTGTGGCTTGAGCCACATTCTCAAATATGAAAAAAAAAGCTATAGCTAGCTTCTACAGATTCCCATTATATGCTTTCATAAATGACATACATACTGATTTCACGTACACTTTATCCTAATATTACCCCTGTATACCTACACATTTATCTTATCTCCCGGGGTCGTGCTGTTCATCCGGCTACACAAATTCCATTTCCTTGTTGAAACATCTGTGATTGGTTTATGCGATCTACACCGAAGGTGCGGGCAGCTTTCGCACTATTCCGCTTCGGTTCCCCGAGCCCCTAGGGATATGTCTGGAGTCCAATGCCTAGATGAGTTAACTTCAGCCCCTCAAAGAATACATAGCTCGACTGAATTTAAGCGCTTGCTGTATTGAACAAACCATGAGTGTTAAATCAGTTCTTTTAGGAGGCCTGGAGGCCGACAAAGATAGTCAGGTTCAACTACTTCAGGCATTTGTCCGAGCTGCATCCCCAAATCCACCCGGGAATACTACGGCAGCTGCCAAAGTCCTCACTCAGTACTTATCTAATTTAGGCGTACCTTACAAAATCCTCGAGCCACAGCAGGGACAGCCTAATGTTGTCAGCGAGTTTCAAGGCGGGAAAGGTCCGGGCCCTCGCGTTGTTTTGAATGGTCATATTGATGTCTTCCCCGTGGCAGATGACACAAGCGGCTGGATTCATGATCCTTGGTCTGGTGATGTTGAGGACGGACGTATTCATGGGAGAGGGGTTGTTGATATGAAGTCTGGCACAGCATCATTGGTGATTGCTTATGCCTGTCTATTCACTCAAAGAGAGTTCCTTCGCGGAAGTGTTGCTCTTTGTGCAGTGTCTGACGAAGAGACCGGCGGCCGTTGGGGCACGGGGTTCCTCATCAAAGAAGACCGAGGGCGCTGGGGTGGAGATGTCATGTTGAGTGCAGAACCATCTGGTCAAACCATTCGATTTACTGAAAAAGGCACGTTGAGGCTTTCTGGATCTGTAGCTACCAAAGGAGCACTTGGGGCGTACTTGAACCTGAGGTAAGGAGTAAATCGTTGCGAGACATTTCGAGAAAAAAGTTGACCAGGTTTTAGCAAGGGTGCTGTACGAACTGCTACTGTCTTTCTCGCCGATGTCGTGAAGGCGGTTGAATCTATCACTCCGAACCCACCGCCTGAGATTGGTTCGCATCTGAAGGATCCGGACACCCTGAAAGCTGTGGATGAGGCAATGGGCCCGGGTACATCTGCCATCATTGCTCTACCAACTGTAAATATTGGAACCATTTCAGGTGGTGTCAAAGTCAACATGATACCCGAAAGCTGCAATTTTGAGCTTGATATACGATTGCCAGTAGGACTGGTGGCGGATGAAGTGATGGCTGTCATCGAAGCTGTGGTTCCTCGATACCCCGATGCTACGATAGAGCTCAAGCGACAAGAAGCTGCTAGCAATCCGAGTAGCTTTTCATCCATCGACCATCCTATCATTGGACATCTTAAAGAGAACGCCAATACTGTCGGCGGGTTTCATCCGAGGCTAATTCCCTCTATGGGTGCTACAGATTGCAAGCATTACCGGTATATTGGCATACCCGCTTATGTTTATGGCTGTAGCCCACACAGTAGTGAGTGTAATATTCCCATAACATTTCATTGGTTGATGCTGATACTACCATAGTGGCAGCGATGAATGAGTCCGCCTCGGTGGATGAATTCCTTCATGTCACCAAGGTCCATGCTCTAGCTATATGGGATTTGCTGCATTAGTTGGTACTTCAAGTGATCGGCGAGTGACTACCTAGTGGGGAGTAACGAAGTACAGATTCTGAGATCGGTGATCGTCATAATCTTTAACATTTAAATGTTGTTACAATTCGGCGCGCAGGCCGAGCAGCATATATATACAGAGATCCATACAGCCAATCTTGGGAAAAAGCCAAGTAGATTCGCTCAAATTACGCCAGAAACAAACCACACTACCTGTGACCAAATTATGGCGTAGATAGTCATTTGGGTAGAATCCGTGCTTCCGTTCAACCCTTTTTAGAGGCAGCCTGCGTGGGGTTGTTAACTATGTGAATGATCAAAAGGCTTAATTCAATGCTCTTACAAGGAAGCAATCCTTCAGCCTCATGAACTCCTTAGCGCACATATCCTTGTGAACGGAGTTGTAGTCCGAGACCACGCATTTGCCATACGCCGCAGCCTGGGGGAACGGCAATTAGCTTGGATTACGTTGGTACTTTCGCCTGAACATACCTCCACAGAGCACTGCGCAGCGGCTTTAGCTATCTTCTCAACTGGGCGAGTTTTTGTAGGCATTTTGAGAGAATGTAGATAATGTGATGAGCTATCTCAAAACAAGCAGATCTGGAAGCTAGACGTTGGAATTGAATCAAGCATATATGGCCTGAGGCATGAACATACTGTCATTATCTAAGCATACCTCCACGTGATGGTGGAGCTGTTTCTGTCGCGACCACCAAAACAACCCGAGCCACTGGCCATGGCGCTGGTTTGACCTTGGATTTTCTTGTTTTTGCTTTCTGAATCGCAGGCAGGTATCTGCGCTTTTCCTTTCCGATCGGGCCTGTCCCGCTTTCGCGATGATTTATTTGGTCCGTCGGCTCTATGACCCAGATGCGACAAGCGCGCCTTAAGTCGCGAAATTTCGATGCCTCCGATATCCTCCCAGCGGCGCGCCTCCCCAGAAGAGATCTCTTCTCTCTCAGATGATGGTAGGGCTGTTCTTTCTACCAAACTGTTCTCTAGAAGCCGCAATCTTACCTGTGATTCCAATCGCTAGATGTCGGTTTCCTCTACCAAGTCGTCACCCGCGCCGAAGGGAATCCTAAGGTTCAGCGAACCCCATTCCGAGCGCTTTTTACAGCCTATGACGAGGTAGTCCGTGAACATGGCGTCAACCCTGATCCTCGCCAGGCGTGTTTGCGCTTCTTGTTCAAGATGGGAAGCAAAGACGTTCAAGGACCGACCCTCTTCGACAGATTCGAGAATACGCTACAACATATGGGAATTGTAATTGAGCTGGGTGACGAGGGCTCCACAGGATTTAATGATACAGTGGAGAATGGACATTATTCAGATGACGGCACTCATAGTCAAACTGGGCACCAACATCACCCGATTACGAATGGAATTCCGGTCACACCCAGGAGACGTGCGTCCTTTAATACCACGCTTGATATTGGCGAAGATGCCACCCAGAGGAGTTTTATTGAAAGACCAAGCTCCCGGTCGTCTATGTCACGACTTCAAACTGGAAAACCCGATTTCGCGAAGCATAGATTATCCCCGAAACCCAACGCACACCACACACCTAAATCGCCAGATCGCACACAATTGATCGCCCAATTCTTGGATGTTGGTCGCCGATTGATAAGCAGATTTGACAACGCTCAAAATAAACAAGTGGACAGTGAGGTGGCACCGTTGACTAACGGAGTGGTGGCACGGGCGGCTGTCGATCGTGATCGTTCCCAGAGAATAGTGGCCGCATCAAAATCCCGCCATACACCTTCGGTTGCCTCTTCAGATAGTGGGGACTCCGAAGAAACGCAATCTAGTGTGTTACAGGCCCTAGAAAAGGACTCGTTTGACAAAGAAGAACCACCACCAGAAAACATATACCGACCCCAGCTCTCGGATTTACTCCGGGATGCATCTACGTTCAATATGTATCGACAGCGGGCAATGTGCCGCAAACTATTGACCCAGTGGTTGAAACGTGCTTTTCAGGCGCGACAAACACGAGAAAGGAGGGAAACAATTGCTGTGAACCGTGACCGGGGTACCTTGCTTCGACAAGCATTCGAACCGTGGCAGGCAATAATCAAACAGAAGCGCCATGCGGCTAGAACAGAGCGCTTCTTCAAACACCTGGATGAACGTGCCAACCGCGCTCGGGATTTGTATTTGATGACCAAAGCCTTTACCCACTGGGCCCAACTCACATCTGAAGAAGTTGCTCGTACATCGGCAGCCCGGCGACATGTCTTAAGTATCAAGTACTTCAATGCCTGGCGCGAGATAACTGCAGTGAATGAGCTGAAAGCCCAACGTTTCGCCTTGCAGAGACCGTTCAATAAGTGGCGCAAGAAACTGGTGGATATTAAGCAGGCGGAGAGCCAAGCAGTCATTGTTCACCAGAAAAGTCTACAACATGCCTCATATTGGCAATGGTTCTGGGGATTTTGTGAGCGTCGTGCGCCTGAATGGTATGACTATCGGCTTAAGAGGCGTTCGCTTCTTTACTGGTTACAAAACTTTCGCACCAATCGAGAGCGTGATCACGAGATAGCTGTGCATAATAGGCGATCCGCCCTGGGAGCTGTGCTTCAAGCGTGGTCTCAGAAGATGAAAACCATTGGATCTGCACAGCAGCTAGCTGCAAATACCCAGCGTCACTTAGTCTTGACAGAAGCTTTTGGTGAATGGAAGATTCAATCCCGGTTGGCACCCGCGGCTTCTCGAATCACAGATAGGGTTGATACCAGGGTGCTTCGAAGTGCGCTGTCAAAATGGATTTCAAAGGCTCGAATGATGGACCAAGCGCAAGAGATGGATCAGCGGAGAGTCCAGCGGAATGCGTGGACATCCTGGAATGATACACTGCGCTGCCTGGCTCTCCGTGCACGAATTGATGAGCGGCTGAAAATGGAAATTATGTACAGGTGGATTCTTATGGAAAGATACCAGCTAATGCGCAGAATCCATGAGCAGCGCATTAAGCGGGAGGTGTTTACTCGATTTGTTACAAACACTCGAGATACTTATACACGATTGCTATTCAATGCCGAAGCCCACGAGGAGCACCGGACAGAAGATTTGGCACGCTCCAAATTAGCCATCTGGCGAGAAAGACTGGTCATTCAACGAGAACGTGAATACACTGCCTTTGAGTTTTATGCTCCTCGGCTGGCACAAGAGTCTCTTACGGCTTGGAGAGCGAAGCACGAGCAAAACCAGAAAATGGAAGCCTGGGCTAACGATGCACGCTTCTACTTTCTGATGAAGCGATCCTTGAAGGATTGGCGTCAGGCTACCCTAGCCTCTGCCAAGCAGCGGCGGAAAGACGCTTACGCCAAGGTGCGACGAAAAATCAAGATGAATTTGGCAGCTAACGCACTCGCCACCTGGAGGTCTAAGACCCATGCAATCATGGATATGCAGCAGCAGGCGGAAGATGTCGATCGTGGAAAAGTGCTTGACGATTCATTCGAGTGTTTCTCTCGATGGCATGGAATAGCGCTCAAGAGAGTGCAGGACTACCAGGATGCTGATTATCATTATTTGCATCAAGTCGCTTTTCATCAACTCATCCAAATGTCAGAGACTTTTGTCATTCGCCGCGAGATGGAGGATGAAGCAGACAACTTCTACCGCACCCACGTCCTCCACCAGGCTGGAGGAGCACTTCGCAAGCTCAGCCTGCGTATCTTCCAAATGAGAAACACAGTTGAGACATCTGAAGCAATGCGTGAACGAACGTTACGAAAACATTCGAGAAATCTCTTCCGCCACTGGTTGGAGAATGCTCGACTGAAACTTGAAGCAAGAGATTCACCCGGCCCATCCTTAGGACCATCCATGACGCCTGCCCGATTCTCTAATGTTCCAGACGTGAACGGTTCAGGAGCTTTGTTCGACCCGTGGTATCGGAATCCAGCTGAGACCCCTTTCAAGCTGGCCGACATTACAACAAATTCACAGGAGCCGATATCCGCAAGCCCTTTAGCCACCCCAAGCTACCTGACATCGCCATCCAAGCGAGCTGCCCGCGCGAGGGCACTGGCGCAGATGTCCACTACTCCCGCCACGCCCTTACATACTCCTTTTGCCAGCCGACTGCTTCGTGCTGATTCCACTGGTCGTTCCGCTTCTTCCATAAGACCCCGTACTGGCCGTGGAAATTCTATCGCAACAAGCGTTCGGTTCGTGGATGACGATCTTCCCGAGTCCCCAACTGACGGTCGCAAATCTGCGAATCGACGACCTTGACCCTTTTCCTCCCATATATGACCTCCTTTCTGTAACTGCGATGACCCTAGAGGTCCCTGTACATCCGTGATGACTATACTTTCTCCTCATGTCTTTTGTGATCCTTATTTTTGTTTTGTCCCAGCATGCATATCAGCCGGCGCAGCATATAAGGGGTTGGTGGATTTTTGGACTCTGTTTGGGTCTTTGGGTATACTATGTATTTTCTGGACATGAATGAATGTGACAACCAGCATGTGGATCTTCTGACCAGCGGCGGAGGCCTCTTTAGGGCCATAGAATGCAGTCAATTGCTGTTGGAAATGAGTAAAAGTATACTATGTGGATCGCGAGCAATCCTTATCAGGATAACAGCTATAGTTTCATAGCTATACCTTAGGAGTTCTACTCTAGGCATTAATCTTCACAATTAAAGTCATATATATCATGAGTATTAAGAATGAGATAGCAGAAGCAAGGAGCTTGAAAAGACCAGTCATTGGTGCAGACCAGAACTTTTGAATCCATGGCGATCATCTCCAGTGGTCACACTGAGTGGAGCAGAAAGCGTAATCAACCTCCCGCTTTGATCCCCTGCGCATGATTCAAGACCACTCAACCCCGAAATCCACAGCTTGTATTGACTATTTGTTCTATATCCTTCAACATCTCATCTCCCAGGATTTTCTGGGATCCGGCAATGGTGTAACGTGGCCACCAGCGCAACGAGCGTCAACCTTTTAACCCACCCGCCTCTATGCGAGCGGTACTGCCGGGGAGACCCCCAGCGAAGCTCCAGTCGTTCAGCACTGCACTGTGGGATGGACTTCGTGTGATTGTAAGGCTCTTGATATTGGATCTCCTCTACAGCTTGCCCGCCCCCCCAACTTGTCCTGTTCGCTGACCTTGACCCGTGTCAAACTTAGGCGTACATATCTGGCCACGCGCTGGTCATCCTCGGCGGTCCGCAGACAATTCTTCAAACCATCTACGTCGACGACACCGAAAAGCTCGAAGCGGTCACTATTAATGAGGCAACAGGGAAGATTGCAGTGTGTGGTGGCTCGGATGTCTTCGTGTACCAACCGTGGGGTATCCAGGGCGAGACACCCAAGGTGCGCACACCAAGAATTCGACTCGTTGGAGCTTTCTATGATATATAACAATGTCGCATGGAATATTCAAACAAATGGCTGACGTTGTAATACTATCTAGTGGTCTCTCGCTCACACTTTCCGTGCCGACGATGACGAGCCGACTCGTACCATATCGTGGGGTTCCCCGAATGAGCTGCTAGTTGGTAGTTCCCGCCTCGCCCTTTGGATTCTCGATGATACCCCGCGCTTGGTATGGCAACGGAGGCTTGCAGGTCCCTTGAAATTTGCACAATTCTCCCCGGACGCGGCCTTGGTGGTGACGGTAGGACAATATGATCGCATGGCCAAGGTATGGAGACGGCTAGCGTTTGGAGCGAATGAAGTGCGGTTTGAAGTCTCGTATCTTGCTCATCCAAATGTGATAACGGGAATACACTGGCGTCTACCTTATCACCGAGAGCAATCAGTCGAAAACGTTCTTTACACCCTATGCGCCGACAATAAGATCCGGGTGTGGGCCGTGACGGATCACCATGCCCTTTCACCGTTGCAGCTTTGGGCGGATATTGACATGGAAACATCTGTCCAACCTCGAGATGCATCGGAAAAAGACGAGGGACTACAGAGACGATATGGATTCATCCTGGATAGCCGGGATTTCTGCGTCGCGACAGAGCGCGCCGTTCAACAAAACGCTGGTAACAAGGAAAATCACGCATTGGAACATCTCATCGAAGTTGCGAACAAAAGTCCAGAAATATGTATGGTGATTGATGGCCAAGGCCATATATCTGCATGGGCGTTGGAAGACATTGGCTCGAAAGCGAAGACAAAATTGAGTGTCTTCAACATCCTGCACGTCGAAGGTCTGGAATTTGGATTCATGTCAAGTCTGGGAGCTCAAGAGGATTATGCCCAAATACGTGCTTTTCAGAGCAATACATCGGACGACAGACTTAGCATTATTGTACACCACTTTGACGGTCGAATTGAGTGGTATGACTCGAAGGTGGATGTTTTCTTCGATCCCGCCCCTCGAAAGCATCGGATTATGCCCAAGGCATCTTGGTCCGGGCATACTGCTCCAGTGAAAAAGATTGTGCGGAACGCAACCGGCGACACGCTCATTTCCAGAACGGACGAGAACAAGGCCATGATTTGGAAGCAAAAGAGACGTGACGGTGGATCGATGCTTATCCACCAGAGCATGCTATTATCTGAAGAACATATTCACCGGACTTGCATGATTGAGAATGGCAATTTCCTCGTCAATCTTCACCATAACGGAATCTCGCTGTATGACTACAGCTCCTATCACGCCAAGAGGTTGGCACATTTGCCCTTTAATTTGTCAAGCAAGCCATTGTGCGTGCTTCCACTTCCCACACCAGAGGCGAGCCCAGGCTTGGCTTATGTGGCAACTATTGGTGCTGATATGCACGGTATAGCATGGGAACTTCAATGGGATCCTCAACCTAAGCAACATGGCTTGGCAAAAGCAGAGCAGAGTTGCCAGCTACGCAAGTTCTGCACGTTTGAAATGGGATTGCAGGAAGATTTGGCCTATATTTTACCTGTAGACCCAGCGGGGCCCAAAACCGAAACCTCGGGTTCCTTTGATACGTTTGCTCCTGATATTGCTCTCTCCTACACCCATAGTGGTGTCGTACGCACCTGGACAGCCAAGGTTGATCGTGAAAAGTCCAAAGTGGAGTGGTTGCTGAAGTCGACGGTTGACACTGGCATCGAGAACCCCTCGCTAGCCAGTGGAAGTACCATTCGCAAAGCCGCACTCGTGGATAAAGATCGGACACACTTGACTATCTGGGACACCAACAATTCCCAGCTGGAGTTTGAAGAGCATTTTGCCCAGCATGATATTATCAGAGACCTCGATTGGACCTCCACTCCAGACAAGCAGTCTATATTAGCCGTTGGCTTCCCTCATAAGGTCATTTTGCTTTCTCAGCTACGCTATGACTATTTGGATTCCAATCCTTCATGGACCCAAATCCGGGAGATCTGGATTCGAGACCTCACACCTCACCCCATCGGTGACTCATGCTGGCTCACTCACGGCCACCTAGTCATCGGTGCTGGAAACCAACTATTTGTTTACGACAAGGATATCGATGTTGCAGATCATCTTGTTTCTGGACTGCGCATTCCGTCCCGTGGGCAGCCAACCGTTGACCTTTTCGATGTTGTCAGTCGCTTAAATGGCCCACTGCCTGTCTTCCACCCTCAGTTCTTAGCACAGTGTATCCTGGCGGGCAAGTCTGCTTTGGTCCATTCGATTCTGATGAGTCTCCACAAAAAGTTGAAATTCTACTCGGAGGGAGACGAATTGGATGGTTTCCTAGATATGCCACTAGAGAACTTCTATGATGAACAAGAGGTACGTCTTAGCATCACATATGCATAATTCTGATCTGACAACCCCAGGTATCACAGACCGTAGCCTCAAAAGAGATGCGCTCTTCTTTTGCCGACGCTTCCGCCGAGGAGGAGGAATCCTCAGTCATCGACGAAAAAACAGCCGCAATCCTTAACGAGAATCTCGCCCGTATTGCATTGCCACAGCTGTCTAGCCATGAGCAATTCCGACTAGTGGATACGATCGAGTGCGTTGCGACCGTCGAAAAGCATCGACGATCAATGGATGACAATGCGGCGCGCTTTCTTCTTTTTCTTCCGGCAGCACATGCTGCGAAAGAGCCAAGGAGTGGCAAATAAAGACCGTGTATCATGGCGAGAAATTGTTTGGGCTTTCCATAGTGGCAGCCAGGATATCCTCACAGATCTTGTCTCGCGTCAATTCAACGGAAAGCTCACATGGAAGGCTGCTCGCGAGAGCGGTTTGTTCATGTGGTTATCGGACTTGACATCTTTGGTACGCATGTTCTATCTTGAGTCACTTGTAAATATCAACTGACCCCTTTCCAGAAAGCACAACTCGAGTCCGTGGCTAAAAATGAGTACACCAAGACAGAGGAGAGGAATCCCATCGATTGTTCTCTATACTACCTTGCCCTCAGAAAGAAGAACATTCTCCAAGGTCTTTGGCGAATTGCACATTGGAATCGGGAGCAAGGTCCTACCCAGCGCTTGCTTGCCAATGATTTTAAGGAGGCGCGATGGAAGACGTCTGCCCTAAAGAATGCGTATGCATTGCTTGGAAAACGGCGATTTGGTGAGCTTCCCAATAAAAGACCGTTTTAGACTTCGACTGACCTGTTTCAAGAATACGCCGCCTCCTTTTTCCTTCTGGCTGACCACCTGCGTGATGCCGCCAACGTGGTCGCTAACCAGATGGGTGACATCCAGCTCGCAATTGCAATCACACGAGCGTACGAAGGGGACCATGGTCCCGTCCTTCGAGAACTCCTAGAGGAGAGAGTTTTGCCAGAAGCCGCTGCCGAGGGCAACCGATGGCAAGCATCTTGGGCATTCTGGATGCTTGGACGGCGAGACATGGCCGTACGATCACTCATTGTAAGTTATTCCGGCACCGTAACAAATCGGTAAACTAATTCAGCCTAGTCCCCGATCGAGACTCTCCTTCTACCAACTCCAGCTTCACCAGGAAGCCCAGGAAGAGTTACTCTCCAGTCCAAATCCTACCTCTCCAATGACCCCGCCCTAGTTGTGCTCTACCAACAGCTCCGCGAAAAGACGCTACAAACACTCAAAGGCGCCTCTCAAGTTCGCCCGGTCGAAGAGTGGGAATTTGTTCTCCGAAACGCCCGACTCTACGACCGCATGGGCTGTGATTTCCTCGCTCTAGACCTGGTCCGCCACTGGGAGTTCTTGGGCATACCACCAACCTCAAAGACGCTACAAAATCAGCCTGCGCTCGAGCTTGACCAGAACGGTATCGATTACCGGAAGTTACTTCGCCGCCGAAGCAGTCTTGTCGTCGCTGATTTGCCAGTTCGACTAACTAGTTCTGCATCTGTATCTGCCGAAGCGAATAATAGCGCCGTTGCTGATGAAAGCCAGCAGAAGCCTGCAGCTAAACCGAAGCCGAAACCACCTCCAACCATGTTCCATGAGCCTGATGCTAACTCCTTGTTGGATAGCTTTGGATTCTAGACTGAGGCAAGAAAATTGGCCCGCGTCATCGTCACATTCTGGATTACATATGCATCTATAAAGCGTTCGAGCACATTCAATCCTACATTTCTCTGGTAGTAATACAATACAAGATACGTAGTGTGAAAGCCCTTCTCTATCTCTTGCGGTTTTAGCCTAAAATTATACCACTGCTGCCTTTCACTACAAATTTGTGATTTCATGACATAGATCAAATGCTATATTCCTCTTGAATTTTCTAACTATCGACAAAGCTATTTTCTAAAGACCCAAGCATATAAAACAACCTACTAATTTCCCGTGTACAGTAAACCCCCTAATACAAACGCGTAGCCCGATTCCGCAAAATAGACAACTTCCGCCTCGAAACAATAGTCCCGTTGGCAGGCGCAGTTCCATTGGAAAGAAGGGTTCCATTCAAATGCCGGGTAGCATTTGTCTTGCCAGAAACCAAATTCATTCCTTGCGCCTTACTCTTCAACTCCTCCATGATACGGTGCACAATCGCATCACTCTCCTCATGACCAACATTGTTCACACGACTCTCCTGCTCAGGCTCGCGTTCAGAGCTCTCCGTCTGCGCAAGGTGCCACGAGTTGGCGTTCGAGCCGGGCGTCTGGACATCGCCTGACTGCTGGATAGAAGTCGTCTGTCCGATGCGGGGGATATCTTGCTGCTGATCCGCCAAAGACTCAGAAGCAGTTTGCTCTTGCTGTTCTTGTATCATGTGGTGATCATTTTCGTTTTGTTCGCCTTCGCAAACAAGTTGAACCCAAACATCGCTGTAAGCAGCAAAATTGCGCTCATGACACTCGCTCACTTCGACTCCGTTGTGCAGTTCCTTGTTGAGGAGGGGCTCGTCAATGCACTCTGGGACTTCGTGGATGGTGATGTTGCAGCTTGGGCCGTCCTCTGGTGGGAAATTGTGGCCTTTTACGCTGGAGAGGAGCTCGGCATCTATTGAGATGGCGCTGACGAGGTTGTGCTCGTAAGATGGAACGCCGACTTGTGTGCAGATGCCTGCTGAGATTTTTGTAGTGGGGACGGTTTCTTCGTAGTTTTCATATGTGCTGAGGTCTGCGAAGGGCTCGCCTGGGCAGGATGGGTAAAAGTGTGTCCAGATGCGCGCTGTGGTTGCGGCGTGAATGGGCGTGGAGAGAAGGATGAGGGTTGTGAGTGTGGAATGCATGATTGCCAAGCTCGAGATCGAGATCGAGATTAGATCTGGGAACTTGAGTCGATGGTTTTGTGATGTGATAGAATGTGATTGATGGCTAAGATACTACTGGCAGTGCAAGGCTGGTCTTTATAAGTACGGTTTGATCATTCCTTTGCGTGGGAATTACGCATAATGAGATGGCGGGAGAACGGCTGGAATGGCGATGGTGTTGGACTGAAACGCGGCTAGCACTCTCCTCGATATCCTGATCAAGTCTAAATGGGCTATGAATGAATTTCTGCGTCATACTCGGTGGCGGGGGAGTGTCAAAATTTTCGTGGGCGCCAGTCAGAAGGCAGGTATAGCATTCCAGTTCCAAATTGGGCAGAGGGATGTCGATCCAGGACCGTGTGGGAATTGATATGGTATGCCAGCGCACTTTCCACATTCCAGAGCATGGCAGGCGTCTTTTCAGAAGGCTTGGAAGTGGGCGGTGCTATCTGAAGCAATTGACGGGTCAAAAGTATCATTGGTCCAATTATTGGAGGGATATTCATTGATGTCAAGACAATGATCGGCTTCCCGATCTAGTGAATTCGGTTGCTTCTTTTAAGGGAGCAACGAGTAAGATATGAGGTTGTCATGTACACAGTAATCAGGAGTCACCTCGCTGAAGTCGCAGATTTCCAAGCTGAAAGAAGTAGAACCGATCACCTCCTCTTCTTATCCTCTTCTGTGACCGGTGGTTGATATTTCAAAATCGATTCGCCAGTCTCGTACCCAGTGATCGTATTTGAACGTCTTCCTCTGCCCTTCTTGATTGTCTGGATCTTCCGGTCCACTTCCTCCAAGTCTCCTTCCGAAGTGACCGTGCTCAATGCCTTCATGCGGGGGACATTTGCGGGCCCCCTGGATCTGCTGCGACTGCTCTCCCGACTCTCAGGTTCGCTTGGCGGCATGCTCTTCAACAGAGATTGATAAGCATCAAGGTTGTATGAATCAGACGGGATTTCAGCATCAATGTCCGGCATGATACCAAATCCGAGATCGTCGATGGTCTTAGTGACGCGTTCAGAAAGCTTTTCACGATGGGCTTGCAACTTGACTAAAGAGGAGGATGAAAGTGGGTTGAGTGCCACAAGAAGCGGCGGGAGGGATTTGATGATGTCCATGCCAACTTCGCCGAATCGCAGAGCTGCGAAACTGACAAATATCATGAAAACGAAAAAGCTCATGGCAAATGCCCAAAGAGGAACGAAGTTAGGGACATATGTGTTTGCCGCCATCCACCAGGGAACTGAATGGGTGTAGTAACCGTCGTAGCGATTGTAGCGGAGCCACGCAGTCACAATGATGGTATAGTAAGCGTAAAGGGTGGGTGCAAGTCCCATAGCGACCAAAATTTTCCAAGTGCTGACGACATCGTGTCCTTGGAGTTTGACCACCGAAGCAGCAAGTGCCCGTCGTCTTTTCTTTTCCGAGATCACCTTTGTTGTGACAAAGACAGGCCAGAAAAGCAGAACACCTGGCAAAGTGCCAATACTCAAAACCATTAGCTTGCAAAGGCGATAGAACAAGGTGATCAGCGTGAGCCACCATGGCTTCTCCTCGAGATTTCCCCACTCTACCTGGTGGTCCTTGATTCCGAGTGACTCCAAGCGCCTGTTGTATTCTGTGACAGCTTTCCGGAGACTCTTGATCTGAGGATCATCTCGATGTCGAGTGTATCCCTTCAATAGGCGGCGGTTGAACTCGATCACCAGAGGAAGAGGGATTTTCTTGCTGATGGGATTATAAAGCTTCCGGGTGGACTGAACCAGAATCAAAGTTTCATGATCGGGGCTGATTTGGGTGACAGACTCTAGACCCTCGTAAATAGTTTCGAGAAGAGAGCCCACAGCATTACGCTTGCTGGTCCCGCCGGCCTTGAAGGCTTCAACCTGATCAGGATGCACATGAATGGGTCGACCGAACTCAATCACACCACGGGAGCGGAACTTGTGCGCATGGAAATAGTTCATGCCACATGGAACGATGGATAACCCGCAAGTTGGATCCTGAGCCAGGGCTCCAAGGGACATCAAAGCGGCGCCGGCTTTCAGCGGCAACAAATTAGAGCGATCGTGGCTACCTCCCTCGGGGAAGATGCCAATACAGCCTCCATTAGAGAGCTCTTTGTAAACAGCTGAGAACATACGGCTTTGGTCGACGTGGGGAGCGATCTTGAAAGTTGCTCCTTTGCGACCGTCCTCGGAAAGCGGAGCGTCGAATGGCTTCTTGAGACGCAAAGAGGTAGCACTAAGGATTTCTTCGATAGAAGCAGTCTGCGGTCCACCAGGACCCTTGACAGTGAGCGATCCGCCCGTCATATATTCCGACTGAGTGAAATCGGTATCGATACCGTTAACTAGAGTTGGATCATTCTCAAGGTCGGGTAGATAGACTCTGCCTTTTCCAGGCTTGGTCAAGTCCATAGACCGGACGACTGGGAGTGCACCCATACATGATGCCAGGGTGCCAATGTAGGGTTCATTCATGGATTTCTGAGCAATCAGGAAAGAGACACGTCGCTTCGCCTGCGACTTGAGCAGGTGCATCAAAATCGCCGAATCAACAAATTGATTGGCATGAGGGGCGGCGACAATCAGCACCGGTCCTCTTTCAGGGATTCGCCATGCTCCTCGAGGGTAGATCTCGCGAAAGAAGAGGTCCAGCGCGCAGGTGAAGAGCCACAGGACCAAATCATACAGCCACGGGATCATCCGGCGGGACGCGTCTGATCGGCCCGCCATGATCGGCGCGTGCAGTTCTGGGACTGAACAAAAACCGCGTTTATTAAGACCGAACGTTGAACCTGGGGAGGTGGGGACAATGCAGCGACGTTGCACGTTGGAGAAAAAAGTGGGCTAAGTCTGAGGGGCGGGAATGATTTAATCACTTTTTACGGGTAAATCTTACGACGAAATCCGAGTCATTCTTGACACCAAGGTATTCCCCTGGATCTTCTTGGATTAAAACTGACTAATTATAGAATAAAACAGGATAGAAGAAGAATTATGCCATCACGATAATTCGCGCTCGTCCTGATTTTACTTAAAAGCCAGAGTCGTTGTCATCAGCATCACCCCCTTCACCACCCTCACCACCGGCGCCAAGCTCGGCGCCGTGGATACTGGGGTAACCGCACTCAAGTTTGAAGGAAACGAAGCCAGGATCCAAGAATTCAGGGAGACAGACGCCCTGAACAACGGGCTCGCCGGTCAGGGGCATGAAGTAGTCGTCATCGCCGGAGCAGTCGGCGTTGTTCCAGACGTGAACACCGCTGCAGAAGACTGACTCCTTGGTGGCAAGGTAGGCCTTGAACGAATAGTGATCGATGCTCCAGTCACGGTTGACGGTGGTCTTTTCACAAGTCACAGAAGTAGCGACGAGACTGGCCTTGGACTTGGGTTCACCACGGGCTGGAGCACCGATATCGCAGGACTCCCAAGATTGGAACTCAAGGCTCACGGCGGGAACACCGGCCTGAGCCACGGCGAGAAGGGCCGCGGAGACGAGAGTCTGAATTGCTTGTTAGAGGCGAAAGAAGGTATGGTTGCATATTTCTTACTGTAGAGAAACGCATCTTGTTAAGGAGATAATTGACTTGCTGCGATCGCGATCGTTATCAAAAGGCCGATTTGTCGTTGTCGATTGGTCGTATATTGTCGGAGAGAAAGTCTTCAAACGCCATTGCGTCTCATGGCATTTAAGTAGAGCTCCAGGGCGCAATGGCACGCGAATTGCGTGCCTTCCGAGTAAACATTGTCGTCACCCAATGAGAGCCCAGTCTGGAAGTGGGTGGAATGCAGGTTGGCACTGCCAAATGCCCAGATGGTTTGGAATGCCGCGAGATTGGAGAAAGCAAGAGAGACCCTGTTGATCTTTACGGAGAATGGGAGGAAATTCGACCTTAATCAAGGGCCTGAGCAGATCCCTTATGCAGGGACACGTCCTTGAAAGGGCAACGTCGTACCTAGCATACTCTGTAGCGATCAATCTCCCTTTCTAGTAGGATACAAACAACTTCAATCAAGGTTACCATGGACTGTGGAATAAGTAGTGTAGTAGTTTATTGCATTTGCTTACATATGCGAATCATGTACGGCCGCAAGGTCAGCTATAGACCTCTCCGCAGGGGCTATTGCCTCACATCTTCGACTTCACGGAGGTACCTACTAGTGAACAAACCTTGTAAATTGAACTCAACAAAAAGTAAAAATTATGTATTAATTTGATCCCGTTACCGACCAATAGTTTCATCGTTCCACTCCGGTCTCCGGTCTTGAACAACAAAGTTGGACCGCATCCTAGAATTCCTACCCAACAAACGCCTCCTGGCCCTCGTGGGCACCATTCTGGCCCCCAAATGACTGATCTAATAGTCCGGGAAGCGGACCTCTACCTCTTGGTATGGCTCTAAGTCTTTAATTGCCCGCACGATATTAATAACATCTTAGTAGCGATGGCAAGAAGACTCGCCCCCATCTACGGAGGCCGAACGCGAACATTTTTTTTCTGAATTCATCAACCTCGGAGTTCGTGACCGTGAGGTATATCATCCAGGTCCTCTAACAATCCTATTAATCAAGCGTTCATATTTTGTAATAGCCTTACGCCAATTAAAAAAAAAGAGCGTCGGATTAGGTCCGTGCAGAACCTCTTAACCTCCGGACTAGAGGTTTTGAATCGTATACATCCACCAAGCGCAGAACGCGAAGAGGGTGGCGAGCCTCCTCTATGGCTCCGGACCTGCTATGAGCCATCATCCGAGCATGCTTGGTTGAAACCCAATCACGACAACAGTATCCCTCGGGGGAGGTGAAGTGGGGCTATCCTTCACTATTTAGTGACTCAACCTTATGTAAATTTGGTGCTGAGTATGAAAGAGTTTTTCTTCGCATGCCACAACTACTAATAACTGCAAAGAGTGTGGTCGAGTACGAAGAAGAGATACAAAGGACCCTCCCGGAAGGGATTGAGGACCAAAAGGATTGAAGGTGAAGATGCTAACCCGTGGGAGATCTCTTTCGAGCTAATCATGGGTCGTATGTACGTGGCTGATGCGACTACCTTTGCATCTACATCCGAGCGACGCAGTGAAACTCCTGCTCGTATGGTATGATGAGTGCGGAAGAACGATCCGCTCGACTCGTCTGGCACTATGGGAGGCAGTGAACATGACTCTACTGAGTAACGCCGAGATCAACGACTGGCCTTGCTGGGTACATGGGGGTGTAGGGCAATCTTATCAATGGGGCCATGCGTTGGGCCCACCCTATGGCGAGAAATGGTGAGCTTCTACTAGGTACCTAGGTCAAAGCCCTTGTTATAGGGCTATCAATATTTATAACCATTATATATAGTGTTCTTTTCTTGTCAGGCAGGGCCATTCCTAATGAAATATATAATGATTCCCGATATTAGATATATTATTATCCTCTGTGCTAAGATTTCCTTAATCATACTTCTCTTACTAAGAAACTTCTTTTACTAAGAAGGAAATACTCAATGTTATGTATAGCTAAAAACCACACCATTTATATAGTTATAGAAGGCACAAGGCTTAGTAGATCTATCATGCATACAACCTAAGTTAAGGACCTTAGATCGTGACAGCTTGGTGTGTTTGACATTGTTGCTTGAATATTGAACGAGTGACTTGGATTGTTCTAGTAACATAGCAGATATCCTCGAAAGAGATCTCCCCTGTGGGACATTGTCCTGTATCTAGTACTCAAATTTCTGCTTAACAAGTGTCTCACTTAGCTTCCACAATCTTTCTGCGTCTGTAGGGTCTCGGCCCCAACACTTGTAGTCTTCCAGAGCCGAGACTTGACTATCTTCAAGGTATCTTCCGTTGGCTGTAATATTTAGTCATTTAGGTCATCTTTCAAGAGAAGTATGGCTCTTAGCCACTTACTCTGTATTGATAAGGACTCATGGAATGCTGCGAAGACGTAGGTTGCGACACCTTGCTGTTGACTTTTGGCATTGAAGCCACCGAACCGAGGCAAGGCAAGATTCCGCCCAATCTCGGCTTTGAAGCGTATTAGCGATATAATACTTTCAGACCGACATTTGGATAGCACATACCAAGTTCAGGCCAAGCAGTATTTTCAAGGTGAGAACTGAGGTTAGTGTAGATTACTCCCGGATGAAGGCTCACTGATATAAGTCCCTTGTCCGCAAATCGCGCAGCAAGCGAGACCGAGAATAACATGTTCGCCGACTTGGACTGGCCATAGGCATACCACCGATTGTATGGGCCATGCTAATGCAAGCTTGGTTAGTATCACAATCAGTCACAATATCCATGGTATCCTCTAGCATACCTCGAAGTTCCAATCCTCAAATCTCACACGAGACAATTCGTGGCCGTTGCTAGAAACGTTCACCACGCGGCTAGTCTGAATTCCATCGGTCGAGACCAACTTTTTGATAATCAGATTCGTGAAGAGGAAGTGTCCAATGTGGTTGACTCCAAAATGAAGCTCGATACCATCGGTCGTCTGACTGTAGGGTACTGCCATGATGCCCGAGCTATTTACGAGCACATCTATGTGTGGAACATCATCATAGCTATTGACTTCGGCGGCGGCCTCACGGACCTTTGTTTGGGAGGCTAGGTCGAGCTTAAGGATACGAGTGGCCACGGTGGGTGCAATGGCTTTGATTGAATCGGCGACTGGGACAAGCTTCGCATTGTCACGAGAGGCAAGTATAATTAAAGCTGGCCCATGTGGAGCAATAGTTGTGGCGAATGCAGCACCAAGGCTCCCAGGAGACGGGCCGGTTATGAGGACAACCTTGCCTCGAATTGTGTTGGAGCAGATGGCGGCGATCTCATCGCCGGTTGTTTCAAAACCGAAGGAAGACATGATGGGGTGTTAACTTTGTATAGATTGGAAAAGAAAAAGCTTAAGGCCTTTACTGCTGGATGAAGTTTGGGCATTGAGGAAATCAGAGAACTTATAGCTTTCACTTCCACTTGGATATTGTGGACTGGGCGAACAGTACAGCTGATCGTTTCCCGATTCGGTCAATTTACACTGACCAGCATACATATCGGGATTAGCGTATAATGTCGGAGATAAGCACTTAAAGCCTCTAACTTGTCACTACTTCGACACTCATAACTCCTCTTTTTCCTTTTTCTCTTCTTTTCATATACATCAACTTCCTAAACTAGCTAAAAATTATGAATTCATCAGCAGAGGTGATATTCCCGGTGGGGTCTTCCGGTGACGATAAGCCCTGCATCTTCCGATATGACGTCGGCCCTACTGCTTTAAAGGCGACCAAGAACAGGGGAAGACCGAAAGGAGGTAAGTGATTAGATCCCGGGCTTGACAAGCAGGAAGCTGATGTATGCAGAAAACAAGCGCCAAGTCTCTCAGCGGAAATCGAAAATACCTGCTTTCGAGTTCATTCATATTGACGGTCATTCCGGCATCCCAGGTGCCGACTCACGTAAGATGATTCGGAGACGAGTGATGATCAATCATATTCAATGTAAGAAAAAAGATGAGGGGCACGCTTTGAGTCCTGGGCTATCTCCACAGGTTGCCGGTGTTGACCCTTTCAACACATTACCAATTCGGTTCGAGCCATATGCACATGATCTTCTAAAATACTGTGGGTTTGTCGTGATATGTAACTTGAAGAAACTTACTAATAACTGTAGACATCACCACCGGATGGCAGAAATACTACTACATTGAGAAACATACTTCCTTCAACCCAATTACGGAGTATTGGATCTCTCTAGTTATGACTGATGATGCATTTCTGCACACGATTATCGGGTGTGCAGATCTGCACTTTTCTCCGGGCAAAGCGCCTCAAGCTTCTCTTACAACCATAAAGCATTTGAATGCTGCAATTTCAATTGTGAATAAGCGCATTGTGAATAATGAGATTCCCACTGATGCAACTCTGGTCATTGTTGCCACAATGGCTCTTATGGAGGTCAGTACTTAACTAATCGACAGATGGGTCAGATGAATCTAACTAAGCCTACGATAGAAGCACCGAGGATCTCATGAAAATTGGAATATTCATATGAAGGGCCTTCAAAAGTTAGTCGCTCTTCGCGGCGGACTTGAATCGTTGGAATCACAGCCTCTTGCAATGGGGAGATTATACCGGTATGACATGTCAAACCTCCTTCATAGATTGCCTTGTATAATTGCTGAGACATTTCTTTGTATTTCAAAGAGCGGATCTAGCTGGCTCTATAGATGCTGCTCAGGAGCCCTACTTTTCAAGCCGAGGACTTTCAACTCCCATGAAATCAGATCCGCAATTTCTCAACTCTGGGTTTCAAATACTCAACTCCATAAACCCATTGGATGATACTTTGATATCCTGTATCCAGAATGCCGCAGATACTATGTCCTCCTTGAAGAAACTGAGCACAAAAAGCCCCCACACCGAGGCAGCCAGGATCCGTTATTGTTCCACGGCTCTACAATACACTCTTCTGTCGGTGAAATACTCGGATCCAATGCATGAAATCTGCCGGCTCTCTCTTCTTTTACTTTCGGAAATGCTGGTCAATCAAAGCTCTTTACTTTTTCACAAATATGAAATGCTAATCGCTAGAATATGGGACATCTATGACGCCTCCGCTACTCACTTGATTCTACCGGAGTTTAAGCTTTGGGTTTCTGTTATTGTTGCATCTTGCACGATCTCAGAGAAGACAAGGAAAAATTCTCTTTGTGTTGTTTCCGAAGCCGCTTTGGCATTGAATGTGTTTACCATTGAGGAAGCAGAATCTGTGCTGAGGATATTTTTATGGGATTCTGCCTTGAAGACTGACACATTTCAAGCCACTTGCAGTATATTTCTCTCCAGCTCTAGTTGATCAATATTGTTCCTCGACAAATATATCTTTTCTCTTGCCTATCTTCTCATTACCACCGATTTTGTGAGAGCTCGATATAATAATGCGGCTCAGTGGATGCTCATTAGCGGTGATCGACTGCTCACCTGCTACTGAAATATGATTGGACGTATTTGTTGAGGTTTAAGTACATGATTTTCTCGCTCTATAATCAATGCATCTAAGGGTTCAAGGATGGGAAGGTCGGATTGTGGTGCCTGAACCGCCAGGCATGTAACCTTCTTGAGCGTCGCGTCATAGACTGTCAATGTTGCATCGTCTGCTATAGGACTTCGAGTCCTTGCCTCAAATCAGACTTCAAAGCCAAGTTCCATTCTTTGTACATTTGACAAGTGACCGCCATCAACCGGGCATCCTTCCGCTCTTCACTATGACCGCATCTCGGGAACCATCCTTTGATGACTTGGTCTCGTTCCGTGATGCAGATCGAGGATTCGTCGACAAATTGAACCCTTGTATCATCAAAGACAATCGTGGAAATGTTGTCTGGGACAATGAAGCATACAACTTTTTATCCGACACGCCTTGCCCGCAGACCGCAAATCCCAAGTTATGGCGCCAGGCTCAACTCGTCAGCAAACAGGGTCTCTTCAAGGTTGTAGAAGGCATATATCAGATCCGAGCGTTTGATTTGTCAAATATGACCGTTATCGAAGGCAAGCAAGGAATCGTTGTGGTAGATCCACTCACGTCGGCGGAATGCGCCAAGGCTGCTCTCGAGCTGTATCGCAAAAATCGCGGCAAAAAGCCAGTGCTGGGCATGATCTACACGCATTCGCACGCTGATCATTTTGGTGGTGCAGAGGGAATTGTTTCCAGGAGTGAAGCTACGAAAATTCCGATTTTGGCTCCATTTGGATTCCTCGAGCACGCCGTCAGCGAGAATATCTACGCAGGCAATGCCATGGCTCGCAGAGCCTCATATATGTATGGGGATCAATTAGGTAAGGGCCCTGAGGGTCAAATCAGCGCCGGCTTAGGAGCAACTTTGTCTTCAGGAACAGTGACACTGATTCCCCCGACTGTCGACGTGACCCATACTGGCCAGGTCGAAGTGATTGATGGCATTGAATTTCTTTTCCAGGTCACACCAGGGACTGAGGCACCTTCGGAGATGAACTTCTATCTCCCCCAGTGCCGTACTCTATGCGTAGCCGAGAATGCTACGCAATGTCTTCACAACATTGGAACCCTTCGGGGTGCGGCTATCCGGGATGCGCTTGCGTGGTCTTCATACTTGGATGAAACAATTGTTCTCTTTGCCGAAAAGTCCGACGTTGTGTTTGCATCCCATCATTGGCCAACATGGGAAAAGGACGCTGTCATAACATACGTCACCGAGCAACGAGATCTCTATGCTTTCCTCCATGACCAGACACTGCGTCTTATGAACGAAGGCCTCACAGGCATTGAGATTGCAGAGTCATTCCAGCTTCCACCCAAGTTGAGTACTGCTTGGCATACGCAGGGCTTCTATGGATCCGTTAGTCATAATGTCAAAGCGATATATCAGCGCTATATGACATGGTTCGATGGTAACCCAGCCCACCTTTGGGAGCATCCCCCGGTTGAAAGCGCCAAGCGCTACGTCTCCTGCATGGGAGGTATTGATGAGGTTATTCAAAAAGCGAAAACATTCTCAGAACAGGGAGATTTGCGGTTCGCAGCTACACTTCTCAATCATGCAGTGTTTGCCGAACCCGAAAACAAACGTGCCAAGAGTTTACTGGCATCAACATATGAATCTTTGGGATATGGATGCGAGAACGGACCTTGGCGCAACTTTTACATGTCCGGAGCGATGGAGCTGAAAGGCGAGAAAATGAAGGACAATATCCTGACTGACCAGGCTGCTATGGCTAAATCTCTGTCTCTTCGTCATCTATTCTCATCCTTGGCTGTCAAGTTGAATGGTCCTCTGGCACAGGCCCAGGATTTTACTATCGACTTGTATGTGACGGACCGGGATGAGCATTGTCGATTGATTGTCAGCAATGGAGCCTTAATCCATCGGACTGGAAAAACCCGCACATCAAGGTTAGATGTGGCGGACTACTCGTGTGAGCTGACATTCTCACAGCTATTGCAACTTTTGACCACTGGGGAAACGCAAGAGTCAGTAAAGAATGAGGTCGGCGATAGTTCCTTCATAAGCAAGTTGCTGTCGCTTATTGTGACGCCAAACGGAGCATTCAACATTGTGACACCGTGACTTGAGTGAATGATAGGACTTAGAGGATGACACACGCTGACAACGCAACTGTATTTATCGAGCAACTCATTTTGAGAGACAGTTCTATTTCGTAATAAGGGGCATTTATAACATTAATCAATCAAGTACTCGCGTCGCTAGGCCACTCTAGAGCTGAAAGCCTATTTGATATGAAAGCTGAGTACCTTTCTTAGAAAACCTGCAACAATGTGTGATTTCTTGACTAGATACTGAGCGTCAACCGGCAGCTATCAAGCACATTATAAGAATTATAAGCCTTATACACACCAGTAACCTTTAGGAAATGAAGGATATAGAGCTGGAATCTAGGAATGTTTCATAACCTCATCTGAGATTGAGAGACGTAGAAGATATAGAGCACGGAGATTTGAATGCATAACTACATACCCGCAGACACAAAGTAGAAAGCGCTATTTGCAAGAAACTGGGGGAATAGAAAAGAAAGCAACAGCGTCGAGCCCGACTTTTCCTCCATTCCATAACGTGAATGTCGGCCAAGATACGCATATATAAGAGAAGAAGGAAAGAGATGTAAAAGAGAGAAAAGACAACGAATGCAATCAAGGTATATACGAACACGAAAGCAAGCATTTCTGTCATATAGTCTCCTAAGCGGAGACATATTTTCCGCCAACCAGCTTGCGGCTGGTTGGGACCTCTTGCCAGTTGACTGGGGCCGGGGATTGTTTCCCACTATCAGCGAAAGGATCACTTTCTTGCTGAGGGGACTCCGAAACAGCACGACTGACGCCAAGTCGAGAGGCGGACTCGGTAGTGTGGAGCTCGAACTTTGCTTCGACATTGCCCCTGCGAGGGCCAGGGGTGGATGTGGAAAAGCGAACAAGGAACTTGCCGTCGTCACCGGAGCCAGGGGCCTTGACTTCAAGCTCAGGTATTCTCCAAGTGACAGTAGAATTCTTGCGGCGGAAAGTAGCGCCAGCGTTCGGGTGCATGACGGCGCTGGTTGCATGCGCAACACTCTCGCGGGGTTGCTTGGTTATTTCGTCTTCAGCGGCGATGTCCAAGCCCACAGTCAAGATCACGTTCTTTAAAGTGATGGATTCCATAGGTTGCGATACAAAGGCTGAATTCAATGAGTAGAAAATGATAGCACTGGCTTGGGATTCCTGCAGGTTCCAAGCTGGTTTAAAGACAACAGGGCAGTAAGAGGATGCGCTGCTAGGGTCGAGATGCAATTGGTACTTGAAGGCCACTGTTGGCATGGGCCGAGAAATGCTGCCCAGCTGCAGTTCATACTCGCCCCGCTTCTCATCGCCAGCGTCTTTAGTTTCATGAACGAAGTGAGGGTTTGCAGCGACCTTCTCCAGCAGAGGGAAATTATCCAGACGAATGCGCAAGGAGTCTGCTGCAAAGCCTGGCGCAACGTTGTGGGCTAGAGCAAGCTCACCCATCACAGAGGACTTGGTCACCTGGCCCTCCGAAAACCATGCGTTGACGGTCTCGATTATTGATGCATTCAGACCGGGCTCATATAGCTCAGGATGCATGCTGAAGGTCTGGCCGTGCGTAGTGTGCCCCGAGCGGACCGAGGTGGTGTCCGAAACGGCATGGTCGTCCGTGGCAGTGCTCATAGAAGGAGCGTGTCTGATCGGAGAGGATGGAGAGTACGCATCAGATGCAAGTGGATTAGGAGCCAACTCGTTACCCGGGTTTGCAATAAAAACTGTATTGCGAACGTCACGGCGACCGCGGATAGTACCCGCATTCCGTCTCATAACAGACTGCGGAGCTCGCAAGCGAAGAGTATTTGCCATCTCATCCATGGCTTGCTTGGCCTGGCTTTCGTCTTCGAAAATAGGTTGATCACGGATTGTCAAATTCATACCAGACTCATCCAGTCCGGCGGCTTCCCTCTGGGCACGAGTAACTTCATCTACTGTCGAGGGGCGCTCAGTGAACCCTTCTGAATCAACGTGCGAAGGATCGGTGCCATTCCTAATCAATCCGGAGTGGGCTTCTGGCGAGGCGCCGTTGGTTGTAGTTGGGAATGGCTGTGCAATCGGAGCGGGAGCAAAAGCCTCCCCTGCGGTTTGATCATGCGACACGCTAGGGGTTCGTGTATATTCTTCCTCGGTCATCGATGTGCCGGGACGGTCTGCAGTGGATGGAGGTGATTCGGGGATTTGCATATCTCTCGATGAATCGGATCTCTTGAAAGGTGCAAATGGACTGCGCTTCTTCTCTGCCTTCCTGTCGAAGGACGAACCTGACGGTATGACCATGCTCTTCCGTCTGCCCATGACAGTACCGAGTCGCCTTAGCCCACCCAATGCGATATTTCGTGGCTGTGGTTCTGGAGCTGTTTCAATGTTAGAGACAAGTGAAAACTTCATGACTGGAGTTGTAAACTAACCAGGGGGTGTAGGAGTAGGCGTCTGTCTCTCTGATCTTTCTGAACGCTGGCTATCCGCATCGTCGTGAATATGCGACGGAGGTGCCAGCGGCGTAGTGGTTGGAGTCTCAAAAGCTGACTGAGTAGGCGCTGGAGGCGTTTCGGGGAGGGGAGGTTCTCCTCGAGGCACGGCTGACGAGGCTGGGATGCGCGATCCCTTCATTTTAGCAGCAAATGTTTGGATCTCATCTGCAGTCTGCACGTTCAGAAGAACATTCAGACAACTCTCAGCAGCCTGCCGACCGCGCTCGATTTGATCCACCTCATGGGTTTCTAGCTGCGTGAGCACGTCTCGCAGGTGGTTGAGTCGACCTTCATCTGCAGCTTGAAGCTGCTCAAATACAAAAGGCGCACGCGAATCCCACTGCTGGCTGACCTCTTCTGCGGCGGCAACTGCAGTTGCCAGCTGTTTTGGGTTCTTGGTGCTCTTCTTCTTGGCCTTTTCTACTTTATCCTGAGCCGCCTCGATGCTTTTGGCCAAACCCGCAAGATTGCTTTGGATTCCGGGCATTGACTGCATGTCGCGGTTCTTAGTGCTGTATTCCCTAAGAGGGCGTTCGACATCTTCCTCGATCTTCGTCGCAAGGGTCTCGTGCGATGTAGCGAGTGCCTCGGTCGCGTGAATGATGCGCTGCCAAGGGATTTGGAAAACGCTGGACGCTAGTTAGAATCGCATAACAATCCGTACCAACGGGCTAGCCCTCTAAGGGCACAATGTACTTACCCAAGTGCGGCACCATTGTCCAGGCTAGGGCGATTGGCCAGCTTTCGCAAGCCTTGGGTGTATGCCTCCTCCACGCGACGCCGTTCCTTATACCATGTCAGCACTGGGGCCCCGCAATGTTCAAGAATGTGACTTGAGGGATATAGCGGGGATTTAAGCACTGCTCCATCATACCTGGAGAAAGTCTGCGATATCTGAGTGGATCTTATTTATTACACGAATGCGATCGGTGAGGACATTGTTAGCTTGGCTAGGGTGCAAGGTGGCCTAGAAATGGTGGTATCACCGATCGTCAGAACATTGTAGCTTGAGCACAGGGACTCGGCAGCTTGGAGAAGTGAACTGACCAGCAGCGCTGGGTATTCCTGCCGGGATAGCTCCATGGTTTCAAGGTTGAAGGTCAGTAGAGCGCATGAAGCGCATAACCAGGGGAATCGGTGACGGTGGGGTTAGAATTGTCGGGGTGGCCAAGACCAATGATGCGGGATTGAGATTGAAGGTGAGTGGCATTCGATCGCCGCCGAAGACGGGGAAATGGCTGGTCGCTGGGGATGACGGATGGGGGCGGGTGAAGGCGGAAGGCGGTGGGGAGAGAACTACATATGACCCAGAGCCGCGCGACACTGCAGTTTAGACAACACACGAAAATCAATTCGATACCGGATGAGGGGACTGGCTTAGAAGCTATGGACTGAGATAGTAGGTGCTAATTTACCGAGATATTCACTCGTAATTGAACAGTAATTGAAGCGTTTCCAGTGGCGGCAGTAAAGTCAAAGTGACGCCTCAGGCACAGGAAACGGGCATCCGTCGATCTATACCCTTTCCTGCTGATCGCATGATGTATGTACACTATTTGAATGTCCTTGCTTGTAGCTGGCAATATATTTTGCTAGTTCGTACTCATTGCAAGATGCAGTAGCAGTGCAATAATTTTGCCCTTGCACAGTATTTCACCACCAATCAGACAAGATCAAGCATGACGCCTTTCTCCGCTATTGGATCACATGACATCATTGTCAGGCCCACAATGCTTGTCACCTGAAGCCATTGTGCGGTTCCACAATCGCTCGCCGAGGTTAATTCCGTTTATACAGCTATGGATTGGCATAAGAATCTGGGTTTCACAGATCGATTAAGAGCCATCCAGTCACTGTCAGTCAGAGTCTTTCAGGAATAAATGATATTTACTTACACTTCATCCCAGCACTTTAGCCTATCAGCAGGCATCTTCATCGGATGCCTTTGCTGAGGCCCAAGCGCAAGCCAGGCAATGTGAGAACGAGGCCTATGACCACGCTACTTCCAAGGTCCGTCTCTTGAAAATTTGAGGAACCTCGTACTTTGACCAGCTGTTTGACGCCACAATTATTGCAGGAGCAATATGATCAGATTTGCCAAAATGCAATTGACGCAGCGGAGGCTACCAGCTCTGTAGCAGTGCCCAATGACAGCTCACACCCAAGCCAGGATGTTTTTCCAGATTCTACTACCTCAGACGAATCAACCCTGGGAGAGACATTTGGCCAGTATAAATCATGCTTTCATCATTTTGATGGGCTTCACTCAACAATTTACCGGACCAAAGCACAGGATGGATCGGTGCGGGCCATCAAGATCACTATCCCGCATCTCATGACAGCTCCCCACGATGCCCATCGTGAGGTCCGGCTGCTTCGAGAGGGATCCAACCAATACGTTATTCCCTTGATTGAGACATTTAATCTAGATGAAGGTCGATTGGTCATGGTTTTCCCTTTTTGCGGTTCGACTTTGACCATCTGCTGCGGCGGGACATGGTCACTGCCTCACAGACTCGTTCCATCCTACGGGATATGTTCTCTGGCATTGCCCATATTCACAAGCTGGGGATCATCCATCGTGATATTAAGCCCTCAAATATACTGATGGACTCTCCCAATGGGCCCGCATACCTGGCCGATTTTGGGATTTCTTGGAAAGAGGGAGACGCTGGGTCCGAGCCCTCGGATTCAAAAATCACCGATGTGGGCACGACTTGCTACCGCCCTCCGGAGATCCTATTTGGGTATCGGGGATACGGCACGGCTCTGGATCTCTGGGCGGCAGGATGCGTGGTAGCGGAATCCACCGTTGTAGGCCATCGGTCTCTTTTCGACTCCGGGCCTCTGGGCAGTGATCTGTCCCTGATCCACTCCATTTTTCAGACGCTAGGGACACCGGATGAAATTAGCTGGCCAGTAAGTTCTTCTGTTTTCCACGTGGGAGCTTGATCCAGAAATAACTAGCAAGTAGGGAGTCCATGTGCTGCCAGATTGGGGCAAGGTAGAATTCCACCCCTTCGCAGCGCAGTCCTGGGATGATATTTTGCCTGGTGCATCCTCCAAGGGCCGAGACTTAGTCCGCCAGTTGGTCTGTTACGAGAGCAGCCAACGACTCTCCGCCGACGAGGTAAGCGGGTCGCAATATCCGAATCTCAACGGTCGCTTATCAATATTACCCTTAGGCTCTCCAGCATTCGTATTTCTCCGCACCTTAATCTCGATGACGAGACCGCCACAGGAATGCCCCTCAGCCACAAATTTGACAGCTGTGCCTCCTCCGATCTTCCGGGAGGCAGGCTATAAACGCCTCCGGCAATCATGCTATATGAGATCGACTCATTCTCGGATACGAATCCTGATCCCAATTCCCACAGCCTCGTTTTAATTACGCTAGAAGAACAATCAACAGTGGGCTAGAGTGCCGATCTGGGGCGAAAGAAATCCCTTTAATTTTTTAAATTTGGCACTTTACCCCGTTCGAAGCGTCTCCGGCAAGACCGGAAATTAGTAAACCCACTATTCAATGGGAAGCGGTGATGAACCGAAGGTGAAACAGCCAATGGAGTCCGTGCCCCGCGTTTGCACGGCACTTGGGCCCTTGGGGGCCATCACACAGGTTTTTCACTTGAAAACAGGAGACTCATTAAACTCGCATAGCATCAGAGAACCCTGGAACGAGGATCTGAGATTGTATGAGCTAGGTCCACATGAATCATGAAACTGCTTGTATCTCTTAAAATTGAGATCAAAAATCTCGAATCTCTCGGATGCAAGATGGATGGGGCTGTTTTTAAAATACCAGGAACCGTATTGACTAGGCCAATCGCACTGGAAGTGGATACAGATCACCCCCAGATCCGGTTAGTCCCTGTAACAGCCCAATACCGGGTCAGGGTCTCCATTGTTGTACATGCACTCATTTCGGTCCCTCGTGAATCGCATTTGAGGGGATCGAGTGCGCTGATCGACTTCTCTTTTCCTCTACAATTCCATTACGACCTGGTCGTCGTTATCCTCTCATTCTTTTCGTAGACTGCTGTCGGGCCGTGCTCGATCAGTCCTAGTCGTCCATTCTTTTGATTTACACCACATTCCACATAACGCGGGTGTGGACTATCTCAACAGCGCGATTCCAGAGTTCCTGACTCGCGTTGGAATTTAGCAAAATCTTGATCTAGGAAGCTTTTCACTCTGGAGTGAACACCAATTTATCTCAACCCATCGACCTTGTTTTTCAATACTCATAAGAGTCTCACGGTCATCATGGTGCACGGGCATGCACATCACACCCACGACCACCCCCTTGAGGTGCGTCTAGAGGAGCGGGGCCATAACGACAACGATGATACCATCATCGTCTATACAACCATAGTCGGTGGCGATGATAACGATAGCGCCGATACCAAGACTGCGGCGGAGAAGACAAAGGCCACGGATGTTGGTGTGGGCCCAGCTGTCGGAGTCTCTGCTACGAAGACGACCTCGGAAGAGAGCAAGACCACAGAAGAGGCAACAAAGACTACCGAAGAGGCCAAAACTACTACCAAGGAGGACAAAACAACTACCAAGGAGTCTGAAAAAGAGAGTACCACGGAGAAGGAAACCACTACCTCTGAGACCGAAAAATCAAAGACAACAGCAGAGGCCACCACAACCGAGCACACTGAAGCTATCACCACTACGACGGATAAGGCGCAAACAGGTGCGACTGCGACTCAAACATCCTTTGTGACCTCCACCTCGTCAACCTCAGCCGACTCTACTACCCAGGATGTGAATGGCCTCGAACATGCTGCGACTGCCAGCGCATCTTCCACCAAATCCGCTGCTTCAGCCTCCTCCACAGCGATCAGCTCTGGGTCAACGGGCCTGTCCTCGGGCGCAACAGCTGGTGTGGCTATTGGTGTCGTTCTAGGTGTGGGTCTGCTTGCGGCTCTGATTTTCTTCATTGTCCGAAAGAAGAAGCGCAACCAGGCAGATGACCCTCCTCCAATGGATGAGAAGATGTTTAGCGCCCAGAACCTACCCCCTTTCTCATCTCCTAAGCCAATGACTCCATCTCAAGCTCCGAAGCTCAACGTTCGCCCGATCACCCAATTTGCACCTGATCTGAGCAACAGTGCTTCCTTCAACACCGCTAACACTTTCGCTGCCGATGCAGGCGTTGGTGCAGGGGCTGCGGTCGTCTCGCGCAATCTGACGGGTGATGTGCCACCTCCAACTCCACCGAAGTCGGCTGCCAGCTCTCAAAATCCTTTCACGGACCCGGTCAACCCCTTCAATACTGCCAGCACGGCAACCTCGGTGCATTCTCAGAGTCCGACATCAGTTTCAGGCCCCTCGGGTCCAGCTATCGCATCAACAGCTGCTGGAGCTGCAGCCTTGGGAGCTGGTGCCGCCGCTGTAGCCTCCCACGAATTTGATACGGCACAGCCCAATCGACCTGCATCAATGGAATCGGATGTTCGTCCACCAAACTCGCCTAGCCCCGTTAGTGTTGATGGCGACTCCGTTTCGTCAGCAGCAATGATCGCTGGCGGTGCTGCTGCCGCAGGTGTTGGCGGAGGTGCTGGTCCTGGGCCGTTGAACGTGTACCGTGTACAACTGGACTTCAGCCCGTCACAAGAAGATGAACTTGAACTCCTATCCGGCACCCTCGTCCGGATGCTTCACGAGTATGACGATGGATGGGTGAGTGTTTCGTGAAAAAAATACTTTATCTAGGAGAGAGCTTTACTAACATCCCTTCCCAGGCCCTGTGCGTCCGCCTTGATCGATCTCAGCAAGGAGTTGCTCCTAGATCGTGCCTGTCTTCTCGCCCTGTCAAGCCTCGCCCGCGTCCGCCACCTGGTGCCCCTGGCCCTGGCCCCCGTGGCCCGCCGATCATGGGCCCTAACGGCCACCCAATGCCACCAAGAGGTCGCGGTCCACCCTCGGGACGATTTTATCCCACAGACGCCCGGCCAAGATCGCCAGCCGGCCCTGGATACGGTGGCCCACCTCGCCCATACGCCGGTGGACCCGGCCGTTCAATGTCGCCCGTCGGGCAATTCCCCGTCCCTAGATCTATGAGCCCCGGTCCCCGGTCTATGTCCCCAGGCCCCCGCTCTATGTCTCCAGGACCCGGCATGCGACCCGGTCCACGGGCAATGTCACCAGGCCCTGGCTATAATGGTCCCCGTTCCATGAGCCCAGGACCCTACGGCCCGGGAATGCAGCGACCAGTAATTCCCGCCAACCAGCGTCAACGAAGTAACAGCGCAGGCAACATCTCCCCACCAAATGTTGGCGCCGCAGCCCCGCCTCGATCGAGTCCACTGGCTGTAGCACAGCCTCCAGCGCCCGCTCCTACAGGCGATCTTCCCGCTATCCCCAGCTCTGCTCCGAGCTCTCCTGAATCCCAAATCAGCAGGAAACCTGTTCATGCGGACTTCTAATCTGCTGTTAATGACCCGAGATACCCCTATGAGCTGAGCTCTGCTCCCTTGCAGATTAGAGATTCGAGATGTATGTCTCGTCTTGTGTCCCGTTGGACGAAATGAGCCTGCCACTATGCTGTACGACTCACTCTCTGCGTCTGTGACGAACGAGCTTTTGTATCTCTTTGTATACTGTCTTTGTATGGAATTTCCTTTTCTTTACACCACTTCGTCGTGATTGTTTGGATGGTGGCTTTCTACCGGTGAATCCCTTGTTTGCCCTACAAACATCATCACCCTTCCATTTCCCTTCCTTTCCCCCCTGTTCGTTCTCTTCTCCAAGGAATCGAGGTTGCATCCAACTCCTTCCTTATTTTTATGGATACACGATTTTTGACAGCGAATGAATGAATCGGAATACCCAGAACTCTGTACCATTTGAAAGTTCTGAGACATGTACCAGTTCATACTTGATAGAATGTTATTTTTCAATCTTATTTTAGCCAAGAACAATTGGAATAAAAACCCCGCTAGCGCTTGATTGCTCTATTATGTGAAAATTTAACCGAAATTCGAATATACAATTGTATACCCTTCGCCCCTTTTTCTATTTACAAACGGGGTTTAAAGATGAGGAACCTTTGCACTTGCAAGAATGAGGTTCACAATGCTCACAATGCCTTCGCCAAGGATAAGACCAGAGGCCAAGACAACGACAGTCGAAGACGCTGCGTCTGCCTTGTCAGCTGCCTGTTTAGCCAAAGCGGATCCCTCTTGCCCAGATGTAGAACCAACAGATTCTGGTCGTGCAGAGGGGCCCTCATTATGATCTGCATCAGCAGGCGAGGCGTGCTTGCGAGCCCACCACCAAGCAATGATTCCACCAATAACTCTCGCGAGTGTAAAAGAGGGGACATTGAAGATACCAACGGCGACGGCAATTCCACCAGGGATCCAATCTCTCCATGCAGGTGGCTTCCCGCCAACTGCAAATGAAGGAGACGCAGCGGCGATTCGGACCGCTGTGAGGCCCATCCAGATAACACCAGCGATAGCCGAGGCCTGCCATGCCATATCCGGTAATCCCTGACCAGTCACGAGTCGGGCAGTGAAAATCCAGACATATGCCGTCGGGGTTTGGAACATTTCACCCGGGATCTCGTATACATTGACATACATCTTGTACACCGCAGTAGAGAGGATTGCACCGAAAAGACTGCCGATCATCTGGCCGTAGAATTGGGCCTTGGGGCTCGCGCCGAGAAGATGGCCTGTTTTCAGATCCTGCATCATGTCACCGGCTTGTAGTGCGCCAGACTCGGAGACTGCACCTGCTAGGAGGTTCGTCACCAAAGCTGTGCGTCGAGAGAAATGGGATGCTGGGGTTACAAGCGAGAAGAGAAGCTGTGTCAGCTTGCTGATCCCAGATACTGGGTTCAGATCCGTTTCGCCAAGGGCCCGGACACCCATGATTGAGAGGAGAACTGCCAGGAGTGTGGCGAAACTTGATAGTAGTGGGGAGATGATGTCGCCGAAAACAAAATGCATGCAAACGACGTTCAGTATCAGGGTAAGAGGTAGCAAGATGACCACAGTGCGCGTCGAAATGAGCTGAGATGCCGGGGCATCTTCTTCCTCCGGCTCCGCCGCGATTGAGACGGAGTGGGGGTCATGGTTCTCGTTCTCGTGATCCTGACCAGGGTTGAGAGCGGAATAATTTACATAGGAGCGGTCGTGAGATTGTGATTGCAGCCGAAAGGCGATCCACCTGCCTAGTCGAGTGGAGCGGAACCAAGCTATCCATCCGGGAGCATGGTTTACCAAGGGTCTGACGACTAGCCAGCCGAGGCTGACGAGGGAATCAGCAAGCATAATCGCCAGTGATATCCAAACGATCCACGCTTTGCTTCCATCGTCCCAGCTGTCCACGGGCCCAGGAGCCCATCCACGGGCCTTGGCAAGAGGAGAGAGGATACCCCACCCCAAAATTGCTCCAAAAAGCATATGCATGCATGTTGAGGGGCCCATGATGATTCCTTGGCCAATGTACGCCGGAGATGGGTTGAGAGTCCAGAGCCAATTATGGGCAAGGCCCAGTCCAAATAATGGAATGTCACGGACAAGTGGAACGAAGTAAGAGAAAAAAGTCTATAGAAGTTAGTTGAGCTTTGGGGAAACGCCCAAATGGGTGCGATGCCTCACATAAATTCCGGAGACTACAAATGCACCGATGAGCAGCCGCATCTTCGACCGCCAATCCTTTTGATCAGTTGCCTGATCTTCAGCCTCTCCGTCCTTCAATAGGCGATGTCCCTCTGCTTCCGCGGACGGCACAGGCACCGCACGCTCCTGAGCCAGCTCAATAGGGCGGTCTTGGGCTTCCACTGGAACTTTTTCATCTTTCCCGGCGCCATGGAGAACCCGAAGCATCAACGCAGACGCAGTGCCACTTGGGAACCGCAACTTCTCACGAACTATAACCTCCTTACGTAGTGGTACAGCAAACACTACACCGAACAAGCAAACCCCAAGACTCCAAACCACCAGTTTCCAGAACCCGAGCTTGAGGGGCCCGCCCTCGCCATCTCCACCATCACCCGTCGGCCCATCTTCACCGTCTTTCAATAGGAACTCCAAGGCAGGAATTACCCCGACAAATCCACATCCGAGTGGCATAGTTCCCACGGCCCCGGCGACGGTTTGGATCAGGACGTTCTCGATTGGCGTAAACGGGAAAGATAGCTGCTTAGACAACACCTTGAAGACCGAGAAGCCGATCAAGGCTGAAGGCATGGCCATCGTACTGATCCATCCTGTCTGAAGGCCAAAATATGTGTTTGAAAAGGTGATTAGGGCTCCAATGATGAGGCCGACAATGAGCGAGCGGGGTGTGAAGCTCTGTGCGGAGGTAGTTGTCGCGTGCGGAGTCGGTGCGACACTGTCTGGCTCGCCTGGGTGCTGGCCAGGGGAGATTTGATCATCTATCCCCTGATGCTGTGACTCGGAGGCATTGCCTGCCATACTAAGGGTCTGGTAATTCATTGGCCCAGCAGAGTCATGGTGGAAGGGACGAGACAAATTGGGGTTGATAAGCAGCGGATGATTAATGATAAGATCACATGACGTCACATCATGATTGGTCGGTTCTAAACTATACAACACTAAAGGTCACCTCTCATTTTTCACATCCCTTTTATCTGAAGGATAATTGTATGAGCTGAATTGCATAAAAATCCAGGATCAATTATGCTGAACCGAGTCTCGCCTATTTTGATGGATCCATTCCATTGAGCCCCACTGCCAGCATGAGGTTAGTCCCCGGGATTCAGAAATCGGGGTCTAAACCCAATTGGGACGGCTCCTATAGCCAAGTCGATTTCGAGGAATATTTAAGCCCTTGAAGCCTCGTTGAAATCCATTTTCTCCTTGGGTTCTCTGTCCTTCTTTTAAATTTCCAAATTTGTTTCTTTTATTCTCTTATATCTTTTCCTAGCCCTCTTTGGTCTGTGCCAATCCGCAGTATGGCTGCAACTACTGAGGGTAAACCCCGAAAGCGGCACCAAAATGAGCAAGACTCCGTCACTGCTACAAATGCTTCTGAATCAAAGTCAAATGATTTCGCATTGGAACATCTTATCGGAGGCTGGCAGCCAGGCATGGACCCCAAGGTCGACTATTCCGGTCATTTCGAATTCGGCGGCTCACTGGGTTGTCTTGGTCTGATGATCGGTTTCCCACTGTTGATGTATTATATGTGGATCGGTACTACATATTACGATGGAAAATTCCCTCTCCCAGAAGCAGATCAGTCATTTGTGGAATTTGTGAAGCATCTTGGTCATCTTGTCTACACCGGCGCCTTCCCTCACTTTCGTGCGTGGCGTATCTACTGGACATACATCATTTTCGAGGCTGCCTGTTATGTCTTCATGCCCGGCTTCACCTGCTACGGCAAGCCTCTTGCCCACCTCGGTGGGAAGCAATTGAAGTACCACTGCTCTGCCTATACCAGCTTCTACTTTACTATCTTCGTCATGGCTGTCTTGCACGGAACTGGCCTGTTTCCCATCTATACCTTCCTAGATGAGTTTGGCCCGCTCATGTCTGTCGCCATTCTTACTGGGTACATCAACAGTCTCATCACCTATATTCAGGCCTTTGTTCGTGGAACGCAGCACCGCATTACTGGCTACCCGATTTACGATTTCTTCATGGGTGCTGAGCTCAATCCTCGACTCTTCGGGATCTTGGACTTCAAGATGCTCTACGAGGTTCGCATTCCGTGGTTCATTCTTTTCGGCCTCAGCTGTGCGGCTGCTACCCGTCAGTACGAGAGATACGGTTACGTCTCTGGTGAGGTCCTGTTCCTGGTTATGGCCCACTATTCCTACGCCAACGCGTGCTCCAAAGGAGAGCATCTTATCACCACCACTTGGGATATGTATCAAGAAAAGCTCGGATTCATGTTGACTTTCTGGAATCTCGCTGGTGTTCCCTTGTCATACTGTCATTGCACATTGTATCTCGCAAATCACGAGCCGTCCACTTATGCGTGGAGCAAACCCGCCTTGGCTGCATTCTTCATCTCCTACCTGTTCGTGTACTGGGTCTGGGATACCGCCAATGGTCAAAAGAACTCCTTCCGTATGATGGAGCGAGGAACTTGGGTGAAGCGTAAGACCTTCCCACAGCTCCCATGGCAAGAGGTCCACAGCCCCAAGACTATTGTGACCGAGAAGGGAGACACTATCCTTGTGGATGGGTGGTATGGTCTGGCTCGCAAGGTTCACTACAGCTGTGATATGTTCTTCGCCATCTCTTGGGCCCTGATCACCGGCTTTAACAGCCCGTTCCCCTGGTTTTATCCTGTCTTCTTCTGCATCATGATTATACACCGTACCATCCGGGATATCAACAAGTGCAGACATAAGTATGGTGCTTCGTGGACGGAGTACGAGAAGCAGGTCCCTTATCTTTTTATCCCGGTTTGTCTCCCCTGCCGCTCATGTGGAAGACGTATGCTAATCATTGAATAGTATGTCATTTGAATAATATCTACAGAGAAGGAAGCTGGGCAGAGGATCATAGAAGTGTAATTTTATTGTTAGATTAATCAAAGCTGCCGAGACGTTAATAATCTGTTATGCTCCAAATGGACTGGTGTGAACACAAGTACTACTACAGTTCGGAAAAATCAACTTCAGGCTGTTATATGCCTTTTTGAATCGCAATCATACACTAGACATAGGTATGCAGGTAGAATGTGTTATTGCTGCTAGAGCTCGTCCTGAAAAATGCTGGATTAGGCTAACGGTGTCCGCCTTAGCCGGTTCGACGGCAAGGTTTTTCATTGATTCAATATGCATATAATCATCTAGTAGGATTATATCGTCGTTTTTATTGGTGCCTGGTCCCCCCTGATTGGCTCATCCAACGCCAAGGTTGCTCATAAATTTGATAGCGTTGCATTGTAGGCCTATCGCCCAATGATAGTAACACGCCACGTAGTTCGAAAAAAAGGCAACTATCAATTAAAACGTAGGTCAGGAAGTTGATTCCTGAGGTAACTAGTACTGTTCCGTTAAGACAATATCTTTGCTCCTCCTTTTCCCTGTCCTTTCTTTCTCTCGGGAGGCTGTTTGTATTGCTTTGTCCCTGCCACGTAAAACGCAGTGTTTCACGCCAGCTTCTCCTATTGAGATTCTGAAAAGATTCACTTTATCACCAGTCCACCACAGAATGGCTAGCTTATATACAGACATAACCCCAGAAGCGGTCACGAATGCAAAGGTATTGTACCTCAGAATCAATCACATCACTTTAATTGGAAGCTGATGCTAGTATCAGGGATTGCATCTTATCACCTGCTCCACTCCTAACGGAAAAAAGTTCAGATCCTTCTTGAGGAGTTAAAGGACGTTTATGGACTAGAATGGACAACTTCCTTCATAGATATTGACACTGATGAGCAAAAGAAACCGTAGTTTCTGAAACTCAATCCGGTACGAATTCTAGCTTGGAGTGTGGGATCCAATGCTCTCGTATACTTACTTCATTCTCTAGGGAGAATCCCCGTTCTCATTAACAACACCGGAGCACAACCTTTCCCGGTCATGGAGCCATCAGCGGAGATGCTTTATCTCGTGGATATGATGGACAAAGACAATCACTTCAGCTTTTCTGATGGCAAAGAACAGTCTCAGGTGATGCAGTGGCTCATGCTTCGGGTCAGCCTAACCAAGGCCAACTGAATCACTTTGGAAGATTTGCTCCTGAACAGATTCCTTGTAAGCAAGCCTCTCCAGTATTGCTTGGTACAGGCAATCTCGAGCAAACAGCTTTATTGATTCAATTATATCTGCAGATGCGATTGAGAAATTCAAGGCCGAGACACTCCGAGTTTACAACGTACTTGAGCTCCACCTTTCCGGGCGCCTGACCGGCGAGCCCCGAGAACATCTTGCTGGAAATGGCCTTGGAAAGTTCAGTATTGCTGATATTAATGCATATCCGTGGGTCCGGGCTTGGAAACGTAGCAAAATCTCCGAAGAGGAGATGACTAGCTATCCACACCTGAAGGAGTGGATAGACCGAGTTTGGTCAAGACCAGCTGTACAAAGGGGAACCAGTGAGATTTACGACGAGGAAGTTCATCCTGAGTTACTGCTAAGTACTGATAGCGAATAGACCATCTACCACCAGAGTATGATATACCCATCGAATAAAGTATCTGAAAGATGATGTTGGAGAGAAGCACGATCACTAGCTCGTAAACATTAATTGCGTCAATCCACGTTATGACACATGAAATATATCTTTACGTGCTATGAGACTTCCAAAGCGCCTCCATCAGCTTTTCTCCCGGGCGGGATTTGGTTTCATCCGGTGTCTGCGGGATTGATACAATGTGCTACCCAGAGCCCGCACCCAAAGCCCGCACTCATGGCATGATTTCACTGCAAGCCAGATCCCGAACTAATCAACGCAAAACATCTGGTAAGCTCAAATGGGCGCCTTGAAGACTGTGATAAAACAAAGATGAAGAGCAATCACCGACCCGGGCAAACCCGAGTCCGAGTGCTACGATGCCGGTTGCTTCTTATATCGGGATTTGAGAAGCATGATGTGATTCATAATACCACATGCTTCGAAGGTGACAAGAAGTCTATAAATTCGTTCAAATGCCTTTGCCAAAGATGAATATCCTTCAACTCAAACATAATCTTTCTGATCTCCAAGACAACAACAAATCTTCAACATGGCTCCCGTTCTCAAGAAGTACAAGGCCGCAGCAGTCAATGCTGAACCAGGCTGGTTCAATCTCGAGGAATCAGTCCGACGAACCATTCACTGGATTGATGAAGCAGGAGAGGCAGGCTGCAAGTTCATTGCCTTTCCCGAGCTTTGTGAGTCTCTTTCTCGATGACATCCAGATTATTGCGCTCACAGAAACCAACAGGGATCCCCGGCTACCCTTACTGGGCCTGGAAGGTGAACTACCAGGAAAGCCTTCCGTTGCTCAAGAAGTATCGCGAGAACAGTCTGCCGTCGGACTCGGACGAGATGCGACGCATCCGTCAAGCCGCCCGAAGCAACAAGATCTGGGTGTCTCTCGGATACTCCGAACTCGATCTTGCAAGTCTGTATACGACTCAGGTAATGATCAACCCTGCTGGAGAAATCATCAATCACCGTCGTAAGATTAGAGCTACCCACGTTGAGCGCCTGGTCTTCGGTGATGGAACCGGTGACACTACCGAGTCCGTCATGGACACGGAGATTGGTCGCATCGGGCACCTAAACTGCTGGGAGAACATGAACCCCTTCATGAAGGCCTATGCAGCCTCGCTTGGAGAGCAGGTGCACGTTGCTGCCTGGCCTCTCTACCCTGGAAAGGAGACTCTCAAGTACCCAGATCCTTACACCAATATCGCTGAGGCCAACGCAGATGTAAGTTTTGCTTCTTCCCCTTGCGAATTTGAACGTGGAATGGAAAATGGATCTGATGACTGACAAGATGGCTCAGCTTGTCACTCCGGCTTACGCCATTGAGACTGGCACTTTCACTCTTGCACCGTGGCAGACTATCACTGCTGAGGGTATTAAGCTCAACACGCCACCCGGAAAAGAGCTCGAGGATCCCAACATCTACAACGGAAATGGGCGGATCTTCGGACCTGACGGACAGAATCTCGTTCCCCACCCGGCAAAGGACTTCCAAGGTCTTCTATACGTCGATGTAAGCTACTTCACTATTCTATCGCTTAGTGCATGTCTAATCTCTGCCATAACAGATCGATCTCGACGAGGCCCACCTAACAAAGGCTCTGGCCGACTTTGTAAGTCAAACTCAAACTATTTAATACATGTTTGAGACTAATTTGTACATAGGGTGGTCACTACATGCGCCCAGATCTTATTCGCCTGCTTGTTGATACCAATCGCAAGGACTTGGTTGTCCATGAAGACCGAGTCAACGGAGGTGTGGCTTACACCCGCACTGTGGATCGAGTTGGACTCTCCAAGCCCTTGGATACTCCTGCTGCTGAATCTGAGCAGGAGAAATAGATGAGTGACCTATAGCAGGAACACACGCCTGCAGTTTCACTTAGCTGCTGCTCTATAGTTCCGCTTTCAAGAATACTGTCTCTTCATAGTTGTTAATGCACTCCACTCTGTATTCTGTCCATTGGAAACTTATTCACCGCAGATTTGTAACACACGGGATATACGTTGATCTAACTTCTGGGCTTTGTGGCCAGATACCAAATTGGCCGATATTTATTCTTAGGCGTGGGTTTTCAAGCCTTTACTGTTGGCCAGCTGTGTTAAATGACTTCCAAGTGAACACGCCGAAGTGATCGCTGAGGTAGAGCTTTAGGAATCATTTTGAAGGCCAATTTGCAAAATTTAGTTGTCACGTTCTACTTGGATCGATTGACAAGGTGTCCTTTTACCCGTATCAATTGACGGGCATACGGGCCTAAATTGAGATTGCATTATTTGATAGACGGACAGCCAGCCAAGGGGCAATAATAATAAAACATAGCACGGAGCTTCTGTGCTGGGGAATCATACACTGAGAATAAGGAAATGTGGGAGAATCGTCGGCACATATGAACTGTTCTGGATCCATGCACTGGAGTGTACAGGCATCGGACCAAAGCCTCAATCAAACCCTCGTAGCACGGGTAGTCTTATCGTAGAAATCCAGAGTCATAGCCGCAAGGAAACAAGGGATATCTTTTCTCTCTTGCACCCAAAACTTCAACAAAGGTTTGATCTCCATTGCGAAGAGACTATTGTTTCCACCCGATAGCTTCATTGAACCATTCTCACCATCAAATAGAATAGAGTTCTCTTCGCCGTTGCCCATACTTCCTGGCCCACTAGAGTCGGAGGACGCATTGGGGTCACCATGTCGGTATTCCGGAGAAAGGTGGAACATGGATGTAACACGCACTCGACCATTGGGCAGAATATCAAGCTTATAGCCTAGGAGAGATGCAACGGCTTCTCTGAACTCAGTGGCCTTGGCAGAGTAAATCTCCCTTAAGCGACGATTGCGTTTCTCCTTGTCTGCAACAACGCGCTCCATTTCCTGGATTTCAAGCTTCAGAGCCTCAAGTGTGCTAACGGGAGCAACCTTGACCCCGGCATGATTACCGCGTAGCTGGGCAAGAAGATCCCGATTCTCTGCTTGAAGAGTCTTCAGAGTCGTCATTTTTATCTTCTCTGCTTCCGCAGTGGGATTGTCTCGTAGTTCCAGAACCCGAGTGCGAGACTTGGCTTTGAGTGATCTTAACTGGGATTTGGCAGCATCCAACTCTTTCTTGGCAAGAGTCGTGGCCTGCTCGGATTTGGAAAGCGCTTCTTGCAGTTTGCGATTCTTCCGTGTAAGCACAGAAAGGCGCTCACTTTCAGCGGTACTATCCGCTGGTGATAGTGGACGCTTGGTACCCCGGGATTGTGGCTCTTCCCGAGGTGGCGCTTCTCGCTGAGAAAGCTCTTCGTGGACCTTATGGAGCTCACTCCGGTATTCGTCAACCAATTGCTGTAATTGGGCGATTTGAGCAGCCTTCTGTTCATCGAACTGGCTCTGCTCGGCATTCATGGTCGTTTCTTCTTCGTCGAAGGTCTTGAGCTGTGCACGTAGATACTCAACCTCCTTCACTGCGAGAACGCGCTGTCGCTCTAAGCGAGCACGAGCCCGAGCATCTGCTGCCGCGGGTGCACCTACAGAGGTGCTTGCGGTCGCGCGAGCTGTCTCCAGCTCTTGCTTGAGTTTCAGTTTCTCATCCTCCAAGGTCTTGATCGCTTCATCTTTCTCCAGGAACTGAGCGTCAACAGCACCAAGGCGGTCAATAAAGCTCGCTTTTTCAATTCGCTCCTGAACCAGGGCTTTGACAATCGCCTCTGGGGAGTCGAACTCTGCAGGCTGGTCATTTTCCTCAAGAAGACTGGCCCATGACTGACGTTCATCCTCTAAGATCTGCTTTTGAATCTGCAGGGTTTCAAACTCCGCCTCGACGCCCTTCATGAGCTGCAGCTGATTTTCGAGTGATCTTTTCTGCTCTTCAACGACCTGCACATTCTTTTGAACTTTTCGTAGGTGTTGTAGCTCTGCCACTTGGTCCCGGTTTGTCGTCTCCAATTCGCGCAGGTGGGTGACTTGTTCAGTAAGCTCTCGCTTGAGAACAAGAAGTTCCTCCCCGTCGCTCCCTTCTGCCTTCAAACGGATATTGTCGGACTCGAGATCGGCGACTTCGGCTTCTCGTTGGGATAATTTCTCCTGGGTTGCTTGCTGGGCAGCGCGGGCCTCAACGAGATCATTTTGGAGTTCCTCAATTGTTTTCTGAAGGGAAACGCGGACCGTTTCTAACTCGCTGATCTGGTATTTGAACTGACGTTCGTGATCGGAAGCTTGGGCTTGGGTTTCGGCGAGTTCTTCCTGGATCATTTGATTTTCATCTTGAAGATTTCTAGCCTTCCGCTCCAAGCTGGCTTTCTCGTTCAGGGCCTGTTCTTGGGTGTCCTTCAGTTCTTTCGCCAAGGCCTCGGTTTTATGGGTAGCACGATTGCTTGCGGTCTCAGCAGCCTACGGAACCTGCTGTTAGCTAGGGGTAGAGGCGCCAGTCGAGATGGAGACTGCTTACCTGTGCCCTCTTAAAATCAGCATCTGCCTTTAACTGCAGGTCCCGAGTCTCCTTCTCGAATCGAAGGGTTTGTAGATCTCGCTCCTGTTTGATATTTTCCAACTCATATCGAAGAGTGCTCACTTGCACGCGCAATTCATCTTTTTCCACATCTGTAATTCAATATTAGTTTCTCTTTCATCTTCTCCTCCCGAGGAAGTGTTCTCTTACCATGTGCTGGTGGAGGTGGAGGTGGAGGATGAACAGAGCGAACGGATTGGCCCATATAGCTTTGCCCTATAGTGCTTTGTCCGTAAGCACTTCTTCTTGAGCCTGACGGGCCTGTTGGGGTTGAAGGAGAGGCAAAGCCAGCAATGAGCTGCGATACCGGGCGCGTGTTTTCGCCGGGCTCCATGATGCGCTGATGGGTAAGGATTGTTAGTCCAGCTTTCGAACAGGCACGAATAAACTCACCTAATTAGCCAGCATAGAGGCTCGGAACACCAACCCAATTCGATCCAAAGTGAATTTATAGTCGTCTCACGAGGGACGAACTCTCGGTGGTTCAAGTGAGAGTTGCGCGGGCAGTTGTTTGGGACTTAGTCAGCGGGGAGCTACCGCACTGGGTTTAGTGCCAAAATTTTAAAGAAATTATTTCGAGTCGGATTTCTTCTCAAGCACACACCAAGCCCAAGCCAATCTTCTCCACCAAACCCCCGACACTTACACACATCCGACAAAATGGGCAAGGACCGTGTCGAAAAGAAGGAGAAGCGCTCCGAGAAGAAGGAGAAGCGTGCCGACAAGGACGGTGTCGCCAAGGTCAAGAAGGAAAAGAAGGAAAAGAAGGATAAGACCGTTCTCGTCGATGCAGTAGAGAAGGAGCTTTCCTCTCAGGAGATGGAGGGTGTTGAGCAGGTTGCTACTCCCACCGAGGAGGTTGAGGGTGACGAGATGGCCATTGACCGTCCCACCGGCGCTCATGTGCCTTTCGCCAACCCTCTGGTTGAGGACAAGAACGCCAAGAAGGTGCTCAAGAGCGTTAAGAAGGGTAAGACTCTCAAATTTCTTAATTGAACATGTCAATTGTCTGTCTGCGATGGACTTTATCCTCCCACGAAAGAGTTTTTCGTCTTGGATGGCCCTGAAGCGACTCCGAACGACGCAAGCGCAAATTACATGCGCTTACCGTGCAGACTTTTTAAACCGACTTTGAATTGAGTTGTCGCTAATCATTTTGTCTACAATTTAGCCGCTGTCAACAAGTCTCTCAAGCGCGGTGTTAAGGAAGTCGTCAAGGCTCTCCGCAAATCTCCCATTCCCGCCGCCAACGCTAAGATCGAGATCCCCAGCGGTGTCGTCATTCTCGCTGCCGATATCTCCCCCATGGATGTCATCTCTCACATTCCCGTCCTGTGCGAGGACCACGGTATCCCCTACGTCTTCGTAACCTCCCGCGCCGAGCTCGGTGCCTCCGCCGCCACCAAGCGTCCTACCAGTGTGGTCATGGTCACCCCCAAGACCGCCAAGAAGAGCAAGAAGGACCTTGAGGCCGATACCGACGGTGAGGACTTCGGAAAGGTGTTTGAGGAGCTCGCCAAGCTGGCCGAGAAGGAGCTCAAGAAGGTGGTTGTTTAAAAGGATCGCTTGGATGTCTGTTTTCTCGCGTCTTCCCACTGTTAGCTGCTGGTGGGGTTCTCTTATTGTACAGGTTTATGTTCTTTGAAGGACCGTGCATGTCTTCGGGGGTCCGGCCTTGGGTTTCTTTTTTATTCCATCTTTTTGCTCTATGCAGCTCGGCGTTTCTTCAACGGTGTATGAAAAGGCAGGAAAAGAATTTCAATGAGAAATCACCCCATAAATCCATTTCTAGTAATTCAGTATGAATTAACAAGTGGGCCTTGAATGCGGCCAATATGGGTCTCCATGTGTTTCTGCTATGCTCGTGCCTGGCCTGAATCTAGGCCTCGACCCTGACCATAGCCCTTCCTTTGCCTTGGGTGGGCGATAAGACAAATGCATCAAGGCGAGTTTGTGTCGTACAATTAAATATGGACTGATAAGAAAACCTAAGACAGGAAACTTCTTTCGGAAGATATCAAAAGTTACACTCAATTTAACTTGCCTATTGGCGACAATGCAGTGGCACCAGAGAAACATCGACCCAAACCACCAAGGGACAATGCATATCCAGTGGTCCCATTACTATTGCAAATATAGACGATTGGCCTTGCATCACACCCGAACTATCAAGAAGTGGCGTTTGTCATTCCATGACGATCAATCTGATCAATCCCTTCTCCCCTCATAATCTCCACTTCAGATCCAACAAGGGGGTTCAAACCACATACCTCCTGCAGAAACAAACGTAGCCAACCACCACTTAATCTTCTCGGGAGATAAGGTTCCTTCAGGGCCTCGGATTCGCTGACCTGCGTCCCTGGCGTGGAATCTCGAGAGGGGTCTCTGGTCGTACACGGAGCCTATGACAGGTTTGAGGGCCCTTGCGGTTCATTTTCTTTGCTTCTTTAACCCTTTGGCTTACCTCGGGTTAGATGTGTTTTTAAAAAGGAAGTTGGTTCCCGGTGTCGCATGTCTTTGTCTTTTTCTTCCATGGTCGCGTGCCTCAGTACGTTACTATGCATGTTCTATAATACGATCTCAACACCTTCAATCCACCCCCTCACGAATATCACACTTTCACTCAATATCTAATACAATGCTCACTTTCCACCCATTCTACTGGTTCCTCATTGCGGTGGTTTTAGCGATCGTTCAGCCGGCAGCATCCCATCCTATCCGAACGTCCAAATGGATTAAAACAAGCCAATTTGAAGATTTGAACAATCGCGGTATCTGGAAAGTCATTGAAAAGCATGGGAAACATCCTTTACCCGAATTACCTCAAGCTAAACACACACAGGTGAGTTTTTCTCGTTTTCACAAGTCAAGTCACGCAGAGTTGACAAGTATATATAGCCCGAATCCCCTTCAAAGATAAGATACGACCCAAATCTCGAGCGCGGGCAGGGCCTTCTCTACAAACGGGAGGAGACCTCAGACAAATCAATTGTCTCGGTATTGACGCCTCGTCCACCCATCTCAGAACGATTATACCGACACTGGAAACACCCACAAGCGGAACATTATGAGTACCCGTGGAAACCTGCTATGCACACAACAAAACATTATGGAGAAGTACTGGGACACAACAAAGCGAAGACCGGCGCTACTGGATCCCACGGACAGGAACCTGAGTCTTCATCGTCCTCATTAGGGCTCCCATCCGGAGACTATATTTCATTCTTTTCATATCGAATTTCCTTCCCGTTCTTAAAATTCGCGCCGGTATCTTTCGCCCCGTTCCCTCTTCCGGGATTGTTCACTACCATCATGGTTTTACTCGCCTTGGTTTGGATTGCCATTTTGACCATTGGGCTAGTGGAGGTGGGCAATTATCTATGGAGTCGGGGGGCAAGCTTCCCCGCTTGCGGGCGAAAATGATGAGGTGGAAAGTGGTGACGACTCCGCAGGCAGGTCTGTGGAATTGGTGAAAGAACCTTTTCAGATTCTTGTTATTCCGAGAATTCCCAGGCGCGAAACTGCCAGGCTGGAGAATGAGGATGATGAGTTGCTTTCGAGTAGTTCTGGGTCAGACTCGGAATCCGAGTCTGAGACGAACTATCGCTTGCCTTGACACTCGTTGCACAGCAGACCTGAAATACAAAACAAAAGCGAGGACCTACACCGCTTGTACATTTTAAATTACGAGATACTCAGTGCAATAGATTTTAGTCGTAATGGCTTTTGAAATTTCGTGAGAATCTAATATACATGATAACCTAACCATCCACGATTCATCATAACTCAGCCACAGGCTAGAGTTCAAAGTAACATAATCGCTTGCTCGCTCGAACATATTTGAAAATTCGAATCATATAATCAAAGCGTCAAGTCTTTAGGGAAAAAGAAACTTGAGATTTTTAAGCACGCTGATCAGTCTCCAAAACATCGTATGGAGTATCAGTGTTCACGCCCTTCTGACGAGGAACACCAGCATCGGGTGCGCTCTTAGCGTTGGTACGCTGGAACTTATTAATAGCAGCACGAGCAGGGTCCTGATCCGAGCCAATCTCAGAATCAAAGCTAGCATTCTTATCATCAGACGAGAATCCACCCTCGTGGATGTTCCGGCCGTCAGGCTTGGAGTGCTGGTATCCGTCCGTCACGTCGGCGACGTAGGAGGGGGCCTGACCACCATAGTGCTGGCTGCTACCGCTAGCACGAGCCTGGTTACCGCTAGCATGAGCCTGGTTACCAGAGTTCATGCCCATCTCCTGCTTGGTACCAGTGGGACCGCCGGCATAGCCGTTGTTAGAGTGAGCGCCTGAGAAGTTTCCTTGGCCGCCCAGAGCTTCGGGGTATTTCTCCTGAGCCTGGCGGTTCTCACGGAGACCACCGACAGGCGCGGAGGGGAGGGTTGAGGAGGCGGAGTTGGTGTTCTTAAGTTGAGAGGCAGAGATATCCTCTGGCTGAGCGCCACGGTTTTCACTGAATGCACCGCCCTGGCGAACTGACTCGGCTGCGAGAGAGCCGGTAGGGACAGGGCCTGAGGGCTCTTCGATGGGCTGTTGAGTGGCAAGGGGATCGGTGGTGACCTTGGTGCTGCGGGGGCCGGGAGCAATGGGAGTGCCTTGGAGATCCATTTTGATTGTAGTTTTGGGATGGAAAAGATTTATAAAAGTGTAACTTGACTTGGATAAGATAGTATGAGAAGTGGTTGAATGATTCAAAAAACTATTGTTCGATGATGCGACAGCCCAAGCTATATAGCATTTGCCTCCAGCCCTAGGACTACTGATTGCACGGGCGATATCATAAAATCCAGACGAGGTGATGTCACACTTACGATAGCAAGAAGGGATAGCCTGCACTGTCCTGCTCAGGGTAAGTAACGTCAGCTATTCTTTGGTTGAGACGATGTGGCGGATTAGAGCATCGAGACAAGAGACAGTGGAGCTCTGCATGTCACTCTGTCCTGCTTCTGGTTGTCAAGCTTGTTATCAGTGTTTTCGCAGAGGGTCTGGTATCCACACGCTTATTTCATCGTGGAGTCGTGAGTTCATCGGGTTCCTCGGTGCGATATGGACAAAACTGGGCAGGTATGATATCACGTTGGAGGTTGACGTCAAGGCCAGACCAATCTGAAACAAACTTTGCAAACAGTGTTTTTGCCTTATTGGGAATTCCGTGCTTACGTTTCAATAGAATGTGAGGGACATGGTTTCACTGTGTTTTTCTTTCTGAAGAGGGCGTCATTATTGATTTGTCGAATTAATCACTCAGTCGCGTGATGCCAGATCGGCCTGATATACGCCTCCCGGCGGCGAAGCCGCAACCTTAAATATACAAATATACACATCAAAGAAATATTGTCGAGGCAGCGTTATGACCAACACTGTCTACGTGCATTTTGAAATTTTTGAAGTCTTACGACCTTACGAAATTATCTACTATGAAAAATTGGACAACATAATCGCTATGGAGTTCATTTAACCATGGCTCGTAAAATGGCTATCATACAAAATGGATGGCGAAGTCCATGTCAAAATATTTAGCGGGAAGTAGCATCAGAAGGCAAGTGGTCAAGACCCTCAACAGCCTGACGACCGGCGTTGCCAGGAGCAGTGTTCTTGTGCAATTCACTGCCGTCAACACGGGCACTGCTCTGAGCGGTGGTGGAGCCCTCCAAACCACTGTTAGGGTCTTTTGAGATAGAACCCGAAACACCACCAGATCCAACGTTCACAGTACGCTGATCGGCCGATTGCCAGTCGCTAGCGACGGGGGGCTGTTCGGGTAGAGGCAAGTTGGACTGGGCCTCGTCGATCTGCTTGGACTTGTCGGTGTTTTGGTCGATGACAGACTGCAGTTGAGATAATGATTAGTCAGGTGTCCTAGAACTGAGGATAGAGATATTTCTTACCTTCATCAGGGAGATATCGGAGTCAGCAGGGACCTTGCCACCGTGGCTCTGGGCGACCTTGGATTCTCCCTTGCGGAGATCCTCGCGAGTTGTGTGGAAGGTAGCGTCAGACATTTTGGTTGTGAAGGTGTTTTGTTGTAGTTGGTGAATAGCTTCGTGAAGTGAGGAGGAGGTATTTAATATTGGTCGAAGAAAGTTGTAGTGATTTGAGATATCCAAGTCGTATGGGCGGTTCTGACAGCGATTCTTATAGGCGGAATCTAGGTCTGTGACGTTTATCCTGTAATGACGACATAATGGCACTCTCCACCATGGATGCCAATAGTCTCCACTGAAACCAGCATAGATTAACAAATCGTACCCTAGGAACTTGCTGAAACTGTCATTTCTGGTTCCCAAGGGGCATGGCACGCAAGTTGACCGCGCCCATCGACCTTCGACTAGCGTCATGGGACAGAGCTACTGGTGGCGAGAACATTCAGTGGATCCTGGATCGCATGTCGAATTTCCCTGATCGGCGGTATACCCTGCATTTATCGCTGGATATGACAAGAATTGAAGTTTTACTTCATATATGTGCTCCGTATAGAACTTAATGGAATAGCTTTTGACGGCGTTGCCATGTCATGGCCCCGCTATGCTGAAGCACAATTTATGGAGCCAATGCTCGATTCGATTTCATCAAGCTGATCAAGGTCGCGATCAAAGCAGGCTTGATAGCTGATCTCGGTCAATCATTCTGCTCAGGCTCACATAGGAAATGTCGTGATTGCCCTGGAAATTGATTCCTGCAGTCCAGGGACTGGCATCATCCCTTTTGCCACCTTGAAGCCTACTGTATCATCGGCCTGAGCTATCAGGAAGATCGAGGTTGTTGAATTACCATTTGGATTTATGTCATACATAGTATACTCGCCGAGGAAGTCTCCAACTTTACATCCCTTTGAGCTTAGCTTGTACCTAGAATCGAATTGAAGGCTCAATCTTCCACATATGCTTAGGTAATAATATACCAGTTGACCAAAAAGTCACCGCCTTCCATGCTAAGCTGGCAGAAAATGTTGCTTATCGCAAGCGCAAGACCGATTGTGCCTGTAGAGAGAGCGTGGAGGATTTGTCTTTAATCCATAGAGACTTAGTAACTGCCAGAATGCCTCGGGATCCATTGATTGGACTGGTGGGCAAGGTCCGCGACCTCAATCTCCCCCTTCACGAGACCCCGCTAACCATGTGAGGGGCAGCCATCAAGTGGTAAATCTACGACCTTGAACAGTTTGACCGATGCGACATCCAAAGTTGGTAGGTGTATCGCTTCTGATTGTCTCATTGCATATCGCTGACTGTAACAGGCAACTTCCCGTACGTCCATTGTGCAATGAACCACCGCTTATCTACGCGCGCTAATGGCTGACCCCGCCAGCTTTACCACCATTGATCCCCAGCGAGCTATCGGATACCTCCAGATCGACTGCGCTTGCCTGCGACATGGTGTCTCAGATAGGTGCGCGCCGAACTACGGTGGCTGCCACGAGGGTCGGCGCTCCGTTCCCATTGAGTTGCTGGACGTAGCTGGACTTGTCCCAGGCGCACACCAGGGTCGAGGATTGGGAAATAAGTTCTTGGACGATCTGCGGCATGCGGATGCCTTGATTCACGTGGTGGATGTGAGTGGTACTACCGATGCAGAGGGGAAAGCAACGCGCGGATACGATCCCTCAGTGGACATTGAGTGGCTTCGAGGAGAGATCGTAAGATGGGTGCTGGGCAACTTGATGGAGAAATGGTAAGTCAATCCAAACCTGGGAATGTAATATGTGCATGGTGTTGACAATTGGACTTTGAACTATAGGGGCTCGATCAGACGGAGACACGTCGCAATCAGTTCGTACAGTCTTAATGATGGTGGGTATACTCTACTAACTTATACTACAGAGGGCAACCCCGTCGACACATTACAAGGCCAGTTCTCAGGATACGGTAGTACCTCATCGATCGTGGCACGGTGCCTTGACAAGCTTAATTTGAAGGAGCCTTTGGAGCAGTGGTCAGATGAGACCGTCCAGGTTGTGGTTGAGGCTTTCATTGATGAAAAGTTCCCCACGGTGTTCGCCTTGAACAAGATAGATCATCCCGACGCGGATAAAGTGAGTTATAACAAGTTATAAGACATGCGACCATACTGACTCGAAATAGAATATTAGCAAGATTGCCAAAATGCAGGATCCAGAGAGCATTGTACTTTGCTCCGCCATATCAGAGGTCTTTCTCCGACGACTTGCCAAACAGGAGTACATCAAGTATATTGAAGGAAGCGAGTTTGTGGATACACGGGAAGATCTGATTGAGATGGGTGATCCAGACGGAGGAGGACTTAAAGAAATGGACGAGAAGTTGAAGAGGTAAGTTAGCTCGCTGAGGGAGATCATTTCTTCGGGCTCCTGCTAAATATGATACAAATATAGCCGCGTGGAAAACTTGAAAGACATGGTGCTGTATCGGTTTGGATCAACAGGTGTGGTTCAATGCCTTTCTCGAGCGGCATCGTTGCTGGGTCTGGTGCCCATTTTCCCAGTACGAAATGTCGCAACTTTTGGCTCAGGGAATGGAAGCGCTGTTTTCCGCGATTGTGTGTTGGTCAAGAAGTAAGTGACTTCCACAAATAAATTCAACCAGCTTCTAACATACCACAGAAACAGCACAGTGGGCGACGTAGCCCGAAAAGTCATGGGCGATGTACCAATTTCCTACATTGAGGGAATTGGAGGTACTCGAGTGTCAGAGGATGATATGGTTGCAGTTGGCAAAAATGATGTAAGATTTGAAGACCTCACTACTCAAACAACAAAACTAACAGACGAAATCAGATCTTGACATTCAAAGTCGGCAGGTAAAACATAGCTACTCCTATGTACAGTCTCGTGGAGTCACGTTAGCAATGGATACCTTCCGGAACACCCAGTTTTAAGACAAAGTAGAACTAGCGCCATTCCCAGAATATTTGACAGTATCGACTAATGACAGGTTGATACCATCAGTGGCCCTTCTGCGTGATGCAATCAAATCAGCATTCATGAAATCAAAACCAAGGGTTCGAGTCGATCTATTCTCACCTGCGCTCGCTCATCGTTCATCCCGAGGACGGGCTCTGGAGCTGCGGGATGCTCTGACTTGGCCTTTTTACCGCTCTCAGTCCCACCTCTCCGTGTCATGCCCTGGGATTTGGTCTTGTCTGCAATCCCCTCATTCTGTCGTCTTTCTTCCATGCCAGAAGCGGATGCGTCGGAATGAATGTCGTAATTATCTCCTTTCTTAGACCTTTGGGTGGTGTGGTCATCTGAAGAGGCTCCTTTCCACTGCTTCGTGATGGAGTTATGTCGGACGCCACCGAGGGCAAAGAAAGCTGGCTGGGCAATCGTCTTCTTCAGTAGAATAGAAGGCCGAGAATGGACGATAACACTATGCAGTCTCATGGTTGATGTGTGTGATTTCGAAGGCTTTGAAAATTGTAAAGTTGTTTTAAAGAGGATCAAATCCCCGGATTAATTTTTGCCATGTTTTTATAGGTGGGCAGGCGAAATCCTGCATCACCTTTAAAGGCTAAATTGATGACGTTGTCATGACCTGTCCTTATCCTTATCGATAAGAGATAACTTGTCGCCTTTTCAATGTAAACATACGACGACACGTTTGCCTTGCAAATGCGCGAGGAATTCAAAATTCCTCATTCGTTCTCTTTCATCATCTTACATTCCCGGGTCTTTCTGAGCCCCTTACCTTTTCTGTGGCATGGATATATATCTGAACTTGACGACAATGAGGCTTACTAAGCACACCGTTGGCCCCGCGGTCCATTGGGCTTCAGCAGCTTCATCAATACCTTCATGAAACAATTGAACTGAGCACTAGTCCAGTCACAAAATACGAGTCCATGAAATCTCGAACTTAATAGCATTTGTTCCTCACCTATAACCAGTCCTGGAAAAAAATATACACCCACCAAACAAGTCACCGGACTAACATAATGAAGCGGGAATACCTTCCGCTGGGTGCCTTACTAGCCTGGCTGAGGCTGAATGGCATCGTCACAAATGGCGTTGCCGTCCAAAGGGTAGGCTCATCTGAGTCAGAGACAGACAAAGGGAATGCAATCCTAGCAACGGCCGACAACTCCAACAAGGATCCTGATGACCAACAGACCCTCCTCCAGATCCCACGGGACTTGGTATTATCGTTAGAATCGGTGCACGACTATTCCAAATCCGATCGAGACCTTCGCGAGGTGCTAGAGGCCGTGGGAGATTTTGGCAGGGTAAGCATTACAAAATTTACCGTATTAGACAGTAGTGAACTGACAGTTACCAGACAGCGAGAGGCGCTATCATGATTTTTCTGCTCGTTCAGATCACACACAACAGCTCGCAAAAGCCGCGACGTGTAGGAGTGTCTAGTCCCTGGACCGAGTACATCAAGTTTCTCCCGTCTTCATTCTCTTTGCCCACTTTTTGGTCGGAAGAAGAACGAGAATTGCTGAAAGGAACGTCCCTCGAGGCTGCAGTGGATGCTAAGTGGAGTTCACTCCAGAAGGAGTTCGAATTCATTCATCAAGCTACTGAAGATATAGCCTGGTGTCAGCAGTGCTGGTGGGCTGAAAGTCTGGACGAATTGACCTTTGAGGATTGGAGATATGTCGACGCGGCTTATCGATCTCGCATGTTGGATCTGCCAGGAAGTGGGCATTCGATGGTGCCGTGCGTTGACATGGTTAACCACATGACTGGTGCAGCAGTGACAGCGCTATATGACGCGGACGTCGAAGGAAATGCAATTCTGAAGTTGCGCGATAGCAAAACTTTGCAGCAAGGCGAAGAGGTGACTATCTCGTGAGTTTCACTCCTCTGCAAACTTACCTTAACTGCTAGTGTAAATTGACACCTACTTCAGATATGGAGATGAGAAGTCTGCATCGGAGATGATCTTCTCCTACGGATTTCTAGATAGTGATATGACGCAAACAACTCAAGTCATGTTGCATATGAATTCCCCCCAGGCTGATCCTCTTGGCATGGCCAAGAAAATGATCTGCAAAGATACTCCTGGAATACGTGTCTCGACCTCTCAGATCCCAGCTACAACCGATCTGACATCGTCAAATGCATCCGGAAAGATCGTCTGGGACAGCCCACTGATCTGGTGGTCTAGCGTGAACGAAGAAGATGGGCTTAAAATCGGCATCGCACAAACCACAGACGGGGGAAGAGAGCTGGAGGCACACTGGAAGGGCGAGAAGATTCAATCGTCCGATCAGCTTCATCAGTTCATTACAATTGATCCTTTGGTGGATATTTTCCAACTCCGGGCTGTTGTCTTGGTGCTGGAACGAGTGGAAGCACAGGTATCGCTTCTAAACGAAACAAACCAGGTATTGGACCATCTTCGCGAGAACCCGACTGCTTTGAGTGGCATGTTTAGACCTGAGATTTTTGAAATGGTTACTCGACTGCGGCAGCTTGAGGGAACACTACTACAAAAGGCAGTTGAGGAGCTGATACAGCAGGTAAGCAATCCCCGAAACAATGTCCTAAAAAGCCGAGGCTCCACTATGATGATCTGCGCTAACGATCGAACTAAGAAAAACGAGTTACTCAAGTCCGAGACAGTTGCGAAGTACCTCGAGCAGGTCCAAGCAGAGGAGGTTGAGGATTTTTCATAGATTTAGCCATGGTCATAAGTTCATTCTTACAGTCAATCTTCGATAGGGGAATCCAGGACCTTGTAACCATGACTTCACCAAAGCAAGCCAGGCGAACGGACCCCGCAAGATCTTACCCAAACCGAAGCCACATATCCACTCCAAGAACACATAGTCCGGGGACTAGTTAATGCGGAGAACAAGGCCGTCAATACACCCCAGGTAAAGCTAAACGCTAAATTGAACCGGGGACACACTGTTACAGAGGCCCCAGCTATGACGTTTGTCAAATCATTTCCCAGCTCTCAGCCCTGGAGGAGGCGACCTTCGAGATTTTAGTACAGGATTTAAAACTGATGGTTTGGCTTTCTTGGCTTTCATCGAGAAAGCCTACCTAGTCGCTACGATCCGATTGGCTGGTCCGAAACCGCATAGTATATGAGGCCTAGGTAGACGAGAATCCTTCAGGTCTTGGGATCCAAGAGAACGGACCTTCGATTCCCCGCATTCTTCCAAGGTCGTCCTTTGGGTCCGATTTTTCCCGTGGATCAGCGCTCCATGTCAGTGATACCCGCGCGAAAATTGAAAAGCGCTGACAAGATGAACTACTGTAAGAATGAGACCAAGACCCTGAATTTTCACATTGATTCCCCGCAGCAAGCGATCGCCCAGTATACCATGGTTCGAGTGGGGCTGCAAAACCGCGGTTCAGAATTTTCGCCTTTCTCTCGGCGAAAACTCGCAGTTAACTCGATGCAAGGCTAAGTACGGAGTACAGTAACCATGGATATGTGTCAGAATAATTCAGAAACCCACAAACCATGGCACACGACATTCCAATAACCAGGTCTTTTCAGTTTCATGGTTACACTCGGATCTGGTAGATCATCCATGCATGAGCATGAACATCATGATGGCGATCTCGCCACTTTCGGGATGACTGGGCAAACCTTACACATCACACATGTTTTATAGAAAAAAGGACAGGGGAGTCCCGCCGAACTTCGGAGACGGGATCGATACATGCGCGTACATGCTAATGCAGGTTGATCTGCTTGAGACACGGAGTCCGACTACTGTATCATTCCCCCCTTTTTTTGAAAAATTAGTACTTATCTCGCATATGGGGCTAACCAAGAGAGATCGACGGTGAATGTCAATTGTTGCATGAAGTCGCGGGGTGGAAATCGGGACCCAACCAAATGTAAAAGGGCAAAAAGACTATCGGATAAGGGATTCGGAAGCCGGAAAGTGCTGTAAATTGCGATCCGGAAACCTTGAGTAATGATCATGAAGGGAAATCACGGTAGAAATAGAGTTTCAACGGGATGAACTGGCGCGTTTCATTAGTCAAATTGCCTCGAAGTATTATTCCCCATCGTTCTGTAATGCTGGTACAGAAATGTGGAGTCCGGGGGAGCCTCGGGAGGATCCAACGGTGTGTTTGAAGTAAGCAGCAAACTTGATGGTTGGGTGTGTGCAGGTTAGAGGTCGAGAATGAACCTTGGAAGCCTTGAACGAAAGTGGAGAAAATGCAGAAACCTCAAAAGGAGGGAAAGATTAACCTTTGCATGCGATGCGATACATGACGGTACCTGCAAACCAATGAAACGTGATTGGAGGATTATGGAGGTCAGCAATTCCCCACGCCCTGACTCAGCATCGGCTTCCTTTCCCCTCCCCCAATCCCCCATATTCTTAGTCCTAAACTTTCCTCTGTACATGAAATCTCGCCTTCACAACTTCACGCCTTTTCACCAGAAGAAACAACACACCCAGTTACTCACCTCCAGAAAAACATACGACACCCCTTTTTACGAACTCTCCAGTGACCGAGGCGGCCGGTGTGCCCGCCAGTCAACCGAAAATGCCTGGAATTTTACCCATGAAAGTGATCAAGGTCGGAGGCACCGGCGTACAAAGCAGGATCGCTCAGGCGTGTGACCGGTGCCGAAGCAAAAAAATACGGTGCGACGGCGTCCGACCATGCTGTACACAATGCGCCCATGTCGGATTCGAATGTAAAACGAGTGACAAGTTGAGTCGCCGCGCCTTTCCCCGAGGATATACAGAGTCTCTCGAGGAGAGAGTACGGGCTCTTGAATCAGAAGTGAAAGAGTTGAAGAATCTGCTGGACGAGAAGGACGAGAAAATCGATGTTTTGTCGCGGATACACTCTTTTTCGCCTTCGCAACGCGCGGCCCCCATTCGGTCTCCCTCCTCATCCGCAACCACGAAGTCGAACCCGGATGAATCGGAGGGCGTTATTCATGTTGAAGGACTGTCTCGTCAATCTCCTTTGCAGTCTTCTGATAACCCTTATACTGCTCTGTCCAGCACTAATGGATTTTCCGGTATTGTCTGACTGTGCTTTGGGCGATTATATCCAGCCAATCTAACCTTTGATAGGAGTTCTCACCGATAATATTATCAGTCAAGGAAAATCAACTACGAAACTCCCAACTGATGCACTGACAAAATTATCGCCACCTGTGTCTCGTGGCATGCTTAATCAACCTATCAAGACACCACCTCGTCTGGTGTCAGACCAACTCATTAATATCTTCTTCCAAGAATGGGCGCCTTTGTACCCTGTGGTGCATCGCCCAACCATCTTGAAGGCATATGAACAATATCTAAATGGTTCTGACTCATTGAAGAACGACATGCACATGATGGCGCAGTTGAATTTGATCTTCGGAATTGCGGCTCTTTCGTCGAGTGTGAGTTGACAACTCCATATAGCAGACCTCAATGTGAATATTTGCTAATTTCCCACAGTCACGGACTAACCAAGACCCTGCATTCTTTGAGGAGAACTGGTCAAGCCCACTAGATTCATTCTCCAGTGAAACGTCAATGAAAAGTTTACAGTGCTTCGTTCTCGCTCAAGTTTACTGCATGACCAAAGCCGACTATCGCAGTTTGTTGCGCTACCGCGCTCTGGCTGTGGATGTTTGTCACCAGCTCAGACTGAACCAGGATATTACGCCGTCTAACCCGCTGGAAGGGGAGACTTGCAAGAAAGTCTTCTGGTGTCAGTATGTGATGGATCGATTTTCGTCTGCTCTGACTGGAATGCCCGTTCTTCTGCGCGAGTCTGATATCCAGGTCGAGTATCCCGTTGATGTGGACGATGAGTACGTCACCGAGACCGGCTTCTTGCCGACTCTTCCTGGCGAGTCCACCCGTTTATCCAGCGCCCTCGCGCTCTTTGGCGTTTCCCGGATTTTGAACAAGGTGTTGGAAGACCTGTACCCTTCCAAGGCTGGGTACAAAATTCATGTGTCCAAGATGCGTGTGGTCACAGAGCAGTTGGATGAATGGCTCTCGAAGCTGCCTCCTCACCTTCGCCTCGAGTTTTCCCAAGACAAGCCCAGCACAAACGTGACAAGTAGTCGTTCGCCTCTTTTGTCCCTTGTGTACTTCTTCATTCGTTCTCTGATCCATCGCCCTGCTGTGTGTTTCGCCGACGAAAATCTGCGTTCTCGCTCAGTTCTAGCAATGTCCGACTCTTCGAAACATCTTATTCAGATTCTGCAACTTCTTGATGAACGTCGACTTTGTCTTTCATTCAGTCTTAATCGCAAGGAATTAGTGTATTTTGCTGGTCTTGGACTCTTGTGGCAGACCATTGGCCTGAAACGCGACAGCAAGCTGGCGAAGGAGAGCCAAAAACTTCTCGCTACAGCGACACAACAACTGGGAACAGAGTCGGCTGCCGCGGCTGCCGAGTTTGCTCAGCTCGTCAACACTCTGATGCCTGTCGACAAGCAAACAAACGAGATGGCGGCCCCAAACAAGCCATCCAGGTCCCCGAAGAAGCAGCTGCAGTCGCTGAAGTCCCGTATCTCATCAAGCATGGGTCGTGACCAAGCCTCCAAGCAAGCCTCGCCTTCTCGCCGGAACACCGTCTCCGGTGCCACTGTTCCAGCCGCTGCCCAGTCTCTTCGCTCCCCCAGCTGGAACAGCCTACCTCCTTCACAGCCAGATGATCTTGCGAACCCCCACTACCAGAATGGCAGGCATTCCTTGGATCTTTCCTCGGATCCCCAGATGTTGTCATCCGCGGGATACGACTACACTCGACACATGTCCAGCTCAACTCCTACCGATGCCAATGGTGCCATTACAATGGCAGATTGGGAGTATGTTTTAAGTGATATGGATCGCGGATACTCAAACATTTTTACTGGTATCTATGGTGGCAAAGAGTGTGGAGAAGACCCTGGGCCGTTCGCATCTATCACTGCCGAGTACAGCCGGAAGCCGAACGACGGCACGCTCGCCATCCCTTCGCCGTCCGATATGGTCAAGCTATCGCCCGAGTCGTGGTCCGCCAGTAGTGGCGACTTTGCACCTCAACAGGAGCATACTGCACAGAGTGTTTTGAGTTACTCAGGTGAAAGCATGAGCAGTGAGGATAATTTACAGGCGCTCGGTGATGCTTCGGGCCACCCGGAGGATATGAGTCTGTTTGACCCATTTCACGGTCTTTCAATGCCGCCCAAGGAAGACATTGATGAGTTGGCTCTAGTCAATGGTTGGGATCGTCGACTGGTCGTTTGAGTATTACTATTATTATTTATTCTTGATGCTAGGTGTTTGTGATCATGATACCTCGGAGGGGCGCTCTTTTTGGTTATCATCCTTCGTCGGCGTTCAACTTTGATTTGAATATCTGGATATTTCAGGACATTTGCACATTTTTATTTGGATATGCAGCCTTTCACTTAGTATATTCTATGATTTTCATACGAATGCAAGCTCAATGTATATGATTATGCAATTGCGATTATTTCGAATCTTCCGTGCCATGAGCCGAGCATAATTATGCTCGGGTTTGTAGATAATCGGGCCCGGCAGGCTCGGGGATCATGAATGCATGACCCCGAGTCTGTGAAAGCATTGCCCAGATGCGGCCGACCTGCTCTAACCGGAGTTGAGCTCTGAGGATCCAAGCTTTCTCTGCAACTGCCACCTATCTCATCACTCCATCACAAAGTCGACCTGCCTACTTTGGGGGAGGTTTCTAGCCCAAAATTCGCCACCAGGAACCCAGTCACAAGGTCAGAAGTCATGAAGTTGGCTTGCCACTGAATCTCATTCGTGGCCAAGCGGTCTAGGTTCTCGAAAGTCTGGTTGCCACTTCCCCGGAACCCGCGGATACGCCAATGGCCATGCCAAAAGCAGTCTCCACTTCCCCGGACTCTCACGTTTTTCAACGGATAACTCCGACGGCCTCAAAGAGGGGTTTCGTACATGTGAATGAACGAGTCATCATTTTCTCAATCTGTCGATTTATCCGATCTTCCAAGTTACCCAGAGCTATGCTGTCGAGTTCCCGGTCTTGGCTTCCGCCTGAGTGGGTGAGTTATAAGAAGGCCCCAAGTCGGGTTTTCTAAACTTTTGGGTTTTGGTACGAAAGGCAGACAAAGAAAAAGCCCGTATTGATGCGCTACATTGTGTTTCGCCATCATGTTTGATAAACTTCTCAAAAAACGACCGCAGGACCTCTATGCGAATAGCGAGGCTACTGCTAGGGAGTCGACCTCTACTGCTGAGCACGAGAAGGGCCCTAGCGATATGGTAGATACTCCTATCCCGCTCTTCACAGTGCGCTCCTTTATTATGGGCATTTTTGTGTCTATGGGAGGGTTTTTGTTCGGTTACGACACCGGTCAAATCTCAGGTTTCCTTGAGATGAAGAATTTCCTAAGGCGCTATGGTGAGCCAAGTGGAGATGGAACCTATCATTTCACCAATGTTCGCTCCGGTCTGATCGTTGCCCTGGTAAGGCATCAAAACCCATGTCTACGTAAAAAGCGAAGCTTACATTGCATAGTTATCCATCGGTACCTTGATTGGAGCTCTCGTTGCAGCGCCGATTGCTGATCGTATTGGACGTAAATGGTCTATCAGTGGATGGTGTTCCATACTCATGATCGGAGTTACTGTCCAGATATCATCCCCGTCAGGCAAATGGTACCAGTTCGCCATGGGCCGTTGGGTAACCGGACTGGGAGTCGGGGCACTATCTCTACTTGTGCCGATGTACCAAGCCGAGTCAGGACCAAGACATATCCGAGGATCGCTGATCAGTACCTACCAGTTGTTCATCACACTGGGCATCTTCGTTGCCAATTGCATCAACTTTGGTACTGAGACGCGTCCCGATACCTCATCGTGGCGTATCCCATTGGGCATCACCTATTTCTGGGCTTTAGTTCTCGGCATCGGGATGCTCTTCTTCCCCGAAAGTCCTCGCTACGACTACCGTCATAACAAGGTGGAAACTGCCATCGAGAACCTCTCCAAAATCTACGGCGTTCCCAAAAATCATCGCGCGCTGCATATCGAATTTGAAGAGATCAAACAAAAATACGAGGAAGAGGTTCGCAATGGAGTAGTTACTTGGAAGATGCTCTTCAAAGCTCCGACCATGTCTTACCGTGTTGCGGTAGGAGTTGCACTCCAAGCACTTCAGCAGCTTACCGGCGCCAATTACTTCTTCTACTATGGTACCACGGTCTTCCAAGGTGCCGGCATTCAAAACAGCTACGTAACGCAAATGATCCTTGGTGGAGTAAACTTCGGCAGCACCTTCCTCGGTCTCTATCTTATTGAGCATTACGGTCGTCGTCGCTCCCTCATCGTTGGGGCTCTATGGATGTTCGTCTGCTTCATGGTCTTCGCCTCAGTAGGCCACTTTTCTCTTGATCGCCAAAATCCTGAGAACACTCATTCCGCTGGCGTGGCAATGGTGGTCTTCGCCTGCCTCTTCATCCTGGGCTTTGCCAGTACATGGGGCCCAATGGTATGGACCATCGTTGCAGAATTATACCCTTCACAATACCGTGCGCGAGGAATGTCTCTAGCCACCGCGTCGAATTGGCTCTGGAATTTCTTGTTGGCTTTCTTCACGCCTTTCATTACCAGTGCGATCGACTTCCGGTACGGTTACGTCTTTGCCGGATGTCTCTTCCTGGCTGCAGGGCTTGTCTACTTTGCTGTCATTGAGGGACAGGGTCGTACTCTGGAGGAGATTGATACGATGTATCTCATGCACGTGAAGCCGTGGAACAGTTCAAAGTTTCAGTTCCCGGCCGATCCGGCGGTTATTCGAGGGTCGTTTGATAAGGGAGATGGGACTGCTGGTGCTTCAGCTCATATTCCCGATGCTACTACTGAGTTGCAGGAGGATGGGCATGCTGTGCCACAGACCCAGTCTGGTAGGGTACCCGAGTCACAGGGAACACGAACGGATCTATAGTGGTTTCAGGATTAGTTTCCAGCTTTATGATGGATATTGATTGTTTCGTTGCTTATGTGACATCTTCACGCTAAACCCATATATTTACGGATTGGCATATACTGGATTTGGTTTCTCATGGGACTGGTATTTGAGTATTTGACACTTGCTATTGAAAATTAAAATAAAATTCCAATTCCGATATCTTTTCACATACGTTCAATGACTATGCAATTGGTTTCATTTTTGGATCAAAAAACCATCCAAGTAGCGAGTCAAGCCCTCCACGTCTTCTAGCTCACCCACCCATCCAATATACTGATCCGGTCGAAGAACGAACATTGCACCATGAACTCGATCAACGCCCCACCTCTCATACGCCTTCCCATCACAGTCCTTATCCCAGACACAGGGATCATCGCACCAAATCTTCTCATAGCCCCAGCCCATAACAGGATCAAACGGGCGCAAGCTCTCCGGAAAATCAAAGAACTCCACCTCCGTCCACGGAGCACTATGAATTGTCAACGTATCAACAAGGCTATCAAAGCGTCCTGGGATCGAAGCATAACGCGTCAGAACAGATGGCTTCGACTCATCCAGACCCACCAGCCAAAGACCAAGAGCATCAACACGCGCCTTCTGCTCTTGATCACTAATATCCCCAGCTAAAACAACAAGTCTGAACGGCCCATCACTCTCCATAATCCCCATAGACCATCTTATCGTCGCATCAGCCGGCTGACGAAGTTTGGCTGGGGGAACCCGTTCCCCTGGGACGAGATGAACTGCAAACACAGGCCCTTCATGTTCTTTTATCCCTTTGCAAACCAACGGACTATCACCATAAAACGCTTTTACACCATCTGCAAAGCTCTGAAACTCCTCCACAACTTTAATCATATTCTCCGTCTTACCTGGTGCCCCATCCCCGGGTGGTTTGGTCTCAGCAGTGAAGTAAGACGACCAAAGCTTATCGAACTCGAGCAATAATTCCGCAATCCGGTGTCTTTCTTCGTTGTACGTGTTCAAGATGGCTGGGTCGGCAACACCCGCAACCACCAGAGCAACTTTCCAGCCGATGTTGAATCCATCTTGCATACTGACGTTCATGCCTAAGCCTACCTTCGGTGAGTGCGTGTGTACCGCATCACCGGCTAGGAATGCATGGTCTCCTTTTGCGAATGTCGGGGCAATGCGCTGGCCAATCTGGTATGCCGTCCACCAATCGAGAATCTGAAAGTCGAAGGTAAATGGAGACAAAATAGCCTGGACGCGCGCTTTGATCTTTTCGGGTGTGATTGTTGAGCGGTCGAAGCGGCCGTTTGGGGTCTCGTCGTTGGCGACATGGACGGGGACATAGAAGCGGACTAGTTTCCTTTCGCGAGGGATTACTAGGATCGTGCCTGCTGGACTGGTCACCGTGCCCAGTCGACGAATATCGGCTATTGTCATTAGTTTGTATCGGAGACATTCTGTCATGCTACTCACGAAAATCGCTTATTGGCACGACATCAATCACGCCCCTTCATGTTTTTTGTTAGCAGCTGGTCAACCATGTATCGAGGGAACTAACCAGATATGCTCTGTACTCGCCCCTTCAAACGGAATATCCAGCTGCTTTCTCGTCCAACTATGCGCTCCATCACAGCCGATGATATACTTCGCTTTTATAATCTCCTTCTTCCCAGGTGCTCTTTTCCGCTGCCGAGTCAAATCATCCCATTCGCCATCCTCCAAGTCACCGGGGATCGTGATATTATTGTTGGAGCCAGAATGTCTCAGGGTAACGGTAATGGGATACTCATTCTTGCTTCCGAGTGTCTCATTATAATCCAATGACTCGGCAAGAATACCACGCTCAACTTCGATGTCCGAGTGCTCTCGGATGCTATCCAGCACAAACCGCTCAATGCGGCCTTGACTCAAAAGCATATGGTGATACGGCGATTCAAAGACTTGGGATGGGGTAATAGGCCCTTGGCGGATCAATTTGCCCTCCGGTCCGGGCACCTGGGCATCGAAGATTTACTATTTGAATCTTATAGAATGGAGTATTTTACTAACCCAGAACCCAGGCTCAACAGCTGGATGTGCCTCATGTTCAACCCTGTGGTAGATCCCCATACTATCGAAGATTTCCAACGTCCGCATACGGATTCCATCAGCGTGACCGGTAAACACCTTCGTGGGACGTTTGTCGACGATTCGAGTTCGGATGCCGTAACGTGCCATCCAGTAGGCGGTCATTAGACCAGAGGGTCCGGCGCCGAGAATGAGTCTGAATATCCGGCGTCAGATTCGAAGACAAAGATATGGGATCATTGGGATCATACACATCGGTTTCAGACTCAGAGACACATTCGCTTTTAGACATGGTAGCTATTCACTGTATACTGAAACGTGAAACCACTGGCCTTGGAAGATTAAATCAGAGCTTGGAGAGTACTATTTATAAGGCGGCTAGTGGTGTTATAATCTATCCAATTATATCAGACTTTTAGTAATGTTTTATCAGCTAATGCGAGTATCGCAGGGCTCCCCTCCCACCTGGGCAGGTTAGTGCAGGCTTCCCCCCTTTGGGTCCATTCATTTTGCGGGCGCTGTTCTTAATCAAGATTGGAGAACCCATGCGGGACCAACTCATATCCCCGCTGACGCAAGTGCTGACTGAGCTTCTTTAAAATCCTGGGATATACAGCCAAATGATGACTATGAACCTGGTAGGTCAATGACTGCGGCGCCTTGCACATGTGGCGCACTACAAATGGTAGCACGAGATTGTACTTTCATATTCGGGCACAGCATCAAGCGCAAGGAACTCTTTGATGCCAAAATTGTTTTTTTAGACAAATGGAAGCATGGAAAATTTTCTATTCTCATATACAGGCATGTGTATTCACCAGCATCTAGATATGAATTTCTGTAGCTATCCCAGGGAACCCCAATGAGAAACCGAGTGTGTAAGATCGAGGGCTGTACTACATCATGAGTTGGAATGCAGGCATGCTGAGTCAAAGCTGTTCAGTGACACAGCTATTAGTGTCGTACCATTCAATGTTCAACGTCGAGTTTCAAAGTAGCACTAATCTACATATCTGGGAATTTCCAGCTCAGCCAACGCATAGCTTCACAAAGATTTATGAACATGGACATGGGTTCACTTAGGCATGGTCAATGGGAGAAGGACCTGCATCAGCAGGATAAGTAAAGATGTAGTTAGGACCATCAGCCATAAGCCCGTCACTACCAGGACGCATCTGAGAAGCCGGAAGCCAGAGCTTCTTATCTGCCGACACCCACATAAGGTCCGTCCAGAGTAGAGCATCATCCTGAACAAGAATGGTAGCACGACCCTCGGGAGTAAACTTCCAAATGGCCAGAAGGTTGGTGTCACTAACATAAATATTCCCATCGCCGTCAATAGTCGTTCCACCAGTACTAGGCGTCAAAGAAAACGGCTCAGCATAGTCGCCAAGCACCTCCGCCATAGTAGCGTTTGTCAATGTCGCGTCAACATAGGCAGTCTTGATGCGGTACATTCCACCATTGCAGGGCTGGTAATACAAGTAGGTACCATCAGGCGAGACTTCAATTTGGTCGAGCCCAACCGCAAGTGTACTGTCAGCGCCACCGTAGCCAGGTACCAGGGTGCCGTTGTACATCATAGGGAACCAGGCCGTGGCAGTGTCCGAGCTAGCGAGGACACGAACTGCGTGTCCTGATGTGAGGTTGAGGACAATCAGTGCGCCTGCTGTGTCGCTCAGGTATCCAATTTTTCCGGATGCGCTGAATCGGACGTCATCCACGCCGCTGTCGCTTGCTTTGACGTTGTCCAGATAGTAGATTTTGTCGACGGCGTTTATTGTCAGGTTCACGCCTACTATCTTGGTGGATCCATTGACACCTGTTGAGCCACCGTCGACTACCCAGTAGCGACCGTCGGGACCGATGCGAGCTCCATCAACGCTGACGAAGGTCTTGCGGGGGTTTGAGGTCGGATCGCTAGAGTTGTAGGAGTTCCATGCGGCGTCCGGGTACAGAGTGGTAGTGTTATCGCTTAGAAGCTCAACGATTTGAGGTGGGAGAGTGGTGGAATAGCGCTGGGACAGGAAATTGCGTCCGTTTTTGCTGATGCTGATGCCTTGTGTTGCTAGGTCCAATGAGTACACCAGCTCGAACCCTGCTGCATATGCGGTGACGGAGGGTACGAGGCCCAGAAGGCCAATGAATAGACCGCCTCTCATTATGAAGAGAAAATTGAGAGTACGAATATGTTTGAATTGGATTTTTTTGAGTGGAGATTCCTAGACATGACTATATAGTCTTTAAATATTGGAAAAATGTAGACCTACTCTTGATGTCGATGGATAGATCATCGCTCCGATATGGGATGCCAAGATATATGCCAAGGTAGAATTGATGTTCTTCACTCAAGCTGACGCAGCCAGCCAGGCTTTGTAAGAATATCTGGTGGTTAGCGTGGAGCATCCAGACGTGATCCCAAGATCTCAATGGCGCCATGTATGAATAGGGTTTAGTCTCCGCAACTGATCTGCAGATCCAAACGCAGGAACTTCAAACCCTAAAGCTAATTTCCGTCCACGCGTACTATGCTCTGAGTCTAGATTATCTTTCTTCCGCTCGCATCTCCGTCCGAGAATCCGTCGACACGCAAGTGTATCTTGGCAATTGTCTCAGTCAAACGCCAAGCATCGGGATAGCAGAATAGTCAAGCCGATGTCGAGACTGACTGTGCCTATATGATTGATATCGGAATCACATGGCAGAGGCTTTGCAAGTATACTAGCGCTTCTTCCTCTTGTTCCTTTCCATTTCTCTCCATTCCAGGCCAACACCACGGAATGTTCTGTTGATCTTTCCTTTCTACGTAATCATGCACCGTATTTGCAGGCGCAGACCACAATCCCGGGGGGTCCACGCCACTATTGCTGTCGGTGACTTCAACAGAGATGTTCACTTTGATATCGTGGTAGGATATCCAAGCAAATATAGTGGGCATCATGTATGAAAAGCCCTGCGGCGTTTAGGGCCGTCGTAATATGGTAGCAGTTTCACTCACGTAAACGCTTTGAAGACCCTTTTACATCAACGTTGGGGCTCTTATTTCGGTGATATCTGTTATGCTCTTGTTATAGAAATTCACCAGGTACAAGCAGTCTCTTTAACCCATGCTTCATAGTCCTCAGGAACCTTCCCCAAAAGTTCAACCTGCAACTGATACCCCTCTTCCGCCATGCCAAATCCTCGCTCTGCAATAGTCTCCACCATTAACCTCATATCCCTTCCCCAAGCCGCGTTTTTCCGGGCACCCAACTCCTGCTCAAATCGCTCGAACCCGTCCTCATTAGCAGGGTAAATATCAACATCCTTCCGCAGAGCATCCGACCATATCTTCGCAATGTCAGAGCCTTTATAAGCTCTCCGCGACCCAATAGGAACATGCTTCCCAGCCCATTTCCCGCTTCTATCAACAAAGACATTCTTCACGGCAAGAGCAATATCCGACGGCGCCACACGACTAACACCCTTCTCACCTAAAGGCTCATCATACACACCCCTCTCAAGCAAGGACTTTTTCGCCCTCAAGTCATTGATAAAGAAAAGAGCGGGACGGAGCACAGTCCACGTGAATGGTAAATTGCCATACACCAACTTCTGTTCCGTCAGGATCTTCACTAGAACATGCCCCGCCGAACAAAATTGAAGAATCGACTGCGCAACTTCAGGGGACGCGAAATCTGCACAGGCTGAGAGGTAGATCAGGTGCTTCACTGATTTTGTTCTGGATAGACAATCAAAACAGTTCATTGTTGTGAAGAGCTCGTCTTCGCCAGTCAAGCATAGGAAGACTGTGTCGACATCGTATTTGGTGAGCAGTCCTTGGAACCATGCGGGGTCTTTAACGGACCCTTCCTCTACTATGAAACTGGCTGCGTTGCATTCTGTTGGTGCAGGGAGGGATGCGCTCAGGCGTGCAGCGTTCGAAGTGGGAAGAATCACTCGTGTTGCTTCCAGTGGTTGGAGGAGAGGAAGGAGTTCTTGTCCTATGCGCCCGGAGGCTGCTGTAACTAAGAAAGTTCGCGACATTGGGGAAGTGATCTTGAAATCAAGGAATTGGTAAACTGTGAATGCATTCAACCCTTTCTAATGGGCATGGTGGCACTCTTAAATCATTTTGTGTGGCCTGACTTGTTTGTCGGCAAAGGTCGAAAGTACGTCCGAGACATGTTTAACCCCGTTTCATGAGTGCCGATTATCCAATAACACGACCTGGGGGCCTTCGAATTCGGGATATATTTGAAATGACCTACTACATCAAGCAAAATGCGGGGTTATCTCCCCTCTTTCTGTCCGTGGATCGATGGAACGGAGTAGGATGTAAGTGAGGCCGACGGATACGGAGATATATTGTCCGAAACCCGTGATGCGTAGGAGCCTGGTGAGTTTATCTACGTCATTCACAACGGACAAGTTGGATCTTTCCGATCATAAAGACTAGCAGGACACTTGTGTGTGTCTAGTGAGCTCAATAGAATTTCATCAAAAAAAGTGGAAAAGTTGGGAAAAGTCTAACTATGATTAACAGCCGATCACCCGGTAGATCAAGTCGGTATCTAACAAATCCTGATTGTTAATTAGCCGTGTGTCACGGGCATGCAGGAGGGCTATAGACATTCATAACGGATATACAGAGTTTGCAATGTTGTGGGTCGAAAGGAGTTCATAAAGCTTGGCTTTTTTGCATAATTGAGTTAAGCTGAGCGCATAGATACGTAATTCGCGTTATTCAAGGTCTCGTGAAACTGGATTTGTGATAAAGGAGGCTACTAGGAATAGAAGTAATGAGATTATACTTTTTATACCCAAACTAGGGGCTCAACGGAGTTTATGCTGACCGATCTCACATAGTATGCACTTGACCATGACATGTACAAAGCCGATGGAAACCGCGCCTCAAAACCTTCAATATAGCTTTGTAAATCACGAGTCGGCTTTTTAAATCAGGAGTAAGATTGCCCCTTATTTCATACTTTTCCAAAGCTCGAGCGAATCATCACGAAGAAGGAAAAGTAAAAACTCCGCATTTCTCATGAAACGGTTAAATAAAGCAAAGCTGACCAAGCTGATCAATTTCCCCACAAGCTCCATAGAGTGAGATCTCCCTTGCGTTAACATTCCAAGAGCATTTTCGGAGCTTGGGAGTATGTGACTGACCACATACGGTAGCGGGGCGGGATGATCTTCGGAGAGAAAGGGTTCGCGTGCAAAAGGAATATCCTCACTTTCCTGTCAGGCGAGCTTCATCCCTAGACTAATGGGATCATGTGGTAGATGGTTAATCCCCACCTCCAATTAAAGGGCAAACTCGATCTCAAGCTAAGACATCAGAGGCGCGCTATATTAGCAGTTGCTACCATTTCCCCATGATGGGGATCGCGTCGATGACCACTGTGGACTCCACTTTGGATCCGCGGAAGGGTCTCCCGGTACACGTCTTGGTATGCTCCTCAGAAAGTCATTGGTTCGGGGGATTGTCTTGCTGGTTTGGGGGAGTCCTTGATTCTTCAGGAATGCCCGTCGCCTGTATCCAAGCGCTACAACCTAAACTTCTCACGCTGTAAGGCATGGTGATGTCAGGTCCGTTTCACAGCATTACGGGTAGGTAATGTACCCCAGCCTTGTTTTTCCTTTTTAAGTATATCTATCATACCGGTGACACCCCTCTTTTGCTGAGAATAAATTTTTGTTGCCCTGCTCTCCCTTTGCTTCGTGTTATAAGGGCAGGGGATTCTTCGAAAAAACAGTAGGTGCGTGTGTGCCTTGATCGACAGTTCGTGGACTCAGTTCACTCCAAGATATACGATATCACTCGAGGATCATTAAGTCAATTCAAGTTGACTTGCTTGACACGGTGACGCGGCCCAAGTATGCATCCGGCCGATATCGAGAAAGCTCATGGATCACCTTCTATGCATAGCTTTAACCCGTTCGAACTCGAAAGCACAAATACCGACTCTAGTCATGACGCCGTTCTCGAATTAAAGTCCCAGTCGAAGCTGGAGCGCTGGTTGAGCCGCTTCAATGTGGAAGTACATGGGGTTGAGAGGGTTCCTGTCAACGAGCGAGAGTCATTGACAGCATCAAGTTCGTTGCATATGTTTCTCATGTGGTTTAGCATGGCATTGGCTACCAACAATATAATCGTCGGGTCATTGGGGACATTCTTGATGGGTCTCAGCTTCAAGGATGCAGCATTATGTGCAGTGTTTGGAAATTTGTTGGGTGTGGTGATCGTCGGATATATGAGTACCTGGGGCCCACAGAGTGGAAATCGAACTTTGGTAAGTTGTTGAGCTTGTCGGTATCTTTATGCATGTTCTAAGTGATGCAGATTGTCAGTCGATACTTTATGGGCTACTATCCCAGCAAAATCTGCTGTGCGCTGAACATCTTCACCAATATTGGATACAGCATGATCAACAGTGTTGTCGGAGGTCAGGTCTTGTCAATGGTTTCTGGAGGCCAGATTTCCGTGCTGGTGGGTATCGTGGTTGTTGCTTTCACCAGCTGGGTCATGGCCATGTTTGGCATGCGCATATTCCAAATCTATGAACGGTAAGCCGTGATCAAGGAAATATCTGTCAACTTATCTAATCTATTTCAGATTTGCATGGCTCCCTCAGCTGATGGTCCTATGTGTGATGCTGGGCTCAGCCGGTCCCCATTTCGACTTCAACGTCCACACCAAGTACTCGCAGGAGCATCTAAATGCCAAGCGCGTCACCTATTTCTCATTATGTGTATCGATCGCCCTCGCATGGGCTCCGCTCGCCGCCGACTACTACGTCTATTATCCGCCGCACGTCAAGCGCTGGAAGACATTCGCAGTGACCTTTCTCGGATGCGGCAAAGCTATGGTAATCACGCTTCTGATCGGCAACGGAATCGGAACCGTTCTCGCTAGCTCGCCTTCCTATCTTGTGAAATACGGCAACACCCCCGGCGGCTTGCTGATGACAGCGTATGATTCCCTCGGAGGGTTCGGGAAATTCTGCGCCGTGATTAACGTCCTCGCACTCGTTGCGAACAACACCCCGGGCGCCTACTCCATGGGAATGAACTTCCAGATGCTAGGGTCCTGGTTCCAGCGAATCCCACAGCCTATTTTCACGACTCTCACTACGGTGATTTATACAGCCTGTGCGATGGGCGGACGCAACTCCCTATATCAGATTTTTAAGAGCTTCCTGCCGTTGATCGGATACTGGGTCATCATCTGGATTGTGATCGTTCTCGAGGAGGACTTCTTCTTCCGCAGAGCAAAGGGGTACGACTGGGCAGCGTGGGACAAGCCGCAGAAGCTGCCCATGGGAATTGCAGCAGGAGTTGCCTTTTTGATTGGGTGGGGTGGTGCGATCGTCGGCATGGTAAGTACCCAACATATCACATTTTTCGTGTACGACCTATTAATCCATTACACAGGATCAAACATATTACTCTGGTGTCCTTGCGCAAGTGACCAGTGGCTCGGATCTTGGTTTGTGGGTAGGAGCCGGGTTTACAGCTGTGGTATTCCCACCATTGAGGGTATTCGAGAAATGGTACATCGGGCGCTAAGATCCCGATTAGGGCTGCCGATCTTGGTTTAGCCACGGTCCGCGGCTCAGATCTACGATACAGATCCCCCGCTTCGTACATGCGCGTACATAAAGCTATGACAGAAAGATAGGAGGAGTGTATTTTATGATTAGGAGGTCCAGATCTACGTGTTTAAAAAGTCAAAACCAATGCACATGATCCACTATCTCAACGAATCAAACCATGGTTAAATAATACGCTATTGTACTTACACGGGCTTGGGACGAGCCGAGCTCCACTCAAATCCCCGCTTAACAATGGCACTTGCAAGCTTCAAAGGGCCATAGCGCACTTATAACCCGCGTGGCGCCTTCTAAATGTGTGGCTGCATAGAATAGTTCATATTCAACTTTCATCCGGCTCTCCCGGATCTCATGTCCATCTGTCCTTGATAACCTTCACCTTCCCCCCCCCCCCCCCCCTTTGCAACTTCTGCCACGTTGCCATAATGGAGAACCTCACCTGGGCTGGCAGCCAACCCCTTTCCGAAGCTGTTGGAGCTATCATTAGTGCCCCGCTACAGAAATGGCTTCCTTATTCCGTGGTCCTGTTAATTGGGTGGCCCCTTTTAGCCAGATCGCTGCGCTACAGACGATTGAAGCAGCTCCACAAGAAATACAACTTTCCGACACGTGAATCCATGGCCAAAATGACCGATGAAGAGGCCTTTGAGATTCAGCTAGAAGTTGGGCAGCTCGAGTTTCCGTTCATCTATGTGAAAGCCTTACAATTCGCTCTATTCCGGGTATGAGCTCCTACCTACCCTTGAGTGCCTTTACACGACATAGGTGGAACCGCCTCAGGGCCTATAGTGTTATATATTTGGAACTATTAAGAAATAAACTAATCCAGAACCTAGACATATGGCATTCCCTCAATCTCTCACCTCCTTACAAAGACAAGCCAGTTTTCCAACCCGGAAACTTCCTTGAAGCGTTACACAGACACAAGCGCTCTTGTCCAGGAGATGGTAGCAAACAGCCCAACCTCTCTCCGCGCTTTCACCTCTCTGGCCCGTACCCGCTTCCTTCACAGTGGCTACCGTGCCTCAGGCAAGATCCTTGACTCAGACATGCTCTACACGCTCGCGCTTTTCGCGCTCGAGCCAATCAAGTTCATTAAGCAGTTCGAGTGGCGTGAGCTCAGCGATCTGGAGCGATGTGCTATCGGCACGTTCTGGAAGAGTGCAGGTGATGCATTGGGCATCCCGTTCGACGAGTTGCCGTCCGGTAAGAGTGGGTTCTCGGATGGTTTACAGTGGCTCGAAGAGATCTCGGCCTGGAGCGTGGAGTATGAGAAGAAGTATATGGTTCCTGATGTCAAGAATCGGGAGACTGCTGATCAGACTACGGCTATTTTGGTTTATATGCTACCTAAGGCATTACATCCTGTTGGATTGCAGTTCGTTTCGTATATGATGGATGATCGGCTGAGGAAGGCCATGCTGTATGTACAACCCTTCTCGAACTCTGAGATCGTTTGCTAACGCTTATAGCTATGATGCGCCTACCCCGTTCATGTCAACTCTGATCACGGGTCTTCTTACTACGCGTCAGCTTGTCTTGCGCTACTTTATGCTTCCCCGGCCATCTTTCCTGAGAGTTACGAATGTTTCATCCCAGCCTGATGAGAAGGACCGATTCTTCATGACGAATTGGGAGGCGGCGCCTTACTATGTCAAGCCGACTCTCTGGAACCGATGGGGTCCTATGGCGTGGTTGACTTGGGCGCTGGGTCGTCCTGTTCCTGGTGATGAGGGAGATAAGTATCGTCCTTCTGGCTATCATATTAATGATATTGGGCCGAAATACTTTGAAGGCAAGGGGCAGAAGGCTATTGAGGAGACGATGGAGGAGTTGAAGGTGTTCCGCACTGGAAAGTGTCCATTTCATTAAATGTTGCATGCCATTGAGATGGGTGTATACATAACCCTCGGTATTTAGGTAATTGGCCCTGGAGGTAACTAGCTTTGTTAAGTAAGGTTTCGGATCACTAGGTGAATACCACTATGCCGGTGACAATTAAAAATCATTTCCTCAATTGTTTTTTCCAGTATGTGCTATTCTGGCCTCGTGATCGGAAAGCTAAACCCAAGATCCAGAGGCAGGAAAATAGAGACAGGATAAGGTGAAAATTAGGAGCGCTCAAACAAAATACTGGGTCGCAGGGCCCATCGAGCCAGCATCCGAAAAGTAGAGAATGTAAGCTTATCAAGGGTATTACTGCGAGCAAATCTCAAAGTTGGAAGACATTTACTGCTCCTCCTCGACAAGACCCTCCTCGGCGTAGTACTCCTCCTCGCCCTCGGAGACGGAGGCATCCTGGTACTGCTGGTACTCGGAAACCAAGTCGTTCATGTTGCTCTCAGCCTCAGTGAACTCCATCTCGTCCATACCCTCACCAGTGTACCAGTGCAAGAAAGCCTTGCGACGGAACATGGCACTGAACTGGTCGCCGATACGCTTGAATAGCTCCTGGATGGAGGTCGAGTTACCGACGAAGGTGGAGGCCATCTTAAGACCCTTGGGGGGAACGGAGCACAGAGCGGTCTGGACGTTGTTGGGGATCCACTCAACGAAGTAGCTCTGGTTCTTGTTCTGGATGTTGCGCATCTGGTCCTCGACCTCCTTCATGGAGACCTTACCGCGGAAGAGAGCGGAGCAGGTGAGGTAACGGCCATTGCGGAAGTCAGAGGCAGCCATCATGTTCTTGGGGTCGAACATCTGCTGGGTGAGCTCGGGAACGCTCAGGTTGCGGTACTGGTGGGTACCACGGCTGGTCAGGGGAGCGAAGCCGACCATGAAGAAGTGCAGACGAGGGAAGGGAACCATGTTGACAGCCAGCTTGCGGAGATCGGAGTTGAGCTGACCGGGGAAACGAAGGGAGGTGGTGACACCGGACATGACGGCGGAGACCAGGTGGTTCAGGTCACCGTAAGAGGGGGAAGAGAGCTTGAGGGTACGCATGCAGATATCGTACAGAGCCTGGCAATCATAGGTTAATATGCTGCATATCAATATCACGCATTATAAAGCATACCTCGTTATCGATACAGAAGGTCTCGTCGGAGTGCTCAACAAGCTGGTGAACGGAGAGGGTAGCGTTGTAAGGCTCAACAACGGTGTCGGACACCTTGGGCGAGGGGACAACGGAGAAAGTGGCCATCATACGGTCGGGGAACTCCTCACGGATCTTGGAGATGAGGAGCGTACCCATACCGGCACCGGTACCACCACCCAGGGAGTGGGTGATCTGGAAACCCTGGAGGCAGTCACAGCCCTCGGCCTCACGACGGACAACATCAATAACCTGGTCAACGAGCTCGGCACCCTCAGTGTAGTGACCCTTAGCCCAGTTGTTACCAGCACCGGACTGACCGAAAACGAAGTTGTCGGGGCGGAAGAGACCACCGAAGGGACCGGCACGGACAGCGTCCATGGTACCGGGCTCCAAGTCGACAAGGACGGCACGGGGAACGTAACGGTTGCTGCTGGCCTATCAAGATCAACATTAGAGAAGCCTTTATACTTATAGCTTCTCTAAACATACCTCGTTGAAGTAGACGTTCATGCGCTCCAACTGGAGGTCGGAAGCCTCGTTGACGCTAAAAATTATCAGACCGCCATTTCCACCTCGCATTCTCATCGATATTGAAACTCACTGTCCATCACCATCAAGTCCGTGCTCGCCAGCAATGGTTTGCCTAGATTTCAGTCAGTGATTCAGTCCAACAGGCTATCAATTGGTGATCGTGGTTGCAACACGTACCAGAAAGCGGCACCAATTTGGTTACCCTATTCACCCATGTACCGTTTAGTTTTCACATCCATGATATACCATTATCTCGACACGTCTTTCTCGGTTCCGCACTTACACATTGGCCGGTCTGGAGGTGGACCTATAAAGTTGAAAAGTTGAGGTTAGCACGGACTTTGAACAGGTGGGGGGTCATCGTTCAGGGGGCTCGGAAGTCAACAAAGACGCGTTTTCTGGGGGCAGATGTACAATCTCACGCATGATGAACTTGGGTGAAGATAATTAAACTTCGACAATTGAGGGTATGGAAAGAGAAGATGAGGAATGACCGAGGGTCCAGGAGATGGGAAAGGAGAAAGTAGGTGAGCGGTGTGTGTGCGTGGGGATCAACAACAACTTCTTTTGCTCTCAGGGGGGGGATCGCCCGATCAGGCCTAGTGGGTATCACGGGACCAGTCAGCGGGCGAACCGCGAGGTGCGAACCACAATTCATCGTTTTTAGTAAACATCGTTGGGCCGATAGAATACAGTACTTACTACGAAGTACTATACTTGCTATTTCACTATTATACATTCATGTGCTAAGTTCCTAGTTTTCTGTCTCAGTATTCTCACTGGACTTTCCCTTCTGCTCCTCCAACCAGTTTCCGAACTCGTTCAGGCGCTGCTCCTCTTCCTCATCTTCCTCTTCATCATGAATTGTACCACGCTCGGCCATCTGCTCGAGTGCCTCGCGTCTCTCATTGGTCTTCTTAAATTTCTCTCGTCCCTCTGACACATAGGCTTCGACGCGGGTGCCACCAAAGAACCGACCGTCCATGACCTTAACACATTGTCGGGCGGATTCGGGATCGGCGAACCGAACACTGACCACACCCTCAGGCTCCTTGTCGTAGAGAACAACATTGGTGACTTCGCCGACTTTCGCACACTCATCACGAATATCTTCCTTGATATCCAGAATTGCGGCGACATCCTCCTATGTATTATTTAGAATAGATCGTGAATAGTAGATAAAGTAAAGTAAATGACGTACCTGCAATTCTTGCAATGTAAACATGTGTTTCAAAATCACGATCTTGTCTTGCTTGGACTTTGTCTCTGGCAGAGTTGAGGGTTCATCATCGTCCCAGTCCGCCAGTTTACTACTCCCGTTAGTATGTCACCAACAACCTGTCACAGACCATCACGCACCTGTTCAGTCTTGCTGTCCGAGCAATGATCTTCTTTTTATCCCGCATATTTGTCTTCGGCGGCGCATCCTGCTGGGCTTTATAAGAGAAGTCCGCAGCCTGAATCTTCATGGGACCGTGGGGTCCGGGCACGCCCAGTCGGAACTCCGTCTCATCCAGCATCTGAATCGCCAAATTGACCGACTCGGGACGGAAGTACACGACCAGCGCTTCGCCCTTGAAGTTCCCTTCTTCATCCATGTACATTTTGATTCGTGGGCGACCGCTATCGATTTCCTCGGCAATGACACCGCACTTGGAGAAGACGTCTCTGATCTCATCGAGTTCGGCGTCGAGAGGAATAGACGAAATGAATAACGCGGTGTTTACCCGCTGTTTCTTCGGTTTTTGCGTGCTGTCCTATAATTTCCATAGGCAGAGTCAGTATCTATCGACACAGTCGCCTGGAGGGTCGTGATGGTAGCTATAGCACTCTGTATCGGGAACTACTCACGTCATCTTGCTGCTTCCGCTTCTTCCTATCGCGAGGGTGAATCTCTTCATCCTCTATCCCATCGACCTTGTATGCCTCCTGCTGTTGGCGAAGTAGCTCCTCATCGACCTAAAATGATAGATTTAGTGTCATGTTCAAGGACATGTCTTTGGTTTGCGCCAGCGAAGACAGGGTGCGCTGCGCGCAAGGTAGGACCAAGCTGAACATACCGTCTGAACCCAGCGTTTGAGAGCTGTGTCAAAAACAAACTCTTGTCCATCATCTGTCTCCAGGATGAACTTATCATCGAGCTTCGAGAACGAAACCCGGGGGTCGCTATCGAAGTCTGAGGGGTCGAGGGGAAACTGGTGCCCAGTCCCGTTATCAGGGGTTGGCGAGGCCATTTGGAGCTCGGAATAATGCGCAATGGATCGTAAAAGATTGGATGTAAATTAAATGAGGAGGTTCGTGATCAAAAGTCAGTACAGGTTGAGGTGGATTTTGCAGGAAGCTCGAGCTTTTTGCGATGATTTGCGGAGCTTCCCATCCAGTACCCGCATCACATGGGCGCGAGGGTGCGGATCATCGAAGAGCGTCATTGGTCCGTTTTACTTCCACTTAAATACTACTTCTACTTCTACGCGATATTTGGTGAATGTTGGGAATTTTTTCATTTTGTTCATATAAAAAAGGGTATCTGTCACAAGAAGAGAAAAAATAGAAGGATGTTATCCTGAAGAATGCCGTATAGGACCATGCAAAAAGAAGAAAAGAAGCGACAAAGTGCCTCCTATGCTAAACCCCCGCCAAAGTAAGAAATTAAATAATAAAGAATGTCTATTTCACAAGGAAATTAGGCCTTGGTGTCAATGGTAGTGGCGTGCTCGCCGGTTGGTGTCATGGTCCGCTTGGAGCCAGTCTCGACGGCCTCAACACCATTGACAATATCACGAGTGACCTCGACATAGTCGTAAGCGAACTCGCCAATCTCGGCATCATCAATACCCATGATCTCATCCTCCTCGGCAGCACGAAGGCTGCAGCCGGGGATGAGGTTGAGGACGAAGAGGATAATGCAGGTTCCGAAGAAAGAGTAGGCAGCGCCAGACATGGAGTCCGCGAGCTGGTAACCAAGCTGAATGTAGTTCTTGTTGATCCAGCCACCGGGGATCTCAGTGCTTCCATCGAGGTGAGCAATGTAGTCAGCAGCGAAGAGACCGGTCAGCAGGTTTCCGACGAGACCACCAATACCGTGGACGGCGAAGATGTCCAGAGCATCATCAACGCCCAGCAGGAACTTCAGCTTGGTGGCATAGTTGCAAGCGACGGCACCGACAACACCGAAAATGAAAGCGGCCCAGGGGGTAACGAAGCCAGAGCCGGGAGTGATAGCGACCAGACCGGCGATGACACCGGAGCAGAAGCCGACCGTGGACCACTTGCGCTCGAGACGGTAATCCAGGAGACACCAGGTCACACCACCAACGGAGGCAGCCAGGTTGGTGACGACAGCAGCCATGACCGCACGCAAGTTAGCAGCGAGGGCGGAACCGGCATTGAAGCCGAACCAACCAACCCACAGGAAGACAGTGCCAATGACAACGTGGGTGACGTTGTGAGGGCGGTAGTTGAGTTCGTGAGTACCGTGACCACGACGCTTGCCCAGCATCAGGGAGTAAGCGAGGGCAGCACAGCCCGAGGAAATGTGGACAGGAGTACCACCAGCGAAGTCCAATCCACCCATCTTGTAAACCCAACCCGAAGAGTTCCATGTCCAGCAGGCAATTGGGTCGTAAATGATGGTTGTCCAGACGAACATGAAGATGATACAGGGGAGCATGCGACCGCGCTCAGCAATGGCGCCGGCAGCGAGGGCAACACTATCATAAAGGGTCAGTCTTGAGTCTCGTGAGTGCACAGGGATTTCAAGGGTACTCACGTAATAGCAGCGAACATGCCCTGGAAAATACAGAACAAGATATCAGGAACATGAGTGCCTCCCACCGAGGGTGCAGCCAAGACGTTTCTCAATCCAATGTTCTCCAGGTCACCAATGAATGTTCCGGCCGTGTGGGAGAAGGATAGCGAGTAACCCCAGAAGAACCATTGGAACGACACCACGCCGACCGACATAACAGACAGCCATATCAGAGAGAGTGCCGACTTTCGTCGTGCGAGACCGGAGTAGAAGAATCTAGACAGTATTAGCCTTTGTTGGTCTATCAGGTATCAATGCATCCTTACCCAACACCCGGGATCATGAGCAACACCAATGCGGACGAGGTGATGATCCACGCAATATCACCAGCCTGTTATCTGTTAGCCATTGTAGACTAAGGTGTGTCACTCCAAGCATACATCGTAGTAAATGTTCAGGTCCTCGGTCAACGAGTCACCACCAGAGGCGATGGTACCGTTGTAGGTAACCGGGTAGGCCGACATGGTGAAACCCTTTGAAATGCCAATAGGTTTCACAAAGCCCACAGTAGAAAGGGAGGTTATAACCGAAAGGAACCCAGATAGGGAGAGGTCCAAAGTCTATCAAGGAAAGAGATGAAGACAGGTCCAAGAGGAATGTTTTTTAAAAGCTGAGAGATCTGAAAAAAGGAGTGAGAAATGACAGATCATGCAGGGACATGGGTAATAATTTAAATAGCGAGACGCAGTGTCCCGGACATCACCAAACGGGGGGTCTCCACCATCGGACGCTAGAAGGCCAAGAACCTCGATCTTAGTTCTGATAGTGGGAACCAAAGTGTGGTCATGGTGATTGCTATGAATCATCCAATCTAAGCGATGGTACAGGCCAAGACAGCCCCATTTCGCCATGTCGGGATCTAAATGGGCAGCTTTCCATGGACCCAACCGGGGGAATACGGGTCCCAGGAAACTACATACTTCGTTTGACCCATCAACCCTATCAACAGGGTCTAGATAGAAGATAGACTCAGCATTGCAATTCAAATGACACCGAATAACCTGCACAACATGGACAGGGTTCTCCTGACAGCTTCTCGAATTCTCAGCTGGACTTCTTTTCCCCGCGGACGCCGGGCAATGTCTGATTCAGTTTCCGTCAACTTGCATGAACAGATAAGCAGGGGGTTCCAAGGCACTGATTGATAGAATGATTAGAACACAGTGACAGAAAGAGGCGAATAATGAGAATTCATCCACAATCCAGGTCCGCAGAGTCAGATCGACGTCTACGACTGGCTGTAGATATGAGGTTGACTTCGCAACCAATCAGCGTCCATTGCTTATCTGCGCCCTTCCCTCCGCATCTTGTCAGCCATGCGATGCTTCTGCGCTTATGGCGCAACAATCTTTGTTATTTGATAATAATCATAGATAATGTCAGATCTTTCAATCATTCATCTTTCCATCAATGATATTTTTTGCCTTCAAGCAACTATAATGTTGCTGGAAACCAAAACGCATGGTTGATGCTGCCTTCGCGGCTCTTATCAGGCTGATATTGATCAACCAATCAGCATTCGTTTAATCTAAGTAAATCATTTTGCCTTATCGCGTCCACGCTCAACCGCTCGCAACTAAGCTAGGGGCCAGACTGTTTCGGGTTTTCTTTTCCAGACTCTCTAGTCTGTCTCGGTCATCACTGCATTCTGATGCTACGACCGGCGCCTCTTACGACACCATTAAAAAGTGCCAAGGGAACAATTCCGAGTACTCCCTTCCCCTAACTAAAGACTCGGCCATTTCCTCCGAGCTATGCTGACAGGAAGATCAGCTCCGAAGCTCTAGGAATGCCAGAACATTTGGGGAGCAATGATCATCCTGACCCCTCGCATGGATTTTGCGAGCTCTACAAAGTAGGCGTGTATTGTCCAATCCGGAAACCCCGGGCCCACCCAAGCAGGTACACCCTAGGAGAACGCATGGGGCGGGAAATGCTCTATGCCACGCGGTCTGGGGAGTGCCAAGACTAGATAAGCCTCCTGTTGATCATTGGCCGGGGTTTTCTCGCTTCGGCATCCCGGGTTGGCGCTTGGCAAGCCCACGCGGAGAAATATCCTGGGTCCTAGTGTCAGGTGTTACCTTAAGGTGCAGCCATTTATTGTGAAACTATCGAATCTCCTCGCCTGACTCACACGAGGACTGGCTATGGTAAGCATAGGGGGGCCACGGGGCGTCTACTCAAGATTTGAGCAGATTATGTGACTCGGTCTCCAACGTCTATATCCAAGGACAATGTTTTTAGACCCTCCAGTCCGTTTGCTTTCAAAAAGGTTGAGCCGCAGTACCCTCCGCAGAGATCATTGAGAATAGGATCCATTCTGTGGATCCATTGATCGACGCACCTGGAGGCCACGATGATCTGCACGTAGATCAGAGAGCTCTCATGCATAATAGATTCATCCAAAGCAAGCATAAGAAATAGTCTCTGAAAAGGCTCCATTGACCTGTGCTATGGCCTTGAAAATAGAGGGTTGCTACAGTTTTGTTTATCTGAGGCAACGAATAGATTTGCATATGCATGTATTACGTAGTCCCCAGGGGGTGGGATAGTTTGGTAAGTTGTTGTTTTTTTTCCAAATATAGACAGCCTAGAGCTTAAATTCAATGATTGAATCTTTGCTGATCATCCAAAATTTTCTTTCTCTAGACTTTACACTACTGCAGATGAAGTAGAACTATCAAAAGTGCACTAAAAAGTAAACATTTCCTACAGGACTGGGCTATTGAGATGCCTTCTGACTAGCTATGATATACATCTTATCATTAATGTCTCAGCCAAGACGAAGTCTTCCTAGCTTGAAAACACCACGGGCAGTCGGCCAGTTCCGTCCTAATGGCCTAATCAAAGGGATATCGATTTCCAATGGTTGTTCCACGCAAGATATAATAGCAAGTCATATATCTTCCTGTTCGTCGACGCGTGGCAGATCTTTCAATTCAGAGATCCTCTTTGAATATATGCAATATGAGGAACGTAACAAAATTAATAAGTTGTTAACCAAGGACGTCCAAGCATTCTGATTGCTCGGTTGAGATCAGTAACAATAGTGTTGTGTTCTCGTCACGATTGTATGGGTATCAGGCACTTGAAGTACTCTGCTTGATATATTCGGTGTGTCTTTGGAGACGCGTAGTCGATTTATCAAGGGGTTTTCGTCATAGAGGACAGATCGCGTATACTGAAACGCGTTAGTCTCAAGTAAGCACCAGAAGTGGCCCTATTGGGATGTCACTTTTGGTATACGAGATTATTGAACTAATCATTTCCCCTTTTTTGGCCGTCTTATATTAAGCGTCCAAATTTCATTTCTCAGTCTGTTCTTGTGAATTTCCTTTTGATGAACTCCACATATTCATATGGTGATGAGAACGCCACCAAATTATCGACCTGATGCTCTCTGCCGAGTGGCATTGTCTCGTTATGGCAACTATTTTCCGTCAATCGCCTTCATCATTATAAGGGTCAACTGAAGCGAATATTATACCCAAATGTCATCGGCCTACCCAGGGGTCTTCGAGTTGTAAATTTTTGTGGTGCCAAGAGTACATCCATGACCTCATGTATGCATCTTGCCTAAGCGAATATCTCCTCCACTCGCCTATGAAGCTCGAGGAATTTTGTAGAACACGATGTGTTGTTATCTCGGTTGGTACTTCAAATTTAGATGCCTAATCTCACAGCTTTCATTTGACTACAGTATGTCTTTGTAAACCTTCGCAATAACCTTGCAAGTAGCGTGTTCGCGATTCTAGGCAGCATGATCAGCACCCATGACCGGGATCAGGGACGCGCATTTAATCTATTTAATATCAACCCCGACGCTCATTGCCCACTTCGTAAGTACAGCTCACTTGTACGCAGCTGGAAGTGGCAAAAGCAGGGGCGATCTGCTCCTTTACAGCCGAGGGTGAAAAACCAGGTATAAAAAAAAACGGGAAGCTGGCCCGGAAGGCGGCCCCATTGGCTCGGCCCCGCCACGCACCGCCACACGCCCCTATCACCTTTCAAGCTTCATCCCCATCGCGAGACCATTCTTGCATCACACGGTCCCTAACTCCACCATGGAGCACCCCGACATTGCCAGCCAGGACTCGGATGGCTCGGGCTCCTCGGATGAGTTTCCCTCTCAATACCCTTTGAGGGCTAACTCAGCCTTTGTGGAAGCCTTTGATCCGCTAGTCCAGACGCCTGCCACCACCATCACCTCGTCTCCTCCATCAGCTCATTCTCCAAGTTTAACTTCATGGTCCAGCACACCGACAGCTCGTCCACGTGGGGCTAGTGTTGGAGCCTCTGCAGCCCTCGAGAAACCTGATGGCATGGCGATGTCTACCGATCTGCGACCGCAGCGTCCATCCGCCCCCGCGAGGACCCCGTCCAACACCTATGCTCCTCAACGACGGCCACCGCAATACATCAGTCTTCAGCAAAACGACCGGGCACGCTCATCATCGGCGAAACAAGGTACCCGACGCGACCCGAACGCCCAATATCGGGCCCAAGAAAAGGCCTATGTACAGCGGATACGCGCTAATCCGCAGGCCTGGTACCATCACTTCAACGACGCACAGGCCAACAATATGATGCTCGGAGATGCAGACCTGGAGGACCCCTCCCCCTCATCTGAGGCACCTTTTGAAGACGATCCCTACGACCCCGATACCCAACTTTTTCTTCCCCATGATAATATGCCCACCACGGAGGAATTACGCAACCCCAAGAACCAAGAGCGCCTCGAATGGCATTCCATGTTAGCATCAGTCTTGAAGGGCGATGTAGTCAAGCAAGAGAAGCAGCGATTACTGGGATCCACAGAATCCAACCGATCGGCCGCGGTAAGCCAGGCTCTTTGGATCGGTGTTAGAGCGCGGACGTGTGGGCGGAGCATCGCTCTCCAGCAAAAGCTCATCGAAGATGCCCGTCGCCAGCTAGGGCCCGTCATTGAGGACATTATCAATTTTCAAATCAAAGGTGAAACTGAAATTGGAAAAGCACCGAGGCAACAAGTGGAAGATGTTGTGGAGAAAGTCGAGCGTTGTGAGGAGTTATATTCTACTCGTAAAGAGATGGAAATTGCCAATCCCCGCACAGCCTCGGAAGAGTTCTCGTCGAGCCGCGATGCGATCTTTGCCTGGCACAACATCACCGCTCTTATCAATACAGAACTAGCCGTGTTGCAAAGTTGGGTCGGCAACGAGGCCCTCGACTTCAGCCAGCCCAAATCCAAAACTGAAGGTAGCGATTTATCGGATGACACTTCTTTCCTGGATCGTATTATGAAGGAGGACGGTTTGAAGACTCTCCAGGGTGATCACAGCATGCTCCAGGGCCTCGGCGAGGTTATTCAGAAAGCCAAAAGTACACTGATCGAGAACTCCGAAGCTTTCGCGACACGACATTTACCGCCTTATATTGAAGAGCTTCTCACATTAATCAACTTCCCCTCGCGGTTGATCCAGGAAATCATTCGCGTTCGCCTGTCATACGCGAAGACCATGAAAGACCCAGCTCAACAGTCACCAATTCTGGTGGACCAAATGATTTCGCAGTTCCAGATTTTGATGAGAGTCGCCGTTGATATTAAGCAACGCTATCTTGCCATCTCAATGCCTCAGCCTGGTTGGGATCTACCACCTTGCGTCGACGAAAACTTTGACTCGGTGGTACTCGATGCTATGAAGTACTATTTCCGCTTGTTGAACTGGAAACTCAACGCCAATAAGAACACATTCAAAGAAGCCGAAATTCTGGAGCAGGAGTGGGAATACTCTTATGATATCGGTCGACAGCTTGGAAGCGGCGATGTTGAGGTGGCTGAGCAATTCAGGTATGTCCAACGTGATCCCGGTGCAGGGATGTTTGCTAATGAAAGGATAGTGCTTTGACTGCCAAGTCGCTTCAACGACTTATGATACACTTTGAGCGGGAGCTCGTACCGCGGCATAATGAGACTGTCGCCGACATGGACAAGCGCTATAAGAGCATCTTGGATTCTACGCGTATCCGTCAACGAAAGCTTTACCGATTCTCCAGGTTTCTATGCCAGTTGTTTGAAAATGCCACCGAGTATAACATCTCTGCTGATATCGCATACGAGTTCTTCGAAGCGTTACTTATTTCTGATCATTTCCTGGTTACCTCACCTAACTCGGTTGGTCAGAAAGGTGTCTATTTGATTGCGCATCATTCATTGTGGAATCGTCCGGCCGACATCCAGGGCATTCTGGCTACATCCTTCCGAGAGGATGATGTCACCAAAGACGTCCCTGACATCCCATATGTATTGGCTATTCGCCCAGAAAAGCCACTAGCCTGGGCTGGAAAAGAGATGCAGATTGATATCTTGGAGCAACCCACAGATGTCCGTCTCGGTAAGCTTCGGCTTGTTGTCGAGGGTCTGCAAGAGCGACTGCAGAATGCGAGAATGGAGTTGACGCATCTCACCGGCATTCAATTGGATATGGCAATTGAGCAGCGCGCAAACCTTGGACGCGTCAACGTGGAATTAAACAAGATCAAGAAGATCTCCTTCAAGCTGTCTATGGCTATCATGGACAGCGTGGCGGTAATTAAAAATCAGCTGCGGGAGAAAACGTGGGAGAACAATGACCTGATTCAGGCTTGTTATGCATTCGCTACCGAGTTCGGAAAGCGTTCTTCCAACTATGTCGATGCCAACAGACGCGCTATGAACAGTGCTCGATTGGTGGAGCTGTCTCTTGATTGGGTCTCGTTCATCTGTGATGACTGTGATGCTGCCGACCGGAAAACCTTCAAATGGGCGGTTGCTGCACTTGAATTTGCTATGGCCATAACATCTAGCCGCCATCTTCTTTCTTTGGACGAGGAACAATTTGCCCGTCTCAGGTTGAAGGTGGCAGGTTGTATGTCTCTTCTCATATCTCATTTCGATATCATGGGTGCCCGTTCATCCCTCGCGGCCCAGGCAGAAAAGCAGCGGATGGAGGAGCGGGCTGGTGCTCGAAAGACTGGCGCTGGTCGCATTTTGAGCGATCAAGAAGCTGCCAAGCATATCCGTGAGCAATGGTATGCCCGTCTGACCGAGATCGAGGACCGAAGAGTCGAGGAGTGTGCCAAGCGCCAGGCCTTAGGAAGAGTTCTGGAAGGGTCCAACGAGGCAGACCGGTCTCTCACCGTGTTATCATCATCCGCCACAAATGTCTCTCTACGTTGGCAACAAGGCCAGTTTATCGGTGGCGGTACCTTCGGCTCCGTCTATGTTGCGATCAATCTGGACAGCAATTATTTGATGGCTGTGAAGGAGATTCGCTTGCAGGATCCCCAGTTGATCCCCAAGATCGCGCAACAAATTCGCGATGAGATGGGTGTTCTTGAAGTGTTGGATCACCCAAACATCGTTTCCTACCATGGTATCGAAGTGCATCGCGACAAGGTCTATATCTTCATGGAGTATTGCTCGGGTGGCTCACTTGCCAGCTTGTTAGAGCATGGTCGGGTGGAGGATGAGACAGTGATCATGGTTTATGCTCTCCAACTATTGGAGGGTCTGGCCTATTTGCATCAAGCCGGGATTGTTCATCGGGATATCAAGCCAGAGAATATTCTACTGGACCACAATGGTATCATCAAATACGTGGATTTCGGTGCAGCAAAGATCATTGCTCGGTCAGGCCGCACAGTTGCTCCAGCGGATGGTCCAAACTTTAACAAGGACGCTATTGGGAAGGATCCCCAGATCATGAACCAGCGCAAGAACCAAAATACCACCACCGGTACCCCTATGTACATGTCGCCGGAGGTGATCCGTGGTGACTCTGAGAACCGCCAAAGCGCCGTGGACATCTGGTCTTTGGGTTGTGTGATCCTTGAAATGGCCACCGGCCGCCGACCATGGTCTACCCTTGACAACGAGTGGGCAATCATGTACAACATTGCCCAAGGCAACCAGCCCGCCCTCCCAAGCCGTGATCAGCTCAGTGATTTGGGTCTTGATTTCCTGCGACGCTGCTTCGAATGCGATCCTCTTCGCCGAATCACGGCTGCTGAGCTCCTCCAGCATGAATGGATCGTCTCCATCCGCCAACAGGTGGTCCTCGAGCCTTCCACCCCAAGCAGTGAGAATGGAGGCTACAGTAGCTCCAGTTCCAACAGTCGGCAGAATTCGGCATACGGTGGATTCTAATGATTTCGTTTCTCAATTTGCCAATACTTACATTCATCATGATCGGTTTACCTTTGGCCGGGAGATTTTCCGATCATCTTGTTGAACAGTTCCCTAGAACATCCTCGATCTCGACTTGACTTATAAATCCTCAAACGACATCGCATGTGATACCCCCATATCTTATTGTTTTCTCATGACTCTTCGTTTCTCATCTACCTCTTCAACTGCTTCGATTATGTGTTTCGGCTTGCTTGTATCATGTCTGATCTATTCTCATTCTGATTTATTCGCTTGGTGTTGGCATCGGTTTTTGGTTTATGCATGAGACTAGGTGTACGAACACGGACGACATGTTGGAATTATGTCACAGCGTGCATATATGCAATTTGATTTTCATCGTTTATACGTCGAAGATTTTACGTAGATTTACATCTTTTCCCAATATATATATTTATACTGAAACCAGATGATTGCTCAGATGGACTGGAGAGAAAACTCTCGGTATTGAGAATTGGGTTTTGTCAAAAATATTGCAGCATGACTGCACAAGAAATACATATTCCAAACGATAAGACCGGAAAGAAATTGCGAGATGTTAAAAAGTATAAGGAAGAGACAGTCCGGGAAAGAAAGACCTATTTCGCCGAGTGGATGAGAAGGAGAAGAACGCCATTCATAGTCGTAAGGCATGAGATGAGATACAATTTGGCGGTGGCGAGTATTGGACTGTTGACCACGGGGTATAAGTGTGTCGATATTGTCGAACGTCCATAGAACGGGGTTGGTTGGCGAAGTATGGATCCAGAGGAGATGGAGGATGGTCGAGAGAAACGAAAGATGCAAAGCCATTCGTAGGATACGAGTCATATGGTACCAGGAAGCGCTGCTTAGCCGTGGTAGGCCAAAAGAAGAGAGAAGGGCAGAATGTAGCCAGTGCAGTCAAGCGTCTAACGGAACTCGATTGCGGGTGTGCATCCATGATCCTCGACATGCTTGAGCTCAAGTTGTTGAAATCTGGACAAGTCAGAATAAGTCTCGCAAGAACTATCGTGGGTGAATATAGTCTGGCCATACCGTTCGCTCTTCGCATGGAAGTAGACACCGCTGACGCTTCCCTCAATCTGATTGAAGCAAATATAGTAGAACCCTTCGAAGCTGGCACCGGAGATCGTTCGAACCCGGTGATCAGGCACAAGGAAATACTCTTTCCACCTCATAAAAACATGTTCGCGCTGTGCAAAGTTGCGGTATGTGAAATCGGTCCGCTTGGCCTGTTTCGCAAGCGGTTTCCAAGCCGGAAATCGGGACCAGTGGTGTATGTCTGTCTTTTCGTTCGCACCCCATTCTTCATTACGAGTCTGGAAAGTGTGCTTGGTTCCAATTATTTCACCTTCAAAGAAAGTGGTCAGGGTCGGGTGATCCTCGGTGAGGCCTTGGATGCGCAGGTAGCCGCACAGGTAGGATTCAGCCATGTCCACGTGCTTAATCTCCACGTCAACATTATACACCTGACGGTCCGACTGCTGTGTGCCGACGAATCTACTTCCGGAACGGAGAAAGGACGAGGAATGGTTTGGTAACAGCTGCAAGTAAATATAAATGTTAACCAATTGGGGTCGAGGAATAGATAAGTACGATATAGGGAGTCGGAACATACCCTAACGTTGGAAAATTCATAACGCAGCAGCGAAGAGTTAGGCGGTGTAACAGGGGACTGGCTACGAGAGCACGACTCCATCGGCGAGGTAGATCTTGGGGGTCTAGTATCTTCCTCCGGAGCCATCTTTCTCTCCACTCTCAGCGGGTCGGTCGCCAAGAGAGCCGTGCCATCGTCGGAGCGACTCTGCACGGACGGTGCAGTGGCACTGGCAGGCGAAAGCACATCCTCCAGGACATCTCTTGTGTCTAGTTCCACCGACGCGTCTTCCCAGGCCGAGATTCGATCGGCTTCCGGGGGACAGGTGCGGGTGGAGATCACCTCGGCGATCGAAGTCGGGTGGTTGTCACTCGGGGTTGGCATTGGGGGTGTGGTGATCAGGAACGGGGGGTAGACATCGGATCGTAGGCGCGCTTAAACCAAAGGCCAAACAAAAAGAGAGTTGAGTGGATTAGGAAGAAGAAAAGAAGGGGAAGAATGGTGATCTTTAAAGGCTCTTACCCGGGGGCGGACCATCTCAGATGGGGTCATGCGAGCGCATAGCGCGGGGGAGGCGTTTTTAAGGCCTGAGGCATCGAATTTACGTCAGGTACACAACCCAACATCATGCCTGATTATTACTAAGGTTATACTTTATATCTATGGAGATATATTCTAGTATATTGTATCGTGAGAAGTGAATGTCAATTTACATTATTTTTGGCAGCTGCACTCTATCGGTGGAACCCTGGGAAATCCTCATTAACGCCCGGTATCATAAATCAAGAAAGAGACCCGATATTCCCACTTGTCCCCACCAACAATGCTAGCTTAGATGGGCTTAATCTATAAAATGAGTCAGCACGGTTCGAGAGGAGCCACAAACAACAACACATACCTTGAAGTGGAGCGAAATAAGCGAAAAGATCAGCGCCTTCAGGTCCTGGACAAGGTAGTAGAACACCCGCAGTCCTTCAGGATCAGCCGACTCAGTCACATCAACCAGTGAGCCAATTTTCGCGGTCTATCACAAGTCAGCGATATAGAAATCTGTAAGGCCATTGCCACTCTTACCTCAAATGAGATGTGCTCACTGCCCAGCCGAATCTCCAACTCCTGGCGTCCATCCTTGTTCTTCTGCGGCCACTTGGAGTCATCCTCCCTAGATAGAGTCAGCATTGCACGAATTGATTTGCTCATATTGGCACATACTTCATGATCTCGCTTTCCTTAATGATGCGCCGGATCTCCTGGATCATCGCAGAGCTCACGCACACTGTATTCCACCCGTCAGATTATCGGCAAATGTCCGGGTTCGCCGCAACTTACTCTCTTTGCGGATGAGGGAGTCATTGCGGTAGTTGGAGTTGTTCGCGTATCGGACAGCAGCGCTGCTGCCATCGGCAAGGGTACGGAAATCGAATTCTGAAATCAAATTAGCACATGGACACTTGATACCAAGCTGCGGAGAGGGAACCCACCTAGAAACTCATGCCCGAACCGCCCAGAGTGACCTGAGCTGCGGAGCTGTCAGCAACGCAGGGTAACCTGGGCTCATGTTTTATTTCTTACTAGTAGCGCAGGTAGAAAGTCTCGTTTGTCGACATCTTGCTGGTAGACCTGTCGACTGAAGAAGATGTAGCAGCAATTAGAGCAGTCAAAGGCGGAAGAACGTGGTCGGGCTTAGTCATCCACACAGACGGGGCAAAAGGGACAGGTTGATGCTTCCCCCCCATCGCGCATCTCAATGATTTGATGATTTCCAGGTTGGCGACGGGTGTTGGATTTACTCTAATTGCGCGTCTCTGACATTGGCCTGATCTTCTCTCTCTGGGAGTCTCTCCTTATTGTATGTTATCCCGCACCTACGCAGTAAACTGCTAGGTGTCCATACCCAAAACATTCCCCCCGAACTGACAACTTGTCAGCTCTCCTTCCTCCCGTTCCTCAATCCGCTGCCCACGATGGCGTCCTACCTCGAAAATGCCTACAGTCTGGTCCACATGGACAACACAGCCGATCAGCCCACCTTGCAAGAGCTGCGACTGCAGTTGGAAAAGGGCAATGATGAGACTAAGTTGGATACCATGCGGACAATCATCACGATCTTGCTCAACGGAAACCCCATGCCGGATATTCTGATGCACATCATTCGCTTTGTTATGCCTTCTAAGAGCAAGCAATTGAAGAAGCTGCTATATTTCTACTATGAGATCTGCCCCAAGCACGACTCCTCTGGCAAGCTGAAGCAGGAGATGATCCTGGTTTGGTAAGGAGGCCTCATAGTCAACATGCTCTCCCTAAACTGACATATTTGCAGCAATGGCATCCGTAATGACCTGCAGCACCCCAACGAATATATTCGGGGAAACACTCTTCGTTTCCTCTGCAAACTCCGCGAACCGGAACTCATTGAGCCCCTCCTGTCCTCGGCACGCTCGTGTCTGGAACACCGCCACGCCTACGTACGAAAGAATGCCGCCTGGGCAGTCGCCTCGATTTTCCAGCACTCCGAGCCCCTCATCCCCGACGCCCCCGAACTCCTCCAGACTTTCCTTGAATCGGAGACCGACAGCACCTGCAAGCGTAATGCCTTTGCAGCCCTCGCCTCTATCAGCCACCAGAAGGCCCTTGAGTACCTCGGCACGACTTTCGATACCATTCCCAACACTGATGAGCTGCTCCAGCTGGCGGAGCTGGAATTCCTGCGCAAAGATGCGGTCCAGAACCCTCAGAACAAGGTGGGTCCATTAACAAAGGGACCAATTCTGGTACCAAATTCAAGATACTAACGAAGCCTAGTCACGTTATCTCAAACTCATGCTTGAGCTACTCGACGCCCCGACAAGCACTGTGGTCTACGAAGCCGCTACCTCTCTTACTGCCCTGACCAGCAACCCCGTCGCCGTGAAGGCCTCTGCCGCCAAGTTGATCGAGCTCGCCATTCGGGAGGCCGATAACAATGTTAAGCTTATTGTTCTGGATCGCGTGGATCAGCTGCGCATTCGCAATGAGGGTGTGTTGGAAGATTTGACCATGGAGATCCTGCGCGTTCTCTCCAGCCCCGATATTGATGTCCGGAGAAAGGCCCTGGGCATTGCATTGGAGATGGTTTCGAGCAAGAATGTTGAGGAGATCGTTATGCTGCTTAAGAAAGAGCTCGCTAAGACCGTGGATGAACAATATGAACAGGTATGTTTGCATGGTCGAAAAAAAAAAGGGTTGACTAACAATACACAGAACAGCGAATACCGTCAACTCCTCGTTCAATCAATACACACTTGCGCAATCAAGTTTTCTGAAATCGCCGCTAGCGTGGTTGATCTCCTGATGGACTTCATTGCTGACTTCAACAACAACTCCGCCGTGGATGTCATCTCATTTGTTAAAGAGGTTGTTGAGAAGTTCCCCGACCTGCGTGGAGCTATTGTTGATCGCCTGGTGTCGACTTTGAGTGAAGTCCGGGCCGGCAAAGTCTACCGCGGTGTTCTTTGGGTCGTCGGAGAATACTCGTTGGAAGAGAAGGATATCCGTGGGGCCTGGAAGAAGATTCGCGCCAGTCTTGGTGAGATCCCGATCTTGGCTTCCGAGCAGCGCCTGCTCGATGAGGTCCCTGAGGACACTACGCTGCTCCTCCAGGAACAGACCAACGGCCATGCTAAGACTGCCCCCACTGGCTCCCGCAAGGTGTTGGCAGATGGCACATACGCTACCGAGAGTGCCCTTACCAGCCAGTCTGCTGCGGCTGCTCGCCTCGAGGCCGTTAAGGCCGCACAGAAGCCACCTCTTCGTCAACTCATCTTGGATGGTGACTACTACCTGTCCACCGTCCTTTCATCCACACTGACCAAGCTGGTCATGCGCCATTCGGAGGTCTCGCAGGACATCGCTCGCACTAACGCCCTCCGTGCTGAGGCTATGTTGATTATGATTTCCATTTTGCGCGTTGGACAATCCCATTTCGTTAAGGCTCCGATCGATGAGGACTCTGTTGACCGTGTCATGACTTGTGTCCGCTCTCTGGCTGAATTCTCCGAGAAGAAGGACCTCGAGGCTACTTTCCTGGAGGATACCCGCAAGGCATTCCGTGCCATGGTCCAGGTGGAGGATAAGAAGCGTGCCGCGAAGGAGGCCGTGGAGAAGGCTAAGACTGCCGTTCAGGTCGATGATTCCATCCCCATCCGGCAATTCACCAAGAAGAACACTGTCGAGGGAGCTGAGGAGATCGAGATGGATCTCGTCAAGGCCACCGGTGGCGACTCTGTTGTTGAGAACGTCGCCTCCAAGTTGAGCCGGGTGGTGCAGCTGACTGGTTTCTCTGACTCGGTCTATGCTGAGGCTTACGTGACCGTCCACCAATTCGATATCGTTTTGGATGTTCTGCTGGTCAACCAGACCAACGAGACTTTGCAGAACCTGTCTGTGGAGTTCGCCACTCTGGGCGATCTCAAGGTTGTTGAGCGGCCATCCACACACAACCTGGGTCCTCGCGACTTTTTGAACGTCCAGGCTACAGTGAAGGTGTCTTCCACTGATACTGGTGTGATCTTCGGTAACATCATCTACGACGGTGCCAGCTCCACCGAGACCCATGTGGTCATTCTCAACGACATCCATGCCGACATCATGGACTACATCCAGCCCGCCCACTGCACCGAGACCCAATTCCGCACCATGTGGACTGAATTTGAGTGGGAGAACAAGGTTAATATCAACTCCAAGGCTAAGACCCTGCGGGAATTCCTGAAGCAACTGATGGAGAGCACCAACATGGCCTGCCTGACCCCCGATGCTTCTCTGAAGGGTGATTGCCGGTTCTTGTCTGCCAACCTCTACGCCAGGAGCGTATTCGGTATTTTTTTTTTCCTTTTCCTTTAATATAAACCCATGACTAACTGTACTAGGCGAGGATGCTTTGGCGAACTTGAGCATTGAAAAGGAAGCTGACGATGGACCTATTACTGGATTCGTTCGGATCAGAAGTCGCTCGCAGGGCCTGGCCCTGAGCCTGGGTTCCTTGAAGGGCCTCAAGGCCGCGGCGGCATGAGTAGATTTTGATATTCGTTTTTCATTGTTTCCAGCGGGTTGCAGTATATGTCTCCTATTTTAACTTGTTTCCTTTTTTCTTTATTTTTGATTTCCTCTCTCCCTTCTCCGAGACAATTGTGGGGGTCATATCAGGGAGTCGAAAAATAGATAATGATTGGCTGTGCATATAACCTGAGTATTAGTATCAGTAGCCAGTAGTCCTGGAGCTCTAGTGGTACTGTTCAGATCATTTCCATACGAGATAGTCTTTGATACGGTTGGAATAAGAATCATGCAAGAAGCAGATCAAAGCAAGATGTATAGATGCAATTCTTCTAATTCACGCAGAACTAGCTAGGAAGTTCTGCCAGCAGTCCTCCCTAGCAATCCTATGATCCTCGTAGCCCAACAAAGACAAAGACAGAAAACGCTTCAAACCGCGAAAAAAAAACTCTATAACAGAAACAAAGAACAAGATAAGAAACCACTGCACGAGAAAGCTTAAAATCTCCGGAAACAGATTATTAAACTTGAAGTCTATTCTCGCCCATCACAGTTCGACCTCTAGTAGCGAGGAATGCAAACACCGGCGTTCCACTCAGTGGCGCCAACACACTGCCAGCCGTCGCAGCAAGCGGGGCCAGTGCTGTGGCAGGCATTCTTGTAGTCTTAAACATAGTCAGCTTACTGGACGCGTAATTGTTGTTATACAAACTCACGGCCAACACAGGTGCGCTTCTCAAAGGCATCGGGGGAAGGAGTAGCAGTGGCAACGGCGGCCAGGGTAGCAATGATAACGGTGATGAACTGCATTTTGATGGATGATTTGGTTGATCGGGAGATCGGTTGATTGTAGATTGGATTGTTTGGATTGCGTTGATTGATGATGTTCAATTGTCGAGGAAATCTCGAGCTATTTATCCCATAGCCAAGCCATTATAGAAGACTCGATAATGGTCATCCTCAGTCATCTCCATAGATCCCATCTACTCGATTCTACGATGTTATACACATTAGGAGTATACTGAGCTTCCAAGCATCTTGGCTCTATACTCGCACCATTTGCAGTAGGCGGTAGATGCCCTCAACTTTCCCATTTAGGAATACTCTTCGTTGCCCGATGGGCCTGTCAGACCAGCCCCAGTAATCTAGGACATAATGTAGGAATACGAGTAATTAAGGGGCCATTTTAATCAAACGGACTAAGTACCAGGTCTATTCTTAGTGTGTAAGCGAAGGTTGGGGGTCAGACTTTACCGCCTAGAACTTCAAACAAAGAAGCTGTGCTTGGCCCCCAGGAACCGGAACGACGCGGGTCATTGATCTTCGACTTGTCCCCATATCTTTAGCTTGGCCATCCTACTTCTCCTTGTCATGCGCTGATTGTTTCCCTATATCCTCAATCTTCAAAATGTCGTCCGACTCGTCTCCGGCACAGCCGCAGCTGGAGCATGACTCCACTCTTCGCGTCGATAAATCCGTCTCTTTGACCATTGGCAGCGATTCGCTCTTGATCGTCGGTAAGACTCCCGTTTGTCTTCAGCTGCAACCAGTTGACGCTGTGAGAAAGAGTGCTCCCGTCATGCTAACTTGATAAGACGACCGTCCTCGCAAATCGGCTCGTGGCTGCTGCGGATTGCGGAAGTCAGGTAAGTTGAGCTAGGACCCGAGGCTCTGGCGATCCGCGTCAATGGCCATATCGCACGCGCATCACGTTCAATGAATCTAATCGCATCTCCCTCTTAGAACAAACAAAGTTGCCTCGTGCGATCTCCCTCTATAACATTTTAGATGTTCAAGCCGAGCCTTCAAACCTCACCATCACCTACGCCGAGTCGTCATCCAAAGAGGATGTCGCTGTCAAGACCCTTCACTACTCCGTCAGCGATAAGGAAAGCCCAACGGTCGAGGGTTGGGCAAACAAGCTACTCAGTGCTTCCTACGGAGATGTGCCGCGCACAAGGCGGTTGAAGATCCTGATCAACCCATTCGGTGGACAAGGAAAAGCCCAGGCTCTGTACCAGAAACAGGCCGCTCCCATCTTCGCTGCCGCGGGATGCAAATTGGATGTGCAGACTACTCAACACCAAGGTCACGCGATCGAAATTGCGGAGCAGCTCGATGTCAATGCTTATGACGCGATCGTCTGTTGCTCGGGTGACGGTCTCCCTTACGAGGTGTTCAACGGATTGGGCAAGCGACCCAACGCCCGTGAGGCTTTGGCCAAGCTACCCGTTGCGCTACTCCCTTGCGGCTCTGGAAATGCGATGACCTGGAGCTGTTTTGGCACTGGAAGTGTCTCGGTCGCAGCACTGGCTGTTGTAAAGGGTCTGCGGACACCGCTGGATCTGATGTCCATTTCACAGAAGGGTACTCGCACTCTTTCCTTCCTTTCGTCGTCTTTCGGAATTATCGCTGAGTCCGACCTGGGCACGGATAACATTCGGTGGATGGGTGCTCAGCGATTTACCTATGGATACCTTGCTCGCGTGATGTCTAACCGAGTTTGGCCCTGTGATCTGGCGATTAAGGTCGATATCGATGACAAGGAAGCGATCAAGCAGCACTATGCTGAATATACTAATCGCGAACCGGATCCAATGGCTGATCTTCACCGTATTGAGGCTGCGGAGAAGTCACCTGCGTTACCTGAGTTAAAGTACGGAACCGTGTCTGATGAGCTGCCTCAAGATTGGCAAGTTGTTCCCGGTGAGAAGATGGGCAACTTCTATGCTGGTAACATGGCAATCGTGACCAAGGACGCCAACTTTTTCCCTGCCTCCCTGCCGAACGATGGTTTTATGGATATCATCACGGTTGACGGTACGATTAGTCGTCTTACCTCACTTGGTATGATTTCCGAGGTCGCCACTGGTGCCTTTTTCCATCGACCTGAAGTGTCGCTTCGCAAGGCGACTGCCTTCCGCTTGGTGCCCCATCAGAAAGAAGGTTATATCAGCATCGATGGCGAGTCGATCCCCTTCGAAGCTTTCCAGGTTGAGATTCACCCCGGCTTGGGCACGGTTCTCTCCAAGTCAGGTAACCGATACGAGGTCGATGGACCCATGTGATGATTTTATGAAAAGTCTGTATATCCTTACATTGTCGGTCTTGCCATATTTCATGATACCCTCTCGCAAAGACTTGACACTGTGATCGTTTTGAGACTTTAGCTGTGCGTGCTAGATTCTGGGACGGGTTGTATAGCTCTCGTATACCAGTATAGAAGATTAATATATTTACTTTGTTTCATCTTTTATTGCCCCTTCTCTTTAAATATCCATGGATATCATGACAATCAACTTTTAGGTGTATTCATAGTCTCGCTAGGAAATGCTGTACAATATAAAATCTCATCAAATGACATGGTCTAGCATGCATGCCATTTAATCATCAAAACCACCCCATTCTCCATCACTGTCTACCTCATCATCGGGGTTTTCCCGAACTCGCAAACCCCACTCAATCAACCGATCATCATCCAGAGCCTCAGCAACTCTTGTCCGCACAGGCCTATAAGCACTCTCAGAGCGCAGCTTCTCCAGCGGCCGCAAAATCAGTTCCATGGGGATATCACCCTTAATCTTGCGCTCGCCTTCCTCCCCTTCAAACTCAAGAACCTTCTCCAACTCATCAATCCAAATATCAGAAACATGATACCGCAGTCCATCCGGTCCATGCGGCATTGGAACGAAGTCCGCCTCGATATCCTCTTCAGGTTGATCAGCATCGTAGTTCAAGGGACACAGAGGTCCCTCCTCAATGATATCAATGTAAGCGGCGAGATCGGCCCATTTCCCATCCAACTCGCCGTCCTTATCTTCGGCTACCGCAGCGGCCTCGGCCTCGGCCTCAGCCTTCTTCTGCTTCTTTCCGTTGCCCTTCTTTCCGGCATCCTCGCGCTTGCGCTTCTTGCCGTCGGCTTTTGTGTTCTTGGCGCCCTTTACGAAAACCTCGAATGCCACGCCGACGTAGCAACGGATCAGGAAAAGGTACTTATCCAGACGCAGACGGTCGATGGAGTGGTAGTCTCGGCCGATGGTAATCCAGAATGCGCGCAGGAAGCGGTGGAGGGTAGCATGAGGGAGGGAGGGAACGATGTGGTAGGAGATAGCGCGGGCGAGAGCTTGTTGAGTGAGTGGTCGGTCAGAGTGGAAGAAGCCTGTAGCGGTATGAGTAAATGATTTCGCTATGTGTATATCTTTTCAGACAAGTCTTTTGGGTGACACATACAGAAAAATAGACCCTTCCAGAGCTTGAGAAGATCGACGAGGCTCAGGTCGGTCTTTGAGCTCAGGAATAATGTGAGTGATTCAACGGCTTTGTCGCGGACTTTCTTGTCTGCAGAGATAATTAGTTTTCGGGCGCTTCTTCACTGGGTTGCGCGCTTGGTCGCTTGGGAGTTTCTTACCGCTCGATGCGAGGTCCCTTACAAAGGGGGTCTTCTGTATTTCCACCATGGCGTTGTCAATTGCGGATCGGTTCGATGAAGCTGCGGATTTGCGATAAAAAATAATTTTTGATACGGCGATTGGGTTTGCATGGTTTGCATTTCAGCTGCATCGTCCACTCTGATTGGTTGATGCCTTAGGCGTCGATCATTGTTGTAGATCTCGAAGATTAGATTCTTGGTATGGATGATAATGTATTAAGAGGTTTCATATTCTAGTCTAGGAGCTATGCATCTCTACCCTGTGGAAATCTCTTGCATTGAACTTGGGATGCAAAATGACAAACTAATCAATGACCACATTCCGTCCCCACAGCCCGATCTAGTGTAGCATGAGATTCCGCTTTCTTGACATCATGACTTTAGGCTCGCCAAATAGAATTACAGCAGCCCTGGTTCCTCTCTCCAAAAAGTATGGCTCAGGACGAGTAGCTGCTCCTAATTTAGACCCCAGTTCGATTGCAACATTGTCATATTTTTGTGGTACCCTGTTAATCAGCCACCTTCCCTGCGTTACCGTTCTTGTCTACTGTGTAAATTTTGAGTAGCTTGCCTCAAGCTCGTCAGCAATTCTCCCAGTCATCGTGCTCCCTCTCAAAATGGCTGAACAAGACAAAGAGAATGAGATTTCCGAAGCGAGCTCACCTCACGAGCACGAGCAACGCATCTCTTGCGGCAGCTCCGAAGCACTAGCTGAAGATGACCGAGCTATCTTCGCGCACATGAGCCGCGAAGAGCGTGAGGAACTGAGTCGGATCGCCTCCAACTTTCCCCGTCATCGAGCCACCGAGTCCGATCTGAGTGGAATGACCGATGTGGAACGGAAGGATACACTAGAGGGCTTGGAGCTGGGCGACCCTGTCCTCGATCCGACCAGCGGCCAGTTCGATCATTACAAATGGGCTCGTATGATGCTGAAGATGATGGATAGAGAGGGAGTGCCTCTACGCAAATCGACTGGCGTGGTGTTTGAGAACCTCAATATCTCTGGATCTGGATCTGCGCTTCAGTACCAGAATAACGTGGGATCGGTTCCCTTGGCCCCGTTTCGTCCACAGGAATACCTTTCCTGCATAAACAAGACACCACAAAAGCAGATTCTGCGGAACTTTGATGGTGTGCTCAAAAGTGGTGAATTGCTTATTGTCCTGGGGCGTCCCGGGAGTGGCTGTTCGACCTTTCTCAAGTCAATCACTGGAGAACTCCATGGACTGAAAGTTGAGAAGGGCTCCGATGTCCAGTTCAACGGGATTGCTATGGAGAGAATGTACAAGGAGTTCAAGGGTGAAGTCTTGTATAACCAGGAGGTTGACAAGCATTTCCCCCATCTTACTGTTGGAGAGACACTTGAATTTGCTGCCGCAGCTCGGACTCCAGAGAACCGGCTTTGTGGGATATCTCGGACGGAGTATGCCAAGAAGATTACGCAAGTTGCCATGACTGTGCTTGGGTTGAGCCATACATACAACACTAAAGGTATGCGATATTTTCATTGAGGCATTGAATGGTGACTTACATCTATAGTCGGCGATGACTACATCCGAGGTGTTTCGGGTGGTGAACGAAAGCGAGTTAGGTATCTATCCCTGTCCTGGAATTTTATAAGTTATTGGAACTAATTAAAAGATAGTATCGCTGAGATGGCTTGTATGTCAATTAATTGATCGGTTAAAGTCAAATATATTAACTATTCATAGTATCTGGAGCTCCTGTGGGGGCATGGGACAACAGTACCCGAGGTCTGGACTCTGCAAGTGCCCTGGAATTTGTCAAAGCTCTACGAGTCTCTGCCAATCTCACCGGTAGCTGTCACTCTGTTGCTATCTATCAGGCATCCCAAGCCATTTATGACGTCTTCAACAAGGTGATCGTCTTGTATGAAGGACGACAGATCTTCTTTGGGCGCTGCAGCGAAGCCAGACAGTACTTCATCGATATGGGTTGGGAATGCCCACCTCGCCAAACGACTGGTGACTTCCTCACTTCGATTACTAACCCATCCGAAAGAAAGGTTCGGGAAGGAGTACAGAATGTTCCTCGGACACCGGATGACTTCGAGAAGTACTGGAAGAACAGCTTTCATTATACGGCGCTCCAGAAAGAGATCTCCCAGTATCGTGAGCATTATCCATTAGGGGGAGAAGCTGGAAAAGACTTTGATGAGACGAAACGGCAACGGCAGGCCAAGCATGTGCGCCCAAAGAGTCCTTATATCATCACTATTCCGATGCAGGTTCGCCTTTGTGTGAAACGCGCTTATCAACGGTCTGTCGCTCTTTTGAATCCATTGTCCATATATCTCGTTGCTATTTTCTAACACTCTAATGCAGTATCTGGAACGACAAGCCATCTACACTGACAACTGTCATCGGCCGAATCGTCATGTCACTGATCATCGGTTCAATCTATTTCGGGACCCCGAATGCATCTGCTGGGTTCCAGAGCAAAGGTGCAGCGATGTTCTTCTCTGTCTTGCTGAATGCTCTTATCAGCATCACGGAGATCAACTCACTTTACGACCAACGACCTGTTATTGAGAAACAAGCCTCCTACGCCTTCGTTCATCCGTTTGCTGAGGCACTAGGAAGCATTGTCGCCGACGTACCAGTCAAATTTGTATCAGCGACGATATTTAACGTCATCTTCTATTTCTTGGCTAGTCTGGTAAGTTACTTGCGTTGGTTTTAGGCAAATGCTAACAAATTGCAGCGTTATGAGCCCTCTCAATTTTTCATATTCTTCCTCTTCACCTTCCTCAGCACCCTCACCATGTCAGGGGTCTTCAGGACACTGGCTGCATCTACGAAGACTCTTGCACAGGCCATGTCGATGGCAGGCGTTATCGTACTTGCAATCGTCATCTACACGGGTTTCGTAATCACAGCACCCCAGATGGCTAAGATTCCATGGTTCAGCTGGATTCGCTGGATTAACCCAATCTTCTACACATTCGAAGCAATAGTTGCCAATGAATTCCACGGCCGTGAATTCGAATGTTCTTCCTTTGTGCCCGCATATCCGACTTTGTCAGGCGACTCTTTCATTTGCTCTGTCAGAGGTGCCGTTGCAGGAGAAAGAACCGTATCTGGAGATTCCTACATCGAAACCCAATACAACTACTCTTACGCGCACGAGTGGAGAAACCTCGGGATTCTAATTGGGTTCTGGATATTCTTCACCTCTCTTTATCTCATTGCATCGGAGTTGAATTCTTCTACATCTTCTACGGCTGAGTACCTTGTCTTCCGGAGAGGTCATGTTCCCGCTCATCTGCGTCATCTGGAAAAAGGAGGTGGTAGCACCGCTGAAGTGACACCAATCTCTAAAGACTCCAAGGAGCATAAAGAGGACGAAACTTCTGTCATCCCGACTCAGCATGACGTCTTTACCTGGCGGAATGTCTGCTATGACATCCCCGTCAAGGGCGGCCAACGGCGTCTTCTGGATAATGTATCTGGATGGGTCAAGCCAGGCACCCTTACAGCTTTGATGGGTGTTTCTGGAGCTGGTAAGACAACTTTACTGGACGTTCTAGCAAAGCGCGTCTCTATAGGTGTCGTAACTGGTGATATGCTAGTGAATGGCAAACCACTGGATAACAGTTTCCAAAGAAAGACAGGTTATGTTCAGCAGCAGGATCTACATCTTCCTACCACTACTGTCCGAGAAGCTTTACGGTTCAGTGCAATGCTGCGTCAGCCTAGTACTGTGTCCAAGAAAGAAAAATACGAGTATGTTGAGGATGTGATAGAGATGCTTGGCATGGGAGACTTTTCGGATGCCGTTGTGGGCGCTCCGGGTGAAGGCCTAAACGTGGAACAAAGAAAGCTGTTAACAATCGGCGTCGAATTGGCTGCCAAGCCCGCGCTTCTTATCTTCCTGGATGAGCCAACAAGTGGATTGGACTCGCAGAGTTCGTGGGCTATCTGCTCCTTTTTGAGAAAGTTGGCCGAGCATGGTCAAGCTGTCCTTAGTACCATTCACCAGCCGAGCGCGTTGCTCTTCCAGGAATTCGACCGTCTTCTATTCCTTGCTAAGGGAGGTAGAACAGTTTACTTTGGCGATATCGGTGACCAGTCACGAACTCTGTTGGATTATTTTGAAAGCCACGGAGCTCGGATTTGTGGCTCTGCCGAGAATGTAAGTCTATTAGATATTCCTTCAACTCAACAAACTAACAAATCATTAGCCTGCAGAGTATATGCTCGAAATCATTGGTGCTGGAGCCTCTGGAAAAGCCACACAGGACTGGGGAGTCGTGTGGAACGAAAGCCAAGAAGCCAAGAACGTGCAATCCGAACTGAATCGAATCCACGAAGAGCGAGCTTCGGCAACCAGCAACGATGGAGAAACCCACCAAGGCGAGTATGCTATGCCTCTAAGTAAGCAGCTCCTCTACGTGACCCACCGCTCTTTCCAATCATTTTGGCGCGAGCCATCCTACGTGTGGGCGAAGATCCTGCTAGCAACCTTGTCATCCTTGTTCATCGGCTTTACCTTCTTCAAGTCAGATAGCTCTCTACAAGGCTTTCAAGATGCGATCTTCTCGGCTTTCATGGTGTGCTCCATCTTCTCCACGCTTGTCCAGTCTATCATGCCCAAATTCGTGGTCCAACGATCTCTCTATGAAGTTCGCGAGCGACCCTCCAAAGCCTATTCATGGGTAGCTTTTCTCATTGCGAATGTCATTGTCGAGATTCCATATCAGGTATTTGCTGCGGTTATCGCTTGGGCATGCTACTACTTTCCCATTTATGGGGCGAATCAAGCAGCCAACCGCCAAGGCTTGATGCTTCTGTTCCTGGTCCAATTTTACATTTTCACCTCCACCTTTGCCGCGTTTATCATAGCGGCGTTGCCGGATGCCGAGACGGGTGGTACTATCGCGACACTGTTGTTCATCATGACACTTGTCTTCAACGGTGTCATGCAAGCCCCGAGTGCCTTGCCCGGATTCTGGATCTTTATGTACCGGGTCTCTCCACTGACGTATTTGATTGCCGGAATAACTGCGAACGGGCTACACGGGCGGGCTATCCAATGTGCGGCGGCCGAGTTGAGCGTTTTCAATCCCCCGAGTGGAATGACTTGTGGTGACTACTTGAATCCTTACGTTAGTGCGGCTGGAGGGCAGCTTTATAATCCTTCGGCCACGAGTGATTGTCAGTACTGTCAGCTATCTGTCTCTGATCAGTACTTGGCTGCGAGTAACATTTGTAAGTTCTCTGCATCCTTGTTTGGCTTACTTACTAACTCAATATAGACTACAGTCAACGATGGCGCAATTTTGGCATTGGGTGGGCTTACATCGGGTTCAATATCTTTGGTACAGTGCTGATGTACTACATGTTCCGTGTCAAGCACTACAACCCCACGTCTCTGGTTCGTGGTATTCGCCAGGGTGGCTCGCTTCTTTGTCGGGTTTTCAAGCGGCGGTCTGGAGAGACACCCAAAGGAAAAGAGGACAAAAATGGGCGTTTGGTATAAGCCAGTTTCACTTGAGTGTCTGTCTGAGACTTGCGATGCATATTTCATTCATGAATGTTTCTATTTGAAGAACATATGTCTACTTCAATTTCCATCTATTTCGAGTCCGATGACTTGATCTGCCGCCTCCTGGATGTAAGGATGCCACCGTTCATCAAGGACATTTGAAATAGCAGCAATAAGCCTAGCCGGCCTCCCACCAAAGTACCAGCAACTCTCCATCCGCTTCATAATCACACAATAATACGCCAGTAAGATCAAAGCACCAGGATGCCTCTCAAATATAAGATCATAGAACTCATCTTCAAGCCGCACACACCACAATCCCAGAATATTCCACGTACTGACATCAATCTTCGTCGTTTCACGATCCATATACGCAAATGCATCGGCCAACACACTCGCTCCATCCCGATAAACCGATACAACATGTTCAGGCCAAGACCCATCCTGCGGGACAAAAGACATGAAACGCTCCAAGTAAGGAAGTTTGCTATCGCCAACATCAAGCTCGGTCTCCCATGCTTCACTTAGAGCGCTGACGGGGCCATTCTCAATCCGGTCCCAGACCTCACTTAGCATATCACATCCGCAACGGATAAAATGTAACCACTGGGGCAGTATCAACTGTTTCTCTTGAACACCTGTACCCGTATTGCAGACGAGAAGGAGCGAGTTTTGTCCATTATCCAGTTCCGTTGCGAAAGAGAAGACGACTAGGAGGTATGCGAATGCCATAATCGCATCACAGTTGCTTGTCGTTGGGTTCTCGATTTCGTACCTGAATAGTGGTAGTGCGGTGTCTTGATGCGCGTATGCACGGATTACATAGGTCTCCCGCTGTGCTGGGTATATATGAGCCATGTGTAATGCTGTGCAAGCCAGAATACCATGTAAAAGGAATCGATGGTTATATGCAAGATCTGCAATGACATTGATCCAGATGCCCTCAGTCTGCGCATCTTTGGAGAAACTTTGCCAAGATGAATAAAAGTAGTGCTCCAGTGCTAGTGAGTCGATCGGGTCTAGTTCGTGCTTGTCTTGCATTCGACGAATGTAGGATAATTTCGGTGATTTTTGCGGAGATCGGTCTGGCCACTTATCTCTATTGCTGGTAAAGTAGCGGAGCATATTTCCTCGAAAGAATGTTTGTAGAGGAGCCGAAGACCAGTCCTGGTTTGGATTTCCTTTGCAGCCGTGCTTCGAGGGCCAGTGAGTTTCCATTCGTTTTGTCGAGACGCAAAGATAATCACATCCTGGTGCGTTGCATTTCCATCCTTGTTCGAGTGGCAGATATGGCATTGGGAAATCTTGTTCCGGTGGGACTGCCACTTCTTCTGGCTTTCTTAATTTGAAACTGCTCGTATATAAAGTATATGGGCGTCTTTCTTCGTTGTGGAGATGGTGGATGTCTTTCAAATGCCGGGTAACTCCTCCCGGTTTGATTGCATGACGACAGCTCGTACATATGAGGACCTCATATGCAGGTAAGTATTTGAGTAGCTGTGGAGGTGAAGGAAGGGCTCTGTGGACATTTTGCGCCTGTGGGGCTGTGGGCAAGCCCCGGCTCTCTATGGCAGGCATAGTTACAAGTCCAGGCCAGACGCTGGGCATTCAGGTAATTTCCCGAAATTTGATCTCAGTTAACCCCCCTGGAAGGAAAGTCACGGAAAAAAGAGACGTTTAGGAAGATGGATGTAAAGGAGATAAGTCTGGTCAGAATGGGGCGGGATCTTCGCAAATGTGTGACAAGTGGCAACCAATTAAATCTGCCATATTCGACGGCGCCGTTCTGCGCTAATACAGTATAGGTATAGTGGCCTCGATCACGCTCCACTTAAGGTCCCGCGACAAACCCGAGGGCCAGTTCGAATCCCTAAAACCCACCGGATTTCATATGAGAAGGAGCAGACTTGAATAATAGACCACCAATGGCTCCGAACAAATGCCCAACTCTGGGGCAATGTTTCTCATTATAATGTCTCTGTTCTTCATTCAGACTCTAATATTCGTTCCGTCCATTATTAACAGAAAAAGAAGAATAAGAAAATTCGCTAATCCATGAAATTATTGGTAAATCTCAGCGGCCCATTGTCTCCATACGTCACGTTGACACCTTTCTACCTTTGAAAATCCCCTACATTGACTGATAAATTCTAAGGTACATTCGTAGACAACACGCATTGTGCATTGTTCGATGTTATTCTGGATTGGATGAGTCCGGGCGCGATATAGTTGGCTGCTCAGGGACTAGTCCCTTCACTACAGTGGTGTCAGCAGCTCCATCCTATTATCACAAGGCGATGACAAACAGACGTGGTAGGCTGGCTACTGCTCTTTTCGCCCTTGTGCAAATTTATCCATCTCCCTGTGTATACAAAATATAACATTACGTTTTACCTGGGTTTTCACAGTCCAAAACCCTTGGATTGGTAAGTTAAAGTCACCCTTGTATTGTAAGAAATATTAAAGTTGGTGTAAGTACAACCTCCCGACGGATCATCTAAATCCGCACATGGGGACAAGGGTACAAGCCATCCTCTGACAAAGTCATTCAAATCCGCCACAGGAAGAAGGGTTCAGTCTTGCCACAGCTAATCATAAAGGGGTAGATGCAGTCCTCCGATGTCCTCTTCCAAATCCGAATAGGGGGGAAAGATTGTGAACTTTGACTCATCACAGCCACAAACGCCGATCTGGAATGCCTCCAAGTGCTCCATGATAGCGTTGTAGCTCAAATTTGGGAAAGGGGCCTCGGGTGCCGGGTCGAGATCATATCGCTTCATCCACCTGGTGAGATGTTGACACACGATACGCCTGCACTCATGCCCACAGCCCATATCGCCCCATTCGAAGTCCTCGAGTGTTTCAGAAAGGGACGTGAGCAAGAACTCGATAGCCTTTCTTCTACCTTTGTTCAGTGCTCCTGTAAAATTATTAGAACGAGACCAAAAGGCTGCGAATTCTCTTTTACTTACTAATGAGTCGAGGGGGAATTGGAAACCCCAAGTCCTTGATTTCATTTTCATAAAATGTCATGACTGCCGATGTGGAGTGATTGAAATGGACGGGCAAATGGAAGAACCAGGAGATCCACACCCACAGAATCATATCCCGGGAACATCTTATAGTCATTGCCTGCAGACGTGGCAGCCATGCTCCGAGCATGTTTTGAAGGGCACCCCTGCATTCATAGTAATGCGCAATGACAGCAACCTTGGCGAGTGTCTCCAGGTTTCGTGGCGTGCGGTAGCTCTTGTTATGGATAGCAAAAAGGAAACATAAGAACGCGTGAAGGTCCCAACCCTCGGCGGTAATTTCAACTGGGCCGTTCTGCAAAAATCTTTCCTCCCAGTCGGCAGGAAGTAAATCCTTGAAAACTGGAGATGCAGACACCAAATGCTGGGCAGAGACTTGGACTCGGAACATGTAAAGGACTTCGTCCTCGGGTGACATCTTACTGTCGGGACTCGGATCATTGCCATGTTCTTGAGGGTTTTGAGCAGCGTTGGGCGTTCCTTGGGCAACAGAAGCGTTTGGATTGCGCAGATTTAAGATCACTTCCCCACCGGGATGAATGATATGATCCATGGCTATGAAGATGATGTCTTTTGAAAAGAATGGATGAAGGGGTAATCAGGAATCTGCTGTGGTAGCGTTGTCGTGGGAAAAACAGAAGATACGCAAAAGGAAGACAAAGATAGATAGAAGGAAGGAATTTGTGGGTGGTACTGACTAGCTTCGTTACGCAAGAATATGGTTTCCGCGGCGTCTAGGTTCGGGCAAGTATCATATTTAGGTATAAACGAACCTACAGTATTGTCCTGTATCACAGCAGTCAATAACCCGAGAGCCCGTAGCAACTTATTTGCCATGCATACTTATCACAGCTAGACAAAGATATGGCTCAATAAAAACATACATCTTAGCTCCTGTCGGCGGGTTGAGCCGCTTTCGTAAATTAGCAAACCCGTACTCATCTGCCTTGGATTCACAGCACAGATTAAAGTATAGCTAAATAGATACATACATCTTAGCGTCTGTCGGCGGGTTGAGCCGCTCCCTGAAACCAGATTTCCCGTACTCGTCTGCCTTGGGTTCACAGCACAGATAAAAGTATAGCTCAATAAACTCATACGTCTTAGCGTCTGTCGGCGGGTCGACCCGCTCCGTTTGAGCCAACCAAGACTGACGATCTCGCTGGTCCCGTTCCAGTTAGTCCAGTATCTATCTACGCTCGGTCGGTATTTCTATTCTTCTCGCGTCTTCGGTGGAACAGTCCAACCGATTATGAGTGACAGATCCAGAATTTTCAAAAGTATAAGTACTCCTCACGCTGCTGTTCCCTGACCGGGATCTCCAGCATTTACCTTTCTCGAGTCTGCAAGCTCAAGTTCAAGTGTCTCACAATGTCTTCCAGGTCCCAACGCTCCGTCCTCGTTACCGGTGGCACCATCGGTCTTGGATACCAATGTACCTTGGCCATAGCTCGCGAATGCCCAACTTACGAGGTCATCATCGCCTCGCGCACTGACAATGGCGCCGCCGAAACAATCAACACGCTTCTCGGCCAAAACAACGTCCGCTTCATGAAGCTAGACCTCGCGAGCCTCGCCAACATCCGCTCCTTCGCCGAAACCTGGGACAAGTCTGATCTCCCTCCTCTCTACTCCCTAGTCTGCAACGCCGCCCTGCAATTCCCCGGGGCGGCCGAATACACAGAAGATGGATTTGAAAAGACCTTCGGCATCAACCATGTCGGACACGCACTACTCTTCTCCCTACTCCGGGTTCATCTGGCCAATACCGCTCGGATCGTGATAACGGGAAGTGGAACGCACGACCCAGCCCAGAAATCCGGCATGCCTGACGCATTTTACAACACGGCGGAGGAAATGGCGCACCCGCTTGCCAAGTACACGCAGGGCAATGGTCGACAACATTACACGAATACCAAGCTAGCAAGTGTTCTGTACATGTATTCTCTTCATCGTCGCTTTACGGCAATCAACGAGAAGACCGGGAGGCATTGGACTGTGACGACCATGGATCCTGGCTTGATGCCTGGGACTGGACTTGCACGGGAAGCGAACGGCGTTGAGAGGTTTCTCTGGCATAAGGTTTTGCCACACATGATCCCGCTTTTGCGTATCCTTATCTCGCCCAATATTCATACGGCTCGGGAGTCTGGGAGGGCGTTGGCGCGGTTGGCTGTTGGGGAGGACGTTGAGGGGGTGAGTGGTCGGTATTTTGAGGGACGGAGGGAGATTCCTTCTAGTAAGGATAGTCTTGATGAAGCTAAGCAAGAGGACCTGTGGAAGTGGACGATTGATGCGGTGGCTCGCGATGAAGAAAAGGCAGCGTTTGCGTTGAAGGATTTGCTTTGATGTCTGTTTGTCATATTTACCTGGCTCTGAGCTTTTTGATGTACTTTTCAGGACAATTTGATCAATTCTGCAGAAGGTAATTATACTTCAGCTACTTGAACGTAAAGAAAATCTTGTTTCAAGGTGTCAAATTAACAAAAAATTCCAATGACTTGCGAAATTCTACTCTGGTGCCCGCAAGGGCCGTTTGGCTTTGTAGTACACCAGTGGGGAGAAATATATAGCCACGATGACAGGCTTCCACAATTTCTTTGCCTATGAAAGTAAGATTTAATGACGTGATTTGATACAGATATTAATAATTATCTCTTGGACGATCGGAGATTGAGGAACATTGAAAATTGGGACGTTGAACACAATCTCATTTATGTGATGCTGAGAATGCGACTAGCAAAACTCGATTTGCGCATTGCATGATTTTGGTCTATGAAGCACAAATATTGAGCTTATTACATCAACTAGCATCATTGGTCTAGTGGTAGAATTCGTCGTTGCCATCGACGAGGCCCGTGTTCGATTCACGGATGATGCATTTCTTTTTTGTCTTTTTGCTTTAGACCCACATCATTGATCTATGTACTCGATCTTCTCTATGAGTCCTGAAGTTTAATTTGAGTTGAATTTTTGCACTAGCACATACTCCGAAGCATTAAAATCAATCATTCCTACATGAGTAGAGAGACATGCGTAGGTAACTGTTGAATCCAGACAAGCCTGGCTTGACCAAGTACAATAGATGTCAATGTCAACATGCTAACCCTATGGTCAGATTGCAGATTCATCCATTGTCGTAGCCTTACTCGAGTATAAAAGAAAATCGGGGTATTGTGCATAAGATGACGAACGCCAGAACGCTGAAAGGGAAATGTCGTAAAGAAGAGAGAGCGAGAGATAAGCACCAAGCAAGACTCTCGGGCCTATTCGCAATAGTGGCGATGGAAAACGCAAAGGAGCCACCAAGGACCGCATCATGACGGCCTAGAAACAACCAAGGCATTAATGACATGGCCACTCTTCCAGCCCTGGCCAACCAGCGGCTCATTCTCCCTCAACATATGGCCGAGATAAGCGACTCGTACACGTTGGTTATTCGAAAGCTACCAACCGTCAGCACCAAACACACCCAATTGATAGAGAAGGAACAAATACCCCTGCTTCCTGATGTACCTTCCTAGCCAGAAAGCCTACACTCTGACTCTTACCAACAAGCATCATTAAATCGGGCCCATCACGATCACTTAACCGGGCAAGAACCCGAATTAAATCCCGCTCACTAGTCTTTCCCTTCTCATCGCGCCGTCGCTCCAGATCCTGCGCAGCAATCAACTCGTCACCGGAAGCATCATCCGTCGCCAACTTCCCATCCGAGTCCTCTTCCCTAACAGATCCAGACGCAGGCGAATTCGCCTCACCACGGGCAATGTTCTCCGGATCACTAACGATACACTGCGGTAACCTATACAGCACTCCTTGTTCATCGTAGCACCCTTCACAGAGATCGCCTGTCGGAACGGTAACGCCCGCTGCATCGATAATACCCTGCGCCGTGACGAGGTCACCGCTCTGGATGAGAGATATTGCGCTTGAGAGCGCAGCCCAGATCTCCATGCGGCCCGTGACACGGGTTTCGAAGAACTCGCGGCGTTCGCGGTCGAGATCGGTGCGCGTCCATATCCGCCGCTTGCTTTTCCATATGTGCGGACGGACGGGCTCGTTGTAGTGCTGATCTAGTGGGAGGTTGGGAGATCGCTGGGTGCGCCGGTGGCGTGTTGTCTGTGGTGCCGTTGAGTCGGCATCGAGGGTTGTTTGTGTGGTGTGACCTTCGGCTCGGTCTTGGTTATTTTGGGGGTCGTCATCATCGTCACGCGATGGGGTAGAGGCACAGCAGCCCTGGAATGTGTTAGATTATTTAAGACATGGACTGTGAGGGGTTTGTTGGGTTGGAGATGGTAAATGCGGAGGTGGGAAGTCGTGTGACCGGTGATTCGATCCGTGATGACGGGGTTAATCGACTCTTTGGAAGAGTAGATCGAGGAAATATTAGAAACAAACGACTTACCATCTTGCATGCGACATAGACATTCCATATGCTGAGGAGAAGAGGGGACGGAGAGAGGGGCCGAATGGTGGATCGATGAGGATCCAAGCTCCGGGAACCAAAAATATCCCTTAGCTGCAACAAAGACAGCTGGATTATAACCATGGAACTCTGAGCCCTGAACCTGGAACCTGGAACCTGACTCGGAGATGAAATATGTCAAATAGTCAAGAACAATGTGAACGACATTCCTCGACTCCAAGCTTTGGATCAAACATTTATGAAGGGCCGATTCGCCCATTTATTGTCTCAGCTGTAGCTGGATTGGCTATAGTTACACTGGTTGATTTACCCTTATCTAATAAACATATACCATATTTTCCGAGGTTGCTCGCTTCATTCCTCGTCCTCGTCGTCGCTGCCGAAAATTGCTTTGAAGATCGCATCGCCTGGCCGCTCAGCCTCGAGGGCTTCATTGTGCTCGGGCTCCACGACAGGTGCTGCTTGCGCAGCTTCAGGAGCAGGAACCGGCTGGCGACCTGACTCAATCATAATCATGTCCATCACCTCCTTCGAAATCAAATCCCGGGGTTTGGAGTCGGTCTGATAGCCACCTGACTGGAAACGAGTGCCAGGACCAGAGTCACCCGATCGGCCAGGATCAAGCTGTACATGGTCAGGGGGCTTAATGTTGAACCGCTTACAGAGAAGACGGGTCGGAAAGAAGCTATGTGTACTTCGAGTCATTTGACCGAACATTCCAATCTTGGCAGCGCTCACGGCTGGGTCCTCGGGTTTCTCAGCAGGCCGACTGAGCGGGGTGTCAGAGTCTAGCGCATCGGAGACAACCTTGGGTCCTGACGAAGCTGACGTGAAACGAGATGCCATAACCCCGGACATGGGCTTGAACACCTCGGCAGCCCGGGCAAACTCCTGCATCTCAGTGACCCACTCGTCGGTGCTAGATCCCGGAACTCGGTCGGGTAGAGTGTCGCGAAGACCGGCTCGGATCTCGATAAAGGAGCGATAACGGGCGCGCTTGGCTTCATCTTCTGCATAGGGCATCCACCCGCTGACACCTCGAGTTAAGGCTTGGACCGCGGTTTGCTTGTCCAACTTCGGGACAAGATCCCAAAGATCCCTTCGTCGATCGGATTCTGACAGCTCGTATCCCGTGGGTGCCTTTTCACTCATGGCGGGTGGGAGATTGGTCTTTCCAGTAAGCTTTGCAATCCGTTCGCGGGCCTCTGGTGTCATCCAATCGAAAATAGATTTACCCGGTAGTTGGGCTTCACCCAGGGCCGCAGCTCTAGAGGTCGGGTCGAGGGAAGATGCTTTGGCCGCATCCGCTGTAGAAACATAGTCCGATGTGCGCTCTGCTGCAGATCTTCTGGCAGATTTCCATCCCTCTGGAACCTGAGGAGGGTCGTATTTCTTCTCGGAGATCGATAACCCCATGAGATTGTCTGCGAGAACGAATCCGTCCAGCGGTAATCGTCCGTCGCGGCATTTTCTGAAGCCACCCGTACTCCGAGCAGCAGCAATCTTTTTAGAAATAAAAACAGGCTTAGCACTGAGCAAGGGATTTGACGATGCGATAGCCGGTTTTGTTTCTTTCGCTTTCTTCTTCTTGCCGCCAATAGTTTTGTTGTATGAGATCTGGGGGCCCAGAGAGTACGGGTCCTCATCGTCGGACCCGGTATCATTGAGAATGCCGACACCGAAGCCTCCCCGTTGCGATTTCTTGGTCGCTTTCTTCTTGGAAGCCAAGCGATCTCCAAAGAATGAGTCTTCGTCTTCGTCTTCGTCTTCATCTTGAGTGGGCTGGCCGGGCTTTTCTAGGTGCGTCTCCCCCGAAAATCCGAGACCCTTGTGATCTGTCTTGCGAACGAAAGCGACCATGGGCGGGTTCTCCGGCGCAAAGAGATATGTTTCATCCGAGGCACCCGCCGCATTCTCGTCCAGGTTGGCTTTGCGGCGAACCTTTGGACCGATTCCCTGTCCTTCCCTCCAGCCCATCTTCTTGAGCAGCTTCACTCCCATTGTTTCCCCACCGGTTTTCAGCAAGTCCATAAGCCCCGCCCGGCGAGTGGCATCCGCCTCAGTAGAGCCGAACCCAGCAAAGCCCTCCGTTGTATTGAGATTCCGTGATTCCTCCTGCTCTCGTAGATCCTCCTCATCCATGAAATCTTCCGGTCGCTGCGCAGCCGGTTTCGCATCCCGGGCGCGATTCTGCCGGGACGAGACGAAGGTCGCGGGCGTCCATCCTTCTTTCGAGCCGACGCTATTGAAATATCTGCAAAGGTTTAGCAATAGTCTGCGCATCGCCTTGAATATGAACCTACCCAGCACTAAAGCCGCCAGTAAAGGCGCCGTGTAGTCGCTTCCTGCCTCTCTCGTCGGTCACCTCTTGTTTCCAGACAGGTAAGTAGGAGCCGTCGTCTCGCGCCCCCTCTTCTAACGGCGGTAATGGAGTTCCATAGACGGCATAGGGCGAATGAGAATGATCGGCCTCGAAGGCTGCGCGAGGGCGCTTTGAGGCCATGCTCGAGGTAGGTGGGAAGGTTCATGATTCGCAGCGGGACCTTAGCTTAGACAGGACCAATCACGGCATGCTGAGTCAGGAACTTAAATGATCATCTTCAGCTATATACTAAGGTGACTCTATTATTCCAATTTCTAATCTCCATATGCTTGATGGGTTTTTTATTGGCAAAACTTCTTTTTGAAATAACGATTAGGTAGAAGATGGAATATACCTTTGAAGTGCAGCCAACTCATGTTCTGACTGCTTAATTCCCTCAGCGCCTCTTTCCTCTCGCTTTCATCATCTAGTTTATGTTTGACCTGGAATCAATGGACTTTTGACCAGATGTTAATCATTGATCGTGAGATCATGCCCCATGTTCCCATTGGGAGCTTGTTTCTCTTAAGCATCCTTCTTTGATATCCGCAGACCGAACAGAACCCTGGTGACACCCAATTTCATTAAAAGCCTTGCGTGGCATAAGTGATCTTACTTCTTCCTGGTGGTATAGTTTATCTGCTTCAGCTTCATTATTCTTACGCCTAGCATCAACGAAAAGACTCCTCGCGTTCCTGGATTCTACCGGCCCGAGATCACAGCGTTAACGCCGATGAAGCTGGAAACTGTATAAAACACCATTGGGCAGATTTATCTCCAACCTTGGAAGTTTACTGCTTCCTCGGACCTTCTTATTGGAGAGCAGCCTGGGAGACAAGCACGGTTCTGGAGTTAATACATGTAGCAAGATCATCACTAGTAAATTAATTCTACTATCACAGAGTGCAAGGCGAGCGTGAACAACGACATTTTGTTCCCAATATGTATTTTATGAAGAGCCCAAATCCCCTCTACAATGTCCAACACAACTACCCATGGAATGACAAAAGCGATTCGCTTCTCTGGCAGAGTTTAATTGGAAGCCAGCTGAAATCGATTGCACCTTCAACGGTTTGGTCGCTTGGCGAATGCCGCCGAAATGAATCTTGAGACAGTATCAAACTCCCATGATTATTTATGTTCAATCATGACTTACATTGGATTGAACCTTTCCGTACCGGCAGCCGGAGAGTCAGGGAGTTCCCGTAGCTCTAACTCGTTCCTTCCGCAGCACGATCTAAAGGCTGAAACAACCGCAACACAGAGCTGCGAATGGGCAAAATTGGTATTATGTGACGAGAGTTTATGGATTCTATCTTTCTTCTTCTGGAAAGAGGGCCTCGTTGATGATCGTAACCATATTGGATATAGCGGCGATGGGATCGGGCTTGAACTTTTGATGCCAAGTTCCCAGTTCCTCGAGCTGTACAGTTCGAGGCTACAAATAGAGACTCGATGTTTACGGTGGTTACACTGACACATGTCTGCTTATGATTTATGGGTTGATTGGTCAAAGCGGTTAATTAATTCTTGTACTTCTCTCCTTATACCATGTGTGGTTATGGTCGGCCCGAATCCTGAGAGATAGGCGTAGAAGTATTTGATTTCTCTCAGTTCTTCGTATGATGTGGCGTTCTGGGGCGTGCGCTACTATGATTCCACCGGATATCGAACCGTTGAGACATGAACACGACAGTATCAAACCAATGATTGCAAAATTACTGGATATAGTATATAGATACGAACCAATTTTAGCATCCAATGAAGCGTTATCTATTTCCAAAGGTATAACAGGCTGGCCTAGATTATATGACCATGTAGCGTGACCTGTCAAGTTTCCCCCAGTGCCAATGCCCTATTCAAATCTGGCGCAACCAAGCTTTGGCCAAGTAGTCTCAAAGTATTTGAACACCAAACCATGGAAAACACTCCATGTGGCAGTATCGCCACCCCCAGGGACAACGCGTGGCACAGACCGCCGAATCTCGGAGATACCCAGTTCAAACACCCACCATTCCACGTGTAGATAGTGGAGAGAACCGTGCTCGGAGCTAATGTGGCAAGTCGAACTCGAAATTAACTGTTCCAACCTTCAAACTAATTATCCGTGGGTATCCCGCATCAAAAGTTGAGCAAATCCCCAGTACCCTGAAAGTAGTCTCGGAAGTGGATAGTTACTTATCGTGAGAAACAAAGAACCGTGGGCATTGAAGAAATCTAATTTGCCCCGTCGGGTCTGCGCCGGTGCCCCGCCGCGGGAAGTGCCACTATTCTAGAACCGGATTAGAACCCCAGGTTACCTCGGTTGGGTGGGTCTGTGCTACAATGTTCCAGCCCCTGAAATTGTGATTGGAACCCAATCCTGGTTGAATTTCTAGCGATTCCAATGGAGAAATATCTCCGATCAATCAGCTCCTTTAGCTAGCTTCGAGGCAATGGCAATATTTGTGATGAATGGTGAATGGCAAGGTGCAAGACACTAGAGCCCGGACAGGGTCTGTGCTAATGGCTTTGCCAATTGTCTTGTCCGAAGCTTATTTGAACTAAGCCTCGAATACTACCTTGGACGCCACCCTGCTTCTCTTGGCCACTCATTCGCCCCCCCCCCTTTCTATTATATTCAACGATACTTCGTGTCCCGAATATATCGTCTAACCTTACCTGGATTACCCCGGGGGTGCGACCTGTATCGCCTTCCAATGACAGGGATGTAAAAAAGCCAATCGGGGATACCGCATGACCGGTTATGATATGATCGCGTGAGAAGGGTAGGTGGATCGCGGCAATTGGCTCGTGAACCAGTTACTCTCGCCAGCAAGGACTTGATTTTATTGCCGATGGAGGCAAAAATCAATTCCTGCTGTTCTTTCATGCTTGTCTTTATCTCAATATTCAGCGAGGAAAATGAAATTTAAATGCGTAAATTAATTGGCCAATAAGACCAGGTGAATCACTATCAAGTGGAGAGCTGAGGAGCTGAGTGCTACCTTATCCGGGCGCCGATAAGACCTCCGGCCTCATATACTTCGACTGCTTCTGGAAAGCTGGCTTTATCTTGGCATTGCTTATTGCATTTGTACCGGTTAGTCACGGTGGAGATAACCAGCTTGAATTAAATCCCGCCATTTACTGGGGTTATCTACGCTAGTCCTAGCGTCCTAGTGTCCCAGAGTACCCTCACCCCGTCTTATAAGTGTGCCCTCACTTCTTCTCTTCTGATCGGCTTTCCATTCAATTCTCTTTCGATTCAGAATTGACTCGCCCCCTCCATCACCATGTCTATGCTTCCCGGCCCAATGGCCATCACGGCTCCTACGGAGCAGATGCGTGAGAAAGGCCTTGAAGAGGATGATATTCGCAAGATGTCCATGAGCGCTACTCACCCGGGTGTTCGCCAACGTCTGTGGGGAGCTCAAGCCCGTCTGGACCCAACTGTCTCCTACGAGGAGTTCACCTACTGGGCCAAGGTTGAGCGTGAGATGGAACTCGAAGAGGGTCGTCGCATGAAGGCTCTTACCTCTGGCCAAGGAGTTATGGGTACTATCAAGGGCTACTTCAACATGAACGCGTATGAGGATGATAAGACCAAGAATGATACTTCTCGTGCCTTGCAGACCCACGAGGAGGTGACACAGTGGTCTAAGGATGAGAAAACACCCGTTATCAAGGATGATGATGGGACGAGCCCGATTGCGCCCAGCGGCACTCACGATATCGATGCTGAATGGCGACAGGCCTCGAGAGCCCTGCGTACTGCCAGCTGGGGTGGTATTTTTTACTTGATTACGACCGATATCTTGGGTTGGGGACAGACACCCTATGTCTTCGCCAACACTGGTTATGGCCTTGGTGTGGGTATCTTCATTCTCATGGGTATCGCGGCTGCCCTGTCTGGATGGATGATTTGGAGGACTTTCTTGGGTCTTGACTCGTCTCGATTCCCCGTCTTGAGTTTCGGTGACCCGTTCTTCCGTCTGTTTGGACCTGGTGCCCGTCACTTCATCAACTTTACTCAGGCCCTCCAGATGTTCCTCACTGTTGCTGTCGTGCTTCTTGGTCAGACTCAGCTTATTGCTCAGCTCGGTGAAAGTGTCGATCTCTGCTACATCGTGTGTGGAGTCATTGCTGTGATCGTAAGTATTGCCAGTGGCTATATGCGGTCTCTCAAGCACCTTGGTTGGTTCTGCAACCTATCTGTGTGGATCAACATTGTTTCTTTCATCATCATGTGAGTACTTAGCCTATCCTGGTGTGTTACTATACTGATTTGTATAGCTGCGTTGCTGCTGCCAAATATGGCCCTGATCCTACTGCTGCTGTGAACAACGGTATTCTGCCAAAGTCTTGGGCAACAAACCCGGTTCCGGTCAAGACCTTCGCTGGTACCCCACCTGCAGAGTACCAGCAAACCGATGCCAACCTGTTTGCTGCCAAATTCAACGGAATCAACAGCATGGTTTGTAAGTATCCCTCTGCCGCTATGCCGGATAAAAGCTTACCGTATTGTTAGACGCTTACTCCGGAGCTTTGCTGTTCGTCGCCTTCTTGTCCGAGATGCGCCAGCCATTGGATTTCTGGAAGGCCGTGTTCCTCGCACAGGCTTTCATTACCGTTGTTTATGTCTTCTTCGGTGCCTTTGTAAGACGTATTCCCCCCAGTCCCTATACCGGCACTAACAAGTTTAGGCCTACTCCTACTACGGCCAGTACAGCTACTCTACTATCACACAGACTGTCAAGCCACTTAGTCTCCAAGTGCTGAGTAACGTACTATCCCTGATTACCGGCTGGCTCGCTGTCTGTGAGTGTTATCACCTCTAGAACATTGTCCATCTCTAACATAGTCCAGTCCTCTACTTCAACGTCGGCATGAAGACCGTATATATCGAAGTTGGCCAGGAAATCTTCAACGCCCCCCCAATCACAACAAGAAAGGGCAAATGGTTGTGGTGGGGCTTGGGCCCAGTGTACTGGATCATCGCCTTCATCGTCGCCATGTCCGTCCCCGAATTCAGCGCCTTCACCAACTTTGTCGGAGGACTTTTCAGTCTAAACTTCACATACTCCTTCTCCGGCGTCATGTATCTGGGTTACGCAATCCAGGAAGGTTCCAGACTCCCCGGCGAAGGATTCGATCCCTACACTGGTCAGACAATTCGCCATGATACTGGCATCTCCAGATGGACCCGTGGCTTCATGAAGAACTGGTACATTACTATCCCAGTCACAATCTTCACTGGTGCTGGTTTCGCCGCTTCTGGAATGGGTACCTGGGCTGCTGTTCTGGCCCTCGAGTCGGCGTATGGCCCAGGTGGCTCCCTTACGACTTCTTGGACTTGCACGAACCCCTTCTCTTCTTAAGCTGCGGCTGAGTGCTGGTCTTGAAGGAAACCAGGGATTTCGGTATATATCTGCGGACCATCCAACAAAGGTCTTCCAAGATGTAATCATACTTGGATGTTTATTTAAGAATGGATCCAGAGTTGTACAAGTAGGGGTTTATTAATGTGACTTAGTATTATGATACTTATGCATCAAAGACGATCAATTTAAAGATAGAGATTGGAATGGTAATCGAGGGTCGTCGGTAATTTATAGAAAACGTCATTATTCCCAAATCGAAGACCGTCGACAGCCATAGGCTCCTGACCCACACTCTACTCATTCTGGTAGCACCGACTAGGCGCTGAAGCCTTAATTCAATTTGACTTTCATGGTGCATAATATGGCGTGTCTCGATCACAGTGTTCTTCGTTGAGGAGCTACTCACAGCCGGACACTAATATACGCTGCTAAAAATAGGACTTGTGCTGTCCAATTGGAACTAAGAACATGCAACATCAAGGTATCATTCTGAGGCAGAAATAAGGTTTCATCTAAAGGTAACTCGGATTTAGTTGCAAAAGCTTCCAAGACCGACGAGGGCAGAAAGCCTTACGGCTCCACACTGATGATACAACGGAGAGTGAGTTAGACAAGTCTTACATGGCTAAAGAAATGACCACTGAAAGCTTGAGATAATTGGAATTTGCAGAAACCTGACGTGAATAGGGCGGGAGTTATATTCTCTATGTATTGCTGGAAAGAAACTAAGAAACTAAGAGCGTGATATCCGCGATATCATGATAAGCCCCTGCCGTACCGAGAACATCGCCTCATTCCCATCCTTCGGAATAAGGTGCTCATCCCCATTCGCGATAAGAGCCTCAACAAGAGTCGCCTTTCCAGCGTGAATAAACCCAAGACGCCGATACAATTCCACAGTAACATCATTGCCCGCCTTAACAATAAGCCGGACTTGAACATCTTTTGGAGATGATCTATATGATCGGAGATAATCAATTGACGCTTGGCATAATTTGCCACCCAATCCACGACCGCGGTGTTCAGGAAGTGTAAACAAGCTCAGCATCTGCCATCGCTCTTCCTCTTCATCGGACCGCTGGGGAGGCTGACCAGCCTCCGGGGGTAGCTCGAAATCAGCACTGGATGCAGGTCCTCGGAGAGTGACCTGGCCGACCCATTGGATGTCACTGGGGCATGACGGATCCTGGTCGATTGGCGTAGCGGCGCAAATAAAGACTTCGCGGTCGGGGACCGTGAGGCGATCAATCCAATCAGTGTCAATGAAAGCTGATTCGATCTCATATGTCGAGGAGAAAGAGCCAGGTGAGGTTTTCAATGCCTGCAGACGCAGTTCTCGGTATTTTTGAGCGGAGGCGCTAATTCCGTCCGTCTTTGAGATGCGGAAGAATGAATATGTGTATTTGGAAGCCATTGGAGGTTTTAATCTGAAGACAAGGATGTATTTGTGTATTCAATTGGCATGACTGTCACTGAGTATTTATATTTGCAACTTTCTATGACTCAGAAATGGCAAGCTGTTGTGAGCGGAAGTTGGTGGGCCTCATGTTCTCGAGTTGATCCACTTTCATGTTGCCAAGTTTCATAAAGCACGCCCTAGGGCGGAGCATGATTACGTCCATAGGGCTGGAATTTAAGATTTGTCTTTCGAGGCTAGATTCCGCTTAAGGCATGGATAATTTAAGCGAGCAGTAGAGGAAAGCAACAGCCGCGCGAAAAAAAAAAAAAAAAAAAAAAAAAGAAAAGACAACCAAAACCAGAAAAAATTAAAACATTAGAATATTAAATCACTGCATCTTATTTCTACAACACAAATCAAGTTCCTCAATTTATTGTGCTGCTCTTTACCCCGGTATAGTTGACTACTGTGAATGTGACTCAGGGTTTGCAAGCCAGGTCAGTAGCCGGCATTGAAAACACAGCTCCCGCACAAGGGGGAGCTAAAATATCCTAGTCTGGGTTAGACAGTTTTCCAGCAACTCAATCGTGGGGCCTTGACTGGCCCTCGGGATCTGAAGGGATTTGGAAGTGGGTCTCCGGTCAAACAGATTACGCTTATCATCAATCCTGCTAGTAGATATGATGTCGCTCTCTGATGTGAATAAAAATTCCATAAAGTGGATAACCGGAGGTTCTATCTCTATTAGGCAGCGGTTGTGGTAGGAGCACGTGCACATGACATCGGACGCCAAAACAAAGAGCCCGCTCCGCTACAGTTCTTTCAAATTAGCCTCTCATTGTCATATATATTGTCAATTTCGAGGATTTCTCTGGCCTGAGCATTATGAAATTCTGCTAAAAACCATTCAAATTGGTGCCACATTGGCAATTCAGAAAAAGAAACCCGAGGCCAAGGTTGCGAACATTGAACAGACTTTACGCGTGTTGAAAGAGAAAACAAGACCTAATATTATATCTTTGTCCTTACAACTATTTCTGGATAAAATTTTCCTTTTGTTGCACCTTCCCTTGATCTTCGTTCAGATGTTTCTTTGTCACATATTTTGCGGGATTAGAAACATTTATCTATTAATATGGCCTGATTCCAATGCAGATCAATCACGACCTTCATATTGAGTTGACTTCAAGATATCTATCTCACTGCTTGATCTACTTCGAAATATCCAATTTGACTACTTACAATTACTTTACAATGCCTGCTACACGCAAGAACGCAAAGAGGCCAGCCTCGGATCCTACACCAGCTCGACCTGCGAAGAAAATCAGACAAGCTACTAAAAAGGTTGCTTCAAAAAATGATACAAAAAACACGGCAAAGGCGACCGAGGCCAAGAAAGACGAGAAAGGAAAATTAAAGCCCAAGAAACCTTCAACTTCGAAAAATACAAAGACCACCACCAAAAAAAACGTCGCTTCCCCCAAAGGCTGGAACGAGCCAGAATTTTATGAATTATCAGCGACAGACTACCTCTGTCATGCCCTGAATGTCGCTCTGCTGATAGCAAGTTTGTGGCAGTCATCTTGATGCCCAGATTGTTAGATGTCAAGAGCGGATTGAAACGAAAGTTTTCTTCCGGGGCTCTTCGAGATGCGTCTAAAAAAATATCTGAGATTGAAGAAAGAGGAAGAGTAAAGCATCCTATCTAGACTTGTTCAAAGCTATTCAGCATAGCGATCTCAAAATATCCGAGGCTCCGACGCTAAGCTGGCCGGTCGTTCAGCGCTTACAGTCATTGAAAAGGCTTGTAAAGGATCTGAAGAATTCTGGGGATAAAAACGAAGAGCTTGCAAGCTTGGGGGTTATTGTTGCTGCATACAGGGCGGAAAATTTGGGGAGGGAGAACTCGAAGAAGTATCTTACTGGGCACATGGAAAACTACTTATCGGTTCAAAGAGATGGGATGCAAATGAGTGTATTGCTCTAAGTGCAAATTCGGACCAAGGGATTCCGTACGGACAGAGTGAGTTTATCATTGGACTTTGAAATAGTTGGACTTAGCTAACAGATGCAGGCGGGAGACTTTGAGCCAACCTCTGTTCTTTTTCATCACTATACACGACTCGGCAGAAGACAATTTACGGCATAAGGTAATCCAAGACCCATTCATTCAGTTTGATGATAGGTCTAAGACGATGAAACATCATGGCTGTTTATCAAAATTCAAATCCCCACCCGCATGTATCGCAGCCGGGATTTTCAGAAATATCACTCAAATCATCGACGATTTTGGAGCAATAACAATGTTACTACCCGACAACGATACCAGAAATATCCTCACACTTAGTGGCCAGCGCATTCCCTGTCGTGGAACTGAAACTGTCATCACAGCCATGGGGCCTCGAAGTTATACACTTGTGATTTTATAAGCCAATATAGCAGTGAAAGGAAAGGGGGATTTGCTTCCATGCTGGGTGCTTATTAGGGTCGCTGTGCGCCTCGGTGGTGCGACGACTACACAGCGCTCGCTTTTCAGGTGATTGGCTTCGACACATGCTATTCTATTACTCACAGCCGGATATATGACTGCATATTGATAATGATTTGACTGAATTAGTTAATAATACGTGGGCTTGATGCAATCTTGTGCATGCCACACCTCCGCCTGTTCCTCGTGCCATTTCACACAATTCTTTAATATTACAATACTGAACTCGAATATTCAATCCTTGTGATACTATGCAGACTTTCAGTCAGGTACCTGTCTCGTGTTGCTGTTTTCTATTCTTAGTCATTTCTTTTTGCACGCTGTTCTGCAATAGGATATCGCTCATGAATACATAATTTAAGCCAGAGAGAATAATTGCGCTCGATGTTTTGACCAAATTGCTTCATAAATAATGCGAATCGCTGTTTGCTCCATCAAAAACTCCAATGCTTTTTGCCAAAGAAACTATATCCAAATGAAAGAATCCAAATTTTAGTATACATCAGTAGACCGCTCCATAAAACCCAAAGTTTTGGGGGAACGACATGATCTGAAGGATGAAATACAAAGAACTTCAAGCTATCAAACCACATGTTTCAAAGCAGTTATCGATAGATGTGGAAGCTCAGTCTTGAAAAATATTTTGCGCTGAATGCCTGACAAACTAGCGGCATGTCTCCGCAGAAGCGCTTTCGATATCCTCATCCTTTTTCCGCTTCATACCCAGCTTTTTTCGCAAATTAACTGCTCTGACTTGAACTGCTCTCTTTCGTCGCCGACGCGGATAGTTTATGGGACTTTCGCCTCCAGTGAAGATTGCCATGTCGTATATCAAAGCACCAAATAGCGCTCCACTGATATCTGCACACCAGGGACCCCAAATCCACCAAGCATGGCTTTCGCGGAAAAGATTACCTCCCCACCCAGCCATAAGAGCAACTAGCCGTGGCCCAAAGTCCCGGGCGCAATTGAAGCATCTATAGGATCGTATTAATAAATGAATTTTCCAAAAGAGAAGATGGGGGGTAGGGGGGTAGGTGATTTCATACCCTCCAGTATTATAGCCCAATGCAAGGACCACAACCGAGATCAGGATTCCAAGTATGAAAGCCTGCATTCCAGCTCCAGGTGGGGCATTCGTATCATCTCCAAGAGCGACAATCGCACCGAATAGGATGGCACTGCCGAGAAACTCCGTGAAAAACGCAGTAGCTGGATGAACAAAAGACTTCGGGGCGGTAATCAAAGCCTCAACAGCGAGACCAGCATTTTGTGCTGTCTTAGTTTTGGCATCAGCTTCAAGGATTGCGTCATGGTAGATTGCATAAGCTATTCCGCCGGCGGTGATAGCCCCAAGAAGCTGGGCAGCAATGTATATCACACATTTGCGAGCGGGGAACCCTCTAAACACGGATAATGCAATAGAGAACGCTGGATTAAGATGTCCGCCAGACACTCCTCCAGATACGTAGATCGCTGCCATAAAACCAAAGCCCCACGCAAGGCTTTGAGATGTGTAGCTTCCAGCTTCGCCGGAGGAGGTGTAATGCGATAACGTGGCACAAAGCCCAATTGTCATTGCGATGGTTATCTGCGACCAATTTTAGCAAGGGATAAGATATAATTCCGGATATCACTTACTCCAAGCCATTCAGCAAGTGGCTCCCTGATCTTGTGGCGAAATTTAGACCAGGTGTTGAAGAAGCCGTCTTCCGAGCCTTGGGAATCATCCTTAGAGCGCGTTTTGTCCGGCCCTGGCCCATGTCCATTTTGTCCTGCTTGCTTGTCCTCTTTCCGATCTTCTGGAAGTGCGCCATGTTGCATTCCGGGGCGAACGATGTGAGGCAGCGGTTGAGCCAGACTCCATGTCGGAGAATCAACTTCCTTTCCATACTGAGGATTATACTGTCGATATAAATCTCCAACGTAAGCGTTGCTTGCTGGGTTCGACGCGCCGGGACCAGCTAAGCTGAATGTCGGGTTGTCGCCGGCATCTTCGCCCTTGTCGCCTTCTTCTTGGGTACCTTCAGGTGCCTCGTGCTCGTGTTGGTCCATATCTGTGTCATACGGAAGTTAGTGAGTGATGCTCACGTGATTTAGGGCAAACGGAGCTTACCATGGACTGCACCATTTTCTGGATCTCTAGACATCGTGTTTGTATAATTGTTGTTGAACCAGATAAGAGAAGAAAGGACGTTTTAAAGAAAAAAATCTTGATGATGTACTATGAGCTTAAATGTGGAGCCTTCTATTCTTCCAAGGTTGGCGACCGGCGACCCACTTAGCATTTGAGAAGACCCTTTGACTTTACGTCACGACTGTGGATCCCCAATCACTTGAGGCGGCCATGTTCCCACGAATGTAAATCAACCTTTAATCAATTCCTTGAATAATTGACAGGAAAATGACCGAATATCTATCTTGCGAGATAAATAATTTTGCAGAAACTTCTTTCATGATTCTTGATCACTCGCCATTTCCGATCGCCCATGGTTCCCAGAGCGGCACCTAAGTCAATCCGGCCTCCTTCCCGTCCAAGACCAAGGCGCTGCAAGACTTTTGGAATGTGTAGGAAAAATTCGAAGGAAACATTGCGGGCATCTGAAACTTCTGATTGGTGGGAAACTGGTCTCAAATCCTTGCTGCAAGGCCTCGATCATCCCCGAAGCCGAAGTCATGCTCTTGATTCGGGATCGGCTTGATAAAACCTGCGGGCCCCCACTATCCTCGCTCGGGACGTCGAATAAGTTGTTCATGATGCCATCTTTCGGCTTGTCGGCCCGTAGAATTTGGTGGACATGTATTCGGCCACCGCCAGGGCGATTTAATCGAGTACGTTCATGGGCTCCTTCGTGGTGGTCACAATGTAGTAATCACTCCGCGCACATGCCTTTGAACGTAAGTCCAGACCAGCTCGCCTGCGTAGCTACACGGAGATCGCCGTGATCGCCGTGATCGCCGCGATCGCCACCTCCCTCCGTAAGCTCATCCAAAATTTAGTCTGCGCAGCCGTAAACGGACGCCCTCCACATATAGAAATATTGTCGTCACCGCTCGAGCTCGGATCCAACAGCACGCTAGCGTTCTGAGTAGAGGGTATACCGAGAGTCGCGGCGAAAGGCTGAAGCCGGGCTCGCTTTAAATCTGGCACAGACTGTAAGCGGCATGATTGAGTTTATGATCGACCTGATGCTCGCGTGGCTCTTTGTTACTATCAATTCTGCGAACTTGGCTACCCAATCTTCCTCCTCCGAGTCCATCGCGGGTATATCAGCGTCGAAGAACAGACTACTTAGCGTTGATAAAGTGGGCTTCTCAAGAATGACCGAATCGCAGCGGTAAACGGCCTCTCAGATAACCCACATGAACTTATACTTCTAGCCCATTTGGAAACGCTATAATGATCTCCCCAATTTCAGGGGAAATAGAAAGAAAAATGACGCTTGGCAATGAATCAAACAGTGTAAATGATGAAGTTGATTCCCGGAATAATTGTAATAATGCACACGGTCGCAGATGTGCCATGAGCCTGCTAGACGAGGCCACAGAAGAAATGTACGACGGAAGGTGCAGACACGAGCTGCTGGAGGTAGTGGACTCTTCTGCTACCCGTGCAATCGGCTTCTCACAATCTACTATGATGCAAGATGCAAGTCACATACTACTAGGTGGTGCAGTATTCTACTATCCATGCAATCGGGGTTTCACGATCTATGGGGAACCGACGGAGAACAGACAATGCTAGAAATAGTGTCTACCCTAAGTAATACTCAAATTCCTTAAAGTAGACTCTTAATGTGAGCTTGTAAGCTTTATTCCCACGTAATTTACCTGCGAGTGCCTCGTTGTGTTTTCACTACGCCCGACTAGGCATCTATCCAAGCATGTAAATTCCGAGCGTCACTATTCGGACATAGCAATTTTCTAGTTGGACATAACACTTTCCATATTGGTGGGAAAACATGGTATCTGTATTTCGATCGAGTATGTTCATAGTCACATGACTAGGTAGACTATATCATTAGAACAAAGAATTTACACACAAACACATACAGACACACATGATCTTATTTCGGTTCTCATACTAAGCCCTATAAATTGATAATGTAAACTTGAGTTCAGTTCAGTCAAATTTAGCTAATGAAAGGTAAACCAGTGAGTTGTGTAGTGGATGGAACAGGTCACGTGACCGCAGAAATACTAATAGCTCCAGTCTATTCATTATCTTCGATCCTCTAATCTCATCGCTTTTTCATCTTACGATGCATCTCGCCGAACTTTCGTTTGAAATGGCTCCAAGCAAATCATCCGCATCACCTTTTCATCTCGTCGTCCATTTCGACTCCTTCACTCGCTATAATCTATAATTACTTTAACTATGCTAGAGACTTTGGTCTATGAATAGTTACTGTGATGGCTGGATGGGGCTTGAAACTCTTTAGCGAAACCCACGCGTGGTGGATTCAGGGTCCCTGGTGCGTAGATATTACTAGGGCACTATTTGGTGCTTTGATATATAATGTGGCAATCTTTACCAGAGGCGAAAGCCCCATAAAGTATCCACGTCGACGACGAAAGAGGGCATTTAAAGTCAGGGCATGTCATCCTCAAGAAAGCTAGGATTGAGGCGGAAGAAGACTCAGGATATTGAAAGCTCTTCTATAGAGACTTACCGCTAGAACTTCGCGTGTTTTGATTAATCATATTTTTTTGCGATTGGGCTTTGATATCTAGATATTGGTGAGTCCTTAGACTCGATTGGGGCACTTCAATTAAGGCGCCTTGAAATTCGACTAGGATGCCTTTCGGTTCGGTTGGCGAGCTTTCACAATTGACAGCCCCGGTAATAAAGGTTGCTGTTGGGAAACGTGGTTGTGAGATGAGACGTGAAACCGACGGAAGGTGTGAATGTCGTCGAACTTGGAAGTTCGGGAGCTAGTAGTTTGAAGCTTTTGATAAGATTAAATGAAGTTCTATTTGGGATAGAATGCTATTGCCTACTATATTGGTGTTTCGACATTCAGACGTTATCGATGCGATCGTTCTTTCGTCTACCACAAAGTGGTTATTCGAAACTATCATCTGCCGTCTTATATAGCGTCGCAGCATTTGAGTACTTATTCTCACAACGCGATAGAACCCCCACAAAGGTCCGCGTCGAAAATGCAGCGCATCAGATTCTACAAAAAAGCATACTAAGTGCAGAAACACCCTCAATCGATATCATGGTAGCTTCGCCGACCCTATTGCCGTGCTCATCGGGCACGCCCTCTATAATGATATTAACTTTCTGCGCTTCATTCACCTACGCATTATTGACTCGTCAATTCTCACCTGTGACGCGGTGTTTCCAGACCACACTGTCGGAAAGACGAGTCCTGAGAATCTGGGGGACATCATCATTGATTTCAATCTTATCCACTTACAAGAATGGCCATCATATCCATTAAGGGCTTGCTGCCATCTTCTGTGCGTGGTATCCATTTCCTTAGGGGGGTTTCGATGTGCGCTTTTAATTCTATCTCCCATATAGAGAGCCTCCTGCATATCGCGCACATAAAAGACGGCTATTCTTTGGAGGCTCTGGTAACTCATCGAGGTCATTAAATAATATTTGAGCTTTCAAGATAAGGCTCGTTGCTGGGCTGCTGGGCTGCCTGGTTGTGGCTCGCTCCTTTATGTCGGCGTTGATCTCTCTTTGTGCACGGTAGGCCCTTTCCGGTGTAGGTGTGGCATTTGATATAACCGCACTGAACGCCTGATGAACTAGCGGCAAGTCTCCACACAAGAGCTTTGGATATCCTCATCTGAGATCGGTCTGGCCACTTATCTCTATTGCTGGTAAAGTAGCGGAGCATATTTCCTCGAAAGAATGTTTGTAGAGGAGCCGAAGACCAGTCCTGGTTTGGATTTCCTTTGCAGCCGTGCTTCGAGGGCCAGTGAGTTTCCATTCGTTTTGTCGAGACGCAAAGATAATCATAACCTGGTGCGTTGCATTTCCATCCTTGTTCATCGGGTTTAATATCTTTGGTACAGTTCTGATGTTACATGTTCCGTGTAAAGCACTACAACCCCACGTGGGCCACGTCTCTGGTTCGTGGTATTCGCCAGGGTGGCTCACTCCTTTGTCGGGTGTTCAAGCGGTGGTCTGAAGAGACACCCAAAGGAGAGGAGGCCAAAAATGGACGTTTGGTGTAAGCCAGTTTCGCAATAGTAGTAAGGCTAAAACAGAATTAAATCATAATGATTTGGAGGGGTTCAATGATAATCATGATGATATTGACTATAAACATGATGTTGAATAAAAATTAAAAATTAAGACAAAAATTAAAAATTAAGACAGAAATTAAAAATTGACTGGCGAAGGGGAGCGACTCATCACCAGGTCATCGCCCGAGGGCGGCGCAGAATCTGAAACGGGGAGATCCACAGGCCCGGCCAGTGCGAAAGCGGCCGGGGGGACCGTTGGCGGGTTGCCGTGACCGGCGAGAGGAAGCACAGCCGGCGAGGGCTGCGGCGCGGGGGGGGTCGATAGCGAGGTCCGACATAGGCTCCACCCCGGCCAGTGCGGGCGCGGCCGGGGGGACGGCGAGGGGAGCACGGCCGACGGGGGGACCAACACGGCCAGCGGGGGGACCAACAGGGCCAGCGGGGGGACCAACAGGGCCAGCGGGGGGAGCAACAGGGCCAGCGGGGGGGAGCAACAGGGCCGGCGGGGGGAGCAACACGGCCAGCGGGGGGAGCAACACGGCCAGCGAGGGGAGCGACGGGCGGCGGGCGGGCGGGCGGGACGCCAGGGTAGCCGCGACCGCCACGGCCACGGGGACCGCCACGGCCACGGCCACGGAAATCGCCACGACGGCGAGGACCAGTAGGGGCTCTAGCAGCCGCCACACCAGCCCTCGCCGCCATGGTTGGCTGGCGTTGGGCGTACTATAAGCCAGTGTCAGTTCAAGCACAGTCATAACAATAATAGTTAGAAGCTTACCTGGATGGACTCGGCTCGGGCCACCAGCCTCGCCCGGGAAAGGACGTCTTCCTCCTCCGGAGTAAGGGGAGGAGGGGGAGGGGGGAGGGGGGGGGGGAGCACCGGCAGGTCTTCTCCAGCAATCCTGGAGGTAGTGGCCCCGCTGCCCACAAAAAAGGCATCGCTGCTTATATCAGATTTCATCCAAGTTCGAGATATGGATTGATGCTTACGCGCCAGGGGAATCGCATTGCTGCGAAAGAGACTCAAAGAGCCAATCAAATTAATTGAATTCTTCTTTTAATCAAAGGAAAAGAAGGAGGGGGAGTAGTGGTGGATGGACTTAGAAAAATGAAACAGAAGTTAAGTTACGAAAAGTGAGAGAAGTAGATTTATACTGTGCGTTGTGCCATGTGACTACGTAGTGAATGACTTCCACTGTGCACCATGTGACTTCGTTGTCAGTGGGCATGCCCTAGAAATTTGCAATCGATACAAACAGGATAGAATGCTCCAAGTGGCCACGCAATAAATTATACCTTGCTGCACATGCAAAGATGGACCTTGGGAGAAACTTCAAAGACAGCCAGTAGTTGACTTGGAATTGATTGACCACTGTACCCAGCCGAAGTTTTTTATTAATTCCCCTTTTCAGTATGAAATTGCCATTTATACTGACCTAACTTGTTTTCCATGGAATGGGAGCAAGGTGGGGATATGGTATGGTAGGATAACCGGTAAGTTCGAGGCCCCGATATAGACAAACAAGACACTAAAGTACAACATCTGGACAGACAGTCTATGCATCGCGCCAATACATATACTGAGACAATGGCGGCTAGAGCTGTCCGTAGATTTACCATTCTCGATGACGGCCCCTTACCTTACGGTGCATCCAGCCAAGAGGAAATCGCTGCTGGGTGGTGTTCTTAGGTAGTGGTCTCATTAAATTTGAATCAATGTCTTTTTGTCCTCAAGAAACATCTCTCATTGGTATATATAAACGTCAAAGTAATAATCCTTCGAAGCACACCGGCATATGGGGCATGTTGGTCGAGTGGAGTGCTTCAACCATTCTTGCAGACACGATTCATGGAAGTTGTTCCCGCACTGAGCCTTACAATAAACAAGGCGTGGCTCTTTTGCTCGGAGTTTTCTTCGACATTCGTCAGACTTGATTTTGAATAAGTGAATCTTGTGGGCTCTCTGTTGCCTGTTCTGGTTGATAACCGAGTTGGTTGTCTGGCCGACAGTGAGGTCGAGTCTCTGCGTTATGATGAATGTAACCGCATGTATGAGCGAATTTATTTTTGCCGCTTCTTTTTGTGGGCTCTACATTGACAATCCGCTACAAAGATCAAAACTCCCACCAGGTGCATGATCGTGCTCCATCCACTTCATCCAAGCTTGGCTGCCTTCTAGCTAAACCAAAAATACTATCTACGGCGTGGTCATCTCACCCTCCTCGATTTCACGTCTCATCTCACAACCACGTTTCCCAACAGCAACATTCGCTCGTCAATTGTGAAAGCTCGCCAACCGAATCGAAAGGCACCTTAGTCGAATTTCAAGACATTAAGATTGAAGAGGATGGTGAGGATGGTGATGTTGGTCCTCAAAGGAATCGCGTTCCTGTTCTTCTTGGGTCATGTCGGCTCCCTTCCACTGTGGGATGGTGAGGATGGTGAGAGATGGTATATATGTGATAGTGGGAGAGCATGGCATTTTCACGGGAAGTGTAGTCTGAATTTTGGTTTTGCGTGAAGCCTGTCATGGTCCTATGGCAAGCCACTTTAAAAATTAGGCCTCTTCATGCACGATCCAAGCGTACGACTCGTAGACGTGGAGGAGCTCAAACACATTACCGAAATAGATGAGGCATAGGTTTGAACCATCACAGCCAGTTGTGTTTGAGCTTGTATTCGTTTCTCATCATGTTCAAGAATAATCTCCGAGCTCATGACCGACTCGAAAACTGCCAGCGTGTAGATACTCTTGCACTCGTCGTCGTCCAGGGGCTCGCAGATGTGCATGGGCCCACTGTCTGCATGGACCCACTATCTGCATGAACCCTTGCCATGCAACCTTAAGTGCCAACAGTCGCGGTGTATTCCCGGGCACCTATACCATGAGCCTTGCGGACCAGTATAGCAACAGCGAAGATGTGATCCCCATCCTCAGGGCGTCCGTAAAGGAGCTCGGTTCCAGGTGCTCGGCCGAGACAGCCTAGATGTTTAGAGACCAGGTATGCTCGGTATGATCCTCCCGTCTATCTGCTAGGGATTTAACCTTAGAAATGGGCTCCTTCTCTTTGTTGGGGTGACCACTTGAGAGGTATTAGCTGGAGCACAACGGTGCGGTTGGTATGGCGCAGGCCCAAGCGTGGTGACAGGCTTTACCGGTGGAAGGGCGCCCCAGGAACGTTAGCGAAGGCGCTGGGGCCGAGTCGGAATGGCGAGGACGCAACAGGGGCGATGGGCTTCGTGGCCGTGTAAGTAGGGTTCAATTGATGGAGTGCCACGGGCTCTTACAATAGTCCCCCTGTAGGATTTCATTCCGATCCGCACAACTGAGTCCTAAATCTGTGCCACGGCGCTGAGTTTTTCATGGTGCTAGCCGTCAAGTGTGGGCCTCATAAGTCACAAGCACCTGCTTGCTCCTGGGTATGCTGCCGGCGTAGCGCCATGCCAGGCATCTACGCCCACCGTGACTGTTGGCCTTGTGGCAGCGGGTGATCAGGAAGGGCCGCGAAATGGTGGGACTGCATGGTATGTGGCTGAGTTCCCATCAGGTCATTGCAGCACAATCGGATATCGGGAGCAAGCTTGTCACTATGTAGGGCGTCAATTACAGTCTGTGAGCGATTTGACAGCGAATATGCCCACCTACGTGGACAAAGGTACTGGCGGAGTTGAAACCAAACAGATGGAATACTTTGATGAGGATTACATACGAAAACTACAAAACCCATCCCGCATGACCCCAGGGACTTTCGACACCCTCATGGCACTCAGCAGCAGCCCCTATCCTTCAGCAAAGCAGCCTCAATGTCTCGATCATATGCCATTTCGTGGATGAGCTGGTCAGCCTTATCCCAGGCCGGGCAATGGGTATATCTGACCTTCATCTGGAATCCCCGATCCCAAATATGGTACGAGTCCTACGCTGGTTCATGCCAATGCCTGCCAATCAAGCCCCTCACACAACAGACTGCCGGGTTATTGGGTGATAAAATTTGGATGCTAGGGGAGTCTCGACGATTGACTCTAACTGTCGCCAGAAAGGTTCAGTAGAACAGTCCAAGCTCTGGCTATTGCGCCAGTACACACACGTGTGACTGTGATAGTCACTCTGAGGATGAATGCATCAAGCCTCAAGAGCCTTCCGGGAGCTTGCCCCAACTGCTTGGAGGAAGGGTCTTCTGCTTGATGGTGTTCAGCATTACTTCCAACTTCATTTCCGGTGTGGTTCCCGAGAGGTGATGTACGTCAGGCTGATGTTTGCAATTAGCACGAAGTCTATTTGCAGTTTTGGTTAGTGACTGCAACGAGTTTCGCGTCCGATATTTCCTTCATGGTTGACGTTTCTTCGTGCGAAACTGTCTCAATGTGATTTCACTCCAAGGTCATCTCAATGGCAATATCTTTCTTCGGGATGGCTACCAGAATATGCTTGGTGCAAGCCGTGATGCCACCAATCCCAGATCTGGCTTTTTCTGGGCCAATGGAACGAGGAAATGGTGATCTTCCTGGTTGGTCTCGCATTTGCTTCGCGATCTGTGAAAAGACCGAAGGCGTCGAGCAATCGAGTTGGCCATCGGCGTCATCTCGCTGGGTCCAAGAATAAGAGGCTATTCCAATTCCAGAAGGAAGGGGGGGTTTATGCTGGGGTGGTGGATTGGCATGAAGAACACTTCAGGCAGGGGCCCGTGTATCTTCTGGGATGTGTGAGATGGCTGCGTGTCCACATCAAGATTGCATTTACGTTGCGTGCATCAGAGTATTCCATTTCTATGCTCTCTAAGCTCTTACTGGCTTTGTTTCCCGTTCTCTCGCTTTATGTGGGAAGTCTGCTGTAGGAGTCCAGGGGGTTGCTTGATAGTGTTTCGCACTGGAAATTATCTAGGTGGATCGAAGATTGCGGAAAATAGAGATACAAGCTAATTCCGACACATTTTATGTGGCAAAGGGAGTCAATGATACAAAACAAGTCATTGAATGGGTCGTTTGCTTCAACTGAGCTATAAAAGGCAACGTTGACATTCTCTCGGTTCTCATTACTGCTCCTCTTGCCTCCTCATCTCCTATAACACGAAGAACGTTTCCTACCATTCCCTCCACAGTCGGTCTTAAGGACTACAAGAAGACTGGAAACCCCGGTCTGAGAGACAAATTCCTCATTGAAGGACTCGCCTCCTGAGAAGAAAAGGTCAGTGGCGGACATGGGCTCTATTCATGGCCTTCCTTCTCGTCTCACCAACCCTCAGTCTTTACCGTCCCATCATCCAAGCAGAAGTCTTCTATCGATTCAGATACGGTAGGGGCATTCCCTATCATCAAAGTTTTTGCCGGCTCCCGAGCTCAATCTACCACAGAGAAGGTCGAGGGTTTGAGCTCGGAATCGATCTCATCCACCAGGGTATCTCTATCCTCGGCCATTTCACCTACCGCCAGCTCGGATTCCCATATTGATGACAAGTCAAAGTGTGATATCAAAGGGGTTGAGGGACACAAGAACGAGATAACTGACGATGGGGACGATGTCGAGTACAACGTGGGAGCTACCGAGTGGAAAGCTAAGTCTCGAGACCACACCCGTAAGTTCATCATCGAATTTCCTGATAAGAATTTTCATGCGGCTGAATGGATGGACCAACTACGAAAATTCCTTGTTGCCTTGCTGAAACCTCAATCTTTACTTGCACACTAAAGAAGCAGGCTTCGCCCGAGCAGGAAAGCGGGCTTAGCTCGGAAATATCGGGAGGCATGTCTCTTGCGGCCGGTATACCCACCGTTTCAAACATCTGATTCCAACGTTCTAGTTCGTGCTCTCGATACCATTGTAGTTCCTCTCGGCATACTCGTAGGTTCGAATGGCACTTTTATTCCTCATGGTCTGCGAGCGCTTGACGCATAGTCTGAGCCTATAGCTGCACATGAAGTCTTACGTGATCATGAGGACCTTCCTATAGCGCACGATGTGTTTGGAAATGGTGCTCCTACAGTGACGGGCGTATCACCATCGGGCTGCGTATCCGAAACAGAACCAGATTGGCGATGTCCAAAGTTCAAAAGCGACCAAAACGCCATTGCTGAACCATAATAGCCAGACAAAAAGCTAAAAGGTGAAGTTTCCAACGCCCAGGAACAGGGAAAGGGCTCTGATAACAAGACCGCCGCTTTTCAACCCCGAGTATTCACTACCGTTGTTCACCCTACTGCTCGTAAATTACAGGCGGAATTGACTCTGCTCGTCACCCGTGGACATCACCGGATCCCACCTTGCGGGCTTCCTCCCAAATTTGATGCAAGACCGGATTTCATGGTTTTTATTGTTGTTGTTATCATTATAACGTCGAGTACGACATGGGGGACGTGCTAAGCTAGGGTTTTTAAAGTGCATATTGTGCTGACCTGTGAAAAAAATTAAAGCAAAAGTTTAGTGGACTCTCCAGTCGACGGTGGCCTTCCTCACCTTGTAGGATGGTTCCTCGGAGTAGTCGAGAGCGGGTGCCGCTCGTTATGTACATACGTGTGTCTGTAAGGATGCTAGCGCCTGCCCCAGTGGGTGTCAGGTCTCCGTGGCCGGAGAGAGTAGTTCGAGACCTACAGAATTTCATGTTGGGTTGTCGATGTGCGCATTCAATATCGCCCTTGTGTAATATATCCCTACGCATATCGCGCACACGAAAGACGGCTTTTGGATCGAGGTTTTGTGCGCTGGCGAGGTTCGGACATGAAGAGGCCGCGAATCGTGGAAAGCAAATTGCACGCGTGGCCGAAGAGTCTAATGCACTGCAGACACCTGGTACCACGGCGGACCGTAAAAAGCCGAATGCATAGATTTCTAAAAGCTCCAGTGTTCCATCGCTAATATTTCCCACGGCCATTCAGCATCGTACTCCAGAGAATATCAGCCATGCAGTATGTATTGTGTACGACAGCGGATCGTGAAAAGCTGACTGCACAAGTTGTAGACTACTCCATCGTGTTCCATCACTGTTCTTTCCCACTGCAGCTCAGGATCGTATTCCAGAGGGTATGAGGGGAGGACATTAGGCAGCAGCGGAGTAGCTACCGGGAGAATAGTAGCGGGCACAGGAGCAGGCGGCATAGTGGCATGCGGGGCGCAACCGGCAGCAATTTTACTGGTACCAAACAGATCACGAGACGGGAAGAGGCGACGGGGGCAGTATAGATGATTAAGATAATGAATGGCAAGTTTTGGCTCTTCGTTAGAATGAAAATATCTACAACTTATTATCGTGCCCATCCTGGATGGCTCCATGAAGTATGAAGACCGGACTCTAGCGGTGGACGAGTTTAATTCCAATCCTAAGTAATTCGTCTTCCTGATCTCCACCAAAGCTAGTGGTATCGGCCTGAACATCACATCTACCAACAAGGTAGTCGTCGGGGACCCTAACTGGAATCCATCATACTATCTTTAAGTCTAAGACCGGGCCTACCGCATTAAATAAATCCGTGATGTTAAGGTCTTTCATCTTGTTTCCGCTGGCACCATCGAGGAGATCGTCTACGCTAGGTAAATATTTAAATAGTAATAGGCGGAAATTAGGTATAATGTAAGCTCTAAGAGGCGATATTCCAAGGGAGTCTAAGACTAGAAAGATTAGAAGGGCGAGATTTTCGGCATATAGAACTTATTCTTATATTAATTTAATAATGTCGTCTTACGTGATATCGTGAATAAGACCAATATCGCTAAAAGTCGAGCTAGTGTTTAAGTCATAGATTTCTATTTCGAGGAGGACGAGGATGCCACTAGCGAGAGAGCTATTAAGTCGGAGGACGAAATAATAAGCTAATATGCCGCTATAATCCATGGTGATGGAGAAGATGACCGTCCTAAACCTCGTACTTCCAATACCCCACGTAAACACGATCTAGTCTAAGCGATTCTCTCCAGTGCTGGAGTGGAATATACTCACCTCAACAATGAAGTGATTGGTTCCTCTCGCGTCGAGGAGAAGCTTAGTCGTCAGGCTGAGCAGGTCAACAATGACCCGGGTGCCGATTTCCAGGTCTTCGAGGGATCATCGCAAATGCAACCAGATGACGAGTCACTCCCCACACCCCGACAATACCTAAAACCTGGTGAAGTGAATGTCGCGTTCCTATGGCAAAAATTTGGGGAATGGATTTTCCTTTACTTGCTAAACATCGAGTCTTTACATTAAGGAGTGGCTTATTCTTGGTGAATTCGAGGACGTCGATAACGAACTTGTAGGTGTGGTCTCGGAATTTGGCTCTCCTCTTCGCAGGCCCCATTTCTTGATAGTCTTGATAGTCAAGTTGAGTATTATTCTGATTCTGGTCTTCACCACCTTCATAACATTGCTCCTCCTTACCACCCTTCAACAAGCCCACTTCGTGCAGGCAATACCCAATCTCAACCGAACAGCGAATCCTCTTATTAATGAAGTGCTTACGTTGATTGGGTTAGGGATCAGGGATCGAAGAACGAACCTTCAGCCTGAGTCTCGGGACTTAGCTTTCCACTCGACAGACTCCATAATGGACGCCTCCTCATCTTCACCCTCATTATTATCTAAATCGGAATCGAAATCGGATGGTATATGCAGAGCATTCAAATGCATTGGACTAGAAAAAGGGATGGTTCTGTGTAGACTAGGTCTAGGACAGAAGATAGGGCTATTTCGAGGTCGGCAAGGTTTTGTTGTGCTAAGGTCTTTGGAGGGGAAATATATGGAGGAGGTCTGTTCGATTGGGGCTTTGTGGGATGATTCCGGTTGTGGCGCCGTGGACAACGATGCGAGAGCAGCCTAGGTCGAATGAGATATAGGTGTTTAGATCGGGGGTATATGGGGTACTGGGCTCGGTGTTGTTGTTCTGGGGATTTATTTGGGATGATGTACCTTGGAGAAGTCTTAAGTCTGAATTGGTTGATTCGATATGTGGACCTGCTACCTCGATTACGTGTATCAAGGTGCAACTTACCATCCAGCGGCGTGTGGCGGGGCTATTAAGGTCCAGGTGCCCGTGAGCACGTCCAGAGCTTCGGCGCTGACCTTGTCCGGCAACGGAACGATGCAGATCTGCGGCTCCCCGAACGACATCGAGTCCTTGTGTGCCTCCACGAAGCTGGAGATCCAGGTGTACGTCCGCCCTTCTGATCGTCTTCGGAAACATCATCACCATTGTGTTCATGACCATCTGGATGGCCGCCTTCTGGCCGAGCACGGGTATGAGGTGACCCATGGACTCGCACATGTATCAGAGTGAGCAGATGAGCGTGGAGCAGATCAAGCTCATGGAGATGAGGCCGGGGGCTTTCAAGTTCGACCCTACGAAGGGGGGTTCGACTCGTTTTACAACTTTCAGATGAGCATGCGGATGCTTAAGAAGTTAGATGTGGTCAACATCACGAGGTCGGGTCTAAGCGAGATCACGAGGGCGAGCTTGTTCTCGCAATAGTCGCGGCCGGGTTGAATTCTAGTTATTCTTCTCGACCAACTCTCCAGCCTTCATCTCGGACGACATCCTGGTGCTGGTCTCGGCCGGGGTCATGTCCGACAACCTGTATCAGACGTACGTCACGAGAGCCCCCGTCTTCAAAACCAGGCACCAGGATCGGAGCCGGGCTCGCATTCACGCTGGAGTCTATGGCGGAAACCGGGCCCGAGGGCCGTTCACGACCGGGTGCGTGCACGTACCGGACCAGCTGCGAGATGGGATGTACCACCGCCTCCGGGGCGGCCTTCGCGGCCATGAGAATGATCCTGATCACGGCCATGATGCCTTTGCCCTCCTGGGTCTCTTCCAAGTCCAGCCAGTCTTGCACAGGGAGCTGTCCCTCTCCACGATCGGTAACTCATGCCTGTACAAGGACATTATTTTGTCGATGGTCTCATAGTTGTATGGCAGTGTCTTCGTAAACGCGGAGATGAGCGGATTCGACATCATTATGTTGTTCCCGGCCGTGGTGCAGATCCCCTTCCCGTGCACGCATATATTGGTGTTCTTGTTCACGAAGGCGTACTTGATCGTGCTCCGTGATGCCTGCTCAACGTCGTGGCTAACGCATACATGTTCATAATCTTGCAACACCATGAAGTCCGATATCTGCGCGACATGCGGCGAGATCAGGACTGTGGAGGGAGCCAGGTTCGAGCACGTGCGCATAGGCCTCGACGAGCCCCCAGAGCTGGTCTTGTGTAAGTGCAGGAGTCAGAAGAAGTACATCAAGATCGGGATTTTATCAACAGGTGCGCGAGTTCGACGACGACGGAGCGTGTCAGGCGGAAGACTGGTATGGAATTGATCTGAAGGAACGCTCTCTTGATCGCCCTTCGCTTCCGTTTTCACTTGTCCTCTTCCACTCTACTCTCCTTCTCCACTCTCTCTTCTCTTGTCTTCAACACCACCCCTTCGCTACTTACCTTCTTCCATATCGTCACCACGTATTCGTCGCTTCTCCTCATCACCACCCTTGTCACATCTTCTTGTGACTCTCCGACCGACGGCCAATCGGAGAGGGCTATCCAAAGCTTTGAGATGGCTCTACGACACTGGGTTGCAGTCCATCCACTACACATCGGTGACTGGAATTTCGCCTTGCCGGCGATTCAGATGGCTATGAATTCTTCAGTCAAGGCGAGCACGGGTTATAGCCCCCACCAGCTGCTCTACGGCACGAAGCTACGCCAACCCTGGGACCTCCTCGCGGTCAATGACTGGCGAGATTTTTCGGCTTGTCCATGATGACCAAGCCCACCAGGGTTTCGATGCCTGTTGGCAGAAGCTCAACGGTATCACCTTCTACAAAGGAGCTAAGCTACTTAAGCAGTACATCACCCACTGCCCTGTGTGCCTCGAGAACAAGACTCGCCGCCATAAGCCTTATGGCTCCCCTCAGCCAATCCTATCCCCCCCAGTTCCTTTCCATACACTCACGTTGGATTGGGTGGTCGGCCTACCAACCACAGCCGAGGGATATGACTGCGCATTGGTTATGGTATGTAAGTTCACCAAGCTATCAGCAGCGTTACCTGGCCAGACAGATTGGACCGGCCAACAGTGGGCTAAACTCGCGCTGGCTTACTGGATGTCGGCAAACTGGGGCATTCCGTCAGTCATGACCTCAGCTCTTCCCTTCCTGCAGCTTGACTCGATTCGATCTGTTATCCCAGTAATCAACGCAGTTCTGGTAAGTGAATCGGGCAGTCAAGACTGAGAGACTCTCTGCCATTCTATCTCTAAGACTCTGACCGTTAATCTTCAAATGATTGTTCAAGAAAAGGACTTGAATCTCCCATCAACTTCCTCTTTGTGACCTGCCACTCTGTTCCACTAATTCATCATGTTCGAAAGTCTTTCCACATGAATTGATCTGAAGGAACGCTCTCTCGATCGCCCTTCACTTCCGTTTTCACTTGTCCTCTTCCACTCTACTCTCTTTCTCCTCTCTTTCTCCTCTCTTTCTCCTCTCTTTCTCCTCTCTTTCTCCTCTCTTTCTCCTCTTGTCTTCAGCATCACACCTTCGCTACTTATCCTCTTCCGCATCGTCACCACTTTTTCGTCGCTTCTCCTCATCACCACCCTTGTCCTTTCTTCTTGTGACCTCAGCTCTTCACTTCTTGCAGCTTGACTTGGTTCGATCTGATATCCCAGTGATCAACGCAGTTCTGGTAAGTGTATCGTGATTCATGGGTGCGCGCTCATAACTGAAATTTATCACAGTCTCCTAGTGTTGAGGCAACGTTATTGAGATCCACCATGCCCATTCTCAATAATGACGTTGTGCTTCTTATTGAAGATCACCTCTGCTACCAACCAGATAAGTTCAGCATGATGTGTGTGTGCCGACAATGGTACGCTCTGCTTTTACCCCGACTCTTCGCGAGGCGCATATGGGTCAGTAAGGAAACAATCTACGCTCTTGTTCGTTGCATCTAGATGAACTCCAATATCGGGGCTGCATTCCGGAATCTGGATGTGCGGTTGGATTTGGATTACGGGGTGCCAGAGCCGAAATATGATGTGAGGATTGTGAAGGAGGCCGTCGAGCGAGCTTGTGATTCACATGAGCGAGCCGCAGAGGGAATCGCCGTCGATCTGGATGACTCCCTTGTAGCATCCGGGTCCGGGCTTGAGTACGAAGCCACCCTCGAACTGATTCTTGTCCATGCCCAAGGTTCTGCTCAGGTCCAAGCACACACCCATGACTATGACCTCGGACTGTAAGAGACAGAAGTACATGCATTCGGTGCTGTCCGCGTTACAGTCCAAGATTGTGCCTCTGGACGTACCTGCGAGAAAAGAAATGAACTCGAGCATCTTTGTCTCCGCATTTCTGGGCACTAGCGCATGCAAGTCCGAGTCCCTGAAGCTGTATGACAACCATCTGCGTGAAGTCGAAGTCGTACGTGGGCTTGATCATCATCGTGCCGGAGTCTAGCTTCGGGGTCAAGTCCAGCCAGTCCGCCATGTACGCAAGTGAGAGTGAATCCCAGTTCTTGCGCAGAACCTTGTCCACGTAGTACATCGAGTCGATGCAAATGGCGCCACTTGGAAGTCTCCAGAAGGGCCATAGCAACCGGCAGATGAGACGCAGTCGACGTAGGTGACCACCTCCTCGATCAGGTCCGAGAGAATTACCTTGCCCGCACGGACAGGCATATGTAGGTAGGCGACACGAAGAATCCACGTAAGGGAAACGAGGATTTTGTTTACTTGCTTCAACCATGGGTCATACCCGCTATATAGTGGACACCCCCCAACATCTATCCAATCAGCTCTGGCCCACCCTATACACATTGATCACATTGGAGGTCACTCCCGCTCTCTCCTCTCTTTTGCCTCCGTCTTCACCCTCAACTTCGCCGCCTCTTCTTCTCACGCCTTCTTTTTCTTCTCCTGCTTACTCTCTATTTCTTCCCGGAGCCACTCCTCCAACTCCCGGGTCTTGATCCCCTAATGCTGGACTTTTTTCGGGTCGTCGAGGCACAACGGCACGAGCTCGCGGGTCGCTCGCGTGTCCTCCAGGGCATAGTGTCCAGGCTTGCTTCCTTAGATGGCGTATCCGAGGAGCTCTTAGTCAGAGTCTTCAGGCCCCAATATCCTCGCTGTCGGGGCCGAAGTGCTCGTTGATGGCGTTCATCAGAATACCCGGGTCCCTGTACCGGAGCGAACCGAACACGCATGGGCAAACCCGTACTTGCTGGGAGATATTGGCATAAATGACCGCGCACCCAATGTCATTCATTCTCATGAGATCTGGGTACAGATCGTCAGTTGAGACCAGCATGGTAAGATCGCCTTCCACGACTTCCCAGACCTGATGCATGCGAAGGTTGGTCTCCATTGCGAACAGCCAGGATGTGTAATCCTTCTTGCCAACGAGAGGGCGGGTTTTCATGTCAACAAGATGCTTGCTTTTGGTGGTGTCAAGAAATTCGAGGACGAACTTGCGGGTTTTCATGTCAACAAGATGCTTGCTTTTGGTGGTGTCAAGAAATTCGAGGACGAACTTGCGGGTTCGGTCCCGCGACTTGTCTTTCCACTCTGCAGAATACATGTTGTACTCGTCATCTTCATCGTCACTATCAATTTCGGAATCAGACTTGGCGGTTGGTGGTGCGGCGGGCAGAGCGGTGCCTCCATTGAATCATGCATGTAATTTGAGAGGAATCGAGTTATGCTGCGGAATACGATCTTGAATGGCGGTGGGAAATAACAGCGATGCAACACGGTGAAGTATTCTGCCGTCTGTGAAATTGGCTTTTCACTATCTTCTATGATTTCCGACGCAAGATACATACTATCAGGTGGTGAAGCATTCTGCTATCCATGTAATAGGCTTCTACGACCTTCTACGATGCCTGACGCACGATGCATGGAATAAGGTGAAGTATTCTACCATCTGTGCGATCGTGTTTTCACGATTCGCGGTCTATTTATGTCCAAACTTCGCCAGCGCACAAACCCTTAACGCAAAAGCCTTCTTTTATGTGCGCAATAAATAGGGGAAAACTTCCCACACTGAGGACGTTACATCCGCACATCGACAACCCACCATGAATAACGGACTTAGTATATTGGCCAAGAAATATAATACCCATATCATGCCATAACACGTGCATGGTGATATATCTCTCAGTAAGCGCGGCCATCACTCCTTATCAATTATGCTCTTTACAACCTTAACCTTTCTCTATCTTCTCTCTCTATAATGACTCCCAAGGGCCAGAATAAGTCTCGCGGACCAGTTAGGTATACTTGGCTCCACCACGGTCATCAACGAATAAAGTTAAGTGCGCGGTGATATGCTTCTCAGCAAGTGCGGCATCACTCATGGTCGCTCTAGGGCTCATCCTCTTTACACCCTCATCTTTTTTCCTATCTTCTCTCTCTCTCTCTCTCTCTCTCTCTACAATAACTCCCAAAAACCAGAAGAAGTCTCGTAGACCGGTATACTTAGCTCCACTATGGTCATCGACGGATAAAGTTAAGTGCGCGGCTATTTGAGAAAATTCCTTCTTCCAGAAAATACAGGAGTCTCCGTGTGTTTAAGTTTCGCTCCGATACCAGGAACCGGGAAAAGACCATCAAGGAGGAGTTTAGCGTGACGAATGACGGCAATGGTGGTCAGTGCCACTGATTCGAGACCTTGTGCCTTTTGAAAAGGTCATTCCAGAGCCGTGAAAGGTTGGTTACTGTCTTCGTTTCGTGGCGTATATGGTGTTTCAGTGCTAATCAGATTCGGATTTCAGTGTTTGTTTAGTTTTGTCGCTGATTATCTCTTAGGACAGATTTGAGATCTACGAATTGCACTATCTAAAGCGCGGGTTTTGGTGTCTATCGTATGCTTGATTTTGCTAAAGTGAAGAAATGCAAGGACGAGCTTACGGGCTCGGTCACGAGATTAGGTTTTCATTAATAGGACCCGACATATACTTGTCATCGTAATGCTTATCATCCTGCTTTCCATCTTCATCCTTCTCATTGTCAATTTTGACGTTTATACCGGAATCAGTGTCAGCAGTGAGCGAAATGTGGATGGATGCCTTGCATAATCTGCTAAAAGAGAGGGAATTCCTAGCTTAGCTCTTAAGCTTTTGTGTTCCTCGTTCTCTGATAAGAGAGATTAAATCGGTAAGCTAAAGCTTAAAAAACTTGTTGATAAGAACGACACTATCGTCGTCGATAACAAGTTTCTCCACTCCACTAATTCGCCGAGGGCGGCTTCAGCCCGCCGAGCTTCTTCAACCACGCGCAACTGGATGTGTTCACGCGTTGCTTCAGCTACTCTTAGAGGAACCATAGAAAGGTTTCCATCGCGAGGCACATTGTGTTCGCCAATTTCTTTATTCAAGCCACGGCTCTTTTCTCCGACCCCTTGAACTTCTCATGGAGCTGACCATCGTATATCAAGGCATGTTCGAGTACGTCCCCGAGTCCTAGAGGAACTGCAGCTGCACAAGGTTGTCCATAGTGGCTCCTCTACAGGCTTTCTTGATTTCAGTGTGAACCTTTACCAGCTCATCATTATCGTGACTTGACTCACTTCTCGCCGATGGCCAATGTCATGTTCGTAAACCTGTAGTGCTGTTGATACCTTGTGCTTTTCAGAGGTGATAAGCGATATCAAATACAGGAGAGTGTTATCTGGCCTTGGAGTTCAGGTCGCTATAATCCCTTGAATGTTCAAAACTCATGACTTTCGAACAGGCTGCTGGTCGCGTGCGGTTATAAGGTGTAGTATGCCCAAGGGCTAGGCCATTTGGATGAGATTTGCTCCGATCCTGATTCCCATCAAAGAATCCTTAGGTGGCTGTACCGTTCCTTGGCTATAGGTGGAAAGAGGTATAGCATTTGGACCTGAACTCGCACTCGTTGGAGCTGTGATATTGTTCTGCTTCTCTCGCATGCAATGGATATTGCAGAGCCGACCCCATCAATTCAACGGCCATTATGCTAAAGTAAATTAATGACAGTGAAAAGAATAATGAAAATCACTTTTCAATAATAATACTGGAAAACGGGATCAAAACAGGACAAACACGGGATTGTAAAGAAAGCGGGATCTATATCGATGCCTCACTTCACATTGTCTATACATCAACGCTCGAAACACCCACCTTTGACACACTCATATACAATTTGAATTTGACACTGAATTCCAAAGCCATGGCGAAGCCAAGCATGGGAAAGGTTCAGCGGGGGAAGAACTCTATTGATAGATATTTTACAAAAAAGGTTGGGACGAGTGTGACAAGCAAGGCTAATGATGGAATCATCCAGACCACGAATCCCTCTCGCGAGCCCATCGCGAATCAATCAGCGTCGAAGAGAAGACGACTGAATGATGATGGAAAGCTGGAGCCAACGGCATCTGGGGCCACAATGGTACTCAGCAGCTCAACAGATTACGAGGGGCCTGACACAGAAGATGATGGTCTGATTGCCCTGATGGTTAAGGACTGTGAAGAACGAGAAGGTGACTTCAATGTCCCTGGTGAAGAAGGTGACTTCAATGTCCCTGGTGAAGAAGGTGACTTCAATGTCCCTGGTGAAGAAGGTGACTTCAATGTCCCTGGTGAAGAAAGTGACTTCAATGTCCCTGGTGAAGAAGGTGACTTCAATGTCCCTGGTGAAGAAGAAGATGATGATGAAGGAGAAGGGACAAAGAAGAAGAAGAAGAAAATGACGAAAACTTCGATAAAGAAGACATTGAAAAAGGTGATGAGGAAGGCGTTGAAGAAACTTGTGAAGAAGAAAGAGGAACAGAAAGAAGAACAAGAAGAAGAACAGGAAGAAGAAGGCGATGAAGAAGAGTCTAAAGAAGAAGAAGACAATCTTGGAGGAGCGAAAGAAGAATCTGATGAAGATTTTGAAGGAGAAGAAGAAGACAACGATGAAGAGTTTGGAGGAGCAGAAGAAGAAGAAGAAGCAGAAGAAAAGAATGATGAAGAAGACGATGAGATAGACGATGAAGATGACGACGAAGAAGACGATGAAGGAGAGTTTGAAGGAGAGTTTGAAGGAGAGTTTGAAGGAGAAGAAGAAGAAGAAGAAGAAAATGATCAAGATCGTGATGGACAGAAAGTTCTTGATGAATTCGAAGAGCGTGATCTTAAGCTTCTGTCGGAATACCGACAAAGGACCAGACATATCAATATTGAATCGGTGTCTAAATCGCGCCTGGCGGTCGCACTGCGAATAGCTCTCGAAACTATGAACGAAGAAGCCAATCGTGCGACTCAAGAGACTCACATGATCAACCCGTTCAGAGATCGCCTGCGGAATGGGAAAGTTGAGCAGTTCTTTGATGATTATATGCGGGGGATTGATGCTTCGGTGTTTGCTTTATGGCAGAAGGATAATCTGACTGCCGAGGATTTCCTAAATGCAAACCTCCGCTGTGCAGGTGACGATAAAAGACAAGGGGTATATTTCGACGTTGTCACAAGTGAAAATGGGAAAGAATTGAAAGCTGGCTATGTCGGGTCAGCTATCATCATGCGAAAGCGGATCAAGTTTCATTTGGATACTGTCGACCGAATGAAGCGCGGGATATCACAATGGGCTCAAACCAAGGTGTATTATCAGAAGACACAAGAGAATGACGTCAAGTCTCACCACTTTGTCTTCGCTGCTTTCGAGGCACATCTTCCCATGGGTCACCTCGTTTTGCTGGAGGGCATTGCCACTATTCTGCTGAATACTCTTCTGGAGTGCAGAAGAAATGAGCAATACAATTCAAGGGAAGCTTGGGATATGGCGAAGAAGATTCGCGAGAAAGCAGGTCTTGCACAGCTACAATGGCAAGGCCTGAACAAAGCATTCCAGCTTCTGCAGGGCCACCGAAGGCGTCCGGTCACTGAAAGGGATAAGTGCGCCAACCCGGGTTGTACGGGAGAAGCAAAATCATTTGTGAGGCCAGAATGGAGAGAATTCTATCCAGGGGATTTCATCTGTGTGAACTGCTATCGATGGGTGACGAAGCGTCATAAAATGAGCGCAAGAAAGCTCCCAGATCCTGACTTTGTGCCAGTGAAAGATCGCGAATGCGATGCTTGCGGTGGAACGTATCTCGAAGTGGGGAACAAATGGTGCAAGATCCCGGTTGAGTGGAGGGAGAATTTTAAAGGCAAATACTTGTGTAGCAATTGCTTTGCTTGGTCAACGGACCGCAACGGAAAAAGAAATCCCGCCCCAACTGATCCAAAAGCCAGGCTCGCGAAAAAGAAGGCTCGCGAGGAGGATGAAGATGATGTGCCAACGAAAGATCGCAAATGCAGTTCTTGCGGCGGATCTCATGAAGAGGTGGGCAAACGTTGGCGCAGAATCCCACCAAAGTGGAAAGATATATTTAAAGGCACCTGGATGTGTCAAAGGTGTTTCCATTGGGCAGAGAGACACCCCGGACAAAAACACCCCCGTCCAAGATATCCAAGGACCAAGATCGTGAAGAAGGATGAGGAGGAGGATGGAGATGATGTGCCACCGAAAGATCGCGAATGCAGTTCTTGCGGCGGATCTCATGAAGAGGTGGGCAAACGTTGGCGCAAGGTCCCACTTGCGTGGAGAGTGAACTTTAAAGGCAAATGGATATGTGAAACTTGTTTTAACTGGTCAGAGCGCTACAATGGAAAAAGGAATCCCGCCCCAACAGATCCAAAAGCCAGGCTCACAACGAGGGAGGAGAATGAGCCAGTGAAAACGCGCAAATGCGCCAATTGCGGAGCTGGTGCCGAGAAGATTTCGTGTTGGCAAAAGATTCCAGCCGAGTGGAGAGAGAACTTTGGGAGCATGTTTCTCTGTCTCACTTGTTTCCGCCATGTGGATAAGAGTGATGGGAAAGTGGTTGATTTTGAGCGCCGTTTTTACCGAGTCCGTGCTCGCAAACCCCGTGTTCGCAAACGTTGATTTGCAGGTAGGTGAGCGTTTGCAAAGGAAGAGAGGGCCAGGGAAAGGCCAAGAGGGGCCAGGGAAAGGTCAAGAGGCCAGGGAAAGGTCAGGTAGGTGAACGTTTGCAAAGGAAGAGAGGGCCAGGGAAAGGCCAAGAGGGGCCAGGGAAAGGTCAAGAGGCCAGGGAAAGGTCAGGTAGGTGAACGTTTGCAAAGGAAGAGAGGGCCAGGGAAAGGTCAAGAGGCCAGGAAAAGGTCAGGTAGGTGAACGTTTGCAAAGGAAGAGAGGGCCAGGGAAAGGCCAAGAGGGGCCAGGGAAAGGCCAAGAGGGGCCAGGGAAAGGTCAAGAGGCCAGGAAAAGGTCAGGTAGGTGAACGTTTGCAAAGGAAGAGAGGGCCAGGGAAAGGCCAAGAGGGGCCAGGGAAAGGTCAAGAGGCCAGGAAAAGGTCATGTAGGTGAACGTTTGCAAAGGAAGAGAGGGCCAGGGAAAGGCCAAGAGGGACCAGGGAAAGGTCAAAAGGCCAAGGAAAATATCAGGTAGGTGAACCAAGCGACAATGCCTCCCTGGCGCTCCAGCGACAACGCCTTCACCCTGGGTGCTCCAGCAACAAAGCCTCCCTGGCGCTCCAGCGACAACGCCTTCACCCTGGGTGCTCCAGCGACAACGCCTCCCTGGCGCTCCAGCGACAACGCCTTCACCCTGGGTGCTCCAGCGACAACGCCTTCACCCTGGGCTCCCCAGCAACAATGCCTCCCTGGCGCTCCAGCGACAACGCCTTCACCCTGGGTGCTCCAGCGACAGTGCCTTCACCCTGGGCGCCCCAGCAACAATGCCTCCCTGGCGCTCCAGCGACAACGCCTTCACCCTGGGCGCCCCAGCGACAATGCCTCCCTGGCGCTCCAGTGACATTGCCTTCACCCTGGGCGCTCCAGCGACAATGCCTTCGCCCTGGGTGCTCCAGCGACAATGCCTTCGCCAGCGCTCCAGTGACATTGCCTTCACCCTGGGCGCTCCGACGGCAGTGCCCTCACAGCCGCGCCTACTCACGAGTCACCGCCGCTGTTTCATTGGGGCTAAAGCAAGGGAAGAAGGCCAAAGGCTAGGAAGAAGGTCAGGTCGGTGAACGCTCTCGAATATGCCCTTACAGCGACAATGCTATTTCACGGCGCGCCTAATCATGCACTACCGCCAATATCATCGATGGGAGAAACGCCTTCCGTGAGAATAGGCTTACGCGTGGCGCCGCTTGTCACTGCTGTTGTCAATCGGAGAACGCCCTCCCTGACAACCGGCCCACGAGTCACACTCATCGCACCACCGCTTTCATGAAGGGCAAGAAGGCCAGCGGCTAGGGAAGAAGGGCAGTGAAGAAGGTTGGGGAAGAGTCCCAGAGTTGAGCAAGGAGAGTAGGGTGTGAATGGCATCACAAAACGAAAGCGGTCAAGCGAGGATGACACGTGAGTCCGACGATATCTGTAGATTTCTTCAAGTACAAGTGACTGATTTCAAACTCGACAGGAGTCAAAATTTTCAACAACAAACTCCAATCATCTCCAAGCTTGACAGCCTGGATTCTATCTTAAAATTGCGCTATGAATTTGGCGAGATACTTTCCATGATCTCGTCCAAATGTGCAGTACATCGACGCCTGACCAACATACAAAATCCCGCATGCGACTACATACAAGCTGCGTAGAATCAAGGGCGACAGCGACCAGGCAAGAGTGCAGGTGAGCAGATTATGGGCCGATCTCCTAGGGCACAGATGACTAATCTCAAATCTGACCATCCAGGAGTCAGCAGCATCCTCTGATCGTATCCAAGGTTGATGACGTGGGTAATCCCGGTTGTCAATTACACCACAAATCTGGGAGCATCTCTTCTGCGTCGCTTCCAGTTGCACAATTTGACCTACGTCTGTTGAACATATCAAGTGAGTGTGCAATATTCCGCAGGATTGAGGGCGAGGCAGCTAACTGTACATTCGAAGCTCGCGTGAAGTCTCGCGATGCACGGCGCCTTCGATCTGGGGCGATGAGACGAGTTTCAGCATTCGAACCCCCAGCGAGTCTATCGTTTGGAATACCTGCACAGGTTTCACCTTTCCAATCCCACAGCAGCCGTTGGGGGGCTGTTGGGATGGTCCAGTGCAGCAACCTCAAATGCAAAGGAATCACTGTCGTTTCCAGTGCACTTCCAACAATCTCCACATTCAGCCTCTGCTGACTATTGAGATCGCGCTATCGCCTATTCATACGCTAGGCTTGAGAGGCGCTCAGAATGATATCATTTGAGGTCATATTGGGCTTTCCATTACGGATATACCCTTCTTGATGATCCAGTTGCACAGCCTCCATCTTCTCCATCTTCACCAACGGCTCATTAATATCCCACTCAGGTGCGATATTAATTGCTTCGATGTCGTTACTGATTCTCGCTACGATATTATTCCTAGGAGGCCTTTCTCCCCTTAATAACTTTCGAGGCTATCATTGGTGAAGCCATTGGCTGGGGCCCCCGTTTCGCTGCCCGTTGCAACTCACAGGCTATTGTGGAAGCTGTTGAAGCTGTTGTGACTACAAGGTTGGTGGCTATCATCAATGGGAGGGCATTCATATGAGTGTCTTGTCAGGTTGATGGATGCTGTCACTATCACTTCAAGGCCGTCGTCACTTCAAGTCCCGATCAATTCGACGCAGTTATCGCTACAAGGCTATGATCGAGGAGGGCGTTCTCTCCTTCACAACTTCGAGATTATCATCGCTGCGAAACCGTTGGCCACTGTCACTATTAGTCTGTTCATCGCGAGCCTGTTGCTGCCAGGCCAATGACAGCTATCTCACGAGACTCTTTTATCTGCGGGAGGGCGTTCTCCCATTGATAACATAGCTGCGAGGCCACTGTCATTACCAGCCTCTTCTCACGGCTATTGTCAATTTGAGGGCGTTGTCAAATCAATGCTGCTGCTTCAATCGGTACAAGGCTGACAACGCTGGGAGCCTGTTCTCTCTTCAATTTGAAGCTGTTGCTACCGCGAGGCTTTAGGCTGTTGCGGCGAGGCTGTTGTCACTTCAAAGCCATTTCCACTATGGGGCCGAGGCTGCTGGCTATTATTCCACGATTCTCATTTTCCCGGAATAGTGCTTCTCCCTTGGAAATGCTGCGGGGCTATTGGCCTCTGCCAAATGAAGACCGCTGTCACTTCAAGGCAGTTGTCCATTATCATTATGAGGTTGTTATCTCGGAGGGCACTCTTCCCCAAAACCTCGAGACTATCATCGCTACGAGGCCGCTGCCCGCCTTTCCGCCGGCAGTCGTCACTCAAGGTTCTTGTGAGAAGCTGTACCACATGGCTATTGGCTCTTATCATTGAGAGGGCGTTCTCTCTTTGACAAGAGCAGTGAGGCTGTTTGCAGTTGACTGTTGTCACTGCGAGTGGCTCGCTGTTTTTAAATTGTCCCCAACTGGCATCTATCCAAGCATATCAATTCATTTGCCAGCCCTTCAAAGAATTGGGGCTGCCTGCCGACTTTATTTTCAACACCTCTTGATGTACATCAGACAAACTGAAAACAAGTCACAAGTTGGTTTTCAGCCGCGGCTTAACCTCTTTGCTTTGGTCTACAACGTTGTTCCTCCTTGATCAGCATATGCCTCCGCCATATGCAGCTTCAACCAAAGGCTGTTCCATCTGCTTCCACATGATCTTCAAGCCGTACCAATATCACTTATATGGCTTTCTTCCTACCTCCTTGCCCCTGTTCTTCTCCTTCTTGTTATCTTTTCTGTACCTTACTCTACCTCTGACCGCTCCTACTCACGTCCACCTGAACCATTCAACACTTTGCCCTGACTCTCTTTGTTTTCCCAATCTCTCCATTTTTCCCCCTCCCCCTTCTCCGTCTGTCTCCGCCACATTGAACCTACTTCAACACCCTACAACCTACAAGATCTCCCTTTTCTCCCCTTCTCCGTCTCCCTGCAGCACGTCAACACCCGACAATCTCCAAGTGTTTCCATTTTTCTACTTCGCCCTTTTTCGTCTCCATCTACTACACTCAGCCAACTTCAACACTCAACCAACTTCAACACTCAACAATCTCCAAGCGATTCCTTTTTTCCTCTTCTCCTTCCTCTGTCTCCCTTCGCCACAATGAGCCGGCTTCAACACTCGACAACCTCCAAGCCATTCTTTTTATACTTCGCCCCTTCTCCGTCTCCCTTCTCCGTCTCCCTTCTCCGTCTCCCTTCTCCGTCTCCCTTCTCCGTCTCCCTTCTCCGTCTCCCTTCTCCGTCTCCCTACAGCACGTCGAACCGAATTCGACACCCGACAGTCTCCAAGTGTTTCCATTTTTCTACTTCGCCCTTTTTCGTCTCCATCCACTACACTCAACCAACTTCAACACTCGACAATCTCCAAGCGATTCCTTTACTCATCTTCTCCCTTCTCCGTCTCCTTCCACCTCTCCGTCTCCCTCCACCGCATCGAACCTTCAACACCTGGCCGTTTCGAAATATCTTCATCTTCTCTAATTACTTGCTTTCCTGTCTGTCTCTTGTCGCTAACGGCTCCCCAGTTACTAAAATCTTTGCTAATATCTGCCAGATTGCCACCAATTCCTCTCTTGTCTTTCCCATGCTGTCTGTTATACATTCTCCACTACCTTTACCGTCACCGCATGACCAAAGTCTCCGAGCTTTTCCTCAGAATAGCTCCAGTCTATCCATTATATTCACCCTCTCATCTCATCACCTTTTCACTTTAAGATGCATCTCGTCGATGTTGGCTTCGAGCAACTCATCCGCATCACCTTTTCATTTCGTCGTCCATTTCGACTCCTTCACTCGCTACAATTTCGACATCCATCTACTAGCAATACAGGCAGCTTTCATCGTTAACTACTAGCGACAGCCAGGCCCCGGCCTCCCGAATCGATTGCACATCAATACACAAAACCTAATCCTCTACCAGACACGCCACTGCTCTCCATGGCTGACTTCGGCCTGGCTCCAGAAGTGTCATGCTAATCGTCTACTTCTTCCAGTCGTCGATCTTTCGTGGAGTAAGGAATAATGTCTTGTTCATGGTGTCAGAGCTAACAATTCTACAGTCGGCTTGAGGGAGCCTTTATGCGATTCGAAAGGAAGCGCCGAATTGAGCCTGGGCGAGGCAATATCTTACACAAGTACCTGCAGTATGGAGGTATTAGTGTCGGCCCCAGCTTCGGGGGTGGCGTCGGTCCCCAGGACATGAAGATGATGGCTGGGATGGAGATTATGCATGCTCGGAACCCAGACCCTGATTGAGAAGGAGCGAGGAAGCCTGGATATTAGTTTCGACAAAGTGATTCGGAGCTTCTTGTGAGTCGCAAAGCTTGATATCCACGTACTAAACTAAGTAATCATCTACAGCAGCACTTATTACCTAAGATACTTCAATCCAGAAGCTGTTGAGGATATCGAACCCGCCACGGATACCATTCGGAATTTCCTCACATTCTTACTTTTCCATGACGCGTGTCCGGCATACAACGATGACGTCCTCCAGGCCCGCAAGATATGCATCATTGCAAATATGGAGCTATGGGAGGAATGGCAGCCATTTATTCGTGACCATCGTGGCTACCCCACAGATTTCATCATCAAGCCTGCCTCGCTTTCATCAAGAGATCAATTCCCCTTAAACAATTCAATGCCGAAATACCATCCAGCAAGTGTGCTTCTCCCGCATCGGATTGCAATCTTATGCAACAGCACGTCAGAAAGGAAGAACACAACAGAGAAATTGATACCACCAGAAGAGCTAAACGCCTTCCCCACTACAACTCAAGCGGAACCAAAGCAAAAGGCCATCATGGACTGCGAGATGGTATTGGTTTCCGGAGGCCGCCTGGAACTCGCCTTTCTGACAGCTCTCGACTTCCTGTCTGGTGAGCCACTCATCGATCACCACGTGTAGCGAGGAAGCGGAGTGAGGAGAAGTGATTGCTTGGAATACCTTGATTCAGCGGTGTGACTCGTCAAGCAATGACTGAGGCCATACGCACGGGCAAAGGACTTCGGCGGGAAAGAGAGGCTAGAGGTTGGTTCTGCAGCTTCGCCGACTCTGATACCATGCTCATCCGGCACACCCTCTACAACGATTTCAATATTCTACGCTTCATTTGCCTATGCATCGTCGACTTGTCACTTCCTACCTGCGACGCGGTGTGTCCAGACCACCCTGTCGGAAAGTCCGTCCCAAGAACCTGGGGCCTGAAGACCCTGACTAAAAAGCGCCTTGTATACGCCATCCAAGGAAGCAAGCTTGGACACTGTGCCCTGAAGGACACGCAGGCGACCCGAAAACTCGAATTTTGTTCCTCGAGAGCCCAAAAGAAGGTCCAGCATGGGGATCAAACCTCGGGAGCTGAAGGAGTGGCTCCGGGAAGAAAGGCGAGGTGATCAACGGCAAGAGCATCGTTCGCAAGATTGAGATCATGGGGACTACTAGCGACAAGCCCAAGACAAATGTCACTGCTGTGGATTGTGGTGAGCCCAAGGGTGGATTGGTTTGCACTTTATGAATGCGTCAATGCGAGAGATATTGTGAGCAAATCAGGTCACTTGGCTAGTAACAGGCGCGCTTACAGGAAATGGCTGATCCGAATTGCCGGTTTCTGAGACCTATAGATAGATCAAGTGGGATATGGATAGCGAGACTGCCGAGGCTATTGGTGTATACAGTGAAAAATGAGTGTGCTCCATTCAAGACTGATATTCCAGCCACTTCAGAACACGTACGATAGCCAGGTTCTTTTGACAGTAGTGAAATTCAAGCACAGAAGACTAGATGGCGAGGCTAATTGACTGCCTATCCTCAGAATTGAGATACTGTCAATTCCAGATCTACGACAGTGGTACCCATTGCATTGACTTTACACCACGCATAAACATAATACCTTGTCTAGTTGCCTTTGATTTGTGATGCCAATTTCATCATTTAGAGTCCTCGTGAGCTTACAATTAGAAATATGAGTGCGATTATTGATGTTCTTGGGCAGGTGCTTACAATCTGAGGAGCATGAAAATTCACCAAAACACACACCTTACAAGGTACTGGGCGTCTTACTGTGGAAGGAGCAAAGGAGCGAAAAATGGAAATCAAAATAAAGTGAGTTTTGAGAAACAGTTTTCTATTCATGCTTCATGTGATGTAATTGCCTGTCACCTTGGATGGGTTGAGGTTTGACATCCCTTTATTCCAGCAACCTCCAGGAGGCCTCGTTTCTCCGCCGTTCCACCCGGCACAGCCCCAGATTCCGACATCGATATCGACGATGATGAAGGAGTAGACGTGTATGCGTACACAATGGAGTTCACTGAGTGGAAAGCTAAGTCCTGAGATTCAAGAAAGTTCAAACTTCGACCCTCGATCCCAGACTCAATCAAAGCAAGCACCTCATTGATACACATATTCGCTGTTCGACCGGTCAAAGGGTAGATGGCCGTCCTAAACCTCATACTCCCAATACCTCCCACAAACACGATCCAGTCCAAGCAATTCTCTCCAGTGCTGAAGGGGAATATACTCACCTCAACAATGAAGTGATTGGTTCCTCCCGCGGCGATGCGAAGCTTAGTCGTCAGGCTGAGCAGGTCAACAATGACCCGGGTGCTGATTTCCAAGTCTTCGAGGGATCATCACAAATGCAACCAGATGACGACCAAACACGAACACCCCGTCCCCGCCAGCCGGATCATTCGCCGTTTCGGTTCAAATATCATCCACCTGAAGGTGTCAAGCGTTGTCAATTCTGCAGTATGGCACAACGGTTGGGATTTGCTGATGCGACTGAGTTTGCGCTTGTTGTTGAAAGCATGACACCAGCTGAACGAAGAGCGTGTCTTGATCGGTGGTACTCGGAACGACGGGATGTTCTACTGTCCAAGGATGAGAAGACCAAGACCGAGAAGATTAAGGATGAACACATTAAAAATGAACAGATCAAAGGTGAGGATATCAAGGACGAAATGGTCAAGGATGAAAACATCAAAGTCGAACGGATTAAGAGCGAGATCAAAGATGAAATCCACGATCATGAGTCAAGCTCATAGAAAATTTGCTTCTTGCTGCGTGATCCTTGGCTGATTTTCATTGCAGTACAATACGACTTTGTCAGGCCTGGTAACGCCGGCATTGGGTCTCCATAGCGAAGAGCGAGGAAATACAGTCCTTTTTGCTATGCAAGCGGCGGGTTTCCATATCAATGACATCCTTCATCCTCTTGAAGTTCAGGAATGCCCGAACAAGCTTCTAGATTTAATTTTGGGAATGAATTTTTGCTCTGGCAAATTCTGCGAGCATTACCACCATCGTAAGTCAATTTTTGACGTCATGTAGGTCGGTTTCGATAGGGAATTCAAGACTAAAAGTCAGTGGAACAGCTAAGATAGAGTTGCCCTGATTACTTTAGAAGAGGCCTCCGAGCTAAGCCGAAATCCTCCTCTAGGATACGCTTGGCAGTGTAGGGCCTGGGAATTTTGATGTTTTATTTTTGTCGTAGCTAAAAGAAGCTTTCTTCTTTGTGGCACTGGTAAAGGCTGAGGGGTCAGCCAGATGAGAAGAAATACCAAGAATAGAGCCCGTGCTCATGAATGACCTCTCGATCTTATAAGGAGGGACCTTTCTAACCGCATCCATTAGGGGGGGGGGGTTGGCGGTCTGTCTTTCCGATTGGGTTATCAATCTTCTGGTGGCCCTTGCAAGCCAATGTAAAGGGATTATTCAACTATTGCTTGTGACTATAAAGCCGACGATAACGCAGAACCAAGAGAGAAATAAAAACATGGAGGGATATAGATCATCCATCCAGGCTACCATTATAAGCTCACTCTCTACAACTCTGTAGACCTTGTGGTTCAAAGTTGAGTCCCCATGGCAACTAGACAGGGGAGGTAATTTCCATGCGGGTGAGACGGCGACCTTTATATGAACGAGGTATTGTATTTGATCGAGTCAAGAAAGTCGCGAACGAATTCCTGGGTTCGACCTCGTTGCTTAGCTCTTATCCAGGATACTCTTCATTGTCAACATCACCCTACCACTCACAATCTTCAAGATATGCTCATTCGTCACCACCCTCTACTTAACCCTTTGTTTAACCCTCGTCAAACCAGAAGTCTAAATCGGTGGGTGAAACAGCGGCAAGAGAGATGCCTCCCGAGGTTTCCGAGCCAAGTCTGTTTACCTGCTTAGGAGAAGCTTAGAAGATTTTCCTGAATGCGAAGCACTTCTTGTGAAGGCATTGGCACCTCCTATCTATATAGAACCAGTCATAACTTTGATGCCGCGCCATAACTGTTGAAGTTCATGGAAAGCCCGCTTCGCAGCGATCTACCACCGTCACACAGGAGTCGCAAGAGGACTATCGCCAAACGCGGGTATTTCCATATCAACCAGAGTCCCAATTCTAGTATGATCTTTTCACCAGAACCTAACTGGGCTTGGACCGAGAGCGTTTGTCTAATTCCGAGAAGCAGTGTGAATCCAGACCGTGTGATCCAGTTTCAAAGAGAACAGAATGTTACCTACGTTCGCCGAGTTGCTGACTTCTATCACTGGTTGAAAGCATACCCGGCCCAGGCTATGAGCCAGGTTGTATCGTAGTCAACTTGAATAGCTTCGAAAAGGCATTTTACAGATGTTGGCTTGCTCCTAGTGTAAAGAATGCACACCAAAAAGATTATGAAGAGCTTATATCATTCTACGTATGTGCTACGTTCGTATTGCATTAGAGTTACGAACATGATACCATATAGATGATCATTTTTCCCGAAACCTGCCTTCGTCATCATGGAAAAAACTCAACATTCCATTTTTTAGTGACCAGTGACATCGGATATTTGATATAGTTTCTTCAAATCGATACTCGCGACGAGCCTATTCAAATGGCAAAAAACCAAATCCTGCCCACATTTGCCAGGGCTACAGCGTACTGAATTGATGGTTTGAGAAGGTGCCAGACATGAGCCAGGATATGTCGCGGTCCATCCATGGATACTGGGAAAGCTTTTGCGTGTAAGATGAGTCGCAGGGAGGCGTGTACAGCCACCGAAAATACTAGTACATCTCTAAGTATGCCATGATTTTGAGCTTTAGTGTAGAGTTTTTGAACGCTTTGCCGTTCGTTGCAGACAACATCACATGGCTAAGGCCCCTCTTTCCAATTCCTGTAGTAGGTTGGTTGCCTCATCGAAATTCACGATATAAGCAGATACAAAATCATAGGTGCCCCTGCCTACGCAAAGCTGACTTGGCACAACGTCTCTAAATCGTATATGGACTAGAAGTCAAAGGTGACGTATAATAAGGCAAGTAACCCAGTCCAACTCCTGCATGGAAATTTCTTGCATCAACGTGAAGGAGAAGAAATTGCTAAGTACTCTTCCAGCCTCGAACCTCAGTGCATCCATAACAGGCTACTTCACTAAACTTGCTAATTATTGGTCAAGGCTCGAGGCTATCGTGGACAATTTAATATCGCTGTATTAACCAAAGACCACCCTTCTATCGTATTAGTTGCTCATTCCGCACACCAGAATGGGGTAAATAAAAAGAGATGATAGGAAAATCGATTCCACCAGGAGGATTAAAATATTCTCACACAAAGCGATTAGCCACGGTTATCGACTACGTTTTAAGTTGCAGTAACAGCTTAACACTCGTATGCGAGAGAAAGTGGAAGCAATATAATATGGTACGTAGTGTAATATTAGGTAGCGACGAGGAGAAGAAGAAGATCTACGAGAGGTGAAGCCTAAGTGGTGGGATAGAAGGCACTAGTCCCAAAGGGGACATCAACAACTCGCCTTCCTTAGCACGTCCGACTTCCTCACTCGTGAGATTCTTATTGATCACTACGTGTAGCCAAGAGTAAAAGTGGTCAACTGGAACATGCGCTTGAGTGAAGTGATTTCATTATAAAGAGAATAGGAATCAATTACGTATCTCCGCCGGCTATCACTCATTGCTCATCGGGCCCGCCCTTTACAACTATCTAAACGTTCTGCGCTTCACTCGCCTACCTTATACGATTCATCAATCCTCACCTATGATGCGGTATTTCAAAACAGCCCTGGTGAGACGCTTGTTCCGTATCTCTAGGCAATAAATGTCCTTGTTCAAGTAGCGTGATCAGAGACAAGATGATTCTGAACGTTATCACGGCTCCACTCGTAACGTACCCAGAGTAGCATCTTCTCTCGATCATCAAGCAGACCTTGATAATATAGACACCCTATATAAACTAGGCACTAGAGGATCTGCTAAGCGTCTTTGTACCGTAAATCTATCCTCAACCTTGATCCTAAGGTTTTGATTGAGCAATAGAAATAGAGTATAATGATTTACACACACACACACACACACACACACACACACACACACACACACGCAAACACACAAAGAAAAAAACGAACAAACCAGTTCCGATTACACCACCTATAGCAATCATCTGGCTGTATAACAGTGAGCAGTCTGCAGTAGATTAAGTTTTTCAAATCGAGGATCTCACAGGTGGCGTGGCTGGGAAGCATTAGCGACGAAGAAAGTCAGCTTCAAGGGTAAAGTTGAGACGTACCTTCAGTTTTCGCTGAAGCCCATGGTTGCTGCTAGTGTTTTCAATAGCTCCCACTGCAATGGGTACTTCATTAGCATCATAAGCCAGGTCTTTTTTTTTCTTCCGACATTGCTTAATTGCGTGGTTGACAAAGTTGGTTTTTTGGAGAGGAACATAGAAGACTATAAGACTTACGGCATATCTAAGCCTTCCGCCAATTATCAAGATAAGGATAAGAGTCGGCGAGATCCCGCGTTCTTATCTGTCGGCTCGAGCGGGCATCGATCCGATCCTATCGAAAAGTAAAACGAATGATTCTGGCTTTGAAAAAGACAAAAGGAAAACTTTTATTCCACCTTCGTATCTTTCCAAGGGTGTTACTGACTCACAGCTCAATATGGCAACCTCTTATCGCAGACCTCTCCGACCCGGGGTCTATGTGCCATTGCCCACGTTCTTCGATGATTCCCAAGATCTTGACTATGAGACTTACGCCAAGCATTTACTCAGTATGTCTCAGTTCTAATCAAGGTTTGTTTAATAAATTGATGCTTACTTCCACAGATATGACCACTAAGGGAATGGGTAAGTTACTTCATGATGTTGAAAAGGCTGGTAGCTCATATGATTTATCCAGTCCCAGTATGTGCTGGTTCCCTAGGCGAGGCAGTTCATTTGGTAAGACAAAAAATTGTCCAAAGTATGTTGCACATAATTGATATTGTATAGAGCTTCGAGGAAAGGACCGATCTCATTCGGTTCATCAGAGCAACATTGGACAAAGCAGGTCTTCAATCAACTCCCATTGTGGCTGGAGTGGGAGGACTCAGCACACGGGAAACTATCCTCCTTGCAAAATCAGCGGCAGAAGCGGGCGCGTAAGTGAGAAGTGTATTCTTTGTCTGGTGGTTATGCTAATAATCACAAGGGATGCTGGCATGGTGATTCTTCCTGCCTATTATGCTGCGAGTCTGAACACAGACCCGGAACAAGTCATCCAATACTACGTCGATATTTGTGCTGCATCGCCGGTGAGTCTCGAGGTCAATATGGCTATCAGCTGGCGTTCAAAGATGCTAATCTTGATAAAGATTCCCTTACTTCTGTACAACTTTCCCGCAAATGCAGGCGGTCAGGATATGTCCTCGGATATAATCAACTCAGTGATAAGGAAAGCAAATAATCTCTGCGGTGTAAAATTGACGTGAGTGCTCCACAGGCTGAACAGTGCAGATCTGAAACGCTGAATTGATTTCCAACTAGGTGCGGCGGTAGCATTGGCAAGCTTATCCGTCTCAATGCTGCAGTATCTGAAGATTCAACCATCAACGGCAGTAGAAAATTCCCCTTTCTTCTACTCGACGGTCTGATCGCTGATCTTACCCCGTGGATGAAATGTGGTGGTCATGGAACTGTGAGCGGTATACCGAATTTTGCGCCACATGCTTCTATGAAGCTCTGGCATTTGCTGAACATATCATCGCCGTCGAACGATGAGGTAAAGGAAGCTGCAAGAATTCAAGCTATTCTATCTAGGGCTGATGCAGCCGCTGTCCCGGGTGGTATTCGTGCGATGAGTGAGTCTCTTATTGAATTAAAACAAAAGAACAAGATTTGCTAATCATGAGTAGAATACGCTTTGAATAAAATACATGGCTATGGAGTGGCTCCACGAAAGCCTCTTCTTCCATTGAAGGAACCTGATGGGGAAGCATTTATGGCAGCCCTTGATGAGATGATTCAACTAGAGAGCTATATTCAGCAGGAAACGACCGAGAATAAGTGAGCTTACGTTTTGCTGGGATTGAGGGCAGACCCCAAGGCAGGCAATAGCGATAAGCCTTGTGTGATTGAAATTAGGACTAAGATATTTACCTTCAAACCTTGGAAGACACATAGCAATTTATTGTTCCATTTTGATAGTTGCAGTCACTTGCCACTGGAATAAGACTTCAGGGACAATTTGTTTGGCCATGGTCTCGGCGGAATGTGCTCTCGGGGATATATATATAGAGAGAGATAGCAACATCACAATTATTGAGCCCGGATGCTTCCAATAATGGGGTTCAAATCATATTTTCCTTGTTAATAAGTGCTACACCAAGGCATTAATGCGGGCGGAAGGAAGACGATGGTGGTGAAGGCGGGATCAGTGAAGTGGGGCAGAATCGGGTCAGATTAACCAATCAAGGTTTTTGAAGCTTTTGATCGCTATGGCACGCCGTACCAGTTGGGGGCGGAGGAGTCACAACATGCGAAAGCGCAATCTCATCATCAGTTCTCTCTTCTTACCACGACAAAATGAAAGAGCAACTACAGATTGCGGGAAGCCCAAAGAGGCGCTGGATTTCCTCCGCTTGCATCTCTTCTGTCTTTTGTTTCATCCTCTTCATCAATTATTCCTCCACATGGCACATCGGGAGGCTCTTCCCACCAGGAAAGGACTGCTCTTCGGTTCTCAAACCTGCACCAACTGGAGCCAAGTTCGAATCTGGTTTTGACATGATGAAGAGCTGGGGACAACTGTCTCCTTACAAAGATGCCGACTGGGGCGTTCCTAATGGTGTTCCTAAAGGAGGACGGAGCGAGCTATCTCAGGTCCATGTTTTGCATCGCCATGCTCAACGAAATCCAGTTAACATGCCCATGGATGGTCAAAACATTCAATCGTTTTCTGCCAAGCTCAATGGGACCATCAGTGCCACTGGCCCACTGGAGTTTCTCAACGGATGGCAGTATATCCTTGGTTCAGGCGCAGAAGAATTGACAGCGTCAGGCGCTTCCACGGAAGCTACCGCGGGATCCCGCTTTTGGCTTCAGTATGGGAGACTTTTGTACCGTGCTACTCCTGAAGACCTGGTTGCATGGAATCGATCTTTGAATGTCTACCCCAATGGTACGGTCCGTCCGCAGCCCTTGTTCCGGACAACCGACCAGTCACGCATTTTAGAGAGTGCGCGTTGGTGGCTCAGTGGATTCTTTGGCGATAGAGGCGGTCATGGTTCCTATGACCAATATGACCTGCTTGTCATTCCTGAGAAGCTTTTGTTCAATAACACACTCGCGTCCTACTACTCATGTCCAGGCTCACCAGACTCTCAATGGCCTGGAGACGAAATTGCCAAGCCCTTCATTGAGCGGTATACCAAGGACGCTCGCTCTCGTCTGGCGTCTTACTTGCCTCCAGATTTTAACCTTACTGCTTCCGACGTACTCGCTATGCAAACGCTTTGTGCTTACGAGTCAGCAAGTCTGGCTGGCTCGAACTTCTGCTCCCTTTTCACTGAACAGGAGTGGAAAGACTTTGCCTACAATCTAGACCTCCAATTTTATGGAAATTGGGGCATTGCTTCACCCGTAGGCCGTGCCCGCGGCATTGGTTACGTCCTGGAACTTGCCGCTCGCCTACAGGGGAAGCTTATTCCTTCCAGTGATACCAGCATCAACTCCACTTACGATAATAACACCGACACATTCCCCCTGGGGCAACCCTTCTATGTGGACATGTCTCACGACTCTATTATTATATCAGTGATGACCGCTTTGAACCTTGACTATTTCAAGTATCCGAGCTTGACAGGATTGCCTAATGATGTTGATCACGCTCCAGACCGAACATTCAGAATCAGTGATGCCACGCCTTTTGGTGCTCACTTCACTACCGAAGTCTGGACCTGCCCGGGTGATGTTACCTTCGACTCATTGGATCCTGTCCTCTACTCAAACCCTATTTCCGAAACGACAGAGGGCACCACCAAGTATATTCGTTTCATGCTCAATAACTCACCATTGCCCCTTTCTGGTGTACTGGGGTGCGAAGATTCCACAAATGGCTTCTGCGCACTTGATAAGTTCTTGTCCGGCATCCCTGAGCTTGTCAACAGGGCGAATTATCGGGAGGCCTGCTATGGGTACTATCTCAACCACACTGACGCCCGTATTGATGCCCCCACCTATTAGGCGTCGTCACATTCAGAAAAGTTGCATAAGCTGGTTGCGTTTCGGCTATTTCGGGGTTTTCGGGATCAGCAAATTTAGGATTTCGTCTCATTATGTGCAACAATTTCCATGTATCCACACACAAATTCAACAAATTACTATGTATAATTGGGCTTGACTCCACGTAATACTACTGAGCAATAGCAAAGATCAAAGAGATGTAGCTGCGGTATGGCAGACGATATCGGAAGCGCGGATTCGCTAGTCTATAGATACGTACGCTATCACAAGGTCGGTATATCAATGTAGCTGAGACTACTGGTATCTTGTTGCTAGTAGCGGATCAGTAACAGCCGAGCCGCGACCCCTAAGCCAAACGTCAACAATTTTAGAAGCCCCTGGATCACGATCAGAATCCACAACAAAGTAGAACCCGTAAAAAGCACCAGCGACACACGCATGGTTGGTAAATATCTTGACGATATCCCCTACCTTCAAAGGTACACTTTTCTGACTCCCGGACTCCCAACCAACAACTCCATGCTCCTGACTGATCCGATCAATAATCAGTCTCGAACCCTCGACCTCCTGATCAAGTCCCCAAGAGGACAGCACGCCCCATCCAGAGTAACTAGCACAAGGCTCCCTGGCCAATGCTAAAGTGCCAGCCGCAAGAAGCGCCTCGGGCTTCTCTCTCTCTCCATCATTATAAACACTACACACCTCCGCAACAATCGAAAGTGCAATCTCGTCTTCAAGTTTCCCCGCCCCGTCTCGTGCATGCGTAGTTATCTGTTGAAGGTCCAATAGAGGATATACTCCAGCATGCAGCTCAATTGTCACATTCGCATCCGACGGGTGCAGCAAAGCCTTCAACTCCTCCGCCTCAGCAGAGGAAGAAGATAAAGCCCCAGCTCCAGGAACAAGGTTGTGTGAAGAGACAACTTGGGGCGTAGCCCCGACACTAATCACCAATTCTCTACCCTGAGGAAGGAGATCTCTCCACTGGTCCAACGCATCCTTACATCCCCGGATTTCAGTACTCAAGTACCCCATGGCCTCTGCCGCTGTTTTCGCGCCATAACTCAAGCTGCTGTGCGAGTAAAGGCCCAAAAGAAAGACGTACCCCACCTTCTCTGCATCGGCGAGTTTCTCCAATAACCCGTTCCTGTTGAGCCAAGAGGGAGGGATGCCAGCACGATGATAACCCGTATCGACCTTTACGAAGACACAAACGGGGAAGCCTGTGACCTCAAAGAACTTTTTCAGGAAGGAAATTTGGTCTGGGTGGTCAATCATCACGGAGATACTGCCTTCGCCTAGCTGTGAGGCTAGCTCTGCGAGACGGCTGACACTTGATGGGACCAGCGGGATCCCGTAAAGTACGTTGATCTGCTGAGATTTCTTCAATTCCTGAAGGAGGGGAAACAACGTTTCAAGCTCGAGGAGTGTTGATACAATGAACTTCGCAGAAGGCTGTGTCTTATCCACTTGCATTTCGGAGAGTTCGATTGTCTGTTTCGGTCAGCAATGTTCCGGTATACATTTGTTCGGGTCATTCATAACTACCTTGTGCGTTTTGACATGGGCTCGGAATGCAACGCCTAGCTCCTTCACTGTGTTCTTCATTCGCTCACAGTGTCTGCGAATGATGGCTACATCTAGCACAGCGCATGGTCTTGCTGTATCGGCCAAGTCTTTGCCAACGTAGAACTTTACCAAGTCCTCTTTTGTGGGATAAGTGGTAGCCATAGCGGCGATTGAAGATGTACGGGCTTTATTATTTGTTATGAGGGAGTGAGAAACGGCGAATTGCAGCCTTTATTATCCTCCGCGGGGTGACTCCCCGCTCACTCGATGGGGTATGTGGGGCGAAGTTTGCCGACGCAAAGATTGGCCCTTTCGGCAACTGATAGGGTTCTGATACTTGTTATCCTGCTAGGTAGCTCGTGTGGTGATCTGCAACTATTCGGCTGCTTTATTATTGGAGGCATTGACGTTGTCACAAGGTTCATGTCATCAAATAGTATAAAGCGCATGAGAAAGGGCGAAATAGCAAAGCGCGGATAACTCAAGCTTGGGGCGGACGCGGTCCGCCGGCGGCTACTGCAGGCGAATAGCTCCATACCATATACTCAACGTCCAGGTCAGTAGGCTCAGACGTGTACTGACATCGATATTGTACCCTTATTTAGAGGGAACCTTGTTCTTACATCACTTCTTGTATCTTCCAACATTTTCCTCTCCACCTTATTTCCTGACTCATCATCCCCACACACAGGTTCTCTGAGAAGCATCATCATACCCCATAATCTACTAGATAGGCATCAAGTACGCGGCTACATCAGCTATGGGCCAGGACCCAAGGGTGGAGAATCCAACCTTATACTCCATCATCATCTACTTTTTCTCTTTAGGCATCTTGAATCTGATACCAGCGTCAAGAATGGTGTACGTGGGTGGAAAAGGATTGACACGTATAAAAAGATGTCAAAAAAGACGAAAGTTGCAAATGATGAAAGCCCAAAAACATGGAAGGATGGTTCTTGCTCCAAATAAGGTTGCCCATACACTGAGAGGGTGAACTTATTAAAACCGGGGGAATCTAGTAACTCCCGAAAATAGAAGCCGTGTAGTGCGGCTTAAAATCCGGTGTACGATTCTCAGTATTGAACCACTGGCTTATTTGATCCAGGAATAGAGTAAATGGTCTAGCAAGTGGGAAATTATGATTGATTTCAACTCGTATAATATTAAATATCAAAGGATAAAGGTATACTGAATTGGGGCAGAGGGTGGATCTTTCCACAATCCGGCATCTCGGTTATCCAGAGGAGAGTTGCGAAGAACTTTCTTGCCTACATTGGAAATTTGAAACTGCCGATACCCCATTCCATTTCAAGGGTAGTGCCGTTTACCCGCGAACATCCGTCCTTAGCGATAAAGTGGGGAGTCCGGAGTGTGTTACCACACCACTTGGTCTTGAACATTTCAAGCTATACCGAAAGGGAACTTTCTTCTCATAGTTTAATTCCATATTCTATAATTCTGGCCCAAGTTAAGCGCGATGGAGGGTTTCTTGGCGATTACTGTGGCCCGGGTCGGTCGGTAAAGTCATCCCGCGATGACGCCCTTGATAACGTAGTTGAAAATTATAACCCCAGCTACTATCAACAGACCTTCTAGCGTATTCAATCTTCTAGGTATATTTAGGAAGCTGTCCAGTGCGATCCACCGATTTTTATTTACACTACGCCTTCTCCCTGTGCACGAACCCACTTACCTCTTTGTACATATTTATGGAGCATCCCTCCTCTCTTCGCGAGTCACATACCTCTGACACCAGTGGATATGATGACCTGACTGCCTTTGTCACAGGACAAGATCACTATGCAGATGACGAAGATGATTTGGAGACAGAAACCATCACTCGAAGGCCGACCACTCTCCACGATGTCGAGCTCGAGCGTATCAATACCTATCGGCTTCAGCAAAAGTCAACCGTTGGGTCTGGAGTCGGCATAGTTCCTCGCGAGCAATGGCTTCCAATGGGAGCTGGAAAGCCCTTCCCCCCTGAGCTACCGGACCCAGAGCAATTCGTCGTGGAATTTACAGGCATCGACGATCCTCTTCACCCGCAGAATTGGACAATGGGGAAGAAGGTCCTAATTTCGGCGGTTCTTGCATACACAACATTCGTCTCCTCATTCTCTAGTGCTATCTATTCATCTGCCGTCAGTGAAGTTGGACCGAGGTTCCACATTAGCACTGAGGTTGCGGTGCTCGGAGTCACGCTATATGTACTCGGCTTCGCTAGTGGGCCTACGGTTTGGGCCCCGGCTAGTGAATTGATTGGAAGAAGATGGCCCATCACTGTGGGCATTTTTGGATTTTCGATATTCACGATTGGAACTGCAACAAGCAAGGACGTGCAGACTCTTATGTTGACTCGATTCTTTGCGGGTTTCTTCAGCGCAAGCCCAATCGCCATTGTGCCTGCAGCTTATGCTGACATGTACAACAACCAGATGCGAGGAGTAGCCATCAGCATATTTGCCATGGCTGTCTTTGTGGGTCCATTTGCATCTCCTTTTATTGGAGGTTTTATAACCATGTCATACCTTGGCTGGCGATGGACGATGTATATTGCCAGCATCATGGGGTTCCTGGCCACTGGCCTATGTCTGCTCTTTATGAAGGAAACCTATGCACCTGCTGTTCTCGTGGAGAAAGCCGTTACGCTTCGCAGACAGACGCATAACTGGGGCATCAGAGCACGTCAGGAGCAAGTTGAATTGAACTTTGACGAACTTATTCGGGTCAACTTCAGTCGACCCTTTCGAATGCTATTTACCGAACCGATTGTATTTTTGGTGAGTCAAAGTATCCGAAGCAACCGAGAGCGATCTAGCTGACACATGTTAGATATCCCTTTGGATGAGCTTTGTCTACGGCTTGATGTACGCTCTTCTTGGTGCCTACCCTGTCGTCTTTCAAGAAATACACGGGATGAACCTTGGCGTTGGCAGCCTTCCCTTCATCGGCCTGATCATCGGGGAGTTCCTTGCTGGAGCATATATCTTGTATGATCAAAAGTCATACGCCAAGAAGCTGGCCGCGAATAACAATGTCCCCATTCCCGAATGGCGTCTTCCACCATCTATCCTCGGAGGAATTTGCTTCACAGTGGGTCTCTTCTGGTTTGGATGGACTGGGTGGACGCAGTCTATCCATTGGATGGCTCCAACAGCAAGTGGCGTGGTCACTGGCTTCGGAATCTATGTGATATTCCTGCAGTGTTTCAACTACTTGATTGACTCATATTTAAATTTGTAAGTCAGTCTGAGAATGGGTCGCATTTCGATACTGACTATTCAAATAGCGCAGCATCCGTGTTTGCTGCAAACACAATCATCAGGTCCTCAGTGGGCGCGGCCTTTCCTCTTTTTTCCAAGCAGACTTTTGTAAATTTGGGCGTGCAGTGGGCCGGTACTCTCCTTGGATGCCTTGCTCTCATCATGGTTCCCATCCCTTTGTTGTTCATGAAGTGGGGGCCTGCATTGCGAAAGAAGTCAAAATTTGCGCCGACTCCTGTGGTGAATGATGAAAAAGATGAACGTGGCAGTGTATAAAGCTCTTAGCTGTATTGGGTTACACTCGTTTGAGTGTTTCCGTGGCACGAGTTATGTAAGCTTGAATCTAATGCATAACGTAATTCCCTAGCGAGCGGGACACCCGGGCGAGCGGGACACCCCATCAAATTATGGTAATTCAAATCCACGTATATTAACCAGAACAACGTAATATTTCATATACAAGCTATTTAACTAAATTTGAACAATGTGTGATCTTATGCCCCCGAATTCCACAATTCGAACACTTTGGTGGAGCTCGCTGGCGTGGTTCTTGTGCTTGAGATTGACCGGTTGATGGAGGTTGAATTAGTGCTTCTGGAGCTTCTGAAGCACGCCGAGCTAGCTCTCGAAGCTCTAACGCAGATATAGCCTCTGTACGAGCTATCTGACGCTTGGATCTTGCTTGTTTCTGCTTGATTCTTGTATTCGCAGCACGTAAAACCTCATTTTCTCGTGTAAGAAAAGCGGTATTTTGCATAGTAATTTAACACGCTTTAAGTACCTGATCTATTGTAGAATTCACTAGGCTTAGTGGACTTCTAGAGCGTTGTTTTAAGAGCTTTTTGATAGAAGAAGCTTACTTTTGAAGCTGCGCGTAATTTGATGGTGTCTTTGGCTCCCACGCGCTACTTTGACTGCCTCTTAAAGGGGGGGGTGTAGGTGTAGAAAGTCGAATATTTAGCTTCGAAATCATATAATTTAGATTATATAGAACTAATCTAGTTACCGCGAAGCTATTTCTGATCGTCTCTGGTTTAAAAGCTTCGATTTAAGCGCTTAGAAAGATATTAAGAAAGTTAAGCTTATTAATATGATTTTGTCGAGCTCGTATTAGATCTTTAACCTTTTCCCTATACGCGCGTTTTAATATGGTAAAATAACCTATATTAAGAGGTTATAAAAGATATAAAGAGTGTGGCGGTATATAAATTAGAATTACGTCGTTTTATAAGCAAATTTCGTTAAATTTTAGAGTTAAATGGCTTCTATAACCGTTAAGGACGAGAAGTCGAAATTTCCCTTTTATTCTTAAGAAAGTTAATAGAAGAAAGACTTTTTAAAGCTATTTAATGCCAATTTCGTCTAAGGTCCATCTATTCTTACTTTTTTAAAGAAACTAAGTATCTAGAATTAGATTAGCCTAGCTTATGACGAAGACTTTGCCCTTAAAGATCACTATTAGAGGAAGACTAAATCTAGACGCGCTAGTGGACTTGATCGCGGTAACCTACTCACGATTTCTAGGTTGCAAAAGTAGGTAGCGCCGACCACCTATATCCGCTCTCGTTATAACCTTTATAGTCGTAGTTAAGCCTATCGCGAAGCCTATCTTATTAAAGTTGTATATATCATCTTCGTGGATCCCGTTCTTGGATATTGTCTTCTAAACTAGATTAAACCATTCTTAAATGATTTTTGGATCCTCGCACTTAGCGCGTTCGTAATTATAACGTCTCGAGAATCGTGAATTAATTCCTAGGTGTCGTTCCACGAGTCGTGGAACCCAGTTTTTACCAACGGTCTGAATCGGGGTCGTTCCACGTATTGCGAGTAAAAGATTGGCCATTTCACGCATATGCTTAGGTCGAGGCGCCGCTCCACGTATATCTATAGAGATTATCCATTTCACTAACGAATCCTCCTCGATTGTGGTCAATTTGAAGCAATTTGCGCGTAAATCGACGCGATTTTCACGTCCATGGAGACGCGCATGGAGCGTTGAACGTGGTATATTGTATATATCTGCTGCCTTGCGAATTGACAATTTTCCTTGCTTTTTGATAGCTTGTATAGCAAGCAAGATACGTCCTTCTTGTTCTGTCAAATTTTGACGATTTTGAGAGCGAATTGGTGGCATGGTGGCTGGTTGAAGAAGAACGGACTAATTAATTAACGCGTTTTGGTTGGGGTGTCCCGCTCGCCCGGGTGTCCCGCTCGCTAGGGAATTACGTTATTAACATATCGAATCACATGACCGGTTACAAAGCACAACAATCGGCACAGCCAAGATCGGAAGGTCCAAAGCGGCCAATCAAGTCTGGTCCAGTCGGCTTCTTCCGAACCCCGGCCATATCAGTTGGACCCTGTAAAATCATAATCACGAGATGAGCCAAGACGACTCATGATCTTGGCGAGTCAGCACCGCCGAGAAATTCGAGTGCGTTATCAATTTGTCAAGACTCATTCATTTGTCATTAAATTTCATTTGGCATTGAGGATTGAGCGAGAATGAACTTTCAGTGCTAGAGCTTAAGCTGTCAAAAAATTCAATGCTGGACCCACAGCATACTTGCCTTGCCAAGCAAGAGACCATGGCAGTCGGCAAAGAAGTATTATCTTCCCGGTTGCACACACAACCCGCCAAGCCCGCCAAGGGTCTTGGAGGCGGAGATAGTCGCCATGGTTTGCCAATGAAGTTTTTTTCTGTCAAGTCTTATCAGAGGAGTTTGGTTGGCGGAAGGATTGAATACTTTTTATTTCTTTCGGCGGACTGACTCTTCCAGTTTCATATATCAAAGAACCCATCAAAAAGCGTGTCTAAAAGACCGTGCCGGGTTCTATACTCCGTGTTCCCTATAGAGGCAGCTTTCAGCTTCTCAACATGGGTTACAGCAGCTGGATCCACGACACCAACCTACGGGTTGCGCGCAGCCCCGTGGGGAGATGGTTTCGACTGGAAAACTCCGGGCATGTGAGTAACAGACACGGGGAACATAAAGGACTCCGTTATGATCCTAACGTGCATCATTCATAGCCCAGGGAACGAAAGGGTAGCTTCTTCTTCACGGAAATGCGCGCGGGCCTAGCAACTTTCTTCGCGATGGCGTATATCATCTCTGTCAACGCCAATATCACATCCAGCACCGGTGGAACATGTGTTTGCTCCGCAGAGGACTGCTCCACAAATTCCGAATATCTTCTCTGCGTCCAAGAAGTGAAGCGTGACATGGTTACGGCGACAGCGGCAATTGCGGCTCTCTCCACTTTCTCTATGGGTCTCTTTGCGAACCTTCCAATCGCACTGGCACCGGGAATGGGCCTGAATGCTTATTTCGCATACACTGTTGTCGGCCCATACGGATCCGGGTTGATTCCGTACAGCGTGGCTTTGACAGCTGTGTTCGTCGAGGGCTGGGTCTTCCTCGGCTTAACGCTGATCGGTATGCGACAGTGGTTGGCTCGGGCGCTTCCTGCTTCGATCAAGCTTGCCACGGGCGTGGGCATCGGATTATATCTTGCTCTCATTGGTCTGACATACAGTGCCGGTATTGGCTTAGTGCAAGGCGGAGTTGATACCCCCATCGAACTGGCCGGCTGCACGAATGCGCCGCAATATCTTGATGACAACGGATTGTGCTTAAGCAGTGCAAAAATGCGAAGTCCAACGATGTGGGTTGGTATCTTCTGTGGTGGATTTCTGACAGCGCTTTTGATGATGTACCGAGTCAAGGGTGCTGTTATCATCGGTATTCTGTTGGTCTCGATCATTTCATGGCCCCGAACGACTCCTGTCACATACTTTCCGTACACTGACTTGGGAACGAGCATGTTCGATTTCTTTAAGCAAGTCGTGACGTTCCACCCTATCAAGCATACTCTGGCTGCCCAGGAGTGGAATATCTCTGGCCACGGGTCACAATTTGGTCTTGCGTTTATCACATTCTTATATGTTGATATTCTGGACACGACTGGAACCATGTACTCTATGGCTCGGTTCGCAGGTGCCATCGATGAACAAACCCAGGACTTCGAAGGCAGTGCGGTCGCCTACGTAAGTTTCACTCGAGCTTTGATTGAATCTCACAAGAAACTAACAAATTATCCAGATGGTCGACGCAATCTCCATCTCAATCGGATCTCTCCTGGGTAGTCCCCCAGTAACAGCGTTTGTTGAATCCGGCGCTGGAATTTCGGAAGGCGGAAAAACTGGCCTAACGTCCTGCATGACGGGCTTTGCATTCTTCATCTCTGTCTTCTTCGCTCCAATCTTCGCTTCCATACCTGCATGGGCGACCGGCTGCACACTCGTGATTGTGGGTGCGCTCATGGCCAAATCTGCCGCCGATATCAACTGGCGATACTACGGCGACGCGATCCCGGCCTTTTTGACGATCGCAATCATGCCTTTTACTTACAGCATCGCGTACGGACTCATTGCGGGCATTCTCAGCTACATTCTTCTCAACGGTATTGCATGGTCTCTCGAAAAGGTCAGCGGAGGTCGAATCGTTCCTCCGAATAAGGATGAGTCGGACCCCTGGTCTTGGAAACTGCCCGGTGGTATCTTGCCGCCCTGGGTTAAGCGTGCTGCTCGGGGCCAAAAGGACTTTTGGCGACGGGATGAAGAGTCTCCGGAGCTCCAGCTTGAGGAATCTGGCTCTTTCAATTCGTCACAGCAGGAGCGTGTGGCTATCGAGAAGGGTCATAAGTCTGGAAACCCGTAGTGATAACTGGGAAATAAACCTGACATACATGGTCATTATATCGTGACAAATGCACATAATCGCAGGTAGTTGAATACATTGAATATATATGACTTTGAGGATCAAACCGGCATCCAACTACGACAAATCGAGCCGTGGGAGGACTTGAAGGTCCAAACCGCATGACCGTAAGACCTGTTCAGTCTCTGATTATAGATTGACTTCGGGACCCCTTTACCCACGTACTTCTGGCATCTAGAAAGGAAATGTGTCAAATGAGTGGAAGATTGGGTAGCAAAAAGACCTCACATAGATCCTCAAAGCCCACCAAAGCGCTTGAAAAGTATGTGCAGCGTCTGCAAGAGGACTTGGATAGCTTGTTGAAGACCTGTAAGCCCACAGACCTCACAGTGTTATGAGGTGGCATCTGAATACCTCAAAGACTCGCTTTGTTACCTAAGCCTTGATCGCTCACATTATCCGCTACATAGCAAGAATTGGAAGATATATCGAATATTCATATATGATTGGAGCTCCAACTCATGGATAAACGTAAAACCTCAAAACAGAGACATAGATCATGTGATTCCATAGCTGTAGAATGTACTACCGGGGTCACTTAAATGACAAAAGGTCCTGAGATAAATATCCGCAAAAAGTCACGAAACAAAGGCAAGAACTGTAGAATGATCGTCAAAAGAGAACTATTGCGTGTTAGACTTTCGCATGACCTTGGATAGAAGGACTTAAGTACTTGCATAGTCAATTTGCGAAGAACATTCAAAGTCAACGTGCATAGATAGACTACTTCTGGTCCCACCAATCACTGCATTCAGAGCCGGGGACAATCGGTTCCTTGTTCCAGGCGCAGTTGCTAGGAGCTGCTGAAGGTGCAGCCAATGTCACAGCAGAAAAAGCAAGAAGAAGAACGAGCTGGAAAGACTTCATCGTGGAAGATAGAGGACTTCAATTGCTTTGACGTGGCGTTAACTTATCACAACGGAAAGAGACCACCTCATTATTTATACTCTAAATAGGGACAAACCCAGCGATCTGACTCGATGGAACGCCAAGGTGTTTCTCATTGAGCGGAGAAAGATTACTTATTGAGCCACGTTTCCGGCTTCGGGTTCCACAGTCACAGCTCTGAGAATCCCCAAAGAAATTTCGATCTGCATAATAGTGCCCCTTCCCATTGGTTGGAATGACCCGGACTTCCTTGAATGTCGTCTCAACAAAGAATGTCGACGGGCCGGTGGCTCGAAACCTTGTATCAACCTTGAAGATCATTCATTGTTCGAGCTCCGTACTACCCGAGATGGGTCTCAATAAGCGCCGCCTGACCCCCTTTTCAAGTTTGACGTCATTATTTGTCTTTCCCAGGGTCACCACATGTAGCTTTTGTCTTCAGCCGAAAGAAACTATTCTCCCCGGTCCCCGGTCAGGTAACATGCTTGTAGACTACGTCTAAATGAACAAAGATCAACAAAAAAGTAAAATAAATATACTTCAATAACATTGAAGAAGGGAACGCTCTGCCTCTTTCATAGAATAGCGAATTTGCCATGGAAGCTATGACTGATCAGCAGGTTAGATAAAGCGGTACATGTACGAGTTCAATCAATTGGAGGTTGCTATATTCTGCCGCAGTTGAAAGTGAGACCGATAGCCGTTAAGTGAATTATAAATTCAAACAGCTGAATGGCACTTTTATTCAGCAGTTATTCTTTAGCAGCTCTTCTGTCAGGCTGACAACGACAGCGCATGAAGCGTCCACAGGTGGAACACAAGGGTTGATTGAGCTGTCCAAATGCGAGATACAGTGCCGACCGCTATCGCCTGTCATTTCTGAAGTTAAGAGAGGCACGTTCAAGCCCTGATCACATCATATATGAAGATTAGATACCACACGTACTTGTAATGATATCAGCACTTTTACATAGATTGTATGACAGTGCTAGGTGCCTACAATTCCAAGAAAGGCCCACGCAAACGCAAGAAACAGGCCAAGGTGACGGAGGAATTGGTAGACTAAGCTTTTTTCTTCCGCATATCGCAGTTGCTTCCCACCATTGTAAATCTTCCACGACACCTCTGATTGGGGGCAGCAGGGGCGATTGATCTATCATACACAATGAAAACGGTTTTCATAAACTAAAGGACCCCATCCTTCCTATACTCCTTTACCTTTTCTGCTAAGGTGGGGTCTTTCTGCTTTAAAAACTCCATAAAGCCATCCATCATATATGCCTTGATGGCATTCCGCTCCTCCCATTGCTCAATTTGACTCGGCACTGTGGGCCCCGTATATGCCTTCCACGGATGCTCCCGTGCCTGCAGCCAGAAATTCAGAAGTCTCACAGACTGCAGCATCATCATAGGATAGAGCTCGCTCCAGACTAGGTTCCCCAGGATGCGCATCTGACCCGGGTACTCAGGGCCATCTTCCTGGGGGCCTTCATTGGCCATGCCGTCTGCGCTCTCATTTTTAGTGGCACTGTCATCGAAGTCGGCGTCGACAGCAAGTACATGACCTTGAAAGTCACCTTTGAGGAAGCCTTTGTCTTTCGTGAAAGAGGCGCGATATTCATGGTCGACATATGAGGCTACATTGAAGTGATCGATGAGAAGGAAAAGAGATGGTGCTATTTTATGGCTCCACTCGTCCGAGGACCGGATCTGTTGGAAATGACTATGAACAGCATTAGTACCTTGCTCATGCGATTCTCGGGATGGAAAGGGCAGGATCGTCGAACCTTCTTGCTGCTGATACAGGCTTGGTTGCGTCAAAGCCTAGTTCCTTGCAGTCGAACCAATGCAGTTTAAATAGTGGTCTGAGCTCGTCAGCACGCTGGATGTCATCACTCCATGACATTAAGTGAGCTTCCACCTCCCGCTGTACGCTTTCCCACTGTTCATCGGATAATTTGTGCGCTGCGCGGTAGATCGCTAATCCGAAGCCATAGTCACTCTCCTGCCCCTGCTGCATCATCTCCTGCACCCGAAGGAGTTGCTGGATCCAGGGCTGTACAGCTGGCTTTGGCGATGGTACTCGGCCGCGTATCTTTTCACGCAGTTCATCCTGCACTACTGTACTAAGAGAAAGACGCTCGAGGCGGGCTGCGTCACTCTGCGTCGCGCTTGGACCCTGAACCTTCGCAGCCTCGTTCTGAGCAATGATACATTGTTCGAGTCGCTCAGATAGAAGCTTGGAGAACCCGTAGTTCTTGTCTTGGTCTTTTAGGTCGGGATTGTGAAGCCCAGCGACAATCTCAGAGGGCGGATGGTAGCCCCTGTAACCGTCCATATGTATCCATATGTTAAAGTCTGCCATCGAGGTGACACTAATGAGGTCGAACCATCGCTTCGAGAAAATTTGCATTTCTGGGCCTTCTGGATTGTCAGCCCAGATCGCATTGAAACTGCCCATTGTCTGTTCACGTAATTCGGCAACACGGGCCAGGACCCAGGAGTGTGCGGTGCTGGTCATGACTTCATACTGTGCGCGAATGAATTGTTCCCAGAGAGCCGTAAGGTCAATCTTCTCTTTAGCTAGGCTGCCTTGGACCTTGCGCCGTGCATTCAAGGCGTCCTGTAATTCTCCGAAATCACCAGATATTTTGTTGAAGGTATCGCACATGTTAGTTCGGATCTGGGGGATATTCAAGTACTCAAAGACGGCAATGACGGAGGTCAGGTATTCATGGGCGATGGCGAAATGGTCCGGGTTGTTGAGATCCTTTTCTCGCCAGCGCGAGGCGGGCACAGGGGGAAGGCCTCCCCAGAGGCGACTTTTGAGGAAGTGAATATTGTGCCCAATCTTGCACACCCCACTCAAGTTCTCTTGATTCGTGATCCGCTCTATTGCTTTCTGCATAGTTGAAAGGCTGTCCTTGTTGAACGGCGCAGGCGCCCACTCTGAACTCGGGGCCACGAGCAGAGGGACTTCATCTTCAGTGAGTAAAGCTAAATCGGTCTTCTTCCCGTTAGGTAGAACACCAGATGTCGTGAATTGGAAGAATTGCAAGATAGCTTTCGGTTCAATTAAAGCGTCCACTGATTTCATTAGCGAAGTGAGAGGCAATAACAAGTAAGACCGTACCAACTGCCATGTCCTTGCTCATCCAATGTTTCTCCGTGATACTCGACCCCTTGTAAGCGGTCGCGTCCGGAATGGAAGCGTATGGGTGGCTTGATGAGGCAGAATCTGTATGGGAATATCGCGCGACATTGGCCTGTGTTACGCGGCAGGTCCAAGGGGCCAGGCTCCTGGTATTGCGATGTGCCAATAAGCCAGCGCGAGCAGTGGCATTCGCAATGCGAGGTATCGCGCGGAATGACAGCGCAGCAAAAACACGGCGATTGACCTGTGACAGGCTTCGAGAAACTCTGGCGGCCATACTGCGTTAAATGGTTGTGATCAGCAGGCTTCACTAAGCGGATGGCGATCTCAGCAGATAAGCTCGCGAGCTTGACAGTTTGGGAAAGCAGTAGCAATTGACTCCTGGACCCCTTTTTTAATCAGCCTTAACAGAAACAGAAAACTGGGATTGGCGCTAGCCAATCAAAGCTAGCCGTTCTATCGAACCTCTGGCAATCGTTCAGGCTGCGATAAATCCAAGATCCACATGTCTAATATGTTATCGACCAGACAGCGATTCAATCAGAGATTGGATATCTTTATCCACATTGCCCAGTGTGTCTAGTGTTCACTTGATCTTCAAATTCAAAATGACATGTTATGTGCATCATATGTGCAATAATTTCACACTGCCAGGGATCTAGATTTCACGCTACTTTGCAACAAGTCAGGGGTTGTGTTGTAGAGACTGATAATTCGACACCCGCTAACCGCATTCGGCTTCATGCAGTGTATGCCACACAACAGCTGCCAGATTTTTCAGGTGTTGACAAAACAAAACCTTCATTTACAGCCCCGGAGGAAAGCTTCACGGATTTTGACAGGTATTGCGCCAAGAAGAAAAATGCTCGCTTGTCGCTTTGGGAATTAGGTCCTCGTGTTCGGGCAATGTGTACCAATTAAACTTCGTAAAAATTGATCTTGGACCCTGCCGAGCCTTGAGTGTCCTGGATGTTCAATGAATGCCAAGAGAAGTCACGATATGATTTTATTCTCCTTGCCACTTTTCTTTTCACATTTTGCAGGCAAACTGCTAATGTTTCTCTAAATTTTAAGTAGTAGCGAAAGCATAGCCATAAAACAGCCAAGGTATTGCCCTCTTTCTATGAGATACAGTATAGAGTGCTCCATGAATCTGTCCCGCATGATCCCCGAGCCAGTCAATCCCTGCCTGCTATAGTAGTGATCTACATTCGGCCATACTCGAAAGCACCATAGTCATCTTGGCTCATGCCCATATTGGCCTAGAGGAGATGCGAGCGTCGGCCGGATACGAGTTTAAAATTTGGTTTTGCAATCCTACTCTGTAGAAGTGGGGGATATATTGAAGGGATTTTCCCTTTCCAAGTCTAAATAACCTAGATCTACCTACTTTTCTGTTTAGTCCAGGTCACCACAGATTGAAAAAAGTATCGATTTATACGAGCTTTTACAATGAAATCACTATTATATACGCTGTTCCTTGCCCCCCTTGCGCACGGTTGGACCTTTCGTTACACCAACTCCACAAGCGACACAACCATCCTCGAAGAAACCGGGTCAAGGAACTGCACCAAAATCCAGTTAGCGAAGAACAAGCTCTTCAGCTGGGACCCTGAGGGTAGTAACGAGTGTGTTTCGATATACTACGATGAAAACTGTGAAACCAGTGGAGGGTATTCATGTGCTTTTTGGAAGAAAAGCGCCAGTCACGATTTTGGGAGCATCGATGTCTCTACTAGCAATAAAGCGGCAAGTGTTTCGGTCATCACCACAACTGAGACGGCCACGTCAACCTCTGCCTCCTCTGTGACTTCAACGACCGGGACTTCGTCAGCAGCCTCAACATCATCAACTTTCTCGGCTTCACCCACAACAACGAGTAGCGCAGCCACTACGGATAGCACCTCTTCGAGCTCAACAATATCTGGTGGTGCAATCGCAGGTATCGTCATCGGGGTCCTCGTCGGCATCCTGGTCATCGCTGCCATTTTCTTTATCCTCCGACGACGCAATCGCAAACTTGCCGCCGCCGCCAATTCACAATCCGATCCTTCGCTCCAAGGCCCCTATGGGCGCCAGGCCTCTGTTCCAGAAACGATAACGACATTCGGGCCTTCGTCCACATCCACTGCTCACCCTGCTGAGAAGTCGGCAGATTCCGCACTCCGAGTCTTTGAAATGCCCTCGCATAATCCACCTGTGGAGTTGGTTAGCACTCCTATTAATGAGATGGAAGGCCAACCAGGAGATAAGACCTATTTCCCTCCGAAATAGAGCGAAAATGTGATGACGATGATGCAAGACATTGCAAAAGTTGGGGATTGTTCGTGTTTGGTCAATCCTCTATAACTGAGACCTAATTGTCTTCCTTGCCATGTTTTCTGATACTGCTCAAACTAGAAAGGCTCAACAACGGATCTAGCTTGAGGCCAGGGAATCTTTTTATCATAATGAATATCTGAAAGCTTCATGATGTTTTATGTTTCTCTGTCGATAAGTCAGATGTCAAGCATGTCGTCCTATATGTGCCTCCGCAATTTTGCTGTTCCTTTAACTTGCACTCCTAAGCCTCATAGACGGGTACTTCAAGAGTAGTTCGCTATTTCTGAGTTGTTTTAATGTAGTGATGAACTAAAAAGACTGCTGCAAAATCATTTCCGGGATGCAGCTTCTTCAGTCCAAGTTTTACTTGAGACTCACTTCTCGGCGACTCGATTCAAAGCACGTCGCATCGATTTAAGGGGCGCCGCACGTGCTTCTATGGCGTCTAAAGGTCGACATTTGCGGCAATGAAAGAGTGTTCTACTTTGCCGTAGCCGGATCGAAAGTGTAGAAGCGGACACACTCCAGCAGGGGTACGTGAGCCCGAGTATAAAGGTACCGGGCGTTCACTTCGACAAAACATCCCTCTTAATACACAATGATATGAGATAATGTTTTATCATAGCCATTATGTAAGTAAGAAAAAGTAGGTCAATGAGTGGCTTAATAACCGTAGTCTACAGGGCAACATGAGCAAGTAGGTACATGGGTATGTACGCAATAATATTAGCCTATGAATCCTGAATACTGCGCTACCGTAAGTGCGGCTGGTGATGATGTTCAACTTATTTAGTGGTAATCAATAGAAAGCTTCTATGTATATGATTTATGATGCCTGTCGACTTTTATATGTCTCAACGAGCGTTATGTATTGTCTTGTGCATGCACGCTTTGAGCTTCAGACATCTCAAGGTCTTCTTGAAGCCGATTAATTCGGGGTTGTCGTACTTTCCTCGATGGCGTAGAATGGGAGGAGGAACTAAAGTGCCCAGTATCTGCCCGGCGAGCGAACCATGTAGGAGCGTAATGGCGAATGAATTGACGGAGATAGGGAAGAGACCCACATAATATAATGAAATTTGCCTCGATAACGCTGCGAACATTTATCTCTCGTCAGTTTTCTGATATCATAAAAGCAAGAAGGTAGGAATCAGGGATTACATGAACACGCTGGCGAGAGAAATCTTATACGACACATCCATTGATGTCACAAGAGGCCATAAGGTTGCCAGACGGACTATGCTGGTTATGGTGGTCCTGTATGATGGTTATTAGCAATCATGATTGACAGTCAGGTGTTTAGACTGTGAACATGAGCTTCGTAGCGTGCTGAGACAGAGAGATGAGGGTTTCTCACAAACATCCAATGCCGAATATAACAATCACACCAAGCTTCGGAATTATGGGCAGATGCAGTCTCCATACCACCCGGACGGGAATCAATATTAATATTAAGTCGCTGACTGTGTTCGTGATAGCTGTTGCAAGATAGACGGCTGGTCTGTTGATGCAGGAGCCTTGTGTAATTGAAGCGTCCCAGCCTTTCTGGACGGGGTTGCAAGCAAAGATAAGTGCCAAGGTCAGTGCTGCGCTATAGCCAGCGATGATGAAGGCAATAAGATAGATAGTGTATTGCCAGGATTGAAAGGCGCCTAGTAACCTGTAGTATAGCATGAGCAAGGCAAGCTTGGCAAATGCAAGACAGCTGATATATATGGTGGCTGCAGCAAAGACGACCTATGTGGGTCATCAACTCCAATTATTAGCTTTTAGTTTCTGAGAGGCTATGAGAAATATACAAAATCCCTACCTTTTCACATATAACTATAGTTGAGGGAGCCAATTCCTCGATGTGAAGACCAAATCCGGCTCGTGAATATCCATCTTAAAAAAGGATGTCAATCAGCCTGGCTCTTTGTTCCCGACATCTCAAAATAAGGGAGGCGACACGTACATAGAATCGTTGCTTGAGTTCCAACGGAAATCATCTATATTATCCAAACAGACATGTCGGTTTTGTTCATTGCTGCTCCCACAATCAAGCTTACCCAGGCCATTATTATGAATGCTATTGCCCCAAAAATTAGTCCGCGATCTAGTAAGGCAGATGTGCCTTGGGAAAAAGAGATTACTCACTGTCGTCTCACCAGAAACTGTTCATGATTCGAATTTTGGTATAAATCCGCATCATGAGGGAACTGGTGCTTAATGCTAATCCGACCGCCACCAATATCCGATTTGTAGTTCGTAACCACTGGGTTGGACTTCCGGAACTCGCTGCCTCAATCATCTCCGTCGAAGACAATTCTCCAGTGACCCCCGTCATCTTTGAGGCACATCCAATGAAAATACTTATAGTAGTTCCAAGGTGGGGTACCTTTAGCGAAAATAAGTTGCTCAAGGTCGTCAAAATAAAGAGCTAACAAGCGTTCAGAATTCCGGGAAGTTAAAAGATATGAATCATCGACTTTTGCCGAACGCGGTACGCCTGGCACGCCACCACACGGCTTGCCGTGCTGCTTTCTCATCAATATTTCGGGATGTAGTACTTGCATCTGACAAGCTCTCTCAGATTTAAAGTTCTGAGAGTGATAATTGTACCCTGATTTTAATAATTGTACCCCATTTTTAATAATTGCACCCTCCCAATATGCTCCCAATATATGGCCAACCATATTTGGGTTTTGGCTCTCCGACAGACGTCTACTAATGATACACTCCTACATTCTCTTACGTCTCTACCTTTTTACTAATTTATTCTATTTTAATACTATTCTTGACTCTGATTTTGACGCTATTTTGAGATACTCTCTCTGATATGGTAATCTAAAGCTTTTATTAGTGATTAACCTATTTTCTCCTTTAAATTCTACCTATAAAGCATCTTATGATATTCTATATGCCTACTACGAACCTTTGGCTAGCCTTCCTTAGGTATAGTGTACTATAGGGGGGCTTTGAACGTTAAATGTGGATTAAATGGCTTACTAGAGAAAGGTAAATTCAGTAATGGGGACGCTGTCTAATACTATACGCTTTCCGCCTACCTAAAGGGTGTTATAGAGAGTATGTACTTATAGATAAACTATGCCCTTTGAAATATATTAAAATTGGTGTATATAGTGAAGAGGTCAACGCTTATTAGCATGGGCACCTATAGATAAAGTAGGCGCCACGATCTTAGTTCGTCCTCAAGGGGTAGTTAGACATACGAAATGAGACCTAGAGGTGTCTTATAGAAGGAAAAATGGTCAAAGTTACTTATCTCTACGCGTATGGGCTTATATACTCTACTTTCTGCTTAGTAACCATACACCAGAATTCCCCCTCCCCCCCCCTACTATATTACGCATAAGGATAGTATTAAAGGTAGGTATAATGATGGGTATAAAGGTAGATATAAAGATGGGTATAAAGATAGGTATAAAGATGGGTATAAAGATGGGTATAAAGATAGGTGTTAAAATAGATAAATTAGTAAAAAGGTAGAGACATAAGAGAATGTAGGAGTGTATCATTAGTAGACGTCTGTCGGAGAGCCAAAACCCAAATATGGTTGGCCATATATTGGGAGCATATTGAAGGGTGCAATTATTAAAAATGGGGTACAATTATTAAAAATGGGGTACAATTATTAAAATCAGGGTACAATTGTTATGACACAGGTATAATTCTCAGCTCCCCAAATTACCGTGTTGCCAATTTGCATGTTTGTTGTGAGCATTGCATATAATTCAATACAATCACTGATTCATATTAGAACAAAGAGGGTGAATTTAAGGTTTCATAATGAGTTGGCCGAATTGTTGAATAAACATGGTCTTCAGCACTGGAATGAATTTCCACTTCTCCTAATGAAATCGAATGAATTGTACTGATAATCTAATTGAGATTCATCATCGACCCAGGGAGTAATTAAGAGGGGTGCTGCAATTGCTTTTTGGTCGCTGGCTTAAGGAAGCCTCCACCATTCATCTTCTTAGTGGATCCCTTCAACCACTGACTTCCTTTAGCACTTGAATCATAATAAAGGTTGAAGCCTTTGCTATGGATGTTGGAGAAAGTCGTATCAGTATCGGTGAAATTTGTCAACACGGTGTCCCGAGTTAGAGTCCAAGTAGAGGTAGCATCAAGGGATACAGAAAAGTACGCTTTCTCATATCCAGAGTATGCCGAGCCCGTCCATGAGGAGTAATTGCCCAGGGTCCAACTAATTGAACTTCCATTATAGGCGACAAGATCTCCCGTCAGATCGCATTCCGAGACACTAACAGTGGCCTCAGCAGGGGCAGTGGAGTCCGCAAAGTATGTGAAGTCTTGTGTCACTTGCGAGTAGTTGGCAGCAACCAGAATCCCGGACGTGGTGTTGATGTGGGAACGCACGAGGCTCGCGCTGGCAATAACATTTCCAAACCACAACCCGGCTCCATTCTCCGGCAGAACAGTAAGCCGGGACCCCGTGAAGGCGATGCTAGACCCTGACTCACGGTCTCCCGAAGAAAATATAACGGCACCTGCAAGCAAACCGGCAGTCAAGTCTGAATCGTGAATGTCTATTTGGGCGCCATCCAAAAATGCAATGGGAGCTTTTTGGGCATGCCCAATGATATTCTCGGCATAAACCGTCCCTTGCCCGTAAAAAATAGCACTACCGATTCCGGCAGTATGGGCGACAGAGTCATAGACATAGACATATCCTTTAGGACTGTCACCTGCAAAAGATGACGATCGGTATGCTCCCGAGTAATGCTGAAGATTTTTGCCAATAACCGTTCCATAGCCAGCGGCATAGAGCCCATGAGAGACAGGACCCGAGCTGTACAAAGTGGTGTCCGAAACATAGGCGTATGAATTGTTGCCATAGACGTATACATTGGCCGCTCCATTATGAACAGTAACATTGATGTTGTCTAGATAGGCGACCGAGGCATTGGCCACATTAATTGCCGCATTTAGCCCGTAGAAACTGGACTGGTACAAATCGGTCGAATAACCGTGCTTGATAATAGTGGAGTCCGAAATGTTCACTTGTGAATCTTCAGTAATGACCACCACGCTAGTGTCATTGGTTGAAACGGAGAGTGTCTTGTGAGAAATATCCTTTTCTTCGCCACTGTAGGAACTGGGCCCGGTGATCGCATAGGCCTGGTATGACAGTGGTTGATAGTCCCAATTTGCCGTAAGGGCGTTGTCTGCCGCATCTGCTGAAAGATCTGCGTAGTCACTAGGATCGACAATTGTTATGGTGGCTGCGCTCAACGCTGCGAAGAAGATAAGCTTCAACATGCTGGCCATATATATATTGGCGAACTGGGAACTGGCTTCAATATCTAGAATCGCAGCTTTCCGGGTGATAGGTCTAAAGTGAAAAATCCACGAAGGAGCGTCTTATTCAAATAGTTTGAAACCTCGAGCGGCATCCGAACTGTCCACATTGATTTTCACCTGGGCAGGAGCCGCCTCGGGAGTTCTGAATAGTAATTTACAGCAGCTACCTGATTGGCGAGAAAACACCATTCCCCCACGTTTGATTCATCAAGCTACTCAAGCCGTTGACGTGTAACTGCCCCCTCATCAAGCAACAGTCAGTGATTGCTATGTGGAGCCGGTGGGGATCTTTGAAGTGGAAGGCGCTAAGTCAAAAGCGCTTCAGGGGTAAATATACCGGTTTTTTGCTCTAATAAAACGGCCCGATTTATATAACGCTAAATAAGACTCGGCTAGTCCCGTGCGCAGATTGCGTGTCTTGCGGGGTAATGAAGGGGAAAATGTGGGGGAAGACCCTCGGCTCTATTCTGGATATACTAGAGCCGTTTCTGCCTTGTCTTTACTTCAGGCTTATAGCTTACACATAGGACGCTTTACAGATAGCATGATATCTATATCAGCTCCATACATATCATTCTGGTTTGTTTTTTTGAGCATTGATGTGCTTCAGACTTGACTCGAGATTAGAGGCACGCTTTGCGATAATAATATATTTGAAGTCCCCGTACTCACAATGCCTTCATATCGCAGATCATGGGCCTAGAAACTGTCGCAAACCTCCGTTATTGAGTTTTCAGTCTGCTGCTATTTACGTTGAGTCTAAGGAGTAGGGTGGGGCCGAAAAACGAGGATCTCAAAATCCCTGATAGGTTTGACTCATTCATCCTTATGATTGATCTCTGTTCCGAGGGTGGAGGGGTTTCGGGATGCAAATCCTATATGACACCTGCCCACTCAGCAGTCCTGTGACAGATTTGTATTCCATCGTGAGCATGCTTTCAAAGTCATAATGAGGAGAAGAATACGCAGACAAGGAAACGAGATATGTAAGCAAAAGCAATTTGAATATTGAGAGTAGATTAAATTCTATGAAAATTGAAGTAATAGCTAGATTCGATTAAGGACCATGTATATTAATATTGCTCCTAGACCAGGTGCTCAAGGAGGTTGATCAGGACAGGAGACTGAAGATCGCATGCGAACAGCACGAGTATATAACACGATATTCACTGCTTCCAGCCCCTGGCCACAGGAAATGCACATATCATGTTAGATGGTGACTAGCTTCGGTCATAAGGGACTTTGAACTTGGCTGATTGGCAGTTGGATAAATCCTCTGAACTAATCCAAATTTAGATAAACACTTCGAAACCCAACTACCATAGATCTGTAACGCAACCGAAATATTCATTGATCGACCACGATCATTATTCGGGGGCCATAAAACAAGTCCTAGGTGTAAGATGATTCTATAAAGAGAGCAAATACAGTAAGCGAAAACTCGGTGAGCAATCAGCCCAAGCTGCAGCTCACCAAAAGCGAGAGCAGCCCAAGGAAAGGGCCAATCCAGTGACTCGAAGCACCTATGCCGAGGTATCTTGGCAGTGGCGCTATTCCTACCCATTGATAGGAATGAAAGAATCTGCCAAGAGCACCACTCGCTTACAAGAATGGGCATCGGTCGGGGTTGTATTTTGGCATTCCTCGGAGAAGCCATCCAGCCAAATTTGCAGCCCCCTGCAGCAGTCGATATTCCGGATCCTATCACATCTCGTGCTAATCCATCTTTGAACCCGTAATGAAACTTCGGCCATCGAATTGTGGCAACATAATCATCCACTGGGCAGTGCAAACGCTCGGTCGGAAGAGCCATGTGGCAAACCCGAGGGCAGTGTCTCGAATCCTGTGAGGTCGGGCCGATATCAAAAGAAGTAAACTGCTACAGATTATGCTTTAAGCTCAGTCGAAAGTCTGGAGAAGGCTAGCACATTGTGGGGAAATCGCCCGTGGAGGATTCAACACGGAGGAATGCTCCGCGCTAACAAAGGGCCAAATTTATTGGCGTTTTCCTCAGCGCAAGGGACTCCGAATTGACGGAGCTAAATTTACAGATTGATCAAGTCGATCAAGATCTACAGTAGGATCCTTAAAATACTCAATGGAAAATACAGAAGACCTGAAGTGATTGAAGCAGGCCGTGAAAAGGCCTTGCATGTTGATGATGCAGAACTCATTTATTGCAGGACCTAACCCGCATTAGTGCATTAATCTCTAAGTTATAAGTGATCATCCCGAAAATTAGATTAGCCAATGACACACTTCAAACAGTATTATCCAATAAGCATCCGGAGAACCCGGAGATGAATCAGGTCCGGACTGCAAATATAGCACCAGTTTCTGGTCCTAATAGCAGCGGGATGCAGGGCCGATGTTCCAGATACCAAGTCCTGAATCTTTTCGGATCCCGGCAAACACATCGTTTAGCTCTAATGAGTATGGGCTCACTGGGGAATCCGCCGATTCCTATCGGGATACGGAGCTGTTCGTGCACGCCACCGGTTGGCGTCCTGCATTTGCTCCTAGGGTCCACGAGTCTGGGGTCACACGGTAATCAGCCTCTGGGGAATTGCAGATGCGGTTAGCGCTGCACATGAAATTAAATTCGAGGGCGGTTCGAGCTGACGCCCCAGGTCGCGTGTTATAAGAATCTCAAGCTGTCCCACCTTGAGGTATCCTTGTGCCACGCAAAAATCTGAGATTCTTCGGTCCAGCTGGACAGTCTCAATTCTCAGGCTCGTTTATAGGCTTTCTCGATATGTCGGACTCCAAGCAGGAAGAGGTACACGGTATCTCCAGTGTGGTCGAAGATACTCCGCATGTTATTGCAGGATATGGCGAGACTGCCAAGCGTAGTGGTGCTAAGACCACCGAGGTCCGCAACGTAAGTATTGAGATGGGATCCTACTTGATTGACTTGGCTGATTTTGTCACAGGCCGAGCTTTTTGCTGCTATCAATGAGACTAAAATTGAGCGATGGAGTAAAACGTCCATCCATTTGTACTGTAAGTCTGGCCGACCTTTGACAGTCTCTCGTTGCCCTTTTTCGTCTTCTAACAGATATCATAGTCTGTATCTTTGTAGCCTTCCTCTGTGCCTGCGCCAACGGATATGACGGTATGTAATTGACGATCTCAGCACTCGAAGTCGATTCGAAATCAACCCAGAGCGATGTTGACAGAACTATCTGATAGGATCCTTGATGGGATCGGTCCTAGCTATGAGCCACTACCAGGAGGTGTTCAAAACCGGATTGACTGGTGAAAAGGTCTCTGTGGTCACCTCGCTATACACAGTGTGAGTCTTCGAATTCCGGTGCCCAGATATGGCAATTCCAGCTTATAGTATAAATCGTAGTGGATCTATGGTCGCCACCCCGATCAGTGCGGTGATCTCTGACAAACTTGGTCGTCGCAAGTGCATGTTCGTCGGGGCTTGGGTGATTATCATCGGCTCAGTTATCATCGCATCCGGCATGACCTTGGCTCAATTTGTGGTTGGTCGTTTCATCCTTGGAGTTGGTATTCAGATCATGGTGGTGTCTGCCCCTGCATACGCCGTTGAGATTGCGCCACCGCATTGGCGTGGTCGTGCTGTCGGTAAGCTTCTCCCCATCAAGTCCACCATTCCTGTGGCCTTCATCTAAAGGGAATAGGATTTTACAACTGTGGGTGGTTTGGTGGATCCATTCCCGCTGCGGCTATCACCTATGGCACGAACCAAATCAACTCCAACTACCAGTGGCGCATTCCTTTCATCTGCCAGTGCTTTGCGTGTGTCTGCGTTATCTTTTGCGTGTGGTTCATCCCCGAGTCGCCCCGATGGCTCATCGCCCAAGGGAGGGAGGAAGAGGCCGCCGCCTTTCTTACTAAATACCACGGCAATGGAGATCCTAACGCGCGCCTTGTTCGTCTGGAGATTGAGGAGATGAAGGAAGGTATCAGAATTGATGGTATCGACAAGAGATGGTGGGATTGTAAGTGTCGTGTTTCTTACTGGTCGTCCTTTTGCAGAAAAAGCCACGTACTAACAATATGCTTCACGTTTTATAGATCGCCCGTTTATGACAACTCACAGCGGACGCTGGAGATTTATTCAAGGTACGTAATCAATGGGGAATGATTCCTTTAAAGCATTAAACTACCCTTCACCGCACAACTCCGCTTTTCTTCACTCATTCTGCCTCCATTCTCGCCCCTCTCCTCCTCCACTCCACACCATCGAAATTCATTCAAAACAAGCTGGAAAATGATAATTAATTGATAAATTGCTTAGTCATGATGATCTCAGTGTTTGGTCAGGTGACTAGCTCCCAGAGAGGTTAATTATAGCTCAAAATGCTAATTATATCCCTCACAGTGGTCGGGCAACGGTCTAGGCTATTTCAACTCAACCATCTTCAACGTTTTGGGATATACGTCGAGCTCAATGCAGCTGCTCCTCAATCTAATCAATCAAATTATCTCTGCTGTTGCTGCTGGAACTGCAGTCTGCCTGACTGATCGCATGCCGCGTCGCCCAGTCCTCATCTGGGGTACTTTAGGCAAGTATAGAACCAAGATTCATATCTTGAGACCCAACATTTACTGACTAATATCTAGCTTGTGCTATTACTATGGCGATTAACGCTGCCATCTCTCTGCCCATCGCAAGCACGGGAAGTATTAGCCATACCAAAGGCCAAGCTGCTTTGGCATTCTATTATTTGTTCAACGTTGTCTTCTCTTTTACCTACACCCCACTGCAGGGAGTGGTCCCAGCCGAGGCACTAGAGACCACTACTCGTGCCAAAGGTCTGGCTCTGTCTGGCTTCATGGTCAGCTCAATCAGTTTCATCAGTCAATTTGCTTCACCTATCGGACTGGGTAATATCTCCACGAACTATTTCTGGATTTTCGTCGGATGGGACCTGATTGAGGTTGTGTGTTGGTATTTCTTCTGGTATGGGAACCTATAATTCTTATCTGGTTGCAGACTCGAAAGTCTTCTTGCTGACAATTGGAAAATAGCGTCGAATCGCAAGGCCGTACTCTCGAGGAGCTTGAGTGGGTCTACCAGCAGCCTAATCCGGTCAAGGCTTCACAGAGCCTGGATAAGGTTGTTGTGCAGCAAGATGGCACCGTTACTGAGAAGATTGAAACTGATGCTTAAGTTTGAGATCACTGGCATATGCCATGTGTGTAGCCCAACAGTCGCACAAACCTTCCAAGGTTGGCGTTGAACGGGAGCAGCTGTTGGTACTTGTGACACCTCGGATATGCACGTGTGGGTGTATTTCGTAGGTGTGGAGGATATATATCATTGAAATGTTTTTAATAAATTTACAATTGTCCCAATCTACTACCATTTGAATGACAAACCGCATCAACTGAAACTAAATACTTTTTGCCCCTCGACGCTGATCCAAGATTTGCAAATCGAGACCATGTTTTTATACCGCAACCTTAAACTTTTCTGCCCGAGTTGCATGCGTGCAAGGGCTTAACCTTATTTTCGTGTAACACAAAAAGAGTCACCGCACAATCGTTTACTCCTGAGCTGGAGCTAAGTAGGGCTTCCAGAGAAATAGAAATAGACTAGGCCAATATCAGTTATTGAGCACGAGAGCAATTTTCTCATCTAACTTCATTGTCACTAGTTCTACAAGGTCCTCAACACGTGCCGTCAGTCAGAGTGATAATTGGAGGACGTGAGGGACGTCGATCCCCCCACATAACAACCAACCCAAGGGCAACCCAAGGTAAGTATACTTAGTGAATTGGGCTTGAAAATCTGAACCATATGCCTCTGCTTTGAATTATCTTCAAAAGAGCCAACTTTCTCCTTCCAAAATCCCTGTTCTCTGCGGTCAGTTGACAGGGCTGAACGGACTAGGCTAGTTCCGGAGTGACGTGTTTTGCCGCGATAGCGATAAGATCTCGGAAAAGATCTCACGCAAGAAAATTATCCTGCAATCGATGCAAGTGGAACGGTCTGCATCAACATGCGGTCATTCGTCCTGCTGAGTCTGTTCGCAGGCGTCATCGGGGCTGTCCCGTTAGACCAGCAGCCGCTTGGCGATTCTCATGCTGAAGAATTCCTTGATGCGACGCAGTTGCCACTGACGGGCGCATCCGCGCCTGGCTTGCACGGCCGCTTCTTACACATCACTGGTACGTGAATGACCTTAGGACTACTGCTTGGAAGCCCATTATTACAATACTGATTGCGAAAACTACTAGACTTCCACCCCGACCGATACTACCGATACCGCAGCGCGAGCGATGACGGGAGCTGTCACCACGGCAAGGGTGATGCAGGATACTTTGGAGCCGAGGGCTTAGATTGTGACTCGCCTTTGTCGCTGGTGGATGAAACCTTCCGCTGGATCGAACAGAACCTGAAGGATGATATCGATTTTGTGATTTGGACGGGCGACTCGGCTCGTCACGACAATGACGAGCGCATCCCTCGAACCGAAAAGGAGATTTTGGAATTCAATAACTTCATGGCCGAAAAATGGGTGGACCTTTTTGGCGTCCGGAAGAATGATGTCGGCATGAGCGGCGTCCCAGCCGTGAATGTCCCTGTTGTGCCCACTTTCGGCAACAACGACATCGCGCCGCACAACATCTTCATGGATGGACCGAACAAATGGACCAGGCGGTATGCAGAGCTCTGGCGCCACTTCATCCCGGAGGATCAGCGCCATAGCTTTGTCGAGGGTGGATGGTTCACATCCGAGGTCATCCCTGGCAAATTGTCCGTGATCAGTTTGAATACCATGTACTTCTTCGACTCAAACAGTGCGGTGGATGGATGCGCCGACAAGTCAGAGCCTGGATATGAACATATGGAGTGGTTGCGGGTCCAGTTAGAACTCTTGCGCTCCCGCAACATGAAAGCTATTCTAATGGGCCATGTCGCCCCCGCGCACTCGAGTCAGAAGACTAGCTGGGACGAGACTTGCTGGCAGAAGTATACCCTTTGGGTGAACCGCTTCCGTGACGTTATTGTGGGAACCGCTTATGGACATATGAATGTCGACCATTTCATGCTACAGGATAGCCATGATATTGACTTCGACTTCTTGACGCATAAGACTACCAGCGAACGGGTAGGAATTCAGTCTAAGACAGACTACCTCAGCTCACTACGAACGGACTGGGCGGATTTACCATCCCCTCCACCCGGAGTATTTGACGATTACGATTCGTCATCCGTTGATACCCAGAAAAAAGGGAAAAAGAACAAGAAAAACAAGGACGAGAAGGAGAAGAAAGACAAGAAGAAGGAGAAAAAGCGACAAAAATTCTTCAAGAAGATTGAAGGCCCGTGGGCTGAGCGATACAGTGTGTCACTAGTTTCGCCCAGTGTGGTGCCAAATTACTTCCCTACGCTTCGTGTGATCGAGTACAACATCACCGGCCTGGATAATACATTTGAGCGCGATTTCATCGACTCCGCAGCATTGGCAGGTTCTAATACCGAGGAAGATACACCAGAGCTCCTCAAAAAGAAGAAACACAAGAAGAAGAAGAAGCCGGACTTCAAGGTCCCTGATGCACCATCTCGCACTAGCCCACCGGGACCTGCCTACTCTAATCAGCCCCTTACTTGGTTGAGTTACACTCAATACTTTGCCAACATCACTCATTCTAATGCACAGTATGCATCCGGCGACAAAGACGCCCACCTCGACTATGAAGTTGAGTACAATACTAGAGATGATGTCTACCAGATGAAAGACTTGACGGTGCGGAGCTTTCTCCAGCTGGCAGTACGCATCGCAGAGCAAGGCGAGGCGACAAATGAGGTTGGCATCACCAAAAAGGTGAACAAGGCCTGGGGCGCGTTCCTCACGCGTGCATTTACCGGGTTTTTTGATGTGGATGATTTGAATGATCAGCTGGAATCATGATTATTATGGCGCCCCCTAGGGTCTTGCATTGATTGCATAGTGGATTGGAGATCCATGCATTCACGGTGTTCTTATTTTTCTTATTTTTAGAATACAGTGTAGAATAGGCATTACATGTATTATTCAATTTACAGCCCGACATCATTCTAGCGGTGTACCTCTCCACCAAGTATCGGTACCCGCGTTATCCTGCGCCCAAAAACCCAAACCTAGACATCTCGATTGTATTACATCCCTTGAACCCTGTCCAACGAATAGCCTGCATAAATCGACCAGTCAATCTCTTTGACCTGTCACAATCCTCCCATCACAGAGCGGTGATTGTGATCTCGACCACGTCAATCTGCGTAGGGCGGGTACAAGTACTGAATACCCCCACCACGGGTACTGCCAAATCATGCCACGTTGGCAAAAAGTTACTTGTACCTGAAAACCCGACGCAGGCGGACTTTGGGATTAATTTAATCCAAAGCGAACGGTCCAATTGGACGGAGGCTGCACAACCCTAGCCGCTGCCACGTAGCGCGCCTCAATTTCCTCCCGGGGCGGACTTGCTTTCCACCTAGTCCGTGCATGCAAGACAGCGCATCCTAAGAAATTAGTCTGCGGAGGCTGGGATTCTCGCCACTTGCATTGCCAATTGGGCATTTGCCTCCGGTAGATCGCTTCACAGTTCGTATCAAGTACTCGGCCCAATGGCTCATAACAGAAGCCGTATAGCGATTGGGTCCATGAAGCCAAATATGATTTGAGATGATTTCCCTGGCAAAACAGAACTAGTAATCAATACGAATGATGTGCTCCGTACATCATTACTCGCCCCATTACTGTCTTTTTATCATTTCCCGTGCGTCATATCAAGAGGCTCGGCCCTTGCTTCAAATCTTTTCCTCCCTTCCCGTTGAAGACCAATTCCACTTCCGCGCTCCAACTTTCCCCGCACGGAGGTTGTGCGCTGTCAAGAATCGCCAATTTCAACAACTCAATCCCCCTTGCCACACGATGCGTCAGACTTTCTCTCTATATCAATTTTCCTTTTTCTTCAACTGTTCCTTGCGTTGCTAGCGGTCCTGCACTACTTTCGAACCCGTCCCTTACCCGAGAAGAGAAGCCGATCGGCGCTGTGAGACGACACAGACTGCATTTGATAATATTGGGCATTGTTACACTGGGAGATTTGCGGTTGTCTTGGAGCTGGGAGGATCCATTGGTGGTTCGATTGTGTTACTCTAGGTTTTTGGATCCGTGGATCTGAACCTTACAGATCGACCGGCTTCGTTCGGAGTATACTTAAGTGGTGGAATTGGTTGGGCGCATCACACAGGTCTATCGGGTTTGCCGAGCTCCGTTCGGCGCAATTGGCTAGCGTCTTCGCTATACGCGCGTGGCTGGAGCATGCTGTGCGCGCTGCGTTTGAGGTTCGTTTGAAGCTTCGTTTGCGCAGTAGCGAAGTAGGTAAGCTTGTTTCTTTTCGTCCTTCGGGCTCTTTCCCAATTGACGATCTCCGTCAAACCCTTGACTTCGAGCTATGCATCCAATTCAAAGCATGCCTGCACAAATGGCTGACTATATCGATCAGGAGGTTGTCGCCTCCGCCTCATTGGCTTTATGGATGGCCTCCTCAGAAGTGGATCAGAAAGCCCTGGGCAATTTTGCGGCCGCAATGGCGCTCGAAAACCCACTGCTGTCCGCAATGCTATACAAGATTCTCGGGACATCAGTCATGCTCTCAAAGAAGCTCCTTCGCGCTAGACGACTACGCCGACTAGATACGACCCGTGAAACGAAATCTCTCCAGCTTTACCACCATATCATCTGGTTATCCCGCGAGGGTTTGTTCATACTAGAAGGGTACATCCTCCCAATGGTATCGCCATATGTTGAACTAAAAGTGCTATCCTACAAATTGCGCGCCTCATTCTATCACATTGTCGTCCTATTCCACAACAGACCTGTGATCCAACCACCAGATTCCCAACCCCCGCCCAACCTTAAACATGACTCTATATATGGGCCAGACGCCTTAACAGCTCTCCGCGCTTACGAGTCCCAAAACAAAACACGACACCCACCAGGCCTGGAACCAGTTCAACCAGTCCAACCAGTCCAACCAGTCCAACCCGTCTCTTCATTCCTCCTGCCTCCACTGGACTACACCGCCACCGCGACAGCATGCTTCACCCACGCCGCACTACTAGCCGATAAACTCCTCCCAGGCTCACATCCTCTCCGTCTATCCGTCAAGCTGGAATACGCCGCATACTTATACGACTGTCTCCAAGATCCAATCGCCTGTCGCCGGCTCGCCAAACGCGCAATCGCAGACGTGTATAACGCGCAAGAAGGCATGGATGACGAGAGCTTCGAAGATGCCGCTGAGATTGTCGGTGTGCTCGGCAAGATGGTGAAGCGTGGAGGTAAAGCTGGTAGCAGTACGGCTGCTAGCAGTGTTTCGCGTGGCGACATGTCGCGGAGTCGAAGTAGTCGCAGTCTCTCGCATTTGGATGCGAGTATTCCGACTACTGTTTCTCCTGTTCCGGTTACGAAGACTACACCTAATCCTTCTACGACAGTTCTGGAGCCTGCCGTGCCGAATGTGACTATGATGAATCCGATTTGATGTTTATGTCGATTTTATGCTTATGCTTACGTTTTTCATGCTCATTTTATGGAGTTACGATAGAAAAGCCGATGAGAGCCTTGCTTTTGTTTTTATCGTTTCTCATACCAATTCTTTCTCCTATACGGGGCTCTCGTTTTCCTGTTCGATGATCCGAATTACGTTGTGTATATAATGGATTTATCAATAATCCTTCACCTGCCACGATGGCATGAAAACCACAATCTGTGTATTGTGTTACATATTTAACCATGTTAATATTTTTACCCAACGGGGTTTACACAAATAAATTATGTCAATACGAATTAACGAGCTTGACTCCAGTATAGCACTTGCATGGGAGATCCTCAGTAGGGGTGAAGGTTGGAGAAAAAGGGCTGGTGGTGTGACAATGGTCTATGCAGGCACCTCGAGAAGCGCCAGCATCGGGAATTCTTCTAATCCGTACCAATCTAAAAAGAAATCTTGTTTAAATTTTTGGGCAGACCACCGCCCACTGGCTCGCTCAGGCTGTGCGCCGCAAATCTTCATTCTTATAACGTTATCTACCGACCCACAGCTGTCCACGGGTCTCGGGTGGATCGGCGCGAGGCCGAACCAGGTCATATAAACGAAACGCCCGATACAGACCCTTCTCCAGTCTCGATGTGGTGGAGCCTCAAGGCCTAGTCCTTACAAGGAAAATCGATTAGACCAATGACTGTCATATCTATCAGGTAACGACCTCACGTCATCATCCAAGAATAGAGCGCCTGGAATATCAGCTTCTCCACGGTACCTGGTCACACAACACCAGGGACAAGACTAGCCCTATCCCAGTACATTCACTAAATGTATGAAAGATGAAAGATCACCAGCCAATGCGGATATTGTGGCCGCGCGTTTCTCGGGAGAGTTCGTGTACAGCGCCGGGCGGAAGCCATGTGGCGCCATTGGACGCCTTGCCGATCATCCTTCATGCGAAAGATATCACACGCTTGTTTTCAAGTTTATTGAATCACATATCACATGATGGGTTTCGAGTCTGTTGGGAATGATTCAGTTCCTCCGTACCCTCCATCCTCTACTCATCATTCCGAGCATCAGTCTCCCGCTTAGACTCAGATCCGACACGCACATCTTCCCCCATTTGAAGATCAAACCCTATTCGTCTCTGGTAGTAGCGCCTATCTACTATTCAGCTTCACATGTGTCTGATGTACCTTTCGGGGAACTACTGTCGCTAGGCAGGAAAAATGTGAAAAGATTCAAGAATCAATTGGCTCTATGCTATGTGCATGCGTAAGAACGAGAGCTATAAACTTCTAATCATTGACAAATACTTCAATCCGTCTTGTCGCGATCGGCTGCCTGGGTTTCATTAACAGAGACTCTTGATGGTGCTCGTGACGTCATTCTAGAATGCGATATTCTCGCATCTGTCGTGCTGACGGCATGGAAAGAGAAATCCAGCTCTCCAACAAGGCCTTTCACATGCCTGAATAAATTATAGAAATTAGCATTTCGTCTACAAAGAAAAATGGTTCGAACATACCACATGAGTCTTTCCACGTCTCCGACTATACAGCGAGTGGAAATTTGCAAGACGGCGAACGCTGCAAAGCCCGGTTCGGCAATGTGCTTGATACTCAAGATATCCTTATCCAGCGCCTCCAGTCGCTTGGAAAAGCTGTACGGCCGTGGAGTTTTGAGGTACGGGGGCAATGGCTGGCGATTGGTAATACTGGCCGACAGAAGACACAACAGGGATGTCACTTCGTGAGTTGTGACCTTGGCGGTAGCGACGAGACGTCGGAAATCATGCATCCAGGCCGATCCCGATCCCGATCCGTCATCATCATCGTTAACGCGCATCAGAGTATCAGATGCGTATCCGAGCAGACTGAGGTAGCTCACAATGCTATAAAAGGGGACTTGTTAGCGAAAGGACTGGGGATAGGGAACAGGGAAGAAACCAACTTTTCAACGCAGACAATAATCGAGTCGTATTGCTCTTTGGGAAATCTTCCACCGATGGGAACCTCCCATGTCAAAAACCCGGAGTAAGTCCGCAGACCGGCCAACATGAGCATCTGCTTCGAAAAGACTTTATGCCGGGCCTTCTCCAATTTGCGGCCTGCGGAGGTTTTCAACGATGTGTCACCTTCATCACCGCGGATACGAGCAGATAGCGTTTCGTGGATAATGGAGTAATAATTGGCCAGCAGATACAGAGATGCTCCTAGACTCTGCCGGAGCACTGAGTGTTCCGAAATGGGGTATGGGAAGAATGTCCAGATGAATGCCACAAAGATACCTCCACTCACCGCAGCCAGGCGATATGGCGCGAGCTCGTAGATGGGATAATAAGCTTGCCCATTCGAGGTTGCGACTTCCTTCCCGACCTTTCGGACAGAGAGCTCGTATCCAATGATCATGGTTGTTGTGACGACGCTGATCAGGCCAACGACACGGAACCGGAATAACTTGATTGGCACATAGAAGCCAATTGAAACGAAGATGAAGAGGAAGACGATAATACCGGGTGTCTTTTGGTCAGGAATATACCAAATCAACAGACTTACTACCATCGCAATGGTGGTGCCGATAATTCGAAGTACGAAGCTGAAGATACTTTGACCTGATGTGGGTGACATGCTCAGATTGACCATGATCATGGCCCACACCAACCGCTGCTTGGTAAAGAAGTCTTGCGTGGGATGTAAGAAAGCAATGACTGCAATAGTCATTGTAGCGCAAGCAACGCGGAATCCGTACGAGGATTCAAAGGAGCGAAGAAAGCGTGGGATTACCCGAATCTTATCTCCTACTTTTTGAAACAGATTTGACGGGGGCAGATGTTCAGGATCTTTGCGATGCCGGTAGGCCTCTCCAAGTTCCAGAGAAGTGTTTTGGGTATGGATATCTCCCAAATGATCGTCTTCGTGGTTCTCTGGAGCAATCAGAAATGTCTTTCCCCACTTCAGAAGACGCTTTGCACCAGGAATAATAAGCCGAGTTCGGGACAGCTTTCCTTTTGCAGCAACACCATCGGCATACTGCACAAATCCAAGGACAGTCTGACCGGTCGAATACAGTAGTTGTTCCATGTAGAGGAAAAGGTATAACTGACGGCGACTCCGATCTTGATACGAAGCGGAGGCATCAAAGAAATTGCCCTTTAAGCTGTCCACCGGTGGATGATCGAAAAAGTCGGGTGGCAATGAAACCCCCTTTTCTTCGGCCCATGTTTGCAAGGCAACCTTCTTCGCGTTTCGAAACAAGCTCAACCTTTGCTTGTAGTCTTCCGCAAATCCCTTGTAGCCGGGTGCCGCTTTACCAGCAGAGGCTTCCACGTCCTTTTCATCTCCCTCTGCGTCGTCATTTCCATTAGTTGCCACAGCCGCTTTCTTTGGGCGCTTTTCCAAATGAAGAACATATGAAGTATGCAGCAATCCCTCGTCGATTGTCTGAATCATTCTTGCAAAGGGGTCGTGCACCGCCCTCATGATATCATTCCAATCATGAACCACCTGTTCACGAACATGATTTGGAATAGGCTCGGCGTTTGGATCAATCGGCTCATTCCACCGATTATAATCCGACAGTCTTTGGAAGATGTCGACAACGAAACTCAGTCCAACCACAGGAACCATTATCTGGCGCAGATGGCGAAAAATGGACTGGATATCGTCTGGTCCAAGTTTGCCGAGTGCGAATTCTCTTTTGGCAAAGGTCAAGTCACCGTGAAGTTTGGCATGAAGATCGGTGATTCCGCGGACCGCGCCACGAATGGCTTCCGCCTCGGGGCTGTAGACTTTGCCTTTCTTTCCCCATTTCTCTTGAGAAGAATCGTACGTCTCTGCCCGGCCAAACATATCGTCCCTTTCCAGACTTTCGAAGTATACCGCGTGAGCGGTCAATGCTCCTCGGAGGCTTTTGATATAGCCGCCCATTTGTTTGAAGACCGCTTTGCGCGAAGTCATAGGAAAGACGAAAAGCGATACTCCACTAGACAAGGCCAGTCCGCTGAGACAGGTCTTCAGCAGTTTCACTACAAAGGCGATCGCAGAAGTCATGCTAGTTTCCTGTGGGGCATAGATAGACGAGATGTTGGCGAAGATTGAGTAGAGGACGACAGGGAATTGGAACTGTGGGTACTTGGCCCGGAACGTATGGACAAGCCAAATCTGGAAAAATAGCCAAACCCCACTGACTGCTGATGCCGATGAATTGTACGAGGAAGTTGTTCCTGTTTCGGTGTGCTGCCGTGCCTTGACACTGGAATACATGGTCAACAAGGCCAAGCAGGCTGCTATGCAGATCGCGAAGACGTCGAAGATCATCATCTGAATGAATTTGGCACGAGGCATGATGGCAAATCCCAAGATTGACACAATGGCTATAAGGTAGCCGAGCGTGGTGTACTCATCTGCCACATCTGTGGCTTGGTATCTGATTCAAGAGTCAGATGGCGAACAAATCAATCAAGTGGATCCACTTACATGGCTACCGCAATCGTGGGAGCCAATCCACCCCTGATTTGAAATTAGCGATCGCTCCTTCGCAAGCCAGAAATTCATAGCGTACTTCATCATCAAGATAATGGTTTGCTGATCCAACCCAGATTTCTGCCATAGTTTCTTCACTCTACCTCCAAGTGTGACTTTCTCTTTTTTGGTGGCCTGGGTATCGTGTCGTGATAATGTCTGACTCATCTCTGCAGATTGTCTGGTATTAGTGCGAGACGCCATGTTGGCTAGCGCGATGCGACCGCGTCGATTACACCGTCAAATGTCCAATCCAACGCGGGCCGTCCAATGCATGCATATCGCGTTCAGCGCTGGTTCTTGTTTGTCGTTAGAGCGTCAGGGCGCGGTCGCTGCAGGGCCAAGGAGTGCGGAAGAGGAGGTTTGAGGGGGTGAAGGAATTCCGTCGTGAACCACGTTTTCGGGTGGGGCCCCCGGCCATCTCGTTGCGGGGGAGTTGAGCTGCAATGCATGATCAAAGTTGTGCATTTCTTTATTCATGTTCATAAGGGAAATTTTGACTAATGTGAGTATTGGAATGTTCTTTCTATTTGATCGAGACAAATATGAAAGAGAATTGTGAAACCAGGCCAATAGGCACGTCCTTACATAGAGGTTCTTATCGCAATTGCTAATGTCTCATCGGTTTCTAAATGAACCGGCGCTAAAATGAGCCCCTGAAAACCCTTTGATAAACAAGCTTCTTCCCCTCTCCACATTTATTTTCCATGACCCTGTGTCATCCTTTTCTGCACACGTCTACAAGTGCATTGTCTAAAATGTCCAACCCCCAGTCATGACCATTATGAATCAGTCTCAAGAAACGAACATCGGCAGAGAAGAAAAAGACCTCTTTCACTGACTCTACTGCCATAACTCATAATGACGGAGGATACAACCACCGCACAAGATGCGCCCAATAGACAGACTTCAATGCTTAAACGCAAACCAGTCCCAGTCCCTGCCACAGCTGCGCCCGTCCCTGATGCCGAGGCAGCGAAATCTCAACCCACCGAAACAACGGGCGTTGCTGGCGACCAAAAACATCATATACCTCTTGTCGGACCGATAGCCATCTGGTGGACATCCCAGAAGCGATCACGAAAACTTCTCGTCATCGGCGCTCTTGTCGCCGTCCTTCTAATCGCGCTAATTATCGGCCTAGCTGTCGGACTCACAGTTGGCAAGAAGTAAGTTGCTTGAGCCTATGGCCCAGAGATAGAGACGTGCTGACAAACAAAGCAAAACATCCAACCTTCCCTTGCCGACTTCCAACGGGGGTCCGTACTCTGGTGACCTGACATACTACGACCCCGGCCTCGGTGCATGCGGCGATACCAGTACAGAGTCCGAAATGATTTGTGCGGTCTCCCATATCGTCTTCGATGCGGCGTCGACGAGCTCAAATCCCAACGACAATCCTTTATGTGGCTTGAAGATTAGAATTCGTCGTGATGGGCATAGTGTAGATGTCAAAGTTGTGGATCGATGTGTTGGGTGTGCCGAGACTGATCTTGATGTTACTGAAGCGGCATTTGAAAAGGTTGCTAGTATTCCTCAAGGAAGGGTGACTATGGAATGGGCATGGCTAGAGAAATCACCTGTGGATGCTTAACGTTGTGTCACTCTTTGAACATTCTACGTAAGTAGAAAGTATGTCCCTTTGCTACTAGCATGAGTATTCAAATAGAGAATATAGTACTCAAGTTTTGCTGTGGTATGTTGGGGAATTAAGATATTCAACGAGCGTCATCTCTATGAGGCATAGTCCAAATCATTTTCATCTTCCCATCAACATCACAAGACGCTTTACTCACCGAGAATGTTCTAGATGATTATCCAGGCAACACTGACGTTCAGTTTAACGGATCGATTGGGCTCGTTGCTGTGGCCGCAAATGACCTCGCCACCTCAACCATGGATCAATCCCAAATGACATAGTACATCCCCGCACGTTCCTTACTATCCCATCCACCCATCCCAAACACGCCAGTCAGCAATCAGAGATCATGACTCTACGATCAAGAAGCGTCCAAAGTCCCCTCTATCCAATAGGCCTTCGCAGTGACCACATCGCCGAATTTGAAAGACTCCTCTGGATAGAACCAAAGTACGATCCAGCATCCGCGAACGAATACATAATCAAATTTGACAGCGATGACTCCACCCTCATAACCGTGACAGGCAAATGTTACTACAGAAACAGGCCCGTCCGCGAATTCCGTGACGCCTCTGGACTTCCCATGTTCGAAGTACGGCGCGGAGGGTGGCACTGGCTGACCCCAGCCTGGCGAATCCGTCTACCGGGGAATGAAACTGGAAATCTCGCCTACGTAAAGCCGGTTGGATGGCGGTCAGAATTTGACTTGACATTTCGGAACGCGCTTGCCCCTGATGTGAAGAACGATGATGAAAAGATGGTCACTTTGGAAGTTAGATATGCTTCACCATTTTGCGGATTTGGTATCTGGGTAGGTGGGCGGAAGGTCGCTGATGTGCGGCAGAGTATGGAGAGGAATAGGACTATTCGGAGTATGTTGGGAGGACCATCTTACAATCCACCCAGGGCAATTATGGAGGTTCTTGTTGCTGATGGGTTCGACTTTTCTCTCGTGAGTCCCGCCATTCCATTTGTGGGTTTTGTCGACTAAGAGGTATTATAGGCATCACTTTGTGCGGTCATCCTTTGTGATGAGCACTTCAGGTCTACGCCTCCTTCCATTTTTGAGACTCAAGAGCGGGCGAAACGTCTTAATCCCAAGATGGTATCATAAGAAAGTTGATATATGTTCGGGCAATTTATTCAGTGAAGCGTTCGTGATAATTTAACATCTATTCATATTATCTCAACACTCTTATAGAGACGGAGGCAGCTTGTCATGGTGAAAGGCCCATGAGAGTCCTTATTTCGCTGCCGCTTGGTCCTTGACTTGCTCGTCTGTCTGTTCCTCGACGTGCTCTGCGTGAGAAAAGTCGCTTTTCTGGAGTGTCTGCTCAATATCTGCGCGGCGCTGCATCTCGTCAACAGTACCAAAGACAAGGTCCATCTCCTCCAGAGTCCGGCCCTTAGTCTCCTTGAGAAAGATAGCAACAAAGATCGACATAGCGGTACAGAAGATACCGAACATGAGAAAGGTTCTCCAGCCAATCTTATTGATAGCACGAGGGGTAACCTCAGTGATAACAAAGTTGAAAAGCCACTGAGTGGCAGCACCAAGGCCGACACCGTATGAACGAAGCCGAGTGGGGAAGATCTAACAAGATTAGTTGAAATCTCAAGAATCGATATTGTCTGAGATCTTACCTCGCCTAGGTAGACCCAAGGGGTTGGGCCCCATGAGAAAGAGTAACCAATAACGTAAAGGTAAATCATGGCAACCATGGCAGTAGACGCCGGGGAAACGCTGGTAGCATCAGCGTTGGGAGGGTTTGTTGCTAAGACAGCTCCAATGATGAACATCATAGCAGCCATCCAGGCACCACCACCGATCATACTGTTCTTACGGCCCCATCGGTCAATTCCAATGAACAGGAAGATGGCCGTAGCGACAACTTTGACAGTACCATAGATACCAGTAGCAAATAGCGATGAGTTGGTCGAGCTGACACCAATGGACTCGAAGATTTGGGGCGCATAGTATCCAATACTGTTCGTTCCAGAGAATTGCTGCCAGAACATGATCACGAAGGCCAAGAAGAACCGGTAACGGTTACTCTTCTCCAAGCACTCCTTCCAGGTGACACCCTCAGTAGCAAGTGTCTCCTCTTCAACGGCAGTATAAATTTCCGCAATCTCCCTCTGCACTTCTTCGCTATCCTGAGGCTCATTTCGAATGTAAGCCAGCGAGGTAAGTGCCTCATCCTGGCGACCCTGCTTCATCAGCCAGCGAGGGGACTCTTTGAGGAAGAAAAGTCCAACAAGCATCAGTCCACCAGGGACAAGCTGAATGGCCACGGGAATCCGCCACTGGCGGGTACTCTCCGGGATGTGCAGCTTGACACCATAATCCAGCCAGTAGGCGAACGTACTACCGATGACCAGGAACTCCTGGAACATACCGGCAATCCGACCTCTGTATTCGGGTGGGCAGTTCTCACTGACGAAGACGGGAGTGATACTCGACATGCCACCGATACCGAGACCGGCAATGACACGACCACCGTAGATCATACCGATCTGGTGGTGAGCGCCGACCTGGATTGCGGCACCGACCAGGAAGATGGAGCAGAAGATCATGAGCGAATAGCGACGACCAATGCGGTCATTGATATAGGCTGCGAAGATCGAGCCGAAAAAACATCCTGCTGTCAAGAGACTGACAACATTTGATGAGATTTGTGCGTTTTTGTCTGAGGCGAATCCGGATGATGAAAGTGGGAGGCCAAAGTCTTTCTTGAAGCTGTCCATAGCTAGGACGGAGCTCATAACACCCGTGTCATATCCTATATACTCATATTAGTGCACATGTACGCGTAGACACGATGCTGTAACGAACCGAAAAGCAGGGAGCCTAGGTAGGCGACTGCTGTGAGGACATAGACACGGTAATTCTTCAATAGACGAGGTGCCATTGTGTCGGTGGTAGTGAGGAAGCCTCAGTGGGAAATCTGGAGAAAAATAGAAAAACCAAGAAGGGAAAAAAAAGTTGATAAACGGCCGGCCGTATACGAGTTCCCCAGAAACTGGAGAAAAAAAGAAGGGGCCCCGGATGGTGGCATTTTATAATGGATCTAGCAATCTAGTCTCTGCAACGCTACCAGTGGGCCGAAAAGCTGATCGACATGTTCGGCTATTGATTAGCATCATCATTGTTTGAATACAGCGCATGCTCAACTAGTGAGACCCATATAAAGGTGCTTATGGCGCGAGGGAACCAGGGTTAAAAGTCGGATGGGGCCATATTGGGGAAAACATGGCGGGGGCGGCCGCGGGGTTGAGTGGTGGAGAAACAGTCTTAGCCTATCGACAATTTTTTCCGTCAATCTCAGGGTCTCACGGCTTGTTAGCGTATGGCATGAGGCCGCTTGACCAGCAATCTTGATTGGCTTGGATCGGGTGAATGGTACATTCCGTTGGGTGCCAAGAAGCTTAGTATGAAGCTCTGCGGTTGGTGGAATATTTGGAATTTGTCCGTCCGCTGATCCACTTTGTGGTCCCTATCTGCTGCTGTGAGGACCATATATCTGGAGAGAGCTCGCATTATCTTCTGTCAGCTTGTCCCCACGGGGTTGCGCGTCAAGAATCTCTCACGTCATCTAGGTCATCTGGGAAGGATGCTCGAAACCTCAGAGTGTTGAGACGTCCATTTCGATATCGTCAATATTACTTTCCAGTCTCTCAATTTCGCAAATGCCGTCAGCGGCAGGAATCAAATGCCGACTGTCACCGACGCTTCTGGACTCTTGATTCTGCAACGTAACAGCCACGAAATGACTAAGATTATACTTTCTCGCGTATTGGCAGTCGGGTATCACGGATTATCCGAGGGGTATATCATCTCGGCAAACTAGATCGGCGCATTGATGTCAGTATACGAAGTCAAATCGGACAGGCATGGATACCAGAGCCGACGTGAAATGAGACGCTACAGGATCCGGCAGTGAAGGTCGGCATCACTAGGAAAATTATCTTATCAGCTCGGAACTATAAGCTATCGAATCCGAAAGCTGACTGAATACTCACGAGAAGACAATTACCAGCTCCCGAGGCTCTTTAAACGACTTCCGATCTAAATTCGCCTCGTCAAACCGCCCGCTAATTAAATTAAAATTTAAACACAAATTATAACAGATTCCCTTGAATACCGTGAGTCGTGTATATCATCGTGTCCATCGCTGTGAAAAGCATCATTGCTTGCATTGCCTTCAGAGACATTAATCATCCGTTTCCCATCCATCGAGGAGTCACGCTTTCTAGTCCGGGCCGTGTGTGTACTGGAGCTAGCTACATAAGGAGAGCTTAGCTCGTGTGTATTCCGGCTTGTTGATTGGCTCTTTATTGAGCGTACTAGGGATCGGAGGAACGGTACGGAGGCCGTGATGATCACCAAATACGTCTCAATGTACAGCCATCGATCGTAGTCTACTGTCGCAATCGTCGGATCCATATCGTAGGATGCGAGCACGCGTGTCTGGACGGTTCGTATGATAGCGGCGACCATTGCACTGCATAGATCAGCCCGGGTTAGCTTCAATCGGTCGGTTCCTCGGTGCAGTTTCAACGGTGGGTACTCACAAAATTCCTAGTCCAAGCAAAGTAACCAATCCCAGCTTCACCCTTAACTTCAAGTTCAATGTCCAGAATATGCAGGTTGAGAAGACAGCAAGGTACAAGTCAGTTGCTGAATTGAAGGCTAGGACGCGCAATGTCAATATTCAATCATGAAAGTGAGTAGTCAATGAAAGGTATTTCTTACCTCCTTGGAAATATCCATAGTACGCTTGCACTTTGGTATTCCAACATTTCGATTTGTCGGAATGCTCCCAGATAGCTGAAGCGTGCCCCGGGCATTGGACAAATAAGATGATAATAAACATCGAGTTGACGAGGACCTGCATCGCTACCAGTCCCCAAAAGACGGCGCGATGCCATTGCTTGGAGACAAGTAGTCCGGTGACAAAAACAATGAACGAAATCCGCCCTAACGCCCCACCTGCCAGCGCAAATGTCTGTGTGAGGTAATCGAACATGATGACTTTGGAAACGTCATCGGCATCAATGTCTCCAACCTTTTGACCGAACCCATGCTGGATGCCAAGGGTAATCATAACAGATCCGACCGTGGATAAGCACTGCGAAGGAACAGAGAATTTGAATTAGAACAAACGATACAAACAGATATTTGATTATTCTGCACTCTGCAAATATCTAGCTGGTAGGAGAAGGTATGCTAACCAGTGCAAATCCCATGAGTATATCATCCAGCCCTAATTTGTGCACTTTCCATTTCGCAATGAATCGCAAGATGACGACTAATATGGCAACAGCCGTAAGAGCCCAAACATCCCTGAGAAGCTGAGGTCCGGAATCATAGACTGATTCCGACCCTCGGTTCACAATAGACATGGTGTAGCGATGGTAGGTTACCGGGCATTAACTCATGATAATGAAAAGGCAGTCATCAGGTCATATAGCGAACAGTGCTTGTCGCTGGTGATTATATGACGCGTGCCCTATCAAATGGTTATCAAGATGAGAAAAGGGGGGGAATTACCATCGGAGATCTCCATGGTTGAATTCAGACAGTCATCCAACGAGCCAAGACTGCTTGAATAAGGTTGTCGGAGGTCACCGTGGCGGGTCTTGGGGCACGCGATAATGATATTGGGGGCTGCGATTTCGCGAAACCTTAATGCGGATTTATGCGGGTGGATAGGGGCGATGATAATGTCAGTCATGGTGATTGGCCCCCGCGATCAATTTGATCACCGAATATCTTCGACGAGTCAGACGGGCGTATATACTTAACCAATTGTGTATCGCAAAAAGCTTCTATTAGATCTCGAGCTGAACTGATAATAGAGATTTATATCAAGATCAGGTTCTATTGGTAGATACAGTAATCCTATCGTGGATTTAAATATCAATTTCGTCGTCCAATGAGAACATGTCTATGAGATTAAATTCAGGGAGAAAAGAAAGGTACAATCTGCCTACAGTTTAGAGTATTCCAATCATTTGAGACGGCGATATGACGCGAACATATGCCATCAATCTTATCAATGCAAACCTACTACATCTCATTCGCTTACAACTTTTGTCCAAATGACACTGTGTGGTGCTCTCCTCCAATATTTCATGGGAAGGCAATGCTTGATTCGAATTACCTATAGAAAAGTAGTTGTAAAGCGGTTTCAGGCTCATGGGACACAGGGCATATACAAGACAGAGGACCGCTGAGAAGTTGGAGATCAGTGGATTGAACGTTACAAAATCAGCTGGATACTCACTAACCCACATATGAGATAGCGCGGCAATTTCAATTCAGAGCAGTATATCTATCAATTACATTTCCAGATACCCATTTACTCGCCATAGGCTGGCTACCCAGGAACGTGAAGGTGATAAGGAGAGATGTCTACAGAGACAGTACCTTTTTCTTACCTATATCGCGACCTAAATTGGTGTTCAACTATCTCAACCATTCATTTCCATGCAGTACTGGGCAAACCATGGTCATGTTTTTCAAATTAGGACTAGAGGAAAACTGAACGTCACTTAGGTGACTTACTTTGCGACTTGAGGTTCTCCAGAAATACCAAAGCACAAATCATCAGAAAAACAAGTTTTGACCAGGATTAGCGTAGTTTATGTTGTTTTAGACTAGAGGGATGCGTGGTTGCAGGATCTTGATCTTCCCCAGATGATGACTAGCATGCGCGGTCAGTAGCTCTGCAAGCTGCAAGAGGTCACGTCGAAATCTACCTCTCGAATTGGCCAAGATTCTGGGGCAATGGTGACAGGCGACAGGGTGCATATGCACATGTCAATTCTCGCTTGGACCTCGGATTGGAGGAAATAGCGGTGAACACGATTTTCACGCATGTTGAAAATTTTATCCGCAAAGGTAGTGGATCATTGCCACTCAAGAAATCTTGGGAATAGAGCTTTAATTGCTAACACATCTTGCAACCTTGAATGTCAATTAATCTAAGCGGCGGGACACTAGGGAAAAAGCGGCTTAAGTGTGGGTCAAAAGATCCATTCGGGCCCGCAAAGTTTATAGAGATTCAGCACGGCTAGATACGGGGAAAGCTGACATGTTGCATTCTCTTTCCTTATTCCTGGCATCGTAGGCTTATTCACACTTTCATCTGCGGATCATACGAGATGAAACACGAGTTTGAGGCAGGGAGTCTGATTTGAACTCTCATTAGAACCTCGATCGCTCAACCATCACCGGGAGCCAGGTACAGATATAAAGTTTGTCTTGCCCGAAGAAATTGAAACGCACAAACAGACTCAATCCCACACTTCCCCTTACCCAACTCTTACCGCACGATGACTGGAACCAACATGACCCCTCACATAGGAGCGACGCTGCGCATATGGAAACAGTTGCAAGAATTGAAGAACCAAACTAACCCAATTGTCCTCGATGGAAACAATCTCGATATTGCCTCCATCATTGCAGTTGCCCGCCATGGAATCAAGCCTAAGATAAGCACGGACGAACACCTCGCGAAGCGACTCGAACTCAGCGTCAACACTCTTGCAGACTATCTGGCAAATCAATACGTGGTCTATGGGGTGAATACCGGGTTTGGAGGGAGCGCCGACACGAGAACAAGCGATATCCTCGATCTGCAGATCCATTTGTTGCAGCATACCCAGAGCGCGATCATCACAGCTGCGGATAAGGACCCCGCCAGCAATTCGGAGCGAGAACCCTCCCACGTCATGCCTCCCGCCTGGGTTCGCGGCGCGATTGTCGTCCGAGCCAATCAGAACCTTCGGGGGCATAGTGCTATACGATTTTGTGTGCTTCAAAGCTTGCTGGATTTGTTACACCATGACATAACCCCTATGATTCCTCTCAGAGGAACGATATCTGCCTCCGGAGATCTCATGCCCATGTCTTACATTGCAGGAGCCATTGCCGGCAACCCGGATGTCTTTGTGCAGGTGGGCAAAGGAAAAGAAGCTAGAGTCATACCCGCGTCAGAAGCTCTCAAAGAGAGTGGTCTATCGCCATCTGGACTGGGACCGAAAGAAGCGCTCGGGCTTATCAATGGCACTGCACCTTCTGTAGCGGTGGCAAGCTTAGTACTCTATGATGCGCAGAAGCTTGCGCTGCTCGCCCAGATGCTCACGGCATTCGCTTCAGAGTGCATGGGTGGGAATGTTGAATGGGCCCAGCCTTTTATTCATGCCATACGACCCCACACTGGTCAAGTTGAGGCAGCTAGCAACATCCGACGCTTTCTGAACGGCTCCAAATTTGTCGATGGTCTGGAGTCGAGAAAGAGAACTGGCGAGGGACTTTGGCAAGATCGGTATTCGACAAGGACCGCCCCGCAGTGGATTGGACCGTACCTGGAGGACCTTCTTCTCGCGCAACATCAACTGGAGGTCGAACTCAATTCTACATCCGATAATCCCATCGTCAACGCTGCAGAACACGGCGGTGGAGAAGTATACTCGGGCGGAAACTTCCAGGCTGTTGTGGTCACATCTGCCATGGACAAGACACGCCTGGCTCTTCAAATGATTGGCCGCATGCTATGGTCCCAGGTTACTGAGATTATCGGTCCTCACACGAATAATGGACTTGAAGCGAATCTCAACCCAAGCGATCATGAGAATTATACCATGAAGGGAATCGATGTCAACATTTCAGCGTACATGTCTGAGCTTGCAGCTTTGGCGCATCCCGTTTCTGCCCATGTCATGTCTGCCGAGATGCATAACCAGGGTATCAACTCACTGGCTCTAATCTCTGCCCGGCGTACGCTAGAAGCCGCAGACTTGGTCGCCCATATGAGTGCCTGCCATATCTACGTGTCATGCCAAGCCGTCGAAATGCGCGCAAATCACATTCGATTCCTTTCTGCACTCAACGGAAAGCTGAAGAGCAGTACATCCGACGGCGCAATGGGTGATCTGGGATTGGACACATCACAAATTGAGGCGCTCGCCAAAACCCTACAGCCTCTCATCGAGTCAACATGGTACCACTGGAATTCCAATACATGGAAAGAAAGAATACCATATGTTGTCGACGCCGTGATGTCACCTGTCACTGACTTCCTGGCTACAATTGGACATGATTGTTCGGTATCAATGCTTGCTGCTTTTAAGAGGCATTTCAGAACAGTTGTTCAAGACACAGCCGACGCTTTGTTTTATCCCAGTCCGACCATCACTCCTGCAGAGGTAGCTGCCCAGCTGGGTGATGGATCCGCCCAACTGTACACCTGGGTCCGTTCGAAGCTCAATATTCCCCTGCACTGCGGTCTGAAAGATGATCCTTTTTACAACGCGCGACAAGGTCTGCCTACAGACGACAAGAAAACCATAGGCAGCAGAGTGAGCGCAGTCTACGAGAGCTTGATGAGTGGTGAAATGATGGATATGGTCCTGGATGGGCTAGACACTGGTCGGAGCTTTCCTGATGTCTGTTTCTCATGCCTGGCACCGAAGTAGATCTCTCAGTATACTTTGACAGAGCTATAGACCTATCACTATGCTTCGATTCATCGGATGAGCCTTTCTCGTTACAAGATTTCCTATTGAAAGCAACACTAGGGACATGACATAGAGTCTACGAGCGAGCGACATTCTAACTGTTACCTCGATCGAGCCCTTCATATTAGACCTCGGGAAGACGGAAGCTTGTACTAAGCTCACTGCTATTAGGTGACAAGCTGACCCAAACTAGATTAGCTTCTCTTATTACAAGGAGATCGATGCTTGAGCTCCCCAAGGTTTTTAGGACACCTTACTAGCCCACATCTGGGAAAGCGCGTCAATTCTGATTCAGAGTAGTAACCTTATCGAGTACATGACGTTTTGGTAATTACTGCTGGTGAATTTGATATCTCACCAACCCATGAGTGGGATGCCGAATTTGTAGAATCAAAGCTCTATCGCTTAATGTAGTGGCTGGGTCAGTATTACTATAGATGTTCCCAAGACGGCACATGGGAGAGGGCATATCAGACTGAGAAAACCCATCCAGCTGACGGAGATTCATGTCGAGTTACATTCAATTATTGAGATAGCATTTCAACGTCAATTGTGTAGCATATAGCAAAGTAGTCTCAAAGTCAGATCATCTTGTTCAATTATTATTAGGTCAATCTGCATACTTCCTCCTTCCTCCCAGAGAGGTTGAGGGCCTGGAATAAGTATCATTCGAAATTTGGTTGTTGAATGAATGTCGTTGCTGTACGAATCAATTGCATTCATACAAAAATTTCGGTTTTCAATCCCTTAGTTGCTGTAATTATTTCATTTATGTCCTGACAAACAGGAGAATGACAGGACTGCCATTAACACAGAGATACCAGCTTGGACAATGTCAGCACATCTACCGATTGGGATTCGTGGTAAACTTACCTAGAACAGAATTCATATAGTAGTATCCGATGGCATCTGATAAGGATCCAGAAAGGAAGGACCCGACCAGCATTCCCGCAGAGGCGGTCAGCGCAGACATAGAATAAGTCCGATTGTAACCTCCGTTAGGGCCAAAGAGTCCCGGACGCTTTTCCTCTTCCTCGTCAACAGCACCTGTGTTCATTTCCAATAAGCTTTATACAGTATCACATGTGGGTGTAGGTACTCACAAGTTATTTCAATTGCTGAAACACTGCTCATCAGATTGGTGACAAATCCAATAGCAACGATTGCGGAAATATATGTTGCCTCCGCTGAGCTCTGAGGACTTGACCAAGGAAACTCCTTCTGGTCTGCAGCGCCCACTAGCCAGAGCAATGGGGCCAGGAGCGCAAATCCAATTGTAGCAGGAATTCGTGTGCCAATCCTGTCACGAAGCCAGCCATAGAGAGGACTAGCTAATATGATGGGGCCTTCTAATCCCATGAACAAAAGTCCAGTGGGCAAGCTTCCCCAACCAAAGGCATCCTTCACATGAACTGGGATTGTCGTGCTGTAACTGGCGAGGATCGCAGTGTAGACAGTCGAGCATAGCATAGCAGTGATAACTCTCGGCTGCAAACAAATTACCTTGAAGAATGATTCAGTAGGCCCGTTTGTGTCCTTGCCAGAGAGTTGTTCAAAATCGTCGGAGATCAGAGTAGAAGTCTCATCCGTAGACTCCGAATCGTGACTGGTTTGTCCATCCGAGTTTGGTTTCTGTTTTCGTTGCTCCACCATCAGAAGTCGCATCGCAACATCGACTGCAAGGATAAGCAGAACACTGCCCCAGGTAACCCAATAACCGTTGAGTTCAAGTAAAACACCTGCGACCGCTGGGCCAGCAAGAGCGCCCAGGCTCACACAGCTCCGTACGACACCGAAAACTTTTCCAATGTTTTTGATGTCGATCGCATCTTTCAGGGTAGCGAATCCAACGATCCATGCTGCGGTTCCACCAATTGCCTGGAGTACTCTACCGATGAACATTCCGGCCACTAATACGTCAATAGCGTTAGCGGGTGCGTTTGAGATATTCATCTGGGTGGAGAATGAAATTCACAATTTCGAGAGACGGCCAAGAGGACAGTTCCGATAATGGTCAATACCAGCGAAAGTATCAAAGGAGATTTCCGCGAGTGGAAGCGATCCAATAATGAACCGATGAAGATAGACACAATGGTGGACACAATGCCGTAGCACATGAGCAAAAGATAAGTCACTTGTTGTGTCTTTGAAGGGTCAATGTGATTGCGGTCCTCAACCATATATGGGAGGATAGGAACGATGAAGCCATAGCTAAATGTTTCTTTAAGAGAATAACAAGTTAGATCCAAAGTCCTGTACTAAAGGCTCGTCTTCCAAGGCTTCATGTTAGCATAGTCCTAAAACTTACCAGTAAACCCCGCGATAGATACACACACCATGAGAAAAGGGAGCGAGGCTCGCCATCTGTGGCCCCAAACCTTGGTGTTCTCCATGATTGATATTAACGTCAACGGGAATCAAACCGATGAAAAGAAAGGATTCAGAACTAAGACAGGACACCTTAAAAGTATGGGGTAGGCACTCGTGCCTAAGACTAATTCCCACTCTTGACACCGCCTACTGCTACCGCCCAGAATATAAACCTGAGGTCATTTGGAAAAAGTCGGCCCTTACTATTGGCTGTAGAACGGATAAAATACCGGCAGAGATTTGTAATAGTGGGTCACTTACCAGGCGTGAATGATTCTTTAGGCGGACGTAAGTGGGTCCAGGTCTAAACCTACAGTAGCTCACTCAATAGTCCCTTGTTGTTCCAGGGGATGTGGGTCACTGAGCTGTTCAGCCGATCACATTTACCCCCGATTGGTAGATGACGGACCCAAGAGCGCTATGATTGGTCTTGTAAGCAGTGAATGCTCCGTTCCTATAAACTTTCCGTGTATCTTAGAAGGATTCCAAAAACCGGAATATTTTCCAGAGTGGTGCATGAGATCGGAGAGGTGTAACGTCATGAGACCAGATCATTGCACATTACTTCACATTTAGTGATGAAAACATATTGAGTTATTTGTCATTCTGCCACGAAATAAGGCCACAGCTCCTTACATCGTGGGGTAGATAAACCTATAGATGTGTCGCGTGACCTTCAAAATGAAACAGATCAATCAGTTACGTTAAGAATCGTTCATACTGACCAAGATAGGCCCCAAAGCCGCTCAGAGGAGTGACATTGTCGTTCAGGGGAAGAGAAGTCAGGTATGGACATGAGTGAGGTTGTAAACACTGGGCATTTGTATGCAAATGAAGAACAGTATCAATTGGTATAGATAGCATATGCCTTGCTATATTCACTTTCATACTGGACAGGTTTCCGCTAGTCTAGCACTTTTCAAAATGCAGTAGAGTGCATCCATTTTCGATTTGCGAGCTTAATTTCCAGCCAAACGGCAGTCCCAGTGATTTCACGTCTTCGGTATGATCTAAGAAGAACAGCGATGCATCGCCTGCTTCGTCTTCTTTAGCAACGGAGATAGTGACGGATTGCCGGGCAATCTGGAAGCATCGTGCCAGGACAAAACTCAGCTCTGGCACGGCTAGATGTTGGAGAGCAGACAGAGTGATAACGTGATCAACAGGCTCGTTGTACTCGGCCAAGAATTGCAACATCGGGCGATGGAAGAGCTCATCGTAGTATTCGGACTGTCGGCAAATATCCAGCATCTTGTTCGACATGTCAACTCCGACCAGTCGCTGGATACTGCTCTTTGGCGATGACATATTATTTTGCTGTTCACGGAGCTTCTGACCAAGTAAACCAGTCTTGCACCCGAGTTCCAAGATGGTGCCATCAAAGGAGAATTTTTCCACAATGGTAGCTGCCGCTTGCGCTGCATTGGCGTACGACTTCGTCTGATCATAATGCGAACTGCATTTATCGTAGAACGTCTCCAATGCGCTGAGCTCCCTCGTTCTTTTTTGATCGGGATATCTGAGGAAATGGTTGGTTATGAAAATATCGACAGCTGCCCTCTGATGACCAGCAAGACCTTGCTTCACATCTGTATCTTCAAATTTATTCCCGGGAGCCAGAAACCATACAGGCATAGGGTCAACCTCAATGACCACGGCCTTTCCGTCAGGTCCTATGCGCATATCTACATCGCATCCCATGTTGTTGGTTGCCATTTTGCCAGCTTTGAACCCTTTCACGGCCGTTTCCTGGAGATGACGATATAACGCGGGATTCGCTGCTTCATCCAGCAACTCGTAGCCCGACTCGCCGTCAAACTTGGCGTCGAATGTGAGGAATTTCTGCTTTTCCGGTAGCCTGGCCTTCTGGGGAGCCATCGGGACAGGGATTTCGCCCATTGCGAGGACCACGACTGAATATTCATCCCCATCGATGTACTCCTGGACAACGACGTCATCGCTGTCCCGTCCAGCTGCTTCACAGGCCTGTACAAACTCTTCCGGGTTGGCGTGACATGACCCGACAGCCCTTCGAAGCCGTGCCTCTCGCATACCCTTGTTCAAATGCCTGATGGTCTGCTCCAGCTCTGTCTCATTCTGGCATAGAGAGTGTTCATCGATGAGAAGGCTGGCGTAGCTAAAGGCAGGCTTGACAAACAGGGGAAATTTGTCCACGCCTGGTACGGGCGGGAAGCCTTGCTTTCTAGCCTCAGCGTAGAAAGCGAGCTTGGATCGCTCTCGTTCCCACCCGCGAATGCCCGCTGATGGGAGGTTCAAAGATTCAAAATATTTAATAGCATCCACACCACTGACAGTATCATCGTGTGTTCCCCACAGGAATTGGAAATAGATATCGTACCCCTCGGCCACGGCTTCGTTGATCTGCTCCTTGGCAGTTGTCTTTTTGATATATTTGTTTTCCACAATGTGTCGAGGCGCGTAGACACCGACATCGGGCCACAGATCTTGTGAGTCCTCTACACTGTCCAGGCCTTCCTCCGCGGAGTGCAAAACACAGATTCTCATTTTCAGTATTTGATGCAAGTTGAAGTCAAGGGATTGGTGCAATAGCTGGATTGCAAATACCTTCTGAGTACTTCTTTTAATCGGAGTTTTCCCAAACCCATCCAGCGAAGGACTTTCTCTTTTAATAAAAACGCTAAAGAAGTGGAGGTGGCTTCTGCACGGCTGAATTGTTTTCCTATCGAGCGGGACGCTTTGGGACGATACCGAAGGCAAAGCTCCATAGTTTAGAATTTGATCACTTACGGAGTAGTTCGCGTACTAAAAGCTCGTGTTGATGAGTTTGATCGGGACAGCTTAATGGCGTCTTGACCCTCCAATCATCGTCTAAGAGTGGTATCGGTATTTTGGCATGTTTTCTCATACTGGAAAGTCCTGATCCACAGTGGGGCAAATCGCTCTGTAATGAAGGTCGCTGGGGTGCGCGGCAGGTTTCCTTGAAGTGAAGGTCTTGGCGCGTGTTCAGCTGAACAGGAGCGCTCCACTGCGGATCGGTGAGCGCATGGCTTTTTTAGATCCCCGATGTGCCGATCCATGCCGGGATTTGAAATCCAAATACGGATTAATCTGTAAAAAAGAAAAAAAACATTCGAGTTCCTAAAGACATCGTTATTTGGCTTGAATTCCGAAACTCACAATGTCAGCCATGAGGTGGTTAGAGCACCAATGGAAACCTCCGTCATGCCTTGAAGTAGAACTCCATTGGCGGCTGGTCTTATTGGTGGCAGGATGTATCATTGTGAGAACGATATATCGCCTCTACTTCCATCCACTGAGCAAAATTCCCGGGCCCAAACTCGCAGCCATCAGTTCTTTCTATGAATTTTACTATGACATGGTCAAGGGAGGTATGTATATTTGGGAGGTGGAAAAAATGCATCGTCAGCATGGCCCTATTGTGCGCATCAATCCCTATGAAGTGCACGTCATTGATCCGGACTTTTATGACGAAATCTGCGCCTCGGGCTCACGCCGGCGTGAAAAGGATCCCCGACAAGTGTCGTTGTTTGGAGCACCGGGCTCAATGATCGCTACTGTAGGCCATGAACAGCACAAAATGCGTCGAGGCCTTGTCCGCGGACACTTTTCTCGCAAAGCTATTGCCAACATCGAACCTATAGTCCAGGCAAAATTGGACAAAATGATCCAGCTGTTCCACTGCGCATATAAGAGTTTTGCCGCGGTAAATACGAGCGATGCATTTTCTGCTCTTACAGCTGATGTCATTGCTGTATATGCGCTGGGCATTGACCTCGACTTTCTCGACGAGCCTGAGTTCAAAAATGACTTCCAAGAGGCATCTCTCGAAGCAGACATGCTCTGTCATATTTTCAAGTTCTTCCCCTGGCTTCTCAAACTATCCCAACTCCTCCCCGATAGCGTTGTTCGGTATTTACAACCCAGTGCCAATAGCCTCCTACTGGTACAAAAGACCATACATGATCAGTCCGTGGCAACGCTGCAAAAGGCATCAAACCCTTCTTCAGGTAGTGAATTGCGAGGCAATATCTTCGACTCTCTTAGTCATCCGTCTGTTCCACCTCGCGAACGTACCTTGTCTAGGCTGCAAGATGAAGGCCTCATTCTTCTTGCGGCTGGAACCGAGACCACAGCTAGAGCGTTAGCCGTTTGTGCGTTCCATTTAGCGGCAAACAAGACACTTATGCAAACATTACGATCAGAGCTGAAGGATGTGATGCCTTCACCGGATTCCCATCCGAGCTGGGCACAGCTAGAACGCCTCCCGTATCTAGTAAGTAATCTGCTCACCCTCTCACTGTGCTTTACTAATTATGCTCCTAGTCCGCGGTGGTAAAGGAATCTCTTCGACTATCGTTTGGAGCAGTTGGTCGACTTGCACGAGTTGCCCCGGATGAAACACTCCATTATAAGCAACATAGCATACCTCCGAATGTATGGGTTAGACTTGAATCATGATGAGTATTTCTGCCACTAACACAACAATACAGACTCCTATGAGCTGTTCAGCATACTTCATTCACATGAACCCCAATATCTTCCCTGAGCCAGAAAGCTTCGAGCCTGAGCGGTGGTTACGAGCCATCGAGCGTGGGGAGAAGCTACATCGATACCTGGTGTCATTTTCTGCTGGTAGTCGGCAGTGTGTTGGCATGAAGTACGTAATGTCTAGACAAGCATAAACCTTAGGTATGTGTCAACTAACTTCTGCATAGTCTCGCCTACTGCCAAATGTACCTGACTATCGCGGCAATTGCACGCCAATTTGATATGGAGCTTTATGAAACTACAGTTTTTGATACCATGGTTGGGCGTGACTACGTTTCGCCATTCCCGACTGATGGCGTAGGTAATATAAAGGTGAAGTTCTCAGATGTGGTGCAAGAGTGAAGGGGGTGGGCTCATGCTGAATTAGAAGCATGGCTTACATAGAGTATGATGGTATGTACGTCGATGTCTCTCAGCCATCTCGAATGCTGCTTCGTCTCCATGAACTTCTTTGTTAAGTCTCCATGGATGTTTCAAATCAGTCGCGATGCTCTTTCAATCAAAATCGCATAAGACAATTTATCCAGGCGACGGTATAGCTAAGAGAAGGTGCCGCCTATGAAGACTTCACTCCTAAAAACCTTCACGTTCCTGGTATGTACTCGATAGGATCACTACTCTGAGTTACCAATACTGCGCTATCCCTGATGTGGGCTAATTGAGGTGTTCAGTCATTGATCTCTTTCATGTATTTATGACCATCTGAATTTTTTCCTGTATATTGATAGAACGCGCCACCTTCAAAGGTGTGATCTACATATAGATGTGCACACGGGCACATCAGATAATGCCGAGCTAGTCAGACTCTTCAAAGTGGATACCTCTCCTGTCAAAAAAGCGAGCTCTCTGTTTCTCTTTCCCTTACTGTCTGGGTGGTGCTAGGGTACTAGGAATCGCACGTGATTTTTCTCACAGGTGTGGATCGATCATTTTGGGCCTACTTCGTTATTTACGGCGCAGGTGGGTCTCGGACCGGGGATTTCCGTTGTGTCCATTATTCTCGTACCTTGCAGGTCCGATCAGCACTTGAATTGAGTTTAAGCGGCTGGATTGACCCAGAAGTCGAGCTCTGGCACAGAACTCTTTACTTCCGGACGAACCACTCGGCGCTATCAAAAAACATGAATTCGAGCTGGCCTGACCTTCAAGGTTTCTTAAACAAGGAGCAGATGCTCCTTGAAAGCCACAAAATCATCAATCCAGCCGGAGACGACAAATTGGCCCAAATACGCAAAATATCCACCCCGGGTGCCCCTAGGCCACTTGAAGACGTTCTCAAAGATGCACAGGAAATCTTTTCACTTGGCTTTAGAGTTGGCAACCCTAGATTCTTCTCCTTTGTTCCATCTCCGGCTTCACCATGGTCCTGGGTGGGAGACAGTTTGACTTCCGCATACAATCCATTTGGTGGATGTTTCGAGGCTGCATCAGGTGTTTGCCAGGTGGAAGAAACACTCATGGCCTGGATTGCAGAGAAGTTTGGATTGCCCTCCACGGCAGGAGGTCAATTTGTATCGGGGGGCTCAATAGCGAATATGACTGCTTTGGCAGTCGCTCGAGACCAGCTTCTAGAGGATGGCCAGGCGCGACTCAGGGGCGTTGCCTACATATCGAGCCAGACTCACTTTTGCATCAAAAAGGCGCTTAATATACTGGGATTCTCAGATGAACAGGTCAGGACCATTGAAGTCGACGACGACTTTCGCATGAATGTCCAACACCTCGAAGAAGCAATTCAGAGTGATCTTCAAGCTGGTCTCAAGCCATTCGTCGTTATTGGAACCTGTGGAACCACCAATACGGGGAGTATCGATCCATTGACCAAGATTTCGGCCATCACCAAGAAACATGGCATGTGGTTGCATGTCGATGCTGCCTACGGTGGCTCTGTGGTCTTTTCATATTCCCGACGAAGTGTGCTGTCAGAAATTGGTCTGGCGGACAGTATTGCATGGGATGCTCATAAATGGCTTTTCCAAACACACGGCTGTGGTGCAGTCATTTTCCGACAAAAGTCCAAGGCACTGAAGAGCTTCGCCACGACGGCTACCTACGTGCAAGATGTTGACGAGTGCGCAGATCAAAATCCGTGGAACTATGGAATTGAATTGACTCGACCGGCGCGGCATATGCGACTATGGTTCTCCTTACAGGTGATGGGCATGGAACAGATCGACTGCATGATCTCGCATGGATTCGAAATCTCCGAATACACGGAAGAGGAGATTAGAAAACGCAGTGGCTGGGAGATTCTATCTCCAAGCTCCTTGGCCATCATCAATTTCCGGTTCGCACCTAAGGGCTTAAAAGAGCCAACATTGGATACTATCAACAGTGAAATATCCTCGAAAATAATGGCCCGTAATGTGGCCGCTATTTTCACAACAAAGCTCAAAGGGATGGTGTCTTTGCGCATGTGCACCATCAACCCCGAAACGACTCGAGATGATATTGCGGACGTCATCAGTGCACTCGACGGTACTGCCAGGGAGATCCTCACTCAAATTGGAATGAATTGATTTGAAAAGTGTAACCATAATATTTACATGGCGGAGTTTATGGACCTTTGTTTGTTTTGGTGTGATTAGCCCGAAAGTTATACTTATAGTTTCTATCGCTATATAGTTACAGTCGACGGATCATAAGGGTCAACATATAATGTTACGCCAGCGGTGTCCTGCAGAGCAGCGATAATACAACTTCGATATTTTACGCCGATATACGGAATCGGAGCTCGGTGCAACGCAAAGCATCCAATTTTGAAGTCTCTATGGGGCTGAAGTACTTAGCTGCCGCATTTCCGACCGATCGGGAAAACGATCTCGATGGTGACTCGGAATGGGGTCACCAATTAGACCTAGTCTACGCCATTTTTTGGGATCTGCAGAAAAGCGGTCTATGTGTAAACCTGAGACAGACAGCCACAGTGGAGATTTCGGTTCAGGAAAGGAGAGTCTGGAGGCTTTATTAACATATGAGTTTAGTTCCATACAAGCGTGATTTTATACTAGTCCGGCAAGGGTTTATAGCATCTCTGTCTATCGTTTTTTATTCAGTCTCGCTAGTGTAGCTTGCATCGAATCAAGACGAGCCTGCAGTAGCCAAGCGATGGGTTGAGTGGATCCAAGTTACGGAAAAGACAAACCAAATTGGCAACCTTAGCTTCGGCCCCGCAGCGCAGACACCAAGGACGGAATTGCCTCACGTGGTTTCCGTCCATTATGGGCAGTGTAGATCTGTCATCCATGTGCTGACCGTGGTTTTAATTAACTAGCGTGCATATGCATGCGGGATCGAAGGACCCTATCTTGGCGATTCACGATTGGGAGGATTTGCTGTAAATCCCACCCCTTTCTCATAATGACACCCCTTTTCCACAATTTCAAGATGTACAAAATGTTACTGACATGACAAGATGTGTAAGGAATGGAGTGTATCGCCTTGAATCAAAGGTATCTGTGAGTCTAAAATCCTGTTTCTATGCATATGTAGGAGAACGATCTGCCCCACTGCAAATTGGCGAACAGGGTGTGTACTGTACTGTAGCTCTTCTTAAAACGAACGCCTCCACAAAGGCGGGAAATTTCAGCTGGTGGAGCGACTCGCCCCACTGCGATCCGGTTACTGTGGCACTGTCGTACACTTAGCTATTCATTGTGGCGTGAAAAGTGATGATTGAGTGGGTGTGGTGTCGTGAAGAAGAAAAAGGGCAAGGGAAAAACAAATGAATCGGGATAGTGATCGGCACTCAGTTTCCAGAAGCCTCAAGGTCTCGGAGTAGCTCCATCTAGCTCTGGATTGCGCTAAGCAAAAGGCCCACTTCGTAAGTACTAGTGCAATACATGAGCTTTTGGTGCGCCGTGCTCTGTACAGATCCGTGTATCGCGTAAACCTCTGCGGTAAAATTGCTGTGGACTCTGAATGTTTTACTTTAAAGGGAAAAATGGATCCGAAAAGTATATGATCTGGGCATAAATACCGTACCCTTGGTTGACAAAGCGATTCTGTCGACTTCGACACTAATACAAGCCATGGAGTCAATTTTTATGCCTGAAAAGGTTCTCTCTAGGTCCCTAGACTTTAGGACCGAGGACCAACAATTATGGTGGCATGATATAGCCCCTCTAACCAACCGTTTGCTCGACTTGGTGGGGTACTCTACGCACGATCAGTACGAACATCTTTGTTATATATACCGATTTGTCCTCCCCGCCCTGGGCCTATACCCTCGCCCGGGACTAAGCCAAATCACTACTGCAGTCCCCGGTGGTCGCTCATTTGAACTGAGTGTCAACTATCAAAATGGAAAATCAACACTGCGATATGACTTTGAGCCCAGCAGCTCACTGGCAGGCACTTCTCGCGATCCCTACAACCAGCTAATGACCGCTGAATTGATGTCAAAGCTGGAGTTGGGAGGCGCTACTATCGATTTGTTTTGGTATCATCATTTCATCAATACGTTGGGTCTCACGAGTCGGGATAAGGCTGCCCTAAAAGACCTGAAGACTGGACACGCCACCACCCAATATATGGTTGCGTGGGATCTTAAGCAGGCGTCCAATAACATGCTGAAAATGTATTTATTTCCCATGCTCAAAGCATGCGCTACCGGTGTCCCTGCGGGTCGACTCGTCATGGATGCAGTGGCAACTGGTAGTCCTCAGATAAAGGACTCGCCTGCGTTTTCAATGCTTGAGGAATATCTGACGGAGCGGAGCCTGATGGAAAATGTTTGTATCCTCAGCTGGGACTGCGACGATGTGGCATCTTCCCGTCTCAAACTCTACATCGCCGACCCTGAGGTGACCCTCGAGCGTATCGTCGACATGTGGACATTGGGCGGTCGACTGAGCTCTAGTAAGTGCAATCAGCAAGGCCTGGCGCATTTGAAACGATTCTGGAGCCGCCTCAACATTCCCGAGGGATCACGTTCAACCTATGAACTTGGCCAACCCGAGCAAAGCGATGGAAGGAGCGGATTGACCTTCAACTGGGAGTTCAAAGCAGGCTCGTCTGAGCCAGATCCGAAATTGTATGTTCCCTGCATGGGAGAGAATGATGGCGAGCTTGCCCGGGGCCTGTCAACATACTTCAACGATCTAGGCTGGTCCGACCTTGCTGGCTCTTATGAGACCAAGATTTCTTCGGCTTTGTGAGTTGTACCCTTTTTTTCTGGTCATCTATGCAGATGGACAGTAATTTTGCTAGCACATTGAAGGCTAATCGTAGCATCAGCTCCCACATCGATATGGAAATTTCAGACCGGTTGATTTCCTCGATCTCATTCGCTTACTCGGAGGCGAAAGGTCCCTATATGTCTGTGTACTATCATTCGTCATTTGTGTATCCCTGGCCTGGTTCTCGTGAACCAAATGCTTAAACTGTACAGTCTTGCTGGGTGCATTTTCTAGAATGCCTTTTGGCATTGGATCCGAGGAACAAGGAACAGAGATATGTATATGAGGATATGTATCTACTGCTACAAATTTAGGACGTTCCTGTGTACACGGGCCATTCCGTAGTCCCCGAACACACTCGCAAGTTAACTAGGTAGATTCTGATCTCATTTGAATACATGTCAATGAAAGGCTATAAAACTGTACATATACTCTCTATAGCCAACCCACATATATGCTTCTCATTGGGCCATTGGCTGTATCAGACGTGCACTATGAACGTCCCTTGCCGCTGTACCTTGGTTCTAGCTTAGCCTTTCACTAGATGATAGTTGACCCTACTACACTAGTATTATACATGAGCATAACCGAAGAGTCCGAGGAGCCCTGGTATTAGAGGTACCTAAAGGCGTTAGCTCAAGTATTCGCAATAGACTAAATGAACGTACTGGTTGATTGAACTTGGTTGTCTAACGTTTCAAGGAAGCATGATAGTCAGGAAATTGCCTTCCAATCTTCAAGTTTTACAGCCTATATGGGTAAACATAGCCTCTCAAATTGTTTCGAAGCTATAGAATATTGACAATTGTATATCGGAAAATCAGGGTTCATCATTCTATGATAGCCTATCAAGTGAGCTACCGCATAACTCAAAAGTATCGAAGTCAATTCATCGCTCGTAATCCAAAAGCCATCGGCACATTTAATTCGTCATGCAAAAGAATTCCTTAATAACTATTTCCCTTCGTCCCCATCTCACCCATAGTGCGATGTTGAAGCAGCACCTCATAGCCCATCACCATCAACAAGAATTGAGTGAAGCCACCTGGATTATCTCTTGGTCTGTGGTTTAAAATAGGCGTGGGATTTGGTTCTGATTTCCAAGGTTCATTAGCGTCGTATCCAAGCTAGGTAAAGATACCACTCTCACCCTCGGATGGCTTTGGATCATTCTCTATCTCTGCACCATAAATTGGCAATCCCATTGTTTGTTTTCGGCTTATGAGGCTTTGCGAGTCCTAAATTGATAACTGGGAATCTCGCTTCAGATGCTCGGGAACTGGAACAAACTGTGGCTAGAATGCAGAGGAGATGGGGAATGTGGGGAAGATAACTGCCCCGATCGGCCACTTGGCACATGCGGTATCTTAGCTGGGCATAAGATCCCATGTCAATAGTACCTTGTACATAAGCGAAGTAACGCTCAGGGATTATTTATTGACCATTATGCATAATTAATCTCTCAGCTTGGGTAAAAGTCATCAGCCCAGCCGGTCAAAGTATCCCGAGGTCTCCTTCACATCCGTGACTTCTTGATAGCCCCCAAATTTAGAATCGGGCGGATACAAAGAAATGAGGGGTATATGATTACCGATCGTCTCGCCTCTCTCTCGGTTCCACTTTTGCATTTCAGCTTCAGTGACACGAAGGATCTTACTTTTTGCCCAAGGGTTCACTTTATTAGATTTCATTGAAGCCGAAGCCTGCGCAACTATCCTTGCTGAAACATATAGCTGACATCTCACGAGAGACACTTTTGCCAACGCCGCTTACGGAACAAGACTTCTGAGTACACAAATTGGGCGTATTGATCAGTTACTTATAGTGCTATTCTACATTTAGGATGATAGACATGATATGCCTTGATATTTGTTAGACCGTTTGCCAGTTGCTGTTCGTTTTCTGCTTTGTCAGCAAAGCTTGGTGGAAAATATTGGTGCCTTAAGGCACACATAGATAATATCAGTCAGTAAACAAATCACGCGATAACGACCGAAACAGCTCTATTCAGACTCAAAACAAGATTCGCTGCAATGTAGTCTCACTTGATCTTCCAATGCCTCACTTATTCAAAATCTGGGGAAGCAGGTCTCCCCTCTTGGCAAAAATGCCGATCATCCGTTTCCAGGGCTCATAGCCGCGCCTATGGCATCCATTTCCAGAATCAGAAGCGGCCGTTACATCACCTTAAAGCCCTCATTCTAGATCGCTTTTGGTAAGATTGCGATACGAAATGGAGTGGAGAAAGGATTCTGGGGAATCTGGGAGTCTATAAAGCACCCCAGTCGCATCCTCTAAAATTCCCTGCTCAACCATCCACACCTCCATTCAAATACCATGTTCTCTCCACGTTCAATCGCCCTAGGGGCCCTCAGCCTCATGTTCATGGGCAGCACATGCTCTGCAATGCAAGTCCCCGAAAGTCTACTCCTGAACAGCGTTGCCCAATCACTCGCACTGCCAATATACACTTGGTCTGCCAACGGCACCCACAACGCAAAGGGATACACCACCGAAAAAGCCGATGTCGCAGACGTGCAGGGTCTGTTTGAAGACTGCGAAAATATCAATTTGAATCGGAAGTTGGCTACCAACTTCCGCAGTGACGTTTTCGGACCTGGTGTTATTGGGTTCTTCTACAAGTGCGAGAAAATCAGTCATGATACCAATATGTACTGGTTCACTATTAGCTCTGGAAACCAGTCCCAGATTGATCAGCTCTGTGACCCGAATCAGAAGTATCCGATTGTTTATGATAAGCAGCATGATACTTGGTTTATCGATGAGCCGTTTGATTGCACTCAACGGACTTCACCTTCTATCTTGTCTTAAGGTGGATAAGGTTAGAACAGCTACAGCGGGAAAATTCAAAATCTATACTGTGAAATTCAATCTTTGTGCTACAAATAATCAATTACAAATGAAAATGTCAAAGAGCGGAATTAGGCTCACAGTAGAACCTCTTCAGTAGCCCACATCAAGCCCTTCAAACTTTAATGGCCCGTGATTCTGGAACATCAAGCCCCCACTCCGTCTTCACCTTGGGAGTGATTGTTCCCGACTTCCTCAGAATATGCTCGGCAAGAGCAGGCAGGGAGTCACCAGCAAGAATCTCAAGTACCTGCATACTCGACTCGAACTCTCGCGTAATCCAGTTTCTGATCTCAATCGCCACAAGCGAGTCCAAACCGTAAACCGTAACCGGAGCTGCGGGGTCCAATTCCTCCAGGGGCCGCATGAGAATACTGGAGATCTTCTCTGCTAATGCAGTGACCACAATAGCCTCGGCAGCTTCACGGCTTTGACATTGGCGGATGGCCATTGCTGGTGATGTCTGGTCGTTGGATGCACCTGCGTCAGCTGGGCCACCAGATCCTGCCAATGTGGATAAACGGAGGAGTTGGGAAAGCTTGGTATCGTGGATCCAGAATGGCTGTTCGGAGACTGGTGTCCTCTTGACGCCGTCGAAGCCAACGACGCAGTGACCTTCGCAGGTCTCCAGCATCTCGTTTCGCATTGCTGCAGCGACGAGGCCACGGATGTTGGTTGCGTCTATGGATTCTGTTCCCAGTGAAGCGGTGATAAGCTCGCGCTTGGCATCATCTGACAGATACCCGACACCACGCACGACTGGGAGGTCGATTGTTGTGCATGGGATGCCTGCGACCTGGGGGTAGGCGGCTAACGCAGCCATGTAGGTTCCACTGGCGGCGTACGGTGACTGACCGAGATTACCAACAAAACTGGCAGCAGACGACAATGTGATAAAGAAATCTAAGCTCGATTTCACGCTGGCGCTCTGCAAGATGTTTTGCAAGTTCCAAATTCCGTGGATTCTTGGCTTCATGACAGCCTCGTAGTCCTCGTGCGTGAGCTTTTCGAATAGTGTGTCCTATTTGAATGATTAGTTGATGTGCGTCAGATATTAAGAATGAATGCTTACTCTAAGAACCATCGCACCGTAGACAACACCACGAACGGGTGGCAGTCGGCTTAGTAGTGGAACCATGTTTTGTTCGACACTTTGCGGGTTAGAAATGTCACATCGGCAAACTTCCACGATAACGCCCTGACGGGTGAGATCATGAATAGCTTGCTGAGCGGCCTCAGTGGAAGCACCACTCCTGGAGGCAAGGACAATGTGTTTTGCTCCTTTTTGGGGCATCCAACTGGCGAGATCGAGTCCAATTCCGCTAGTACCTCCCACAACAATATAGGTACCGTCAGGGCGAAGTAGCTTCTCTTCCTTCCTTGCCGGGTGGACCTAAAACATAATTAGTATTACTCTCTCATATTGCAAGCAAAAAGCAAAATTATCTCGTACCTTGACCTTGGCATCGTTGGTCATTTCCACAACCAACTTTCCAATGACTTGGCCACCCTGCAAAGCTCGTAATCCACTCTCAACCTCAGAGATTGGCATGACGGTGATAGGCCAGCGCGACTGAGCATTCGTACTGGCAAATGTGTAAAACGCCTCGCGCATCAATTTCCTTGTCAGTCTGTGGTTCTTCTCCCTCACAACACCCAAATCCACTGAGGAAAAGGTTAGATTTTGGTTGAAGTGAGCCATTTCCAGTCGCGAGTTTTGGCTAATATCTCGCTTGCCCAGTTCAATGAATCGTCCAAATGGAGCGACACATTCAAACGTGGCTTGCAAAGCATCTCCACTGAGCGAGTTTAAGGCAACATCAACGCCCTCTCCACCAGTAGCATTCAGGATACCTCGAGAGAAAGAAGTGTCACGACTATAGAATATTTGCTCCTCCTTCAGACCATAGGTCTTCATCAGGAAGTTCTTCTTCTCAACACTGCCAACAGTTGCGAAGATCTTGGCACCAATCTTCTGGGCGATGATGATGGATGCTTGTCCGACTCCACCAGCGGCCGCATGAATAAGAACACTCTCATTTTCGGCCAATCGACCCAGTTCAATGAGAGAATAGAACGCCGTTGTGAATACAGCAGGAATAGATGCTGCAACCTGCCAGGACATATCGTACGGGATGACCCACGCCGATGAGGAATGACAGCGTGTGAACGTCGAGAGTGATCCTGGAGCCATGGCACTCACGCGGTCTCCAACGCTGAAGTCTCTTACAGCAGCTCCGACCTTGGACACAATTCCACTGCACTCTTGGCCAAGCTTATCGCCGCGCAGCTGGCCCATAGCCATCAAGACATCTCGGAAGTTGAGTCCAGTAGCATGGATTCGAATTTCGATATAGTCCTCAGGGAGCGGCGTATCTCGCGAGGCGTCATCAGTGAAATGCAGCTCATCCAGCACTCGACCCTGTCCAGCAGTAAGTCGGAGTGCTCTATCTTGCTTAAATAGCTGCATCTGTGGAGGAGCATCGGCCGTCTCGAGTTGGACGCTCGAGTTGAGAACATGGTTGTCAAGGAGTCGTGGCAGGCAAACATGCCCGTCGCGAATGACAAATTCCATATCGCCTTGGTTGAGCTTCGATTTATGACAGAAGATACTGTCGAACACCTTGAGCATGTGGTTCACAGCCTCTGCATCGGGGATACTCTCCCTCTCTCCCAAGTCCAGAGTCGCAAACTGGAGGCCGGTCTCAGAGCGAACAGTTCGCGCCAATCCAATAGCCATGTTGGAACCAAGAGATTGGGGGTCTGATTTTGTGTGACGAACGACCCAGAGTATACCTCTTGCGCGACTTGTAAGGCGCTGGAATTCCTGAAAGCTCTCTGGGGAAAGATGAGAGAGAATGCTCCTGTCCATGCCACCCAAGAAGATGCACCATTTATCTGTTACATCGGCTGTGCTCAAATCTGGGGCACTAGTTGGCACCACATTCGTAATCTCTTCGAGGCCAGCTTCAAGACTCAAAGATGACAGACTGCCGAGAGAATCACTGCCTATGATGACAATGTCTCCGGGGTTTGTGGGGCCTGTTTGCGTGACATTAGCTGTCGACAGCATGACGGACCCAGTCTGGTAGGAAGCGCCTGGGTATGCTTGGATAGAAAGCTCGACGCCAGTAAAGTCATTTGCTTTCATGACATCAGACCATCCCTCCTCCGTAAGAAGTGGTCCATCCGGCCGGATCTTGTCATTCGCAAGCCACCATCCGGTTAGAAGAGCGAATGGGAAGTGCACGGCTGAGGACTTAGTCTCTTCAATCAGTAGGATCTTGCCGCCAGGCTTCATGACAGAGCGGATGTTCGCCATAGTTTGATTGATGTTAGAAGTCGCATGTAGAACATTGCAGGCTACAACCAGGTCGTAAGTACCAGGCTTGCATCCCTGAGCCATAGGGTCGGTCGATACATCGAGAGTTTGGTAGGTCATGAGATGGCTCCAGGCTTCGAACTTGCTCTTGGCCTTCTCAAAAAAACCGGGTGAAATGTCGGTATAGGTGTAGTTGCTGAATCTTGGCGTAGATCCTGGCTCGCGGCCACCCAGGCTTTCCAAGATAGGTAGAGTAGCACCTCCAGTTCCAGCACCGATTTCAAGGATATTTAGATTTGGGTTCTGATGGGCCATTTTGTCAACGCAGACAGATGCATGAACATAAGACTCGCGAAGATTGTCCAGGTCTTTGTAGTTCTCTTCGAGCAGGTCATCCTCAAGCATGAGCGTGAGCGCGTCGAGCTTTCCACGAAGGATATCGGGAAGCCGCTCGCCAACATAGCATGTCAGCCTCCCAGCACCATTACAATTTCGTACCTCCTCAATTGCCTCAGGTGACATCTCACACATAGGAGCCTCTTGGCATGTCTTCTGCGCCCAGCGATAAAACTTCTGGTGGTGACTTTGAAGTGTTGAGAATTCTTCTTCGGGGACGGCTTTAAGTACCTCCCGAAGCCAATGAACTGATGCTGTTTGCAAGCTCTGCGCTCTCTGTCCTCCCTTCCCGTCATCTACCTGGCCACGAGGCAGCCGTTGGTAACCCTCAGCCGATAGGAACTCAAAGCACGGTTCCCAGTGTATCTTGTAGCACATAGATTCTGGAGCATTGTCCTTGTTTCCTCGATTGTCGTTGGAGATGGGTACAAGGGTCATTCCATTTAGGTCCAAAATAACATCATTGCTGTTCGCACTGGTAGCAATAATGCGGTTATTCTCGGGCATGCTAACCATGTCCATTCCGGAACGAGATCCAAAAAGTTGCAAGGGAGTACCAGCGCTAAGCCTATGATCCAACGATAGCGTGAGACTATCAAGATGAGAGGGAACGTAAGTCTGCTTTTGGCCTGGTTGACCATAACCTGTCATCGCCCACATCAACTGACAGCAGAGATCAATAGTAGCTGGATGGGCAATGCAGTCGGTCTCACGTTCGTTAGGCATGTAGGACTTTGTGTCTGGGACGTGTAAGCTGGCCATTGCTTGGTGCTTAGGGCCGACGAAAACGTTGGACAACCCTTGGAACAGCGGGCCATAGTGGACGTGGCCGCTGCTGATATCCTCATAGAGGGCCTTTGAATCAATTGGCTTGGTGCAGATGGCCTGTAGCTCTGCTAGCATTTGAATCATGCCGCGTTCCGTGAGACTATTTTGATGAGAACCGTTGACTGGGTTTGCTTCCTTCTTTTCGTGAACCATGATCAGACCGCTACAATGCTGGTCCCAGCCCCGGCTCTCGGCCCAGGAAAAGACTTTGAACTCATGCCAGCCGAGGATTGATCTTCCGGAATCCACCCGGGATGGTCGCAGAGTGAACATGGTCTCCACAGATGCATTGTCAGGAATGACAAGCATGCTAGTGATGGAGACGTCCCGAAGTTCGATTTTTCCGGGCACCAAGTGATGTACTTGTGCCTGTTGCGACATAGCCTCCATTGCCATTGCCAAAAACCCAGTCATGGGGTAAACATTATTATCCTGAACTCGGTGTTGCTTGACCCACGGATGATCGTCTGCGCGAATGATGTTCCTCCATCGCGGCTCAAGCTCGATGTTGTCCCGAGTGATCGTGCCAAGAATATCGTGTCGTGGAAACGGGTTATGAAGGATATTCTTCGCCACTCGAGAGGTAAACCAGTACCTCTCGCTATGATTCCAGGGGTATGTTGGAAGGTTCGTAAGAACTTGGCGCTGTCTTGTTGATGAATTGGGAAAGTTGATCGCCTCGAAGTTCAGGTTCATGCCTCGGTTGAACATTGTGACTGCAAGCTGCTGAACCGCTTGGATACCATCCATCTTCCGCTGAAGGGTATGGGCAAAGTGCATTGTGCGCTTCGCATCATATGATTTGACGATGTCCTTCACAGGGTTCTGAAGAGCAGGGTGCGGGCCGACTTCTATGAGGGTATCGATTTTCCCGTTCAAGTCAGTTGTTGTCAGAAGGCTCTGCACTCCCTTCACAAAGTCAACTCGGGAAACCAAGTTGTCAACCCAGTAGGAAGCATCAAGTGTGCTTCCTGGGACTAGTTTGCCATGAACAGTTGAGTGGAAAGGAATACTGGATAGGCGAGGTGCAATCTTTCCAAGCAGCGAGCGATACTGCTGCGAAACCCTCTGCATATGGTGAGAATGGTAGGCCACATCGACATGCAACTTGCGGGTGAAAATGCCTTCCTTATCGAGGGCAGTCTGCAAATCAGTAATGACATCTCTGTCCCCGGACAAAGTAACACTCGAGTCGCTGTTGACACAGGCGATGACAGCCCGCTGCCCTCGCATTGCATCTAAAATCTGCTGGATCTCCCCTGCATTCGCTCCGACTGCTAACATGGCACCCTGAATAGTCTTATCCTTTGCGACTATATCTGCCGCAACACCTCGACTGTATGCAATCCGTACACACTCTTCCAATGTCAAAATCTGCGCGGCATATGCGGCGGCGATTTCACCACTGGAGTGACCAACGACGGCCTTCGGATGAATGCCCCAGGATGATAACAAATCGACAAGACCCAGTTGAACCGCAGTGCAGGCTGGCTGACTCATATATGCTGCGGAAATCGAGCTTGCATTTGCGTCCTCCAACTGGAGTTCGTCTTAGGATTAATGTTAGCATTATCTAGCGAATATTATAAGCTTGTGAACATACCAATTATAGAAAATGTGGCACCAAGGGCTTTCAAGCAAGCATCGAAATCGTTCATGGTTTTTTGGAAGACCGGGTAACGTTGGAGAAGTTCTTTACCCATGCCATGCCACTGGGCACCTTGGCCAGTAAACACAAACCCAACTGTAGGCTCCCCAGTGGACCGAGTTGGTTCCTTGGTGCTTGCCAGGCCCTCAATCAACTCTGTATGCACGGAGGCAGAGATGGCAATGCGCCAATTCAAATGAGTTCGACGCTGGCCTAATGTATAGGCCATGTTGTCCATCAAGCTGTCTGTGAAAACCGGAGGGTGGCGGTGCAAGTATGAGATAATTTCATCACCCAGCTTTGCGGCCGCTTGTTTGTCATAACCAGACACTACATACACCCTCCGAGTCAGGGGATCTTCATTAGTAGATCCTTCACCTCCATGCACTGGGCCGCGCTCAAGAATAACATGGGCATTGGACCCGCCAAAGCCAAAGTTGTTCACGCTAGCGTATGTCTTGCCTCTAGGCCACGGAACGAGCTTCTTGGGAACCTATAAACTTTAATTAATTTAATTCCCTTTGGAGTGGGTCACACCCCTTACCTTCATGTTCCACTTATCCATGGGGATCTCTTCGTTTGGCTTCTCGAAATTGGCATTAGGAAGCACAAAGCCACGTTCCAGCATCAATGTGGTCTTAATCACGGACACGATACCGCTGGCGCCTTCCAGGTGCCCCACGTTAGACTTGAGAGAGCCAACAAACAACGGCTGTTTTGGTGTCCGCCCTTTGCCAAACACTGCATTCAATGCCTTGGCTTCGAGGGGGTCTCCAACTTTGGTGCCGGTTCCGTGTGCTTCCACATATCCGGTCGAAGATGGATCGATCCGTGCTGCTTTGTAGACTTCACGCATCAATTTCTCTTGTGCCTCACTGTTTGGCATGGTAATTCCCCTGGTGCGACCATCTTGGTTGGTACCACTGTTTACAATGACCGAACGAATGGCGTCACCGGCAGCTTCAGCATCCTCCAAAGATTTCAATATAATACAACCTGCACCTTCTCCCCGTCCAAATCCAGTCGCTCTCTGATCAAACGCATATGACTTTCCAGATTCGCCGAGCAATCTGTCAAGAGATCCTCGTTAGTTATTTGACTACCATTTTTCCTGAAAAAGTGTCTCACCTCTGACGGCTCATGGTGACAAATGCCTGCGGGAATAAATTCAAATGACAACCTGTGACAATTGCCATGGTACATTCTCCATTCCGAATACTTTGACTGGCCATATGCAAGGCAACCAAGCTCGATGAGCAAGCAGTGTCGATGGTCAAGCTGGGGCCATGGAGATCAAAGTAGTATGAAATGCGGTTTGACTGCAAAGCACAGGCACATCCAGTTCCTGAATACATCGGGATCGAGTCGATGTCCATAGAGTTGTTGGATTCATAATCCGGGTAAGATGCGCCTGTAAACACACCCACATTCGTGCCGGCGATTGAGGTTGCCGATATACCTGCGTTCTCGAGCGCTTCGTATGTGCATTCAAGGAGAATGCGCTGTTGTGGATCGAGCGCAAGTGCTTCTTGAAGGGTGATGTTGAAAAATGGCGCGTCGAATAATCCAACATCTTCCTTTAAGAAATGTGCGCCTTCAGCGTTGTATGAGCCGGGTCGGTCTGGGTTCGGATGTTGGAATGATTCTGCATTGAATCGGGCCTTTGGCACCTCTGACCAGGTGCTTTTGGCTCTCGAGCACAATCCCCAAAGTTCATCGGCCGTGGTTACTTGTCCCGGAAGACGACAGGACATGCCGATGATGGCCATGCGCTCCGGAACATCGCCCACGCTCGCTTCGGTTTCCTCCATCGGTTTGTTGTCGGGTACTGGAGTGCCAGACCCAAAAGGTGGTTGAAGATGCATATTTAGAGTACGATCACGTCTGACTGTGCAAGAACCCAATACTATACCTCTCTCTGAAATGACCGTAGAATTCGAGAAATGTTCAAACAAAAGGAATGACAGGAAATGTCCGAGATTGATTCCGAAGAAAAGAAGGAATCCCAAGGTATGTTCACGAATGAGCTGTGAGAAAGATTAGAAGTTTTTTTTCACACGTTTTGGGAGATTAAAGAAAGGATATGGGGTTGAAGGACGCCCTTGCTTTCCAGGTCTGTGACTGTCGATCCCGTCTTTCAATAGTCACTTCCATACCGGGGGCTTTCCATCAATTCGCAGGGATGATATAGTTTGTGCCTTCTTAGATGACGAATCCAATAACAGTAAATATACGTACAGTACCACCCAGCTTCCACGGGGTTCACCCTGCAGGACCTCAAATACCTCCTCCCAGATCCTGATTCATTTAGTGGATCGCCACTAATACTTGCCGATCTGACTCACAAGATCTGATCACCTTGATCGCACTTTTATTTTGCTGGGGGGGGCGTTCCTCCCGCATAACAGCCGTCGTCGAGGTCCGCAGCCCTTGCTAACGTGAGGGTGGATGAAGCATTCCAACACGAAGGGGCGCATCGGGACTCTGGCAAGGGATTAATTGTATTGTATAAGCTTTCATGTGCAAATCTTTCAATAAAAGGCCCGGCGATTTTAAATTTCTTGCTTCAACTCGTGTGACCACTCCATGATCTTGTCCCCAATATCGCCAACATGAAATTCCTATGTTTGCCCGGAGGCTACTCCAACTCGAAGGTATATTCTGACATCATACAATCTGACGATCGCGTTAGGCTAACGATAGAATTGCAATTCTAGGCGCTAGCGACACAGCTGGGTAAGCTGCTCAATCCATCAACAACTCGTGGTACCCGTCATAGTAACTCGGGATGCTTTAGGCCCGTTTTGTGATGCTCTCAAATCAAATGGAGACGCCAACTTCTTTTTTACTCAGGGGACAACTCCAGTCAATCCTCCTCCTGAATTTCAAGGCTTTTTCGGACCACCACCGAATTTTACGTTTACGACCGTCGACTTCCCAGAGCTGGTGAAGTTCAATATGCGCGATTTCCCAAGGCGCGAAACGCCCGAAGCAACAATGAAATATGCAGTCGAAAAGGCCGGTAATCCAAGCTTCTCTATGATCCGGGCTGCTATGAGTCGCCTAATCGACATGGTGGACAACGATGATGAGATTGAAGGGGTCATTGGCTACTCTGAGGGTGCTGAAATTGCGGCGTCGCTCATCCTGGAGGAGGAGCGGTTGAGCCAGGAATTTGGGCGCATTCCTCGACTCAAATGCGCGGTTTTTATCTGCGGCTGGCCTCCTAAGGATCCGGTCACTGGCTGTATTGTTTTGGCGGATGAAAATGATGGCGAAGTGATTAAGATTCCTACATGTCATGTTGTGGGTGCAGCGGATCCGTTCCTTGATGGATCGATGGCGCTCTACAATATCTGTGATCCGGATACCGCTGATCTGTTTGATCATGGTGGTGGCCACGTTATTCCTCGGACTAAGGAGACTCTGACGGATCTCAGTGGGGTCATCCGAGATATGATTGTCTCCGTGGCATAGATCCGCGTCCCGGCCTCCTTATTTCTTTCTATTGTATGTCTAGTTTGTGTCTTTGATCGCATTTCAATTTCTGGCTTTGTTTATAAAACTAAAATTCACTTTTGTCTATCTATTTTTAAAGAATTCCATAATCCCATACACCACCAATTGCCTATGCGAGCAACGGCCGCGTCTCGGGATCCTCCTGCCCTTCCTCCGCCAAAGCTTGATTTGCCCCTTGCCCCTGCGTCCCAGTTTGCGATTCCCCCTGGCTAGAAAGACCAACCAATGAAAGTAAAGATGCCATATCGAGCCAACCAAGCCAAGAGGAATCCGAAGGGCCATCGCCCAAGCGCTCATACTCCGTCTGTTTCAATCGCCGCCGAAGCCGCTTCACCAACCAGACAATCAGTACAACAATAGCAAACAAAGCCAAAGTCCCCGATATAGATATAATAACCGAAAGAACATTCAAAGTGCTCGCGTTACATCCCAGCGGACGCGCACGCAGCTCCCATCGTTCTTTCGATCCAAGCGGGCAGATCTGATCGGACCCGATAGGAGCCAGTATTGGGAATCGTCCTGGATTTGGAACACAGGTAGATGACTATTCGCAGGTCAGTTATGGTACGATTGCGATCTGATGTGTCCAACAAGGTCCTCTAGGGGTCGTGAAACACCATTCCGCGATTGGAATGCAAGGGGAAAGAGGGGTTACAGAACAAAGGAATGCAGTGGCGCAATGGAAATCAGATCAAGTCGACTTGCTGGAAGGAAAGGAGAACCGAAAGGCTTGAACAATGAGAAAAAATGGCCTCAAGACAAGAAGCAAAGCAAAAGCACAAAGTAAAATAGAGAGGCATCATTCTTGTTCAACGCATGTGGTAGGTGTCACATACTATTGCGCACCAACTGCAGCTCACGCCTTCTGTCAGACATTGCGAGCAGGATTGTAGTCTCCAGCAGAGGTGGAAAAGGGGATCGCTGCCATCGGATTCCGTTAGGCTGATGTTGTTGGGTTGTTCAAAGGCCATGATCCTCTGTTCTCTTCATGTAAGGTACACTTCAGAGTGATCGAGAAGGAACATCGCACTTAAAGGGAGGTTTAGTGCCCCTTACAGAGTATCAAAAGTACCAAGAAAAAGCAAAATGGCAGAGATGTGGTTGGGATTGCGGGGTCATATAGCAGCAACCTTGGGCACTTACGACGATTATGGGGCGTCAATGGAACATCCAGATCAGACCATCCTCCTCAATCTGGACCCAATTATTGACGGTCTTACTAGGCCAGTTTGAAATGGGTTCAACGGTTCAGAGAAACCGACGTGTCGTTGCTTTCCGATGCGTTAGGTAATGCTGCAATGCATACGTCTTCCATGCAGAACATAAGCATAAATCCCATGGTAGCGACCCGAAGCGTTTCTGGTAGTACAGATATATTAAACTATCAAAAGCAAGTTTGCATGACACCGTGATGTAGGAGAATATGAAGAAAAAATCGATCGCCAAAAATGCAGCTATTCCAACATCTACATGGAAACCGTAATCGCCGTCCACACCGTATTTCATATCATATTCTTTTTTTCGAGTTCAAGATGGAAAGAAATGGGGAAGGTTTAGACAACGCGCTTGACCTGTAAATAAATGAAAACGTATTAGTATTCAGTCTTCCATTCTCATGCGGAAAAGCAACTTACCTCAAAGAATCTCTTCAGCCACCACACCTGGAACACACCCTCTCCAATAACTACAGCCAACTGGAAGGTACTCCACCACTTGACTCGGCCGTTGGTGCTCTCTGCTGTGTTCCGGTGCACGCGCTCACGGACGACAATGTATCCCTGCTCATCTCTAACTTGTGAAACAGCCTCGGACAATCGACGGACTAAATTCCAAATGATCAGCTCACGCGCCCTTTTTCCCGCAATTGTCTGACCCTGTGTATAGGGGCATGGGTGTCTTGGTCTTACCTTCGGCCTCCAAGGGGTCCTGCGCCATCTCCGATTCCGGCACATAGACGATACCGTGGACGTTGAATGAGACCTCCTTCGAGTTCGAAGTCCAGCCCTCGTTGCTGAAGCAGTAGTTGTATTTGCCGTCGGCTTGCGCGGTGAATGAGTAGTCTTCATTCGAGATGGCTTGCTTGTAGTACAGGCGGTTCCTCAGGGGGTCCTCGACCTAAAATTCACAGTACATCAGTATCCAAGTTTGCTCAAAGTGATGACCGATATGTTCTGGTTTGGATTGTAGCTCCGCTTCCTGTCGTCTTGTGGCTCGCTCTCTTCCCCTCTGAACAGCAGTCTGCTCTCCTAATCCATCTCAAACCACAAGACCAGGGATCGGTGTAGGTGCCGGACAGACGTACCCAGAAATCAATCTCAAGATTACCGCTTCCGCCAAATTCCCGGTCGCCAACTTGGAAAGTAACGGTCATCAAATCATCCTTGTGTAGGACCTCGTGGAAGCATTCCCGGGAGTGAGCCTTGAGCTGGATGGTGTGTGCGGTCGCGACGGAGAACAACCCCAGCGCGGTGGCCAGGACGCTTGCTGCTGAGAATCGCATCTTGTTGTCTGTTCCGTTCACCTGCTAGAAAACTTCGTTCGAATTGGTGGGCTGAGGGGGAATCGGAGGTTGGAGGGAGTCGGTCTCGGCCAACGCGAAAGGTGTCAATTCGAGACGCTCGGACCACTTTGGTAAACACTTGGAGTGGAGCAACCACATATGGTCGTCACATCTAATGTCCAGAGTATCATCATCAATTTGGAAGGGAATTTAAGTCTAACAGGGTGTTTTGATTTAATTGAATCTCGATGAATGTTTCATCATCTCAGAAAAGGCGCAATGTGCAGGTGATACTGATGTCTTCTCCAGCCTAGTCATATATTTTGGTACCCTAGTGCACCCTCGCGATCACCATTATATGCTCGCTGCGCACCAGGGCCATTGACCCCAACTCTTTGGGCTTGATCAAATCCCGAACACTAGAAGCATTCTACTGAGCATGTGTGCATTCTATTACAACTCCCAGGACACACTTCTTTAATTGTAGTCGATTGGTTGACTTCGTTCATATATTGTTCGTCTATAGTAGATCCAATGAGTTATCGGGGTCAGGCAGGTGTCAATGCTTCGAAATGATCATGTAACAGTTTATCATCAGGCCTGAAATAATCAGACCTCGATCTTCTCATGAGCCGCCTGCTGCTCGGCAACCACATCGGCAGGGATGCGGTCGGGTGTAGTGTTCACGAGCATATGCATGGGTAACAAAGCAGCCCCAAGTAAGCCAAAAGTCACGGAGCTATTATCTTAGTCAGTCAAAGCAAGTATAGAAGCTGAACAGTCAAACTCACAATCCAACGAGAATATTACTCGTTTCAGTGTTCATACTGTAGGCAATAGCTTGACCGACAGCTTCGATGCATCTAAATGCAGCGCCATTGCGAACATTTTCTATCATTCCAATTAGCAAGCACTTACGACAGCAGATAAGACTAGTAGACTCACCTTGCGCGTCGGTCGCAAAAGATGAAATAAGCCAATACATGTAGGATTGCGACAAAGGACCGGTAGTCTGCACAAAGAAGTATGGCAGGAAGGCTGAAGGGTATAGACTGTCGCTCCAATCGATATCACCAGGATTATTGCGGTCGAACTTCCTTTGCATGATGATAGACCAGATATAGACACCAACGTTGAGAACTACAACGGTATAAAGTCCGATCTGAGCGCGTCGACGTTGGCTAACGCTCTTCATATCGAGGATGAATCCAAGGCCGAAGCAGCCGACACTGAGATGATCACGTTAGTGCATATAATTTCATCAAGAAATAACGTAGACTTACATGCAGAAGAAAGGCGAGATGAGAGATGAAAGAGCGCGAGCGCGGACGGAGAAATAAGTTCCTAAGTAGGTGGACCAGGTACCGCTGGAATTTGTTAATACTTTCCCTTCCCAATGATGTCTTCAACTTCCATCTTACCTGTAGAAAAATGACCATAGTGCCCAGAGTGCAGATAGCACAATAAGCTTTGAGGTAATAGTCTTCCAAATGCGCTTGAACTCCTGCTTGGTGGACAGAGTCTCCGCAGTAATGATTTTCGTACCATCAGATCGGACGACGTGTTGAAAAGGCATAATTAACAACGCAAATGGTAGTCTGAATGTTGTCAGAATACAAAGATTTTTAGTAGCTTCAGTGTGAAACTGCACTCACGCAAGAGACTCAATGATAACGAAAGCCAAGTAAGTATTGGGGGTGATACCGCCGCTATCCCCTTCATTGTGATTTTTGGACAAGCTTCACGGACCAGGGCCGTTAGCTGATGCTCATCAGTTAGATTTTTGTAGACTTACTTGATCGCACCTCCAACCAGTTGTCCCAGGTTTCGTGACACAATCCACAAAGCTAGGTATTTGCCGCGCGCACCAGAAGGAGCGAGGGTCATGATGGCTCCGGCTTCAGCAACATACCAGCAAGCGGTTCCTATGCCACTTATAGCACCACTGAGAATGAGATACTGTATGACGAGATTTTTGTCAGAAATCGCATACTCCAGGGTCATAATTTGCCGAGGCGATGCTGTTGCTGGAGAATTAAACATACCCATTGGTTCCCGAACTTGCTGTTGCAGTAATATGCAGACCCTTGAATGGGAAAGGACATCGCACCGATCACCAGAGCCCACTTAACACCGATCTTATTCACGATAGGACCGCCCATGAAGCAAACTGAATCTTCATTAGCTTATTGAATATACCATGCTGTCGGGGGCTGCCAGACACATACCAACGGCAAGAAGGGCGTATGTGATGGCGGTGCAGATATTCGACACTTGAGGAGTTGCGAGACCACCACCACCGAGTCCTTGGAAATATTAGTTGCATTCAGAGTGAAGACTGGGTCACGCATGAATGTTATGGTGTACATACCGGTAATCGCGTCAGACATAGCCGGCCCACAGAAGGCCTGCACACTCAGAAGCATCATTTGTGTTAAACTGTGCTGCCAAACTCGCTTCCAGAGTGGGACGGTCGCTCTGTATCGCTCCATGTCGATATGAGTGCCATTTTGAATAAAGTCGGGAGTAGTCTCATCGTATGGACTGGGGGTAGCAACCGCAGTCTTAGAGTCGGCCATGATGAAGATGTATGACTTGAACGAGTACAGCAACATGAATTATTGAGTCGCATGCGTCGTTACTTATACTTGTTCTTCTCGGAGACCCCACGCTAAAATCAAACAAGGTTGGACCGCTCCTCCAGTCGGAGAACTAGGCTGTTCCGCCATAGAGGTGCACGGGCTTCTTCCGAACCAGTTGAAGGTCCAGGCGAAGGAGATACGTTGAATAGCCTATACTAAACAAATGCGACGATATGGACGGACGACATTGGCATTGATTGGCCAAGCAAACCACTGGTATCAGTGCCATCTTTATCAACAGAGAGATGTGTCTCATAATTGGAGGCAAAAGCTGGGGAAAATACCCCACTCACTTGGACTCCAACACAGATAAAGAGATAAGCTTAGCGTGTCGCGATCAACAGCCTGTGATTCTCTCCAAGGCTCCTGCCAAGGTTCTCCTCTAGGCCATAGAAGGTCCACGCGAAATGGATTGCGCTAGTGTCCCCTCACTGCCCTCACCTCCGAATCTATGCCGATACGCTAGCAAATTCCCACCAATAGCGGCCATTCGCTTGACTCATCCGTATCTAGGGTCTTAATCTCCCAAGCTTTATCAACATGGCGCCATGCATTGATGCGATTGACAAAGCTTTCGTCTGTTCAATCGAAGCTGTAAGCTTACATGACTGGGTAAAGACTATCGCACAACATTGTCACCATTGCTTTTCTGGCCATTAATTGATGTTACCATCGTACTCGGATACCGATCCAACTTATCACGTACTATACCTTCGACCAACCAACCTTCAAAACAGTCATCCAAAATGGTCCTTTCACGCGAAAACACCAAGATCATTATTATCGGCGGAGGGGGCACAATGGGATCGTCAACAGCTCTACACCTCCTTCGCTCAGGATACACACCATCGAACATTACCGTGCTTGACGTATATCCAATTCCCTCGGCTCAATCTGCAGGACACGATCTGAATAAGATCATGGGTATCGCTCTTCGAAATGCACCTGACTTACAGCTTTCCCTGGAAGCACTTGATATGTGGAGGAATGACCCATTGTTCAAGCCTTTTTTCCATCAGGTCGGCATGGTAAGTAGGCGTATCGCATGGTGGATATGTCTGAGTTTAGACCTTTATGCTAAAACATTACTAGATTGACTGCTCTTCCTCGGAGGAAGGTATTCAAAGTCTTAAGCGGAAGTATCAAGCACTCATTGATACGGGTATCGGGCTTGAAAAGACGAATTTCTTGCTGGATGGGGCGGAGATTGCAGCGCGAGTGCCACCATTCACAGAAGAACAAACCAAGGTAAGTAGAACTTGGTCTATATTTCATTCTATTTCTAGACATCCTTGCTTACCCAAGTAAACAACAGGGATGGAAAGGCCTATTCTGTGGTGAAGGTGGCTGGCTTGCGGCTGCCAAAGCCATTAATGCGATCGGAGAATTTCTGAAAAGCCAGGGAGTCAATTTCGGGTTCGGAAGGTAGGACCTAGAATCAAGGGTTTTCTGTTCTTTCTTCTGCTAACAGGAAAGCCAGAGCCGGAACATTCAAACGACCCTTGTTCGCCGCCGATGGAACAACATGCACTGGAGTAGAAACGGTAGACGGAACAAAGTATCACGGCGACAAAATTGTTCTAGCTGCAGGTGCCTGGAGCTCAACACTGGTAGATCTAGATGACCAGTGCGTTTCGAAAGTAAGTGACAAGCGAATGGCCAGCTTCCCAATTTTTTTTTTTCTTTCTATCACCCACTTGTCCTGCCACCAACACTAACCGAATCCAGGCCTGGGTCTATGCTCACATCCAACTTACACCAGAAGAGGTATCCGAGTACAAAAATATCCCAGTCATTTACGACGGCGAATACGGGTTCTTTTTCGAGCCGAATGAGTGCGCAGCAATCCTCCACCCTGAAACAAGCTAAAGAACTTAGAATGCTAAAATTCAACAGATATGGCGTAATCAAAGTCTGTGATGAATTTCCGGGTTTCTCTCGCTTCAAGCAACACCAACCATATGGCGCGTCGTCTCCAAAACTTATCTCTGTCCCTCGATCGCACGCCAAACATCCGACAGACACGTATCCCGATGCTTCGGAGGTGACGATCCGGAAAGCGATCGCGAGGTTCATACCGCAGTTTAAGGATAAGGAGCTGTTCAATCGGGCTATGTGCTGGTGTACTGATACAGCAGACGCTAATCTGTTGATCTGTGAGCATCCACAGTGGAAGAACTTTATTTTGGCCACAGGGGATAGCGGGTAAGTAAATCCGACTGATATAACCCTTGAAAGAGAACGTTGTGAATGAGCTTGACTTGCTAATTTGTTTCGGGTGTAATAGTCACAGCTTCAAGCTTCTGCCGAATATTGGGAACCATGTGGTAGAGCTCATTGAAGGATCTTTGTCAGATGAGCTAGCTTATGAGTGGCGATGGAGACCTGGAGGTGATGCGTTGAAATCTAGACGGGGTGCGCCGGCGAAAGACCTTGCTGATATGCCGGGGTGGAGACACGATGCGCAGTTATGAGCTTGATCTCAGGACGGTTTACTATAAGAAAAATAAATGGACAGATCAGCACTTCACCATGTGGATCATGTGTGTGCGACTGCAAGATTAGACTGTCCAACTCGCTCATGCACCCTAGAGACAAAGCAACTCAAATGTAGAAGTATCAAGAGCAGGAATTGGTCGAGAACATGGCTGGCAGAACAAGGAATATAGTATCTAGGCGGAAGAAAGTCAAATCTCCTTCCCTACGGTGCCTTTTGTCTAATGATTTACGTCCAAGAGAACAGGACTCTACCCCATCCCCGAGGCCTCCCTAGGGCTATGGGGACATGTTTGGCTAGGGGATCATGTGCGCAATAGTGCAACCTTAAAGAGCATTTCAAGTGAAACGAGCAAAATGGGCCAGTTGACTGGTCGCACTCGCGGCGTTGCGGGGTACCGGGTGCTTTTTCAATGACGCTGGGGCTGATCCCGCGAAATTCTTGATGAGTGGACGCGTACACGATGGAATGTCAGCGAGTTATTGCAGTGGGCAGGATAGGCAGTGCCCCAATTGATGAGCCAGGACCCGCGCCCATCATACGAAAGACGTATATCTTGGCATGACATAACCAGGTATCAAGGGCAAGAAAATGTACTCGGTAGATCGAGACATTATTGTCCATTATGATAACGTCAGGCGGTACCGAATTGCGACATCAGCGGTTTATGCAACAATAATGCAAGGAATGTCTAAACTCAAAGTTCTACATTCATCTTCGATCAGCCTTGCGTTTCGTACTGAAGTACCTAATGAACCACTCTGCCTATTGAAAAAGATCCCGAAGTCCAATCATGTGCTCTTTGTATTTATACTTTGAATGACGCCAGTATTGATTACAACTGGTTTTCAAAATCGCTACCTATCAGTTGCCAGTTGCGAATGTGGTCAGCGGCCGCTGCATGAGGACTTCCAGTGATTTCTCATCTTGATATCGCTCCTTCTCCTCTTGATATCGCTCCTTCAATCAAACCCAACTGCCTTCACAACTGTATCTCCATCAATTTCCCTTCTAAGATTTGAATTTATAATTAAATTGTGTGTGTGTGTGTTGTGTTCGACAAAGTGATTTTAACTTTGATCATTTTTTGTGGTTTGCTGTTACGTGGCTTTATTGTTTCAGTGGTGACCGACGCAGGGGTCTGTTGTGTTATATACTGTACAGTGACTGTTGAGCGCATTTGCAGCTAGGGATTGTCAGGCGAGGGGTTCAATCCACATATGATTTGTTAATGTGAATAGCAAAAATCCTTTCAAATAGGGTCTTGGTTTGGTAAAATCCCATGTAGATCTTTCTACCTTGCTTGATAGTGCACATACTGCATCAGTACCGTGGTACATACCAGTCATAATGTCGGAAGCAGTGGCCGTTAATAGGCCAGATTTGACGTGAATTATGTCATTGTAGAAGATAAGTTAGGCCGAAATTATCTATTTTCTAGATGAACAAACTATACAATTTTACCACTCTGAATTGGTTGCTGATGCAATGATTACACCTGGGTACTATTTACTTAAAAGGAACACCAAGCCAGGTGGGCATGAATCCGGGTGGAGCGCACCAAAATTTAGGATATTTTACCACTCCAAATGGGTTGCATTGCTGATGCAAAATTTACGCACCTCTGTATAAGGCTGCTTCAAGTGGGGATGATCATCGATAGCCATATTCGTGATACAAAATGGGTTGCCTCCTCCGCCTGTATATTGAATATCCCAACGTTAAATATCGAGAACTGTGGATTTGGTGTTACCACCCTTTTTGTTTGCTTTTGCATGAAGAATGATCTCCTGCATGCTGTGGCCAATAGCTATCCCTCTCCTTTGCCATTTACATTTGAAAGTTTTCCATCTTGCCAACTTCCTGCCATCTTGAAATAGGGATTCAGCTTAATACAAGATAAAGAAGGAGGGGTGGGGGGGGTGAATATCTACAGATTCTCAAATTACAATGTCCGACTGCTTCCAAAATTGCGTCAGATAAGAAAACAATGATATATTGGTCGTCGATCTTCCAGGCTTAGGAACCTGCAGGGTGGGATATGATCCATTCAGAACTGAAGACAAAGCTGACCTGCAGTAAATGGTGAGCAGTGCCTAGAGCCTTGCTTGGGAAGACCCACTACATGTACATTGATCAACATTGCTTGAATGGCAGTATACAGTCCCGCTTGGGACATCCCTGCGGTCCAGCTAACGAATTATCGGGCAGACCTGTCACAAAGTGGGATCATATAGTGCGTCATGGATAGGCTTGGTTAGAGATCATATCATCAAAGATGCAGTGATCTGGTTGGGAGAAAATCCTGTTAACCCCGATGGACTGATAGTCACACTCTATAAATGAGTGAAGTCTGCACCCAGGTTGCCCGTAATCATATTTACATACCTTTGAACACAACTCAGTCAACCTATTCTTACCTCATCGTCAAGATGCGCTCCTTTTATATTCTATTCGCTTTCCTTGCCGCTACTGTGATGGCGGCGCCAATCATTGGACAGCCATCCGAAAAGCTAACCAAGCGTCAGGTAAGAGTATACTCTCATCCAGAGGATTAGGAGCTAACGAGTAACGATGCGTAGGAGGTAAGTGATCATTCCTCGCCGAGTAATGTTTTTATATGGGTATGGCTAATGAATAGCGATGCGTAGGATGTAAGTTATCATCCCTTGCTTGAGACATATTGACTATATGGGTAGGGCTAATATTGTAAAAAGGAAGTAAGTGATTGTTCGTTGCTAACATTCGTATATGGGCATGGCTAATGAGTAACGATCAATAGCATGTGAGTGATGACCCCATCGCTGAGACATATTGAATATATCGGTAGGGCTAATACTGTGAAAAGGATGTAAGTCATTCCAAGGTTGTTCGTTGCTAAAGAATATTCGCATACGGGCATGGCTAACGAGTGATGATCAATAGCATGTGAGTGATGACGCCCTCGCCGAAAGATATTAATCTATAGGTATGGCTAATGAGTAACGATGGATAGTATGTGAGTGATGACCCCGTCGCTGAGACATATTGACTATATGGGTAGGGCTAATATTGTGAAAAGTCTGTAAGTGATTGTTCATTACTAAAGAAGATTCTAAAGAATAATCATATATGGGCATGGCTAATGAACCACGATGCGTAGGATGTAAGTGATCATCCCTCGCTAAACGCGTGTTGACCTAATGGATAGGGCTGATATCATGGATAGCCTGTAAGTGATCATCCCTCACCGAAGATTGATATTGTATGGTTATGGCTAATGAGTAACGATGAATAGTATGTGAGTGATGGCCCCGTCGCTGAGACATATTGACTATATGGGTAGGGTTAATATTGTAAAAAGGAAGTAAGTGATTGTTCGTTGTTGAAGAATATTCGTATATGGGCATGCTAATGAGTAACCTTTGATCAATAGCATGTGAATGATGACCCCCTCGCCGGAAGATATTAACCGAACATATATGGCTGATATGACAGATAGATTGTAAGTGAGCATCTCTCGCTGAGCTTCATTTATGTTGGATAGGGCTAATAGATGATGATGGATAGGATGTAAGTGACGGTCTCTCGGGAAGAATATTAAGTATATGGCTAGAGCTAATGGATGATGATGGATAGCAAGTAAGTGATGATTTCTCTGGAAGGATTTTGACTGTATGACAAGGCTAATATAATGGATAGAATGTAAGTGAATGTCCCCTCAGGAAGAACATTGGTTATATTGCCAGAGCTAATGGGTGTCGATGGACAGTCTGTAAGCAATCTGAAAGGACAACCACCGAAACCTTGAAAGCCTAGGTCTAACAGTCCACTAGTAAACGCCAATCGCCTGTGGAGGCTTCTTCTGGGACATGGAAAGTTAGAGGTTCGAACCCTGCGGTTCAAAACATCCAACTCTCACCGGCCATGACCCCGGTGTGGATCCTCCTCCGCTCGGCCTTGGTGTTGGTTTTTCCCTATAAATCTTAGGTTTTCCTACATCTTTATGCGAATGCAAAGGCTCTAGTTAGCATCAATGGGGACTACCACTTCAAATTTCGCCGATATAACCAAAATGATACCGTAGAGTATGTGTTTTAATGATCGCTCATGGCATTGATGGTGTTATTGTTTGTCGCCAAGAAATCCGAGTAAGCGTTTCACCCTCCGGCTTTCTGTCTGGATGCCCTTCTTAATTCCTAGGGATTTAGCTCCTCCAATACTATCCATTGTTATTAATAGCACCTGAAATTGATTCCAGAGATAAGGCCATCTCATCTAAATAGAGGGTTTTTCCTTGTAAGTGATTGCAAAGTCCTCTAACATCGATGGTGCCGTGGCCCATCTCCTTATCTTTTCGATCTCGGAGATTGTAGCGTTTTCCAAGTGAAGTTTTGATCGTCTATACGCTGCATTTAGCTTCTGTAGCCATCTGAGACGTGGTCAGCGGCTAGTAAAAGAAACTGACGTGTTAAGCTTCGCGTACTCAACACTAAGTTTGATCATACACCATGACTTAGAGAGAACCGGAAAAGATCCGGCTGTCACTACCGAGTGCATTCACCTGCAAAATGTAGCTAGAGAGAGAGGGGAAACCGTAGTCTATCTTGCGGTAGGTGGAAAAGCGGCCCTTCTCGGCTCTAAGGCGTTCTTTTTTGGAGTTAATTTCGCAAGTCTTGATATTCTAAGCTAAACCTTTATCATGAAAATAACCTCCATGGAATGAAGGTGGACTAGCCACCCTGTGTATAAGATTTGATCGAGGATAAGTAAAAAAAAAAAACAAAAAGTGTATAATATAGAACATTGTGAAAGAGAGTGTGTTTAGCTATTATTATGTAGGTAACGATGAGACATGAAGAGTAGTGTAGCGTAGCGTAAGGGTAAGCGAACGGTTATTTAAGATGCGAACCAATGTACAGGGATACCAAAGTGCCACTGCGAGCAGGGCGATCAAAAGAAAGAGGAAAAGGAAAATGTAAAGTAAAACACAGGGTGGTATCAAATCCGAAAGGACGTAAAAAAATCACAGATCTGAGTCGAAGAGAATATGTATGAGGCGGTTCAACGAGTGGCAGGGAGTGAGTATGGTGAAGTTAGGTAGAGGGAGAAGGGAAGAACGCTAGGGACATAAACAGCAAGAGAAACAGATCCAAAATATCAGCAGACATTGATGGAAATTTTCAGAGCAGGAACGGGAACAGGGCATGATTTTTCAAGGCAATCTAGGGAAAGATGGAATCAAAGCTGATAAACAGAAAACAGGGATGGAAAAGACTTCAATCACTCTTCAGTCTCTTCGGGAGTATCTTCGGTATCAGATGAGATCTGCGGTCCGAAGGGGCCTTCTTCGCCAGTCTCCTTTGGAGACGCCGAGACCATACCGCCAACGGTGCTCTCGATATCGTCGGGAGCAAAGTTGTCTTGCTCATAGTTTGCTGGCTCCGCATCGTGATCATAGCTGGAGCGACGGAGAAGTGGAGGGGTCTTGGGTGGCTCCGGGATAGGTGCTTCAGAGCGAACTGAGCCACGGCGGGGAGAGTTGAATCCTCTAAGAGGCCTGCTTTCGGCATAGGAGCGTCCCGGGGCAGAATAGTGGGGGGCATTCTGACGGGCGTGCGAGCTTGGAGGAGTCAAGAGTCCAGACAGGAAGGCACTAGCATTACTAGACTTGGACGGTGTCTGTTCAGACGGGCTCCCGCTGACATTGCCGTTTTCTCTACCCTTGCGCCAATTCCCCCAGGCTGCAGCGGCAGCAAGAGGAAGAGACCGGGGAGACGCTGCAATGGACTGAAGCGACGGCAGAGTTGCTCCGGACATAGCGCGCTCTCGTTCCTGCTGTTGCATTTGCAAGTTCGCCTTCAGGCGGATAGCTGCATCACGGACGGCATGCTGGTTGAAGGAAGGCTGCGAGAGAGTCTTGATTATGTCTTGCAGATCATCGATGCGAACACCGAGCACCTCGCGAAGCCAGGTGATCTCGCTGTCTCGCTCCTTGATCTTGTTAGGGGCATCCTTGTCTACCGAAGCAATCTCTTGCTCAAGCTCCTCAATACGGGTCTCACGCTGCTGAAGTTGGTCTTGCAACACGAAGATAGACTCACGAAGAGCCTGCGGGGAGATCTTATCAGGCTCGTTTGATCCCTTGGTGAAAGACATGGAAGGCGACGACGAATGGCCAGGGGCAGGAACAGGGGCAGGAATGGGGCCGGAGCCAGCCTTTTGGGCCGCCTCAGCAGCGGCACGGGCAGCAGACTGGGCAATCTCAAGCTTCTCCTCAAGGTGTTGCACACGTTCCTGAAGGTGGCTGACCTTCTCAGCTGCGAGAGCCAGGCGCTCCTCTGTATGAGCTTCACCACGTTGGCGATCCTCAGAAGAGTTGTGCAGGGCACGGGCGTGACGCTCGCGGAGGTCATTGAGAACCCGCTCGTGTGTTTTGCGCTGGTCCTCAAGGGCAGTCTCCCGGGACTCTTTAGCGATGGTGAGGGCAGCGACCTTTGAGTCATTAGCGTCCTCGAGGAGCATCTCATAGCGCTCCCGAGACGTATCAGCATCCATGCGAACATGATCGATTTGGCTCTGGAGACGGATAATCTGGGCCTCAAGCTCCGCGCGCACAATGTTGACTTGGCTATTGGCTGCCTCAAGGTCTGCCTCCATAGAAGTACGGGTACGCTGGACCTCGATGCGGCTGCTCTCACGGGCGTCGTTGAACTCACGCTCGAAGCGAGCCGACTTCAGCTGCAAGTCATGGTTCTCGGCACGCAGTGTGGCAATAGTTTCTTCCAAGCGAGCGTTCTCCTGTACCGATTGCTCGTGGACGAACTTGATCTTGGCAGCTTCACGCTCGCGGACCTCGAACTCGCGCACATCCTGCTCGAGTTGCTCACGGAGCTTGCTTTCACGAGCATGCGATGCGAGAAGCTCGTTGTGCTTGGCTGTCTGTTGCTCTTCCCTGCGGCGGGCAGCAGCTTGGTCCTGGGTGATCTCGGAAGTGACAGTAACCATGTCAGCTTGCAGACGGTCAAACTTCTCGGTGAGGTTCTGGCGAGCGAACATGCTGTCCTCGATACGAGTACGTAGATGATCAACGGTCTCATGAAGGGACTTGTTCTCGCCCTTAGCGGTCTCCAGTTGACGACGGAAGTGGTCGCTGGAAACGCGGTACTCGTCTAGAGTACCTTCGAGAGCGATGTTCTTTGAAGAAAGCTCGGCAAGAGTGACCTTGAGGGTCTCGTTCTCCTCCGCGAGAGACTCGGATCGGAACTGCATCTTCTCCAGGTGAGGAATTTTCTCCTCCTTAAAGTGAAGGAAGCGAGCCTCCGCATCTTCGGCAGCAGCACTGTGGCGCGCGGCGTCATCTTCAGCAAGCTTCAGAAGAGTCTGGAGTTCGCCGATCGACTCCTGTGCCTCCCGGCGTGCCTTGTATTCTTGCTCAGAACGCTCATCGGCGAGTCGCAACATGCTCTTGAGACCGTCGATCTGGAGCATGAGGCTATCCGCACCAATCTCTTCGGCTTCCGACAACCGCGGAGTTTGCTGGGCCAATTGCCTAGCAAGAGTCTCCTCAAGAATCTCGCGCATGTCACCAACAGGATCCTGTGCAAGCTTCTTAATGGTCATAGCCTGAAGCTCAGCAATGCTCTCTTTGAGCAGAGCCATTTCGCTATGGCTAGAGTGAGGAGCCGAGCGGTGTGGCATGTCATGAGTAACAAGAGCCTCCATGACGATGCTCTTCAGCATCTCCACCTTACGGTCACGCATGTGATGAGGCGAGCGATCTCTAGACGAACTCTCGTGCGCTTCCTCACCATCATCCTCATCATCTGCATCGCTGTCCTCAAGTTCAGCGGATGTGCTGCGCAGCACCCTCCGAGTGGCAGCCCCAGTAGCGATAGAAGCAACAGACTGCTGAATAACAGCCAGAGCACGCTCCATGGGGCTTAAACGATCATCGATGGCAGCACCAACGATATCATTAATGCGGCGATCGAAGAAGCGGTTGCGGTTGAAGAACTTCTCGTCCTCTCCAGAGGAGATCATGTCATCCCAATCGCTGACATGGTCGTTCTCGGTGATAAGCTGGCGCACAGGAGACTGGATACGAGAGATGAGACTCTTGACAGGAGAGAAGGTAGCATTGCTCTGAGCATCAATGTCGGAGCCGAGCTTGGGAATATCGAGCTTGTAGGTCTTGTGGCCGCCACCAGGGCTGGGGCTCGGTGCCTCGCTTCGGCCCTCTGCAGAACCAAAGGGTCGTTCTTTAGTTGGCCCACCAACAGACTCTGAGATGAACTGGCGAGGAAGAGGTGTAGTGTGGCGCTCGATGCCAACATCCGAGTCCTCGTTAAGCTGATCCATGATCGCGTTAAGTTCATCGTCATCAGGCGACTCTTCAGCGGATTCGCGGTAATACTCAAGCTTCTGTTGAGCAGTAAGCGTCTCCGGCTCCTGGAATGGCGCAATGGTATGTGAGAGAGGTGGGACATGCGACTTCGGTGGGCTGTTAGTCGCGAAGCGAGAAGCCATAAGACCACCCTGTTTCTTGTCGACGGTTTTCTTCTCGGTTTGCTGAGCTTCTGACTTCCGCAATGAAGGGCTTTGCTCCCCAAAGTTGGACGGCTCAACGGAAGTAGGCGCGAAGGAGGAAACAGCAGGCTTGAACTCGAAAGGCTTAGCTGTGGCAGAGAGCATTGTGTTCTGGTCCTTGGATTCTTGGGAGGAATGGCCTGCGGGCTTGACATCACATTCAGGACCGTTGTTCTGAGTGGACTGTTCCAGCTGAGTCTCCTCAGCAGGTTCGTCCAGATCTCTGGTCTGATCTTCATGAACAGATGATTCAATGTGAGATCGTGCATCAGCATCACGTTGGGCATCGAACAAAGTCCATGTTTCTGCCTCACTGTGAGGGGTGTCCTGGCGCTCGACTCGCTTTTTGTCGTTCTCATTAGGGGAGGCATTCTCCTTGCCCTCAGCAACACTTTGGAGCGGGTTAGGTGCTTGAGCGTTGCCAGACTCGCCCAACGGATGGGTCGAGATGCTGTAGCGAGCCTCGCCTTCAGCATGGCCGACGCCTCGGCGAGCCCGCTTGTGACGATCAGTGGGCACTGGCCGTCCCTCATGGTCGTCATGAGTCTCTTGTTCATCCTCTTGGGGTTCAACTTCGTCATCTGGTCGCACAATTGGAACAGCCTTTGACTTCTTGGCTGGCTTCGAGATCTCAGAGAGATCAATATCCCCGAAAATCTTTGATCCACTCTCAGATGGCTGTTGGGCAGTATGGTTAGAGGTGATGCTGGCAGACGGGTTGAAGACAGGCGCATCCACGTTGAAGGAAGCAGCCGAAAACTTGAAACTGCTGGACTTGGGCTTGGGCTGAGGGTTGGAATCAATGGGGGCCTGCATCATGCCTGCAGCAAAAGGAGCTGCCGGGGCAAATCCATAACCAGGCTGATCGACTCCCCCAAATTGGAATCCATTGTTGACAAAGGGTGCTTGCTGAGATCCGAAAGAAGCCGTTGGGTCGAACTCCTTGGCTTCAACGTTGAAAGATGAAGTAGATAGCCTGCTATGGTGACCGCGGAAAGAGCCAGCACTTGGCTTTGCCTCGTGCCATGACCCTTGGTTTGGCTGCGCACCCCGAGTCTGAGGAGTTCCAGTGATGCTTGGGTTGGTATCAAAGTCAGAACCTTCATGCGCATTTTCATGCGCATACTGCTCATTGTAGAACTGGTTGGGGTGATGGGCGAAATGCGATGGTTGTGGGGGAACATTTTGAATCTGGTGATGAGGATCATTCTCTGGCAAGGCCCAGTGAGGCTTGAGAATGTTTTCATGGTGATTCGCGTCATGCTCATCTGTTTCCATGTGGTGGTCGGCAGCGTGAGTCAAGTGGTATTCGGGGTGTGCCATATTGTCAAGACCTCTCTGGAGAGTCTCGCTCAAGTTGTGACCATGGCCACGAGGTGTCGGGTGGGCAATTTCCACATTCGAAGCATGGAACTGACTCGGATCGTTGACGGGAGTCTGGGGAGTGGGAAACGGAGGCCCGTCCTCATAACCAGGGTTTCCAAAGCGGTCATCATATACCTCCTTCTCTTGGAAGCCATCGTTGAATCCATGGTGGAAGGGACCTTGGTCATGCAATGGGGATACGGGCGACAGCATGGAGCTGAAGTTGTGAAGTGCAGCTGGACCAACAGAGCCGTTGCCTTGTCGTAGGTTGATCAGACTCTGCGGGGTCATAGCTCCCTGTGCAGGTGGTGTAGGTTGGAATTGGAATGGGAATCCAGAAATCATGTTCTGCTCCATACCATTCATGCCCAGGAACGGAGTTTGCACGCTGAATTGTGAAGCTGGTGAGGCCAAGGATCCAATACCTCCACTTGCAGCCCCGGCTGATTGCCCGAACTGCGGGGAGAAAGGATGGATCCCGCCCAGTGGATTGCTAGCAGCGGATGCACTTGGGATTGGTGGTGATAGTCCCATCCCGGGGAATGGCGTTTGCGACGGGTTAATCGAGCCAGAAGCGGGAGAAATTGAGGGACCCGGTTCATCGTCGCCGAAGGACACACCGAGAGCCCGCAGCTTCTCCTCTTGCAAGTGGGCCACATAGGAATCCCATACGGCCTTGTCCGGGAAACGAATGGAGGTGGGTTGAGCCTTGCCCTCGTCGTGCATCTCAGCTGGATCGGGGTATAAAGGACGAGTCAAGCCACCAAGCTCGGTTGGCTCGGCAGAGTCGTGCATATCGCCAACAGTGAATCCTTTAACGTCATAACCCTCATCCTCCCATTTTTTCAACCGGGCCTGGACCTCTGCGGGTTTCAAAATATGGTGACCAGACGCTTCGGACCCGCGAGCGTCATCAACCGGCAGATCAATAAAGCATGCCTTGCCTTTCCATATAATCTTCTTCTTCCGTCTCTGTGGGATTTGCTTGGGTGTACTGTTGACGTCGGCCGCCTGCCTCTTTGAAATATCGGGCATTGCGGACCCCTCTGCGCTTTCTTGTGTCTCAGGCTCATCGTTTGTATTTGTTGGGGGTGCTGGCAATGGCTTCTCCACTGGCGAAGTTACCTCCATAGTTATGCCCTGCAGCTCCTTAGAATCTGACATGTTATTGTTCGGGGATTCCTTGTCGTATGCGAAACCCCAAAAATCCTCCTGGCGCAACGTCTCCGTACGCTTGTGAGCGTTCTTCTTTCCTTTTGCGCGGCTTGCAGCCCTCTTTCCAACAAAATCGGAAAGTGTCGGTGTCTTCAGAAGCTCACTTTCCCGGGTATCGTCCTCCAGACCAAGCCAGTCGTCCGAAAGATCGTCGGCAAGGTGATTCTTGGCCGTGAAAAACGAGGGTGCCTCACTTCCCGAATCGTCGCTCAGCCAATTACTGCGTTCGGTCCTAGGCTGGCCTGACAAATATTGATTGATCCAATCCTGAGTAAAATCCCGAATTGATTTTCCTTCGCGATGGCCAAGAAGATCCTCGGAATTGACGGCGACACTAGCTCTCCGAAACTCGGGGGGATTGACTATAGACGGGGTGGGTGAGCTATCTCTCGATGCTCCGTTGTCGATGCCGGCGTATTGGCTCAGAGTCAGCGATAATCTCCGGGTGCTGGGTGCTGCATACGGAGATCCCCAGGCAGTGGTATAGTAGACACTGCTTTCCGCTCTGCGATTGTCCGGCGACGAGGTCAGGGAGTCGCCTGGTCGAAGGTTGGCCGACAAGAATGGAAGCGGCGGGGGTTCGAGTGTCACGCTCTGGGAGGGAGAACCAGCGGAAGAGCTGGAGCTCGAGTCTCCTGAAGGAGAGGATAAGAACACCGCCGGGGCCAGACGCGATTTGGCACGCAGGTTGCGCGTGTTTGTCGGGGACAATGAAGGAGAGGCCGAAATGGCGGAAGATACGGGGAAATCTAGATCTGGGGATCCATCAACCATGGAATGGTAAGCATATTTTTCGGGAGGGGTGGTCTGGGGAAGAACAATCTCGGAAGGGGAGAGAAACCGCGTGGTTGACGCGGGTTTGTAGGGAGGCCCAACGATGAATGCAACAAGAACCCAAAAGCCACCGAACAATTATAATAAAGCCAATGGAAATATAGAAATCAAATCACACACCTTCCGTGTCGACTCCTGCAGCAAGCACTTGCTTGCCGCTCCGCTTATCGTCCAGAATGTTGACGCATGGAAATCCAACCGAAATTGTTAACCACCTGGCAGAACAAACCGTTGATTGGCGAAAAAGTACGTGTGCTGGATGTCTCTGCTTTCCCCTTTTTTTTTGTTAGGGAATCGATTCGAACGCGCTAGTGTTTCCTCCGCCAAGGATCAAAGATTCGAAAACCAAAAAGTAGAAGAAAGCGAGACCGCGAACCAAAGAACTGCAAGGAGCTTAAAGAGACAGAAAGGGGAACGAAAATTAAAATAATGAGCTTATGTCACGTCACGCAGGTACCTGCTACTTGGCTAGACTATTATGAATGGGGGCACCGGCGGTGTACCTAGTACCAGAGGGAACTAGTTTAATTCATTGGACCATTGACAACTAATTCAACCGTTTTTGAACCAATTTCCGGCACATGCACTTTTAGTGGTTGGCTAATGGAGCAGGACCACTATACCCTTGCGGTCGCGCAGGTACCCCGGAGATCAATTCTAGGAAAGGATTGGCCCTGACCGCCACTAAGACCAACTGGGGACCGAGGTCGGGTATACGGAGTACGGTGTACATCTGCAGTCTTGCCTCCCCTTACTGGAAGACCTACGTGTAATATACTGGTTTACATGCAGATTTATCTACTTCGCGATTCTATGTAAACAAACATTGGTTCGTGGAGATGGATTCAGGGGTAAATGAACCATGGTTTCTCCTGTAATCGTACCGTAAGTTCGAGCTGCAGCGCGATGACATAATGAGTTTACCATCTACCAATCAAATCATAGTGTCACAGGAAGTGTGTGCTGTTCGGGAGATCAGAGACACACAAACTTCGTCCTGCATATATATGCTACGTTGTACATATCGAGCATCCTGAAGTTGGGTAGACCTAAGATAAAATCCCACCACGCTTTCGTCAATGAATTTCCGAGGAGCCATCGGCTTGAAGACCGTGGGTCTAAAGAAACAAGGCCGTGCATGTCACACCACGACATACTACTGCATCTCTACGTGGTCCCAGTCCAGGCAAGCAAGCAAACAAGCAAACAATTAATTCCGTATTTCCATTCAAAAGGGAGACAAATAGATCAATAATAAGAAATACACCCCGAAGAAAAAGTATCTACTCGGTCCTCTCATTTAACCAGTTCTAAAAATCGAAAAAATATTTCAAGAAAAGAGTGAAGTCGCTCAGTTGGAACAAGTGGTGTTGAACTTGTCCTGGCGGGAAGCAGTGCGGAGGCCCCAGTGCTTCTCGTCCATGGCCTGGCCGTTGTCACCAACGCTGTCGGGCTTCCAGGACTCATCAAAGGCCTCGAAGTAGAACAGGTCAACACCCCAGGCGAGCATGCCACACACACCGGTCTGCCAGAAGGTCTCGGCATTAGCGGTACCAGCCTTGGCAGCCTCATAATCAGAGCCGCCGTCTAAGGGAGTTCGTTAGCTTTGATATCCCATGCGCGGGTTTATTCAAGATTGGATCTTACCGGTGGGCCAGCCAGTCTCGCCATTAAGAATGTGAATCTTATCAGCATTGCTACCAGCAACCTTCTGGATGTGCTCCATGGCACCAGACATATCATCGAAGTAGGTCTTGTAGGCCTGATCGGCAGCAGTTCCCTGCCAGTAAGCAAAGGCATTGGCAAGCACATAGGTGACAAGCGGGGCATCGGTGGTATCGCGAGTGAACAGGTCATCCGCAGTTCCATCAGCGAACTTGTTCCAGCTATCGGCAGTACCGACAGAGATGGACTTGAACTGGTTGGCAACCAGACCAATGTAGTTGTGCAGCGAGGGGCCGGTCTGGTCGCCACGGTAGAGAGTCTCCGAGCCGACGGTGATGGCCTCGACGTAGTCCTCGTATCCAGGGACAGCCTCCTTCAAGGCGGCGAAGTCCTTGGTGAAGGAGGCATCGTTAGTGCTCAAATCACCACTATCCTGTGCGCCAACCCTGGTAAATAGAAATATGTCAGACACCCACAGAGCAATGGTGCTAAAAAAGCATATGTAGCTGGAGTAATTGGGTTTCTTACCAGATACCAAGAACAACCTTGAAACCCTTGCTCTTCGCGGCGGGAAGAATGTTTTGAGGGGTGTCACACTCGGTTCCAGAATAGGTGCGGACGAGAGTTGTCAAGTCCTTCAAGTTGTCGAAATCGGCCTCATAGTCACTAGTAGACTTGCAGGTGCCATCGGCATTCTTGTCACCGAGCGAGAAACCCAGGGTACCGCGTGTAGAGGTGGCCAGGGCCGGGGCGACGGCCAAGGCGAGGGAGGCGAGGCCAGAAACACGCATTGTAAAAACGGGGGTGTGGAATTGGTCGTAAGAGCGAGAGACGACCGGGATAAAAGATGCAAAAACGAACTAGAGAAAGATCGAAGGAGTGTTTTGGAAAAAGGAATGGATTACCCAGTGGGTGGAAATGAATGGACTCTTTTATAAAGAGAAAACGTCAGTAAGGTGGAGGAGAACTTGGACCGGGGGAAAACGAACATTGGTACCATTGCGCAGGGTCCTGGGTGGGCCGGGTCCCTGATCAAGGGGTTGGCCAATCATCAGACACTGCAGCCTACTATTCTGGGACCAGCGTGGGTGAAACATTCCTCAGGGTCTCTGGGTCCACTTTTAGTGGCTTTCGCCTTTTCCAGAACATACCTATGAAGCTTTTACTCTATTCTCTATATACATTCTCTTTAACTATAAATCTTCGTCTTTCTTCTGATCCGTTTGTCCTCCTCGACATCGCCAATCCGATTTTGACCAATGCCAAGAACCGGCCAAGCCCCAATTGAGTCATGATGTCACTCCACCATTATCCATTGTCCAGATCCCAACCAACCCTGGATAATGGAGTAGCAGTGGAGTCATACCGGGGGATCGCTCGGATGGCAACAAAAGCTCGTGGGCCGGCGATTCCGACTCAGTTGACCAATTGTGTTCATGGTGGTATGCGGACAAAGGAGCCACCGGGCGTAGTTCCCGGGGACTGAGTGTCCTGGTTCACCCGAGTCAAGGCTGGCCAAGGCATTGTTCTCGGTGAAGGGCATTTGCCTCTCAATCAAGGCGGAGACTCCGGATGAGTCCCACCTGCCCAAGTCGGCACTTTGGCATGTCTGCCTGATCTAGGCCTTCTTGAGATTTGAGGGTTGACCTTGATTATCTCACCACTGGGTGTTCTTACTTGTATAGGAAGTTCGGGTGTTGATATGCACAGAACGGAAAGGAGGATTCCCGAGGTCGTTCATTGTTCGGGAATCATCAATTGACCGGGACAAATAAGCATCTGGGTATAGGCCTCGGAGCCGAGCAGAGAGGACGTGTTCATACTACCTACCTACACAATTATAGTTCGACCTTGGGGCGAGTAAGCTCCGAGGTCCTGCTTCAATTTTCAAAATACTTTCCAATAAAGAAGCCTGAGATTTGTAAAGGTAGTCAGCCTCAGTGACAATGATGAGATAGGTATACAGTATATGTTTGCAAGGAACACGTAGATTATACCTAGGAAACCGACATGGCTTCATATTTCACTCAATCCGGAATACCGGAGGCGCTGGGAATCATTGCTAATTCCCAGATTCTTAGGCGTAATGATCCACCCCCACTGAGCCATGTAGTTATTGTGGAGACTGGCTGACATCAAAGTGGCGAGTAGCTTAACTTGGGTCGCGCAAAGGGATGCAGAACCGCGGTGCGGATGGGTGGAGATTGGATCTGGACTCAAGTGGGGAGTTTTAGGCCAAGGAGAGTGGTTGATGGTTTGTCTTGTGGCTTTCCACTACCCAAAGCGCTTAATGGTCAACTAGTTGGGGTGAGATCTGAGGAAAATAATGAGAAACCAGATAAGGCAACTCATGGCTGCCTGAATTTCTATCAGATCAATCACATGTAGATGCAGAGCATCGTGATTATTTGTATTAAATTGGAGGTTCTACGCAATCAGCTGCATGTGTGTCTGAATCTGCTGGTTGGATCGGAATGAAGTAGGCAAATTGAACGTGGCTTCGCCGGTACAATGCCCATGGACCTACTTGTGCATTCGGTAAAGCCGTCTGGGTATTCACTCACGTACCTATGGATATGGTATTGTTTTGACTTTCATACCTTTCAGAATTTTAGGTGAAACGAAAGTTTTATATTTCATGGTCACATTGAGATGTTCGATATCTGCATCTATTTCCAATACACTCGCTGATGGTAGATGCCAAAAATTCCAGAAGAGCCCCGTAGACTCCGTTTGCCCGCAAAAACGACATTTCACAGAAGGATGTTATGTTCCCTATAATAGAGCTCTTTCACCAATTTCAGTTGATTCACAGGCATTGTGGTGCGGTTCAGAGTTGGGGGCAATGTAACAACAGCCTTGTGGACGAGGACAAGGCCAATTTGCCCGAAAAAGCCCAGAATTCGGTCCCCAGAGTTTCGAAGCATAGATTGTAAGAGGGTGATCTGGGTATCCAATATTTCGGATGGGGGGAGCGAAAGGATTTTCTGTAGAGAGTGCCAGAAGATGGTGTTGGGGAAGGGATTCCGCCGTGTAGTCTTGCCGAAATTTCGCAGGGTCAATGCTGCAAACCCGGCACCGAGGGCTGTCATCCGATCCAAGTGTGTTTGCTCAGTGACAAATGGACCTGCAGATTCAGTTCGCCACCAGCCAATGGCACGTCGGCCAGACTCTGTATCTTCGCGGCCAGTAAAGCCCCAGAGAGCCGGACAGACCACACGGTACTTGGCCCACAGGATGTCTGACATGTGGACACCCTTATACATGAATGTTTCGGTTGAGAAGATCTGAGCGGCAAGAATGCCCACGGGTTCAGCATGCGCGGGTTGGATAGAGGCTTCAGTAACAAGAGCGGAGACCAAACACTTGGCGAAAATATTAAGACCATAGATGAGCAGGGCAGGGACCTTGTTCTCTGAGTTGGCGATTTCATCTGGAGGGAACGCCAGGAACTGGCGAATATCCACAGAGGGCTCTGCAATCTTCAGAGCCTTTTCTAGCTCAGCACGGATTTGTTGTGTCTATATTGGGAGCAAATGTGTTAGCATTGGATCAAAATGATAGCTGAGGTACTTTTCAGCCTTACCTGCTGTTTATTGGTGCCCTTTCCATCTCGCAGCTGGCCTACCGACTTCTTGATTGAGCGTCGCATATCACCCATTGCTTGCTTGATGGCAGGCTCTTTCTTGCCAAAATCCTTCAACCACGTACGCATATCTTTCAAGGTTTTGTGTAGCGCAACATACCGCTCCTGGATGTTGATCTCTTCGGGAGTAAGACCGCTGCCACCGGCCTTTTGTTGTCGTTGGCTGCGGGCCTTCTCCTCTTCTGCTTCCTGGGTTTTCTTGGCCTCTTCTTCTTTTGCGCGTTTCTCGGCCTCTAATTTCTCCCGTTGTTCGCGCTCCTCCCGCTGCTTCTGCTCTTGCGCGGCCCGCCGCGCTCGCTCGGCATCCTCCTCAGCCTTTCTTCTTTGCTCCTCCTTGGCCTTACGCTCGGCCTCGCGCGCAGCCTCAAGACGCGCCGCTTCCTCCTGTTCGCGTCTGAGTCTCTCTGCTTTCTCACGTTCAATGCGCTCTCGCTCTTTGCGAGCTTCTTCCTCCTTGCGACGGCGCTCTTCCTCCTCAGCACGGTTATGTTCTCTTAAAATCTCCTCCGCTTCCTCGCGAACTTGGTCATGGAAGGCCGCGGCCTCGTCGAGGGCTGCGGTGTGTACTGCTTCTCGCTCACGGTCAATGCGGTCGAGGTTTTCGTAGAAGACTTTCCGCTCGTAGGCATGGACCTTCTTGAGTTCTATGTCGAAGAGTTTGACTTGTTCCAAGTCCCGCGTAAGGTCGAGCATGAGTTGCTTGGACGGGCTGTCCAGCGGGGGAACATGAATTTTAACCATGGCGTAGAATTCTAGATTGCCGGAAATGTAGGGACCGAAGGTGAGTGCGGCGATGAAGGGCGAGTGGACAAACGTCGCAAGGAGTGTTGAACGCAAACAAGACGTTCAAAGCACGAGGGAAAGATTATTGAGTCACGAGAAATTGGCGATATGATCGAGAGCCATCCTCTCACAGCTTATCAACAGAGAAAAGAGTGTAGTAGCGCTGAGATCACGAGGTTCTATCACAAAAAGCCGCTCTTGTCAAATTGGCCCGACAGGAGAGTCGCGGTGGGGAAGGAAGTTGGGATTTGATTTGGGGCTGGCCCTGAGGTTTCCGAAGTGACAGTATTGGTGGTTCGAACGATCGTGGAAGAGAATGCGAGGATTTGAGAGCTAGAAAGTCGGTGGTGTTCGATCTGAACCTGTTGAATAAAGTAGACCCAGGTCAACACTTCTCTCAATTGGTCTCACTGCAGAAAGGCTTCATTGGCGCCCACTTCTTGCATGGCTGGGCAGCAATGCTAATATCTGACGAATTGGATCTTACCTCCTGATTATTGGTAATTGGTCCCAGTGCAGCCAACCAATGCAGCAATGTTTATCGTGATTCGACGTCCAAGGGAGGAATAGGTAGAAAATAAGATACGAAAATTACGCTTAGTCATGCAGACTCGTATCGGACCAAAGTGTGGTTCATTTGCATCATCATGAGCATCACTCATTTAATGCTTCAGGTATGCTGATGATATATAAGCACCATCGACCCAAGTAGAGTCTCTTCAAGTGACTTAAACGAAAAAATCTATGGATATAAAGCGCCATTAAACTCTGGAGTGAGATGCGCCCTATGTGGACAGGCATATCAATGTCAGAGCCAATTGATTAAGTTAGTTCACTTTTCACCCTCCAGAAAGCTACTAGTCAGTATTATAGTATTTATCGGAGGGGGGCGTCGATCCCGGTCTCCCAGACCGACCGGACTCGGCTCCCCCACACCTGATGCAGCTTGTCCTACCCAGAATGTATATGATCCAGGTTGTGGATTTTAGTGGCTTGTGAGAAGGCCTTGAGCATAGTGATGAGGTTGTCGGGAGCAATGGAGATCATCCACGGAATCAGCTGGGGAAAGATTTCTGTATAAACCCTTACAATACGAGTGCGTGACATCGAACGAATGCATTCAGTATGTGTAATCAGTGGGAATGGATGCTGGTAATGGTGTAAATACCAGAACAAACGTTAATTACATGGCCCTTCTCCCCACACCCGCCGTGTATGGATCCATCATCATCACCTTCTTTCTTCTCCTTTCCCCCTCCTCACCTTCTACTCTTCTTCTTCCCCCAATCTCTCCCCTTTTCTCTCTCTTCCCCCATCGCTCCTTCTGATTGAATCGGTCGATGTCTACATCGTCTCGATTTCATCCTACCCCATAATTTACTTGTTGTCATTCTCTTCGAGGACGTGCAACCCACTCCGCCTATTTTCTGGCTCGAAATTCGTTGGCATACAGAAGCAGCTTTTCTTAGCCACCGTTCTTCCCGGACATCGAGTCTGATTTCACCGTCTCTCGACCGAGGATCTTCTTTGATTCCTCTATCCAACAACTCTTTCCGGCTGTCGTAGTTGGCTACGGTGCAATTCACCAAGCTTTCTACCGCCAAATCGGTCCTTCCAACTCCCTACTTTCGAATCGAGCGAGCGTCGTCCCTTTCAGTCGGTCCTTGCCGTTCTCGATACCAAGTGCATTGAGCGTGCAATTGACTTGACTCGCCACTCCTCTCGGTTCCTGCGATCTGATCGTGTACAGACCGCTATTGCTTTGTTGGCTTCTAGCAAATCTCATCCCACGTTGACAGCATAGACGTCATTTTGGAATGCTAGGGCTCGGAGCTTGTCATTAGTCTCTCCTGCAGGTAAGGGTGTCAAAATATTTGGTTTCCTTCTGACAGGCGTGCGTGTGGTCACCATGATTTGTTTGCCTATGGTCCGGAGAAGCTTTGGCTGCATCTCCTCCCTATCCTGGAGATACTCCGAGTCTCCTGGGGCTTTCTGCCGCCCATGGGTCCAAGCGAACCATCGCAACTTCCATTTACACGTCAACTGCATGCTGTCCCCTCCTTCCCCATCGTCGTTCCTTCACGTTTTTGATCTCCCTTATTCCCTTGGCTTTTACTTTGCTTTCCTGTACTCGACCCTCCATTCACCTTATACTGATCATCACTTTCTTTCTCTTGCAGTATAGTTCCCAACCTGTCCTGTTAAAGACTATCGTCCGCACATATTACCACCACATTCGCGGTCGGTCGGTGATCTGCATAACTAGGTTCGATTGTCTTTGGAGGCAAAACCAGTCTCTCTTGTCGTCGGATCCCCTCCGTCATCCCGCATTTTACACTCTACAGTGATATTCATCTTCCTCAGATATCATGGATCAACAAAACCAATCCGGGGTCCCTGGCCCCGCTGGTCGCAAGCTCCATATCGCCCATCGGAGAAGTCCATCTGAGCTGACCCCTCTGATGAGTATGTCTTGATTTTCATCCCCTTGAGCTTTCTGCCCGTCAAAATAAGTTGGAACTAATGCAGGTGACACAGTGGAACAACTTGCCATTCAGCAACAGATCGAGCTGCTTCAGCAGCAGCAACAGCAAATCGCTGCTACACACCAACAGTACGTGAACATGGGCCTGCTCCAACCTCAACAATTGGGCCAGGTCAACGCATTCTCTCCCGGTGGTTCCATGGGTGGTGTCTCGCCTCAGGTCAACGCCTTCCAATTTCCTCAGCAGCAGAACCCGCAGCAAGGGCAGCAGCAGCTTGGAGTCCCCATGAACGCACCAAACCAACACTCCCACCGTCGCAACCAATCTGCCCTACCCGGCCTCGCAATGGGCCCACCCCCTGCTCCGTCGTCGGGTGCTTCTGGATACGCCGATTATAACCAGCAAGGCCAAAATAATCAGAAGAACGAGAACGCCAACCACGGTCGCGGTCGCGGAGGCCCGCCAGGTGGTGGTCACCAGCGTCGCCACTCTCTGGCACTACCTGAAGCGAAAAAGGCTGCTGAGCTTGCGCAACAGAAGAGAACGGCTTCGGGCTTCCAGTTCCCGGCTCCTGCCCCAGGTGCCAGTGGATCGGAGAACCAGTCGGGATCTGATGACAAGCCTCAGCCCAGCACATCTCCTGCGCCTCAGGGACTTGGTCTCCAACGGGCCGGTAACATCCGTTCCGGTGGCGGCCATGGCCGAAGCCAATCGATGGCCATTGGCGGTAGTCGAGGATCTATCTCTGGCCGTGGTGCCGGTGGCTTCCAGTTCCCTGCGACCAGCGATGCTGGTCAACCGGACAATCAACGCCGAGGCAGTCAGCCTGGCCATGCCCGCACAGGATCCCGGAACTTTGACGGCAACTGGCGTCAGCCCAATAACCAGAACCAGAACCAGGATCAACAAAAACCATTCAACCAGCAGCAAGGTAGCGGATTCCAACCTGGACACCGTTCGCGGCCTTCTATGAACCAGTCGATGGGCGCCATTGGCCAATTCCAGTACCCTGGTCAACCTCAATTGATCCAGTTGCCCCAGGGACAGGTCATGATGGCGCCGCCTCAGATGTTTGGCGGCCAACAGCTGAACCCCCTTCAGCTTGCTCAACTGCAAGCGCTCCAGCAGCAGCAGAATGGCCAAGGCATGGGTGGCCTTGGTGCGAGCCAACACGCTCCGCCGCAGCTGTCTGTTCAGCAGCAGCAGCAGCAGCAGCAGCAACGCAAGACTCTTTTCACCCCTTACTTGCCCCAGGCCAACCTGCCTGCCCTTATCAGCAATGGTCAATTGGTGGCTGGTGTTCTCCGTGTTAACAAGAAGAACCGCTCTGATGCCTATGTGACCTCCACCGATCTTGATGCAGATATCTTCATCTGTGGTAGCAAGGACCGGAACCGTGCTCTGGAGGGTGACTTCGTTGCCATCGAGCTCCTGGACGTTGACGAGGTTTGGACCCAGAAGAAGGAGAAGGAGGAAAAGAAGAAGCGCAAGGATATCACCGATGCCCGTTCTGGCAGCAACGCTGGCAATGACAAGTTGGGTCGGTCTGACTCCAACGGCGACAGACAAGAGATTGGTCCGGACGGAAGCATCCGTCGCCGTGGCAGTCTTCGCCAGCGACCCACGCAAAAGAAGAACGATGACGTCGAAGTTGAAGGCCAGAGCCTACTGCTGGTTGAGGAGGATGAGATTAGCGATGAGCAGAAGCCCCTCTACGCTGGACACGTGGTTGCAGTCATTGAACGCATTGCTGGTCAGATGTTCTCTGGAACTCTGGGTCTTCTTCGCCCTAGTAGCCAGGCAACAAAGGAGAAGCAGGAGGCTGAGCGCCAGGCCAGAGATGGTGCCCATGGACGTCACCAAGACCGTCACCAGGACAAGCCTAAGATTGTTTGGTTTAAGCCCACGGATAAGCGTGTTCCTTTGATCGCTATTCCAACTGAGCAGGCCCCGCGAGACTTCGTTGAGAAACACCAAGATTATGCCAACCGTATCTTCGTTGCATCCATCAAGCGATGGCCCATCACCTCTCTACACCCCTTCGGTACCTTGGTTGAACAGCTCGGTGAGATGGGTGACTTGCGGGTTGAGACAGATGCTTTGCTTCGTGACAACAACTTTGGATCTGATGAGTTCTCTGACGCTGTCACCAAGAGCATCGGCTACGAGGATTGGTCCGTTGCTAATGAGGGTGATGCCCTGGCCTCGCGCCGCGACTTCCGTGAAGAGACCATCTTCACGATTGACCCGGAGAACACCAAGGCATTGGAAGATGCTTTCCATGTCAAGACGCTGACCGATGGAAAGATCGAGATTGGTGTGCACGTGGCTGACATCGCTCACTTCGTCAAGGGCAACTCCCTCGTTGATCGCGAGGCCAAGAAACGCGGTACTGCAGTGTACCTGGTCGATCGAGTCATGAACATGCTGCCTTCTCGAGTCTCTAACGAGCTTTGCTCCCTTGTTCCCGGCGAGGACCGCCTGACTGTCAGCGTTGTGTTCAAGGCAAGCCTTGAGACTGGAGCCATTGACGATGACGTTTGGATCGGAAAGGGTGTCGTCAAGAGCGCCGGCCGTCTCAGCTATGAAGAGGTTAACGCAGTGATTAACGGCAAGTCTGATAAGACCACTGCTGGCATCACCTCGGACAACATCCAACTGATGAACGTGAGTCTTTCCATTCCTTTTAACTCCTCTAAGTTATGTTGACTAATTTTCCCCAAGACCATTGCACACAAGTTCCGTGACGCTAGATTCGGTAACCGGGCGACCAATGTTCCTCCTCTGCGTATCCTGCAGCAGCTTGATGACGAGAATGTGCCCGTGGAGTACAACATTTTCGACTCTACTCCAGCTCACGAGCTCGTGGAAGAGCTGAGCCGCCAGGCTAACTTCTTCGTTGCCCGTAAAATCTCCAGTGCTATGCCTGAGAAGGCATTCCTGCGTCGCCAGCCTTCCCCCAACCCTCGTCGCCTGACGCTGTTTGTGGAAAGAATGAACCGTCTTGGTTTCGGTATAGATGCTTCTAGCAGTGGTACTTTGCAGAGCACACTCTGCAAGGTGGAAGACGTTGACCTCCGCAAGGTAAGTGGGGTTGTATCCAATTTTCAAGTAATCTTACATTTGCTAATTCTTGATTGACCACAGGGAATGGAAACTTTGCTTGCGAAGGCCATGCAGCGCGCGAAGTACTTTGTTGGGTCCAGTGTGGCTGATGAGCAGCGTCTTCACTACACTTTCAACGTGCCCGTTTACACTCACTTCACCAACCCATCGCGGCGCTACACCGATATCATCGTGCACCGTCAGCTTGAATCGATCCTCTCGGACGGTGCTATCGAATTCACTGATGATATTGAATCCTTGACCAAGACTGCCGATCTTGCCAACAACAAGAAGGATTCGGCTCACAATGCGCAGGAACAGAGTGTTCACATCGAAGCCTGCCGCAACATGGATCGCAAGGTGCACGAGATTGGCGGCGATCTCATCAGTGAGGGCATTGTGCTTTGTGTCTACGAGTCTGCCTTCGATGTCCTCATTCCCGAATACGGCTTCGAGAAGCGTGTTCACTGTGACCAGTTGCCTCTCAAGAAGGCTGAGTACCGCAAAGATAGCCGCGTGCTTGAGCTCTACTGGGAAAAGGGTGTTCCTTCTTCCGCCTACGTCCCCGAAGATGAGCGTCCCAAGCCTGGCAACTCTCGTGCTGCCCAGGCGGCCGCTGCTGCCCGTGAGGCTGAGGCTGCCAGAGAGCGTGCTCGTGAGCGTGACGAGGCGATGCGGAAGCAAACAGAGACCGGTACTATGTCAGCGGATGACGTCGATGCGCTCTTCGACGATGACGATGATGTGGACGAGGTGACTGAATTAGCTGCAGGCGTGTCTCTGAACTCGGCTGACCGGTCGACTCAGAGCATGCCCCCTTCGCCGACTCGCAACGGTCACCTCCCGCAGGCCCCCCACCGTACTCGCTCCGACCCGAAGATTGCTTCGAGCACCAGCGATGCACCAGAGAGCAAGATGACCAACAAGGAGAAGTATTTGAAGCTTTTCAAGCTGAGAGAGGAAGACGGCGACTTCATCCAGGATGTCACCGAGATGTCCCGTGTTCCCATCATTCTCAAGACCGACCTGAGCAAGAGCCCACCGTAAGTACAAAATGCTTTTCTGGAAGTAGATGACCTGAATTAACCACTTTATTCTTTCTAGATGTCTCACCGTTCGGTCCGTGAACCCTTACGCTCTGTAAGGAGCTCCACGGTACTACTTTTCTCCTTCCTTGGGATATATTATTGCATGTCTATCCTGCAGATTCTTGGGCGTTGGGGAGCATGGCCTATGATCCTGTTTCCACGCTCCTACGGACATAATCTTTCCTCAACATGCGGATCGAGCATATTGTTATCGGGTTGAACCTGATATCCTCTTTCCTCCTTCTTTGGTGGCTTTCCAAGTCCGCCTTCATTCGATCAATATCTTCCCGCAGTTCTTTGAGGCTATCATACTTTAACCCTTTGTTGTTATTAGTCGCAGCGATTGTTTTTTGAGTTTGGAGGATTTTGAGTCCTCTTCCGGAGAGAGTTTTTTCTGTGCTCAGAACCTTTTCTCGGTCCCTTTCTTGACCGGTCTCCCGTCCTTGTGGTACCTGAGATTGGAGATATTTCGCCATGATTGGAGATTGGAGGGGAATATTGATTACAGCTCGATAGTTCCGGAGAGTATTTCCATTAATTCAGGTATTTACATAGTCATCTTTTTCTAGTAGTCTGAATTCGTGTAGCATGAAAGTCTTAGACTACTTGTACAGAGACCAAATAACCTTTTCATTGACGATTACTGGCAAAGCGGGCCTATCGGAGGACATCATTTAAGTACATCAGTAATGATGTCCACATTAAATGCCAGATACCCGTGGACATGATCGTACTTCAACTGGTATAGCCTGATATGATATCATTGAGATAGAGAAAAGAAGTAGGTTCAACACAGCTTCATTGATTAAATCGCACAATAAATTACTGTGTAGATTGAATCTAAATGATGCAAATAGGACCACAAGACAAAAGCAAGAAAAACGCCGTCATCCATCTTATGCAACCTTAACGCATAATCAATGCATATATTTTCACCATCCCCATGCAGATAAGCCCGGCATATTACCGGGAGTAAACAAATGTAAAGAGCGAAATGGGGTATCGTGCCCTCGATGAACAATCCAATACCATGCAGTAAACCAAATTTTAGAGAATCCGCGGACGAAATCGCAGTTCAAAGTCGTCGCAGACCAATCCGGGGCTTGACCTTCGCCATAGCTCCCTTCCGTAGACCGGGGACTTTTTTCGAGAGCTTCGAAGGGGATTGCTTCGATACCAAAGATGCAGTAGCGTTCGGCGGGTGGCCTGATTGCATTGCCTGTGTGTTCGCAGGGTGTGCCACCTTCTCAGCATGTACACCACGGATATCTTTCAAGGCACGAGGCACAGATACGGAATCGCGGTTCTCCTTCCCGTCGCCGCCGAATCGGCGCGAGATATCGGTTAATGTGCGATCTGGGACGTCCTCGTAGATCTGGACATCTTCGCGAAGACGGGTGGGTGTGTTGCCCCTTCTGCTCAGGGCGAGTTTGGGGGTTTTGCGCTGTGGGGACATGGAGGGGGAGTGACGTGCGTAGCGAGAGAATGTGGAGGAAGATGAGGTGTTTGCGGCGATGTTCTTGTCGGAGGAGCTGAAGCTCAGGCTTGTTTGGGGTGTATCGGTGTCATTTTCGGATTCGGAATCCGAGTCCACTAGCATCATCTCTGTGTCTGGGTCTTCGGGGTATGCCAGTGAGAGGACGGAGAGTGGGCGTTTGCCGAAGGCATTCTTGCGAGGGCTTGAGGGTGGTGCAAGGCGAACGGGAGTTGGGGAGAGAGAGGGATTGTTTTCTTTGCTTGCGCTTGCGGGGTCGTCGTTTTCGTCGTCGACGTCACTCATTTGCATGGGGTCATCTTCGGGAACTGGCTGTGGGTGGATAGTGATATCGCGGGGTGGGTGTGGAATGTATTCGGATGGTGGGCGATTGCTTTTCATGGTTGTGCCTGTCTGTATGCGCTGTTGTTTTCGTGGGCGCTGGTGGTGGGTATCTGTTTCCCGGTGCACAGAGCCGGGATCTTCGCCACGGTGTTTTGCTTCTTGGACGGCGCCTTGGAGGGCGGACTGGATGGGAGCGTGGATGGAGGTCATCAGTTTAGCCTGGTGCGCGAAAACATCGTAGTCTTCGCGGAGCAGGTTTCCTGCGGAAGAATTGAGAGCCGAGTCCGGGTTGGGGTTGATGAGAAGACAGGAGATTGTCTACAGATATCAAGTTAGCTCGGTCGCCTGGTAGCAATGCCGGAAGATTCTTGTCTTTACTTACAATAAGAACATCTCGGAGGGTCAACCTGGACTGCCAGTCTCTCTTAAGTGTATCCACACAGACCGCGCCTGTCATCTCCTCGACATTGGGATGCCATATCCGGGTCCGAAATGTCGCCTTGGGCGGACTATTGGGATAGTCCTCCGGTATCTTCAACTGCAGTCGCCACAGGCCTTCAGAGTAGGGAGTCCCTGGTGGGCCGGTAAGCAGAATGGTCACCTGCGACAGGTCATCTGCTGCGGCGAAGTGGCCATCCTCCGGCTGCATGAGGTAGTACGGCGGGAGCTTAGAGTGCAGAGCGGCATGGTCTGCCGCCAGCCGGCGTAGATTTAAAACCTAGATGGCATTAGCGCTTAGCTCTGGAAAGTAGTTCTAGCCTCTTTTTCGATTTTTGACCTAAATGGCACTTACCATGGTGGTGGGGATGTGGGTTGTCAGAGCAGCAATCAAAACAATCGGTTACTTCAACAACGGGGTGGTGTAGACAGTTTGAAGTGTTTGGGGACGCTAGACCATATAAGGGTGACGTGTGCGCGTTTTCGTGATGTGCGGCACATGACGCGCTGCCTATTACGTTTCCTATTTGGGTATAGCGTGGGTTCCATACTACACATCACACTGTTCCTGCAGAACCACCACTGCATTGTCTGAGCCGTTATACTAATGGATCAAAAAATGGAATTTGAGTCTCAATGGATCTAATCCCAATGAATTTCAACTCCAGCAAAATTATAATGTTCAACTTGGGTATACAGTAAAGTTGGAACCATCTAGAAGTTTGGAACAATAGTAATGAATTAAAGATTCCTCATGTATTTACCAAATAGTATTATGCTAATAATCAATACTGTATCAACTGGGAAAATATTAGGTATGAAAAACGGGGTCTGCGCCATGAATATGCTGTTCAATACACACAAAAACAAGCAAACAAAGCCAGGCTGCAAGAATTACAAGCCCCCCAATATTAAAATGTTCAATTAAAAAGGAAAGTCAAGAAAGGAAATAGTGACCTTTGATAGCATTTTCACGTCCCTCATCCTGTGGGCCTAGATACTCCCAAGAGTCATCCAGGTCCACATCCAATGACCACTATGATGTCCTGAGTTTCCATCAAGATATTTGCAGTAGAAATGGTAGGCTCAATGGCAAATCCACAATGCCATGGAGCTAGTGTTGTATGAACTGCTTTACAGGAAAGCAAGGATAGCAGCACCAGCAGCGAGACCCATGCCGGCGGTGGCGAAAGCAGCGCCGCCAGTGGAGGTGGAGGTGGAGGAGCCAGTGGCGGACGAGCTGGAGTCGCTGGAGTCACTGGAGGTAGAGGACTTGGTGGAAGTGCCAGTGGCGGTGGAGCCAGAGCTGGTAGAGGTGAGAGGAGTGCTGCTACGGACGGAGCTGGTGAAGCTGCCAGTCGCAGCAGTGACCACTGGTGCAGTCAAGCCAGCAGGGATTGAGGCAGCAGCCTCCTGAGAAGTGGCAGCAGAGGGCTGGCTGGTGACGACCGAGGGCTGGCCAGTAACAACACCGAGGGAGTTGGTCTCCGTGAGGTAGTTGACCTGTTAACATCAGTGTTAGCTGGCTGTTCTTCTTGGCCATCAATGGGTGTTCTAGCTTACAGTGGACTCAGAAGAGGTCTCGGCGACGACACCGGAGGTCAGGGCAAAAGCCGAGAGGGTAGCGAAAAGAATGGAGGTACGCATATTGAACGATAGTGTGGGGGAGTGGATTATAGTCGATAGGGCTGGTATGTGGAGAATAGAAGAGTAGTGTGGAGATGAGAAAGCGAAGTAGCGAAAGTCGGGGGGTGGGAGAGTATTTATTACTGCCTAAACCAGGATTGACCTTTTTTTTGTTTTTGTACTAATGGCAAACGGGGAGGCTGCTCGGCTTGTTTTATAAACTCGCAACGAACACCGTGAAAGCAACTACGGGACCCGTGGTCCAGTCATACACGGGGAAACACTAGCGCGCCTCTCGATCTGCAAGGTCGAATCTATTTTGGTTCGCGGCTTGTCGTACCGGCTGCCTGCCTGTGCAGCACCACTTCGTAAGCTTAGAGCAGTGCCCAGATGCTGCGAGAAACACCTAGAGTTTCCTAGATTAGTAGCAGGGCCCACATGGTATTGCGACGCACCTACTTGTACATGTAAACATGACCCCATGCAGGCGAAATGCTACCATAACCCCCCGCTAGGAGATCGACTAGTGGCAAACCGTGTCCAATCACGCCAATTTGGTCCTTTTGTTCAGGCACTGGCTGGTGGCAATAAGACCCAATTTCGGGCCAGAAGTCCCAAATGCTTACCTGAGACCGGTCTTGGCAGACCGCGTGGAAGCCTACGAATCCCCTTCATTGCCATCCTGTCATCCCTCTTTGTCGATCCATTGGGATCGTATTTGAAGTCATGCTGTTGGTAATGTTCTGTTGTGAAAGACCCTCAGAGGGGGTTGGTGGATGTGGCGTCCTCGGGTGAGACAAGCGGCGCGGAACTAAACCCAGAAATACCATAGATCACCTTGGAAAAGGTGAGACATCACTTGATCAGGCGCCGGTACTTGCAGTAATAAGAGCCAACTATAGTTTTTTTATGGAGCTCCAACTCGCTTATTTGTTTTGTTTTTGGGGTAAAGCATTACTCAATGGACAACTTCTCCGAGACAGAAGTGAAATCCATTAATGGGAACGGGACAATCACATTAGACTGCGCTTCAAGGACTGGAGAGTGGGTCCTCGTAAATCGGTAACCACGTCTCAGCTCATTTACTTCTTTCACCTCAATTTCATAGTATGATATGTCGATAGGATATCGCAAGCCCCTCCCTTTTCTCGAGGCCCGTATTCAGGATAGTTTTGCCACCATAAATGACAATGGCAGGTTTCACAGCCACGAAAGCACAGGGTCTCAGCCCCCTGGATATGACATCTCATGTTATGTATCCCTCCCGAATATTGACATCTGAGCAAGACCCTGCAGGGAATGCCCATCCAGACTGATCATTTTAAGTTGGATGCATGGCGGGTAACGGTGTTCCAGCCCAGTCTGACTCCTGTACCACGGGCGACACGTACGCTGAGCACGCCTGGAGAGGATGCTATCATGACCACGATGGTATCAGTGGACTACTTGTTCAATGTGGAGACCGTGTATACAACGTACATGCGTGTACGTAGTGGTGAGTAGGGGTTATCTCATATCAATGTTGACAGTAAACAAATCAAACACATCGAACGATTCAAAACAAGGTACATAGCCCTGGAGCTCGGGTCCTGTACGTGGCATGGCATCCTTGCTCCTTCAATTAAGAGGCGTGCCGTATATTAATTTTTCTTTTTTCTTGGGTTGGTCGAGCCCGCGATCGACCGGACAATATCCTTCTCTGGACGTGCCGTGGCGCGCTGTTGATCTCTGCGGCAAACAGTCGAGTCCAGGCACACCAATCCAGGTCCAAGGGAGAGGGCTGGCCTCTGCTTTTGGTTTGTAAAAAGTCCCAATGCATGCCCATTACATGCAGGGCTGGCTTGGCACTGGAGGCTTAATCTAGATGAGAAGCAAATAAAAGGGGCAGGACGTGAGGAAAAAAGACCAGAATGATCATCAACCACACGATCAAATTAGGTATATTGATTTTGATTGCAAAACTCCCTCGCGGTGCATTATACACAAAAACAAATCACTGCAGCACTGGACTGGGAAATGAGTTCTTTTTCAGAGATTCCAGGAAAGGATATCAAATTACTCCTTTAGCACATCCGGACCCCGGACCCAGTCTGCAAACTCCTTCCGCTTGGCCTATATCAAAAGTTAGCTCACATAATCACTTCGACTGACGACAGCCATCCAGTGGACACATGAGAATAAGACCTAGGCCTCTGAACTCTGACACCCATGTTGGATAGTAATTTGAATTACTCACCCGAATATCCCAGAATCCAAACCGCTCCTCCAATCCCATGTACGGGTTCCGCGCACCACCGTCCCGCTCGATCTCGCCCGCCCAGTCGCGCCAGCTAATGGGCTTCAGTTTCTCTGCGCCCAGCACCAGCCCAATTGAGACGGCTAGGACCGCGGCCAGAGTCTCGACGACGATGTCACTCGGTAGCGTCGCGATGGCGGCGATGTTGGTGTTGCTAAAAAGGACGGTGTGTTCGTGGGCGGAGTAGCCTCTGTAGTTGAAATCGTTAGCTAGTCCGAAATTACCCGATTTCGCTGGATTCCAGGATTTGTTGGAGGCCTGGACATACGCGTGAACTAGTAGAGCAAGGCCAAATAATGTGACCACACGCGAAAGGAAGCTCATGGTGGATGAGATGTTCAATTGGGGGTATGGGGGAGTGGTGATTGCTGGTGAACCCGGGTGAGCTTGGTGGCGATTGGAGCTGTTGCAGATAAATCAGAAGGAGAATATCTTATTGTGTTCGCTAGATGCTGAGAGACCAGGATCCGGGGACAGACGTTGGATCGTATCCTCATGGGGGAACTTGACTTCGATCTGCGGCCACAGTTCCCGCAGTTTGTATTAGCTAAGCGGCGGTTGGCGGGCAAGAAACCCCGGTTTTTTGTTGCTCTCTAGCGCTCTCAATGTACTTCGTAGTCTTATTTGCTTCAAATTTACATGTTTGGGTCTGAATATTCAATATAGACATTGAAGTTCATCCAAGGTCCTCTTTTTGACTGTCCAGGTGCTCGATGTCAAACAATATAAGAAGGGCATTTGATGGTTGTGGGGAAGACTGGTTCCAAGGTCTAGAATATATATATGCATTGGGTCACAACCAACTTGGAACCAGGGCCCGGTACCTTACACCTGGCATTGAAAGGCTAGGTTCGTTAAAATTGAAGTGTTCATTAGAAGGTTAAATTGGAAGTTTTCATTTCGAATGCTACATTCTATGGAAGCCGAAGAGAAATTGGGATTGCGAGAAGAGCAACCAACCTTGGAATCACCTGGGCAGCCGCAAAGGATGGAAGCAGGCCAAACAAACACAATCAGCCTGGAGAAGCACCTTGAAAAAGCTAAGTGGCTAGCGATTACCCGGGTAATTATCGAGGAATAAAATTGCATCTAAGACTTTACAACTGCACTGGGGATCATTTGTAAAAAAAAAAAATGGTCGTGAAAATTTTAATTTTTTCATCGTACCGGCCCACTTATGGACTCGGAATCTAAATTCGTTACTATTGGGGTTCCTTAGACATCAAATATTCCATCATCACGCCATTTCTTCTTCATAAAAAGGCATCATTTACAGCTTCTGCATGGCAGCAATGTCGGTAGACTGGACGTGGTCCTCGTCCTCCTCGATCTGGGCCTGGAGCTCGTCGGTGGAGACCTTCTCGTCCTCGACAACCAGGTTGATCTGGAGCTTCTTAATACCGAAACCAACAGCAACAAGCTTGGAGGCACCCCAGACGAGACCGTCCATCTCAATGGCGCGGACGTTGGCCTCCATCTCAGCAAGGTCGGTCTCATCGTCTGTAGCAGGGAGTTAGTAATCAGAGATTCATAACAATATTGAACATAGAAGACACATACCCCAGGGCTTCACCTCCAGGGTGACCAGAGACTTGGCGGCGGGCTTGGGGCCCTTAGCGGCCTTCTTGGCCTTGTACTCCTCGAGACGCTTGTTGCGCTCCTCGACAACGGCGGCATCCTCCTCCTCAGAGTCGGAACCGAAGAGGTCCTCATCCTCATCATCCTCAGGCTTGTCCTTGGGGTTGACGGGGAGCTCGACAGACTCGGGGCCGTAGGCAGTGTAACCCTTGGAGGCATCACCAGGGAGAGTGGAGAACTCAGCCTCGTAGGAGGCAATGTGCTTGTACCAGCGAGCAGCGTGGGGGTACTTGGCAGCGTCAGGGGCGGCGCTGAAGGCCTTGAAGGTCACAGCATCGGCCTGGCTGGGCTCGTTGCTATTGAGAACAGTCAGTATTGAGTGTTCGACAAAGACATACATTCAAGCAGCAAGATATGCAATTGAAAAGTCAAAAAGATCAGAGACGCGATTGCTCGCAAATGGGTTTTAGTCAAGCAGCGGGGTCTTAAGCCGCCTCATCAACACGGACCAATGTTTCTCATCATAAAAAAGCAGGATGGTTTAAACCAAAAGAAGGCCACAGCAGATAGACTGGTAGAGCGAGCAGATGTGAAAAGTAGAAGTCACTTACCCAACGATGTAGCTGCGGGTGGCCAGGTAGTTGTTGGCCACTGAGGGACACAGTCAGTCCAAATAGTTCAGACAATCACATAAAACCAAGGGATTGCCTACAGGTCAGGCCAGCCTCAGAGACGAAGTCGGTGAAACCCATTGTGAAATGTAGGGAGACTTTTAAAGGTGGTATTAAAAAAGGGGGAGAGAGTAAAATGGGAGGGGAGAAGAAAACAAAGTGGGAGACCGAGGGGTAAAAGGTTTTTTTTTCTCCCGTTTAAATTGGCTCCCACGTGACTCGAGTGGTGACGGAGCTTGGTCCAATTGATAGTGGAGCTTCCGCCACTCGCGACGGTGGAGCTTTCCAGAAGAATCGCGACAATGCTTGCCGTTGAGCTATTTAAGCTATAACTGACCGCGATATCCCCCTCCCCAAATTACATAGTATCCATCATGGCGGCGAGACTGTCTCTCAACACCCGTAGTCGCTTACTACGAGCACCTTTACTCTCGACTATCTCGCGTGCAACCCCACTTCTTCCGAGGACCGCGTCGCTACTTGCGCCATATGCTAGACCTACCTCGATTTCGTCGATCCGTCATTATGCCAATGGCCGCCCCCATCCGCCCGGTGGTACTCACCGCATGAATATGAGCGGAGAGCCAGAAAAGGCTGCTCTGGAACAGTTCGGTGTTGATTTGACAGCAAAGGCAAAGGCAGGAAAGCTGGATCCGGTTATCGGAAGAGATGCAGAGATTCACCGAACGATCCAGGTGCTATCTCGTCGCACCAAGAATAATCCTGTGTTGATTGGTGCAGCGGGTACTGGTAAAACCGCAGTGTTAGAAGGCCTTGCGCAGCGCATTGTCCAAGGCGACGTGCCCGAGAGTATCAAGAACAAGCGCGTGATCTCACTGGACTTGGGCTCACTCATTGCGGGTGCCAAGTTTCGCGGTGACTTCGAGGAGCGTCTGAAGTCTGTGCTCAAGGAAGTCGAAGACGCCCAAGGTGGGGTCATCCTATTTATTGACGAACTCCATACATTGCTCGGTCTGGGCAAGGCCGAGGGTAGCATCGATGCGAGTAATCTGCTGAAGCCAGCTTTGTCCCGCGGCGATCTTCAATGCTGTGGTGCTACTACCTTAAATGAATACCGTCTGATCGAAAAGGATGTTGCGCTGGCGCGACGTTTCCAACCCATCCTAGTTGACGAGCCCTCCGTCGCCTCCACAATATCCATCCTGCGTGGTATCAAGAATAAATACGAGGTTCACCACGGCGTCCGAATCACGGATGGTGCTCTCGTAGCTGCCGCCACCTACAGCAACCGCTATATTACCGATCGCTTTCTTCCCGACAAGGCGATTGACCTAGTAGATGAAGCAGCTTCGGCACTTCGCTTGCAGCAAGAATCCAAACCTGACTCAATTCGAGAGCTGGAGCGTGATATTACCACCATTCAAATTGAGCTCGAGTCTTTGCGTAAAGAAACGGATGTTAGCAGCCGTGAGCGGAGAGACAAGCTGCAGGAAGAGCTCAAGATTAAGCAAGAGGAAGCTGGTAAATTGACCGAGGTCTGGGAAAAAGAGAAACTCGAGATCGATGGCATCAAGCGCACGAAAGAAGATTTGGAACAAGCGCGATTCCAATTGGAACAAGCACAACGTGAAGGCGACTTCGCCAAGGCCGGAGAACTCCGCTACTCAACAATCCCTGCCTTAGAAAGCAAGCTGCCTAAGGAGGGTGCGGAGAAGGATGCGGGCGAGGCCCTCATTCATGACTCTGTCACAGCTGATGATATCGGAAATGTGGTTTCCCGGACCACGGGCATCCCTGTCAACAAACTTATGGCAGGAGATGTCGAGAAGTTGATTCATATGGAAGATACGCTTCGCAAGTCGGTTCGTGGACAGGATGAAGCTTTATCTGCAGTTGCCAATGCCGTTCGAATGCAAAGAGCGGGCTTGAGTGGTGAAAACCGCCCGCTGGCATCATTCATGTTCCTTGGCCCGACTGGTGTGGGTAAGACAGAGCTCTGCAAGAAGATGGCTGAATTCCTTTTCTCCACCGAAAGTGCTGTTGTGCGATTCGATATGAGTGAATTCCAGGAGAAGCACACCATCAGTCGCTTGATTGGCTCTCCAGCTGGATACATTGGCTACGATGATGCCGGTCAACTTACTGAGGCTGTCCGACGAAAGCCATATGCTGTGCTTCTGTTTGACGAGTTTGAAAAAGCTCATCGGGATATCTCAGCTTTGCTTCTGCAGGTTCTGGATGAGGGCTTCCTCACAGATGCTCAGGGCCACAAGGTTGACTTCCGAAACACACTGATTGTCTTGACTTCTAACCTTGGTGCTGAAATCCTAGTTGGAGGCGATCCCCTGCATGCCTACAAGGATAGTGGTGAATCCGAGGTGCCCGCAGACATAAAGAAGGCTGTCATGGATGTTGTCCAGCATGCATACCCGCCAGAGTTCTTGAACCGGGTCGACGAGTTCATCATCTTCAAGCGCCTCTCACGGGAAGCCTTGCGGGATATCGTCGATATCAGAATCAAGGAACTGCAGGGCCGGCTTGATAGCCGCCGGATGACTCTCCAGGTGGACGGTGAGATCAAGGATTGGTTGTGCGAGCGAGGCTATGACCCTAAGTTCGGTGCTCGTCCCTTGAATCGCCTCATCGCGAAAGAAATTGGAAACCGGCTGGCCGACAAGATCATTCGTGGCGAGATTGTCTCTGGCCAAACTGCTCAGGTTTCTCTCACGGATGACAAGACTGCTTTGGTGGTCACTCCCAAGGAGATGGAAGAAAAAGCGTAAAAAAAAATCATTACGTTTTACGCGGCATTTATGACGGTTCTTCTAGATTGAGATTGTACATCACCATTGGCATTAAGGATGTATCCTCACTCATGACTTGTATATTAGTTCAGCATATTTAATGTACATTATTGTAATGCATTTCTCAAACACTTGGCCCCGTAGTTCCATAGGAAAACTATACCATTGCGTAAGTGATTTCAAGGTCAAACCGAAGTGGAAGTCAAGCAACGTGACCTACATACACCTTTGGTTCTTTCATTATTCCCTTCCAGCTGATACTCAATCAACCAACTGCGCATTCATTTGAACCCTAAAAATGTCCTCTACAAAAAGAAAACGCTCGCCGGCGGCCTTGCGCCCACCTCTCATCACACCCCGCACTACAAAATCGAGACCTGCTTTCGAACCTCGGACGACAAGTGCACCATCCCCCTTCCAGCGAAGTCCAGTTTATCCATCATCTTCAGCAGCAAAACAACTGCGAACTCCGTTCCGCACTGAGACACAATATGAAGCAAATTATTCGGAAAGTTCCATTGACGATGATCTTGGTCATGTCATCGTCGCCATCGACATCAAGGACTATGGGACGGTAGGCTGTGCTTATTACTCCGCGGAATGTGAGAAGATGTATCTGCTTGGCGACAGTCGATCGGGTGGAATGGAAACAATCGATACTTGTCTGTTGAGACCCATTAATTCATATGACATTCAAGGGCACTGACTCGTGGAAAGTGATCGCCCAGATAAAGCCCACTGTGATATTGATACCCCCTCGAGTTGACCTATCAACCATCCAGGGTCAAAGTCAGAGTCTGGCACACGAGAATGGTACGTACTATAGCCTTTCTATTCAAAGTCAATGTTCACTCAACCATTCAAATCTAGATTCATCATCCTATTTACCCTACCAGGTGGACGTTCGTCCCACACAAGACTTTAGTTACTCCAACGCAAAAAACAGACTGGTCGCCCTAGAAGCATCATCATCCCACGAGGATCGACTCCGTTTCTTTGTGCCCCACAGTGGCCTTACTGGGCCTGACGAAATGAGCCCCGAGGACTTGGGATTCACCCTCCATGAAGGACGACTCCTTCACATATCCAGCACCATCGACATGGAGAACCCCGTAACAATTGGATGTGCTGGAGCACTCCTCACATACCTACAGAAACGCAAAGCCGCAAGCACTGGCATGGAAATCATCAATAGCTGTGCATTCCGAGTGCGATTCTTGGAGATGTTCAGTTTAAAGGATACAATGTAAGTCTCACGGAATCTAGTCATACATGCCGAATGGAACATGACAGAGATACGATAGGTGGATTGGAAGCAACGCTTTACTATCTCTTCAAGTCTTACAATCTGAGTCACATCCCAACATGTTCAATCAAGGTCCAGGAAACAAGTCGACATCCGGAAAAGAAGGCCTTTCAGTTTATGGGATATTTCGGCGCTTTGCTTACACACCTCAAGGCAAAGCTAGGCTCAAGCAGCTTTTCTTTCGCCCAACCTTGAGCCTTAGTGTCATCAGGGAAAGACAGGACTTTATCGGCGTGCTTTCACGACCGGATAACATGGCTGCTTTGGAGAAGATGACAAAGGCACTGAAGCATATTAAGAATCTCCGGCCCGCAATGATTAATCTTCACAAAGGGATCAGTACGGGAAGTGGGAAAACCACTGGATTCAAGGCAACAGTGTGGGAGAGCTTACTGGCTGTATGTATTTTGACTGTGTAGCTGAATCAGGCTCATGTTTTTCATAGTTTGCTTTTTACGCAATTGACATTCATGTCGCTCTGCAGGAGACCTCAGGAGCTGATACGCTGCTTCTCAGAACAAAGGTTGAAGTTTCGAACATGAATTATGAGACCTGATGCTAATAGGTAGCAGGCATTTCGAGTATTCGAAGCAGCACAGCTTCACAGGGTGGGGCGGATGATCCAAGAGATAGTCAGTCTGTACTGAGAAAGGTTGGATTAGGAGCTAACTTATCCAGGTTGACATTGACAATTCTGACGAGCAAGGAAGAACTGTGGTCAAGCAGGGTCTCGACCGGGAGCTTGATCGAATGAAAGACCGATATGATGGGCTGGACAGTCTCCTTAAGCATGTGGCTATCGATATTGCAACGACGATTCCAGAAGATATGGGGGTTGATGTGAACGTAATTTACTTTCCTCAACTTGGGTTCAACATCGCTATCCCACTTAATGACAATAGCGAGTCTGCATATTGCGGACCCCATGGAGATTGGGAACTGGTTTTCATCACAGAAACCCGGGCCTACTTCAAAGACTTTCGCATGAGAGAATTGGATGAAAAACTGGGAGATATTTACGGACTCATCTGTGGTACGTCTTTTTCTTTCCTTCACAAAAATGCGATCTACTTCTGATTGAGTTAATATTCTGCAGAGAAAGAAATTGAGATCGTCTATGATCTGGCTCAAAAAGTACTTCAATACGAAAATGTGCTGGTGGAGGCGTCAGATATTTGTGGAGAAATCGACTGGTTCGTACCTTAGATCGGTATACAGAGGTAAAAATAACAGTTTATTAGCGAGCTAGCTCTCACCCAGGCAGCCAGCTTTTACAGATTGACTCGACCGAGAATGGTATCGGAAAATGTTATCAAAATCAAAGGCGGCCGGTAGAAGATACACCTGGCTGCCATATTTGTAGCTTCCCTCTAACGAGAACCAGACATATGTTGCAAGAGATGACTGTTTCTTCTTACGTTCCAAACGATACACTCCTCGCAGGAGGAATGCAACAACAGGGAGAGGATAATGACGTTCCTAGTATGTTGTTGCTGACTGGGCCAAATTACTCGGGGAAGAGCGTCTACATGAAGCAGGTGAGCCGCTCTTATAAAGCATCAACCTATTCTTTACTTAAAAGGTATAGGTCGCTCTTATCGTGTATCTCGCCCAGATAGGAAGGTAAGTTACCTTTGATGCAAAGCGAGAGCCAATGTCTAAGTCTTCTAGCTTTGTCCCTGCAGACAGTGCAGAGTTGGGGATAACGGACAAAATCCTGACGAAAATCAATACCCAAGAAAGCGTTTCAAAGGCATGGCAACAGTAACCCTGGTTTTTTTATGAAGATTCTGACCCGATAATCAGATTCAGAGCACCTTTATGAGCGACCTACAGCAAATTTCTCTTTGTCTGAGGCAAGCTACTAGCAGGAGTCTGGTACTTATCGACGAGTTCGGTAAAGGGACCAATGAAAGTGGTCCGTCTTAGACTTGCCACGCTTACGTGGAAGCTTTTGAGTACTAAGCTGATCAATATAGACGGCATCGGCCTGGCATGTGGGGTATTTGAGCATTTGCTGGGCCTTGAGGATTCTCCGAAGGTCCTTGCTGCCACCCACTATCATGAGATTTTCGAGAATGACTTCCTTGCTTTGCGGCCAAAACTACAACTAGGACACATGGAAGTCAAAGTCTGTGAAGAGTCTCAACAGGTGGAAGACCAAGTCACGTACCTTTACAAGTTTGTTTCTCTCGTTTATTTTCGGCACAATATGCTGACATTCGAAAGCTTTCGCGAGGGACGAAGCAACAAAAGTTTCGGTACCATGTGCGTAATCCTTCGGCCCAAATGCCGTCGCGCTGGACATATCACGATGATTAACTTCAACTTATAGTTGTGCAGCAATCAATGGTATCGATGCATCTATTATCTCCCGCGCCAATGAGATCGGCTCTCTTGCTGCCCGAGGCGAGAATCTAATCGCCGCATGTGCCGCCATATCCGCAGAAGAGATGCAAGCACTTCAGATTGCGGTATATATGCACGATGCAGGGGCATGAATTCAATGGTGCCCAGTCACTGACCCAATTTCCAGGACTCTCTAGCAAGAAAATTTCTCGCGATAGACCTCACGGATGAAAGCGAGTCGCAACAGGACGCGAAAGCAATTCTAGAAGGCCTATTTGACACTACAGATCAAGAGAACAAAGGATTATCAGCCTAACCAGCCGGATAGTACGCCTTACTCAGTCCTAGTCTTTGTTTGCTCGTTTCGCCTAGTCTTATTTGGTTTATTATGCCCCATTACAAAACGTCGATCCATACTATTAACAACAAAGATTATATGGCTTCCCGAGTTTCGTCCACTCAGAGCCCCCATACTCGCGCCCCCGGGCCCCGCATGGACGAGTTTACCCCAGCCTTACCCCGGTTGGACAAAATGATGGACTCAAATACGATGCGCCACCCCGGGCGGGATGCGGCTGCGGCTTCTTGCTGGCTTTCATTGACTCTTGATGCAACTCTTCCAGTGCTATGATAATTCTGACCGAAGTCGAATATCTTCAAACTTTTTATTCCCTTTTCTACAGCTCCTCTAAGTAAGCTTCTAGTACGAACAAATGAACGTTCCCTCTTGGCCTTCTCCTACTCCACATGTCGCATGTCTCCGATCTCGTTCAAGACGCCAAGCTGTCCACCAGGCTTGGTTTGGAGTGTACCACACATACCTTCCTCGAATCATTTTTAGTAGCAGGTAGGCACCCCAGACGCCGACAGCGAGAGGAAGAATAGATGGGAGTGCGACAATTTGGTATCGGAATATTAGGTACAGTTTGGTTCGAGAACGATGAGTCGGTTATCATATGCATGGAATACTTTCCTCTTGGAGATCTTCCAAAAAATATCACCCAGCCCTTTCCAGATGGCGAAGCTCAACTCATTACCCTCCAGCTACTCGAGGGTCTGGATTTCACGCATAGCAACGGGTTTGCTCATCGCAACTTGAAGCCTAAGGTATCTTCTCCACCGACATTGTTGCGTTTCCTTTCTGATTACCCAAAGAATATTTATCGACAGGTCCAGAGTGGTGGGTCAAAATTGGCGACTTGGGAATCAGCAAGCGAGTGATGGAGGGCTTGGCGGGTGTACAGACATTCAATGGCGCACCAGCATGTACTGCGCCAGAGGTGTATACGACAATGTGGGAGCCAGTCGCAGACAGGCGGACTACCAGCTCGAATTTCAGTCCAGAGGCCGACATCTGGTCAATGGGGGTGATTTCCTACTATCTTCTACCCGGAAAACTCCCATTTTCAGCACAACGCGAGCTCCTTTCATACTACAAAAGGGAATTGGACCTACCATCCAAACCATTAGACATTGTCGAAGCATCCTACTTCTTGAGAAATATGCTTGCGCCTGCACCATCCGATCACCTCACTGCTAAAGAAGCTTTAGAACACGCCTGGTTAATATCCAGATCGTGGAGATTCCTGGTCGTCCACAATTTGCGGAGAGTTTACCTTTGTTTCCTATGCGCTCTAAGAAGGCATAGAAATCTGGAAGTTATTGTACGACACCAAGTAGTTACCTGGGTATCTTACAATTACATTACTGTAAGCCGAGACGTTGAACGTGAGAATATGAAATTGAATTTGTATATACACATCAAACAAATCCTGTATCTGCCATGAACCACAGTAGACGCCTTGCGAAAAGACAAAACACATATCCATGATTTTAAACCTCGCTCTTATCTCAGAGTTTGACACTCTTGACCAGGTTCTTTTTGATACCTGTAAGCTCACCACCGTAGCCACCACGGCCCTCACCACCCTTGTAGATCTGCCGAACACTACCGAGCTTCTTCTTCTTCTCCTCATACTTCTTGCGCTTCTTGACACGCGGGTTGCGCGCATCCTTGTTCCGCTTCGCCATAAGACCCTTGTTCTTCTCAATCTGGTAGGTGATAGCACGCTTGCCATCCGGCCCGATGGTCTCCTGTACCGCAACATGACCGCCTTGGCGAGCTGCTTCCGCGTGTGCATCAGCACGGGCCTGCTTATCGTCCTTGCGTTGCTTGCCCCGTGCCGCAAGCATGTCGTAGTAATCGTCATCGTCTGCGCCGGAGCCCTTGCCCTCACCGCGGAGTTCCTTTCGGACCCGGTTGTCTTCCTCGTCACTGTCTCCGCCAAGCTCTTGGCCGATATCAGGGTTTTGGCGACCGCGCTTCTCGGCTTCAGCGTTCAGGCGAGCCTGTCGGTCCTTCAGACGCTCGCGGTGAGGGATATCGGCATCACCACCGGCATCACGGCCAGCAGCGTGACGCTTATTAGCCTTCTGAGCCAGTTGAGAAGTGTAGAAGCGGAGAGAGCGCTTCTGCTTAAGTTTCTCCTCGGCTTCGCGAGCTGTGAGAGCATCCTCGTCACCGAAGTCGGAATCATCATCCTTGGCGAGGGTCTTGGTCTTCTTAGTCTTGCGCTTCTGAGTAGGCTCTGTAACCAAATCATCCAGATCGGCCAGACCGGCCTCTGTCTCACGGAGTCGGTCTGCCCGAAGGGCGTCGGCCTCAGCCTGTGCTGCCAAGGCTTTACGCTCGGCCTTGCTAAGATTCTTTGTTGCCTTGGCCCTCTTGGTCTCCTTAGATTTGGTTGTCTCGACCTTGATTGACTCGGTCGTGGATGGAGACTTCTTGACAACCTCGGTGATCTCCGAGACTTCGAGGTCCTTAACCTTCTCCCAGATTTTGCGGAATTTGACCAGAGAGCGCATGACAGGATGTTGGCGGAGCTCGGCAGGGGACATCGGAGAGTGACTCTTGGTGCCGTCGGAAGAAGATGCAAGGAGCAGGAAATACATGTTGATTGTACCCAGATATGTTGATAAAGCACGCAATTTCACAACGGCCACGGGTGCAGGCTGGGGTTCATCTGCGGTCTCATCTGTAGGTTTTGAAGCCTTTGCCGCCTGCTCTTGCAAAGTCTGGTAGGTTGATTGAAGGTCGACATAATCCTTGGCCAGAGGCTCGAACTCAGGATACCTCGATTTCAGAATCTTGAGCTTCTCGTCGCTGCTCATGTCCTCGGTAATTTCCAGCTGCGGGAGCACTTCGGTAACAATTCCAGCGTTCTCTGCCTCGTCCTCCGCATCCTTGCCAGCTTCCGCCCATTCGGACTCGTCAAAGCCAAAGTCTGCCTCATTCATAGCCTCTAATTGCTTCTGTTGCAGTCGCTTTGCTTCCTGCTCTTCCTCTAGGGCATCGACTTCGGTCTCGATCTGGTCTGCATTGTAAAGGTCCTTCTTCGATGTACCCCATGCCGCAATTCCTTCCTCGTCTTCATCGTCTTCCTGTGCATTCTTAGGCTCGCCCATATCATCGTATTCATCCTCGGAAACTTCGTCTTCAAGATCGTCTTCGTCCTCGTCGAGTTCATCGTAGCCTAGAACCTCCTCTTCGGAGTCTTGAATCGCCTCCTCTGTAACAATAAGTCAGATCAACTCGTATACTTCAGTTCGGGTTTTTAACAATTGACATACCATCTTGAGCAACTCTCCGCCGGCGCTTGGCCTCGGGGGCTTCATCCAGCAGGATTTGGTCGCGGCCCGCCTGGAACTCGTCCTCAGAGTCGTCAAAGCGTTCTTCAATATCAAACTTTGTGCGCACGGGAGCTTCAGCCTTTGAGGGGCGACCGCCGGCCTTTCTTTTCTTGCCCATGATTAAATGCTTGTGGATTTGTTCGTTGATCTGATTAACCGGTGGTCTCGACTGCGCGGACAAAATAATTTTTTGGGGCTGCTTTCACCGCCTGTGATACACTACGCCCAAAATGGATATTTTGTGTGGTTTGCACAAATCGAAATATCAATACGAATTTACTTACACAAAGCCCCACATTGTGTATTGTATTGATGTTCCTGGTTGTATCCGGGCGACCTCTGCATCGCTCCTGCCTCGATATCCATATCAGCAAAACATTTGAAATAGGCAGTCACACGCAGTCAACCTCTCACTCCTTCCCTTTTGTTCTCTGTCTCTTCCTTATGCCTCAGCTACCATCCTTTATCCATTCATTTAATATTTCCACGCCAGCCCTTGGTATATCTGTACTTGTCTGCTCTGTCATTGCCTATACGATTGCAAAGATGTTCGGATTCAACCGCAAGAACGAGTTCCCGGTTGAGGGTCGAGTAAGTACAATTCCCTCCTTTTTTCCTCAACCTATGCACTGACTCTTTCATCCAGACTGTGATCATCACTGGTGGATCTGATGGCATGGGCCGAGCTGTTGCAGGCCAACTTGCTGGAAAGGGTGCACATGTCGTCGTCGTTGCTCGTACTGCCTCCAAGCTTGAGCAGACCGTGGAAGAACTCAAGGTTTGATATCTCTGACCCCTTCAGTTTGCTTCTGTCATTTATCTTACCAATTCTTCCAGTCCAAGGCCTTGAACTCGCTCAAGCAGCGATTCACCTACATCTGTGCCGACCTCACTGTTGCCTCCGAGTGCGATCGAGTGATTGCTGAGGTCACAGCCTGGAATGACGGCTCTGCTCCTGATGTTGTTTGGTGCTGTGCTGGCTTCTGCCACCCTGGTTTCTTCATTGATATTCCGATCGAGCTTCAGCGTCAACAGATGGACACAGTCTACTGGACTGCTGCAAACATGGCTCATGCCACTCTCCGAAACTGGTTGGCTCCTGTTCCTCCAAGTGGCCAGATGCGGAACCCGCGTCGTCACCTCATCTTCACTTGTTCTACTCTCGCATTTGTTCCCATTGCTGGCTACGGACCCTACTCTCCTGCCAAGGCTGCCATTCGCTCCTTGTCTGACACTCTCAGCCAAGAGATTGAGATGTACAATGGCGCTTACTCTCAACGACACCGCAACACAGCCCCAGCTGCTGATGTCAAAATCCACACTGTTTTCCCCATGGGCATTCTGAGCCCAGGATTTGACAACGAGCAGAAGATCAAGCCCGAGCTGACCAAAAAGCTCGAGGAATCCGACAAGCCCCAGACTCCTGAAGAGGTTGGACAGATCGCCATCCAAGCTCTGGAACGTGGCGAGTACCTCATTACAACCATGTTTGTCGGAAATGTCATGAAGGGAACAGCACTTGGACCCAGCCCTCGCAACAACATTGTCGGTGATACCTTCCTCGGCTGGCTGAGCAACTTGATTTTCCTTCAGGTCATTCCCGATCTTCGCAACAAGGCATTCAACTGGGGAAAGACCAATGGTCTCCCTCAACAGGGTTGTGTTGAGTAATGAGATCGGTCTCATGGTTTATGATTTGGCGACTGTATTATACCCTTTTTGCATTGCCCTTCTGGCTGTGCGCTCGTTTGGCCTGATCGGCGTCCAACCGTTTGTATCCTGATTTACCTAGGGACTCTACATTCTTATTGATGGGCTCAACGATGTAATCTTTGCTTTGATTTTTTTCTTCTCAAGAAATCGGTGTGTAGTAGATCTCAAATTGTAGGGCCACACGTGGTATGCGGGCGGCGGTGACGTAGTGCAGATCTCAGTCCCCTGCCACCCCAGTTTCTTTCTTTCTAACAACTTCCCCACCAACGAGCTACAAAGAATCTCGACTTTATAAAGGTCTTTGACTCGAAATGTGTTTCTGAAATATCCTTTCAGTCTAGTTTATGTCTTAAATCCGTCAGTCTCTTGAGGGTTGCAGCAATCCCCCTCCGCTTCGTGAGATTCGATTGGCACCCAAATCAGCTACAACCACAAATTTTGCCCGGACATCTAAGAGCTATTGCTGCCATAATATAAACACAATGGGCGCCTTATTCTCACTTCCCGTTATATCCCTCCTCCTCGTCCCCACCATGACCTCCTACGCGACCAGTCTCAACTTCATTTTCTTCTATATGACATGGTCGACCCTAGTGCTGTCGCACTCTCCACTGCGTGTCGAGCTGGTCAGCTCAGCAGCAGTGCGCGTACTATTCTTCGTGCTACCTTCCATTCTTTTTTTCTTGTTCGACATCCTCACCCCGTCTGCAGCCGTGCTCGTGAAGGCGCAGGGTGAGGCCGGTCTACCCAGCGGCAGGAAGAAGGGCAAGGTTCGCACGCGAGAATTCAAGGTTGCAGCCTGGTCGCTTTTCAATGTGCTTCTTGGGACCGTCCTCCAAGCTGCGGTCGAGACCTTGCTGGTCCAGGGTCTTGCCATCCGCAGTGCGGTGAAGGTGTCTATGAGGCTCCCCATGCCGTGGGAGATGGGCAAGGGCCTCATACTTGGCTTACTGATTCGCGAGGTAAGCATTCTTTTTTGCGAAATTCTTCTACGACAAAACAACTTACTGACAATTTTTCGGGCTCATCAGGTTTTGACTTACTATGTTCACCGTTATGTCTTGCACAATTCGAAATCAGTCTTCACGAGATACATGACTCGGGCCCATCAGTCATGGTACCACAGTCTGAGGACACCGTTCCCACTCACTGCGCACTACGACCACCCGCTGGTTTACCTCCTTGTTCGCTTCCTTCCTACGTATTTGCCAGCCTTGCTTCTTCGTCTCCATATGCTCACCTACGTGCTCTTCCTGTCCACTGTGTCTCTTGAGGAGACGTTTGCGTATTCTGGATACACTGTTATGCCAACAAGCTTTTTCTTGGGGGGTATGGCACGTCGGACTGATGAGCATCTGCTTGAGGATGGCGAGGGCAATTTTGGTCCTTGGGGTATTTTGGATTGGGTCTTTGGAACAAGCATTGGAGACTCTATTGAGGATGATGCCATGGCAGAATTGGATGAGCTCGAGGTTGAGAAACAGGTTCGAAAAGCCATGGAAGCTTCTAAGAGGAAGATTAGGGAAGGCACATTGAGGAGGCATACACGGCCTCGGAGCTAGATGAACTAGACTAAAGCATTTGGGCCTTTTTTGGGTTCGACTTTGGATATGGAAAGGTTATCAGTTCCAGTGCCACAGAGAATTTGAAACCCGAAAGGATTGGTTGGATCTATCTAAGTTGTCTCAAAACGATTGAAATATTCAATGCCCAGGAGTCTGATGCCCGGTGACCTGTGGACTGATTTGTATATGGATATATGTCATACTCAGGTGAGTGTTTAGTGCATATGTTGGGATTGTCTCGGTATATAGTTCGTATAGTTCGGTTAGTTGCAGTTTGCGGAGATATATATTTTGGTCACCCCCGGATATTGATCAATTACGTCGTCATCGCACAATAGAGCCTCAATGTCCACTTTCAATATCGATCTGCTCTGTGGCTGATTTAATCTACGTCAAGATAGTGTTTACAGTGCCCATGTTTACATGTATCCAATAAAAATAAAATGACCCAATTTTTGGATTGCCGTCTGTACCTGGGAATTGGAGATGTATGTCATACTGAACATGAAAGAGAATCCAGCGGGGCTGCTGGAGCGAGGTATTTTTTAATCTTTTTTTGTTTGAAGTCTTTCTTCACACCACGGCTCTTTCCCTCCATTCCCCGAAGAGAGAAGAGAAAGGAGGTCATGCTGAATCGGCCGCGCCGAGAGGGGGAAAATGGTTGAAACGAGGCAAACAACAGCCGGATATCCGAATTAAACGCAGAATCCTAGAAACCAGCGAAAGCATGTATAAAACGGATTCCACTTGGAGTTACATGAATCATAACCGCTCCCTCCGTGACGCAAAAGGGCGCCGATTTGCAATCGAGCCGCCCCTCGTTGAAAGATGAGTCCTCCTCAACTATCTACCGAACCCGCGGCCGCCGCATCGCACTTTTTTACCACTTCATCTCGTGGGGCTTGTCACCGTTGCGCAGGCTGAAGGTGGTGGCAAGGTAGCTGCCGAGGAAGTCCTCCTTCTTGATACCGGCAAGGATGGACTGGTCGATAGCCTTCTGGTCGGTGGCACGGGCACTGGCGACAACCTTCTTCTGTAGAGCGGAATTCACGTTAGTCTATGATCAATCTCAGGTCTGGATCATAATAATGGGTACGCACCTGGGCCTTCTCGCCCTGCTTGAAGAAAGCCTCCTCGGTCTTCTTCTCAGCAGCCTTCTCCTTGGTGAAGTAGCCGGAAGCGGAGACCTTCTCGATGATCTTCTGGTCAACAGCGGAGACGTCAACGCGCTTGGAGGTGGCGATAACGTAGCGGGCGTTGACACGGCGGAGGGGAACACCGTTGATCTTGAAGGGGCCGGTGACGAGGAGAACACCCTGCTCGAGGTGCTTGAGCAGGATGACACGCTTGCCGCGGAAGCGACCAGCGAGGAGAATCAGGACGGTACCGGGCTGGAGGGACTCGCGGACCTTGGCGGGACGCAGAGTCTTGCGAACCTATGTGCATAACATGTCAGAATATTGAACCTTGAAAAATGTCGTGCAATCGAATGAATTGCGCCTGGATGGTTCGAGTTGGTGTGCCGGAATGAATGCGATATGCGATACGCCTGGGAAGGAAGTCTCAAAGAGACTTCACACTTGTGGCGGGATTCTACCCGGTTGCATCAACAAATGTGTCGGTTTGTCGTGTAGACGATTCGAACGTCTCGGGCGCCTTTATCGCATTCATCCCAGCAACCAATCCCTTGCTCATGTCCTCCGCGTTGTTGCTTTCGATTGCTTCGGTTGATTTGTGGTATACGGACCTTCTTGGGCTTCGACTCATCGTCCACGGGGTACCACTTCTGAGCCTGGAGGGCCGGGTGCGGCACAGTCCGCTGACCCTTTCCAAACTGCTTCGTCTGGCCAACAGTAGCGTCCGACATCGTGGCTGCTGGGACGGTGTAGGTGGTTGTCGGGTTGGTGGTTGGTGTTGGAGGTTGATGTGCGGACTTGCAAGTGGAGTCTGGTATGAGGGTTTGTGGGAAGCGCAAGCCCTACCTCACGTGATGCAGGGTTAGCCGAGTAGCATGGGGGAACACGATGAGTCATCCTTCAGGTACACGTGACTCATTGGAGCGGGTCTCGGCTTCCAAGGTTTAAGTGGGGCCAACACTGCCCTAACATCTCATTCAACGATATGAGAGATCCACTACTTATTGTTGCTATGCCATAAGGAAATTGTGAAGGGTTGATTATCAAACATGCCCATTTCAATGTCAATCTACTTCTTTAACACCGGTCATACTATTGTACACATCTTAATCACAAAATTGACCTATCTCATTGCTTCGTTTCGCTGAAGCTCTGGATAATTTGGAACAAGCCATCCACCCCGGTTCTCACTGGAATACCTTGCAACCAGCTGGGGGATATGAAGTAAACAGATCAACCACACAATCCAACGTATAATTGCAACTCCATAATCCGATTCAGGCAAAGCATATCTCAGAAGACGAGGGTTCATCTTCTGGATCTCGTCCACGAATGGCCGCAAAGTCTTGTCATACTCAGAGAATGCCTGCGAAAGATTCTTCGGGCTCCGACAGATCTCGCCCGCCAAAATGTAAGCACCGACGAGAGATACACTGGTTCCCATGCCACTAAACGGCGAAGGGCAGTGAGCGGCATCCCCAAGCAGCACCACACGGCCCTTGGACCATGTGTTGGTTCGAATTTGAACGACCTCCTGACAATACCAGTTTTGGGTAGTCTTCATGCCTTCCAGAAATCGATCAGTTTGCCATCCAGAACCGTGATATCGCTGAGTCCAAAACTCTTTCTGGCGTTCTATCGAAGCTCTGTGAATACTCGAGATATTTGGAGTAGAGTCTCGGAGTGTAAAGTAGACTTGGCTCTCTGTCGGATTATGCGTTCGGCGCATGATCATTCGACCACCCGAGCAGCTATAGGTCTTGCGGATATTGTTGTCTCCCTCAGCACGTGGAATGAACCAGTAGGCCATGTGAACACCCAATCTGAGGTAAGGATCTGAATCCGGAGACAGGATCGCTTTGCGAATGCGAGATCCTTGTCCATCCGCACCGACAAGGATATCAAATGTATCAGATGACCCGTCGGAGAAATGGGCGATCACTTCTTTCTCATCTTGTTCGAAATGTTCAACCATTTGGCCGAAAATGTATTTCACGTTGTCTTTTGTAGCATCGTGTAAGATGCGGACGAGGTCGCCGCGCATGATCTCATACTCTGATGTCAGAGACTGTGCGCCTTTTCCGGTCTTGTTGGCCATAATGGTTGCGTGGATCTTCCCATCAGAATCTACAAAGGCCACCCCATCTTCATCGACAAGCTTGCTGCGTATGGCGTCTATGAGACCCATTCGTTTGGCGACTTCAATGCCTTGCCCTCGTAGATCGATTTGAGCACCTGTAGCTCTTAAGACAGGATAGCGCTCCACCACAACCACTTGGTGACCACTGCGGGCGAGCCAGAAGGCTAGTGCTGGACCAGCACAGCCTCCACCGCAAATTAGGATTTTGAGAGCCATGGATGGTGGCGTAGTATAGTGCTATAGGAAATGAAAATCGTTGTGAATATTCTCAGTAATTGCATATGATTATGGCAGACTGGTGCGTCATATATGTACACTTTGCGAGGAAACGGGGTCTCTTCGGGCATTTACGGTATTTTGCTAAACCCCGAACCTCGAAAGATGGTAAGCAGGTGCACTGTACATTCTAAGCTGGCAGCCGGCAATGATGCACCTATGAAGAATTAAAATAAAAAGGCCTTAGAGTGCTATATCCTTTCATGCCTATGAGATCACTCGGATCGATTGATCTTCAGGACTATAGAGCATCACCACGGAGATCATGATGCGATTTCCTGATCGGGTTGATAAGGGCCGATAACAAGTAGTGCCTTATTGCCTCATCACCAAGGCGGTCACAACGGCAGCCCGGACGCCCACTCGGTGCAAGTCAGCTGCTCAACCACAAACACGAACTGACGTATCCTGAAGCTTCCCTAGACCTTCACTCTTCCTTCCAAAGACCACCTTTCATCCACCTGGCGTGGAGTTCATCTAACAGACCGATCTTTCACAATTGCTGGTTTGCATAGCGACACTCTTCCATTATGTCGATAGCTCCCATCATCACCTTCAAAGCAGGTATCTGCGACTTGGATGTACGTGCTCCAGCCTTCATCAATTAGACCTTCAGCTATGGGTCAAGTGCTTAACTCTGCTAGATTAAAGCTAACAAATGAACCTTAGAGCTCCACAACCCCTGCTACTGTGAAACCCAAGCCCACCCCGGGCTATATCTACCTCTACTCCGAAGATGACCTGGTGCACTTCTGCTGGCGGCCCCGTAGCTCGCCCATTGACGAGCCTGATGTGGACCTAGTGATGATCCCTACAGATGGAAGCTTTACCCCATACAGAAAGGATGTTACAAACGGCCGGGTGTTTGTCTTGAAGTTCTCGTCCAGCTCCCAGCGGTATCTATTCTGGCTGCAGTCTCAGTCCCAGCACGAGAGTGGTGACGCGAGCTGGTTCAGTCCCCGCGATCTGAAGCTTGGAGAGATTGTCGATGTTCTTTTGCAGGGTGAAGACGTGGACGTGGAACATGAGATTGCCAATCTACCCCAACGGCCATCTGGCGGGGATGATGATGAGACCATGGAAGATGTGGAGGGAACAGACCATGATGCGACCCACCACGGTGCAGGCAGTGGTGGAGCTGGTGCAGATGCGACTGGAGGGGATATCCGCGAGGAGGGCCAGGAGTCGCGTGAGGGTGGTGCCGATGGTGGACGAGCGTAGGTACATATCTCTGCCCGTCACAATTAGAGCTTATGAAAGTCTGACATGTTATGTTTTTCTTCTTTTTTTTTAGAGCAAATGATGAGTCCGATCCATCTTTGGTTGTCCAGGACTTCTTGCGATCTCTGGGTGGTCAACGTCAGTCTCAATCCCAGGACCCCGAACGACCTTCTACAACTCTCCAGGACCTATTGCCACCTCCCACCACCCTGCCATACATTGAGACCGCGGATGAATCTACTGCCGATCACCTTCTAAGCTTCTTGCCGCCCGCACTGCTTCTGCTGGCCCAGGGCAATGCGGAGGCCTCGGAAGCGGACACGGACCCCGAGTTGGCCCAGGCGGCTCTTCTTTCTCTCGACCTCACTCAGAAAAAAGACATCCTCCGCAAGGTGCTCCGATCCCCCCAGTTTACGCAAAGCTTAGCTAGTCTTACTGTGGCTCTTCGCGATGGTGGACTGCCTAGTATCAGCGAAGCCCTGCAGATTCCAGTGGCCAATGGAGGGTTCATGCGTCGAGGCGGTGTACCTCTGGGTGGGGGTGATGCAGTGGAGGCGTTTCTAGATGGCGTTCGGCAACATGTCAAGAAGGATGAATCGCAGATGGAGACGGATTGATATGAATATGCTCTTACACATCTCATTTATGCAGGAAAATGTTCGAAACCATATACTATTTTTGGTAGCAGGGTAACCCCACCAGGCAACGTTTTTCTCTCTAATTCTTGACTAAGGCCTCGTAATCAACTAAGATAGCGCGAGCCGTAAGGGGGAAAGGCGTAATTTCCCGGAGGACTCCGGAGACGTCATGTTAATTATGAAGAAACTCCTGAAATGCAGGTCTTTGGTTTGATGTGTGGTTATGTAGGTCGTCTAGCTATCTATTTAAGCTATGTGATATAAATTCATTGACTTTGTCCAGGCTAAACTAGTCAACATCTGTAACGTGAACTATGAGACAAATCGGGCGGTGCACGCCGATTCCTCAGCCACGGAAACGTTGTAATCTGCAAATCAGCCAATCACCATAAAGTGTTTTGGCGCTGTTCCCGTTTAGTGGGTTTGCGACCGGCAACTTTTTTGGTCTAAACACTTGTTCAGCTGCTAAACCACCGGCTTGGCCCCATTTCAACTCTTGGCTCTTGCAATGTTCCGAGCCGAGCAGCTGGTATGAGCAGAACTCTTGTCTATTGATACTTTCCTTCTTACCCACTACGCGTAACCCTCGAGTCCCCTGACGACTTCCCCTCCCAACCTATCGCGGTTTGGCCACGTACAGCCTGCGATGTCTACAGTTCGTTAATACATACCCTTGCCTGACGATGGCGTCGAATAGTCGAAGCCCTGGCGAGAATGATAGCTCCAACCAGATCCCGCTTCAGGATCTGTCCCGATCTGAGATCAATGTCCCCGCAGAGGGCCATAGCAGAGGCCGCACCAATAGTGTGGGGGGTGGTGTCTTTTCACGACGATCATTAATGGGAAGAGGGTCGCGCAAGCAATACCAGAGTGTTGCAGAGGAGTCGCCGGTCGACCTGGGAAATGCAAGCAAGGATCCATTCGAAGAATCGCACGCGGACGAGGAGAACGATCTAGGTGCCCTCGCACAGGCCATGTCGTTCGGCATTACATTTGACGCGCCGCGACTATCATTATCAGACCCTTCAGCTAGGCATGGATTTAACGATGATGCCTCCGATCTTGATAACGTGCCCTTGGACAATTATCATTCCCACGAGCCCGACGATTACGCGCCCCGAGACGATGCCGAAGATGACACTGCACGCTTGACCGATCCCCGATTTCTCCAGCCGATTAGTGGCGCCCCTGCATCAGAAGGTCGGTTAAGCAGCGATGCTGGCGGCCACTCCATGTACTCCGGTGATGGGTCGCGTTTGGGCGATGACCTCCCCCACGTGGAGGACGGATTGGGCCGACGTCGAGGCAGTAGTGCCCGGTCTCGTTCTCTATCCCCATCAGCTTCCGGCGGGGCGCTGCAGCGTGCCAGTTCAATGGTGAAATCGATGTCACAACGAGTGGTCAACTTGAGCAATGAGCCGGAAGTCGTGCAACAGTCAATCGAACGAGAAGAGTCCAATAAAAACTCACGGCTGGAAGGGCCTCCAGTCTTACCTGCGATGCCGGATTTCGCCCATGATACCACCCCTGGACTACCGCCGAGGGAGAGCCGGGTTACAAGCACGATGTGGAAACACCGAAATAATCCTTTTCGAGGCAGGTCACTGGGCATCTTCGGACCAAACAACCCCCTTCGACTCTGGCTTTGCGATATCCTTGTTCATTCATACATGGAACCTTTCATTCTGGTATTCATTCTGGTTCAGACTATCTTGCTGATCGTGGAGTCCTCACGATCGGTGTTCAACCGACCTGTAGCGGTGCGATGGGGCAACACCCCGTTAGATTATGTCTTCTTTGTCATTTTCATCATCTATACCCTTGAGATTGGCGCGAAGATACTGGTCTCTGGTTTCATATTCAACCCGAGGGAGTATAGCACGCTAAATCGAAACCTCGGAATTAGGAAAGCGATAGCAGAGAAGGGCAAGAATCTGATTACTCCCCATCGGCAGATGACCAAGAAAAAAGTCTCATTCTTACAACCCGAACCTCAAGCCTCAATTTTGCGGACGTTCACTGGGATGAATGCACTGGATGCTGAAACCTATGATGATCCTCTTCAAAAACGCCGCATTCTACTCGCCCACCGGGCGTTCCTTCGTCACTCTTTCAATCGACTGGACTTTGTGGCAGTCGTCTCTTACTGGATCTCCTTTTTCCTTTCACTACAGGGCCTAGAAGCAGCCCACCAGCTTTATATCTTTCGCATGCTGAGTTGTCTTCGGATTCTGCGTCTCCTTCTCCTCACCAATGGTACTTCTGTAATTCTTCGAAGTCTTAAACGGGCTGCGCCTCTGCTTGTGCATGTTGCATTCCTCATTGGATTCTTTTGGCTTTTGTTCGCCATTGTCGGCATACAGAGTTTCAAGTCCAGTCTTCGGAGAACGTGTGTCTGGGTTGATCCCGAGGGCATAGCAAATTTCACCTCGAATGATCCATACGGCACAATCCAATTTTGTGGCGGGTATCTCAATAGCACAACAGGGGAGCGTATGCCTTGGCTTGAGGCCTCTGGGAATCGGTTGGCCAGTTCTACCGCCAAGGGCTATATGTGTCCCATGGGTTCCCTCTGCGTTGAAGGCACGAATCCTTACAATGGAACGTTGAGTTTCGACAACATCTTTCAGTCATTAGAGGCGGTTTTTGTGATCATGAGCTCCAACACGTTCACCGATTTGCTTTACTACACCACCGACAGCGATTATCTTGCAGCAGCGCTGTTCTTTGCCTTCGGTCTTGTCATCCTGAGTCTGTGGTTGGTGAACTTGCTCGTTGCAGTCATCACCCACTCTTTCCAAGTCATTCGGGAGGAAAGCAAACGCAGTGCTTTTGCTGTCCAAAAACTCGACAACGTTGAAAACGATGATACCACGACTCAAAAAGTAAGCACACTTAAACGATTTTACGATAAAACTGAATACTTTTGGGTGGTCATCATAATCTACGATCTTATCATTCAAGCATTGACAAGTTCGACTATGGGAGATGAACGAGCTCGCTTCATTTCGAATACAGAGTTGGTAGTCACGCTCATCTTCCTCCTTGAAATTGTCGCGCGGTTCGCGTCGGATTGGCGTATATTCCATCGGAGACGCCGAAATTGGTTCGACCTCCTCCTTGTCATCGTCACTTGCGTCATTCAGATACCTCCCATCAAGAATTCGGGACGTCCTTATACCGTCCTCACTCTCTTTCAAATCCTTCGGGTCTACCGAGTTGTGTTGGCAATCCCCGTCACCAGGAAGCTTATCATGGTTGTCTTCCGAAACACTGTTGGTCTGCTCAACCTGATATTTTTCCTTTTCTTGATGACTTTCCTCGCTTCTATATTTGCAGTCCAACTCTTTCGCAGCCAGATCCCTTCCGAAGACCCAGCGGGAAATTCCATCGGCATCACGTTTGCCGATATCTACAACTCATTTCTGGGTATGTACCAGATATTGTCAAGCGAAAACTGGACAACCATCTTGTATAATGTCACCACATATACAACCCACTTCAATACCGCCTGGATTTCTGCCTCATTCATTATCTTGTGGTTCATTGTGGCCAACTTCATCATTCTGAACATGTTTATTGCGGTCATTCAAGAGAGCTTTGATGTGTCAGAGGATGAAAAGCGTCTTCAACAGGTTCGCGCGTTTTTGGAACAGAAGCACATCGGGCAAGCTACTCAAGGAAATCTTGCGCTTTCAAAGATCCTTCGCCTGGGCCGTGATTCGGGTCGCTACAAGGACCCGCTTGATCATGGACCCGCTGCTTTGGAGATGCTGTTGAAGGATGCCGTTGTCCGCGAATTCCTCGATGAAGAAGGAGAGGAGGAGCTGGAGGCAGAGAACCGGCGCCGAGAGGAGGCGATTCCGGACAGTGCGGCTGCTGAGACTACTGATCCCGGTTTCATTTCACAGGCCTTGGCCAAGGCAAACGCTCTCGTCATGGGCCGAGAACCAAACCCATTCTACTCCAAGCTCAAATTTTCACGGGCTTACGAAGAGTTGGACCCTAGGACCATGGCCAGAGAAGTGGTGTCGGCGGCCGAGGCGAGGAAACGGGCACAGCGAGAGTATCTTATCAAACATCCAAAGTATAACAAATCGCTTTACATGTTTGGACCACACCACCCAATCCGAAAGCTGTGTCAGCGGATCGTTGGGCCTGGGCGCGGTAACCAACGAGTTGAAGGCGTAGATCCATATAAGCCAGTGTGGTTTACGTTCTCAGCTATCATCTATGCTGCTATCGTGGCCATGGTCGTTCTTGCCTGCATCACGACTCCATTGTACCAAAGACAATATTTCCGTACCGACCGCAACTGGTTCGTGTACACCGACATGGGATTCGCAGTCATCTTCACCATCGAGGCAACCATCAAGGTGATTGCTGACGGCTTCTTCTGGACACCCAATGCATACTTCCGCAGCTCTTGGGGTTTCATCGATGGAATTGTGCTGGTCACTCTTTGGGTCAACGTCGGCAGCTCTCTTTACCAAGATTTCAGTATCTCCAGACCTATTGGTGCTTTCAAAGCACTGAGAGCTCTGCGTCTGTTGAATGTCAGCGACAGCGCGAAGGACACTTTCCACTCTGTCATTATCCTAGGAGGCATGAAGATCATTGCCGCGGCGGCGGTGTCGTTGAGTTTCCTGATTCCCTTCGCCATTTATGCCGTCAATTTGTTCAACGGACAATTGATGTCCTGCAACGATGGCAACTTCTCGGGCAACCTGACCTCCTGTGTCAATGAGTACTATAGCTCGCCCTACAATTGGGATGTTGTTGGTCCCCGAACCGTGACCAACACCTACTACGACTTTGACAACTTCGGGGACTCCCTTTTCATCCTCTTTCAAATTGTCTCACAGGAAGGCTGGATCGATGTCCAGGAGAGCGTGATGAGCATTGTCGGGCCTGGTATACAGCCACAGGATAATGTTGCTCCCGCCAACGGCTTCTTCTTCGTCGTCTTCAACTTGCTTGGAGCCGTGTTTGTCTTGACGCTGTTTGTGTCTGTCTTCATGCGCAACTACACGGAACAGACTGGGGTTGCCTTCTTAACTGCTGAACAACGATCCTGGTTGGAATTGCGAAAACTTCTTCGGCAAATTTCGCCATCCAAACGGTCTCTTAATGAAAAGAGTGCACAGTGGCAGCAATGGTGTTATCGAATTGCAGTCAAGAAACACGGTCGATGGGCACATTTCGTCACTTTCACGCTCTGTATACACTTGGTTCTTTTGGTACTGGAGTTCTATCCGGAGCCCGAGATGTGGGAACTAGCTCGATGTAAGTCTAACCCTACGTCCGTCCGATATGAAGCCTTGGCTAATTTCATCTAGCCATCCTGTTCTTCATTTTCATGTTTGTCTACGTGGCCAATGTTGCAATCCGATTTATCGGCCTTGGGTGGCACCGCTTCAGTCGAAGTTCATGGGACTTGTACGCCCTCCTAGTTGTACCTGGAGCATGGATCACGACTATCTTGCATATCGCGTACTCGACACAAGTGGTTCTCGAGTTGAACAAGCTGTTTCTTGTCGCGATTGCTTTACTTCTTATTCCGCGGAATAACCAGCTGGATCAGCTGTTCAAGACTGCGGCAGCTAGTCTTCCAGTCATCGGCAATCTTCTTGCCACCTGGTTCGTGTTGTTTCTAGTATTCGGTATCGCCATGAACCAAGCCTTCGGTCTCACGAAATTTGGGAGCCAAGGGACCCATAATCTCAACTTCCGCGACGTTCCAAAGTCCCTCATCCTGCTATTTCGCTCCAGTTGTGGAGAGGGATGGAATGAAGTCATGGAAGACTTTGCCACCATGGAACCCCCTTTCTGTACATATAATTCCGACTTCCTTGATGATGACTGCGGCAGTCCCGGCTGGGCCCGAACCCTGTTCATTGCGTGGAACATTATCAGCATGTACATCTTTGTCTCGCTGTTTGTCTCGCTTATCTTCGAAAGTTTCTCTTACGTCTACCAACGCAGCAGCGGGCTATATGCGGTGAGCCGTGAAGAGATCCGCCGCTTCAAACATGCCTGGGCGACTTACGATCCAGATGGAACCGGTTTCATCACTAAAGAGCAGTTCCCCCGGTTACTTGGGGAACTTTCCGGAATTTTCAGCATGCGGATCTATGACGGGGAATTTACTGTCGGTGCCATTCTAGATCAATGTCGAACCAACGCGCGGGACTCTGTTGTCTCTTTCCATTCGTCCCTGCATACGCGCTCGCAAGAGTCCTTGAATCCCATGATGCATCCCCGTGCGGAAGATATTGTGGACGAGGTGAACCTGACAGAGCTTAATCGCATTCTCAACCGCATCCCGGTCAATACGATTCAAGAGCGGCGGCAGCGGCTCAATATCTTTTACGAAGAAGTTCTTGTGTCGGCAGACCCGGATCGTGGTATCTCATTCCACCAATGCCTGATGATTCTCGCCCATTACAATGTTATCAGCGATAGCAAGAGTCTACGTCTAGAGGAATTCCTTCGTCGCCGCGCACGCCTCCAGCGCGTGGAGGAAGCCGTTCGTCGCAACACAGTGATTGGTTTCTTTGACACTCTGTACTGGTCCCGCCAATTCCGCAAGGCTATTGACCGCAAGAAAAACGCGCGCATGACTGCCGTACCTCAATTTACGGTACCCGAGATCTATGTCGATGACCCCGTGGACGATTCCGAAGAGCACGATGAACCAGCCCCCGGCACGATGACGCCGCAACATCAGCCTGACCTCGAAGGAGCCTTTGCGCCTATGCTCTCACCTTCCTCTACCTTGCATCGCCGCGCCGAATCCAGCCCCACGGCCCACCGGCATGACCTCCCTCGGCTGGACACTACTATGGCCGGTCGATCATCGGGTGCCAGTACCCCGACGGACTGGGCCAGTATCAGTCCGTCACGCACGCCGCGCCATATGTATGGCGACCGGGCGTCATTCGATTCTGGTGAACGCCGCGACTCGGCTTCGGGCGCTGATCATTCCCGACAAAATAGCGCCATGAGCGTGCAGGACGTGATGAACTCGTTAGATAACTCCGCCTGGGGCGAAAGTATTCGGCGAAGTTTTACACAACGACGATCTGGTGAGGACCGGCCAGGCGAGCGCTCCAATCGGTCAACCCAATCTACCGAAAGGGGTTCACCCTCTCCTAATGCATGATGTTGATGTCTCCACGAGAGACGAGTACGGATGTACGAACGACAGATGGTAGAGCCTATCTGCTTCGTTTCATTACCTGAACATTCTTCTACTTTCCACCTTCTCTTTCCTTTTTTCTCTTTGGGTTTTTGAGTGATTACCGGAGGAGTTTCCTGTTTTGACTTTGCATCCATTTTTGCTGTACAATACCCTCAGTCCTGGCATTCTTGGAAGCATCTTGCATAGCAGCGGCGTGAGATTCTGCCATTTCCTTATATTATGGGTCTTTTTCTCCTTTATTGATCCTATCCTATTCCCCTTCAATAGAATGTGGCGTGTACATCTAATTGATATAAACGTTTTCAATATGGGGTGGCTGAAGTGGGTCCAAAGTACGAACTATTGGATCGACGTATAGCCGGAATTAGGATGAGGCTGGAACATTGAGATAAAATGAAAATAAAGATTTACAATCATGACGATGTACTAAGTAAATAGATGTTCTCGGAAGATCGACACAATAAGGATTGATGAAAACAGTAAATCCAGGCACAATCCCATTCATCCGGATGCGGCCACCGCATCCGATATCCATTTGTCTCAAACTCCCTGCAGCGACATCCTTGCAGTATGAGCTTGATATTTGATCATAAACCAAACCTCATCCTCGAATTCTTCTCTTCAATTCATTTTTAACACCCCTCATCCCCCACCACAACACCATAACATGTCCACTCACCCACATTGATTTATACACCTCGCATTCCACATACATCATCACCAACCTAAAACACGAACAACAAAAACCACCAAACCACATAAAAAACGGAAATCAGTCAAGATGAACCAATTTCCAACTCCAATCTCTCCAATTCAAACAATCCGCCCAACAAGCGAATCTTCAAGCCCACCCAGCTCCCGAACAACTTCTCCACCCTCCTCACCAACCTCAACATTCCGCCACCGGTCCCGAACAACAAGCAGAAGCTTAACATCACCGCACCACCTCTTCAACCTCTCATTCCAACCACACCACTCCTCGCAAAGTCAGGACCACCACTCGAATTCATCTACATGTGAGCACCACGTGGTTAGCATTCTACCTTGTGCCGTCCTTCGCGGCCGCTCATCACTTATGGTTGTGAGACGGAGACCTTCTGCCGTTGATATGGCGCTTAGCGAGGAGCGCTCGAGATGCGACGGGGATGCCATTGAAAGGGCGGGATTGGATCTTATGGAGCCTAGACCTGTTGAGATGGAGAGGGAGACTATGATGGCTATGAATATGAATGCGGGTATGGGTGTGAATATGGGCGCGCGTGCGGCATCTAATGGAAGTGGTGCTTCGACTTCTTCGAATGAGGAGAAGCGTGGAAGTATCTTGCGACCGCAGCATTCGCCACGTTTTGTTATGGGGGGCATTTTTGAGGTTATGGAGGGCCGGGCTTGATTTTGTTTTGGTTTTTGTTTTTTTTTTTTGTTCATCTTCGTGCAAGTGACTTGGATGTATAGTTGCCGGCGTTAGGAAATACCCATTTTGACCTTTTTATCTTCTTTCTGCTCTAGGTATTGGTTTTTAGTGGTTATCAAACAGAAGTATAGCCACTTATGTCTAATCTAGGGGTTATTCTAAAATGTTTTTCATTACTTCCATGCTCCATAGATAACATTAAAACTGTGACAGGGGTATCATAAAGGTTCGCTGGCAAATCAATTGCGCCTGTAGATGCAAGATGCAAGAAATGAACGCTATGTGAATAAGCCAGAACAACAAGGCGAAGAATCTCTAGGGCAAAAGCAGGCCTGCTAGCCACCCTTATTTCTTTGAATTCTTGCCGTGGCTTTTTTTGGCCGTCTTAGCCTTAGCATTAGGGCTAGACTTAACGCCCGGGCCTTGCTTACGCGCGTTAGGCCATAGCTGGCCACGACAGTTGTCCTCGCCACAAAGGCAAGTAACGGCGTTCGGGTCGACCTTTTCCTTTTCCTTATCCTTATCCTTCTCCTCATCTGTATCTGTATCTGTATCAACCCAGAAGGGATTGTAGTCAAAGGTCAACTCGGTGCCCGGGGGAATATCGCACAGGGCGAAAAAGGCGAGGTGGTAAAGGCTATCATCACCCGGCTCTGTAGTGGACACGGGGATGATTTTGCAATTAGGGTTGCAGGAGTGATTAATGAAGCGGGTGGGTGAGCCGAACTTTTGACCATCAACAACGTAAAATTTTTGATCGGGCTTATGTTCGTCACCCTCGTCGTCATCCTCGTCCTGATCTTCCTGCTTCCAGTCGAGGACAAAGAGGTAAGATTGGCCCATGTTATTAGTGGCTTCGCGGGCATCCGCGGCTTCTTGCGTGAGAACTTCACCGAGGTACCGGTCGATGAATTGACCGGCTATGATAGGGTCTGGGGAGCGAAGACCTGAAGCGAAACAATCAGAGGGATCTTCTTCATACCAAGAGAGTGGCTACGTACCATTACCACGAGGTCCCGTATCAAAGATTTCGAATCGGACCTGACGACCACGCTGAACAACCGTATTCCAACAGCCGCTTTCGAGGCCCTTACAACTGCACAGTGAACAGCACTCGGCGATTTTCGAACGACGCTCCAAAAAGCTGGGGTTAAGCACAAATTGTCCGTTCTCCAGTGGGTGATATGTGGAAATCTTCTGATTCGATTCCTCCTCTTCAAAAAGACAGTCACAGGTTGTGAGGTCGCAGGGGCCAGAGCCGGAGCAATTACAACCATAATGGAAGCCTTCCGGGACACGCGTCACACCGTCAAGAAGAAGGTAGTCATTCACAAAGCCAAAAGTGGTAGAAAGCATCGCAAGTCTCTCATCGTCGATGTCAAATGTGACCGCTGGCCCGTCAATTTGCCGTAGCCTTTCATCGAGGTTAGCCCGCAAGAAGGCTATCGGGTCAGGCTGAGGGATTGACGGAGCGGACTCAGATGAGGTGCAGAATGGAATTATGCTCCGGTCGACCTTGTCACGCTTGGGATAAGCTCTTTTCAAAGCCTTCTGTTTCTCCACTCGGCTAATAGGAAAGTATTCCTCTGACACTCCCTTTAATTTGGGTTCTTCACCAGAGATGGGAAGCTCCAGCAGTTGCTTTGTCCGTTTCGCGGACGACGGGATAACAATCTGAGGCGTTGCTCTAATTGCTGCGCTCGGAGTGGATAGCCGATCAGTCTTTGTGGTTGTGTCCTTTGTCCTGGACAGTCTTAAGCTTGACCGGCTCGAGGAAGGCGACGCGCTCACATTCCCATTTGGTTCCCTTGGCTCCTTTGACCGAGACGGCCTCAGGCTTGACTTTCTCGAGAGCGACCGGCTGGGCTCCACCTTTGGCTGCACCGCCGTTGAAGCTGCACCATTTGTACCGAAATCAATTTCAATTGACGTGGTCGGAATATCAGAGTTCTGAGCCTTGCGTTTGTTAGGACCGGACGAAGAGGATCCCAGTTGATTGTGAGTCAACGTAGTCACAATTGCTACGTTGTTCCCGTTTGTAAAGTTGGTCTGGAGTAGTAAATACCCGAAGTTAGTGTTTTTGGTCGCAACCCCGGTGTTGATTGGTATGTTATAGTGGTGCATGATATGCAGGTCAGGCCACCCCGATGCAAGATCGAGGACGTGTATCGGAAATGGACATATCCAATGAGTCTCCAAATAGACGCAAGCCAAGGGGGAATTTGGGGCAAAATCAGCCCCAAGAATGCGATTTGCAAGAGAGGAATGTGAGGAAGGTGCTATATATGTCATACATATGTATAGCGCGCTAACCTCTTTGGGAAAGAAGATGAAGAGTGATTTATATATCGTAGGAATAACCGCCATAACGCGTCAACATCTGAAAACTCACCTCGGAATCATCCTCGTCACTATCGCCAGTTAGGTCAATGACTCCATGCATCACCTTCTTTAAGACATTCTCGGCGGTCGCGGCAAACGGCATCACTACCATCGGCTACACACGAGGGCAAGCGATGGTAGTGGCGTTTAGGACGAGGAGCGCGTCTCTTAGAGACACATCGAGGTGGAAAACCAAGCGATAGACTAAGATAAACAACAAATGAATCTGGAGTTGAAAGGCGAAAAGATTTTAGAGAAATCCGAAGAGAGGTTGCCAGTTGATATGGGTGGTGGGAATAACATCAAAGAAGCTGAATGAGGTAGCGGGAGTGGATCAAGGCGCGGGAAAATGTGGGAAATAAGTCAACGGAGTTGCGCAGGGAGAGGCAGCCCGGAGAGCCTTAAGGAAGATGGAAGACATTCGGCATCAAAGGGGCCCCATGGGTGGCCCGAGCTTCTCTACCTTAGTCAGCATATTTATATATCTCGCTTAATGAATAGCTGATTTTATCCTTGTAAACTATCTATTTTGTAGTTTGAGGCGTTCGAGAGATCCCTGGCACTCATCAAGCAAACAAAGAACTCGGGCACTGAGTGGGTCAATATGTGACGGGATCTCGCAGTAGTGTCTCGGGCTCAAAGAAAGGTATTCCGGTCCGCATATATCAATGGCTGAAAATAGCGGTGTGATAAACGGGTAGAAATCAGCAAGGTTCAGACAAGGATTAGGGCCTATTAAAAGCGCGCGCTGAAAGTGAAAGCCTTGGACTGTCGCCCGCCTTGGCTTTGCTTAAGTGCAGTTTACGCTTTCCCCTATCCTTCGTGGAAATCAATAGCTAGCATATATAAATTCGGGCTACATTTACTCATATGAGATAACCAGATTTCACTGAAAGAAATGCCATTAGCGAGGGTGACAGCGGATTATAGCTTGCCGTTTGCCGCTTTGCGCCATAGTCCTGAGATTGATGATCTCTGATTGGCTAAGGATGATCTTTATGACTAAGCAACTTCTGATCCTTCTAGATATATTTATCTATTAATCACTTTGTGATAAATAGAAAGGGCCTGTTATTATATTAATATATCCATAATCTAGATTTTAGGGGGATTTAAAGTAGGAGAGTCAATAGAAAGTTTTAAATATCGAAGTAGTTTGTCCTGTTTTAGCTAATCACTGATAAGCGTCGAGAGATAACGATAAATCCCTAAATAAAGTCGCTGTTCGAAAATTGGCCTGCAATTACTTCATCGTTTATAGTTGATTTTTATTTTAAACTCGCTAGATCATATGGAAATCGTTTATTATATCCGTTTAAACAAGCTTCTCTCATGAAATATATGATAATTTAAGTATTCTGCTGTGTCACGTGATGACAGGAGAGCGATGATAAGCAGTCTTGCGAAGTGTAGAACAAGAATCGTAGGGGGTCGGCCCCCGACCGCGGGCGCGACTGACCGGGTCCGCCCCTAGAGTTGCGGGTTGGTCGCACCCACAAATGCCCGCACAGGATACATCTATAACTGGAACGCTGCCGCGGGGTCCTTATCACCTGGGCAGGATTCGAGATCTCCCGAATTCCCATTAAGTCTTTTCTCGGTTGACATATAAATTCTGAGTGGTCGCATGCGCATGAATCTTGGAATTTCCTGACACTCGCGGTAATCCTTTACGGTGTTCCTCCGCGGTGCTCCACGGCGGTAGTTATCAGGCCCAGCGGTAGTCCCTGCGGAGGTCTTGAATCTTGATGCTCGTAATGCGCCCTTACATTAAATCAACATTCATGGGTCTGCTCTTCCAGCATTTTTTTTGAAGCTGGAATCTTAAATTTAGCATTGCAATCTATGAATATTTTTAGGTTCCTTCAACTTCTTTAGTACTTACTATTTACATACGCTACATCGATGATCGCTCGTACGGTGCGCGGTACGTGGAATCCTTGATCAATGTGCATTACTTGCAATATTATAGACTTTCTTAACCTAGGGGAGACCTCATACATACATGATTGGAAGGCCACGTACGGTCCACCAGCAGTCATCTCCAAGGTTTTGTGTCAGGTCGAATGGATCATAATGTGCTGATATATATATGGGCTGACCGAGCATACCCATTTTTGGGGCCTGCATCCAGATTCCCTTAAAGACGCTCTGCTCTCTAACCTTTATATAGGTACGTGGGGAAATGGAAGGCTTATCAATATAATTAATTCCGCATGACCTTGGGAATCGCGAAGTTCCAGCTCGATTTTCTCCAACCTTGGAAGATGCGAACCGCGCGACCCGGGCGCGACGAATCACCACAACACTACACGAGTCAACGACTACCGCGAGGCATCACCGCCTGGTATTACCATAAAGGATTACTGCGAGAGTGATATAAATCAAAGGAGCCAGACATCCCCATAATACTTTCCATAATGGAATACGCGTCGGTCTGTGCACAAATGGGCAAAGAATGAAGTTGTTCACAGAGCTGAACTGAAGGCCAATTGTTCTCTGCGAACATTTTTACGAAAATCTCCTGCCTTTCTTTTTCATGTTGATCTCTTATCATGGCCTCCAACTCATTATTATCGGCAATTTCGTGTCACAATCTTTCTGACCAGCACACACAAATTCACATCTGCCAAAATGTTCATTTGCTGCACATCCTCGACTCAGCCCTATCATCTAACTTGATACCTCACCCAAATCTTACAATTCTATGGCCCTATCCTGCATCGCTATCTTCGCTTGGCTTGGAAAAACTGTGACATCCAACGTTTCGGGGCATATATGATATCTCACTAAAGCTTCACCACCAGACAGGTGAACATTTTGCTGCAAAATCCTCATTTTCAAGCTGCAATCTGCATATCCACAAGATGCTCCTACGGCCTATCATTTCCAATTCACGCACATAACCCTCACTCCGCCTAATCCAGTGCATTCACTCGGCACTAGGCATCATTTCGAAAGTCCTGACCCAGCCCAACATGACACGCACGTCATGTCGTCGACCTTCTTTACTGGCAAATGGCAATCAACAGAGCGCGTCGCCTTGGTGGACCAATCGGCCGCGGAGCACCCAAAACCCATGACTGAGATAAACACTAACCTCGTTACACCGATTTCAAGTACGTTTTGGGTTGAAGGCGCCCTCGAGCTATGTGAGCTCACCTGCGAACCCTCCTACGTCCTCACCGATGAGATCGGTGGAACCCCATACTCCGCATCTTTTCGATGGCTTGTTCAAATGCTACAGGGCGAAGGGCCATTCTGGTCTCTAAAACCCCCCAAAATCAACGGCTACGACTTCTCCAGCCCACAGGGCGTGATTGGGAATCGACCACGGCTTTTGGTCCGGAAGGACTATGTCCAACATCCAGGATCAGATCCCCGAATATTGGCGCAGCAGAGCATCTACACTTATTTGCTCAGAGACTTGAGGTCCGGGTGAATAAACCCAGATTATGGGCATGAATGACTCTTTGGCATATTTAGCCGCACCTAAATGATCTTCCTTTAAATTCATAAAGACTTGAATTTTCGGATCAGGATATCGCAATTGATGCTAACATGACCCTGGCTTGCTTTGCTTCAGTTTTTAAAAAAAACCTTTTTTTGGGCCATCTTTCCCCTGCATGTCCGTCCACTCCACATTGGCAGGTAGACAAAGAATAAAGTTGATTAAAGAGCTACTAGTCTTATCATCGCCGCCGGCCAATTATTTCCATGGGTCTTTCTCTACCCATGCTTGACTATACGCTTAGGAGGTGTTCCTAATTTCCCTACCATCACTAAATCCAAGTGTGCACCTTAGCTCTACGTAGCATGAAAACCAAATACGATAATAAACAGATAGCAGTTTTATAGACGTAAGAGACTCGTGCACAGAGACCCATCAAAGGCTATACAGCGCCAATTCACTGCCTCCCCACGCTAAAAGAGAACTTCAGGGATGCAGATGACAAATCAGTAGAAGCCAGGACTGTCTTCTGCTTTAATGTACAAGAAGACTGACACACTTTTCTAGAACGACAGTGTGGGAAACAGACAGGACAAGCCCGTATAGGTAGATGCAAACCGGAATGATAGGCTAAAAGCGAGCTGAATAGGGCGGGGGAGGAAAAAGACAACTGGGCCCTGGAATGCAAGGATAAAACACTGATATAGGAAACGCTCTCATGCGATGTCGTTGATCAATGTACCTGTACTGGTTCCTAGTGGGGAACGTGAGATGAAAGATAATAACAAATATGTGCCATCTAGGCCAGGCTTCTATGTTTCCCACCCAAGCGATTATGCATGGTGTTTGATAGATATCTAGCCCATCGGGCTGAATCAAAGTCGCAAAGCATCAAGAATCTTCTTCGCCATCTCTCTGTATTGCCACATACCACCCGAGACCTTCTTGAACTGGATACCATGTAGAGAGAACAGAGGCACCTTCACGATGAGAATCTCAAAGCGAAGCACCAAATTCTCGCCAGTGTCGCTTTGGACGCGGGTGGTGGTCTCTCCGACCACACGTTCGCCCACGGTACCGCTCTGCTGGGTATCGCGTTCAGCGTATTCATCAGAAGCGTCCGAGTTCGAGACGAAACTACGGTCTGGTTGCGTCTGGGGCCGACGGTGTGCCTTGTTAGAACCTGAACGGCTGTCATCGCGGCTGTCGTCGTGGCTAAGAAGACCGCCAAAGCTGATACGGCGGCGGTGTGAGACTTGGCCCTGGCGGTCCGGACTAGGAGGGCTGACGTCGACCACCTTTTCAAGGTCGATGCTAGGGGCGTGTCGACAGCGGAAGCCACCCTTGATCTCAACGTAGTCCACAGCCAGCTGTTTCAATACGCGGATGATATCAGCCCGGATGACGGGCAAGGGCTTGCTGCTCGTAGTTGACACGCTGAAGAGACCCTTAAGGAAGACTGGCTTAGACAGATCTTCGCCTTCATTGGCACTCTCCAATGCGGTGCCTGCACCGGTGATGTCTTCATCAGTCTCTTCGGGCACATTGGCCTCGAGGGCAGCCTCCCGCCGAGCACGTCGGGCTTGGATGCTTTCACGGCGGGCATGGCCCAGAGACATGGTACGTGTAGTATGTGTGCCTCTGCCGGTTTTCACGGCGGCCTGATCCTTCTGGTTATTGGGACCGGCGGGACCAACTTGATCCGAGCCACTCGTTGAGGGAGGCTGGCGTTCAACATCCAAAGTCTCAGCTTCACCCCTCCGAGCGGCTCTTCGAGGTCGGTAATCGGCGGAGTTGACGCTGGTAGACCGTCCCAAAAACTTGTTAGTCTGCGAACTTTGGTCGCCCGAGGCCGAGCCTGGTGCTGCGAGCAAGTCTCGATGTTGAGGCTGGCTTCCTGCAGAGGGAAGAGGGGGCTCTTGCTCAGGGCGTCGAGTTCTTCGCACACTGAATCCACGGTGCAATGGGGACGCGGAATCGACAGGGGGTTGAACGTTCAGTGTCGGGGTATTGGGGGTGCTGATACGCTCCCGTTCGACATCGCGGCTGCGCTCCTTAGTTTTGCGGGTGCTGAAACGTCGCAAAATACCAGCAGCGGCGCTCTCTTTCTTGGCAGGTGTGTCGGGGGTTGCGTGTCCAGACGGCGAGGAAGTATGGAGATTCTTCATGCCCTCCACAACTTCCTCCTCGCCATGGGTCCTGGCTCGAGGGCGAGACCGTCTGCCGGCGTCCTTTTCGCCTGGGACCGAATATTGATTGGTGTGGGCGGCCTCCGGAGGGGCTAACTCGGGCATACCCGTATCGACCGGGGTCGGACGAATGCTTAGAGCACCAGGGCGACTCTCTATTCTTTCTCGGTCGAGTTTCTCCTTGACAAGATGGTAAACAGACACCAGCGGGCTGTAAGCGTTCAGAGGATCATTGCCTAATTGAATTGCCTCAGCTGAAGGTGCTGATAGAGTATCACGGCTAGCAGCAGAGTTGCGTCGCTTATAAAAGTCGAAGACGCCGCGCTTTCGCTCCGCTTGGCTATTCACTGGGTGTTCCCGGTAATTGAGTCGTACAGCGTGTTGGTATTCATCTGATTCCAACACCTTTGTTAACTGAGATGTGATATAATCTGGTGAGCCGAAATCAAAGCCTGTCATTTTCTCGATGACCTCCTGGTCCAATGGAAGCTGGATGGGCTCTCGCTGGGGGAGGTAGTTTTCGGGAGGTGCATTAAAGCCTTTATTCATCCATGGGTGGTTCATAATCTCGGCCAAGCTCGCACGCTGCTTCGGATCGGTGACAAGCATACGAGAGATAATGTGTCGGCACTCTGTGAGATGAGGTTAGTAAAAAAGTACCGGAAAGCTGGTGTAAGAAAAGACATGCCAGTTGTTAGACCAGGTGGGTATTCCACGACACCCTTCTTAATCTTTGCATGGAGCTGAGGCATGCTCTGGTCATCAAAAGGTACCTTGCCGCATACCAAAACGTAAAGAACAATGCCAAAACTCCAGACATCGACTTCCGGCCCAGTGTATTGTCTTGCTTGGAGCAGCTCCGGAGCAGCAAAATAAAGACTGCCACAGAAGGTCTTCAAAAGACTTCTGGGAGAGAAGAGGTTGCTCAGACCAAAGTCGATGATTTTAATATCACCTGTCTTGCTGATCAGGATGTTCTCGATCTTCAAATCACGGTGGACGATGCTGTTGCGATGACAGTAATCCAAAGCACTGGCGATCTGGCGAGCGAATTTGCGGGCTTGCTTCTCCTTCAACTTTCCGTGAGAGATGATATAATCTAACATTTGACCGCCGTTGACATACTCGAAGAGCATATACCAGTGATATGTTGTGCGCACCACATCTCGCATTCCGCAGATGTATGGATGGCTGACAAGACTCACAATAGCAGCCTCTCGAGCCGTTCGAATTTCTTTAGACCGATCTGCTCTCTCCGTTTCTCGACCGTTGCGATGCTCCTCGGTTGAAAGTCTGGGGACGATCTTGACAGCGACCTGGAACGTGGCATTGTTAGATCGAGCTTGTGAAATGGCAGATCTCGACTAGGAATGAAGGGGAAAATGTACCTGTTCACCAGTTTCCATATTCTTTGCAAGCTTTACTTTACCCATGCTGCCCGCACCAATGGTCTTCCCCAGGGCCCATTGGCCCGTTGGTGTAGTGATCGTCGTCCGACGCCGCGGCTGTGCGGGGGCGGTTGGGGCGGTCGCATTTTGAGAGGAATCAGTTGCGCGGTCTGCAGTAGCGCTGCCTGTCATGTCGACGCTATCTCGTTGATGAGTCTGCGTGGAGGAAGTGCGATGGTGTCGTCGGGTGGACTCGGTACGAGTTGCCGTGGCCGGGCGCTCTTGCGAGCGCTCAGAGGAAGGTTCACGGCGAGACGGCATCTTTTGGACATTGGATGCCTCGAAATCCCGGCGGGCGACGCTCTCTAGCGCAGCGTGGTTTGTCGGCGGACGACGGTCATAGGAGGGGGTTTTGGAGTGTGAGTATTGTGCCTGTGGAGGGGGCTGGGACGTGTTTGACGATCGGACCGCCACGCTTCGAGTCCGATGGGGCAAATCAGACGAGGGGGCCCAATGGGCGGGGCGAGAGGATGTGGATTGACTGCGAACCACCGTAGGCGACTTCGAGGCAGGCGCCGGTGCCGACATAACGACTAGGACAAGTCTGGGTTGTAATAGATGAAGTTGGAGCGGTCAAAGGGCGCGAGCGGGGAGAGGCTGACGAACGGTAGACACGAGCCCCACGGGCTGGTGCATCCACCCGTTGGATGAAGAAGGAAACAGGGGAGAAAGTGAGATGACTTGAGGATCCCTATAACCAAGGGGGGAGGATGATGATAGAAGCGATGGAGGGGAGAGGGGGAGAAGGAAAGAGGTGTAGGTTTGACAGGGGTCTCTCAGACTCTCACGCCCAAAGCCCAAAGCCCTGTACTCGTGTCGCTAGAACTCATCTAATTTCTTATTTGGATTCGAGCTGGGTGTGACCCAGTGGGATTCGATTGTTGCACCAGGTCTATTCCCCTGAGTTCATTTAATCCTTTTGGGCCCCTTGGGTACACTTCTACGCCCCATGACGTTGTCCGCGTTCCCGGTTCCATCATTCAGGCACTGAGTTTAGTGGAGATCTAGACCTGAGGTATATACCAGATCAGGGTTTTCATCCACATGTCAATAAGTACGTACTTGATCCCTTGAGAGCTCGACCCAGTAGAGACGTACGTACTTTTATCATTTATTGACTAAGATTTAATCAAATCTATGAGACGAATCACATGCGAAATTGCAGTCTTCCAGTAAATGCATACGTAATCACATGACCCACACTATAAGTATCCCAAATTTAGATTGAAACTCTACAAACCTTCCGAGGTCCCTCCTATATCATGTATATTCAAACTTCACATCATCAAAACCCGAAAGCCTAACCTGCAGTCTTCCGCTGGTAATAAAACTTCTGCTAGTTCGCACCGGTGGATCCCAAACCACTTCAGCCACGCTCGTACGTGGGCGGGATATTCCACACCCGGTGTCGTCTCGATCATGGAAGAGGACAAGATCCGGGCAAATACCCGGTTGCAAAATAAGACTAGTTTCAGCCGAAAGACCAATCGCAGCCCGGGCACGAGTGGACACGCATTCATATAAAAGTCTGGCATCATCCTGTGCCCCTGCCTGATAAACCCCCACCCCAACACAGGCCAATAATAAGGGATCGGCAGAGCCCCATGGCGTAAACGCATTGCCGACATTGTTGACACCGATCACTGCATCCAGATTGTGTTTGCGGATCAGTTCGGGAACTCTAAGGGTACCCCTGGGCCGTTGGTGGGGACCTCCTTGGCCCGGCGGCGCGGCCATATATAGATCGCTAGTGGGTAAGCCGACGAAGCTCACCGGGAGATTGTTCTCATGGATGACGCGAGATATTTTGTTCCATTCTTCGTCGGCCAAAAGGGTTAAGCGCGTACAATGTCCTAGCATCACGCGTCTCCGCGTGGTTCGACCAGTCCAGCCTCGTTGTTGCAGTGTCTGCAACACATGCCAGATGAGTGCCTCCTTGCCGGGATCCAGATTATAGTCCAGATGGAAATCGACATGTTTGTCGAGGAGTAAAGCGCGATCGATCGCCCATTCGATATTCTTCTTTGAAGCCTCCACGCTGGATTCCACGTAGGGCGTGGTTCCCAGGACGTCGATCTCCAGATAGGTTTCCAGAGCCTTTTCGATCAGGGTGCGGTTTTCTTCTCCGTATTCGCTGGAGAAAATGGGGTCTTGGGCGAAGCAAGCAATTTGAATGTGACAGGCCTCGCTCCATTGGCTCTTAAGCGTAATTGCTGCACTTAAGCAGGTCAACTGGACCGTATGATCGACCTCCACAAAAGCTCTCATCGCCGTGACTCCCGAGGAAACAGACTCGGCTAATAACCACTCCCCTCTTTTCAGAAGGTCGGCTTCGGTAAAGCTCTCTTTGGCCTTGGTGGTAAAAGACAAGGCTTCTTGGAAAGTGCCCGTGCAAGGTAGAAGATGGGAATATTCACGTGCATTATGAATAAACGCTTTGTCCAAATGAATATGTGGGTGAGTCAGGGCCGGTAAAGCGAAGGGAGGTGGGATGTCATCTCCGGAAGACTCGTGCGGGGTGATTGATGTGATTGTGCCGTGAGAGTCTGAGGGGTACTCGAGTTTGATATCCCAAGTGGATGATGAACCGACGAGTCTGACTCCCTGGATTGATTTAATATTCTTACTTAATTTAGGTGGCGGCATGGTGTACTTGGGGTGAGAAAGATGTTGTACCAGCGCCTAGAGCCCTGTCTTTATGATGCTCCACTCCCGGGGAAATCCGCTATTGAGCCGCAGAACGCCGTCTCATTCTCAATTATTCATGCATTAGATACATAAACTATTAATAATAGAACTTTAAATCAATTACATGTTTCCTGTTCGAGCCGCGCCCAATAACCCAATCATTGCTTCGCGTATGGCCAGGTCCAGTTGCGAATATACTCAGGATCCAGACCATTTTCGAAAGCCTCCGCTTTACCAGCGAGACGTGCATTAGCCAGCTTCTCCCTGGCGCTCGCCCCAGTGTTACCGAGAGATGGGATCAAGTCAATTGCATCAATGGCCAAACTGAATCGATCGGTTCCATTGCGCATCGCCAGCTCGAACGGAGTATCGATGTTACCCTTCTCGCGGTATCCCCGAACATGCAGGTTGTGCTGACCAGGCCGCTTGTAGGTCAATCGGTGGATAAGCCAAGGGTAAGAGTGGAAGTTAAAGATGATTGGCTTGTCGTCGGTGAATATAGCCTTCCACTGGCGATCAGGCATGCCATGCGGGTGATGGATCCCCGAGATAAGTCGGAAGAGGTCCACGACATTCACGAAGCGAATTTTGAGAGTGGGAACATGCTCGCGCAGAAGTGCAGTCGCAGCTAAAGCTTCGTGTGTCGAGACATCGCCGCAAGATGCCATCACAATATCTGGCTCTTCGCCCTGGTCGTTACTGGCCCAGTCCCAGATTCCGAGACCCTTTGTACAGTGTGCGATGGCATCTTCCATATTCAGGAACTGGATATGCTCCTGCTTATCTGCCACGATGACATTCACGTAGTTCACACTGCGGAGGCAGTGGTCCATAACGGACAGTAGGGTGTTCCCGTCGGGCGGGAGGTAGATACGGACCACCTCGGGGCTCTTATTGGCCACCACATCGAGGAATCCGGGGTCTTGATGAGTGAAACCATTGTGATCTTGTCGCCAGACAGTGGCTGTGATCAAGATGTTGAGAGAGGCGACCTTGGCGCGCCATTCGACCTCAAGACACTTTTCAATCCACTTGCAGTGCTGATTGACCATCGAGTCGATGACGTGCACAAAAGGCTCGTAGCTGTTGATGAGACCATGACGTCCAGACAGGATATAGCCTTCGAGCCAGCCTTCGCAAGTGTGTTCACTAAGGATTTCCATAACACGGCCATTCGGAGACAAATTGCCTCCATCGCTGTCCTCTTCGAAGTAATCTGCCATCCAAACTTTCTTGCCTGCCTTGTAGACCTCGGCCAACTTGTTCGACTCGGTTTCATCAGGGCCGAAGAGGCGGAAATTAGTCATGTTCTTCGCGACTACATCACGAAGGAATTTAGCCATGTTGGCCATACCCCCTGCGCTGGATTTACCGGGGACAATGTCTTGAATCGCATAATCACGGAAGTCATTCAACCTCAATGGTTTGCGCAGAAGGCCACCATTGCCGACCGGATTGGCACTCATACGAGAATTACCAGCAGGCGCAAGCTCCCTGAGTTCTGGAAGAAGCTTGCCACTCTCATCGAAGAGCGTCTCGGGCTTATATCCCTTCATCCAATCTTCAAGGACCTTGAGATGGGCAGGGTTGGTAAGGACGTCGGTGATGGGAATTTGGTGTGCGCGCCAGAAACCTTCGAGTAGTTTTCCATCGATTTCCCGCGGGGCAGTCCAGCCCTTTGGCGTGCGAAGCACAATCATGGGCCAACGGGGACGGAATGGCTTGTTCGATGATCGGGCTTGTTGCTGATACTCTCTGATCTCTTTCACACACTGCTCAAGAGTGACAGCCATGGCCTGGTGCATGCTATCCAGATCGCTTCCCTCCACGAAATAGGGCTTCCAGCCATAACCGACCATCAATGCAGTCAATTCCTCGTGACTGATACGTGCAAGGACCGTCGGGTTGTTGATCTTGTATCCGTTTAGATGAAGAACAGGGAGGACCGCTCCATCAGTGATCGGGTTGAGAAATTTGGTGCTGTGCCAACTCGTCGCAAGAGGACCGGTCTCGGACTCTCCGTCACCAACCATGGTCAAAGTGATGAGGTCCGGATGATCAAAGACAGTCCCAAAGGCATGTGAAATAGAGTATCCAAGTTCACCACCTTCATGGATACTACCGGGGGTCTCAGGTGTCGCATGACTTCCAATACCACCTGGGAACGAGAACTGCTTGAAAAACTTCTGCATGCCCTCTACATCCTCAGTCTTGTCAGGAAACACCTCGGTGTAGACACCTTCAAGATAAGACTGAGAGATGATTCCAGGGGCGCCATGACCAGGGCCAGAAACGAAAAGCACATCCAGGTCATATTTCTTGATCAGGCGGTTCATGTGGATCCACGTAAAAGACTGGCCTGCATCGGATCCCCAGTGTCCCAGAAGTCGAGCTTTGAGATGCTCCACTTTCAAGGGCTCTTTGAGAAGAGGATTCTCACGGAGGTAGAGCATGCCGAGACAGAGGTACAAGCTGGCGTGGAAATACTTGTTCATCTTGCGGACCTCTTCGGGGTCTAGGCATTTCCCGGATACCGTTGAGCGTGCATCTCCGTAAGCTGAGATGCTTTTGGATTGGGCATCATTGGAATGAGAGGCCATGATGATTGATTGTGTAAGTTCAACCGATGTAAAGATGGAATTGATGGGAAAATGGAAGTACAGGGTTGGTGAAGGAGGTAGAGAGGCAATAGCGAGGACGATTCAAAGTGGGGAGAGGGGAATGCAAGATTGATATAAAGAACCCTTTTTATGGGTAATCTCATCAAAATCTTGTTTTACAATTAAAATTGAATTAGTAGTCGATTGATGAGTGGCCTGATTCCTGCATTGTACTTTGTCATGGCCCGGCCGGGAAGAGCAGTCAATGACGTGTAGGCCGTTGATGAACGCACCACTATGATTTCTTGATTCATGCATGCGTCCCCATATGCTAAGAACTGATATGAGATTTGAATCCTTCGACGGGTCGCTTAAAGTAGTCGATCTTCTGTTGGTCAATAAATTGGGCTAAGTTCCTCTTGGTCACCGACTACCCTGGGGCCTGAACCACCTCCGCCGACATCCGAATTCCAATTGCGGGGAAAGCTTTAGAAGACACCACATTCAAACAGATAGAGTCAGCCAGCTTATGATTGAGCAAGTTATCAACTATTCGTAGTTCGATAGGAAATTCATTTGTGAGACTGTGATCGTAGTTGAGTGATAGGAACGAGGGGTGCGGGGTACCAAAAGACTGTCGGCAATACCCCTTGCTAAGGTTATGGGTACACAATATCAGATAATGAATCTGATATTGCCACGAGGCACCACATGCATCTGCAATCGTGCGATCATGTACCGTGTTGTCTCATACGGCTAGCTCTAGGCCATACTCCTGGGCCCATTCGGCTAGAACGCCACCCCAAGCCACATCAATTCCCGAGCCTAAGCATGCTAGATAAGCTAGGTTGTACGACTCCCACAACCTGGAGTGATTCATTGGCAATCCTTTCATACCACGTCGCTTAATCAATCCTATAAGACAGCGCATAAACCGTGATAGGGTGTATCTCCCCATTCAACGGGTCTCAGTTGCCACCAAAATTATTCATTCTTAGTGAAACGTTGCCCCATGCTGCCCATAAGGGCGTTAGTCTTTGTATCCAGCTCTTCAACTATTGTCAGTCGGTGCTTTACTTCAACAAAAGGACGAAATACGTACTTTGTACTGTCATCTATTTTCGGGCTTGTAAAGAGTAATAATCCTTAAATTCGTAGATCAGAATGAGATGAGCTGGCAAGAATATTTGCTACACAATATTTGAGTCAATAAATGAACCCCAACATTGAAAGGCCTCGGGAAACAAACTCACAGAAATACATATGAATGAACAGGAAACCCTTTAAAAGTGCTTACGAGCTACTGCTGGGATCTAGTATTCGGGCGAACAGAAGCGCCACTGGGCCTAAATGAAATGCGTATCAGCGATCGAAGCTAGAAAACATCGGGCCTATAGATACTCTATAACACTAAGAGGCTGGATCAAGAGCCTTTGCTTGGTATTTTCTTGCCACTGTGAGAAGATTGAAGTTGCACTGCGGTCGTACAGGGCCTGGATGGGCTCGTAACCTGGATCGAGGGGCACAAATTGATGCGAAAGACCTTTCTGGGACTTGGTGTAAGCCTCTGACAGATTGCCACAGTGGCTTGCTCAGCCTGTGATTCCTACTCAGGGATGTTCGGAGGCAAAGCTGTTCCAGTGACTGTGCAAGGTTTTTGCAGTTAGTATGCAGGGCCCAATGCCGATTGTGGCTCAATTTAGCCTCATGCACACTTTAGGAGATAGTGAATATTGCCCAAGCTACCTATGATGAGCTTGCATCCTATGTGAATTTCATGGCGGAAATCGGGGAAGATACTGAGGGCGAGGGTGAACCTCTCTACGTCTATCTCATAAACAGAAAACAAGATGACAAGTCGTGTAATTTTCATTCTAAACCAGGATAAGATGTTGAATCACCTGAAGCTTCTTGCTAGCGGAGAAACTTTAGGTTTCATGGTGCGAGTTATGCCCTATGGATATGGAGTCGCTGTTTGTATGCTTTACTTATGATTTCTTATATTAAGTTCATAGTTAAGCCCTGCATGGCCTGAATATCTTTCAGTCTGAACTTAGGCTCACTAAGCCAAGACATAAGATAATGTTTAATGCTAGTCTAACAAAGAGTAAGACCAAATATTTGTCGGTCATTTTCTCCAAACATCCCGTTCCCGCTCACTGAACCCCAGCCAAAGTTCTTGTGCGATGATAATTTGCCAAAGATATGCTATCTTGGAATGTTGGTGCCTGTGCCAACAGTCACTGAAAATTTTGATAAAAACAGGATTTCTGAACGGCATAGCCGCATGTTGATTCGAGAATTCCGGGGGTAGAGATGCGCCCTGACGCTAAGGAATGATCGTCCTGAGTGGAACCCACTGGTTGGTCTCAAACTTTAAGAAAGTAATCAACATGCATTAGTGCCGGGCCGAGATCTTGGCACAGAAAGCTCCTGGAATCATCGGGAAATATTTTCGTAGTAAACGCTCGGTTGATCCTCGGCAGCAGCGCAAGTGACGACTTCTCTCTCAGGCTCAAGGCGGATTTGACGCCCTTGGCCCATCCTGTATTCTCGGGACCAATGGAACTCAGGAGTGTTTTGGTAACGACATTGGATCTTGGCAAGATGACAGCATTGTGAGTCTTGTTGCTCCCATCGTCAGCTATAAGAACTGACATGATGCCCGAGGAAGAGCAGCATCATCTTCAATCCTTTATTCTGATCTCCTTGTGCAGTTGTGAGCAACAATCTACAGCCTCACCATGAAGACAATGGCACGCAGTATCGTCGCACTCTTCATGGCAACTTCCGCTACGGCGCAGAATATGTCGTTCGGGGCCGACAATTTCTACCGCAGCAACAACGTGACTATTCAGCCAATTAGCTTCCCGAGCCAATATCAGACGACTGTCGCGGGCAACCTTTTCTTTCTCAAAGACCTCAATTGTAGTTCAGATTGTCCAGCTATTGTCATCGGCCACCCCATGGGTGCCGTGAAAGAACAGAGCGCAAATCTCTACGCCACAAAGTTGGCCGAGCAGGGTTTCGTCACAGTCTCAATCGACATTCCATTCTGGGGCGCCAGCGAAGGTGAGCCGCGCAATGGGGTGTCTCCCGACCTCTACGCAGAGGCATTTAGCGCTGCTGTCAATTTTCTCGGTACTCAAAACTTCGTCGATCGCGAGCGGATCGGCGGCCTCGGTATCTGTGGCAGTGGTTCCTTCGTAATCAGCGCGGCGAAGCTCGACCCGCGCCTAAAAGCCATCGCCACGTCGAGCATGTACAACATGGGAGCACTGTCCCGCAATGGGCTACAACATTCGCAAAGTGTCGACCAGCTCAAGGCAATAATTGCCGAGGCGGCTCAGCAGCGCTGGACGAAAGTCGACGGCGGCGAGGTCCAGTACACCAGTGGCACCCAGAACCACCTCACGGCCAATTCTACTGCGATCCAGCGAGAGTTCTATGATTACTACCGCACCAAGCGCGGCGAATTCACGCCTGTTGGCTCTACACCAGAGCTCACTACCCACCCCACGCTCTCCACATTCACCAAGTTTGTGAACTTCTACCCGTTTAGCGGCATCGAGACGATCTCACCACGACCGATGTTGTTCATCTCGGGTGACCAGGCACACTCCCGCGAGTTTAGTGAAGATGCCTTTTCGCGTGCTGGGGAGCCAAAGGAGCTTTTCTGGGTGCCGGGTGCTGGCCACGTCGACCTTTACGATCGCACCGAGCTTATCCCATTCCAAAGACTCACCGACTTCTTTCGTACAAGTCTAGTGTGAAGGGAGCAATTATCGGCACGAATCAGCGGGTCCACATCCGACTGATTACAATCTCGGCCCCATTCCGGAAATTAAAGGGTCTTCGCGCTGGAATCCCGAGAGGTAGAGAGGTGCATCTGGCTGGTTCAGCAAGGAAATCGAGATCTATGTGTAACTTGTGTTTCAATATCAGATATTTGGTAGTATGCTACCTTGAGTGAATCGATGAGACAATTTACCTGTGGGTCTGTCGACTGAACTTAGTAACAAAACCTGAATCTCTGATCTCCATCTTTCTTGCAAGCTCGGCAGGTGCTTCTGCCTAACCCTGTTATGGGGCATTATACAGTAGGAATCCAGAACTAAGTGATGGGCCAATCAAACCGGGGACTTTTGCTTACATGGGTCCAGCCATGGATCCACACCCCGTACATGGATCTGCTACCTGAACCCACTGATCGACCAATTGGAGCAACCATCCGAGACTTGCCAAGTGCCCATCCATTAGTCAGATGGAAATCTCGATTTAAGTATAAGTTTTTAGTGGAGGCGCTGGTCAGCGACATGCGTTGCCAACCCCACCTATTATTTGTTAGACATCTACTGCATTTCTAGCTTGTCATCACATTGCATTAGATACCAATGGCAGATATCGCGCCAGAAATGCCGATCATTCCGCTGGCAAAGATGCCCCAACAAGTCGGCGTTCAGAAAGCCCAAGAGGATTGGACCGGAATCATAAATCGAAAAGAACGAAGGAAACTACAGAACCGACTTAATCAGCGGCGCTACCGTAAGTCTTATTGAACCTAAATCATGGCAATAATGGTGGCTTATGATGGTCCAGGGTCGAGAAGACAAGACAATCAAGCAGGGTCACAGGCTATCATCGAAGCTAGAGCCTCATCGGCCCTTCCCGGCCCAGCAGGGGACTCTAGCATGCCTCCCCTTGAATCTCAGGTGGATCGACGCGACATTTTGGAATGCGCGCATGCACCACCACATGCCTTGGAATTCCGTGACTGGTTTGAAAGGAAAGCGTACCAAAGCTATATCAATGGCTCACCAAACAGAGATCATCTGATTGGTCTAAGTCGACTCAATGTCCATCGAGCCATCAACGAGAACATTACTTCAATTGGAATGACGACCACATGGATGCAAAGCGATGATTCGATATCAATATTCAACCTGAAACAGCCTAGCTTTTCGGTCGAGAAGATACCATTATGCTTGCGTCCAACCTCCATTCAGTTGCATATTCCTCATCATCCTTGGTTAGACTTTTTCCCGTTTCCGAACATGCGTGACTGCATGATTCTTGCTGGGGACTCCTTTAACGACGATGACTTGTGTCATGATCTCATGGCATTCTGGGACACGAGGAATACCGCTGCCACTTTACTTGTGTGGGGAGACTCTTGGGAAGCAGCGAATTGGGAAGTTACAGAGGGATTTTTACATAAATGGAAATGGTTGCTCCGTGGATCCCCGGAGCTACTAGCTTCAACAAATCGTTGGAGGAGAATAAGAGGGGAAAAGCCCCTCGTCTGGAAAAACATCTTGTCAGAAGCATAAAAGTGACGAATTCCAAAAATTAGATTCAAGAGTCTCTTTTTAGTTGCGTAACGATTGTGTATTCAAATAGGGTTTACTGCCGTCTGGCCAGTCGAATGCACGTATGCGAGGTGAATCCCAAGACTCTATTGCAAGGCCCACCAGGATAGGCAGCATACAGTTGAAGCTTGAACCAGGGGTCTCAGTTGCTTACAAACAAAAGCCCTCGAGATGCGTTAGGCAATTTTCCTCAGGGCGGCGCAGCAAGGCCAAGAAATCGCCAAGCACTTGATTACATCAAGACCATGGAACTATTCCGTCAGCCTTAATTGATCGCCGTGCCTTAACTCCGACAGAGATAATTGTAGATCAGCCCATATAATTATATTCAGTGTATACTTATTCGAGAGCCAGTTCTACTTTCCGCCCTACACAATTGCTTCGAACCCAAGTTCTCCACCCGAGAGGGCGACCTCAAGAACACCCGCCATTCCTGCATTCCCCTCAAGATCATGAGTTTCATTCTCTTTATTTCATTGCTCAGTGCTGGGGCAATCGCTATTCCGACCTCCAATCCGCCCGAGATTCTGCCCACCACTGGAAACTCACTCTCGCACTCGAACCCAATCGAACCTCTCGATGTTCCTTCAATGAACAAATACCTGCACTCCGATATGAAGATTATGCACGACCAGATGGACTCAGATCGCACATTTCGCGGGGCTGATGACTATGAGAAACTTGTTGCGTTTTGCGAGGCCGGCTTTACGTCTGGTTGTCGGGCGGCGATCGAAAAAGCGGAATGACTTCTGTAGGGGTCAATTATTTGATCTCATTATGCCTTCATGTCACAGAAAAAGATGATTATAAAGCCTTGCTTGATGGGGAAGTCAATTCTCAAGTATCTGGGTCTCTACCTACGTTCGATTGACGGTTCCTGTCTTTTCTTTCCATATTAGCGCTCCTTCCGCCGCTTTTGCTCCCTGAGCGGACCTGCAGTAATTCGGTTACTGAACCCTGAAGGTTATGGTTCGCTCACTAAGCGCAATCTGTAGAAGGTTATTGGCGAGCTACCGTAATAGAATGCAGTCTATCACTTCTGCGCGAAATTCCACTAGGAAAGGCGATATAAGAGAATATTCTCATCTGGAGTGCCCACGACTAGCACAGTCACCTTATTCGTATTGTAGACGATTGCGTGAGATGTGACGTAGATAGGAATAGGTTCTGTCAGTGGGTCTAGTCCCTTATTCCAAGGGAGACCCAAATCTTAGCGTAAGCAACTTGCATTAGCGTATTTTCTGAAGCGTCTCCACATTACGATCATGTACAGATAGCCGAGATCACCATAAAGTTGCCCCCTTCCTGAAGATATCTGACCTTTTTCTTGACTTAACTCTGTTCAATCTTACACTGTTTCCGGGAGACTACGCTTCTACCGCCAAGAACAACATGGACATGGAAACCCAAATTCTGAAAAACAAGACCACTATTGTCACGGGTGGTGAGTGTTCTCTGGAAGCCCCTCTGTGTACTCCAAAGGCCGAGCTGAGCCAGAACAAACCAAATAGGCGCGAACGGCCTAGGAGAGGCATACGTTCGTGCTCTTGTCGCAGCAGGGTAAGACAGCAAACAAGATATCCCGTTGTGGCTTATAGTAGCTTACACTCATACAGAGCGTTGGTGGTAATCGCGGACCGTGATGTTCCCAAGGGACAGGAACTTGAAAAAGAGCTTACAGGGTATGTGTTCCCAAGACGAAGTCAGCACCGTAGCCTTCACTAACCACTTCAAAGCGCTAAATTCATCGAGTGTGATACTACCAACTGGGATGACCAAGTCCGACTGTTTGAAGCGGCAGCCTCTTTTTCTCCCAATGGCAAAGTAACCTTTGTCATTGCGAATGCGGGCATTCACCGCAAGGATGAAGTCTTTGCATATGCCGGCGATGGCAAAGCACCCGAAAAGCCGGACCTTGCCACTATCGATGTCAATCTCATCGGGACACTCTATACCTCGAAGCTTGCATCGCATTACTTCATCAAGCAGAATGGACAACAGCCGTCCGATTCACAGGAAGACACCTGCCTGGTTTTGATCGGGTCAGGAGCAGCATTCCTGGATTGCCCCCGCGCTCCTCAATACTGTGCCACAAAATGGGCTATGCGAGGTATAATGCATTCACTGCGAAGGACCGCCTTTTTTTATGGGAGTCGCGTGAACATTATCTCACCATGGTAAGTGATTTCCGCTCTTGTCAATCACGAATCTGATACTAACAAACTCAGGTATGTGAAGACAAACATCCTCTCGGATGAGGATTTTGCGCATGTCACTAGTGTAGGTGTTCAATTCGCCGAAACTTCCGATGCGAGCCAATGTCTTCTGCACATCCTTAATGATAGCGCCATTAACGGACGTTCCTACTTTGTTTCTGGCAAGAAGTGGTCTCCGACGGGATATATGGATCTTGGTCTTGAGGACTATCAAGGGAACTCTTTGCTTGAAAGTATACAGGAGGACCAAGTCAAGTCAGCCCCCGTTGAGATGGGCCTCTTTGTCTAGCTTCACAGCCTCTAGTATTCGAAACGGCGGATCTGTGAATTACCATATCTGGTTAATATTGCCTCTTTAAGTTTAGTGCCCAAATACCTGTGGGGAGTGATCGTTAACCGGGTGGCTTCAACTACATCTACCAATAGTTTCTTCTGTTCTTCGAAGGTTTTTGTCTTTAATGTCATCCTGATATAAAACCCAATGAGCGAGAAGACTAGACTATACTTGAACTTCAAGTTGAATAAATATATTATGCCGGAGCATGGACTACTAGTAGCTGTGAAAACATTCAAATGTTTTTGAACTTCCTTTGTTGCGAGATCCTGCTCGATGCTACTCACCATTGTAGCTCTTCATTTCCCTGCCTTCTCCTCGGAGGAATTCTTTGACATCACCATGAGGATCAGGGGCAAACCATCGCATGTAAACCAATGTCACTGCTAAGCTAGCCAACCCAACGAAGAACGCTGCTGGCCCAGCAAAAGCCGCTAAAGTTTCCATAGACCCCAGGAAAGCCACCAGATCTACGGAAAGAAGAATACATTCAACAATTCCGAGAGTGAGCTGAATTCCATGATACCACCGGAAAGCGGTTTGAGACATTGGGTCAACTTCCTCTGAGTTATTAAAGAGCTCGTCGTAGCTCCCGGCGACATTGAGAAAACAACCAATGATTCCTATAAATTCGCAGGTCAAAATTTGAGTTCTTCCAAGGAGATCAGGATCTGGAGGACCTACCGACAATACGAATCATCTTTTCCGCATGCTTGACGAACCAGTTGCCCGCGCTGAATCCCAGACTGGTTAGTTATTCCACACAGGGTTGTATCACAGGGTATACAAGTAGAGGCTTGCTCACATTATGGCCCAGTCTTTTACTTTCCTTACTGCCAACGAGATCCACCCGTTGAGTCTCTGGCGGATCTGGTTTTGTACGAACGGCCGATTTAGCAGCTTCGAGAACCCCCAGCTGAAGAATCGAATCGACTCTGCTGTTGTCATGCTGATAATCATATACAGCTGCAGTTTGGGCATCTTCTGCCCTGTGTACACGGCCGACAAAGAGTTGATCAAGGCCATGATACCTGCGGCTCTCAAAACTCCTTTCACCAGTCCCACCATGGCATTTTTCCACGAAATTCCCTGCATCACATTTTTCATCTTGTTCTTCAATCTCTGGAACAAGGGTAACTCTTCTGCCTCTTCCAGGGCATCTAGTAGTACTCCATCTCCTAGAGCGTGTGCGGCCTGACCCACGTTCGGCTCATTAACACGAATTGCAATATCTGGAATGCGGCGATTGATATAGTCGTTCATTTTGGTACTGAGATAGGAGTGAGGATCGGTTAGGTGATGGATCATCTGCTGAGCCTCTGTCACATTGATCATATGGATTTCTTTTGCCTCTTCGGAAATATGGTGAAAACGCTTCTTGGTCTCCTGAGTCTTTGACTCGAGTTCCATCTCGGAATAAATCTATCATCTTGCTGTCAGTTTTCTGTGGTTCCCAAGTGAACCTGTCATCAGCTCCTGGTTGACTTACTGTTGACAACTCTTTAGCCAACTGACTGTTTAACTTGCGGGTAAATGCTGCCGCTTCATTGGCCTCTGCCTCCAAACGAGTGGTGACCTTAGTGAGATCTAATTCCAGGGCCTCTTTATCTGAAGCCGCATGTTTGAGCAGTGACAGCTTATTGGTCCAGAAGTTGACTTCCTCAGTGACCGACATCGCGCCTGGGACATCAACTCGATCAGTGGAGTTTAAACGCCATTTGGCCAAGAAAGGCTCTGACAGGAGGTAACTAGAGAGATAGCGGAACCAGTATGCAGCGTGAGATGTGTAATCCTTCCAGGCTGGGCAGGCTTGGATGTAGCCAAGCTCGTAAGATCTCATCGACGCACTTGTGAAATGATTTCGCAGGCTTCTAATTTTCTCACCATCGTCCTTCCAATTCCAGCCGTACGCAGCCACTGGATCTCCTTTCGCATCGCTCTTGACATCTTCCTTGCCCCCCTGGTTCTCACTGGGATCCGAGGCCGACAACATATCGAGAAAGTTCGTGAACTGCGGCTTGATTCCATCCCGAATTTTGCTATCTATCTCAGGCATCTCCTTGATATGGTCCGCCAGGTTGTGTGTTCCCATGCGGTGGAAGAAGTCCCGATGATCATCCAAAACGCGGCGTTCCTCCGCAGACAATTCGGCCATGCTGGGCAAGAGGGTTTTACGGGTCTTCTCGTTCATGGCATAGAACATGAGTCGTTGCATGAGCTTCTGCCCGTAAACTTGCGCCAAATCCTGGCGAAACTTGACAGCCTCGGTCTGTATGGTCGAGTATGGAGAGAGACCGCGCAAGCCAGTGGGCGTCCCCTTTGAGTCCGCTGGAACTGGTTCGGCAAAGTCGTGCGACTTGGCCTTCTTGGGTTTGACGCACACAGCACTGCCTTCAACATCCTCAGTCAGATTACCGGCACTGATTGTACCAGTAAAAGAACTACTGTCCGTACCTGGCAGCTTGACACGAATGTCAAAGCCCCAGTTAGCGGTTTTAGCATTGGGTTTCTTGAGGTAATGGATCGTCTCATCGCTAGGGTCCGTATCGTGCACCACGATCACATCGCTTGAGATGTCAGATTCTATAGCATCAGAGCCGGAGGGTTTGTACCACACCTAGTTTCGTTAGTATTAGGATATGGATGACCATCTGTGCGGTCGCACTGACCGCATTCTCCATCTGTCCAAAGTGCTTCACTCGGCCGATCTGAAGGCTGCCACAACTTGTCCATTTGTCATCGGTCTTCCCCGCTGCTCGACTGTTGACCATGTAGTAGACAACCTCGATTGTCTTCTCCTCAACCGTTTCATGGTTGCTTTCAAGCTCGGTGGGTACTCTAATACGTGAGAATAAGTGATGAATTCAAGATCATAGTAGGTCCGGTTGAATGCGTACTTAACAGTTGTTTCTCCCTGACGGGGCTCTTTGGAGTATTCAGGTGAGGCTTCAGGCTCATAATCCCCAATGTCTGACTGCATCCAGGCCTCTAGATGTTTTAAGTTGGCGCTGGCGGTGGTGCCAGTGGCTGCTGTGGTGGTCGCCATGACAGGATTCTTTATCAATATTTTACTCAGGCGACTTATACAAATAGTGTGGAACTGAGAAAAGAAAGATTGGCAATGGCTTGGATTATTTATCTGCTTCAGGAAGTCAAATCGATCGGCTGCACTAACCTTGAGTGGCGAGGCCGACAAACTGTCCCAGTATGTCGGTAATAAAAGACGAGCTGAAGAAGAGGTTTAGTAATCATATTTCCTATCACTGATTATTTCAGGTTATTGTGGTCTTTCTCGCTCAAAATTCCACTTCTTCCAGTGGCGCTAGCTGGGCCCAGACCGCGCAGCTGAACACCAACCCGCTTAGCATAGTCCTGGAAACTATAAGCGATCAGAAGATATTGTCAGCTTCCTCGCAAGAATAATAACATAAGTATAATTTTTGGATCTACTCACTTCTTTGTTACTGCTTTTCTATTCGATCCCATATACTCATTGCTCTGGAAATAACGATGGTCACAGTATCCCTTGCCGTTTTCCAAACGGATGTTGAGGTTAGTGAGAACAAATGGATGGCAGGTGGTGCTCTGCATGTTGGCATTTCGACGGCAAATGGCACTTTGAGTAAGGTGGTAAGCATTTCCCAAGGTTGCATATATTCACAATCGCGGTTTTTCATTGTGTACAGATTGTTTATCGCGATCGATCTGGCGGTGTGTTCGAAATTAGTGAATCTGTCCAGATTGAAGTTCAGGAAAAAGAAGGCCACAATACGTATCTGCTGCGTCGGAGCAGTTCTGCGAAGAACGAGGGGCCATCTATTGAGTTTGAAATCACCATCAACGGTCTGTCTGATGGTATCAATGAGGGAGCCGCGTCTTTCACTGGATATATTACAGATCACTCCGTGCAACCCGAAAGCCAGGCTGTAAGAAGGCAGTGGAAAGGTTTATTTATTTGCTTCCGTCCTACAGACATGGAGATTATCCGAGATGGTCCCCGTGCCATCAAGCCTGAGATAGCGGAGCTGGTCCACCTGACCCCCTTCAATCAGTCCCATGAAGATGAGGTGTCGGCGGCAGCATCGAGACTCTTCCAACAAGTATGTTCCAATCTCGAATATGGTGACACCATATTATCCTTCCACGTCGCCGGTTCATACTCACTATTCCTAGTTGGTCATCGACTGTCAGTCCGAAAGAGGGAAGAACTATTTCTTCCAAGGCCGTGAGACACCAGGATCTCATCTAGGATCAATGTCTTTAGCCGACCGGTTCGAGTACATGAAGATGGCGTCCGTTAAGCGAGACAACCAGGAGATGTTCTATCAGGCAGGTATGCATCTGCTTTGCCGATCACTACGCAACGCCAAGTGGCTCGACCAAGAATTTTCGAGCCAGTGCCAGGACCGCGTTGAATCCTTTTTTCAGGGGTTGACGACAGCAGACACTGATCAGGGTCGCCGGTATCGAGATTGCTTGCGCCGGTGCTACTCCATCGCGTATGTATGTCTCCGTCCCGAGTCAACCTGGCGCCCGGCATTGGAAAACCCTAGGGCTACATTCGACTATATTGAGAAAGAACTACGCTCTGTGTCCTTCCGTGAACACTGGTTGTCGCGCTTTATAAATCTGGAGGACCAGCCTGGGACAGAGTCATTGCGAACTTGGCTCTCCGTGCTGGGAGACAAATTACTTCTGCTGAAGACAATTGAGACTGGCCAGTTCCCAGTAGTCAACTATCCACCAGAGATCGATAGCATCGTGGACTATCTACAGAAGCAGGCAGGGGAACTGGGTCTCCTGCGGGGCAGCTTGGTCGATCCGGACACGCCAGGAATCGATTTAAAGCCTACACAGGTCTTCAATGGAGAAAGTCTTAGAGATCTCCAAAGTACGTATCCCCTTGCGCCTTGCCCTTAAAAGACTGTAAGACTAATCTACAGCCTGCTAGACTTTCAAGCTTTGGTCGAAATACAGGCTCGGCTGCAAGGACAGACGCCAGTCTACGTCGATGTTGAGAGTATGACTGTTCATCACTTTTTAAAAGAAGAGGCCAAGCCCCTTGGCCTCTATACGTGGAAAATGAAGTTCTTGTTTTGGGAATGGGACTAGCGTTTGCAAAATGGTCTTCTGGCTTCACTGATCAGAGCCAGTTGATGATGACTAACGGCGCTAGCTAGGTGCAAAATAGTGAGGTGCTGGGCGGTGGTGAAGCGCCAACTCCGCTCCAAAAATTACGGGTGGAAAGGCGGCCGTTTCTGGCGTCGAAAGCGGTCATTTTCGGCGTCGATTTCACAGGTCCACATATCCTATTTGTAATCCATAGAACGTCACGGCCCCACACCTTGTATGTGATTCGGGATTGACCTGTAGATAGACAATTAGTCAGAGACTCAGCACTAAATTCAGTCAGTTCAGGATTGGTAATAGAAGGAGAAAGGAGGGGTAAAGCAACTGATACGAGGATAGTACCATCAGAGTAAAGAAGTCGCTATTTTAGTTTGAATCCTGCAAAGAGAGATGACCATATAAAAGCCCTCAATCTTCACCTCTGAGAAACCCGTAAAGCACATTTCAAGTCACTTATTAAACCTTGCTTCGATTGATAATCCTCTATCTGGAAAGTGAAATGTCCCCTCCCCTCCGCACTGCCATAATTGGCCTCTCCTCAGGAGCAACAACCAACTGGGCCGCAGCCGCCCACCTCCCTTCCCTCCTCTCCCCAAGCGGTAAGGCTGTCTTCACCATCAACGCTTTATGTAACAGCAGCGCCACCGCAGCATCCAATGCCATCGAAACTTACAATCTTGATTTCTCAACCGTAAAACCATACGGCGATCCTGCCTCCCTCGCAGCGGACCCTGCCATTGACCTCGTCCTTTGCAACACCCGGGTCGATAAGCACCACGAAACAGTCCTACCTAGCCTCCTGGCTGGAAAAGATGTATACATCGAGTGGCCAATCGCATCGAACAAAAGTGAGATAGATGAGTTGATTGCTGCCGCCACACAAGGTGGGGCCCGCGTGGCAGTAGGATTACAAGGACGATTTGCGCCGCCGGTAGTACGAGTCAAAGAGATACTCGCATCGGGAAGAATTGGCAAGCTTCTTAGTAGTGAAGTAAGAATTTTTGGAGGCACAAGAGATCGAGAAATCTTGCCGGTGGGATTAAAGTATTTTGCCGAGAGGAATATCGGCGGGAATCCCATTACGATTGGATTCGGACATGGTGAGAACAGTTTTCCTGCAATGCTCCGTGAGGTTGGTTCTAATCATACTCAGTCATCGACTATGTCCAATCCGTCGTGGGTGATATCATCCCCGGAACGGACCATGTGCACCTCCAGATCCAGCGTCCAGACATCCGCGTTCGAGATCCCCAAACGAACGCAATTATTGACTCGATTCGCTCCGACGTCCCTGACTTACTGAGTCTGCATGGTAAGTCGGAACGAGAGGATGATAACTTGTACCACAGCGCTAATTACAAAACAGGATCCCTACCTGAATCCTCTCATGTACGTGCTAACGCTAGTCTGATCGCGTATTTCCATCGTGGTCAGCCTTACCCTGGTGATCCGTCATTGTCGTGGACCTTGACCGGAGAAACGGGCACGATTCGATTGACCGCGCCTGCTGGTATCTCGCTGCAAGCCGACGCATACGCCGAGCCGGTGACTATCGCAGTGCACCAGTTTGACACGGACAAGTTGGATCAGGTCTCGTGGGATTGGTCAGAAAGGCAGGTGCAAGTGCCTGTTCCAGCGCGATCAGTACTGCATTCCTTAATTAGTTTTGGCAATAAGGATGAGTCGGGGTATGTATCTCTGGAGGACGCAGCGAGGAGAGCCGAGCAGATTGAGGGTTGGTTAAAGGACTGGTGAGATATTACGTAAATTGATGGAGCGATAACTACTGCTATTAACATTTACTGAAACCAAGAATGAGAGACTTGTGTAAATTAAGGTAGCGTGGAACCCAACTGTGCTATGATGTCATTTCGTCGTCTGTAGAGGAGATCTAGTACCTGGACCCACTTTTCCTAATTGGAAATCTCTTCATAATAGTGACCAGTTGGCAGTAAGGTACCAGACCACACTACGTAATCTGATGCACATTCGATGACGGAAAAGTTTAAACCAGGTTCCTGCCGCATCACCCGATCCTTAAAAACCTGCTTGCGCCCCCAAATTCTGTGCATAATAGGCGGACCTCGCATAAGTCGCACAGACCAAAGAAAAAAAATTCTGACGAGGAAATTTTGCACGCGACCAAAGTTCACGATGGTGGAGCCTATAAAAGTGGCCAAACGCCCAGATTCCCACAATTCCGACGATCAATTCATTCCCACTGACTTCAAGATGTGGCTCATAACTTATCTAGCCTATCTAAGGCTTAAAATTATGGCCCTAATCCTGAGAATCCTAGTCAGACTAGTTGAGGGAACCTTCACTTTTAACCCAGATGCAATCCATAACCTCCCATCTCGGGATCCACGACGCAATATCAAAGTCCATATCTACAAACCCTTACAAAAAAAGGACCCAGGTCCAGGCCCTGTCTTGATCAACTTCCACGGAAGCGGTTTTGTCATCCCAGCGCACGGTAGCGACGATGCATTCTGTCGAGAAATCAGCCAACGCACAGATTACACAGTCCTAGATGTTCAATACAGACTCTCACCCGAGAATCCCTTTCCAGCTGCAGTGCACGATGTCGAAGATGTCATCAAATGGGTCCTGCAGCAACCCGCAACCTATGATCTCACACGCGTAGCAGTGTCAGGCTTTAGTGCCGGAGGCAATCTCGCACTGGTCGCCGCATCAACTTTATTCCCGAAAGATACTTTCCATTCTGTTATCACTTTCTACCCCAGTACAGAGGGGCACAATGATCCGGCTACGTTGGTTGCGCCGGAGGCGGGTGGACGTACGATTCCTGTATCCACTATGAGGCTTTTTGCGAGGTGTTATGTTCAGGCTGAGGTTGATAGACGGGATCCTAGGCTTCTGCCTGCGTTTGCTGATCCGGCGCGGTTTCCGAAAAATGTTCTTGTTATAACGGCTGGTTATGATCTTCTTGCTGATGAGGGTGAAAGGTTGGCGACGCAGTTGAAGAAGGATCCGGAGAGGAATGTTGTTTATCAGAGGATGCCGAGGTGCAATCATAATTTCGATAAGAAGGCTGTTCCGGGTACGCGTGAGTGGGAGTTGAAGACTGTGGCTTATGATTTGGCTGTTGAGATGCTTCAGCTGTAGTTGGTGTCTTTTGTTGATTTTTTTTTGTTTGCATAGCCTGAGTGCGACGGATTCATGAATTTCAGAAGCAACCTAAGAGGTTGCAAAGAAGCTTCGCTTGTACAAAGTCATAGAATTTCAATTTTGTTTAATACTCTAAAATCATGCGCAGTACCAGTCATTCACTAAATCCGGAGTAAACTAGGCTTGTTAGAGCAAAGATCGCAAATTCTGATCGGGAAATTATTATAGAAATGGTATCATTGAAGTATAATTCTAATGAAAAGCGATTCCCTAAAAATAGTTTGTTCATTTAGGTTTGATACCCTTACGGTATCCAAGAGGACCAGCCTCATCATTCCCCGGGTAGTTCTGCTCTGTGATATATTAATTCGGTAGATGAAATTGTTATAGAATTCCTGGACTGTTGCTTCTCGGGGAGACACTGAAAGTGAGTTGCAAAGATTGCAGAGACTGCGGTGTATTCTCAACATTGAGAACATGATCCCAATGTGATCGAAAGTTTTCGTCACCCTGTGGTGTTTCCAACCACAGGACGCTCTTAATTTGGACGAGGGCATCTTCGAAATCATTCAACTGCAAAGATGCTGAGACAACCTGTGCTTTCTCAATAAACCATTCGTAGTTGGGTGTGCCCGTGGAAGTCAACAGTCCAATTGAAATAAACCAAACATCAAGTGGATCATACACGCGAGGTGCTGATTCGAGTTGTTTGAAACATTCCACAAACCGGGTGACCATTGAATTCATAATGACTGCATGTGAGTAGTACGTTGGCCCCTGGATGATGAGCATATATATTATAATTGCGTAGCGAAGAGACTCAGTGATTGGTGACGGCTGGGGGTTTTCCGTGTTCGGGGTAGAAAGAAGAAGTCGATGTACGACAAAGCAGGTGAGGTCGTGAAGTTGTGTTGGTGAGAAAGGCATTCGCTGTGATCGTTCTAGCACGCTGCGGAGACGTATGAAAACATTCCAAACATCATAGTCGACGTCGATATTATTGAATCCGGACAATTCATTAAGGGCGGTTGGGTCCAGCTGCCATTCCGGGATGCAAGGTATACCATCTCCAAGACCGACGTCGTCTTGAGTGTCGAACTGAGGATGGCCCATGATGAGCATTGACACCCTTTAATAAATCAGCCTCTAACTTCCTCATATTTCCATGGGTTACTCACCAGCTGACCATTCGCGCAGTAAGCGGACTGGTCTGTCTCACTGAATTGATGCCACCTCTCATGTTGACCAATTTCTTCACTCCATCAACGTGCATTTGGCTGACTTCGATATTCCCTTTGCCAAACTTCATGAATTGCATTGTCAGTGATTGGCCTGGATGCAAGAGTAGTAAATGTTGAGTGTCTTACCTCGATGGCTGCCAAGGTGATAACGGAGTTCATAGTACCGTCTTGTACAGCCAGTGACATATTCTCAACTTTGCGCCTTAATAAAGCGACAGAATCCGCCATAAGAAGTTCTGAGGATTGGAACCCTTTTTGCGCCAACAACTCTTCATCAAGGCATGCCGTTTGTAAGGAAACATGGAATAAAGCCGGATCGCCGAGAGCAAGCGGCCACCAAGAGATAAGGAATGGATTTGATGTGGTGCTCATATCAAGAGGGTAATATTGAAAAGCGATTTTATGAAGGACTAAACATGTAAGCAAGGCTTCGCTCAATTCCTCGACGCAGCGCATACGTACAGCCATATATGAGACGTTGGACTTGTTCCCGCGGAAATCGTGTCTGAGGATAAGAATCGAATGGATCGAGCGATCCAAATGTGCAGTCGGTCAATGAAACGGACACGTCCCGTTTTGTTAGAGCGCTCTCTTCTCTGCCGGGGGCAGCCGGCGCCGCCCAGGGTTCATTGGCATAGACGCATTGTATTTGACGCTTGTTGCAACGAGAGCAGCGGGGCGTACGAAGATCACAGCTAATTTTAGACTTAAAACAGGCAGCGCAGGACCGACGTAGCGTTTGGCGCATTTTGGGGAGGGAACAAGGCCCGGCGCGTTTGTGAAAGTTGAATAATTAATTCCAGGAGGAAGAGGGTTGGTGGAGACAGTCTAGTCTTTGTTACCCATGCCCCACACCGCCTTGGGGGCTTATAGACTACAAATAGCCCTATCTAACTACAGTATTGCCATTATTGTCGGGTGATGTCGCATATATGCATGCAGAATGAACTTAGGGGAAATATGAGGTTGATCCTGATCTCTGGAAGAATCCCTTACTTCTTCACCACGTCGCATAAAGAGGAAAGGTTGCACTATGTAGGAAAGTGAATTCCACCATTCCGGGTGGCGATATGGCCTATTAATATGGGCTCATCCGGCGTTAAGGGGCTACTAATTTTCTCAAGCCCGGCAATTCCGATCGATCATACAATGCTCTTAGATGAGTAGATCCCCCGCTTACAATTGAATGTGGATTTCCTCATCAGGACTAGACCCCGGATGCCATTTTCAGCGCTAACCCGAACAGGACTAGACCCCGTGGTCAATCTATGCCGATGCCGTTGAACTATGCTTACGGCATCAAGGATCTTGATAGTATCAAAATGGCTCAATTGGATAGCCTGGAGATCGTACGGTATAATTTGATTGTTAATTGGGCAATCATGATTCAGTTCCCGCAAAAATTCATAACTTGTAAATTCACGGACCCGCCAGGGGTCGACTTGCCCCGAAGTCCGTCCATCTAATTCGTGCTAGTATGCAGAGTGCCGACGACTCCTGTCTACCTTAAATCTAATATTTGTCTTTCTAACGTGACCCACATAAAAGGCTCTCCTTATAAGAAGGCGCTGGAGTATCCCTTCTAAACGTGTTAGACGTTGCAAGGCTACTAGCCATCAAATTACCGCCATGTCTGTTGAGTTCATCAGCAACTCCAGCGCTCAACATGAGCTCCCACCAACATGGCTTGCTGGGCCCTCCACTACTGGAAGCCTTTTACCTAATGCTCTTGTCGGTTGGTCCACTTGGCAATATATTGTGACTTTTCTGCTGGGAGTAGTAATCTATGACCAAGGTATGCAATTCCGGATACCGGCCAATATTCCTGTGGCTAATAATACCAAAGTCATGTATATCAAGCGCAAAGGCTCAATTGCTGGGCCCTCATTCAAAATTCCTCTTATTGGCCCATTTCTTCAGGCTCTCGACCCAAAGTTTGAAGAGTACCTTGCACAATGGGCGAGTGGGCCCCTCAGCTGCGTTTCGGTATTTCACAAGTATGTATCTTCGCACCAACCGTCTTCGACCTGATTACGTCTCACCAGAGCTCTTACTCACATATCCGCAGATTTGTTGTCCTTGCCTCCGACCGAGACATCGCACACAAGGTGTTCAAGTCCCCTTCATACGCCGAGCCCTGTATCGTGCCTCTTGCTAAAGACATCCTGGGACGCACAAATTGGGTCTTTCTTCAAGGTAAGGCCCACACCGAGTATCGCAGGGGTTTGACACCTCTGTTCACCAACAGGGCCCTGGCAACCTACTTTCCTATTCAAGAGAGAGTATTCACCCACTACTTTGACAAGTTCATCACCGCTAGCAAGGAAAATGACAACAAGCCAATGGCTTTCATGACAATGTTTCGTGAGATCAACTGCGCGATCTCATGTCGTACTTTCTTCGGAGATTATATATCCCAAGACGCGGTCAAAAAGATTGCCGATGACTTTTACCACGCCACCGCTGCCCTTGAGTTGGTAAACGTCCCTCTGTCGATTTACATTCCCTTCACAAAGCCATGGAAAGGAAAACGAATTTCCGATGCAGTTCGTGTCGAGTTCGCCAAGTGCGCGGCAAAATGCAAGGAAAACATGGCAGCCGGAGCGACTCCAACCTGTATCGTGGATCATTGGGTATTGCATATGATGGAGTCGAAGAAATATTATGAGAAGATTGCCGCTGGTGAAAAAGACGCTGCGAAGCCCACAAATTTGGTCCGTGAGTTCACAAACGAAGAGATCAGTGAGACCTTGTTCAGCTTCCTCTTCGCCTCACAAGATGCCTCGAGCAGTGCCACAACTTGGCTTTTCCAGATCCTCGCTCAGCGACCCGATGTACTCAATCGACTTCGCGAGGAGAACCTTGCTGCACGCAATGGTGACAAAACAAAGCCATGTGATCTCGCTATGTTAGAATCTCTTACCTATACCAGCGCTGTCATCAAGGAACTCCTCCGTCACCGACCACCGGTTATCTTCGTTCCTTATCTGGCCAAGAAGAACTTCCCCATTACGCCAGACTATACCGTTCCGAAGGGATCCATGGTCATTCCATCTTGCTACCCGGCTCTGCATGATCCGGAGGCATATCCAGAGCCGGAAGTTTTTGATCCTGAGCGCTGGATCACAGGGGATGCCGAGTCCAAAACGAAAAATTGGCTTGTCTTCGGAGCGGGGGCACACGATTGCCTTGCGAGGAGATATGTACCCCTATCCATGGCGGCGATGATTGGTAAAGCATCGATGGAACTTGACTGGACGCACCATGCTACGGATAAATCCGAAGAAATCAGAGTGTTTGCGACCCTGTTCCCAATGGTATGTTCTGTTCGCACATTCTATCAATGTTTGGTCTCGTGGCCCTCGAAAGGTTGTGCTAATTCATGGTCTAGGATGGAGCTCAGTTAGTTTTCACGAAGCGCCCGTAAAAGAGTATTGATAGCGTGCAATGGTCTCGATTTTCGGTGTTTGATTATTCGGCGTTCGATTTGGGGGGAAGGGAAGCATGCACACGAACGGGATGCGTAATAATGCCCCCTTTTTCTGGGTCCGGGGCTTGGAATGTAGGGTCGCGCCCAACTTTATTATTCACTTCAGCGCGTTTAAATTTTCGCGATCTTCATAATCAATGAGACTAGATACTGCTTTCTTATTTGATGCCACGATACTGTTCATCGATGATGCCAGGAGGCCAAAGTACATAGGAGACTTGGTGCATTCTCGAAACTCGAAGGTGATCCTGGCCGTGCTTTATTCAAATCTGACACGAGCTATGCTTCCGCCACAAACCTTGAAATAGGATATATAGCGCCGACCGACCCCGCCAGATCTCACTTCTTCAAACGCCTTGACTCGGGGTCTGAAAACATTGATGCCTCACTTATAGTTTATAACCTCACCTCACTAAGAGTATTTAATCAAGCTGTTGGCGCTTAAAGAAGCTTCTGCAGATATTTGCAAATCATTTCCGATCGGATCACTAGCCCCATGGGATTTTATCCGAAAGCTCGGCAGCCGCGACTCGGGATCAACCACCCGTCGGTTCGGCCTATTCGACTGGCCGTACTAAAAGGTGCAAGCATCAACCTCCTGATCTTGCAGCTTCTGTTCCTGGGGCTCTTTTGCTATATTTTCGGATCGCTATTTCAACAGACGACACATGTTGATAACATCAACATCCTTTTCGTCGATTATGATGGTGCCGCAATTGGCACAGCTGTTCGTGATGCCTATCAGAAACTCAAAGGCCCGGGGTTTCCAACACTGATTGAGCAATCCACTCTTGCATTCCCCCAGCCTGATCTCACCATCGAGGCTATCTGCAATATCAAATACTGGGCAGCACTTTACACCACAGCCAATGCAACGGACCACTTACTCGCCGCGCTAGGGGAGGCTCAGCCGCCTCCTCATACAACTCAAGCAATGTCCTTACAATGGTGTGGAATGAAGCGCGCTACCCGACTGTAGTTGATTCTTCTGTCTCTCAAAGCCTGAAAACATTATCACAAGCTGCACGGGTGGTTTACTTCGAAGAAGGCGGGAAACAATTGCTCCAGACCGTAAACAGCTCGGATCCCGCAGCAATCGCTGTTTATGTCAATCCGTGGACTTTAGCCTCGATAGATATCCAGACAACCGAGCAAGGATCGCGGCTGATCTACAACACTCTTGTCATAATTCTGATACTGATCCAAGAATTCTTCTACCTGGGATTCATCAACGGTCTCTACCAGCAATTCAAACTTTACACCGCGGTCTCACCCCACCGGATTGTGATAGTGCGTCAAATTATCTCTGGTCTCTACACGTTCGCCGGGTCTCTATCTACAGCAGGCGCTATCTGGGCTTTCCGACATGGCTGGCATGTAAACGGCAACCAATTCGTGCTTACCTGGATGGCACTCTGGCTCTTCGCTCACTTGAATTTTCTCGTGCTCGACGTCTTTACTATCTGGCTCCCGCCTCCACTCGTCCCTATGGCACTCATATCCTGGGTTGTACTGAACGTCACATCCATCCTCCTCCCATTTGAACTTTCGCCGGGATTCTACAAAGTCGGATACGCGCTCCCAGCGCATAGCGTATTCCAGGTTCTAATCGATATCTGGTCTGGTGGCTGCAACCCCCAACTCAATTATGCGCTTCCTGTGATGTTCGCTTATGAGATCGTTAGCATCGCTCTCAGCTCGATAGGCGTTTATCGACGGGCTCATTATAGCACTATCAAACAGGAGGCGGAGGAGATCTCATTACAGCAGCGTATTGAGGCGGCTGTTGCTGAGAAACAGGCGCAAGAAACTAGACCGGATGCCCTGGAGGGCGAAACGCCTCTCAATGAGCCGGAGGAAGGTGCTGCTATGCAACGACGTGGAACTGCGAGTACCATGGAAGAGAAGGAGGAATTGGTTGATATCATCCGACGAGAATTGTCGCGTCCTGCTGAGAGGGCGGAAACTAGTCGCGAGAATACTGGTCCCTCCTTTTACCTGCCATTCAAGCAGTGATGTTTTGAACCATGTGGGATCTACTGTTTGTCGAAATTTGGTTGTAAAAAGCATATCTCGGTATTAATCGAATATATCCATAATTTTTCAGAGCAATTTACCCGCGGAGTATGGACAAGTATGGATAGGTCTAGCTCATATAGGGCTCACGGAAGAAATACTCCGCGAAAGATCCACTTACGGGGACTTGCCAAATTTGGCATATTCAAAGCCCGAACAACTATAATTCGAGCACGGGCTTAAAATATATGCTTCATTGGTGTGGGGGGATATGGGGGTTATAGTAGTGAGATTGCCAATAAGGACATCGGCCTCCGTTTGTCTTTAGACCCCTGCAGTCATGTCCATGAACACCCCACCATAATATGCATAATAAGCATCTATGTCGCTTAAACAGCCGGCATAGCACCGCTGAGTCAAGCTGATGGGACGGTGGCATATCGAGTTCAGCGGTCACCGCTTAGAGAATAGCAAAATCTACTTAGCCCTGGAGTAGCATGTATGTCGATAAGAATCTACCGGAATACTATCGCCCGCAAAGCGGAGTACTATTGACTGACTCAGCAATAGTCCTCCCATCTGGCACACCGAGTCGTACGTGGAGGTGGAACCTCCACTGTTTTCAGTTTTTCTGGTAAAGATTGCGTACCGAATCGGGTTGACCTGATTGGGGAAAGCCGACCTGCAGGATTGTACCTCATGACCTTTGATGTTGGGTTGATAATCTATTGCATCCAGGCCGAGATCCATAACTCCTAAGCTCCTGGTCTATACCCGTCGAGAAGGGGAAATGAATATGGCCCGGCTAATTTCTGCTGAGACCGGAGCAGGGTCCTCCGAGCGGTTCCCGGTGTAGAGGTGGACATCACAGGGCCAACGGTTGGGAGTAGTCCGGTGGGAATTTTCTTTTGCTTATGATTTGCCTGCGTTTCATGTATTGTTTTGCTATGTAATATCTTAATACCATTCGAGCCGACCTTGGCTGCATGATCGCGTTGGCCATTGGCTGACTCAGCCGTAGAAGGTGTCCAAAGCTCCCTTTATACTGGAAAGAATCCCGGAAGATAGTGGAAAGTAAGGCTAGTTGATGCATGGCGTAGCTCTAGACTAGAATGGGAGGTTTTATACCGTATCGATAGTTTCTCCATTGGCCGCAGGGAGATTGTCCCGGGGGTTATTGTAGCTCGCACCGCCGTGAGATCCCAAGCCCGGACTGCAGCGGCGGTTGCCCCACCACAGACATCATACCCCACCAACAAATACGTCCCCTCCTCTCCCCTTCTTCCCTTTCCCTTCCTCATCCTTTCTTAAGCCATTTTGAAAGAGTATGTTGCTGTGATCCTCCCTACACTTTCCAATTACTGACAATTCTACCAGAATCTGCCATCATGGGTTATTCTGATCTGGACGTGTTGGCTGTCAACACCATCCGCCTTCTCGCGGTACGTTACTACCTGGCGCTAGCATAATCAAGGGTCTCAATGGGAAAGCGAAGCTCCGATTGAGCTTCGCCCATAGACAATTGACTGCATCGCGATAATTTCCCTATATTAGCCATACTGATTGCGCTTCTAGGTTGATGCCGCTGCTAAGGCTAACTCGGGTCACCCCGGTGCCCCTATGGGCATGGCCCCCGTGGCTCACGTCCTGTGGAACAAGTTCATGAACTTCAACCCTAAGAACCCTGACTGGGCCAACCGTGATCGTTTCGTTCTGTCGTATGTGCTACCCGCCACCTCCGTCTTCCCCGGAAGCACATTTTCCTTGCCCGCGCGGCAGAATACCCCTCAATTAAGACCAGCCCCTCTAACCACGACGATCGAACAGTAACGGCCACGGCTGCTTGTTGCAGTACTCTTTGCTCCACCTCTTCGGTTACCAGCTCACTCTGGATGACCTGAAGGCTTTCCGTGTAAGTTTTCAAGAATTCCATACCCAGAAGAAGCTTGTGCTGATTTCCTTTAGCAACTCGACAGCATCACCCCCGGCCACCCCGAGGCCCACGACACTCCCGGTATTGAGGTGACCACCGGTCCCCTCGGTCAGGGTTTCGCCAACGCTGTTGGTCTGGCCATTGCCCAGGCTCACTCCGGTGGTGTCTTCAACAAGCCCGAATTCGAGCTCTTCAACAACTACACCTACTGCTTCTTCGGTGATGGTTGTGCTATGGAGGGAATTGCCAGTGAGGCCGCCTCCATGGCCGGTCACTTGAAGCTCGGCAACCTGATTGCCATCTACGACGACAACCACATTTCCATTGGTGAGTGACCAAATTTCACCTGAATGCAGCTCTATCCAGACTAACGCTTTCCAGACGGTGACACCAAGTGCGCCTTCACCGAGGACGTTATGCAGCGCTTCGAGGCCTACGGCTGGCACACCGAGTGGGTCAAGGACGGTGACAACGACCTCCAGGGAATTGAGGACGCTATCCGCAAGTGTCAGCAGGTCACTGACAAGCCCTCCGTCATCAAGCTGACCACCACCATTGGCTACGGCTCCAAGCTGGCTGGTACCGGCGGTGTCCACGGCAACCCTCTCAAGGCTGACGATGCCCAGCAGGTCAAGCGTTCCTTCGGCTTCGACCCCGAGCAGAGCTTCGTCGTTCCCCAGGAGGTCTACGACCTGTACCACAAGCACTCTGCTGAGGGTGCCGCTAAGGAGCAGGAGTGGAACCAGCTCTTCCAGAAGTACGAGCAGTCTTTCCCTACCGAGGCCGCTGACCTCAAGCGCCGTCTTTCTGGCAAGCTGCCCGAGGGCTGGGAGAAGAGCCTCCCCACCTACAAGTCCACTGACCCTGCTGTCGCCTCCCGCAAGCTGTCCGAGGCTGTCCTTGAGAAGATTCACAGTGTTGTCCCCGAGCTGCTCTCCGGATCTGCTGATCTGACTGGCTCTAACAACACCCGCTGGAAGAACGCCGTCGACTTCCAGCCCCCTCAGCTTGGCATTGGTGAGTGGTCTGGCCGCTACCTCCGCTACGGTGTCCGTGAGCACGCCATGGCTGCCGTCATGAACGGTCTGGCTGCCTACGGTACCGTCATCCCCGCCGGTGGTACCTTCCTGAACTTCGTCTCCTACGCTGCCGGTGCCCTCCGTCTGTCGGCCCTGTCCCGCGTCCGTGTCATCCACGTCGCTACCCACGACTCCATCGGTCTGGGTGAGGACGGTCCTACTCACCAGCCCATTGAGACTCTGGCTCACTTCCGTGCCATGCCCAACTGCATGGTCTGGCGTCCCGCTGACGGCAACGAGACCAGCGCTGCCTACTACTCGGCTCTGACTGCCAAGCACACTCCCTCCATCCTGGCCCTGACCCGCCAGAACCTGCCCCAGCTCGAGAACTCCACCATCGAGCGTGCCCTCAAGGGTGCCTACGTTGCTGTTGATACCCCCAACGCTGCCGTCACCATTATCTCCACCGGTTCCGAGGTCGGCATCTGTATCGATGCTGCCACCTACCTCCAGGAGAAGCACGGTGTCGCTGCCCGCGTTGTCTCCGTTCCTTGCTTCGAGGTCTTCGATGCTCAGGACAAGGAGTACCGCCTGTCTGTCCTGCCCGACGGTATCCCCGTTCTGTCCGTTGAGGCTTGCTCCACCATGGGTTGGGAGCGTTACGCTCACGAGCAGTTCGGTCTTAACCGCTTCGGTGCTTCTGGTCCCTACAAGGAGGTGTACGCCGTAAGTTTCTCTGATCCTCTCTTTTCCCGCTCTTTACTTACATTTTGCAGAAATTCGAGTTCACCCCCGAGGGCATCAGCAAGCGCGCTATTGCCACCATCGACTTCTACAAGGGCCACAACGTCCGCTCCCCCATCAACCGTGCCTTCCAGCAGATCCTGTAAGGAACGACGAAACGAGTCAAAATGTTATGATTGTTTTTTAGTTAAGAGGCGACAGCCCTTATACACAATATTTAAGAATGAAATAGAGCGATGTCTGCCAACCACAGCTTCAGAACCTTGTAGGCCTATAAGTATACCTAACTAGTAGCTCTCAAAGAAGTTTGTTTTGCATCTCAACTATACCCTTCGTCATAACCTCCTTCTTTCGACGCTCCTCCGCCGTAGTAGAAGGTCCATAGGCCTCCTCAGCCTGTCTCACAACAGCCTCCCTCCACAACCCAGCTCCAGCTTCATCCCCCTGCTCCCCATCAATATCAACATCCCCCAACCGCCCCCAAACATCCTTCAAAGTCGGCGCCAACTTCTCCAAAAACGCCCCAATTCCACCCTCCCCACCACCAGCATGGTAGCTTTCAAAAACTCCACTCCCCGCCCACCTAGGTCCCAAACTAGCCATAACAAGCGCATCCAAATCCTTCACTGAAACAACCCCCTCCCCAACAAGATAACAAGCTTCTCGCAACAACGCAAACGCAAGTCTATTCCCCACGAACCCGACTATCTCTTTATGAAGCACAATGGGTCTGTAGTACTGCTCCTGCAATTCAGACCCAGATGAACCCGGCCCCGGAACCTGCTCAAAATACCTCTTAGCATATTCGACCCTCTCACTTTTAGTCCCAGGCCCAGGAACAATCTCCACAAGCGGCATTATATGTGGCGGGTTGAACGGGTGCGCAACAAGTAGCCGTTCCACGACATCAGGTGTACAAAGCGCGCTTTGGGCTGAGGCTGCGATCCCAGATGAACTACTCCATAGATGTGCGTCTGGTTGCGTATACCGCGTAACTTCTTGCCAGAGAGCCTGTTTCGAGGCTGTTTGTTCTGGTGATTGTTCTTGGATGATTGTTGCGTTTTGGACAGCTTCTTGGATTGTTTTTGCGAGGGTCAGACGAGTTGAGAGAAGGTCGGATAGTATTTCTTCTTTGGTTTGGTTTTGGGTAGGAGGATCTAGGAAGGTCGGTAGAGTGCTTCGGAGTTGGGCTTCGAAGTCTGGGCGTGGATCGTAGATTGTTACAGTTGTGTCTGGGCGGCGGAGGTGGAGGGCTGTCATTGAGAGGCCGATTGTGCCGCCGCCTAAGATGGCGATGTGGTGTTTGTATGGCATGTTTGGGGTTTGGATTCTGTGCACTTTGGGTTGTGGTTGAAGGAGGTTATGATTGTGGGGAGAAGTGGTTCTGTTATTGCGGGGTGGTTTTCTACAGACCGAGGCACAGTACTACATTAACTGCGTAGGCCCTTGAGTCCCACTTTGCTAATCATACTATAGCGCTCTTAGGATCTGCTTGACAAATGATCATTACTTGCTATGGGGCTCTGGACTTCATAATTGCATCGTCACTTGAGCCATGTTTGGGGGTTCTCTGCCAGCATCGGCTTTCTATCCGATATCAGTATGGATCTTCCGATTGATCTGATAGCACGAATAAATGAGCTATAAGCGGGAGCTAGAGAGATGGCTGAACTGGTTTGACGCAAATATTACCTTAAAAAGGATTAGCGTAAACAGGATACATCGACGTTAACGGGCCCACATACATTATGACATGGGATGTACTTCTGTACAATATAGATTTCAGTGCATTCATCATTATATCTGGTCGACGTTCAGAATACAGTCTGTAGATAGTCGGTCAATTAGTTGTTCGTCTGATATACAGCCAAAGTTGTACTTAAGTGGCTCTCTCTTGACCTGCCCGCGCCCTAGACATTTTTACGAAAAATACATTTCAAGCATTGAACTTGACTACAATAGCTGAAGACATATTAATCCCGAAATTATTTCATTCATCATGAGGTATCATAACCTCTCCATACTTTTATCATCCTATATTGCTAATGCCAGCCCAAGAAATTCAAATCAGACGAAATGATTTACTGGTTAAGGGCCTTGCGAGCAAAGTTGGGCAGCACGAAAGCAGCACGGTGGATGTCCGCGTTGTAGTAGCGGCAGAGACGCTCCTCCTCCTCGCGGGACCAGGAGCGGAGGGGCTCCTTGACGTTGCGGTTGGCGTCCTTGCAGCAGACCATGAAACCGATCTGGCCGGAGGGGTAGGTGGGGATGGTGGTGTAGGCGTACTCGGCGACGGGGAAGACCTCACCGCAAGACTTCTTCAGGTCGGCGATCAGGGGAAGGTGCAACCATTGGTTCTCGGCTATGATCAGAAAAGCACAGTCCATCGAACCGAACCCATAAAGTGGGTTAGGTGCGGGATAGTGCAGGAAATGTTAGCCTATGTTCTCTTGGGCTTTTGTCCATTAAGATATCCATAAAGATATGGATCCAGTGTCCCAATTGGAAAGAAATGCCACGTAAATAAATATAACATAAGAAGAAAAAAATTGAAATCGAGACACGATGGGGTAAATATGGTGGGAGGTGAGGCAAGACAACAGAGACAAAGGAACGGGAACAACAACCTTGGGTAGTGATAACACCGCCTTCACGGAGGGCGTCGTTCAGGAGCTCGAAGTAAGGCTTCTGGAAGAGGCTCTCAGCGGGACCCTCGGGGTCGGAGCTGTCAGTGATGATAACATCGAACTCGTTCTTGCGGGCCTTGAGGAACTCGAAGCCGTCACCGACGTGAGTCTTAGCGTTGGGGTGCTGGAAGCCAATGCTCATGCCGGGGAGGTACTTCTTGGAGACACGGATGACAGCCTCATCGATGTCACACAGGATGGCCTCCTCAACAGACTCGTGCTTGACGACCTCACGGAGGACACCACCGTCACCACCACCGATGACGAGGACCTTCTTGGGGTTGGGGTGGGCGTTCATGGCCAGGTGGGTGATCATCTCCTGGTAGGAGAACTCATCACGCTCGGTGCACTGGATAACGTTGTCCAGGACAAGGACGCGGCCGTAGTCGGTGGACTCGAAGACGAGGACATCCTGGTACTTGGACTTCTCGTGGTGCAGGACCTCCTTAACCTTGAGGTTCATGGCCTGACCGGGCCACATGCCGGACTGCTCGGAGAACCATCCATCTGGAGATTGGTGGGGTTAGCTATGAGCGCGACAGCGGGCAATTGAGGGGCAAGGTGGGATGGTGGTACTAGAATGGCGGGGTAGACTAGCAGAAGGAATAACATACCCTGAATGGTGGGGTGAGTGATCTCGCTCATTATGAAGGTAGAAGAAAAGCGACGGCTTGAAAAATATAAAGGGTTGAGTGAGCGAAAAGGAAGACGGAGGGAGCGAAGCATGCGAATAAAAAGAAACCGGCGGAAGTTTGGTCGTTTTGGGCGAATTTTTTACTTTGCCGGTTACAGTGGGGACGAAAGTTACGGGCATGCAAGTTGGCACTTATTTAGGGAAATTTCACGCAAGCCAAGATTCTACATCATATCTTATCATGTAACAGAAATTGTCCAATTGACTTTATCGGAGTTGGGTGGTGTTCGGATGGACTTTGGAGGGGAAACAAGTCAAGAGAGGGGCGGTCAGGGTCTTGAGCTCTGCTGAGCCAATGATGACGGCCCAAATCACGATGACCCTAGTATACACCTCACAAAACACTACATCTACACCATATGCTCTTTGACAAGCTAAACAAACGTGGCAGATCACTTAAAAATAACATGCCAGACATAGGAAAACCTCAAACGGTGGATTGCTTTCTAGTTTACTGTACAATTGATACAGCCGCGCAGCACTTTCGCGTGTGCACTCCGGTATAACTCAAACTCAAAAGATTAAAAATTGGCATCATTTCCACTCAATGGAACTCCATTTACTCCTCATCACCACCACCCTCAAGCAGGCGGCCGGGCTTGGAGTTGAGGTAGTCGTTGCTATACAGATATTGTCAGCATGGGGCTCCATTGGCTGATGGTCTCCCAAGGGGTGTGGTTGATCTTACCGCTCAACGGCCCAGTTCATGGCAGCGTAGGCAATGACGAAGGGAGGAACAACGTAGAGGACCTGGTTGCGGAAACGACGGAAGCTGTTGAAGATAGCGGCGTTGAAGGCACCGGCGAAGGGGCGCTGGCGGTTAGGCGAGAGGGCGTAGGTGGCAATGCGCTGGGGGGTAGGGCAGCCTGTAAAGGTGTGCGTATTAGTGTACTGTTCCAATTGCGATTTTGTCTGTCGTTGTCCACAGTCGCTAGTCGGGTCGAGGGATGTCGAATCTAGCGATCGTGGTGTCTCCGGCTTGTGGCTTGCGCGTTCGGAAGGTCAAGGCATATCGTTCACGTACCGAATTTACCCCAGGTGCCGATGTAGCTGCGATCACATAGTCAGTAAACAATCCCAATCAACGTATCATCCCAATTGAAGCTGGATGGAGTCCATTGCATGCACTCCTCGGGTAATCGATCGAGCGGGTGCGACCGGACTCCCACCCCAGCTACAGGGGCACCAAAAGGAAGTACTCACTGGCCAGTCTTAGCGTCAGCGTGTCCACCCATTGTGAAGGAAGAAAGACGGTAGAAAGAGTGGAGGAAGAGAGGAGAAACTGGAGACGGATTACAGGGCGAGGAGGAAAAGACGTTCAAGTTCGGGAACGAAGTTGGCTCGAACCACGCTAAACCCGATTGGGCGGGAAAACCCCGACATCATCCATCAACTAAGAACGAACCTCACATCTACTTCTGGTCATTTCATCCTCTCACCCACAACCATGGCCAACGCCCTCTATAATCTCTACCGGCTGGCAGGCCCCGCCGCAGCTGGTGTGCTGCTGTTCAACGCGTCCATCTACGATGTCAAGGGTGGATCACGAGCTGTCATCTTCGACCGTATGTCCGGTGTGCAGGAGCAGGTCGTCAACGAAGGCACACACTTCCTCATCCCCTGGTTGCAGCGGGCAATCGTCTACGATGTGCGAACAAAGCCGCGCAACATCTCCACTACGACTGGAAGTAAGGATCTGCAAATGGTCAGCTTGACGCTCCGAGTGATGCACCGTCCGGATGTGCCGAAACTGCCGCAGATTTACCAGGTGAGAAGCTACCAGCAACGACTATAGACCCAAGTAACTCTATGCTAACAACCCACGTTTTAATTAGTCGTACGGTACCGATTACGACGAGCGCGTCCTCCCCTCCATCGGAAACGAAGTCCTGAAGGCTATCGTCGCCCAATTCGACGCCGCCGAGCTCATCACCCAGCGTGAAGCCGTCTCCAACCGCATCCGTACAGATCTCCTCAAGCGTGCTTCCCAGTTCAACATCGCCCTGGAGGACGTTTCCATCACCCACATGACCTTCGGAAAGGAGTTCACCAAAGCCGTCGAGCAGAAGCAGATCGCCCAGCAGGATGCCGAGCGGGCACGATTCATCGTCGAGCGCGCCGAGCAGGAGCGCCAGGCTAACGTTATCCGCGCTGAGGGAGAAGCCGAGTCTGCCGATATCATTTCCAAGGCTGTTGCCAAGGCCGGTAGTGGATTGATTGATATTCGCCGTATCGAGGCTTCCCGTGAGATTGCTCAGATCCTCGCCAATAACCCCAATGTCACATACCTGCCTGGTGGTGAGGGTAAGGATGGTGGTAAGGGCACTAGCCTCTTGCTTGGACTGCGGTCTTAAAAGGGGGTTTAAAGTCATGAGAGTCTGGATTTGATCTCATTTTGTATCATTTAATTGCACGCCGTGTTTGATGCGCCTGCTCGGCCGTGCTTGATCCTGTGCGCGCGAACTGGATTGGCGAAAGCGCGCCATTCGGTTCTTTTTTCTGACCTGTAGCAATACCAATACCTCTACTCTTATCAGAATCCTTGCTCCCAAATTGATCTTGCTTTCATGTGCTTGATTGATATCTATAAAATAACCGCGAACATTTTAATGGTATATATAATCCCCTAGACCCGGGATCCGTTTTATATCCGCCGATAAATATGCACCTGGAAACGCATATCCTCCAATCCAGCACCCTCGCCAACTTCATACCTCAACCGCGCCGCCTCACGTCTCCACCACCTCGAATCCTGAGAATACACCTGCTCCCATTGACCCTTCGCCACGGAAATGAGCGTGTGATCCAAAAGGAACTTCATAGGATAGTTCCTCTCCTGCTGTTCACCGTCCGGACCAGGCTTACCCATTTTCAGCGTCGAATAGCTACCAGGACTATCAACAACCAAAAGGATAGCACCAGGCTTAAGGATCTCCGTCAACCGAAGCATAAAAGCCGTAGTCTTAGGCATAGACGTAGTGAAAAGCTCATTCAGCGTGAACATCAAAGTAACAAGAAGCGAGGAATGAGACGTCTCCCCACCCAAAACGAAATCTTTCAACTCTTTTTCCGGAAGACCCAGCAAATCAGCCCGGTGGAAAGTGACATCCACATTATCACCCGCAGGCACAAGCGGAGCCTTATGCTTCGATGTCGAAGGAGCAGGTACATCAGGAGATGTAAGCGTCGCAGCTAACCGCTCCACAACGCTAGACCAATCCGCAATATCAGCAGCAGCAATGGCGAGATTCCGGTTCGAAGACGGAGCAGAAGACTTCTCTGCTTCCGCCTCTCCTTCCTTGTCTTCCAGAGATAATCCCTCCGCTTGTCCACTTAACGAGTCCACCCCGTTATCAAGATCCCGCCAGGCAGCAGCAAGCGCAACAATTTCCGCACCGGCACCACCTCCAAGACAGACAACGCGGGTGCCGTTCGAGTCGGATCCCTCGGCATCGCGTCGCATCCAACTCAACACGCCCTTGAATAAACCTGCATATCCCAAAGCTCTAGACGCACTCCAGCGCAAAGCATAAGCGCGCAAATGATCCTCGCCAGCCTCTGTGAATGCGGAATCGAAATCACGCTGATAAAGGTGGGACTTGATAGTTTGGATCAGAGATTTAATATCCAGGGACTCGAATTCGCGCTCAGATCCGTCAGCTCCGGGTGATGAATTGAGGAGAGCGGTTTTGAAGACGTCTAGTAGGAGTTGTTGGAGGGAGAGTGGGATTGGTGTCGAGAGGTTGATTGCGCTGGGATCTTCATCGCTGAGATTTGCTTCTTCTTCGGGCTCTTTGCGCTCGGGTTTGGTTTGGCGGGGTCGTTGTTGGGGCTTTTGCTTGGGTTTGGGTTTGGGTTTTGCTTGTAAGGTGTCGCGGTCTGCCCTGCGGTTTCCTTGTCGAGGACCTGGCATTCTTTATATATGTATGAGTAATTGAATTACTCAAGATGTTGGTGTCTAATTTTGCGAAGTGCTCGGGGAAGTTGGGATGGATGACTTTTTTTTTGGCTTATCTTAGCTTATCGAGTTAAATTGCCACTACCACTAAATAAATACACGCCCACGCCAAATATAATAACTGGATGACTTTAAGGAAAAAAAACTCTGTCCAAGATGGAAGAGTATGAATAGAATTCTGGGCTATACGCCACAGGAAAAGAAGATAGAAGAAGATAACAAAGGTTAAGGTCCATCATAGGACAACGATCGTGGAGAAAGTCAATCAATCCGGCGTCACCGGTACATAAACGATGGACAAGAAGAACGAGAGTGTATCGTACTCAAACACGGACTAACCGTAGTCTGGGAGTAAAGAAATTCGTAAGGGAAGTCTGAAGTCAGACGAAAAAAGGTAAAATAACCGCCGAAGAGGAGCAGAAGAAGAATCCACAAGGAAAAAGGATGATGAAACCGGAGTCAAATATGTACAGTCCGATCAAGGAGATGCCAGCAGGGGCGAGAAGAAGATATGCGGAAAACAGATGACTGAGGATATCGCTATGCCGAGATTTGTTGCGCCATGAAATCAAAATAAAATGCATCCAGATCAAAGAGTCGGATTTCATACCGGCCGCTCCGGAATGGTTGGTTCAGGTGCGGACTTCTCTTTGTCTTTCACTTTCCAGAAATGCATCAGTCGACTGATCCGATGGTTCTTCTTCTTGGATTTATCGGCTGCATCGCCAGGAGGCTTTTCTTCGTAGTAGAGTTTGCTTCGTTCCGATTGCGGAGCACCGACCAGCTTGGACAAACTGGCCAGACTAGACCTCTTGGACGAATTAGCTTGGCTGCTGCGTCGGTGAACAGCGGCCGAGAAGGATGCAGCGCGATCCGTCGAAAGACGACCGCGAGGGAAGAATGTGGCAGAGAAGCGGTTCCGAGTGTTGGTAGTGGTGGATGCACTACTCGTCAGGGATGGGACATCCTCAGCGGAACCATATGGATATGGGTACTCTGACGGAAGGTGGTGGTAGGAATGGCTCGAAAAGTTGCGATCAGTAAAGCGTAGCACATCGGGAGACGGGAAAGACGAGTCGGAAGGCGAGACTCCAGCAGACAAGGAGAAGGGCGGGATGTTGAGTGGCAGCTGGTTAGGAGACGTAGCTGGTCGCTTGTCAACAGCCAGGAAGCCAGGAGAGACATCAGGACTAGGAGGCGCTATTTGTTTCGGGTCAATCTCTTCTGACCTAAGAGACTCAACGGGAGTGCGGGCCTGTCGGGCAAATGGGCTGCCAGCATTGTCAAAAGATTCAGGAGTATCTTGCTGAACGGGAGCAAGAACCTTCTTAGGGCTAACAGGTTCTTCAGTAGCCTGAATACCAAGGCCCTCAGTCTGAGGCTCGGACTGAGGCTCGGGCTGAGGAGAGCTAGATACAGGTGCCCGAGTCAAGGTATCAGCGCTGTCGGTGCTCTTAACAGACTCGGCAGGCTTCTTATCATCTTCGGCAGATTTTGGAGGCACGGCAACAGGAACTGGAATAGAGCGCTCTCGTCCATTCCTAGGCGACTGGTTCTCAGCCAGGAATGCATCTTCTTCCTCTTCATAGAAAACATCTGGAGTTTCGGCGCCTTTTCCACCCAAGCGGATAGGACCTAGCGCGCTGCGGTCAAAGGGCTGCATCACCGGAGCACTTTCAGTACGACGATGATATCGCATCTCAGGACCAACAAATTCGCCTCGTCGGCCACCGCTGTACATGCGCTGTGTTGCCACAGAAAACTGGCTCAGGTTTCTCTGAGTTTGCCGCATGTCAGGAGTATTGAATGGACCTAGGGCAGCATCAAGATCAATAATTGGGCTGCTGATCATTTCATCCTGTGCCGTTTGTTCGTAGAAGCTTCTCGGCTTCCACGCTGTCTCTAGGGAAGGCGCAGGGCGCTCATCCAGAGACCGCTCGGTCTGTGGAACAGGGCCTTCGGGATTGGTAGGAGTCCGAATGATCAAAACATCATCGTTATCGAAATCGACTTCCATGACGGAGCCGGCCGCAGAATTAGTGCGGGTAAGGGTAGGAGGCGTCAAGGCAGGCGGTTTCTTTTGTTTGCCCTTGGCTTTCTCTTTCTCCTTCTCAGGCGAGGCCTCGATTTCAGTCTCATGCTTCCCATGTCGCTTGCCTTTGCCCAAAATGGCGCCAGCCCATGAGCGAACACCCTTCTGCTTTTTCTTAGATTTCGATTTCTTGGGAGAGGAGTCATCGTGGTTGTCGTTGTCGCTGGAAGATTCGGATCCATCGTCAGAGTATGAAGGTCGGGATGTGTCAGTCGAATGAGCGTCATCACTGGCGTGATTCGGAACAGTTGCATTGAGATGTGTTGACCGGCTCTTGTCTTTACGAGGATGCCCAGTCGATTTAGAGCGTTTCACGCTAGGCACATCCGGCACATTTTGGGCTTGCATGAAATCAAAGGCTAAAGACGCATCGGCAGTTTTCGGCCGTGGCTTCGAGTTGCGATTCGGTGTCCGCCTTTCTGCTGGAGGTGTTGGGATCTCCGGCGGTGTATGCTTAATCGTCGCAGGAATCTCCGGGGTTTGGTGGAAGACTGCAGAGACAGGGCGTGCGACAGTCAAATCTTCGTGACTCGGGGCCGGTTCGATCCGAATGGCGGCCGGGATGGGTGGGATTGGCGGGATATCAGAAGGCGGAAACTGAGGCGACGCAGGAGGTGTCGGGCGTCCAAGACTTCCAGCTGAATATGAAAGCGGCCTGGAAATATCTTCATGTCCCTTATCTAACGGATCGCCAGGGGTATTTGGTGCGCTACCGCCTGGGGTTGCAAGTGCTTTTTGAATGGCCATCAGGTCGACTCCTGACACCGCTTGAGAGCGGCGATGGGCATGGCCGCGTCGTCCTGGGCCTCGTGGCGGACCGGGTGCTGGAAGGCTCGGCTGTGTTTGCGCGGACGGCTCTTCCCGTTTGTCGGCATCCACTAAACCCGGTGTAACCAACTGATTATCCCCAACAAACTCACTTGGTCGTCGTCGGTGCCCATTCGGCCGGTATGGTACATGTGCTGGCTGTAAAGTAGACTCCGATCCGGGGTTGAATGAGAACGCTGGCAGAGCCGGCGGCGTTTGGCGCTCGGAGTCCTGCGAAGAGACCGGAGCGTCCGAGGCCTGAGCCGGAAAGACGAACGGTGGATTAGGCATTGGAGGCATTGTGAGGCGACGACTGGACTCGGTGTTGGAGGGAGGTGAATCGAAGTGCTGAGAGAAGGCCGATCGAGACTGCGGGGGCAGAGAAATTGAAGCCATCAATGCTGTGCAAGAACTGAAATAGATTCAACAAGAAACGCAGTACAAGAAAAACAATGGTCGAACAGATCCAGATGGACAAAGAGACCTCCAGACCATTCGACTTCCCTGGCGATAAGAGAAAGTCGCAAAGGAATCTGGAGGTCAGTCTAACAACCTCGAACAAAGGTCATTTGAATCTTCCGCACCAGGCAGAGAAGTGGGAAATAATAAAGTGACGACAGATTGAGTGTAAAAGGAACGGACGGCCACGACGAAGGCCAAAGGAGGGGGGGGGCCAAAGGGAAGATTGTCGTTGAGGGAGATGAAGAGGAGAACAACACAGGAGAGGGGAGGTTTACGGGCGTATCCATACAACCGTATTACCCGTTGCATCCGACCCGCGAGCCAATGGTTTTAGGGAAAAACGATGGGGAAAAAAGAGATTAGCTTGTAATTTTAGCTGTGAATTTGCATACAGTGGTTTTTTTTTCTTGTCTAATTCTACTTTACTGCTTTAATTGCTTTACTAGTCGCATGGCTACGGAGTACAGGTATGATTTGATTTATGAATGTGAAGTCAAGGTTTGCTGTATACTAAACAAGGCAAAGATCCCTGCGCCCTTGACTCGGCTGAAAAGGAAAGGATTTTAGATTTTAGATATCGTTTTGAGTTTACATCGATAAAAAGGCATTGTGCATGAAATCACATCCTTTCAAGGTTCACAGGAAGATCTCAAACTGTTTGATCATCATTCCAAACGATGCCCCAATACGAGGTCAGTGGCTTAGCCTCTTCAAGGAATAGAGGACGTCATGACTCTGGTTGCCACCAGGTTACGAGTAGTTCGTCCAATTCCCTGATGGGGCCGGAACGCTGCCTGTTACGGGCATCACATCGAAAGGATCCTGGGGTCCTAGGCCGCGTGCACCAATGACTGCGCGCACGCATCCGGAGAAAAAGTGGGTTGCAGGCACCAATGAGTCTAAAGCCAGGGCCAATCACTGGGTGGGCAAATCTCGCTTGACAGAGTGGGTCCACCGACGCCACGCTGGGGATGCAAGTCAAAGGGGTGAAAAGGGACAATGCATCGGTGAACTAAATCTATGGTTCTGCAGTGATACCTCCCCCTGTCCCTGATAAGGAACCCTTCTTCCGTTTCTTCATTCCTGGTCACACCATCTACCAGCTATTGATTTATCTCAAATAGCTACTGAATGACAGAAATACCATGGAGCCCATGTGGAGGACACCATTGCCCGGGAGATTGGCTGGTCCATCCGTGGGTCTTGGCAAGTGAGATCGGATATAAATAGTGTAGCGCGAGGCCGAAGCGCCTATTGGACCAGTTGACCAGGGGCCTTAACCGGAAGCCCCAGCTGAACGGACCGAAAGCACTAGTTCAAGGCTCCTGACATGAGAAATTGAAACACCTCCTCATGTTGCTCCCCCCTAGCGTCGAGGTCATATCGAGCACCAATCAACGACCCGCTTTTCATGCAAAATTGCGAGTGGGTTTGTCCGAAGTGCACGCGTGGGGCTGTGATCGGCAGCCAATTGGGGCGGCAACGGGGGAATTCATTAACCTGCCTGTTTTCAAGTTACAGGGTAAGGCTTCCAAGGTTCCAAGGTTTGTTGACCGGTGCCAAAATGATATATACAGTACTCCGCATCTTGACCTTGGAAAATGTATGGGTAAACTGTTTAATCTCAAATCAAGATAAGACAAGCAGTAGCCTGAAACTGTCACATCGTACGCGTACTGTATGAGTTCAGTGGATCTGATTCGCGGACAATAATGCAATCGCCACTTCCCATCAACCATAGGCCTCGTCATACATAGGCGTAGACAGGTCTAGCCCGTAAAATGAAGCAGTAATTCCTACTATGGAGATTTTACAGTATTTGTGCCTATACGGATGCGACTTCTTCCGTGCCCGGCTTTTGTTAGATGCCGACCCTAAATGCGGTATGTTTGGCTCATCTGGGGGTGTGGAGAGTGACCCTGTCTTGGATTTACCGGTCGCAACCGCTAACCAAGATTGAGGCCATGATATCAGATCGGATGCTGCCATCCCCAATCGGGTAATTATGCCAAATCTTGGGTGTCATTTCTTTGTTAGACTCTCGGGCTGCCCGAAGGCTTCTACAGTACCTAGGAACGCAGCTGATCGGCCATACGTCGGATAATTTCGCCAGTGGTTCCTTGGTTACCTTTCAATTAATATCGGATTTCAGCCATTGCCAAATAGACTTTGAAAGTTAAGAGGTTGCCCTACACATGTACCCTAGGTCGCACGAACCATTGAACTTCAAAATTCCCATACCTTGAATCAATTGATATGTCCATCTCATATATCTTTAACCACGTGGTTGTATTTCTGTGAAATGTTGTAGCCTAAATCCGTAGGGGAATTCCGACTTCCGCGGATCTCCGTCCTTGGTACAACTTATAAATCCACTCATGCTCAGGTGTCCATGTGTTCTATTGATACTCGGTGACAGCGTAGATCAATTGTTGACCTCCTTTCCCTTCTTATTGACTAGCGCTAATTTCTCAATTTATTAATCAAATAATTAAATCAACCACCTCTGCGCATACGTAGTTAGAGCTGTGGTGACGCATTCTAACGAGCACTTCCTGATCTTCAGGAGTATCTATAAAAAGTCACAAGTAAACCTCGCCAAGCCCCCCCCCCTTAATCGTGCTCAACTTCTAAATATATCGAACACCTATTACAATACCATGCTCATCTTTGATATCAACACCTTGCATGTTGATAATATTATCACTACCGCTATCGAGGCAGCATAAACAGACAGGAACCAAACTAGTATATCCATCTTCAACCATAATAGGTAATCGTGCTTTCGCGAACGCAGTAAGCCGCCTCTCAATAGCGAATGCCCCTCTCTTGGCAACCTTATCAAAATAGCCGAACCTACTATATTTAGCTCCGACCAAGTGTGATGAAATCACTCCCCAGAAACACAAAAGAGCTCCAAACTGCAATACCGAAGAAACACACGCCAAGAACATATATATATTACGTTACATCGTGATTGCCTCTTTATATCACAATCCCTGTCGAACGGGATGACGATAGAAGTTCCTTTCCCATTTCAAATCGCCCGGAACTAGTTTGAGCTTCTGCGCATCGGATCTGTTCAATTCTAATGAGAAACGATGGGCTCATGTCCTGATTTTCCTGCAAGGAGATGACGACAGCCTTGGGTCGAAACTCTTTGTGAACGTGCCAGATCCCGCTTGTTCGGGCGAACATCACTAATCGAGCAAATTGCTTGGAAAGTTGAACGTGATTGCTTAGTGAACAGTCTAGCTTCTCTACTAAAAAGGTTGGTAGCGTCTTTGGTGCATCCAGACTCTTGGGTCTCTTGGAAACGAGCTGCAACTGGGTATCTTGGTCTATGTGTCTTTCTAGCGTTCCCTTCGCACTACTATAAGATCTCAGGGGGAGAAAACATACTCAATGCTTACGCCTTACATGTATATACCGGATCGCGTTTCACTTGCCGATACACCATATATACATACTAGACAAGAGTATACTTAGAATGCAAACTCTCCATTTCTCTCATATGATCCTAACGGGTGACCTCTTACTTCCTCGTAGGCTATTGTGTGTTGAGGTATGGCTTTGTCATTGCTAGTCCTAATAGCTTCTGGACCAGATTACTTCCCCCTGCCAGGTAATAGATTCTTTCTCCAGAAATTCCTCCAATCCCCAAATAGCATTCTGCCTGCCCCAACCGCTGCCTTTGACACCTCCTTGTGGACCAGTTGCTATAGATTTCGTTGCCGGGTCGACCTCAACGATGGCAGGCATCAATGGATAGGGTCGTCCTGTCTATAAGCTGCATCTCCAACAATAAAACGTAGGCCCTTGCTCTTCACTTCTTGGAGTACCTCTGGTCGTGTGCATTTGCGGGGATACTAGATAACACTCTGCAGATTACTACATGCCATGAGCGCATTTCCCCACAAGCCAAGTCTGGCCTTTTTTGCGGAGGATTATTGTGCCATTCTAAAGTACAACCGGTTTGAAAGTCTCGATCATTACTGAGATGGATCAACCTGTCGGCATGTCGGTACTCCTGACCACCGATCACAAACAGATGTTGATCAATTTGGACTTTACGATCATCGAACGTCAATTTCTATTTTTATAGACCCGATCAATTCAATTTGAACTTATCATCCCCCTGCTACTCTTTTCGGTTACTTTGTGCATATTTGTCGTCATGATACCGCTCATCGCTCTCGAGGAGCATTATCTCTCGTCGGCAGTTCTCCAATCCCAAAAAGTTGACCGTTATGCCAATTTTCCTCCTCACATGCAGACTAAATTGAAGACTCTTGGTGATGGCCGAGTGCAAGACCTAGACAACGGGAAAATATCGCTTCATATCATTTCTCACTGCCCTGGCATTAGAGATCCAGCTGTCTGTTGCGCAGCAAATGATGAGCTTGCCGCGGCTATATCTTCTGAAAAGCCCGCCCGAATGATGGGGTTTGCTATGCTTCCAATGGATAACCCTACTGCTGCTGTCAAGGAGCTTGAGCGTTGTGTCAAGGACCTACGATTTGTGGGTGCGCTAGTCGACAACCATGTCAACAGAGACTTCTACGACAATGAATGATTTTGGCCGGTCTTCCAAAAGGCAGAGGAACTAGGTGTGGTGATGTATATTCATCCCGCTTTCCCTGAACCAGATCTATCGAAGCATTATAAGGGAAACTACGATGACAGAATTGGATTTGTCCTTGGTGGAGGTGGTTGGGGATGGCACTCGGAGACTGCCTTGAGCCTTTTGAAATTATTCGCCAGTGGCTTCTTCGACCACTTCCCCAAATCCAAAATAGTGGTCGGACATATGGGAGAAATGATCCCATTCCAGCTCGAGAGGGTCATCACTATATCCGAGACTTGGGGTTTAAAGGGAGGATTCAGAGAGGTGTGGACGCAAAACATCTGGGTTTCGACAAGCGGCATGTTTGCTATTGCTCCATTGGCGTGTTTGTTGCAGACTACCGATATCAGTCACGTACTATATAGCGTGGACTATCCTTTCTCATCGAACGAGAAAGGTCTCGAATTCTTTGAGAAAGTTCGGAGCAGCGGCTTGCTTTCGGATGACGACTTGGAGAAGTTTGCATACCGCAATGCCGAAGGATTGCTCGGTGTCAAGGCGGATAAAGTTTTGTAAAATACTTCAAGGATTTTGCAGTTGGGGACGGAAAGGTACGACAAGTTAAGCTTGAATGATTGTGTTCCGTCTTTTCAGTTCCGATGAGACCTGAGAGTGATACAATAGCGTCACCTGCAATTTCAGTTAGACTATGAGGTAAGTAAGGATGCCGACTAAGCTTCCGCGGAACTTGAATCGACCGGAACCGAAGGACCTCACGTATGATGATATGTCACCGCGGGGTCACCATCGGAGGTCGGTAGGAGAAAGCTCCGTCCTGTGGGTCTAGATGCTCTACAACGAGTCCACAGCCGCTATCTCCGTTGTTCAAACCCGAGATCGCGCTGTAAAGCATACTCTGAGTAGGTTTAAATTAGTGATCGATGCCCATAATTGATTTTGTTTGTATGTGGGATTATTTAATAATACACTTGCCGCACGAATCTTGTAAACCGACACCGTTGTCACGTCCATTTAACACATTACTTGCACCACCATGGCCAACAAAGCCGCCATCATCCCAGCGGCCAAAGCCCCCTTGGAGATTCATTCAGTCGACTTTTACCAACCCGATAGACGAGAGCTTCTAGTGAAGAATGAAGTCATTGCGTTCAACCCGATAGAATACAAGATTGCCAAACTCGGGTTGTTTCCGATCCAGTACCCCTCCATCCTTGGCGTATCATACGGTGGGACAGTTCAAGCAGTCGGTGCAGATGTTACAGGCTTCAAGGTCGGCGACAAAGTCGCTGTAGCCAAAGCTATGGGCGCAGCTGACAACAAATACGGTGCTTACCAGCAATATGTTGTCACCCCAGAGGATGCAGCCAGCAAAATATCGCCGGGTATAGACGTCACTATTCCTGCAAGCTTGGTTGGAAACCTAAAAACCGTTGTCGGCCTTTTCAGTGGAATTGCTGGATTGGACAAGCCTACTTTGGATACAGCTCCTCCATCTCAGAAGAAGAAAGTCTTGATTTATGGAGGGTCTTCAAGCCTCGGCAGCCTTTCTGTTCAATACGTCGCGCAAGCGGGGTATCAAGTAATCACAACATCGTCACCGCAGCACGATGCTTTTGTCTCGAAGCTAGGCGCGACGCAAGTCATCAACCACCGACAGGATTCAAGCAACCTTATCGATGAAATCTCTGCCGCCGGACCGTACGACCTTGCTGTCGACTGCATCTCACTGCCGAACACTATTGCCGTCAACGCACAAGTTCTTTCCAGACAAGGCGGTGGAAAGCTATATACTGTGCTTCCCCCGTTGGGCCCAGAAAATCTCCCGAGTGGGGTTAATCGCGAATTTTCATCCTGGGGTGCAGTCCTTTCCGACGAAAAGAATGCTCAGTTGCTGCGTTGGGCCATAGACACCTATCTTCCGGAAGGGGTCGCCCTGGGTAAAATCATCCCGCTGCCTATCGAGAAAATCCCTGGTGGATTGAGTGGAGTTGAAACTGCTCTTGACAGGCTTCAGAAAGGTGTCAGTGGGGTGAAATTGGCTGTAGACCCACGGGAGTGATGCATGAATCACTATGCATAGGCTGCAATCTTTGACTAAAAGGAATTTACAATCAAGTTCTGATCTTTTGACAACAACTTCTCTAAGCTCCCCTTAACTAGGGCTTGCCATATTCTCCAATATATGAATATATGTATCCAAGTGAGTAGGAACCGATTTCCTAAACACTATCGTATGACATGTCGTCAATTCAAAATTTGTGCTGTCTAACAGAATTCGCCGACTGTTGATTCTGTACCACGATAGATAAGTATTTGTCACAGGGATTCTCTCGGTGTTTACCTCTATCGTATCGGGGCTGATGGAAATGGAGCCTGCGGTTTCACTTTATTGTGACAAGGATTACCCTACGGTAGTTCTGATTCCTGCTAGTCTCGAAGCGGAGGAATCTTGGTTATTTGCATTTGTCTAGCTCTCTGATTCGCGATCCATCTTAAGGTTCGGCGATCCGAATGATAAGAACTACGAGGGATCAAAGCGTCGTTGCAAATCCTCTAGATCCTTCACGACCTCCTGCAAGTTTCTTTTCTGATCACAACACTATCTGATATCTCTTCTTCAGTGGATCTTTTCATGCACAAGGGCAAATAGCGGTCTAAAGATATCAGTGCCCTTTTGAAGCGCCAATGTACACCATGCAAATTGTACCACATGCCTGCATAAGGAGTAGGGTAAATGAATGGACCTTGTCGATCGGTCCTCCGATCTTGCCACTTTAGCTAGCCACAATGGCATATCAATCGGCATGTGGGGTCTATGCTGTTCTTGGGTCCACCAATAATGCTCAGGAGGAGAATTTGGGCAAACAGCGGTCAAAAATGAGGTGCGAGCACTGCATATGCACAGGATGGTTTCGATTTCGCGCGTATCTTCCACGGCTCCACAGTGTCCTTAGATGAGGCCCCGGGTGTAACACGGTGATTTGAACATTAGAAATTATCGGCTCGGCTTTCATGGGGCTCATAACAGCCTCTTATATATAATCTCTACACCACCACAAGTATCATCTTAAGTCATTCTACTATGATCCTATTTGTGTACTGATATATTGTACGATCAGATGAGTTAGCCGGTTGGAACAATCCTTTGTATGTATTCCCTTTCAGAAGAGGTGTCAAACACTGTATCGAGCGATCTGATATAAGTGATTTCTGCATTATACCTAGGTACTTGATTTCTCACAAACGATGACGACAATCCGCGCTATGTTGACTGAATTGAGGTGCTGCGTTGGCTGCGCATACATATGCGGCTAAACTCGACCCACCAGTGAAGAAATCTCATACATGAGATATGCACCGTGACATCAGCCTTCCTAAACCTCAGGAGAAGGAGCGGGATTTGCTATGACGAATAGAAAACAGGGGTGATTCCTTGAGGCACTGTTGTCAAGGCCTGCTATATAAATCTGGCAGATTCCCGACTTTCTGCTTGGTTGAGACCATTGGACCACCTTGACAGCCATACCAAACACTCAGCTCTTCTTAAGACATCATGGTGAGTCAAGATTTTCAAGATATTGTACCGCTTCGGCATGACTAATTCATTCTTAACCAGACTACATACGTATGTTTGAAGTATCTTGAAAACCCGATTGACGGAAACATCTCAAAGCTAACTAACCACCCAAAGATCGTTCACATTATGCCCAAAGGGTCGGGACCAGATGTTGGCGGAAATTACAACACAGAGTGAGTTTCTCTATCGATGTCCTCGAATTTTTTTCGGTCAAGGATTAGGGCTGATCATCGTCGTGACTCAGGGAAGGTGATGGAGTGAGAGCAGTGAAAGACACTGTATCACAACTTGGTGCCGTTGCTACCAAAGTTTCAAATTCCCCAACCCCAAGGATTTATCCAACACCCTACTACTATCAGTATGTTAACCCGGTATTTGCTTGTGTTTGATATAGACCTGGCTAATACTCTCGGTCTACTACTTAGGGTAACAACGACTGGGCCTCTTGACGAAAAAGACTTCAAAGAGAAACTTGAGGCAGTTTGGAACGCCTCGAAGACAGAGGACGAAAAGAAGCCATTTCCTCAAGCGGAGGAAGTTAGAGTTTGGGCGGCCTAGAATGTTCAGAGTGAAGCGTCCAGCAAGGACAATAAATATATAGTTGTGTTTGACTATTAGAAAAGCATGGTGATCGCCAATTGTGCCCAATCCTGATGTGTTTTGAAGTTTTGCGCCCTAAGTGGAACAAGATCTTGGAGTGTGGGGTAAATATGATGTTTACTATTCCATGTCGTATTTTTTCGAGCTTCGAGAGACTTAGTTCTGCAACCAAGCTGCGAAAACAAGGGACGTTGGTGTATGATAGTACTGGCAAGGAGTGATGGGAGACCGCTGAGAGGGGATGGGACGAGCGATACCATCTTCTCACCCCTCTGCTCATTGAGTAGGTGACATGGTTTTCGGTGAGAAATCTGGGGTGTGCCAGATATAAGAGTCTGTATGTCACTCCGCGAACTTTGCAGTTCCTGGAGGTCTAATGCCATATCTTAAAGCTGCGGACCTGAGAAAAGGTAGTGGTTGGCTGCTGTGCTGGTAGCATACGCTAATTTAGCCGTAGCAACAATAGATGTGACTCGTATTGTCTACTAGCGCACTGAAACGCCAATAGCAGATCCAAGCATACTTAGATTAGAATTCTCCGTGCTGGCGAACTTACAGAGAACATGCTCCCAATGTAAGAGAGAATCTGTACGGTTATTCTTCAATGACTTATTTTATTTCTCTGGGATCTTCCTAATCAATTCAAATCTCGAAACACACAGTCTCCCATGACTTTGAATTTCATTTAACTATCCAATCTGGAAGGCAATATACATGTTCTGATGAATGAACTGGATGTTTATAACAAGTCATGAAGTAATAAGAACTCAGATCCAAAGACTGCCAATTCAAGCTCCAATCCAGCAGAACAAAAATAAATCCAAATGCAAGCTAGACCAATACTACCATAACAGGTACCTTTATAGGACCTAGCTTGATTGATCTACTCCCCATTGGTTGATTCCAGATTTTGAGTCGGCGTTCACAGCACACTAGTAGTTATGACCGATCATGACCCGAGCCCAGACATCAAAGTGGTGAACCGGCTCTGCTCGGGCTTAGATCAAAGAATCTATTTTGACTTCCCATGTTTGTCATGCTCTGTTACATAGGATATGCCTCTGATTCTAATCGAATGAGCCTGCATGCATGTTGAAGATAAATCATCCACGATGACAGCGGTGGTGACTAGGTACTTCTTTGCTAGAAAACCCCATATGATATGACAAATAAAAGGCTGTGCCGTGCTTGATTTTGTATGCTTCTGAGCTGTTGCCAAAGCTGCAAGGCATGCTCTGCCTTTTCCAATGGTAAAGCGTAAGGACGCCGTCCAGCGGCGACAAGGATGGCGGAAAGGACTCGCGCGTCTAAAATGTCTAAACTCCAATAAAATGTTGAAAGGTTCCTAGATGAATGCTAGAGCTGTACAAGACAGGATCAAAAGGAATGCGCAATCTCAAAGCGTAACAATATAAGGTGTTGTGTCACCAGACATTGTGGTCTATTCGTCACTTTCTGACTCAACTTCGTCGTTCTCAAGACGTTTCCTCCGTTCCTCGCTGAGTTCGCGATAGGTGCTCCAACTCAAGAGGAAGAAAGCGAACATTATGAAAATACCACCAATGATGGCTGCAAAAGAGAGGGGTTGCCCTGTGCGGAACCAGTCGACAATTGCGACAAGGAAGATCGTCAGGAGCGCAGCAACCGAGGAGAGGACGGGCGATGTGAGAGAGATGAGGACAAGGAAGGATCCAGAGAATGCTGAATTAAGGTAAGTATCAGACTTTATGTGTACAGTTGGGGTGAACTTACTGGCATTGGCACAGATAGAGATGAGGAGCATACGGCCTGCCTCACCGGTAGGGAACCGGAATGTCTCCCAGCCAAGGTAGTGAAGGATTGGCAGTGGAATCCATAAGACGGCAAGTGTGAACGCACCAATCATACTGCCAAATGTGTTGGCGAAAATGGTGCCGCGGCCGGGGCTAGTGCCTTCTGGAGGACAGGCAAATCGTTTATACAAGACTTCGTAGAGACCATAGAGAATACTACCGACGCCAATAACGATGTTACCCAACAGACGGCTTTGCGCTTCACCGTCTTCTTTGGTCGCTCCACCCTTGGAGACTTTCTTGTCCGGTCGGTCTCCATATGCCACGACAAGCACGCCGATGATAGCAACGCCCACTGCGAGGACCTTGTCTAAACGCAGTTTCTCTTTCAGAAGAGGGATCGAGAAGGCGTATGCGAAGAAAGCTGAGCAGTTATAGATTGCGGTCAAGTCACTGGCTGTGGTCATATTGACTGCTACGTACCAAGAGCCGCCAGCAATAGTGAGGGCACTGGTGACGAAGGCAGTCGTCTTCAACATATATGGGATCGGGGACCGGCTGGTGTGACGAGAAGAGAGGTGGACTTCTTGGGTTTCTACCATTTGGGCGGTACTTCGGAGGAGGGAGACGTGGCGGCGCCAGAATGCTTCCCATGATAGTTTTCGTTTTTGAATTCGAAGAATAAGCAGCTGGAAGGGCCAGAGCAAGATCCAGGAGCCGTGGGTAATATAACTGCGTTTGGGAAACGAAAATTGTAAGCCATTACGAGACCGGAAAGACAGATATAGAAGAACTCTACGTGTGTAGGAAGGTCGCCTCAGAACTTACAGCATGCAATACGGTTTATCCCAATGCAATTCATGTTGAATATACACGGCAGTTTCGGTTTGGACCACAAAACTAGCCAAGCTCAGCAGCAAAAAGCCAAGAGCAATCATATACTTTTTGCGGGTGGCTTGAGCGGCATCATGCTCCGAGTTATTACTCCGAATGGTAGGCCGACGGGTGTGGTGTAACATAGGCCGGCCTTCTGCATCACCATTGTCGAAGCTGGATCTCGAAAGACGGGGTTCATCGTCCTTGAGTAATGGTTGTTCCGAACGGCCATCCATTGGTGGGTGCATTGGGGGGCGATTCATGTCGTCTGAATCCTGGGAATCACGGCCCGGGGGTGGAATTGGGTTTACCCGAGACTCTCCGAGCTCGATATTATTAGAAGCCACAATTGCGTTGGCCTGTGTTCTGGCTGGGGGTTATCCCAATACTGAGTGAGTGACTGAAGAGTCAAGACAAGGTCACTGGGTCCACCTGTCACCCTTTCGGCGCAAAGATAACAGATAAGGATTTAGTAGCGATGTTCAACCCATTCAGGGAGAGCTGACTGCTGCTAAATGAGACTGCAAAGTCAAACAAACTTGCTGCTTGTGAAAACGATCGATCACAAGTCGGGGCTGAGGCTGCATGCGATCGAGGAGATGTCAGGATGCAGCTGTACGTTGTAGCCACGTAGATGGAGTAGGGTACAGGGGTTGCGACCACGTTGAAGGGTATCCGGATAAAATGGGTTCGAAGGGTCTTCAAGGTTAGATTGAACTTCCAAGGTTGTCCGACACCTCCAGAAAAGACAAAAATGGGGAATTTTACGAATTATAAACTGGGGAAATATGATGCCCCGTGGAATTGGACGCCTTCGTCATCTTGGCTCTAGACCGCTTTGGGTAATAAGTGGATCATGTGACGCTCGCCCTGAACGCAGACACTAGTCCATATGGAGTCTAGCGCTGTTTATAAGTCTCAGGCGTCCATTGCAAGTGACCAAAATAGCATCGCCTGACTAGCATATACCTGGCATTCTGGGGATATGGGCATGCACTTTGGCTTAGTCCAAAAACAAGCCTCATTATATGATGAATGACTGAAATATATATTCACCTGACTCAACGTATACCTTACTGCCCTGTTTGTCCAGGACAGGGAGCGAAGGTACAACAAGAGGACTTTGGGTGCAGAGTGTATGAAAGCTTTAGGCTTACATTTGATTCAATTAGGCCCTCAATTTGAGTCCATGTACTTTTCCTACCATATACGGAGCACTCTTTTAAGGCTTGGGCTTAAATAGGGCCTCTTGGGTGTTATATGTGTACTTCAGGTCCAGATGCCAGTACGGTGGGGAGTATGGCTTCGCAACGAGCCAGGCCTTATCAAGAGCATCAACAACCTCCTGCGGGAGAGGCCCCTTCTGAACATCCGCAAGATTAGTCTCCAGCTGAGAAAAACTGCTCACGCCAATGAGAATGCCGTCGCGGCCACCGTTGCCCATTTTCAGAGCCGAGTGGTGGTGCACCCATCGAAGGGCAGTCTCAATTAGTGTCAATCCGTGCTTCTCAACAACGGGCTCGATGATGCTGAGGGCCTCGAAGTTCGAGTCCTTAAAGTAGCGTTTGCGGTAGTTGGCTCCCGTGGAGGTGTTTTCTCCGAAGCGTCCTTCTGCGGGGACATCGATAGTCTTGTACTTTCCAGAGAGAAGGCCACCAGCAAGTGGGTTATATATAACAATATCGAGGCCGTAGCGACGGCAAGCATGGACCAATTCGACCTCGATGTTGCGAGCTAGGGGGAGAGTGTCAGTCTATCTCTATGTTTTTGACTGAAGTTTCATCACATACTGATGGCATTGTACATGGCTTGGAAAATGGTTGGGCGAACCCAGCCTCTCGCGGCACAGGTAGTAACAATCTCGGCTACCTCAAAAGCTGTGAAGTTGCTCAGACCCAAGTTGACGAACTTGCCCTCCTTGTGCAGCTTGTTGACCTCCTCCAGAGTCTCCGTGAAAGGAACCGAACGATCCGGCGCATGCAAGTAAAAGATGTCAACCTGATCGGTGTTCAACTCCTTCAGGGACTTCTCGAAGTTCTCACGCAGGACGGCAGGCTTGTGGAAGCCGGGGGAATTGGGATACCATTTCGTCGCAATGGTCAGGCCACGCTCTTTCCAGCCAGCCTGAGCTGTGAAAGCTTCTTGTTCTCCGCCGACATAGATGCGGGCAGTGTCGATCTCAGTGAATCCTTGTTGCTGGAAGTAGTCCAAGGATTTCTTGAATTCGTCCAGAGAGGTGATACGAGCACCTTTATCCGGGTTAGGACCAAAGGTCATAAGCCCGAGGATCACCCGGGGCAATGGGTTTTGTGCAATGAGAGGCATGGTGGCTTGACAGGGATGTTTTCTTCTTTGGTGCGTTGGAGAACGATGACTCGGAGCGGGGGAGGGGTTGCGGAGTGAGCCGATTGTCGATAACGGCGGGACCCATTGCGCAATGCTTCTCACTTCGGAACCCACCGCAGCTTCAAAGTGCACTCCTTTATTGAAGACCGGCGATGCTGTATTATCTGGAGAAATCGTCTCCAAATCTTCCTGCTAGCGAAGCTACAATGACCATGTCAACCAACGCCGAGCGCGCTGTCCGGATTTTGGTTATCAACCCCAATACCTCCACCCATATGACAGATGGCCTCAAGCCAATATTGGAGCGCCTCAACTACTCCGATGTACAATTCGAATACTTCACGGCGCCGAATGAACCGGTTACGGTTGACGGACGCACCTACGAACCCATCTCCAGCATCAACTCCGGGGAAGAATCGGCCCAATCGGCCCTCAACTGCTGGTCAGTCTTGGACCGAATCTCGCAATATGATGCATTCCTTGTGGCATGCTACTCGGCTCACCCATTAGTTGGTGTATTGCGAAAGCATATTCGGGACTTTGAGAATACCCACCCCTCAAGTCGCAAGAAGTATGTGACCGGCATTTTCGAGGCGAGTGTCACTGCCTCGCTATCATTGATCAGCGCCTTCGACTTTGTGACTATGGGAGAGCTGGATAAGAAAGAAGTTGAAGAATCATTCGGAATCGTGACCACTGGCAGTGCCTGGAAGGCGGAGCTTACCAAGGCGGTTACGCAGACGCTCGGCACCGGCCACGGCTCTTCTCGTTTCGCGGGTGTTGAGACCACTGGATTGACGGCCGGCCAGCTCCACACAACACCACCTGAGGCAGTGAAGCAGAGAATCATTGATGCTACTCAGAAGCTCCTTCGGGAGTCAGCAGTTCCCGTTGGTGCTATTTGCATGGGATGTGCAGGCATGGCAGGAATGGAAGAGGCCGTGCGAGAGGGATGCGTACGTGTCTATGGTGATATTAAGGGGCACCAAGTCAGAATTGTCGATGGGGTGGTTGCAGGAGCGGGAACACTGGTGAACTCGTGCAAAGCAGGATTCTGATATTCTGCAGACGAAACAAGGTGATCTCTCAAAGCACAGCGAGTTTCAATATTTGATGTATAAAGATTGCATTGTATAGCACTACTTACTACATCTATCATATCCAATCATCGAACAAAATAAATTACCTACAAAAGTTATTCTAAGGTTCATATTGACTCGTTGGGTGGTGATGTTGATGTTGATGTTGATGTCCAATTCGCTTGGTGCCTGAGGCTACAGATTATGATCTCAGCCAAAAAGTTCCCCGCAACAACGCGTTTACGCGTGAACCATCTTTCTCCCGACGGCACTATTGGACCACGATGCCTAGGTGAGAACTTGAAAGATGGCACGAAGCTCCTGCAGAGCATTTAAACTGACTTGACTGTGTGAAATAGGGAAATTATCACGATCCAAGCCGGCCAGTGCGGCAACAACGGTACGTGCCTCTCCGCAACCCTCGACCGATTCCCAGCGCTACGGCCCCCTCACCGCTTAAATATCACGAGAAGAAAGCAGATAAACGATACTGTTTTATGACCACAATAGCTGATCACCTTCATAGTCGGTAGCCAGTTCTGGCAGCAACTGTGCCTGGAGCACGGAATTAGCCAGGATGGTAATTTGGAGGAGTTTGCGACTGAAGGCGGAGACCGCAAGGACGTGTTTTTCTACCAGGTGCGTTATGGAGATATTCATTGTTTTTCTTGTTTAGTTTTCGCTGCTTTGTTCCATCATCGAGGCTAACCGGGCTCCACAGAGTGACGACACCAGATACATTCCCCGCGCGATCCTTCTCGATTTAGAGCCTCGGGTATGATACTTGCTTCATATTGACATGGAATCAAATCCGTGTCGACTATACGCAATAGGATTACGACTGATGCGGCAATAGGTTCTGCACAGCATCCAATCGGGCCCCTACAAGAACATCTACAATCCCGAGAATTTCTTTATGGGAGAAAATGGAGTTGGAGCTGGTAATAATTGGGGTGCTGGTTACGCCGCAGGCGAGGGTGTGCAGGAGGAAATCTTCGACATGATTGATCGAGAGGCAGATGGAAGTGACTCTCTAGAGGTTCGTCTTATAACCATACTTCAGATGCAAGTATAGTAAGCTGACTCGTCACCGCCAGGGCTTCATGATGTTACACTCGATTGCAGGAGGTACAGGCTCCGGTCTAGGAAGTTTCCTCCTGGAGCGCATGAATGATCGCTTCCCCAAAAAGCTGATTCAGACATACTCCGTCTTCTCGGATTCCAATGATGTGGTTGTCAATCCCTACAACAGTCTGCTCACTCTGCGCCGATTGACTCAAGATGCTGACTCTGTGGTATGTATGCCTGCTGGAATGCATCTGCTCAAATCACTAAATCGCTAGTAGGTTGTCCTGGATAATCTCGCATTGGCGAGCATTGTTGCCGACCGGTTGCATGTGCAAAAACCCAATTTCGATCAAACTAATCAGCTTGTAAGTTTCAATCAACATCAAGATCAAGGTTAGGGTTGAGCTAACATTCGCAGGTGTCAACGGTCATGTCGGCATCTACAACTCCTCTACGGTACCCAGGCTACATGCACAATGACCTCGCAGGAATCATCGCCTCGCTAATCCCGACACCGCGCACCCACTTCCTGGTCACCTCATACACACCGTTTACAGGTGACAACATCGAACAGGCCAAGACTGTCCGCAAGACCACCGTTCTAGATGTGATGCGCCGTTTGCTCCAACCAAAAAATCGCATGGTCTCCATCAACCCAAGCAAAACCAGCTGCTATATGAGTATTCTCAACATCATCCAGGGTGAGGCCGATCCCACAGACGTGCACAAGTCCCTCTTGCGTATTCGTGAACGTCGCCTGGCATCATTTATTCCCTGGGGTCCTGCTAGCATCCAAGTCGCGCTCACCAAGAAATCGCCATATTTACAACACACGAACCGAGTCAGCGGTCTGATGTTAGCTAACCACACCTCTGTGGCAACTCTGTTCAAGCGAATCATTCAGCAATACGACCCCCTGCGCAAACGCAATGCATTCATTCAACAGTATGAGAAATCTGCGCCCTTCGCCGACGGACTGGGCGAGTTCGACGAAGCCCGAGCGGTGGTAATGGATCTCATCCACGAGTACGAGGCCGCCGAACGCGAGGACTATCTAGACCCAGTTGCAGGCAAAGAGACCCATCCCGGAGCATGAAAACCGGGGTAGAGGATTGCCGTTTACTACATGATTCATTGCTTTGGCACGGGCAGGGGGTTTTGGGCGCATATTCGGGCGCAGGGCGGGCGTTTCTTCCCTTTCTTGTCTCTTATTTTTTCTTTTTCTTCGTCTTAGTCCATACACCGATACTTTCATGAAAGCCTACACCTCGGCCATGCCAACACATTTGAAATACGCCGTAGACACGTAGACGAAACCGGTGTGGATTCCGGATGATCCGCACAGTTGCAACGGGCCGGATGCTGCAGCGGTGGAGGTATGCAATCTGCAGGCCGGTCCCAAAAAAGAGAAAGAGTATTTAAGTTGGTTGGGTTGTGAATGGATTAAGTGGGCAATTAGTGGAGAAGGGAGAAGTATACGAGCAGTACTCCGTAGTGTTAGTTGGGTATGAGTCAAGAAAAAAAGAAAAAAAATCTAATTGAATTGAAAACAAAAGAAAAAGTCAATGCTGTTGGGGAGGAGAATTGATCGACCATATCGATTTCACATTTCAAGTACGTGGTCGTCTCTAGTTCCATTTATTAGCTCCCCGCAGATCATCGTGCCTCATTTAGAAGCGCATTGACCAAGGAGACTGATCCAATTTCGACATGGACACCTCATGGCGGGCCATAGCTCTTGCATGTCTCTAAGAGGCCTGTGGGCCAAGTTGCATCACTTACCGTTCATTTACCGTCGGGCTCCAAGGCCATGATTTAACCACTACAAGGTTTTTTAACGAACTCCATTCCTTTCGCCACTCATTACTGGGCCCGTGGGTGGCGCGGTGTGCCCGTGGTGGAACTAAAAACCTTGGGGGCATTTCCTCGGGTGACAGGGCAGAAATTGGCAGTTGGATAAGGAATCGGGTATTCTACCCAGTCGATCTCGATTAATAATTCCCGATCGTTCCAAGTTCGCATTCCTGGTTCTCGGGTTTCCCTGTGTTTCGAATCGAGTTCCCAGCGTTGCCGCAGCTGGACATGAATCCACGTGATGTTGAGTCGTGACTTAAGTCAGGTGAACACCGGCTATTGAGCTAGACCTTACGTAGTACTTACTATACGGCGCACACCTGGGCAATAGCCTGATTCTTGGAATTACATACTAGACTCAAACCAGTTTAGCTGCTTGAGTTGTCGATTTGTATGTGCAGAAACGGGTCTACATACATCTCCTGGTTCACAGGGTCAATGCTAGATGACGGAGGAGACGGAGTACGTGAATATGTGTTAGCCGCTCCGAATTCGCACGGACTCATTCCGATCATTGGACCTCAGCCTTGAAGGGCAACTATTCGGGTCGCGTGCGGACTGGAAAGGCGCAGGAAGCGCAAAAAGGGGTGCAATGGAGATAGGCCATACCTAAGGGGATACTATTACCTACCTAAGTTAGGGGGTGGACACCACGCCACGCCGAGATTCGGTGCCGGTAAAAGGGGGTTGAAGTGATTAATTAATGGGGGTTAAAGTATTAGTCCCATACTACATAAAGGGAATGGAGCCTATCGAACCTTCTCGGGACCCGCTCGCCTCCAGACTGATTCCGTCACTCTCCACGCCTCAGACTGACTCAGCCATAAAGAACTGACTTTCTCTCTTCTTCTCCCGTCTGTTCCGAATATATAATACGTGGCCGCCCAGGTATTCTTCTTTCCCCCTTTCTTGTATCACTTTTCCACCTCCCGTGCAACTCAACATCCCCGTCTCCAACACCACTCTCTCCTCATCTCCAACTGACGCATTCCCCCAGTTTCCCTCAACTTTACCAGGGAATCATCTCGGAATCGTCTCCTACTCTCCATCCAGCGTCCTCAGCGTTAGCATTGTCTAGCAGCTCTCGCTCATAACCGCCCATTTCTCAACTCGAACCCGGCGCTTATCTCGAACCTAGTCAGCTGCCGTCACCTCAGCTGAACCCACCCTCCCTGCTCGCGCCTCCGCCCCAACAAACCTTCTCCTCACCAACCACACCACAACCACAACCATCCATAATGGCCCCCCGCAAGCCCAGGTGCAACTTCAAGGAGTGCAAGGAGGCCGCCCAGCGTATCGTGGGTGATTGTAGCTTTTGCCACGGACACTTCTGCTCAAAGCACCGCATGCTCGAGGCACACTCCTGCTCCGGGCTGGAGGACTGCAAGAAGGAGTCACATGCGCGGAACGCCGATAAGCTGAATAGTGAGCGAACGGTCGTTGTTAAGGGTGTATGAGAGTGCAGCCTACAGGCTGACACTATCACTCACACCTAATTTCTTTCCGGGATTCGATCCTAGATGTGCAAGCACAAACGGCATCTAGGAATCTGGTTCGATTCGTTTCTACCAAAGAGAGGAGAAAGGGTTTCCGGTGATCAATTCAGCCGGTTTAATCTTTAGCGCGGTGTTAATTTGTTTCCTTGTCATATTTCTTTCGACCCTGCACTCCGTTTCCTGCTACTTCTTTTCGCTTCTTGTTGGGGGTGTTTGTAAATGACTTTGTTGTGGCTACGGCCGGACTGATTCTTTGGTTTTTCTTTTGTCTTCGTTTCTGGGGGGTGGGCTTCATCTACATGGCGTTCTTTTCTGATCTATATTTTCCTCTCTACTGGGGATTTGCATTCGCCTGGCATGATGGTTTTAATCTGCCTTGATTTTTCGGGGCCGCTACATTGAGATCCTAAGGGACTCGCATGGGCATTAACTATCATCTGTTTAGCCGTCCTTTTTGGATTTACGTGAATATACCACATTTCAACCTTCCAGTTTTGATTCGGTCTTATAATACATGTAGGGATATAACGTAGCAAACATCCTTGTGAAACGGTCTAGCCTGGTCCAATCTTTGGCCTATTTGATAGTTAGCTTCGGCTCAGTCCGACAAAGAAAAGAAAGACATACATATCGTGATGCTCACTCAGTCGGCTGAGATACTTATTGAGCTCCTCCACACGCTCTTTATGTGTCTTAACACCCTCTCGCTGGAGTCGCTCATGCATCTAGAACCCATTAGCCTTCCCAGTCCAAACCAAGTAGGCAAAGAAATGAAAGAAAGAATGTACATACCCTCTTCTTGCGCAGCTCCTCGTGCTTCCTCTCCGTCTCCGTCTTGCCCACAGACCCGGACCTCGCATCACTCAAAGAATCCTTATCTTCGCTCTTGGCTCGGTCCTCACTCCGATCATCTGGAACCCCGGACCCCGATTCCTCTCCCTCTGTAGGCTTCACATCATCCTTCTTCTTGCTCCCCTTCTTCTTCTTCTTCTTCTCCACCCGCCCATCACTCACTTTGCTCCCCTTCAACTTGAGCTTCCCGCCCCCGCCAGTGGCGTACTCGTCTGGCGCCATAGTGGGCCTTATGCGGAAAGGAGGGGATTCAAGATTGCGTGCGGAGTGGGTTTACCTCCCAAGGTTGGGTTGGGAAACCAGCTTTTCGGCGCGACTTTCAAGAAAGAATTTTAATGTAGTACCTGGTGTTCGGGTACTTTGCCACCTCTTTCTTATTTTTGGGTGGCCTTGATTGTCCTTGTTTTCTTATTCCCTCGGTTTGGGTGTGCCACTGAAGCCACTAATGGAAGAGGTGATTGCGTTGGAGATGTGAAGTTGGGTTTGGGCGGTGGACCAATTAGGTGCGCCGGGTGGGGATGATCGTTGGTTCGCGATAAGGATTTGAGGTCCCTTGGCTTTTTTGCCGTCAAAGGTAAATGGATTGTTGATCTTGATAGTGCTTTAAAACAGATATGTTACTCAGCTGATTATTTCGTTTCATTATTATCTCAAATCTTCATCACGTGGTACTTGGTTATACGGAAGAAGTAGCTAGTCGATGAAGAATGCATACTGCAACTGGTGGTCACTTTCAATATACGCCGTAATGGCATCTATAATCAACGGATTCTTTGTAGAGGTCATTATTTTCTCATTATTTTCAAACTGGAAAGTTTTTAACCATGAATGTCATGTTTAATCAAAAGGAATCGGGCGCAACCCAGACCCGCCCATCCGCTTGCGCATCTCCGCGCCTGCAGCGATTGTACTAGGGACCTTGATACCACAACAGTCACCGAACCAGTCTGAATGCTCCTGTCCAGGAGGGTGGTCATGCCCAGCATGATCATGATCGTGTTCATCGGCCCCATCCTGAGAGAGCTCACCCATACCTTCTGCAGCAGGGAGAAGGCTTCCAAACAGGAAGTGCTGCATGATGGGCAGCTTTCCCAGAACCTCCTTGACAAACATTTTCTTCATACCACTCTCCACCTTGAACCAATTCTTCGCACCCGAAATATCATCTAGCATAGGACTGTGCCAGCGTAAACCCTTCACCGTCTTAACACTATCCACCCACCGCACCTGATCCAGATACAGGTACTTGTCCCCTTCCTCATCCAGTAATGCGTTATTGTGGATGCCCAATGGTGTGATATAAGGGTGATCCACTAGCTGGCTAGCACCGAACAAGAACGGCAGGAAGTGGTAATCATCAAGACCCCAAACACCATGTGACCCAGCCGGTTCCAAGTAGTATGTAGATTGAATATCCCGCATGAGATGCACATACTCGAGGTAGACTTTGAAGACCACGGCGGGGAAATCGGTTTTGGGTAGCAGGCCAAGCTGGTAAAGGCTGAGCAGCCACATCATGAAATTCAGTTCATGACCTGATCCGTAGTCAATCCGATCTCGGGAGCCTAAAGAGTGGACCAGGTATGTGGATGCTTCGTCGATCGCGGTAGTGTCTGCCATCCCGAGGATATCGGCGTGCCATGTTGGGCTCTGAGTGGCGACATCGTCGAAGAGGGTGCGGAATGCAGGATTGCCAAATCGCGATCCACCCTGGTCCAAAGCAGGATGTTTCTCTACAAGGGATCGGAGTTGTCCAACAACACGGAGGATCTTGGAGATGGCATCGGAATCTGGGTTGCTCTGTTCTGGGATTGGGCGGCCTCTGACAGAATCAGAAAGACCGAGCACAAACGCTAGGACCAGCTTATAGGTGGGGGAAGAAAGGAAAATGTCATGGTCCTTTGGGGAAAGAATGCGGCGGACGGGTCGGGTGTATTGTTGGGCGGAGAGGTCTGGCGGCGAAGGCAAAGGAGGGGTGGTTGGAGTTGAATCACGCGATGAGGCGGTCCGGGATCGGGCGTTGCCTGACCGCAACTCTGAAAGTTTCTTGGAGAGGTCCACCTTACCAGCTCGGGGTGGCAGTGTCTGCGCCATGTTGTCTGAGGAGCTGAGCTGAGGAATGAAGAATAGTGAGCTGAGGGACCCTGGGAAACGATAACACAATCATAATTATCTAGCGGGATCAGTGGCAGAATATATATACCGCCTACTAGAAGTATACTAGAGATGACGCCATATCAAGTTAGCGCAGTGGAGCATGTGATCTTCCCCGGAAAACAGTGATCGACCGATCTTATTCTCATGTGCAGTGCAGTCACACTGGAAGGAGGCCACATGATGGGTACTTCAATGGAGTAATAAGCCATCCTAGTATTACACCCCCGGGACATACCAGTTGCAAAGCATTCCAGATCAAAAATATCAACTATCCTCGACCTTATACGCAACGCCCGTTTCACCTCACCACGGGCCCCCGGTAGCCCGTCGACAGTGCCTGGCGCCTCTCTGGCTGCATACCACCTGCTTTATAGCCCTTCCTGATTGGACAAACCCCCTAATCAACAGTCACGGCCTGAGCGCGCCATCATGAATGCAACTGAGCCATCGGCGTCGTTTCCGACAGGTGCCCACACCAGCAAAGCCAGAGATATAGACTCATCTTCGTCCCGCTCACCCACTCACGTCGAGTCGGATCTATCCTCGTCGATAAGCAGTAGTCGATCCCGCTCAAGCGTTACGTCCCGAAAACATTCCGGCGCTCATCAGTCCCCGCAATCGCAAAAGCGTCTCACTGAGAGCACCCCCATTAACGGCGCTAGCTCATCGCGTGGCTATCAGGCCACTGAGCCGCCAAACCCGACTCGCGGGAATTATGATCCGAATAGGAATGATCAAATCATTGCCCCTGAATCTAGCAATGCTGCCGGTTCCTCCAACCAAAAGCCCCAGACTAATCAGCCCGAGCCAGAGGACGAGGAACTCCACCGATCCTGGTTAGGCCGGCTTGTGGACCGGTTCGGTGCCCTAGAACTGGAGAACAAGGGTAGTGTGGCACGAGATCACTTGGCCTTGGGTAGGAATACCTCGTCTTTTTTCTTAAAATAAAAAAATTATTATTTGGGAATATCCTCGCTAACCGCGCCTACCAGAACGAACATTCCTAGCATGGATGCGCACCTCTCTGGCATTTGCCTCCATCGGCATCGCCGTTACCCAACTATTCCGATTAAACAGCGCCACTGCGTCTTCAAATGCCAACTATCATGGCTCGTACAACAATCATCCCGGAATTCAACCCCCTTCCGGTCCTGCGTCCATTCTCGACACCTTCGCAATGACCCCTTCGTCCCAGGATACATCCAGACTACGCAGTGTAGGAAAACCCCTCGGCTCGACTTTTATTGGCGTTGCTATCTTAATTCTAATCATCGGATTCCACCGTTACTTTGAGAGCCAGTACTGGATTGTCCGTGGAAAGTTCCCTGCCAGCAGGGGCAGTGTGGCACTTACGGCTTTCGTGGCAATTGCATTGATTATTGCGGCATTTGCGGTGATATTGGCTGTGTCGCCGAATGCATATGAGTCTTAAGTCTTCTTGCATGGGTTATAGCGTTTCTAGGGTTTTTCCTTGTACTTCTTTTCTTTTCAGCTATGGGTCTTATGCATAGTTTTCGGGATTTTTATTTTGACTTGATACCATTAAGCTTTGGAAGTAGGGAAAAAAAAATACTAGACTGGTCGATGTTACAGAAATATTAGAAATATTCCAATGATGTTGTTGCCTTCTTATAGTCTTCTAACAGCGGGGTTTGAGTTGGTGAATATAGTCTGGTCCCATGGGCTTCGATCTTCTTCCTATTTCGACCCCGAAATAATAGATCATTGCAAAGCATACGCTACGGCATTGGTATTATCGCCATGTATAGACCAACTACTTAAGAAAAATATCGATAGAATGTTTCTTTCTTTTCGGTCAACAGCCCCAGATCCACCCGCACCAGACCAGTCTAGGCACAATATAGAAGAGGCAGTGAGGGAAACAAGATTGATGGGAAGGATATCAACAGGATAGATAGCCGGAGGAAAGAAAAGGAGACAAGGCACGGCTTGCAGATCATGCGGAGTGCGAAGCAAAAGAAACGGGGAAATAAAGACCAAGGTAAACAACCGCCTAAATAAAACGCTTATCGTGGGCCAAGTTTTGCCAGGGCACGCGCTCCCTGCTCCTCCCACTCCTGCTTGGAGACCCACATGTCGTCCTTGTCGGCGATCTGAAATTTGATGTTAGTTTGATGTGAAACGAGATGAGAAGGGAATGCAGACGACTTACCAGGTTGGCTAGCACAGCACCACCCAGGAAGACCATGTGTCTCCGTCGTGGGGGATCCTCGATGCGGACCTTAAATTTCTGTAGGCTCTGTTAGTCTCAAATTTCTGGGGTTGCAGTAGCTTTTTCTTGGACGTACGTTCAGACGCTCTGGGTCTCCGCCCAGAACACGGGTCAGCCAGAGCTGCTTCAGCTCCTTCTCCAATCGAGAAGGCAAGCCGGGGTACATGCTGCTACCACCGCTGAGCACGACGGCCTTGTATAAGCTGGATCGGATGTCGACATCGGTGCCTTGAATTGTGTTGAAGAGCAGCTCGGCCATACCGGGCTGGTCCACGTCGACCAAGTGAGGCTGGAAGAGACACTCGGCGGCCTCGAATCGTTCGCTACCAACGCGGATCACACGGCCATCAGGAAGGGTGTAAGACTCGACCAAAACGGTGGTATCCTCCGACAGCTGTTTGTCAAGCTCAAGGTCGTACGAAACGTAGCACAGCTTCTCCTTAATCTGGCGAACGGTCTCGAAATCGGCGGTACGGTTTAGCGCGTATCCACGGCGCAGGAGAAGAGCAATTAGGTTGCGGGTGACATCACGACCAGCAACGTCCAACCGCTTGATGTGGTGGTTCAGCACGGTCGACTCGTAGACGGGGATGATGTGGGTCACACCGTCACCGGAGTCCACGACCACACCGCTGCTTAGACCCTGGGCATACAGTGCCAGCACCGCCTGGATCGCCACATAGACACCTCCAAAGTTGTATCCCTCCAGCATAACCTCGGCCATCTGTTCGCGGTTCTTGAGCGGGTTCATCGGCGGCTCGGTGAGGAGGATCTTGCGGCCTGTAGGGTCGATCTTCAACTTGTCGTAAAAGGTGTAGTTCCAGAGATGTTGCATATCATCCCACTTCTTGACGATACCATTTTCCATCTGTAGGTACCGATTAACAAATGCATGCCTTTGCTGCCTTCTGCGGAGAGAGGGGCGGGGTAAGGAACGGTGAGGGCCGGAGCCTCATGCAACTGCGACGTACCGGGTAGCTGATCTGGAGCATTGATCGAGCAGCGGCAGCTTCCTCTCCGCACATGATATCCTTCACAACAATGTCGCCAGCCTGCTCCTCCGTTCGCAGGATGGGCCGCCCCACTATCGATGGGAACTGGTGCTCTGGGAAATTCTGGCACACGGACGAGTCAGTGGGTGGTCCAATTGTTAGATAGTGTCTTGTGACATACCTGACCGGCATAGCCGACCTTGAGGAAACCCGTTCCTCCATCGAGGACTGCGGGATGTTAGCTAGGTGGAGCTGGGGGGACAACACGGTCGCCTAAGGAGAGGGCGCACATACCAATGGGCGTATCCGCCATTATGGAGGCAGATGGAGATATCAGATTCCGGGTGAGTTCTATGCGCGGAGCTCCCGGGAGAGGGGAATTGGAGGTGTGGAGGTGGGGAGGGTGAGATGATGGGGAGTCGAGGTACACATTGAAGTTGGCTGCTGCGCCATCATCATCATCGTTATTTACGTGACATTACAATACGTCAGTACTCCCCGCAAAACACTATAAATTGCGGGCACCAGCCGCTCCCCATTACCACTCCGTAATTGCATCAGCCACTATGTATTCAATCTGAGTAAGTAGCTATGCCATGAAATGAGACTTGGGCGAAATTAATTCGAATTAAAACATAATTAAGTTACGAAAGACTCACGATCTTGAAGAGGCAGAGAAATGGACACTGGCTAAGCGATTGGGTCGAAAAGTCATAGATTCAAGGGTCAACTGGTTGCTGGCTTCATACACCAAGAATCATATTGTGAGGATGTAATGAATATGACTATATGTATAGTGTTAGTTATCTTGATATCACGGTCGTTTCGTAGAAAAGGTAAACTACAATACCACGAACTATAATTCTGCGAGAAGTCAGTTAAAAGAAGGGTATTTGTGTAGTTCCATCCTGAGCATCTCGGTCTCAATTTGTGACTTACCAAGAGTATATTAAACATCACCTAGTCACCGCTATCTTCACTACTTTTCCCTTTATAGAAATTGAACATACTTAGACCAACAATCAAGTAATTCCGACCGGTGGATAGTAGTTTCCAGAGGTGTTAGTTTCATCACCATCTAGGCAGAACACAACTTTGGCCGTAGACCATTGGAGCCATTGATCCCCATTATGACTCTTATTCAAAGTGTAATAAATGTCGGATCTCCCTCCCGACAAAATTGGAAGATATAGTCGGGCCGAGTTCTTTATTAGCAACATTTAACCTCTTTCATAGTCAAATTCATCCCCTATCGGCCGATTCCGATTCCCTCGGGAAACCACCCGAACGCGCTCCACCAGATAGGCCTCTTCAACCGATATATCATAGCGTACTTGCTCCCCACACATCTTCAAGTCTCGAACCCAAGCATCAAGCTCTTACACAGCCCCCCAGTTTGATTGTCAGTGGTGTCTGCAGAGATTGACAGCAACAAGGCCAATCACGGTCAACTCCGACACACCAACAAACACAATGACTCAAATCGGCTGGGTAAGTGGTTTCTCCAGTCAAATCCAGAGCAGGTCAAAATTAACCGATAAACCAGTATGGCCTTGGATCCATGGGTCTCGCCATGGCGAGCAACCTGCAGCGACACCTCGTCACCAAAAAGTCCCTAAACCTGCTCTACACCAACCGCACAATGTCGCGTGGTACACCACTGCAGGCCCTTGGCGCCGTCGCCGAACCCAGCTTTGAGAAGCTGGTATCGCGCTGTGGAATCATTTTCACTATGGTATGTAGACTAGCCTGCCACCAGAACCATGCAAACCCACCATGTACTGGCGCGGACATAAGCTAACGATGTCGGTCAGGTCGCAAATGACTCTGTTCTACAGGGCCTCATCTCTTCAGCTGTCCAATCGGGCGATTCACTCAAGGATAAGATCTTTGTTGATTGTTCGACCGTTCACCCCGATATGGTGAGTTCAGCTATTGCGCAGCTGAAAGTACCCGGTGCTTCGTTTGTTTCTGCGCCTGTTTTCGGCGGGAATCCTATTGCCGTTGATGGCAAGCTTGTATTCGCAATTGGTGGCCCTAAGAGCGCGACCGATGCCGTGAAGCCGCTTATTCAAGATGTCATGGGTCGTAAGGTCATTGAATGTGGTGAGGATGCTACCAAGTCTTCTTTGTTGAAGATTGCTGGGTATGTGCTTTCGTGGTAATGATTCGCAGCTTGATTGCTGACTTTGGTGCTAGTAACATCGTGACTGTTAATATGATGGAGGCTGTTGGTGAGGCACAGGTCTTTGCTGAGAAGACTGGACTTGGTACGGGTCCTATGGAAGAGTTGATCGGTGAAGCTTTTGGTCCTGTGGCCGGCGGCTACTCTAAGAGGTATGATTCTTTCCTCCGTATCGTAGTGCCATTTCTAACTCTTTTAGATTGACTACTGGAGCCTACGCACCGCCCCTGGACTCGCGCCCTGGATTCGGCGTATCCTTGGCCATCAAAGATGCGAATCATGCTATTTCCATGGCACAGGCAGAAGGTGTCAAACTTCCTGGTCTCGAGCTGGCTCGTGCCAACATGGAGGCTGCTAGAAACTATGGTGGTGAATGCCTCGATAGCAGTTCTATGTATGGAGTACTGCGACAAAAGGCCGGCCTTACATTCTGGAATGAGAAGAGCCGAAAGCAATAGACTAATGACTCATAGAAGACTGTACGCTACTATATCCATAGAAACCTTGTTCAGATCAACATATAAATGCTCAATACGTTCACTCATTTCCCGGCCCCTGGTCTTACGCTAGACAGAAGACTGCTCTTTGGCAAACCCAACTCCAAGAAATCATCAATCTCATCATCTAGACTCGCCAAAAACTTCTCTTTATACCAGACTGGCTGCCATCCTACAATGTCTTTGTTTACGCAAATCACATCGGTCCTTTGATTTCGCCATTAGCATCATCCCTCGTGCCTCCTATCACCCGCATTAACTTACCCGGCATTCCACATACTATAAGCCCATTTCGCTGGGACTCCCACTGCTTCAGAAAGAACCTCATCACTAGGCCAGACCTCCGTCTCTGCCGTGGTTACAAGACCACGAGCATATAGTCTTTCTGCTAGTCGACTGAGGATATCCCACCAGGGAAGCGCTTGGGAGACAACAAAGAAATAAGCGTCTTTATCTGTTGGTAGCTTCTTTCCTTGCAGAATTGCTTCGACCAACTTTGTGTAGAACGTTATTAGATCTGATATGTGCGTGACGGGGAGATCCTAGCGTATGTTTTAGTAATGGTGGGCGCAAGGAATTACTCACTGGTAATAGACTCACCCTGTTTTCGGCGAACTTGTACACTTTCTTGCGCTCGATGATGGCTCTGATTAGAGCGGGCAGTTGAGGCGAAAGTTGGTTCCATGTACCGCCCCCACGACCGTGGATAGTTGGTGGCATGACGATGAACCCGTTAATACCGGCTTTCTCCAATTCATCGATGATGAAGGTATCAACCTATTAACAATTAGTATCCCGGGATGATACCCACTCATATTCTGGACCTCTGGAACAATATTCCTTACATGTCTGACAATATATGAGTTTGCAGTCTGTTTCTCCATATCGTAGACCGAGTCAGTATCTTTGATAGCACCAAACGGCCAGCCTGTAATCTCATCGAGTGCAGATAAGCCTGACGTCTACTGGAGTTAGTCTAGAATCAGGTTTTGTCAGGGAGAAAGCTTTACATGGATAAGGTATGTCTCCTTCCCGGTGACTAGACGACGTTTCGAAAGTCCCGTTATAAGGCTCAGCACGGCATATTTGTCAATAGAAGTTGCGGTGTTGATGATAATGTCGACTATGAATAATTAGAACTCTGTATCTCAGTCCAAATAATTGAGAAGACAGAACTCACTCTCCTTTGAAATGATATAGCTTGCCACGGCTTTCTCATCCTGGAGATCCATCTGTATCACGGCGACATTGTGATCAGCCAGGCTCAAAGCCTGATCTTTCGAACGCACGGCTGCATGGATTCTTGCGGACCCAAGTAAGCCTTGTTTCTGACACAGGAATTCTGTGACGATGGATCCCCCTCTAAATAATGTTAGTCGTGCTTTGAACCGACTCGAGTCAAATGTCGATCAACGAACATGTAGCCCCCGGCACCGGTGATAAGGATATTTGGTGGCATTGTGATATGACAGAGCCTGGGCTTTAATAGGTCAAGATAAAAAAGATAAGTTAGTAGGCTTCATCACCAGTAGACTACACTGTAGGTGACGTTGTTGAGTTCTGATCGGTCGGTGTTAACGGGGATTAAGGCTCAGCTCCGGATACCCAATACCTACACGTTAAGTAGACCTCTGAACAGCACTTGCAATCAATATTGAGTTGAATTAACTGCTTGGGAAAAAAGGTCTAACGTCACCAGCTTGCTTTGGCTGAAATCGCTAAAAAAAATGATTTGGCCCCAAATGTAACGACGCCATCAGGCTATAAAGTGGGGTCTGCTTTCTACTGTACCCCAACATCATAAGTCAAGTAACGCATACAATTAAATTGTCTAACCGCTTTTAAATATGATCAGGGACTCGTTTTGAATAGAGATGACCATTGCAAGCAAGAACATATATCTCTAAAAAAACGTTCTCTTTTGTCCAAGCTGAGGCCAAGTGTAAGGGCAGTCAAAAAAGCAACGCGAAGTAGTTGTATGCATCAGGACCTAAATGTAGATAGATGTTCACCAATATATGAGTTCTAAAGAGCAAAGAAAAAACCAAACATGTCAAGAATTGACGAAATCAAACACCACCACCCACCGCCCACGCTTAAATTACGAGCATGAAAACAAAATTGCTGGGACTTAACCAAGTCCAGCTTGGTGAGGCACCACCGAGAGGCTTGCGCCTATATTGACTGAGAAGGAGAGCCGGCCTTTTTTAACTCTGGTTTGATACTTGTAGTGTCGACCAGACCAGGATATGTCTCCGCGAACAATGTGCCGAGTGTCCAGTTGTTGAGATTGCGCATATGTCGCTCAAACACCGGGTTTATGAGCAGCTCGTCCGAATCACCAGCCGATAAAAGACAGTCCGTGGCTTCGTATGGCCAGTTCAGGGACATGCCTCGGGTGAAAGGGATGAACCAATTTTCAAACGGGTAGTCTCGATGAGAGGTAGCAAGGCGGTCGCGCATACGTGGCCAAGGAATATAGTCTATCCATACAGGATGTGGTGTAAATAATTGAGTTGGTCGTGGAGTGAGCCATTCGGGAAGCCGGTCGTAGTTCTCCTGCGTAGGGTAAATTTGCCAGCGCATGAGGAGGAACATGGTGAATAGAACGGCCACCTGCTCTGGCAAGGAGGAGATGTCTGGGAATGTGCGGAGGATGTCCGTGAAGACCTTTGAGACGGGATGCGAATTGGCACTCTTTTCCGGGTTTAGTAGGGAGGAGACACTTGGGTATGGCGGTCCGGCAAGTTTCTGTCGGGGGATTCCTTGTGCGGCCTCGCGTTGTCGGTTGTCAAGGAAGTCCATTAAAATGCTGTCCAGGGTGCAAGTCGGTGCCGTATTCTTGATGGGTGTGGAGAATGCGATCGATGTTTGCTCGGGAGGGTAATTCAATGGCTGTAAGTAGAATGGTGGAGCAATGGGATGCGAGGTTCGCAGGTTCTCTGAGCTGCTGCGCCGGAGACGGTCGACCTTAGGAACATTGTGTGTAGGATCCAAAAGGAAATTGAAGCCGAGTCGTTCTTCCATGCCAAAATCTAGTCCATGGGCAATACTCTGGGAGAGTGCCGCTCGGTATGACGCAGGCTGGTGGATTCCATTGTTACTGTTACGACGGCTCCCCAGAATTGGCGCAGAATGGGTAGGAGAGGGTGTATCGAGGCTGGCCAGTGATTCCGCATATGGCTTTTCGGAGGGGACCCCAGCGTGGGGAGTTGGGGTCAGGTTGTCTGGCTCGAGGATGGGAGGTGTATGAGATAGAGGGACGGATCGCGGTTGAGCCAGGCAAGCGGGTAAATCTGTATATGTCAACTCAAATCCACTACTTAAAGATTGATTGAAACATACCCGGTATCTCTGGCCTTGCAAGCAGAGGCTGGATGATCTCCATTGCTGCTTTGAGTCCCTGACGAAGCTCCCTGTTCTCCACCTTGATTCGCTCATTGTGTTGCAAGGCGGCCTGGAGGTCGAGGAAGGGCTTCTGCGATGAGAGGTCCCGAACCTGCTGCTCCAATGCTTCGATGGTTGTTTTTGTGCGCTCGCGGATCGCCCGCTGAGCCTGGCGATCATTCGCCCGCTTCTTGGCCAATTGATCTGGGGTAAGATTGGCGACACCGCGTGCGGAAGCGCTGTTCAGCTTGCGTTTTCGCCCAGCAGTCGTCGGAGGGCCATTGTTATCATGTTCTTCCATTAACAAGGAGTCCGGGCCAAGCGAAGCCGGGCGGGATGGAACTGGTGAGTCTTCTGACTTTGCGATGAGGGTGGGATGTGAGCGACCCTCTATGCCCATTTCAATTGGTGGCGAAGGCGCGGCATAGTCGCTCAACCCAGGCGGAGCGCGGCCGGACATGCCTCACATTCACGCTATACAACAATGAAAGCCATTCAGGAGGAGAGAAATTTGGGGGCTAAGATCGGGATCTGGTCAGCCGGCATTGGGGAATGAGTGGGTCAAGGAGAGAATCCCATCACGGCCGCGAGCATTCTTTGGGTTCGGGAAGAGCGGGGAGGCCCGTCAAACATTTCCCAACTATTGAATTGATTGAAATAGTGTTCTTATTTTATGGCTTAAACCCATAAAGGTCCTTTTCAAGCCTGGTTCATGCGGGTGGATCACAAGTAAAGTCAAGGCATTCGGATTTACGAGTATAAAAGGCGCGACAAATGCTCCACTCCATTCTAAAACAAATCCAAACTCCATTAATCCCAAAATAGATAGACTGTACATAGTCATGCAGCATTTTCTGATCATAAAGATACCGAGACATCGATCCCAGCGCACAGTATTGAAGAAAATCATGTCCAAGGTCAAGTAGGGAATATGTAAGAAAAAGGAAAAAAACTCTGAAAGAATAGGTCGTGTCGATCATGTACAAGGGTGCATTAGTTCTAGATAACCGAGCCACCCTCTTGTCCAGCAGGACGAAGAAAATAATCGAGTAAAAATAACAAAGAAACAAAGGAGGGCTGAGCGTTAAAGTCGAACGATTATTGGATCATATGACCCATTTTTGAGATCTATCATCATGGCTTTGTTAGCGCGGAACATGGCTGCAACGTTTATGCATGAACGAACCTTAGTCCTCAAATAGCCCTCAATCTCTGAACTCTTGATTCCCCGTTCTCCGCCAGTCCGCCAAGCCAGGGGAACCATTGGTACTCTCTCTTTAACCAGGACTTCACGGTTAGGTCCTTCAATGGCACGCACTTTATCGGGGTTGTTGGTGAGCAACCGAACACCCTCCGGGTTCACATCCGCGCCACAGCCAAGATCCATCAGCATGGCTGTCGCCAAGCCATAGCTCCGAGCATCCGCCGGGTGTCTCAGGAGGAGATTGGCCTCGACAGTGTCGGATCCCAGATCTTGCAAATTATAAGCCTTCAACTTCTCGCCGAGGCCAATTCCTCGACCCTCCTGTCGTAGGTAGATAATGACACCTCCAGCAGATTGCGACCTCAGCGATTGTGCCTCCGGTGGCGCGTCAGACGCTAGGTCTTCCACAGGGAAAGACATAAGTCGTGCGGCTTCGTCCAGCTGTTCGCCGCAATCGCAGCGAGCCGACCACGCAGTCTCTCCTGTATAGCATTCCGAGTGGATGCGCACCAGTGGGGGCTCAACATTCTGACTCGTTGATTGGGACTCGGGCTTTGCATCGTCAACCCAACTGCTCACGCGACCCGGGTGCAGTTTGCCCACGTATGCGCCGCGAATCATGCGATCCATCTCAGTCTCTCCTGGTCGAACGCGATCTAGGCTGCGGCTGCGAATATTGTTTCCAAACACAATGGCCAAGTGCTCTTTATTATCCATGTCATTAAGGTAGAGGTGCAAGAACATCTCTGCGCCGTTGGTTGTCGGGATTCGTGCCCGGACAATGCATTCTACCTTCGGGAGTTGTTGAAGAAGCTTCGGCGCTTTCGCATGTTCACCTGGGTGTTGGAGGTTCGCGGCTTGGTTGTGATGAAGTATTTGTGTAGGGTTCAGGTCCAAGTTTAATGTGCCACCGGGGGTTGCGGGCGGGGTGAATGCGGGTGATAAAAGCGATTCTGGTAGCGCTGGTGTCTGTTCACCGGCCGCTGTGCTGCTTGATTGACTGGCATCGTCGGCGAAGAGTCCCTCTGGTCGGCTGGTTGGAGGGGTCGGATGCGGGGCGAGTTTGGGTGAGGCGTGGGCCGGTAGATTTGCCATTGCGACGGTGGGGAGGAATAAAGGGAAAGGAGCTTGGCGAATCTGCTTTTGCAGGGTTCAAAAGAAACAGAACACAAAAAAGCACCTATACAATTGGTTTCTTCCTCCTTTTTTTTTTTTTCCTCTTGACGGAATCAAAAGCGGCGGATAATGGCGTCGATTATCAGACCGGGGCCCTCGGCATGAGGGGGGCTGACTCATCTCTGTCAGTGCTTACTCTAGCAGCTTCCATCTCGACTTTCTCCACATTTTTCATCTAGTCCCATGTTTGAGATCATTTTCATATAGTATGGGCTCATCGGTTGGTTCGGTTATATCTTCAAATTTCTATACATCCGCTTCTTCATGTTGACGAAGGAAAACGATACTGCGCTAAGCATTCAAGCTGATCTTCTGATGGAAAACGGCCAAAATTGTCGCTGATCTCCGATTGTGACCCCGGGATGGCCTGATGAAGTCGATAAGCCCAATCCATCACTTACCAGGCATCATCCGCACCCCAGACTTTCTTAACCGGAATGTTACTAGGGTTTAATGCCTGCAATGGAACATCATAGCGCGTTGGTTGAAAAAGACTTCCCAGTCCGATGGGGCCAGAGATATACTTCACAAAGGGCTTCAAGCTATCCTCGCAAATCTCTGCTTATCGTGCAAGCAGAAGCAGAATCTCTCGAGAATTGGTGCGGTGATCCTCGCCTTGTTCATCACAGAGTGGGGCAGGCCTATCGCCATGCGCCTTCGTTCGCTTAGAGGGGTTCTCATCAAGATTACTCACGTCGATGTTTGTGATGATCGCAATTGATAAGTATGTAAAACTCCCAAGTCACTTACGGCTCCGCCTTTGATGTCATGTGACACCTTGGAGGTCCACGGGTGGAAGCTGTCCAAAACCCAGCATGAAAGTATCAAGACCATCGATACCTAGCCCATAATGGAGGTATCAATCTTTGTTTCCAGGGTCACTTGGAGAGGACGTAGTCAAAATATTGAAGACCTGGGTTTTCGGAATCACCTATCTGTTTTCAGCCGCGGGAGTATCTTGCGATGTAGAGAGATGTTGGTGGGTTCTGTGTTGCAGTGCAGCCGGTCTTTCCGTGCTATAGACGTCATATGTGACCTCGGAATGCGTTTATTGGGACAGTCTTAGAGACAAGGGGGGCCTTCTGAATAAACATAAATATGAAGTCCGCATTGTTATTTGAAAAACAGGCTGACAAGGTAGCTAGGTCCAGAGCAAATAAGCACTTGAATTTGTTGGCATAGAACGGGCAGTAGTGCTTATGTTGTACATATATTGCTGTACATTCGATGAAGCTGGGATTCATAATACGCTTTGGAAAGACTGTTGATCTTTAGCCGTTTAGCATCTACATATCTATAATTACAAGTAAAGTTTCCGGCATCTTATTCCCGATGTCATGCCATTCAAAGGATTATAGGTATCTATCTAAAGTTCGTGTTTGGATGCGGACATAATGTATTTCTGGAAACGGGTGAAATTGAGAAATCGCACTATATATACTATTGTAGTATCCCGAGGTCACACTTTTATTCATCTCGCTTAAGAACGCGCCAGTTTCCAAGGTCTTTCTATCACATTTCAAATGTGGAGCTTGTTGGCGGCTTATGGACGAAAATCGATGCTCCAGCGGCCTATAGTAAGGAGTAATAGCTCGAATAGCATTGAACCTGGGAGCTTTTGCTACTGCCCCGATTTCTGGCTTCAACTCATTCCAGGTAAAAAAAAAAAAATATATCGCCAGTCCATTTCCCTCGGGATGGCAAGCTGTCGCAGATTACAACCGACATTCTTGATCATACTGGCCTGTCTTTGAAAAGAAAGCGATTGATCATGTGGAGAAGGGTAAGGATAAGATGGATTAGTACACTCAAAGAAAAATTATTATAGATTTGACCAGCGTCCGTATTCGGATTCCCCGAGCCTCACTAAGCAAGTTCATGTATTAAGCATGTTCATGTATTGGGCATGAGTCGTTCATAACCAGTCGGAATTTCCGCTGGCTCTCGGGTAGGAAAGAACCTGCCAAGAATCGGGTTTCTACTTATGAGGTAGAAATAAGCCCGGCCATTTAGTTCAGAACCAACTGAGCACCACAAAGCCACCAATAGGAGGATTCATTATTTGTTGTACACTAAAAATATAACACATGTCTGTCTTACTGTAAACACTGTAGTGCATCAATTTAGGGCGTCCTGTTGTGGGTAATGCGAATCCTGTTCATGGGGCCGTCATGACAGGGTCCGAAATACGAGGCCGTAAAAGCCCCTGTACGATCTGGAGATACTGGGGTTAAAAAAAACCTATAACCCGAATGTCCGAGCACACAGACCACTTTTTGTTTTGAAATAGAGTCATTTAAGCTCTCTCTTCGGGCATTATAACCGAGCTAATCGATAAGGCCGTCAGCGATCTATCTCCGATGATGGTAGAAAGAATGCGGATACGTGGATAATGGGGTTACAAATGCCGAAGGGCAATGGAGAGCTCGCTAGGTTCGGCCAGACATGATGGATTAATGCGGGCGAGGATGGGTGGGGTGATTGACGTGGCACTGGATCTGATCGATCGACCGGTACCCACTATGTACACTATGCATATGGGATCATAAAAGCCACCTGCTTATGAGCTCGAGCAAGGCTGTATTATGTCGGGCGTTGCTCAAGTTCTTAGGGCACGTCCCTTGTTTGCCGCCTTGGCGTGCAGTTCACAATGACGTGTACACCGGTACTTCCTTGGCCTTCTGATCAGCCAAATGTTCTGATACCGAGTTGTGTAAATACAGTACGTTGATAAGAGCTTCTCTGAAAAGTGCAACAAGCATCACGAAAGCAAGAATATTATTATTGATAGTCAACCAAGTACCAGGAAAAGACAAGCACATGCCAGGAGCTGATTACGCGCAGCAAACAAATATAGCCAGATAGTGAGTCTGGGCACGAACACTTCTCGTTCAGTCCAATCTTCCAGTCTCAAGCACCTCATTACAGCTCCGCCCCCAATTGGCTAGCTCAAAACACTGTCAGTGGACGGCGCAATCGTCCTCAGGGTCACAAGCACCTTTTCAGTCCCCGATTGATCGACATTGCTCCAGCTCAGGGTATATACCCCACTGCTTCCCGAAACTGGCTCAGCGTAGAAGATGGCGTTTTCTACATTAACCATGACATAGTTTCCATAGGTCCACCACACATCAGTGAGCTTCCCAGAGGTACTGTCAGATGACGTGAAGCCAACTTCATTCGTGCCGCTGTTAGCCATGTACAATAGCTTGGTGGTCCAAGCGGCACTGGAATCTGGATGCGCGACCCAAGTATCGACATCTGAGTCAGAAGTCGTCACTAGGATGGTGCGATTGTGTTAGTCTGGATGCGGGTAGCTCTTCGCGACTGTGAAAATTTTGAAGTTGGGAAATTTTGCTTACGGTAGATAAAGGTCTCATCCGACTCAGTCGATTCACTGATCATGGCGACACCTGTAGGAATGCCCGTTTTAGTTCTGAATCAAAAACAAATGGGGTCAAAAATCAAGTATCCCTTACCATCTGAGTAGTAAACTTCAAGGCCGCCGATGTTGGCTCCATAGGCGTAAATTTTGTATTCAATGCCTCGTTGCTCTAATGGGTGAGCTGAGACAAGACCAAATGCCGCAAAGGCTAAAGGTAGTATGGAAGAAAACCACCGCATTGTTCGGGACCAGAGATGTTGGAGTTGGGAGTGAATTCAAATGGAAAAAGTCAATGAAGATGTTCAAGCGGAAAGGCTGTTGTCTGTGTATAGGGAAATCTGTATGTCTATAAGCTGGACAGCGGTGCTGAGCTGAGGTTATATCCTGGGAATAACTTCCAAGGTTTTCGTAAACATTGTACCTCGCAGGAGATGTACGTACGCTTTCCCCTGCCCAGGCAGCTGCCCTGGACGGATTCGCGTATAGATACGAAAGTTAATTCAAATTTTCAAACTCCGGAAAGTCCAAATGACCCGCGCTTCAATTCCCCTCGTTGAACGTTCTGCATGAGACATTTGGTATTCCGAATTCACGGTCCATCTCTTACCAGTCGGAGCAGGGTTAGAGAGGCAAAAATGTCGTAGAATGCCGGCGCCACTCAAGCTATGGCTCATCCAAGAGCCGCTAAAGCATCAGCTTGGATTGCATGTTGTCGCGTGGCGCTGCTACTGACCTTGTATCTGTCGGAAAATATCCGAAGAAGAGTGAAAACTCACACATGTTTAACTGCAGCTGAAGCAATGTGTTTCCTCTTTTGGACAAAAGCAGGTTTTACTCCAGGCCGAGGTGAGACATGCAGATATTGCAGTCATGCCAAGATGCCCCACGATGCTTTGGTGGAGGTAGGGCTAGCGGTGAGATATGGGGTCTGTACGGCTCTTCGGGTTTGTATATGCTAGGACCCTGCGACGGAAGCGAATCGACCAATCCTTCAATCGCGATTGCTCCAAGATCGGTTAAAACCGACTCTGGGGCGTCCAGACCCCCACTAAGGCATGCATTTGTCGCTTTGGCTGGCTTGTATCCTTCGGGTCCATCTGACATGAATACGGGGTTTATGCGGGCCTAATGATAGAAGAGGCGGACTTCGGGGGTGCGAGACACCTCGAATTTCCGTAAAGCTTGTTGTAGGATGTATATATAGTCCAAGAGACGGACTTGGAGTTATATGCCCCATTCTCACTCGCTATTTCTGTCTGAAGTCCTATCTTTATGGGAGAGAGACCCTCAGATCAAGTCTTGTTGTAATCTGAGTGAATAATCTACCATGAAGTTTCAATCGTTACTTTGCTTGGCCTATGCCTTAGGCGCGGCTGCGCTTCACATCCCTTTAGTCGAGCGTCAGCCTTCGAGCAAGTCCAAAGGATGCTCTGGAAACACCGCCAAGACCAGATCAAAATGGTGCGACTACGACATCCATACCGACTATGATTCCGTTGTGCCCTACACTGGCGTCACGCGGGAATATACGTTCAACATTGACGATGTCACTGTTGCTCCAGATGGATTCTCTCGTCCTGCTATGGCTATCAATGGCCAGATTCCCGGCCCTACTGTCTATGCAGACTGGGGTGATGAGGTTGTTATCCATGTAAACAACCATATGACCACTTCCGAGAATGGGACTAGTATCCATTGGCATGGCATGCGTCAGTTGAACACGAATCAGAACGATGGTGTTGTCTCAATCACTCAGTGTCCTACGGCACCCGGATCATCCATGACCTACAGATGGCGTGCCACCCAGTACGGTTCTTCATGGTACCATTCCCACATTGGGCTACAGGCATGGGAGGGTGTTCATGGTGGAATCGTCATTAACGGGCCGGCTAGTGCCAACTATGATCACGACACAGGCACAATGATACTTTCTGATTGGTGTCATCAGACCGCAGATGAGCTTTACCACTCAGCTCAAGTAGTAGGCCCACCAACTCTTGATAATGGCTTAATCAACGGAACAAATGTATATGGTGACCTTGGTTCTCGCTATAAAATGCAAGTCAACAAGGGCGAGTCATACCGGCTCAGAATTGTGAATGCTGCAATTGACACTCACTTTAAATTCATGATCGATAACCATACGTTGACCGTCATTTCCATGGATCTTGTGCCCATCAAGCCTTATACCACAAACTTTATCAACCTTGGAATGGGTTAGTCGGAACCGCTCACTTGGAAATTGACCAAGCTAATTTCTTCAACAGGTCAACGCTACGACGTGATCGTAACAGCCAACCAGGCGAAGATTGCCAGCGACTTCTGGATCCGAGCAATTCCTCAGACCTCATGCTCCGAGAACGACAACGTCGACAATATCAAAGGCATTTTTCACTACAACAAGAAAGCTGGAACCCCAAAAACCAGCGCCTATAGCTTCGTCGACGGCTGTGTCGACGAAGACATGAGCAATCTCGTCCCAATCGTCCAAAAGTCCGTTTCACCCGCAAATTGGGAGGGCTTGGAAGACGTGGTTGTTGCTTTTAACTCGGACAACCTCTTTCGTTGGTACCTCAACAGCACCACGATGGAGATTGAGTGGAATAATCCCACCCTGCTACAGGTCCACAACCGCGTAACCCACTTCTCAAACTCGAGCGGTGTTATTGAGGTGCCGAATGCGGGTGAATGGGTTTACCTAATGATCAACACTACTATGCCAATTGCACACCCTATTCATCTCCACGGACATGACTTCTTCATTCTTGCACAGGGAACCAATCCTTGGGATGGAACTACACTTACAAGTAATCCACCGCGACGTGACACGGCTATGTTGGAGAGTTCTGGGTATCTGCTCCTTGCTTTTGAGACTGATAACCCCGGCGCTTGGCTTATGCATTGCCATATTGGTTGGCATACATCGGAGGGATTTGCATTGCAGTTTGTTGAGCAGTATGACAAAATTCCTAATCTCATTGATTACTCGTCGCTCCAGCAAAACTGTCAAGCTTGGAACAAATATGACAAAGCTTTTGGTGTTGAGCAGGAGGACTCTGGAATTTAATTTTAATGTGTGAATACCTTCAGAGCATCTGAGCACTTGCATGATTGGGCATCTTGTTTTCTTATCTTTTTTGAAGCTAATGACATGACGACTTGGTGGACATATTAATTAATGTTATGCATGACCTTGTTACTTTTCGCGCAAAATTAATTGACAATATCTTACTTTACATCCAGAAATTGTATACACTCTTCGCGATTCTTCAAGAGATCCATTAAAGCCACATCACGGCATATTATTGCGACACTTTCCTGAGACTATATGAAGCCTAGAAGCGTAATGGCAGTTTAAATGACATGCTGCCCGGTTTCCTTCGCAATTCAAAGCAATTGCTGGGCGTGAGGAGTCAACCTAGAACGCTATTGGCCTGGAGTAAAGGTTCAATTTAAGCGTTATCTTGCATAGTAACTTAATTTGATTTAACCGAGGCTATGTCAGGAATCTACGCGCGAAAGCGGGAAATTAGAATCATTCAGGAAATCAGAATATGGAATTTGATCCTTAATCTCCTGTCTTGATTGAATGCTGATAACAGGACCGTCAAAATATACCTGCTTGAGCAATATAGCATTTCCCTCGTCGATGCCCGTCTCATCATGGAATTATGGGCTTTGTCAGTTTCCAATGATCAAAAAAGTATCAAGCTGATGCATTGCCTACCCTTTTCAACAATGATATTATTTCTACTGCATCCTGCTTCTTATTTCGGGCTGTGTCTTATCATGTAGATTTACCAATTTACATACTAGATTTCCTCCCAAAGTTCCCATTGAGCCAACTTACTATCTAAGCACTTAGTGCCTGGCTAGTGAGCATCAGCGACTGCTCATGTGTTTCATGATTGCTTTAGATTTGGTGTGTTTCGTCCTATACGCCTAGGCGACTGGTTCTATCCTCATCGCACATGCTCCTGATCCCATGATTAATCGCCTAGGAAATGATTGGCCCGTAGTTTTTTGAACAAGGTACATAAAATTTGGGTCCGTAATATTGTTGACGGTAAGGCTTCCGGTTCGGGTAGAGATCGGCTCCAGGAGCACAGCCTGAGTTAGTCCGGGTGCCGCCCTGAGCGCTCCCTGAGTACGCCCTGAGCTATCCGGAGCACTCCCTGAGCACGCCCTGAGCGACCCTGAGCGACCCTGAGCACTCCCTGAGCAGACCCTGAGCACGCCCTGAGCGATCCTGAGCGACCCTGAGCACACACCCGGAGCGAACCTGAGTACTCCCTGAGCACACCCTGAGCACACCTTGAGTGTCTATCCCGAGCCAGCCCTTTCGGTCTGTCATCCTGCTTCTAGATCCTTGCCTGCTCCGATGCTAACCGGGCTACACTTGGTATTCCTGGGAGCTCGGTAAGATGACGTATATTCGTGTCGCTACAGTGTTCTACCCGTTCTGCGTTCCCGTCGCCTCGATCCACCTTGTCGCAACTTGGAACACATACTGGCCACTACATTCAGTCCTTTTCGCTTCTCGCCAATGGATGAAAGGCTAGCTTTCTTTCTTACAACTCTGTCGGCCAACATTAATAGGCCAAGATAATACAATATGTTTTCATGCCGTCGTGCTTGATCAGTGACGTTTGATCCTGGGAGCAACCAGCCACGCCAGGATCGCGATCCTCACGCATTGCCATGCCGTATTGCGAAGGGCGACGACGTCAGCTATTCGACAAGAAAGCTCCCGGGAACTCACTCCACGGCCGGTCCTCCACGAGCGCACACGACACAGCGATTGGCCGAAGCAAAGAACGGACAAGATGCAAGATCGGTAAAAATATTCATTGCCGCATTTCCCTTGTTTATGGACTCAGAATTCATGCCGATGCTACGTCAACTGTGATCTCAGGCCCGACGGGATCGTCAAATAACTGAAGGAAGGGTGGCATTTAAAGACTCAACTGTCGCCCATTTGCAGCTTTCGCGAAGCATCAGTCAACCTTATTAGGAACCTTCTACTTCTAATCTCCATTGTCTTTCTTTTCATACAATCGAATTTCAACATGGTCACGCTGAACCACCAAAATTTTTGGCAGCCAGCGCCTTCGATTTCGGCAGTGTCCCCTTCCACAAACACAGAGAAAAGAACTGCTGAGGCACTGACCCGGCTGGCAACTCTGGATGAGAGATGCGAAGCAGAAAGCTACACTTTGGATACTCATGTACCAGAAGGTAAGTGCGGGACAGGACGCCTCGGTATGGCGAAGCCAAAATCGTTATCTTTCAATCTTTTTATATTAATGTGATTTCTCTCAGTTTCCGAGTCCCGCGATCCTTCTCGGGCAGTTTCCCCTGAATTGTATCTCAATGACACACCAGCTACTGGAACATATCCTGAATACCCGGAAGAAGTAGCTCTTTATCCTTCCTCTCGGGGTAGTGATACTCCCTCCGTTACCGGTTTAGAGGGCCCTGGGACGACAAGGATTTTCGATGTCTTTGAAGATGAGAGTGATAGGCCAAGTGAACACCTTCACCGAAACTCTTCCTCGAATAGAAGCAAGCAAACTCCGGAAGATCCGTGCGTTCCCACATTCAGAAGACGCCACTATCAAACGCCCAGAGTCGCGAACGCGAATAAGTCACTTGCAGGACGAGTGAGTCACTTGTCAGCTGAAGACTCTTCAAATTATACCCCCGAGGCCCTCTCAGCCGGCAACCTTCTCCTGCTAAGAAAAACGATCACCTACCTCAAGCGCGCTTCAAATGTGACGAGTGCTGAGGCTAGGTTTTCGAACGACTTTCCGAACATGAATGAAATTGCTAAAGAGAATCTCGCAGTGCTTCAAGTTGCAACAAAGACTCTACAGCATGCATACGGCATCATCGCTACAAGTACCACAGCAATTGATGTTCCAGTGCGAGAGGAGGTGACTGTGCAACCGAGGTCGACTGTAACGCGCCACAAATGGACCATGAACGACGAACGCCGATTATTGAAGTTGAGAGATGCTCAAAAGTTATCGTGGCGGCAAATTCATAAATCGTTTCCTGAAAGAACTATGGGTGCAGTCAAAACCCGATACTTTTTGAAGTCTGCTAGGCAGTCTGATTCTTCTTCCAGCAAGGAAAATCACTCCGTTCACAGCCAGCAGAGGAATCGTACACCAACTATGCGAAGAAGTCCGAGGCTAAATCGAGCCAGTAATGCCTCGATTGCAGTAAGTAACACGGGACGTGGTCGAAAATCTCATTCACATGATGTGCGGTGCTCCAAAAAATCGACTGTATCAAACCAGGAAGCTATTGATCCACGACTTCGGTCATACGGCAATTTATAGCTCAATTCTTTCGAGATCATATGGCGGAAAACCGAGTGTATCTCTTTGTGCTCTATCCCTGGCTCAAGTAGTGTACACAGATGATGAAACATCAATCTTGTTGCGTCCAAATGGACTCGATCCTGTTCAACTAGAATAACATATGTGGTTTTTGCTACCCCTTCCATTACTCGGAGGTACTCCTATAGTAGCCCCGCAAGCCTCCAGAAATTCTATAAAAGAAAAGGCAAATAGAATGACTTTGGAGACTGAGTGCGACGTTGGTCTGATTGCTTCAAGGCTCATATTTGCTCGATATTTAATCATAGACTCCGCCTTCCAACGATACGAAGCAGTCATGTTCCTCAATCTCAGAAATATGCAGATCTGGGAATCTACTTCGCCTTCCCAGGATCCCGAAAGCTCCTGGGGATAGATTCTCTGATCCTCAAAGCTAACCGCACGGCCCCAGGAACTGCTATTTCTAGAAATCTCGGTCCACCCCGACCAGACAACAATGACCGATTGTAGAATAGATCAAAATTGATTGGTTTGATGAATACCATACCCTCACAGTCGACGTCAAGACCCTAAAGAGAACCCAACAGACTATCTTGTATGGCCTGGCTCTTGTACATGCAAAGTTTAAATGTCGAGGTACGGAGTTGAAATATTTTCTTGGTATTTTCATGTAATGATGCGTGATTGATAAATACAGTGTGGCTGTGCCAGAGACTCTGTGGCTATGTAGCCCGTATTTGACGGCTCCTTACGTTTCGATACAAATGAAAACAGACTGGTACGTCATATCAATACATTGAGTCGGTTACGTTTTACTTAACGAGTGGGTAAGCTCGTTCGGGTATTTTATTTACTTTACTTTTAGTCTCTTAATCTCGTGATTATGTGAAGCCCACAAGTGTGCTTTTTGGCCTCTTTTCATCTGTTCATAGACATCAGGGCACCGTTCAGCTTTAGTCTGAAGGTGTCGGTTGCCCACCAGCAAACGATGATTTCAGCCAATTGGTCTATTCTTTTCGGTCTAGTCTTAAATATACACGTCAAAGAACGTTGAGGCGAGGCATTTCGAAGAACGAAAGCGCATGTGAAAACCACGTTCAACGCTCACCAATTTCGAAACGTCAAACCGAACTGCATCGCCTTATATTATAGTAGGGAAAGAATGTCAAGAGACGCTCTAATGTGACCCTCAATAAATCGGTGTCATTGATTGAGAATATATTTGACTTATCTCAGCCCCGCGCACTACGATAATGAGAGCCTCTACAGGATTCAAAGAAATGACGCCAACCTCCAGACCAGATCACCCCCTAGGAAATAGCACTGGAAGAAGAGGCAACCAGAAAGCACAGAAGAGAAGAGAAACACTTCTGAAAAAGGCTTTTGAATATTGTACAGAATGCAACGCCGATATACAAATTGTTATCCGAATGAGAAAGACGGGTCAAATTTTTGTCCTGACATCTGACTCTAATCATTGGCCCCTCTCAGAAGAGCAGCTGGTAGGTGGATGTTTGTTTCCTGTCTCAAGAACATCAGACAGGCTGACAAATTAAGGAGTCAAACCACCCATTGCCGATTCGAAAGACTATCAACGATATGTCGGCCAAATGTGCTAAGGAAAAAGTTGATGAAGTCAAGAAATTGAAGGAAAATAACGGATGATAACAGCTTGAGATGCAGAAAAAGTTGCCGCGCATGTTGCCATTATGGTGTTAGGGTATTATGAAAAGAAAGACGAACATCCTCTGCATAATGTACTGTATCTCGGAGGCCTGAATAAGACTTATGACCTTGTGAATTTCCGCTGTACTCTAGATAAGAAAGCATCTTTTATCGTGTTACGGTATTCGGGCAAGTAAATTCGGCGAAGAGACAGTGTAGAATTGATATGTATGATACTCATGGTCTCTGATAACGATTTCTTTCCAAAGCCAGGTTTCGGTGAATTTCGAACGCCCCAGACTGCTTTGAGTATATTGAACATAATAAAATTAGCAGAACGAGAACAAGTGCAAAGAGTATGATTAATAGCATAGAGCCTAAAGGTGCTTAGTTACATTAGTCCAACGATAAGCTTTCTATCCACCGGCGAACTTGATTCAGGTCTTTGTCGTGCTTGGAAATTCTTGTATTACCGCAGGCCATGCTGTTGTGCTCAATAATTGATTGCAAACAGGTGTCAGTAGATCGGGGCTGACTAGGTTCTTGTGATCAAATGGCCCAGAATGCCCAATATTTGAATAACGCAGACAAAAATGAGTATCAAGGGCGGGTCAAGTTTGTGTTTGATCTTCAAAGACGTTGAGTCACGGTGGCCATTTTTGATGAATTAGCAACATTTCTCAATTCGTTGCATCAACGCAACGCTAATATTCTTGAAGGATTCTTGTGGGCGCTACCACAGGATTTCAGCTCCGCCTAGTCAACGTAAGTCGTAGAAACTGTTCCATGTCAATATTTAAATATGCCGTGCCTTTATGTCCATTTGGAAGTCTACCTTCTATATTCTATTATCCTTTCCTAATATATTTCTTTGGCTTTGTTCGGAAGCTCCCTCTCATATACCAAAGTTCACGAGATTTCAGGGGTTACAATAATGGAATTTTTATTTGATCAATCCTCTGGTCAGGAGTCATCCATCCACGAGGACAACCAGTTGCTGCCATGGGAGTCCGACGATACATATTCCAATCCGTCTGAAACAGCTTCAGAGACGATCCAGTCGGAGACAAGTGAAGACCGCGACTTTGTCATATCCGATACCGATCAACTGTCATATGCTTCCCCTAGTTCCTCCAATCTATCCAATGCGTCTCTCAAGGAAGTGAGTTGGTCAATACCTTTCCTCTTGGACCTTTGACTGAGCGATATATAGAAGGGACTGAAAAAACCAATTAAGACTATCACTCGACGATCAGTGGACCGGAATGGGCGTCGCGTTGTTCAATATCTTGTCTTATGGTACTCCTGGGAAACCAACGATCCTTTCCAATATGAAGGCTTGGAGAATTCGTGAATGTTGTCAGGGATATAGATGAGGCATACACGCTAAGCCAAAAACGTGGACCCACATGGTGCATCTGGGTTCCCCTGAACGCGAGGAAGCTAACTCTCTTTTGCTTCCTCGCGCTACGTCTTGTATCTAGAGTCGACTATACCTTTTGTGAATATTGATCCTTCATTGAAAAGACACGCTCCTCATCAACAGATACGTGATACCCTCACAAATGTCGACTTTGAGCTCGTTCATAGCATTATGCCTGGTCCTGTCATTTGCTATCCCTTCTGCGGAAATTCAATTCAGATATTTTTCCGTCTATAAGATAGCATCCGACTGTCTTTTCATCTCCCTAAACTGCAAGCTGAACTGCAAGCCATCGTCTGTATGCTGAATCCTACTTCCCTTCTTCAATGGTCTATGAACTGAACAAGAGTACAGACTGGCGCTGTTGAATCAAAGCTAGGTATACAGAAGCGCACCTTCATCATAAAATTATCGATATTGTTTTATGATGATTGTGTTTTTTAACTTGAAAGGTACTGTTTTATGGGAAATTATCGTCGTCATATACATGCACTGCGATGATTCATTACTGTGCAGCACGCGGAGAAGTTTATCCTCGGTTTTAATAGTGTCTCGCCACAAATTGGTGCCACTACAACAAGAGGAAAGGCAATAGACTACTTCTTTCTGCGGTCCTTTTGTTGCTATGTCCCTATAGATGATAGTGTTATGGTCAAAGGCTTGAGATACTGTACCAGATATTATCGGTTAAAGTAATTATATCTAGTGTGACTCTAATCGTAGGCTATCTACCTCATCAAGTAGACAAATTACTCATGACCGTTGTTGTAGGAATTGGAAATCGATAATCTTAGATATATTAGCAAACATTATACTTTGGAATTACTGCATACAGTACTTACCTGTCAGGCGCTCGATTTCATTCATAGCTATGGCATAGCGACCATAGGCAATTCTTGCTTTCATATCCTGTTCCTGTGGGCTAAACACGTCTTTCCTGACATCTCGACGGAATGCTTTCACTGCAGCGACAACACCGTCGCCACGTGGATCGCGACGCGATTTGAAGTGCATTATCATATGGTGGTAGGTATCCCTGAGTCTTTCCGGGAGAGATCTTCTCGACTTAGAGTCCCAAAAACTCTTAGCGCTCTTCCAATCTACCACTCATTAGCTCGGCAATTCTGAAATTCTTAGTTAGTGTATCAGTGTACCTACCGTGTCTATAACCAGGTGGTAGATGTGTACCATTTTGGTCGCTCACGCTTATTTCTCAATATGAGCTTTGTTTCTTTATTTCTTTTTGTCTCTGGATCAGCGTTCTAATCTTTAGTGAGATTAATTAGGTAGGAAGGATAGAATAGCTTTGGTAACCGAGAAGGCTGAATTAGAGGCGGCGCCGTTTGAGTGAGCTCTTATTTATATTATGTCTGCCAAGGGATTGCCATCTGCTCCGGCGAGCTCCGAAAAATGTTAAGGTCTTGGAATTGCATGTTGTTCTTGCTATGTAACGGTAACTGCTCTCACCACTCTGCTGCCTGAGTTCCACCGAGTCTCGAAGGCTGGCTAATAGGGTGGTGATGCTAATAGCGGCGAAAGTATTTAATCCTTTAGATTTTTTAAGTGGAACCGCGGAGAGAACTTAACTTCTCCACCAGTTATACTGCGCTAGAGTTTATTCACTACGTTGAGCTTTTATAATGGTGATAGAAATACCCTGGTAGCCGCTACTTCTTGATTTAATACCACAAAACCGCACGTATGGTATCGCGACATACGTTATCCCGAAATTCTATAAAAGTTATTGATTATCTTGCTCCTTGGTAGACTTCCTATGTGATGCTATTTAGGTGTCCTTTATTCCTCTTTGCAAAATGAAAATTTAGCCACCTACACTAGCCTAAAAGCTCACGTAAGTACTTTAAAGAGCTCTGGAGTAAAAACCGATAAATTTGAACGATATTACCTTGCGTATTCTAGGCATGCTTGGATCCCCTTTTGAATATGACTAGAATAAAATCGCTTTCCTTCTGTGGCAAAAGTGTAAGCTTAAAGAAAATTCAATTAAAGGTTTGGTGGAATCTTAGAGGGCGTATGTATTCACTATCTAGTAGATCTTACTCGAAGCTAAATGTTAATAGGATAATAGTTATTGTTTCATAGCGTGGTATGCTTCCTCATGGAAGTCATAAAACTAATACTGGAGTCTCGATGGTAGAGCACTGATATGGTGAAATGGCCTTAATACTTCCTATTCTATCTTGTGACTCTTAATAAACTAGCTGCTGTCTCACGTACTATTTAAAAGTATTATTAGAAAATGTAACCTAATTTCTCCGAAAGCTTAAAAGAATATTTATCATTAGCCGTTGTTATAATAATATTAGGATATAGTCAACACCCCCTACGAAAGAGCGTGGAAACGATACTATACTTAGGCTCTTATTGTTCCTAATCAATGCATGAATAAAGATAATATTAAACGACTTAGTCTGTACTGAAAGAGAGTAAATCGATAAGAATTGCAGTAACACGCTATATAAGGAGGGTTGGCTTTGGATATAGTAAATGAGTTTTAACGGACCGCTCCATAAGACTAGCGATTTACTAGTAGCCGTTCATCATCCCATCGCAAAGGATGCTAAACCCTTAATAAAGTAAAGTCATCCTTTTAATATATGTACGAATATTGGGGTTTGGAATATTATACTCACCCTTTACCACCTTTTAATGCTACTATAATAGAAGTTCTATTTGGATAGATCGTAGATAGGCAAAAATAATCCTATACTCGATTATTGAACATTAGCTATGGAAATGCTATAACCATCGTTTATCGCGAGGCCTTTATTAAGGAAAAGCGGCTATAGACTTAGACGACCCGTACTGACCCACTTTTCGTCGGTCGACCAGGTCACTAATATTGTGAAAGAGCGTGTTAAGAAGTGACGCTTCGGTATTCGTACTGTTGATGGGAATGAATTGTGTGTTGCTAGATATAGGCTGGCTAGTAAACCATTATATGTATATATGTGAACCTAGTCCTGATGAGCATCTTAGTGACTGGATATGTAATAGAACGGTTGTGGTGAATAAGAACTAATTATCACTGAAGTAATACCTACTATAGCATTCTAGTATCCATAACCTTTATGAATCTATTGGTGTATCTAAGGCAGAAACTCTAAGTTCATATCGATTATTCTAGTGATCTTGCTGGTGATCTTGCTGGTGATCTTGCTGGTGATCTTGTGTGAGACCGAAGGCCTGTTTAATGAGCTACTACGCCTCTATAGAGTGGCCTCCTTGGTCTAATTTGAATTTGGCCATAGATACGGTGCTGTAATAATTGGCAGCGAGTAAAAGCCTGGTTGTCTATAGTGTAGTTTAGAAATCCCTCTTCACCACCCTCTTCGCCTCTCGTAACCCTCTATAGCCTTTGAATCCTATTAGTAAGTTGATTATGAGACTACCCCTGATATTTGAATCGTGTCCTATATATGCGCCCTTAGAGATGATGTTGGTTACCGCTTCTAATGTTGAAGTAGTTATTGAGATTTGGGTTTATCGTCTGGTGGGTCTAATTGGAGATCTACTGAGACCCACATGAATTTGTCGATTTATCGACTTCACTAACCTCTGGAAAGAGCGGTTGCGGTGAATAAGCTACTGCAATCCACTAATGTACCTAGAAATAGCGCTCTAATATACCTTATAATTTTTGGGGATTTAATGTTGACCTTTATGGTGAAAGCTTCTAGGCCGCGAACTGTATGCTACGTCACTTTTTCCTTGAAGTAACGGGGCAAAATAATTAACCGCCGATCACTAGAAGCAATAAAAAGTCTAATGTTGGCAATGTGGGCTGCTGCCTAGGCGTTAAGAATGAGCGTTCGCTGCGATGCCAGAAACGAGATGACCAGCACTGTAGGACCTAAGATGCCCGACTGAGTTCGTTGAAGGTAATCATCGATATTCTTAAGCAACTGGCTTTTTCCGTCTAGTGGCCTCCTTTAAACGCAAGTTTGAAAGAAATGTTAAGGTTAAACGATTTTAATCCTAGGTATTAGAGGGTCTTCACTGAGCTCTCGATCCGTAACTATCTAGTTTAGTCGGTATTTTAACTCTTCCCCTTTTTAATATATCTACGTGCCTGAATACCTAGTTTGGTGAAATCTGGTGAAGATAGTGAAGTTATGCTTCGTAGTTGTTATTTGTAGTAACGTAATGTGAGCTGGTGTTGAGGGAGAGTCTATAGGTTATTGGGTAAAGCATATTTTATCGTTATTTGCTGTATTTCACTAGTAAGGAATCTTTATTAGTTCGATTTTATTATTCAAAATTGGGTATTTGATTTCGCTATAGAAGGTCTCTAAGATTTATACTCTCGAGTCACCGCCCTCTCTGAAAATGCATTAGTTTCTTGGTACCAGAATTTGGGTTAATGCCCGGTAAGAGTAGAATAGTCACCTTTTACGAAATTTTCTAGCGTGACTTATACGAAGGGTTTGATAGAGTAAAGGAATCTCTGAACTTATTCTAGCCTGGTTGGGATAATGATAGAAAGCGTGATGTCGTCCTATGTATGTCTACTATGATAGCCCAACCCCCTAATCAATCATAATATTCTAGGTCGTAGGTGGATAGGCTTATATGTGCACGCTGCTGTGGCCGCCGATCGCCCTTTTACTACCGCTAGTATTTGGAGAATCCGGCCGAATTTCTAGTAATTGGTATCTGCTTACGACGTCGAACTCTCTGCGCTGCGAGTAAAGATAGATCACGCACTTCTTGTAATACTTTGCTAGTAATTCACGAATTAGCGGCTGATATAATAGTAGATAGAGGGTGCGTTTACTGTTAAGTTCTGGCTTTGCGAGGTCATCTGTCGACTTATAATGGGATTTATAGGCTACTACCGCCCTACGAAAGTATAGGTCTATGGGATAGGATGGAGTGAAGAGGGAGGCTTTATAAGGCATGAGGGCTATTTTGGTGTTTTGGTGGCTGGACGTTAGGTCTGACTTTTATATATTACTAATGGCCTGGGAGGCACTGCTGCTTATTAATTAAATAACTCCCTTTATAGTCCTTTTGTTTGTCCAGTCATACCACTGTATCCTGTAACGGAATTTTTGAAACTGCCGCTATTGACTCCTTGGAGATTTAGGAAGGATCGTAAGAGTGAAAAAGCAAGCCCTATGGGAGTTGGTTAAATCTTGATCTTATGATATGGGCCTCTTGGGCAACATCTGATCATCCTATGTGTAATATGGTCTAAGGTCTAAGTTAAATAGTTTTAGACTTTTATAAGAATGAGCCTGAACTGTCTTTCTCACGGTTTCCTATATAAGTGGGCCTACGCAAACTTTTCGTGCGGTTAGAATTCAGTAATAGTGCCATAGGTTTTGAAACTGCAAAATCAAGATGGAAATTAAGGATGAATATAACACACCTGCGACGGCTATTTCCCTATGCTGGTTACCTAAGTATTACGTGACCTCCTCCTTAAAATTGACGGCTCTATTATAGTACTAGAGGCGCTTGCCTCGCTTGTTAGGGGGAAGTGGTATATGGCCTGCTTTAGCACGAGAGGTATAGATCCTAAATAGTAGAATCTATCACACAGTCAACACGGTCCTTATAGCTAATTTGCATATACTTACGTCGAACCCTTGAAAGTTATGGTTAAGGAGCTGCTATCTCTATATCTCGAACCATGGCGGATCTTCTGAACTTTTAAGTTAGCTAATTACCCCTATAATGATTTTAGTTTTACGAGGCACTATACCCACTAAATATCTCGTCACGTTGCCATAATATATTAAGTCTCCGCACTATAACCTCTCGCTTGTGACTGGCCTCTACTAATATCTTGATATAAGTAAGAGCGCGGAAAATCCTAATGTCCTCTAAAATAAAGACAATAGTCCTAAAACGCGAGAGATTAAGGGGTCGTCTATACGGCCCGAGTAACTTGACCGACTAGGAATTTTATGAGCCCTTGGTAATGTGGTAGAGATCGCATATAATGCCCCGTTATGGTCGTGCTATCATACGCACTTTTAGGTCAC